CTCCCCTGAGAAAACAACCCCCATCCAATACCAGCATCAAACACACTTCAACATTTCGTGAAATTATCTTCTATATAGACAGAAAGATTCGATACACCGGATATCGTAGCTTTCTATAACTTCACCAAGCAGTCTTCAGTTTATAAACTATCATAACGGACTAGTCAGAGATACCCGAGGACCTCATTCGACTCATCCTATCACAAGTCCCCAGTGACTCCCTTCTATCACTTACGAGAGTATCGAAAGCTCTCTATCGAAGTTCTGTATCTCATATCTATCAATACGTTTATATCTGGGAAAGCTTGCAGCTGTGTGGAAATTCGAATTACAACCCACCTCTTGTACCAGATTGGAACAGTAACTATCAACAGTTTTCCCGCAAACCTCCTTACCATACAACACGCATATTCAACTCTTCTCTTCTTCTACGTACGATTTCAGAATCCGATCGACTGCGTTCTTACATCATAGGAGCCTCCTTTGATTACAGGCCTAATCAAGAGGAGACCGTTCTCCCACTAATCCAAGCTTTGCAGCCGTCACTTTCATTTCTTCATGTCAAGTTCACATTAGACATATTACATAGAGAAAGACAACTTCTCTCTACTGCAACTCATATCAAAGTTAAGATCGTGGAGAGTCAAGATATCGACTACCAGACTAGGGACCTCAAAAACATCGGATGTAATAAGGAAATCTGTTCCTATTACAACCTTCCCAACATTCATCTCCTCAGTATATCTGGTATACGAAATTAGCAATTCCTCACACGAAATAGCACTTAATAACCAAGAAGTTCAAATGTCACCTCCTTACGTCTTATCAACACACTTCCAGCAGATCCAAGTCTAGCAAAACTTCTCTCCTGGCCAAAAGCATTGAAGTCTCTCCATTTCGAGCTAAAACTCAGTAAGGTCAATAACAGATTCTTCGAAATAGGATACACGGGATTCGTACCCATCCTTAAGGCAAAAGAATTCAGCGATTCCCTTCAGTCACAAGCGTCTAGTCTTGAAGAACTCTTTATTTACGGCGACTCCCAAGGCGACTGTTCCGGAGGCTTACAATCAACTGGAACGATCGATCTTCACACATTCGTCAGCTTAAGATACGTTAGGCTGCCGGTCGTTTTCCTGATTCAATCATTATCATATGCCAACATGCTTAGTGTCCCGATCGTTCCTGTTATCTAGTCTGAGATCTTACCACCTACTCTTAAAGTATTACAACTAGAGATCTCCGAACAGTTCGAAAATTACGCCCGTTCGAATTACTTCTCCCGCGAGAAAGAAGAATACGATAAAGACTTCTACCCAGGTCAACTAAGTGACCTGATTTATAAGCTTGTTGGGAAGAAAGAAACGCGCTTTCCAAAGCTACACTCAATTGCAATTTAGCTAAAGGGAGATAGTGATATTCATACTCTAGAAGATAAGCAAGGATATGAGGAAGTTGTTACGACTTATAAGGCAGCTAGTATGAAGATTTTATAAGACGAAAGTAGTATTCCGCCAGTATTTAACAGTTGTTAAGGACTCCCACTAGCTGAAGACTATATTCTGATAGTCATTCAGTTTCTTACCGCGCCTATAGCTCTTCGCCATTTATTAGATAGCTCGGGAAAAGACATTAATAGGTATCTGGCAGAGGCTGTGTTTAATATCAATACTTATCCTCTCAACAGACAGCACTACGTCGGCTAGTCAGGTTAACATTCGCGCTATTTACGAAACAAAAGCCCACCAGGTTCATGAAAAACTTTTAAAGCGAGGCGGTAGACTGAGGAACAGTAAATATAGGCTTCCAAAGCGCTCCCAATATTTGCTCCGGAGGCTGAAAGGAACTATATATGCAAGCCAATAGCGTAGGACTAGGAATACTACATAGTTTACCACCTAGCTCTTTAATTAGTTCTTCCCTTTTTTTACAACTACTAGTAATAGAATTAAAGCACTTATCATCGTACTTTAGATATAAGGATTAAAATAACAATTGTTCCAGAATAATAGGCAAGAGACTAGGAGTAGTGAAAAGTAGTAGAAGCTTTATTACAGAACCATAAATAAAATCCCTTCTCGTAGATTATCGACAAGCTAGTAATCATCCATATTAACATCTCCAGACGCCGACCAACGCCTAGGACAACATTAGACAACAAGATCAGGGAAGAGGATATATACATATACTTACTACCTAGAGTAAAACCATCTAGAGCCCTCATTAAGCGATCACTGCTAGCATCTTAGGCTCACTCACGAGCTATCCGCCCTACGTTATACACTGCAGACAATAAACTCCCTCTATCGACCAACAGCTTTGTTACTACGCTATAATCTAACTCCGCACAGCAACGCAAAGGTATACGTCCAAGATTATCCTTTACTGCAGTTTCCGCTCCGTTGTTGATCGGCAAGTTAATAATTCCCCTCGAGCCACCTCTTGCAGCTAGATAGAGAGCTATAACACCCTCCTACTCTATAGTAGGTCCTGCCATACCCTTTACTAACAGAATAGCCGCTGTTTCCCTTAGACCTGCTTCTTGCAGCTAAATGTAATAGTCTCCAGCCCTTTAAGTCCAAATGATATATGTCTCCTCCGGCGAGGAGAAGCTCCTCAACTGTATCCCTATATCCCTCCTTTAATACCCAGCATATCGCCGTCTAGTAGTATATATCCTCGTGCAATACTAAGGCCCCGTACTCCACGAGTAGGCGGACCACCTCTTAGTGGCCGTTCTGAGCCGCTCGTATCAATAGTGTTCCGTCGAGATTATCCCGGCGCAGGAGGAGTGATATGTGCCACTTTCAAGCAGATACCTCGCCTTACTCACATCCCCTTTTATGTACGCTGTCGAAAAGATAAGCACGGTATTTAAGGAGAACTGAGTCGCCCTGCAAGTTAGGCAGCCCACCGTGACAAAAACGGATTTGCCTATACAGGACTCGTGCTCCCAATATGGACATTCGCACCGAAACATCACCATCTCTACCCCAATATCTCCATTTTATAGACTGATAGGACATAGCTCCGCGACTATCGAATTATCAATAGTCTTTCAATAGACTAAGCTATCAGGAAGTTTAGTAACACTGTCACGATATACGTTACGTAACGTACCAGCATCGAAGGCGGTGCCTTCTATTGAAAGAAGTGCCATAATATCAGTCAAACTTAAGATCGTAGGATATAGTTCGGTTGGATTTATGCGACTACAAGTAGGCACCAATTATTAAAGATGCACTCAAAAGTCACACTAGTAGTTCACCCTCACCTTCCAGCCGAGCCAGCTTTCGAGTAGGTACAGAAATAGCGCCAATTTTAGATCCGCTAAATCTGGGGGTTGGTGGATAGCTCCACTGCCAAGCCGACGATCTAAAGCGGATCTCTTATATCCACTCGGAATTGAGACCAAGGGAGTTAAGACCAGGGGGAATTACTGTAAGACTATCCCCCTTCTTACCCAGCCTTATCCCTTCATATCCCTCTTTAGCTTCTAATTTCGAAAGTAAATTGCAGGTTTTGTCCTCGTCAACACTCGGATGAATTCTTGGTTTACAGTAGCGACCCCTCACCTCCGAATTCGAATCGCTCCCGTAATTGACTTGAATAGAGCCAAGAACAACGAATACACTTGACGACAAAATTTTGAACACATACGTTTTCGATACTTACTACTTTTATACCAGTATTATAATATGACATTGTATCATTATACGAGTTGGTCATAAGCTCCATAGGAGCTACCTAGTGATTTCATTGTTAGTAGCAAGGTCCTTGTTTCCTTGTGACTTTGTTATTAACGAAGAGAGTGAGGGTTCAGTTGAACAATAAACTCAGCAAGTTTCATGCGAGTTGATTAAAGGAATGCATGGACTAACTAAAACTTCCTGGCAAAGTCAAAGGGGGAGAACATCAGCTGGACCTGCGCTACCGAAATTTGACACCAACAAGTCTAGGCCTCCCACAAAAGTCATGAAGGAAGTTCATAATAGATCATGTCTCTTATTATATCCTGGAATTTAAAATCTATACCACGGGCCTTAATGAAGATAAATATCGAACTTGACAGCATGTGGATGGAGAGCAATTTATCCACTTGACTTTCACTACTACGGTCTGCGGGATAAGAGAACTCATCTTTGATCTCAACGTCCTCAGATCTCATGACGAGAAATCAAACTTTGTTGGTTGGATGCAGACTTATTATGGTGAGCTGAGGAATAAATGCTTAGCCTTGGCAAATAATTAATTGTCTTCTCGCCTTGCAGTGAATAAGGAGCATCAACCGAAGGCCATTCCACAGGTAGAGAATGAACGTAACACGGAATGTAAGCCGCGATGTTTAAGCGGGCTGATTCAACAATCATTGATGCCCAGAACATTGACAGCTATGCTATACGCTTTTCGACCTCAGACTCAACAACCCAAATTAGGGCGGGAATACTCCAACAAAAGGGCATACATATATCTATACACTATCTTTGAGGGGTTTAATCGGAATCAGATTATCTTGTCATCAAACTTGACTTTTGATACGAAGCATAGACACGTGTAATAGGGAGCTAACTGTTTCACTTTCGCGTTATCAGTAACACACATGTGCCACATGGGGTATCTTGATTTTCATTAGCGTGCATCTGGAATGTGAGAATGTCGTACAGAAACACTTCCTGAGTGAGGCAGCTAGAAGGAAGGTTTCTCACACTGTCGTGGAATTTTGCTGCAGCTAAGCAAGAATGTTTTCATATCTGCATAGTTGAATTATTGGCAACAGTGTTGATAATTAGCCAATGACTAGTGTTACTCTATCTAATATCGGAGAATAGCTGCAAAGTGTGATGCCCAGCTTTTCGCACATGAGCCTAAAGTAAATTTCAATCCACATAGTCCTCGCACATATAAATACTCCAACAAATGGCCATATCCCTTATCAACGTATAATTACTTCAAGTAATCAGAAACCCTTTCAGTCTACATCATCTTAGATTTAACCACTCATGGCGAGCGCAACTGTCCAAAACATAACGGCAGTACCCTCGTTGTCGACGAAAAACTCAAATGGTATTCTCGTTCGGCCAGGTGTTTCCAGCACGGTGTGGGATCCCGTGAACGGTTATGTTGATGGCACAGGATCCTTCGCCCCGGTCACGTTTCGAATCCCCGGACTCGTAACACAGCCGTATTCTCTATCAATGACCGCCAATATTGCGGTCGTCCTCACCGCTCATTATTCGGGTACATCTTTCGACTTAGAGGGATCCGTGATTCTGCCTAATGGGAATGAGTTGAAGGTCCTCACCAGTATTGGGCGCAATGTGCCAACACCCTTGCCTAATCCACCGGCACCAGTAGCTATGCAAATCTCCAACTTCCAGTTTCACGACGATCTTCACCTAGAAAACAGTTGCCCAGTCCCATTCCGAGTCGCTGGTGACTTTATCTGGAGGCTTACCTTCCTGGGTCTCCCAGGTGAGATTGATGTTGATGTCGACCCGAGCAGAACAGAACTGATTAAGGCATAATTAGCTATCACTGTTGTACGACCCACGCGTTTGGAAATCTGCTTCGCAAGAGCCGCGGCTCCCATCGGCCCAGCATACACTGGAAATCCTGCCTTGACAAAGACAAGAGTCAATCTGAATGGTATTTATCCTATCGGCCTCGTGCGTCTTTTCTTTCCTGCACCCACGGAATTCGCAGCTATTGCAAACTTCAACAATCCTTCTGTGTATGGGCCTTTCTTCGCCGCGAGAGTCGTCGATCAGGTCTGGAAGTGGGGGAATCCGCAGGGACCAGGAAGGCCGCAGTATGATGCAAGGGGTGGAGCAAGCTATTACAACGTCGGCGGCTTTGGTGGTGGATTCAACTTGCAGGACTGGCTTGCTGTCACGTATAGGGCATGCAACTGCTACGATCTCGCGGGCATTGTCCAACTTGGCTGTTGCCTCTTGCTCTCTAGTATCGCCGATGAGCTGTTGGACTCTAGGTGGGTATTCCAGAACCCCAATGGCTTTGTAAGACCGTGTATACTCTATGGATGGGGTCAGACTTATCCTTCGCCCCCGGGAGTAAACAACCCTTTCTTTCTCAACGCTAGTGAGTTACTCTCACGTCTAGTTGATCTTTACTAATGCCTTTAACGACCCACCCAATCCGTTTGTGCCAGATGGCACACCCGGTCGTCAACCATTCGGCAACCACGCATGGGTTGAAGTGCTTCACGACCCGGATAACACCAACTATCGAACCGTCCTCGATGCGACCACAGCAGTTGCTACTGGCGCATACGCGTGGCCTGACAACGGAAGTCGAAGCCGTGTTCAGTACGCCACCGCACATATTGATGCAGCAGCCGATCCGACGGGTGGGAAAACTGGGAATCTGGTTGACAGAAAAGTGGTCGGACCCTCCACTGGAGATTGTTGTAAGTCACGTGCTCTGAATGTTCTCGCTTAGGTGCCTAGTCACCAACTCAGTTTGATCTAGACACGAATTATTCCTACTACACCAGTTCCACTACCTATCCTGTGGGAGCTTTGGGCCGTATCGGAGTGTTTAACGCAAGTGGAATTACACCTCCAACCTTGCTTGAGCATTTGAGCAGTGTGCCACAAGTCGATAAGATCATGTCCGAGATTGAGATGCTACTGTCGAAGGGTCAGAATCCGGCGAACACAATAAGCATGTTCAATGCTGCCTCGATGAAGAGTGACCAACTAGTCGAACTCATTACTAGAGACTCAAGTGTGTTGAAATTTAGCAACTATCAAGTCAGAGTCGCTGAAGGCGTAACGGTGCTAAGGATAATGTTTGATGGCGCACCGTACACCGGGGCCATCTCCGCGGTTGTGGCAATTGAGGTAAATCAAAACTCAATCTTAGCTCATCTATCTCATCTCATGTGCTGACTTCACCGCAGATTCATGTTTTCAACACCTTTCGATCTGCTCGCCTTGCACTTATCCATGCATTGAGCTCCTTCACACCACCCGGACGTCTCTCGGAACACTTTCGGGCTCTGTCGACGCCTCTTGCCGAGACTGCACTCCTTGACACCGACGGTCAGAATCTGCTCTTCCTTCGCGGTAACTCCTTTTGCCACATCCGACTTGTGCCAGAGCAGCTCGTCGCACCTGATCCAGCGAAGATCCATCCGCTTGAACCGCTAGCTCAGCGCCTCGATCAGCATCTTGCAGACAATAATGTTCCTCAGGGCAGCGAGGATGTTCCTTCTATCATCCTCAAGTCACCGATTCCCACGACTGTGAGAGTAGGTGATGATATTGTGTTAGAGACACAACAGGACTATGCAGCTATTGAAGGGAGCAGCAGTAATGGATCGATCGTTGTTTGTGCTGGCCGAAAGAATGGGGTCAATTTTGGGATTGAGTTCTTCGCTCTGGCCGAAGGTGAGGTAGAGCTCACTTTGAATGTTGCCCATGAAAATACTCTATTACCAGCGAACATGTCTTGGAAAGTCAATGTTTCATCAGCCTAGGAATGAAGCTCTGCGTTCGAGTTCATTTGATCATAATTGAGCGGTTTTCGCCACAGGAGTTTTCAGAATCTCGAACCTTGCTTTATAGCAGATTAACAGGCTAAATAAGTTTCTCAATACCGACACATCGTAGTATAAGAAGGTGTTTATAGCAGTTGTAGCCCTTTGGCAAGAAGAGTTCAGAAGATGGGTCATCAGGACGGATTATAGTTTGGTATCTGGTAGATGTTCCCTACAGTGGACTCACTAGTATTGGAGAGTTTTTTGGACTACGTTATGGGATGTGATGCTTGCTTTTCCCCAGATCTAGCGCTGCGATTTGGGACGTAACACCGAATTCTAAGGCTATCGGCGAGAGCCGCGGTGCAGCAGGCACGTAGGTCTTGTCGCCTAGGATAAGTAGGACGAATTCTTGCCATAAGAAGATACCATGGCAGCCTTCAACATTTATAAGTAGCATCAAGCTCGTTAGAGTAGTTGCAATGTAATCGCCTAGCCCCAAGCCAATAGAGTCTAACAGAACATCGAGATCCCAAAGACCGTCCAAAGGCATTGGTGTGCTAATTTACGGAATGACAATCAACCGACGCATGCCGAAAGCTGCTGTGCTACCTCCGTACTGTTTAGCATATTCACAATTGACGGTCCACATGCTGTGGTTCTGCTAGCTGCTCGTGGCAAACTGCAGAATGGTGACTACCAAGCCCTGGGCAATCATGGTTTCGGTCTTGATGCCCCATTTGGCACGAGGAATGTCCTTGTTCTGCTGCTGAAACCCCATTTCCTCTGATTCATTGGTTGCTTTATCCTCGGCTAGACTCGATTCTAGACCCCGTGTCACAACAAAGTACCGGATTAGGCAATTACCGGCAAAACTTGTATATAAAACTCGCAGGTTCGCCAAAGAGAGTTCTGAGAAATGTGATTCATTTGTTCAAAATCTCGTCCCCTTGCGCAGGACGCCACTGCAAGTCATCAGAAGCCACCAAATTACACGCTGCTGCATCTCTAATTTTAATATTGACACATCCAGGCGCTGGAGGCTTGAGGGGAGGGGGAGGGGACGCCGTGGCCCTCATTTGAGTCCGCAGATGCAATTTGGACTCTGCCGATTTGCTCCCATAGTTCTTTGAATAACTGAATACACTTCAAACATCCTTGATGCCCGCAAAGCCATAAATGAAAGCAGGCGAAAGCATTTCCATTGCAATACATTAGAATTGTTAATTACCGCATTAAGCTGCTACCACGTGGAATGCCACTGGTTCTCACTGAACTGTTTGACATTCTTCACACCCACGCATATCACTGGAAGAATAGAGGATCTTTACTGCAAGATACTAAAATTCCTTGGCATCTAAATTGAAATGTTCAGCTCTGGAATGCCAGCTGTTCCCACTGAACTGATTGGCATAACGATGGCCACCCATTTTGAAATGTTTTTCTCTGGAATGTCAATCGTTCTTTCTCATTGAACCGATGGCATTTCTACCCCAAAGTACTCGAGACAGCTCCAATCTATATAAACCCAGGCCTGCGCATAACCACCCGGGGACCTAAACCAACTCCTCAGATCTCAATCGCACATAACCCATACTCAATTTTACTTGTCAGCCATGTCGAAAGCAGCAGAATCACTCCAGCAGCTCCAGAAAGATGCAGTCAAATCCATCGCAAGTGTAAGCACTATGCTGCGTGATGCGATCGCGGCTGCTCTTCCAGTTGCGCCCGAACAATACCTAACTGTTGCGATCCCCGGTACGGTCATTGATTTGGCGTCGTATGAAAAGGGTGGCTCCTTTGTGTACGATGTTGCTAAACATGCAACTATACCAACGACAGTCAGACAGGCCGAGGCCCGTCTGGTAGATGGCATGATGCCTGTTGCAACAATCATGGTAGGCATCAAACCGAACTGGTTGTCTTCACGTCAGCTCACTTGGTATAGATTGGAAACACCGGCAGAAGCGTCGCTCGGAGCTATTCGAGCACCCTTGATACACTGGTACCCGCCAAGGCTACTATTTCTAGCAATGATGGTGTCCAGAGTAGTGGAGACCCCAATTACGATAACGCCATGACTTATCTCAAGACGACTGTACCAGGAACCGGCAAAAGTGCAGTGGAGCTCTACTGTGAGAAGCAGATCTTGTGGGCCAAGGCACGTTCTACCTGGGACACAGCTAAGATCGAGACAATCAGTAAGCCTTTTATGTTCGGGTGGTACCTACCCACCATTGATTCTCATCTGGCAATGACTTCGGCTGGATGCATTTCGTCGAACATAACAGAACAAGCTGACGATGCATAAAGCGCGAGCCGAGAAGCTGTATCCTGTTGAGTCGGATCCAGATAACCTCACCAAACAGAAGGAGTACATCGCAAATTGGGGGCAGGAGAACTACTTCACCTTCAAGGCCAGCGTACAGGCTGCTTGGATGGATTGGGTAGTCACCGGAGAGAAGCATAACGTAGATTATTTCTTCGGCATGGTTGATGTTGGCTCAATCATGAGCCGGATCGAGTCAAGCAAAGAGTCGTTGCGAAACTCTACTATTCCGGACGCCGATGGGTCGAGTGAGGTCTATGGTGTCAGCCTGACACCCAGTCGATGGGCGACCTACTGCCAACGCAAGGCGGAAGGCTGGTATAGGAAGAATGGAACCTATACACTTGCACAGCTTGATAGCGAGATTGCTCGGCTGGAGAGTCTCAAGGACTCTTACAAATCAGCCCAAGATTTACTCGGGGATGGGACAGGGAAACCGGTTTATCCGGTGGCAAATGCAGTCGCGCCTACGACGAACCGTGAAGACAGCAAAAAAGCCATCAATGACAACCTCGCCTTGTTATACAAGGCACAAGCGTCGCTCTCAGGCGCTCAATACAACTTAGAGCAGAAACCGGACGACGATGGCCTCAAAAAGGCTGTTACGGAAGCTCAAGCAGCTGTTAGCAAAGCGCAGGGAGATCTCAGAACAGCTGAAGCCACATACCAGAGCGTTCTAGGGGCTTGGAACGAGTACAACAGGATGGTTCTCACAGGGGCTGCTTTGACCGATGCGAAGAATGGTCTCGGCAGCAGAATGAGCAAGATTGATGGGGAACTTACTAAACTGAACGCACTGCGCGTGTCTAAATTGAAGGACAACCCGGCGGATATTCCTGTGATATCAGGCGTCTCTGCACCAGCACCAGATTCTGCAGGCACCCCAGATGCTGCTCCGGGGGGAACAGACCTAGCCGCTCCGGGTTCAGATCTTGCAAACCCAATCTTCAACGACACCCGAGGTGGGAGTGGAGGTGGAAGTGGCCAGCAGAAAACGACCAGTGCGGAAGATGCTGATCCGTGGACCACCATCACTTTCTCGTACTCTGCATCTGATGTCAGCAACCACAGCAAGGAAAGCGAATGGGGCATGTCAGTTGGTGGCTCGGTGGGCTTTGGACTCTGGTCTGTGGGTGGTTCTTATTCGCATGATGAGTCTCACAAGGAGATGCAGAGCGACATGGCTGCTTGCGATGTAAGCGTCTCCTTCTCCGCCCTCGTAGTCAACATCAACCGACCTTGGCTATACGGTGAGCTCTTCAGCGACGTAGATCTCGATGTCGCCAACAATGTTAAGCTGAGCCCTGGTCCTCTGGCTTTACATCAGATGATTAAGGACCAGTCCGCCGGTGATATTGATGCTTGGAGCGAGTTTCCTGCGTACCCGACATCCTTCATTGTCGCTGCCGATACCACGATCGAGTTCCGTGGCAGTACGAAGCACATTGAGCAGCATTTTGACTCGCATAGCAACTCTGGTGGCGCGTCTGTAGGCTATGGGCCCTTTTCCGTTTCAAGCAGCTTTCATGAATCGGCGAGCGAATCAAGCATGCAGGTTCAGACTACAGCTACCGGATGCAAACTCAGCTTCGGGGCTCCGCAGATTATTGCCTGGGTCAGCCAGATCCTACCACCTCTACCGCGTGAGAAGGGATTCAATCCACTCTCACAAGGCGCTGGTTTGCCCGTGTGCCCCGGGTACACCACCGATATATACAAACTAAACTCAACTCCTGCTCCTGCTCCTGTTCCTGCTGTTATTCCCCAGCGGTCTGCAAGAACATTCCTCGAGAATTCAGCACAACTCGGCAGTGTTCCTGTACCTTTGGAATTCAAATTCAATCCCTCCAAAAACGGGAACGGTGTCCAGTATTCACCTGTACCCAATGGAACTAATGGATACGGCTACGGTCCTCTCACGCCCCCACCCAATGGTGTTCCTGTTGTTTCCGAACCTGCGGCCTAGATTTTGTTAGGCCCTGTTAGCAGAATCGCTGCTAACACCTGGGAAGATGCGCGCCACAAACTAGTGTGTTACTTCGCATGTGGCTAGCGCTATCGAAGCTTTTCTGGCTGAAGATGGTCACTTTTTATTGCAATATTGTTCTCAAGTGAGTTGTGGGTATCAAAGATCGTGATATGATTCCCCTCGGTCCTGTCTTTCAATATAAAGATAGAATAATGTGATTGTCTCTTCTTTAACACGGGCTGAAAGATACTTACATATTTACATCACATTGGACATTTTGTCGGTTGATGCCTTTGTTCGTTGGCATGACTATTTATGTTGACGTAGGTACAGTACCGATAACAGTTCAAACGATATCGTTATATAGAGTGAGACAGTCAAGAATTGTGTGATGTGAAGCCTGATTTGTAATTCTAGAGGGAGAAGTAGTATATAAGTTATATGGTTCGCGCTATGCTACTGTGATGTGTTCTACAGTGTGCGAGGTCGATGCACTCCAGGGACACCTTCGGTAAACCCAGGCTCTCACATACAGCCTCCATCAGTAGTCAAGTTGATCATATTAAAGTCTAATACAGCAGGAACGCCTAGAGCTTGATGATGGGTTGAAAAGTTTGGACCGACTCCAGTAAAATTCGCATATCCGTTAAAGCTCGAGTAAATAATTGGATGGGTTCTATTGACGAACTTCAACTGTTTCTCAACGGTAGCTTTGTCAAAGAAACTAATTCCGCCATTTCAGACAACATGAATCCAATCATCTCCTTGCTCTTGTTATCCCGCAGCATGTTCCCACTCAGCCCAATGTTCTCCAAGTAGAGTGAGATCAATATCAGCTTAGTGTTTCACTCTCCCTAGAAGAAGACTACTGAATCTTGTTGTGACATGGCTATTATCAGCGTTAAAGATCCAGAAATGAAGGACAGTGTAAATCATTCCTTTCTGCCAAATAGCATTGACATAGGCCTTGCGGTGGAGAAGTCGCCTGGCTTGGCGGCATCTCGACTTCGAGGTAATATTGAGTGGCTAGCTTTGGTCATTACGGAAGTTGATCCTGTGTTGGGTGGAATATGTTCTTGGTCTTGGCTTTAAAGTCGATGTGAGAGCTATGCGAAAGTATCCATTCTGCCGAGCGATTCATGTATTGCTCGTCGGGAGCCTGTGTAGGGTCCATGGAAGCCGACTTGGCTGCCAGAAGTAAAGTTTGCAGTGATTCGATCGTATTCGTTGTGGCCTTTGACATGAATAGAGAATGTTTGCTTAGTATCCTGTCTCTATACTACTTCATAGCCCAGGTCCTATCAATCTTATCTTTGATCCATGCAGCTACTGCAGAACCGCCTAATGTTGGATGAAAAGTAAGGGTAAGCCCTACATTTACGCATATTATTTACTGACTGTGTCACGAAAAATCAAACACTCCTAGCTTAGGCTTGAACAGCGACAGATCTTGCACCATTTTATATCTCCATTGGTCACTACCAACACATTCCTCCTCACGTACAACATTATTACGGAACTCCTCGATATCGCCAAAGGTTTCGATAGAAAAGAGCCAGAAGCCAGCGACCGGCTGAAGCGGCCCTCTGTCCCTGGTGCCTTTGTCGAGGAGCATGTTCTCTTCCTCGCTCAACCGTTTGCCCCACGGGGGCAAATTGAACTTCATCATCCATGTTGCCCAACGGTAGTCAAGCACTCGGACAAAGTCAACGAAGCCCTTTCGGCCTGATACAGGCGGGTAGTCCGATCTCCCCGGCGCAGGGGATATAGAAAGGAGATAGCGGACGTCTAACCCTGATAGGAGCTGTTCGTACTGCGGTCCAAGACAGCTGAACACGAACTTGGTCCACAGATACAAGCAACGCCTGGGATCTGTCCCTACGGCGACATGAGACAGATCGCTTTTGATTGGTCGGGGGTCCTGGTCTAAGACTGAAAAGCCTCGAGATGCCATCTGGAGAAGAGGACCGCTGAGCGGCAGAGAGCGGTTCTGGTGGATCTGTGCTTGTGGGAAGCTCATTTGGCCTAACATGTTCCGCGAATCGCCATTCAGTGATATCACAAGGTGGACCGTCTGCAGGCTTCTAACGAGGAGTTGCACGACTGATGTCTCCGGGGCTTGATCGCGACTGGGTGATGAAAAAGCCATCTCGGTCGGCAAGCTCATGGCGAGATGCGCTATCCCAACCCCATTCGGATCATAGGCTACGGTGTCGTGCATGAAGGCGACGAGAGCTGCAGCAGGAGTTCCAGCACGTAACTTTATGTGTAGGGTGTCGTACTCCGGATTGTAAAGCAGATTTTGGATCTTGTCGTTCTTGTTCAATCCAAGTGGAAAATGTACACGGTAGTGAGCGTGGAAGATCTGGTTCGCCTCGCGATCGACCCATAAGAGAGCATGTCTGCTTTTGCTAGTCCAAAAGTCGTCATCTTGAAATACCACTCTATACGAGTAACTGCTGACAGTCTTTCCGAGCGAATTATGAGTGCTATATAGTGCTTCCGCTGTATCTGGATCATGGTCCTGATACAGCTCGAGATTGATCAAGCGAGAGCTAGTCAGGCACTCTTCCCAGATTCGGAGTCGTAAGTCGACAGGCAGTCGACGGAAGCTTGTGAATTGGCTTTGACCTGGTACTTCAGTGTAGAAGCTGTCGTTGAAGATGTAATATTCTTTTCTGGCCCAGGCTGCTGGCATCGGTGGAATGCTGAGGTCCATGATCCTTGCTTGGCTCGACGTTGCGAAGGTGGTTGCCGATGAAGAGGAGATGGGGAACTATGCATATTGATAATCAAAACTTGAAATGCTTTCCGATTGAGGGGGGATCTCGCTCTCACGAAGTGTTGTTAGTGATAGCGGGGGCGGCCCCCAAATAAGCTGCATATTTGCACTGCGCACGCAAGAAGGAGGTCTGCTTAAGCGAGCTGATGATTACCTATGAGGAGCGGCGTGAACGATGTTAGCACAGTGGGGGCGGGGAGCAGGAGTGGGAGCACCAGTGTCAGACTCTGATGAAGTCATTCCATATTGATCTTTATAGATCCGACATTTCATTGGAACTCGTAACGAGGTAACGTCGTAACCCTCTGTGCAGCAGAATTTCTCGGGTTCATTTCAGGCTCCAGAGTTACGGTCAGACGTCAGTGCTAGACGGCAACAAAGGAAGTTGTTAGTTACCATGAATGTATACTTGTGGTCAAGCAGGATTCTGGCTTACGCCTGTATTACTCCAATGAATAAATGGTATCTATGACTACGATGACAGCCTCTGTACAAGTGCGACGTGGATCCTCTACTCGATACGCGTTAAGCGAGGCCTTGGTTCTCATAGCCCGCAGAGCACTTTGCCCGTGAGGCTGCGAATAGATGGGGAGTACTTTGCTCGTAAACCTATGACGAGTCTGACACTGCTTACGCTGGGAAGACTCTGACTGGTGTAGTTTGTCAGGAGTTGTTTGCACTTCTGTTGCTCCGTACTGAAGTGACCCATGTTTGCCAAGGTTCAAGTAAACAAACAGAGCTTTGTGCCGACTCTAGACAGTAAGTGAGTCTTTCGTGAATGCACATGTGGTCACACCGTCATAAAACCCTCATGTCCGCTGGGTAGTGCAATGTTATATTTGTCACTCACTCGTCAACGGCAGCACTATCGAGGCCGGCCTCGTCATGCCAGAGGCACAGGACATTTCAAAGCACGATCTGGACTCAGCTGTACAGTAACGAACACTTTTGGATTGACTATATATATGTCTCCAAGTCCAAGTCACACCGCTAGAGTCATCCACTGATCAGACCTCCGCATAACACCTGAAGTAATCAACACTCTTAGGTATTCTCGAAAGCTTCCCGGCAACTGAAGTATGCTCAACTTCGGGATCCGCTCTGTGGCGTTCCTGCTCGCAGGGGCACTCATAGGTCTCACCCATGGTCGAGTGGATGTCATCGGGCCCGTCCAGCCAGTACAGTAAGTCCAGTGGTGGGAAGAGTCCAGTCTTAAACGTCGAAGAGACGACGCACTAACCAACCTCGCTGTGCAGAAACGTTCCCAGCAGAACTAAGTCGGCTCTCAAACCGCGTGCCTCACTCTCCACTGAAGGGGGCTCAATTTTTGGTAGAAGGGGGGACCTTTTATACACATATGGTCTTGCTACATGTGTAGGTACGTAACCAATTTCTCGCCGTACAAATCCTCTCCTAGCACAGATGCTTCCGAGACACCTCCCACGGAGGTCCACTACCAATCTACTCCCCATATACTCCCGCATCTAGCTAGAAGCATCAATGCTGACTCCGAGATATTGAAAGGCATGGCCGCTACAGGGGACACCACCGACCCTCAGAACGGCTACGATAAACTTCTGGGTCATATTAGCTGTGAGCGAAATCAGCAGGACATTGACGATTTTGTCGGTTATGTTCAACTTTCCGGCATTACCAACATTCAGTCAGTACTCAACTTCTCATAGTGCATGGCAAAATGATTACCAGCACATTTCCAACTACTCCTGATATGCTCCTACACATGGCGAGATGCAATACCACTGACTTGTGTACTTGTTAGGCTCGTTGTCAGTGTCGTTGACCCAGCTCTCGTCGACGAGAGTCTACGGGATGCCCAGACCGCACTTAACAACTATGCGGTCTCGCAAGCACAGTCTCTCGTTCCCAATGACCTGAACAACGTCATCAAAGTCATCAGAACCGACCCTCTCGATGCGCCCATTCCCAAGGGGACCGTCAAGATCCAGTACAACCGTCAGATCGAAGCCGAGGGCACTGTTGTATGGTCCTCGCGTAATCCAACGCCGCCATCTGGCTGTCTGAACCAGGCAGACCCAGACAACGGCATCGGCAACTACTGCTATTGCCCGGATGGAACTTGCTGGTTGAACCTGCCTGGTGGTGATCAACCATGTGATCCCCCATTGGATGTCCCAATCACGTGTGGCCAGCCCTAAAGGTTGCTAAGTAGGTTGGTAGGACGTGTGGTGTTCAGCTTTGTCGAAAGGCAGGTTTCATGAGAGCGTGGAACGTGGAGTGCAGTATGTGAGCGTAGTATGTGGATTGAGAAGGGCGGGAATTTGTCCTGTTGGGAAATGGGAGCATTAGCATAGTCATAAAAAAATACACTCTCGTTAACATCCCCTGTCCTGCTTACCCACAGTTGTGTTGATTCTATTCGACAATGACAACCAAAACGCATTGACCGCTGACTTTGCCAATTTTGACTTCGTTAGATATGCTTAGCATATCAAGAGAATCTAGCCTCTTCAGTATATTTTCAAATGACAGTGAATGAACTCAGACATCCGCCAATATGCCCAACTGCTTTTGTTTATCTCCAGTCTCGTTCAATTTCGTCAAGAGCATCTGCTACCCATGTGAAGGGAAGCATAATAGTTGTCTCATCTGGAACATTACACGGGTGGGCGTGATGTGAAAGCAAGCTCTGGACGAGGATCATCCCGGGGAGTCTAGAGATCACTCCGCTTTTAACCCCAGGGCCAGCGACGGCTATAGGGGGCTGAAGTATGTAGCTGCACAAGAATAGAACGAATGCTTCGTTAGCTTTATGAGTTTCGAGCTCAAATCTCTTTGGGGTCCTTCAAATCGGTTAGCAAGTTCGGACCAAATGCGTTGCGGCGACTATGAAGTCGGACGTGTGATTAAGGAAATGAGGACAAGATTTATCCAGATTTTCATTCATAGATTCTGTTCCAAATGGCTATCATATATTCCGTTTTGTTGACACCTCTAATTATTCTCTGTTTCATCATAAAATGAATGGTGATTGGTAGGACGCTGTGCGGCAAGAAGCACAACATGGTACTGCACATGGGTCATCTCTGTTGGTAGCCGACAGTAGGGTGCGAGTACGACAACGGCGTCGAGCTTACAATGCCGACATCTTGACTCTGATGCGTCTGCGACGGTGCACCCTTATAACCCGCACCGCTCTCAACTCCCGCATGATCGGGTCTCGCTGGGGCATCGTTCAGCATCCCGAGTTCTTCATCGCTTCCGTTAGCAGAAATGCCGCGCTCGGCCATGATGGTTTGCTGAAGATAACATTAGCACGTATGCTTTCAATGTCTCTGGCTCATAGCCAAGAAGCACAATCGTGATTAGAATAAGCGAGACATAAGGTCAAGTAGGGTTGAAGTCAGATTCACACACCGTAGCGACAGCCATCTTCTTTCTGATCCACATGCTCGCAAAAATAGTAATGATCACCACGACGGCAATCGCAGCCACTTTGCCCCACTTAGCTGCCTTGGAGTTCTTGCTGGATGGAGAACCAAGAGCAACGAACACCATGGATTTGGGGAGAGAGAGGATGACGGTTGCCATGTAGATCCAGAACTTCATTCCCGTGCAAGAAAAAAGAGGATTTGCAAGATCTAAGAACTTGTTACTCCATATTCTTTGGGTAAGGTTTGGCGTTGAGGTAATGGCTTACGTGGGGGTACAATTGAATATCTGATGACTAACACGCCTCGAAATCCGGCTTCTTGCGTGACACGTGCTGTAGCTGCCCAGTTCACTTTCTGGGCAATCTTCTTTTCTACCCACCCAGTGAAGAGATACTTGAAAACGATACTGCTTTCTGTTAGTGATCGCTGTATCGTAACTGCTAAGCTCGGTCGCCGCAACAATCTTCACGTGAAAATGTGTGAAGAGTGAAGAATGGAGACCTACAAACAAGCAGCTTCCCCAAGCACAGCACCAGCACAAGCGATGCCCAATGCAACGCCTAATGGATAGGCCAACCCCACAATTAATTGGACAATCTCATGGCCGAATAACGGCGGGAAACTCAGAAGTACTAAAATAGCAGTCGGAATCGTCCAACTCCATGACTCTCGTGCTTTGAGCCCTAGATAAGGGTATGATCAGTAGCTGTACGGCTCTGAGACAATCCAAGACCGAGCCGTGGTTCGAAGCAGCCGCGACAGGGAAATTTCTCCCGGCACTTACAATCAGACACCGGCTTCAGCCAGCGCTCAAAAGAATCTTTATATACCTCGAAGAGGATGACCAAGGCAAGCGCCACAATAGAGAGTGGTACGATCCTGTTGAGTGTAAATTTAGGTGATTGGAGCCACGGAGCTTACATCACATGACGTACCAGTACAGTCTCTTCTGCCACTTCTTGCTGATCTTCTTTTTCGACGTGATTCCTTGAATGAATCCTCTCGCAGGCTGTGATTTACTTGCCGAAGCTGTTTCGTAAGGCGATGGCTGCGGTGCTGGCGATGCGTGCCCTTGACTTGTCAAAAGGGGTGGCTGGGTCGCGGGAGGCGGATCGTAAAGCATGACGGGAGGTCTGCTGCGAGCATCGCCAGTGTCGCCCTCTGCGTAGGGCACATACGGCTGTGTATGATATGTCTGATTGTCCATCGTGGGGTCGTACATTCTGTGAAAGAGGATGTTGCTTCTGGGGCGGCCCAGGGTTGAAATATATGGAGCGTAGGTAGATGCTTGGTTTGATGAGGGGCTTACGTACAATGCTGCTTGGATGTCAGCTCTCCCTCGAGGCTGAAGCTTTTAAGTTCTGGGTTTAAGCTCAGCCACAAGCTTAATTGACCTTGGCCGCAATTGGCATGCATGTCCCGCCTTGACTAGCCTGGGTAACCTGATTGGCCGAATTTGTATGCGAGGACAAAGACTCGCACAAACAGATCCCGCATGCGCATTAATGCTTACAATCTAAGTCTGATTAGAATATCCCAGCAAACGATGTATCAAAAGTCGGTTGATACGTATGATCCAGCTGCTGTTCCTAAGAAGCTCATTACCTACACTACCCGGGTACTGATCATATGTAATAGACAAATGATTTGATTCACGAGCATTGCAGCCCCTGGAAACATCCGAGGAGTATGATTTTGTCGGGGATAGACTGCGGTGGGTGGTGTTTTGTTCTGGTGGACGCAAACATGACTGCAACCCAAGCAAAGATCTCTGGGTTGCACAGCTGTAACGAGGATCTGTTCGTTCTTATCAAAATGCAAGTTGTCAAACTTATGCAGCACTCTTTTTACAGCACTCTTTTTCACGTAGCTTGTAACGTTCTATGGGGTGGATAATATGAGCTAATACAGGATTGGAGGAGAGGGCGTCTTGGCGCTTAAAGGCGTGGATACTCCGTACAGGGGCACTTTCCCCACCCTCTCCAGCTTTCTTAAGGTCGCTTAGCGTTTAATCAAAGTCAACAACGGCCTTCAAGTGTAGATAAAGGCTCCCAAAAAACGAGAGACCAGTGGAAGCTACAGCGACGGTGCTTGATGAAGAAAGCTTACCATTAATCAGAGGCAAGGTGGTCATTGGTAGGACCTGGGCCATCAGATGCATCCTGCCTGTGGAGCGATTACGATCTCAGGGCATCAGAACACTGCGGATTGCGGTATGAGAGGGTACAATCTGCTGCTAACCCACAAGCATAGGTAAACAAAGACGATACCTAATGTAAGAGGGCCACTGCTTTCAACAAGGAGCATTTGTTGATTGAAGTCATTTGTGCTTGCCGCTGGGTTCTATTGACGAGACCCACCGGTTACAATAACCAGCAAGTCAGTCACCCGAATGAGGAGACAACAACCACACCGACCGAAGGGTGCATGTGCAGGTAGGTGATGCACGTGAGGATTCTGCACACGTGACCTGGCCATTTCCACCTGTGGCCTCTGCTCAGTGAACCACGGGCTTATACTTTACAAGGTAGCTAGCTGTGCCTACCGGTTTGGATATCAATGTTGTTTTGGACGCAAGAACAAAAACCTGTGAGGTACCTTGGGTAGCTGGGTATCGTATGGACGCGGCTTGCTCGCTTACACCCACTACAGTACCCATTGTACGGAGGGATTGGCTGCGCCGTTGGTCTCACCGTACACCTAGGTACTGTACTGGAGGCACACTCGGCACAGCACACTAAACAACTAAATTTGTGCTTGCTTGGCCATCCCGGAAACCCAAACCCACCTGCAGCAACATTTCCACTTGTCCACGTACGTCGACTACAAAGAATACCTAAGGTATGATTCTCCTCTGAATCAGTGTTCTGGCTACTCTTCGCACCATTGAAATCAAAACAAAATGACAGACTCGAGCTCTCTAATCCTTTATGACATTTCATCGCCTTTGCAGCCCCGCTCCTACGCGCCAAACCCTTCCAAGGCACGCCTCGCGCTCAGCTTCAAGTCTGTACCCTTCACAACAACTGTAAGTGATATCATAACTCACCTCGTATTTGTCTCGAGTGTATACCTACGAACCGCATGACCTGACTGCTCGATTTCTCGTGGGTCGACCTCCTTGATATCGCCGATGTCCGCAAGGGTCTTGATTGCCCCGCCACTCGTAGCTTCGACGATGGCTCTGACTTCTTCACACTTCCCATCCTACGCAATGGTGTCGAGGTCATCGGTGACTCCTTTGACATCGCAAACTACCTTGAGGACAAATTTCCCGACTCGGGTGGCCGTCTTTTCCCACCAGTATCCACTCACACTGGCCTTGACTACGAGAGCCCACACAAAGACATGGAATTTCTCGTTCCTCTAACTTGCAAGGAAGGGTCAAAGAACAATCCCTATGCAAGGTTCAACATGCAGGTCGACGCTACGTTTACCGCAAATATCGGGCTCGTCGCCCAGTTCCTTCCCTTCAACCCAGAGACCACTGAAGCCACAAGAGCAGTCTTTCTGAAGCGCGCACGGCTGAACTCCTGGGATGATTTATCAATTCGGGGCGAGGCAAGAACGCAAGCCAAAGCAGCTTTCAAGACAGCATTGACGTCTTTGGCTCAGCTGTTCATGTTTCACGATACCGGACCGTATCTTGAGGGGATAGAGGCTAACTATGCCGACCTTATTGTGGGAGGTTGGTTGAATATGCTTTCCGTAACTATGCCTCAGGAGGAGGTATGCTGCTTCCTTTCCTGTTATTCCTGGTGGTCTAATATACAAAACATATACTGGGAGGACAGCGCTGACATTCTGAAGTGGAGTGATTTTAGGACATGGCATGGTGGGGTCTTCGCACGACTGCACGATGCGTTGCAGAAGAATTACTTCAAGTGCAGCTAGTCACGGTAACCAGAATAACGAAGGTGTGCCACGTACACGCTCCAGAACTTAAGCTCTTCCATGTTGGCAGTATATTCGTGGTGTCCAGGAAAATCGGCGAAGCAGAAGACTGCACGACAGCGTGTAATGCAACGTTTCGCGAGGAAGTAACTCATTCAATCCATAGGTTTGGGAGCGCACACGTGCTAGAGTCTTGATCACTAAAGCTGAATGTTGAAGCCCCAAATTAAGTCTGCTCGATTAGATGAACCAAACGTAGGAGTGATGCTAAAAGAGGCATCGAGATTATCCAGGTTTATGCCCCTGAATCCGAAATGGAGGTAAACTCCTGCCAGTAAACAACATGGGTCCTCGCCGCTGGCGGTGTTCAAGCCCAAGGTTAGCTACAAGAAGTCCCCCCTCTCCGTCATTACTTGAGCCAATGACCAGGCTGTGTTCGATCAATGTGTGTCATCCGCTCGGATGTTATATGATTTTATTTGTAACGATAACTGTGAAAATACTCTCGGGAATACTGTTTTCGTAGACCGCATTGTCCAAGACAACGCGGAGATCCGCGATCGTCCAACAACCGATCATTTCAGTCGCTTGAGTGGCCAGCAGACTAACTTGTAAACTTTGAAGACATTCAGTCAGCACTTTGAAGCCTTGTGTGCCTGGAATAACAGTGAGATGAGAGGAGTCATAAAGAAAGCATAGTTTGCGTACGATATAATGTACATGGGGCTTCCAGGCAGAAATATTATCTATATAGTGTTAGGATATTATCGAATGCTACATGGGGGCCATCGAATTTCTTGTTCACGGAATAGGTCTTAAGTATCTCTTCTAGAAGGGCGCTTGATTCGTATGTGTCCCTCCGTTAGACTTACAGTGCTTCGGACCAAAGGTTGTAAACATCAGGATATAGACGCAGGTGGGTGGTGTTGACTCCTGGTAATTGTGTATGCATGACACACTGTACCGATGGTTTGCGGCAGCTGTTGCTCAAGCGTCAAGAAAGCCAAACTCTACATAGGCTGAGAGAATGCCTGGGCTTATCCCTTCTTGACATAAGAAGCAAGTGAAGTTGTTGATAGGGCTAATGAGGCAGCAGCTTTGGACAGAGTCAATCGACTTATTGAAACGCAAGTCTGAACAGGGAAAGGTAAATTATCATTAGTATATGGAGGTCACAGGAGAAGTTCACAGTCATTTTTTGGCTATGGGGTCCACAGACTCATAACAACTCCCTGCATGCTTTTCTACCGCTCATGCTTGAATATTGATTTCTACACGCCTAGAACTGATACCGTTGGAGTGAACGGTTGGAGTGAAGTTGTGGCTGTGATAATAATCTAGCAGCTCACATTCTATATGGTTTGAGGGTGGTCACATGTCTTCTCCTAGATATCTAAGTATTCCCGTTCTGCCGGTTGAATATTTTCAACATGGCGTTCTTTCGATCTCTGTAGCCTACTTCTTTGATTTCCACAACATCTGCGATATCTAGTCCCACTCAAGTGTACCTACTCCCTCTGCAAGAGGATTAGAATTTCGTCAACGGCACCTGCCATCTCCTGTGTTCGTGCCAGCATAAACCATTGCTGGGGTATTGGAGCTATTATACCTACATAGACGACTGAAATACTGCTAGATAGTACTGTGAAAGGTGGAAGTGAATGGATGTAGATGGTGTGAGCAGTGATGCTGTGGAGAGAACAAAGACTTCAGAAGCTTTAGAGCATATAATATTGGCGATGTCCAGGTTGTAGGGAATGCTCCGTATGAACCGAACCGGATGGTAGCTAGAGTGATTGCAAAAGCTTCAAGACTGCCCTGTCTCAGTTGACTTACCTCAAGGGAAATGTTCAGAGCCGAGACTCCCATTGTTTACCTTTGCAGTAAAAAGGTTGGGGATCTCGCTTAGCATTAACGGCAACCCCTATTCCCATTCATCACTCAGCCAATAAGCCACGGTTCGAGATAGGCAATAGAGAAATACGCCCAAAAGTGCCCCGGTGACTTATTAAGAGGTTCTGATGTGTGTTGCACGCGGCTTACACCCAGGAGATGGGCCTATTGCACAGACTAGAGAGAACATGCCTGGTAATTTTCTCGCTTGTTCAATTCCTAGCAAGTTCTGCTCTAAGGAAATAGCAGAGTCTTAGGATCGTTTCATTATTTTAAATTCACTCTACTTCAAAAAAAGGCTCACTCGCACAGTGCCAACAGCCCATTACGCTATACTGACTGGCAGTGACTGGCACACTGCTCTCCTCCTGGCAAACGTGCTAGCCATGTACGGACGCAACTCTTAGAGTGAAAATTGTACACGATGGTCACAATCAACATATGACCTCCCCCTGCCGACCAGAAGTACATGCGATTTAAGTCTCGCAGTGAGGTTGTCAAAGATTATCCTCTAAACTTGTTGACATCTAGGCTCGAAGCTGGGTTCGTAACCTTTCTCAAATTTCATTCTGAAAAGCTACTCTTACTGTGGCGCAAAATATTTGGCAGTCGAAGCCTGAGTGTTGCCAAAAATCTACAAAATCAGCTTTGCAAACATCCAAATCTTTGTCGGAAAAGAACTAACGGTTTGACAGGAGCGCGCTCTTGCCCAGCAATGACATATTTCGCCCCGTCAGACCCCAAGGATCATGTTGTCGGGTTATCGTGGCATCAAATCCGGCGTCAATTTGGTCCATTCCACTGTGTTGCCCATTTCCTCAGCAGGCTGCGATTCCAAGCATGCCTTAGCGTTGATGTCTCCTTGGGCTCTTATCCTGAAGGCGATGACGAGACGTTGCAGAATATGTCATTAGAGTCCAGCACTTCTGTACTTGTCGCAAGACAGCTGAAGTTGTCGTGCAGTCTCTGGCATAAGGATCGCTTGGCGTCGGGTTGGAAACGGTTATCAGCCTCGGCGGCCGCAAGCTAGAGCGGAGTGTCGCTGCTAGCAATGCGACACTGAATAATATCCAAGCCCTCGGCTCTTGATCTGAGGCACAGTATTCAACTACTAATTTTAATGGCTTTTCGATGGTCTTCTCGAACCATAGCAATCAACAATATGAAAGCAAACCGAGAAAGTGCTTGTGGTTCCGAAAATATTTCAGACCTAGACTAGAGAGCTATCCCAATTTGCGTGTTGCTGAAATGGCTTTGATCCTCGATTGCTCTGGGCTCTGGATTGACATTAGTCTTGCTGGTCAAACTTAATTCGATACTTTCTCCAGTTCCCGTCGGAGGTGCAGGTTTTGACCGCTCATATCCGACGCGAGAGTCGAGTCCAAATATCCTGGGAAATTTGAGCGACAGAAAAGACCGAATAGCTGGCAGATTCTAAACATTTGCGTCAGTGGCAGCCATGCCGACGAACCGAAAGGCTCGTTGTATCACAGGCCTAATGATGAAGGCTTTTGCAAAAAACAGGACTCAGTGAATCGTGAGTCGGCACTCACTGGTATGACAATCGAAACGTCTGTGAACGAGGAACTTGAGTTAGTCTTCATCATACAGTCTGTGAAGAGTGATTCTGCTGGATCGAACAAGGGAACAGATGATGATCCCGGATGGTAGAGGCGAGCTTACATGCTTCAATGGCGGTCCAGTAGGTGACATCAACAAAATCCCCTATGGAACAGTCAATCTTTCATCGTATAAGCTAAGCATAGTTACTCACTAGTTGGGTTGCTGCTGTTGTCTGTGAACTTTACCACTTTAGTAATCCGCACGATCGAGCAAATGCAGATACTGAAGCTTGTTAGCAGGGGCTGGAATCGAAAAAAAATTCCGAAACATACAATATCCCAAGACTGAACATGAATAGGACGTGTAATTTCTTCTTCAGAGTGACGCGTAGTGTCACTAGCCAAGGAATGGGTAGTAGCAAAATTGCGACATCCTGAGCGATGTTGATACCAGAGCTTGCGAAGGACTGAGCGTTCAAATTCAGACACACATCTCGCCCGCCTTTCTTTTCCCATCCATTCCAATTGGTAGAAATCGGGATGCATTGGAAGAGGGTAAGGAAGGAGAAGACGATGGTGTTCAGAGATACCCATACGAGTATGACATAACAAGCTGTTCGGAACTCTTGATGTGGAAATATTCTCAAGTAGAACATGAGAATCGACACCTTGCAGAGACCGAGAATGAGAACATAGAAAATCTCATCCCAAAAGTATAACTGTGTATATTCAGCACCAGAGCGGATGGACGAGAATGATCGACTGACAGCGAGAGCCAAAGGCAGATTATCAACACTGTATATTTTGGTTGAATCAGCATGGAACAGGATATGTATTCTGACAGTTTGAGAAATTCATCCTAAAGAGCACTTGTGACAGAATTAAAAGCTACGCAAAGATCACTTACTCCCAAGCATCGAGCCCAAAACCCGTCGCTACCGACAGGGCTCCAAGGGTGGAAAATATGAGCAACAGAACCTTCGCAACCGGAGTCAGAAACTGAAAAGAAAATGTGGCTAATTGCACGAACGTTGACTACAACCATAACCCAGTCGTCTTTGTTGAAGCGGCCTTCGGTTTTCCATCTAAAAGGACAGATGTTAGTGATCGGTACTCGCAGCTCTGATGTGCTTAGATTAAGTGGTAGGAGAGATGATGCATTAATTTAAGAGGGACGAAAGAGGTTGATAAAGATGTGGCTAGATGTGGCAAACATCTCGAAGCGCGCGACGTGTGGTTGTCTAGAAGCTGAGATGAATGACCTACCTCAACCAAAGACGGGCGTTAACAGATATTGACGCCAATGCCCCAAATGCCACAGTAGAAAGAATTTGTGGCTGGCGGGAGTTCTTCTCTCTAGAGCAGAGCTTGTTGGTGAGCCTCATCACATCTGAGAAGCCATTATTGACATGTTCCAATGAGACTTGGCCAGAACATACCCCAAGACTCTAATCTAGTACAGTTCCTATTGACACAGAAGTTGGAATTGTCGGAAATAGAAGTGTCTAAGCACAAACAACCGACATTCACAGGCGCATTCATGTTTCGAGGAATGCAAGGTGAGAGACAATCGAGCTACGTTGGCGTCAGCTTCTGATATCCACAGTGGAGAAGGAAGCAAACCCCGCATTTGGGAAGCTCATTTCTATAATCCGTGACATTGATCGCAAAGGCAACTGGAACAATTATAAATGAAATCCAGGTGCCGACTTGCATCGCGAGCTCCAGACCGCTTGGTGTTTGGAAGTCGGGACATAGGTGTTACCAGCCGGGACGCTCGAGGTCTGCCGAGATCAGTGGAGAGACTCTTGCTCACGAACTCAAGGGATTTTGATATCTACAAGATACCTTCCACAATCTTGTAGGTCAACCCTAGGCGAAGAGATTTGGAGTCCTTTTCAATGGAGAGAGCGAAGTGATGCTTCGAGAAGATGATCAAGAACTTGGATGCCAGTGAAGAGACGAACCAGATGTGAACCACCAAAGGACGGAAGGACGGAACATCGGCCCTTACTAAATCTGTACAGCAGAGGCTTTCTCTCTAAAAGTATACATCGAAGAGACACCAATGAGAACCGTCAACGAATGTCTGTGTATGGGAGAGCCTCAGACAAACGCATGTGCTGTAGGGACCAAGTTCCCAAGTTGAAACATCGAGTTGGGTCATCCCCGGTTCTTGGAATCAGGACCAATAGGTGCAGATGTACGGAGTAGGCATCGACGGCAGTTCGATCGACTGACTCGTGAAAGACTATTTGTTGTGATGATGATCTAACACCAGGAGTAGACAGTGGTTACCACTCAATCTTGCGAAGTACCGGGCACGGGCGCGCTCCTGCTGCCGTGCCGACGCTTGCAACTCAACCTCCAGTACTACCGGAAATCCAAATATGAAGCTTCAGATACTTGCCCTAGCTGCGGTAACAGGATGCTAAGAATGCCGAGAAAATGACCAGTGTACTTTCCTAAGTCCTCCCAAGTCTCCTCCAAGTCGTGAGGTAGCGCCGGACATGAAGATTTTCGCATGGAAGCTGCTCACATCCCCCGGGCCTGATCTGTTCATAGTTCATACCGACAGTCGGTATCATCATGGAGCCCTCTCCTCCCCTCCCCACCTCCCTCTGGACTCCATCTCAGCTTGGCGACGGACAATGATTTCGTCAAAGCAAGCCTCGAAACGTGGCTGTGAACCGCTTTGCGAGCCGAGCTTTTGGCTCCTGGGCTCGTGCATCGTTGATCGAAGCCAAAATGCCAGAGTCATGTACAAGCGTAAACTTACACAGGGTCAAGACCACAGCTGCATGCACCTGGTCTTGAATTCTGGACGCACTGGCGCACTCGACGCAACTCCAAGAGCCAAGATGATGGCAATCGATCGATTGCAACAATCGGCTGGTAATTGATCTATCTCCTCTCTCTCCTCCATCCTTCCGGACGAGATTGAGTGGCTCAAGAACCCACGAGTCGCCGTGGACTAGGTACCTTACGGAAAGTAAGATAGGGAGCATGATGGCAGGCCACTGGCGGGAAATCAACATCGGGTCCAAGTCCGAGTCCGAGTTCTGGTCCTGGTCCTGCTGTGTGGTGGCAAGAAGAAGTAGAGTTGTTGGGAGAAGGACGAAATCAGCCGTTGAGTGCACGCACTTACAGCAGGGCATGGCATTGTTGATGTTCTTGTGTGTAGGTGGGTAAATTTACCTTACTTCTTGCGTCGTCGCAGAGGGGAGGGGAGGGGAGGCCAGGCGGGCCGCGCTTCTACAATACTGTACAGCAGTGCGCTCCTTTGCCGAGGCGGCTGAGGACTGGCCGTGGGACCGTCGGTTGCCGTGAGGAGAGGTGAACATCATCTTGCTACGAGTACAGTATTCAGAAACACCCCTCCGCGACACAATAGGCGATAGGCCTGTTCATTCATCGCAGGATGACGGTCACTGTTCTCATTCTAGGAGCTGGAGCCATTGGAGCTTTCTATGCCAGGTACGTTGTCTGCACCGCTTCCCCTCTTGTCAAGCAGCTGTCGACGGACTGCAACGTTCAAGCTCCCTGAGATTGTGTCTGCTTGGAACAGAAGACGCGCTGACCTGATTATTAGTCGACTTGCCCATGTTACAGATACCCAGATATCAGTCGTCTGTCGCTCGAACTACAAAGCTGTGCATGAAAGAGGATTCGTGGTATCGTCGCCCAAGTACGGAACACAGATATTCGTCCCATACAGAACATTTGCGAGTCCAAAGGAAGCGGCCGACTCCAAGCTCATTTGGGACTTTGTCGTCATAAGCACAAAAGCCCTCGCAGAAGATGACTCGGGGATTCTGACGGGCCTGGTGGAGGAACCGCGCACATCAATTGTCCTGATTCAGAATGGACTCGGTGTTGAGCTTCACTATGCCAAACGATTTCCAACTACGCCGATTCTCAGCGCAGTCACCATTGCCAGCGCGGAGCAGACATCTCCGGGGATCATCAAGCACAATCGCTGGACACGAATCAGCATCGGTCCCTACTTGCCTCAGTCCAATGGGAACATAAGTCACGGGTTGGGAAAGAGGGCACACGAAAGCACTCAGAGTTTTGTGCAGTTACTGAAAGCAGGGGGGATTACAGATGCCGAGGATTACTCTCATGCAAAGTTACAGATGGTCAGGTGGCATAAAATCGCTATCAATGCAAGCATGAACCCGTCGGCCGTCCTGTCTGGCGGTTCGACAAACAACGAGATGTCAATGGATCAAGAGCTGTACATCCACTTGAAAGGTGTTATGGATGAAGTGTTAGCCACTGCAGAGAAGGTTCTGGAGACACCGTTACCCAAGGAGTTCGCATCTAGTGAAGCGATCTTGAAGAGCACCCAAAAGAACACAAGTGGAAGTAAACCTAGCATGCTGCTGGACTGGGAACAAGGGAAGAAGATGGAGTTGGAAGTTATCTTGGGGAACCCTATACGAATCGCGAGGGCAAAAGGGTTTGAGATGCCCCGGCTCCAGAGCTTGTACGCTCTCCTACGGAAAGCAGAAGAGAAAAGAGAACAGTCACAGAGCAAAAGCAGCAGACTCTGAGCAACACCGTGGCTGTTATTGACTTACAAAGGCCGCCATTATGAACCCGGAAACGTTCCTACTCTTCGTGCAGCTACTTACCCTTTTTTCAGGGACCCAGACTGACAAGGAGTGACCAGAATATACACTGTGTTGCTCAAGTCCAGGCCTTATAGGTAATACATGGTCAAAGTTCGGCAGTCGGGACTCATCACATCAAATGTCCAATTGTCACGTACTCGTCTGCTTGAACGCTCTGACGGGGAGTCAAGCATTGGCATGGCAATAATGTATAGTTCACAGGAGTGCTCCGGAGTACCACCCTTCCCAGCCATTACTAGGAAGCCGAGAGTCAAGAATGCACTGGAGCATGCGTGACAGTGAGCACTGCCTCGCAGAGTATGGATTAATGATCATCTCTTTCGCTCTTTTTGACAGGCTTCTTGCTTGAATAGAATAGAAAGCGAGTGTTGGAGAACTCTTGAAGAAATTTGATTTCAACACCTAATTCTACCAGTGTAAAATGTATTGGAATATGAAATCGCACCCATAGACTCATAGTGTTGAGTTGTCTTGCTGCCACCAACCTGGTACCGTTCCCCCTTTTATCAAGCAACGCTTCTTAGCGAGATCTGATGGGGATACGAGTAGGTCGTCAACTTAATAATGTCCTTCCTTAATAGTCGGTTCCCCTTTGTGAGGCTGCGAGCTCTCGCTTACAGTCAGTGAAAGTAAGTGTCACGCGAAAGTAAGTATCACACTAGAGATAGCTGAAGCTAGATTTTATATAGGAATCCTTACTTAAACACCTCTTTTCCCTATCGCGACTATAACTCTTTGTAATTAATTGCATTAAATTCGTGAAATTTATATTTAATAGAGTACCCGGAGAGTAATTTTTATAAAATCTATATAATAAAGGCCGACTACGATCGAGCTTTCAATTAGGCGTGTTAATAGGCACTTAAACATCTAGAGGAGAAGCCCAGCGTATCTATACGTATATATTTTATTAAGGAAGAGTTACTATAGCAATCTCTACACTGTGTAAAGAAGCCTAAGTAAAGGAATCAACAGGGTGGACTTAATAAATATAGTAGAAATAATAAGGTCCTCTTATTATAATAGGAAGAAGCTATTTAGTAATACTATTACGAATAATAGGAGGTAAGCTTAGGCGCGACGTATACGATAGTTTTAGGTATAATTATATACCTACGAGCTATAATATCTTATATCCTAGTACTATATTAATTACTAACTTTAGGAAAGTAAATAAATCCTCCCCTACTAGCTCCTTTAAAACAATAGTTTACCCTTTAGTTAAAGAATAATCCCTACCTTCATATAATCTATACTAAGCTAATTGTATACGCACAAGTCGATTCCTATACTAAAAAAGACATGAAGGATTAGTTCCGAGAGCTAGAAATAACTATAGAATAATATAATATCGATACGAGTAAAAAGCTCTTAAATATAGACGAATCTAGTGTAAGAGTTAGCTATCCTTCTAGGGAAAGAGTTATTATCCCTATTAAAATAAAGGAGCTTTATACTACTAGTCCTGAAAACTATAAATCTATTACGATTATAGAGATAGTACAAGCAGATAGCCGGAAAACGCTTCCTCTATATATTATTACCCTAGGAAAGAAGATTATAGACAATTAGATTCATAAGAACTTAAATAAAGACGAACGTATTAATTGTTCTAGTACTAGTTATATTAATAACCGTATTATAATAGACTACGCTAATCATTTGATTTAGTACTTACACGCTAGACCAGATAAGCTATGGAAGCTCTTACTTTATAATAGCTATAAGTCTTATCGATTCGATCTATTCGTCCTTAGGTTAGTAGAGAATTATATTAAAGTCTTCTAGTTTCCTTTATATCTTATATATATTCTTTAACCTCTTAATATTAGTATCTTCTGTCCTTAGAAGTATTTCTATAACCTATATATTTAATCAGCCTTACATAGTCTTAACTTTAAATATTCTATTACTTCTTTCTTCCGAGATCTTACTTAAATTAGAAAGATAGTAATAAAAGAGTATATAATTAAGAACGTTTTCAAGACCTCTAGAATATAGCTACACTCGTTAAAAGCCGGGTTACAAAAGATATAGTTATATAGAAAGTGAAAACGATTAATTCAAGATATAGAGAATAAAGATTAAGATATAGACCTTCCTAAATTACCTCTTTTACACTTAGATAAGCTATAGAATACTATATCCGCTATCTAATCGTTTATTAGGAGAGACTCTACTTAATTTTCCGATAACTTAAAGGAGCTCTTCTAAAAGACTATAGTTAATACAGCTATAAGCTTTTATAAAGCTTACCTTATAACTATCGAGTATATAACACTTTAAGAGAAAATTAAAGCAGAAAACCTCCGGAAAAAGATATTACACTAGAGTATCTATAAGGGAGGTTCCTCTGTATCTATAAGCGATTTAAGAGAGAGGATATATATACAGAATAAGATAGAGCAGGAGGAAGCTTTACAGAAAGCTTATAAAGCACTTTAGTAAGCTATTAACTGATCAACTAAAGCTCTTCGTGTTACTAGGGTTTAAGCTAAGAAAGAGAATAAGAAACAAAAGAAAAGACTAGAGAAATATAAGGCAGATAGTACGTTTCTAGTAGCAGAGGATTTAATTCCGTGTTAAGAGCCTAATAAGAATCCTACTTCACTTAAAGCTGCAAGTAAGACGCCTAAGGGCTACCCTAAATACTTATATATTATCTTACAACTTAAAGCTAAGTATAATAGAGATACTACAGGAGAGGATATAGAATTTAGGATAGGAAATATATATAAAGAAGAAGGAATAGGTATTAAATACTTAGAGTCCAGCTCTATACAACAGATATATATAGAGAGTTCTAACGTTAAGTTAGATACGAGCTTAATTAACTTAATTACGAATAATACAGATTTTGTTCAGGTTTAGTTATTTTAAGAAATTAGTTATAGTAGAATTAATTTTAATATCTGATTTTAGTAGTATTTATAGTAAATTTTTAATAGGGTTAACAATTCCTAGCGTAACACTTACTTTCGCATAACACTTGCTTTCACTAACTGTAAGCGAGAGCTCGCAGCCTCACAAAGGGGAACCGACTATTATATTAAGCGATTTTTCCGGAGAACAGAGACGCTATCACGTGGAGGCCCGTGCACCTTTACCTTTACCTACCTTTACAGCTTTACGGCTCTCTTTACACACACACGCTTACAAAATAACGCCTACGGATCTCCCTATAAATCATCTACGCTGTTCTAGCTGTAAATCCTTCCGCGAGATTACTAATTATTCCCTCCGAGGCGATAGCTATCGATTATTAACGTGTCGCGTGTACCGGACCCGGAAACGCGAGTAGTACTATAAGAAAGCTAAAAGCGAGTTTATCTAAGGGAGACACGATCGATAAGTGCTTCAGAGGTAAAAGAAGGGGATTTACACACTAGAGGAGCGCGTGAAGTTAGAGGCGATATATAAAGAGCAGGAGAAAGAAGGCTAGTGTAATAGCACGGTTTAGCGTTAGCTAGCACGTGAGCGAAATAACCACGGATCAGGTGATAACCTCTCTATTAGCGCGAATATCAAGCTGAGGAGCCCTCGATTCCGTGGAGGGCGCTCGAGCCTATATAGACAAATTCCCCGGGCTATTCCCGATTAGGACTAATTACATTTGACGTAAAACTTGACGTAAACTCCTGTAGTAGCGTAGAGCTATTTCCCTTTGCGTATAACTAAGTGGGTAACTGTCGGTAAACCCCTTCAGAGTTAACCGAGCTCTACTGAGTCTTACCGAGCTTTGCCGAGCTCTAGACTCTTCCTAATCAGGTATAGTAAAGAAGTGGTTACCACTACCTTTACAGCTAGCGCTAATAAGAGCTCTCTGACGACGAGTATTAGTAGAATCGAGAGGAGAAGCAATAGGAAATCAAGCAAGACTATTTTATATAGCTTAAGATTATTAATATCTTTATAGACGAAATACCCTCTAATTTTAAGCTATAACACGTATAGTTGGAAATACCCTTAGAAATACAAATACCCCCGGGAAGGTTCGATAGCTAGCAAACCGCTAGAGAGCTTTAGGAATCATAATAACCTATCCGCGAGCCTACCCCTCAGCTTACCCCTAAGCCTACTCCTATTGAAACTTTTACAGACTCTGTTAATAAGTATAAAACATTTCCGAACAACGATACAGACCGCTATTACTTAAGTTACGCGCAGATTCGACCTCCTTCTACTTTCGGACGTTTCTTTACCTATAATATATACTAAAAACGTAAGGCTCCCTTAAATTAAGCTCGTAATACACGCCGGAGGGTTTAAGCAAAGGAATTAAGAGCTACACGACAGCTTTAAGAGGTAGAGCTTCAAGAGCTTTTACAGAGGTAGTCTGACTTTACAGGAGAATAAGAGCTACGTGAGAGGTATTAATTAGCTTAATATAGCTCTATTCGATTTCCGGAGGAGGTCTTACAGCGGCTATTAGAAGTAGTTAACTATATAGGTAATAATACTTAAAAAGCAAAAGCATACTTACAGGGTAGATCAGTGCGAGCCTACGAGCGACGATTCGACTAAAATTAATATTAAAAGAGTATTCATTTATTTACAGTAGGTTTCCCTTAGAAATACGATAATTCACTTATATATTTAACTAAAAAAAGCAAGAGCACAAGTGACAGGCTTAGAATAACATAAAGAGAACATCCCTTTACAGTAGGTTTCCCTTAGAAATACGATGATTTAGCTATATACTAGACCGTTACGAAGCGAGGTCCGAAGGCCCCGGAGCTTACGTAAGGTCGCCGGAGGGAAGACCTCGTAGATAGATAACTTCACATCACCCAGTGATATCAGATGCAGAAGATCAACTATACTATACTACCCATTTATTTAATTGAGGGGTAGCTACCTTAAGCAGCAACTAGATTTTAGCCTCTTGTTTTCCGTCCAGACCTTTTGCAAATGAGGTCGGTAGGGTATCTAGGTGCATAAAATACTTTATTAAGTTAGCGGCTTGGCGTACATCCCAAAATGTCGAGATAGCAGAACGGATTCGCGTTCGCGAAACTTCTCGTCTTGGTTTCCACAATCTAAGGCTCTGTATATACTGGATGAACCCATGCCATCTGCTTTCCACACATTCAAGCTCGTCCCAGCAATGGCGCCAACAGTCAATCGCCAGCCAACTCCCATCTTGCCACCGTCAACACCCTCAAGCAGCACTGCACGTCCTGGGAGCTCGCAAGCCCAACAGCCACCGAACAGCCAACAGCACGACACGCCCGCGTCGACGCCTACCTCAGAAGCTCGTATGAACCCTCCACCGATCCCTCGCCCACTTATGACGCCCGCCCGCGAAATGCGTGAAAGTTCTGTCGTTTCGTCTGCTGGCAGCAGCTCGCGCAAACCCCGACAAAATCTTGAAGAGCGCGACCACATTCTCATGTTGACCCATTGCTACGAGCAGCGGGGCAATTTCAAGGAGGGAACCAAAGCTCAATTTTGGACTGGCGTAAACACGGCGTTCCAACGAGATACTGGCAAAGTTCTGGCTCAAATGAGTGCTACAGTGGGAAGGCTAGTGGAGGCTAGGAGGAGGCAGATATCGGACTGGGAGGCTGGTGTTATACCGCAAAAGCCTGGAGGCGAGCTGAACGATAGACTGGATCAATGGATGGAATTTCTGAAAGTTGAAGATGGAGAGAACGAGGCCGAGAGAATGAGACAGGTGGACGCCAGGAGAAAGGTCGAAGAAGCAAGGAAGGAGGCCAGGAGACAAGCAATTGCCGCCGAGGCACTGGCAAGTGCTCAGAATACTCCAGAGCAGAGTGCATACCCCGGACCCCAACCGCCTCCTCCACAGTTAGCTCCAATGGGGCATCCTCCACAGAGCAAAACACCCCAGCAGCAGCATCCACCACCACCACCACACATCCAGCAAGCCCCACCACCTCCCCAATACCAGCAGCAGCAACAGCACTCATATTCCCATGAGAGTCAGGAGATGGTTGTGGCCAATGGAGAGCAAGAGATGAACGGGCACCGACCTCACAAACGGAAAAGGGGAAACGAGCGTGCTCTGACCCGCGAATTACAAGCACAACTCGAGCACCAGCAATGGGAAGCCCAGCAATACGCTCTAGCCCACCCACCTGAACCACCTCGGAGAGTCATAGTGGAGGGGGCTCTAACGAAGGATGACTGGAAAGACATCATGGGCAATGACGCACGCCTGCGAGCTCTCGAGAACAAAGTCGACAAGATAGAGTTGATTGTATCACAGAACAACAAATTGCTGTTGCAGCTCGTACAGAATCAGAATAAGGACAAAGATCGTAATTCGGAGGAGGAACGTGTGCCAGTCCATCTCGATGCTGAGTTTGAGCGGGATTACTTGTGAGCCAGAAACCCTCGACACCTGCACTTTCGAAGTACTGAACTTTCTTGAGGTCTGGACGATATGCGAAGACGCCATTACCTATCACTTGATCAGAGGTCAATTCGAATATGTGCATCGCCTACATCACCGTTGGGGGTCGAGAGTTGCACCCGAACATCGACGACTCTTGTGCGATATTTGCCAACGTGGGTAAACTACTTTGATTCCCAATTCTTGATCGACCTTCTGGCTTTTCTTGTAAATAAGGTACAGCCCCTCTCCTCACCAACCGCCTAGCTGGACAGACCAAGCTCATACTCCAAACCAGCACTTTCCAACGTCCTCAGCCACCAGAGAGGTTGGCCAATAATTTCATTCGGGTCAGCCAGCTAGCTTGTTCATATTCCCCTCTTCATATTCAATCAAATAGGATGGGAACTATCGAAGCGGGTGGCGTTTCAAGGCAAAAGCAGTTTCCTTGTACAATAATTACCACATGCTTGCTTAATATTTCGGAGGCGCAGGCTTTCTTTCTTATTTGTCACCGTGCCTCTGGGTTTCTGGCGTTGGGGAAAGTCTTATACCCGATCGATCAATTCTATCTATCAAGATTCATGATCGATATATCCAGTACCTAGCTAGTTAGCTAGCTACCAAACAAGTGGTTTTTCTTAAAGAGACAATTGTACAATCTCGTTTTGATATATGATCTCCAAAGCGTGAACGTGAAGTTGAGCTAGTAACAATCGATCGTGATAAAGCAAGGGATAGTGCTGATAATGGTCTCCCCTCTGCCTCTGACCTTTATCGCGGACGAGAATAACCATAGTTAGGTATGTCAAGGAAGGCAAGGAATAGGCAAGTACTGTTGTGACCCACCATCACATGGCAGCTTCAACCATCCAAGTTCCAAAGTCAATAATCAATAATCATCACATGACTTCTCTGATACGAATGACAACGGGTCGGCAATGGGTCGTTGCCCGTGAAATTTCCGGGGGACTGTGCAGTCCACCGAAGTAAGCCGCTATTGCCTGCATGCAAAAAATAGCAATCGTAAAACAAGTAAACCGAGACAAACCCTCTCCTTGTATAATGGCTTCCAAGACCCTCCAGATGCATTCATCTTCCATTACTTTATCGTAACAATTTTGTGCATACTCATCCTAAGGTTTAGTGACTTGTCACCGACCTACGGTCCACAGACAGATCACAACAAGCTTAATTAAGCGACAATACCCTATTGTAACAAAACAGAGAACCTCACCGAGGAGAATAACAATGTAGCATGAGCAAAATGTAAAGTTGTGTATGTAAAGGGGTATCATGAATTCTCTTCTCCTCTTCCTTTCATCTTCTGATCCTATTCCTCATCGATGTCCGCGTAATGATCCTTCCCAAATCACCAATGGCAGCCAGTCTCTATTCAGGCCAAATCAGCGCGGTGCTATTCGAGCGCACCGTCAAACGCATGCAGACTATACATAGACAACAACCTCGCACATCTCCCACTGCCATCCCACTTCCACTCTCGAAAGGTGGCGTTTCGATTTCCACACCAAAACAAAAGAAAAATTAGGTAGTGGAGATCCAGTCAGATTGTTCTTTCTGGACCGTATTCTATTTCGTTTCCTGACTTTTCGACCTCTCTTGTCATCTCTGCTGTGCTCTCTGACGGTGCTATGCTGGGGTATTCCTTCCTTCCATTTCAATCCTTGCACCAATTCGTCAAGCCTTCCCTTCCCAAAAATGAACACCCGTGAAAATGACTGCCAGAGAATTTAAAGTTCCTTCCCAGTCCAAGGAATTGTACCAATCTATTTGTGCTTTTTCTTTTGACGCTTCCTTGCCCGCTGAAAAGATGTGATGCAATGGGGGGTGTGTGTCCTTTCCTTTACCTATTCCTTTTCGCGCCCTTGCCGTCCCGCGCAAATGTGAATGTGCCCTTTTCGTAATGTAATGTTACTTTTGCCGCCAATTACCACCTGATCGTGGCGCGACGCAACCGGTACGAATGTACATCGAGAAATGAGAAAGGAAATGTGCTGATCTGTGCCGTGTCGTGTCAGGGAATGGGGATATCAAAGTCTAGCTATACCCCGTAAAATCCAGTACTGAATGGAGATAAAAAAGCGAATATGATCTATGCCTGATATTTGATATCAAAGAGTCAGATGCTCCCCAAAGGTCGGCCAAAGTTGGTACTTGGCTTGAGCTTCAGCCTGGGGCCTTCGTCTTTCTCTTCGTCCTCCTCGTCCTCTGCCTGAAGTGTCCTGGGAGGACTTCGAATTCGTCCAGTTTCGCTGGTTGGACTGGCCTCAGCGCTTGCTCTAGCTTTAGCTTCCACCTCAAGCTTGTTAACCAGTACCGAGAGAAACGGATCATCATTGGCTAGGTCATTCGTCAGACTGAGCGGGCCAGAAAGTCCCTTGTCTCCATTGTCCTCATCGTCGACTTCCTCTTCAGCTGGTCCATCATAATCAGGCGCAACCGAAGGCCTGTGGATACTTTCCGTTTCCTCGTGATGTTCTTGAGTTGGGGTCGCATTCCCGCTCTCGGCATCTCCACGTAGGAAAGAGAATTTGGAGACAGAGTGATTTGGTGTATGGCCAGCATGCATCGTCAATCTCCTGTTCTCTGGCTGACGGGCAACCTCCAACGTCACCCGGTCCTTCTCCTCCTGAGACGGACTTCTGACCCGAGTTGCGACGCCCCGACCAGGTGGCTTAATATCTGGCGACAGCTTCGATGGCGAGCGAGGACTCATGACGTTCTGAATGAAGGTTGGGGATACAGCAGACGCTTTGATAGAGACGCCTTCCAATTCGGGCTGAATATGCGATATGTCTATGCTTTCCGCGGGACTTTCGTTGATCGTGTTCAGGTCGTGACCACTGGGAGGAGACTGGATTCCGAAATCAGACGACTTGAGCTCCTTGCTGGTAACACGGATAGCACTCTCTCGTGCCGTTGTAATTGAGTCTACCCGCAACTCTTCTGCCTCGGATGGATCGAACGTTCGGCTTGGGTTTCTTGGTGCAGGTGCGTAAAAGGGGGTACCGTCCGCATTTCTTCCTTTCTCCTGCGGGATCGATCGTGCAGCGCTGTCGATGCTACCCGTCACAGAGACGGAATTTGATCCTGGACTGGCATGATTGATTGCAGCTTGGTGCCTGACAGGCGAGATAATCGGGCTGCTTGCTCTCTTCCCCAACTGCGCCTCCAGCTCTACAATCCGTGCCTTCAAGATATCTCGCTCCTTGTCCCACAGCGCTCTCTCCTCGGCCATGACCTCCTCCATCCTCGCTCGGTCTGCAGCCATGTGTGCTCTCTCGCCTTCGTTCTGACTCCTCAACTTCTGGGTATAAGTCCGCCAGTCTTCCACCAAGGCAGCTGTGCTGTCCTCTGCGCTGGCACTTCGGGTCTTCGGTGGTGAGATAGGCGGGTGCTGCGAAGGCGAATGTGATGACATGAAGGTGTTTGGTGTGCCGGCACTACTCGAGTGAGCAGAAGAGATGTAATCGGGGATACTGCGAGGGACCATCATGGGCGAGATAGTCGAGTCACTGCGTGGAAAGGTTCGACGCGGAGCATCGACGGCGCCGGAGGGAAGGAAGGAGTCCCACGGCTGCTTGGACATTTTGAGTTTGCTTTAGAGTCGAGTTGGGTGGAAGGCGCTGCAGTCTATCGAACGTCGATAGCTGTTGCAGTGCAGAGAGAGGGTCGGGTTGAGCGGGAGGAGCGAGGCTTTTGATGACGATTTCGTCGAGTCGCGTGCCGGGCCGAAGTAAATTCGGCTGTCAGCAAGGCAATCTGGGGTGGAGTCGAGGTGGGTTTAGTGCGCGACTTCGGGATCGTGAGGGTAGAATAGAGTAGTGTAGAGGAGCGTCGAGTAGATTGGAGTAGCGAAGCAGAGAGGACATGGAGATTGTTAATGTAGAATCATGGTCGGCTGGTTTGTTTTGTAAAGTGATGTGTTGTCGAGATGAGTTAGGACTGACAAACGACTACTCTAATAGGGCCGGTAAGGTACTCGTAGGTAAATTTACCTAGGTAGGTAGGCAGGTAGGAAACCTAAGGAAAGGGGAACGAGACAAGGATAGGGGATGGCCTTTTCCCTTCTCCGCCTGTCTGGGGGTTGTTCATCCACCATCCACCATCCACCTTGCACCCATCCACCTGCATCCATGTTCATCCAGAGGACGACGTCCACGGCACACAGCACCCACCTGCACCTACACCTGCACCTGCTCCTGCTCCCTGGTGGCAGATCTCACATTTCACATGTCCCGGGCCACATCCCGCGATAAGCCAGGGTCTGATAGGCCACTTTAGGCCACTTTAGGCCACTTTAGGCCACTTTAGGCCACCCAAGGCTGCAAGTGAGCCGATCCAATTGGGTGGAACGGCCCGAACAGCCAGGACTTACCCTGACTCCCTTTCTTGGCTGCACCCTCAGCTGGATCCGATGGCAATCAATAGGAATGCGAAGCGTGTTCTTAGTGCTGGCTTTGCGACATTCATCGTTTGTTCCAGATGAACCAATTCAGACCGCCAGACTTCCCCTTTGAAACCACCATCCCCCATAAGGCTTGAACAGCGCTGTCGAGGGCGATTAGGGGCCACAAAGGGCCCGACCCGGCGAATGGCGCTGCCCCTGAATGTGACGTGGTTGGATCCTTGCTTGCATCCGCAATCCGCTTGCCCTGCGAGCCTGCCTGCCTGCCTGCCTCGCCTGCTTGTGTTGTCCTGCACCCACAGATCTCGCTCTCTTCGGTGGAAGGGTCTCGAGAAGGTGTACCCCTGACCAAGACACGGAGGAGGTGTGGTTGGCAAGCCCTCGGTCAGTCACGCCTCAATCCACCAGTGCACCTATCAGTCTTAAATCTACTAAGATGGAGAAGGCACCTGCGGTCTCGATCGTGCCAACAGGTATCACATCTGCAGGAACTTCCGAATCAAGAAGCTATCATAGTTGAATACTGGTGGTACAGACACACCGTTGACAAGCAGTGAAATGTGGTCCCTTGAACAAGAACTGAAGCATTATTAACGTGGAGATTCGTGTCACTTACCCAGCATGTCCTGTGTAGGAGCAAACCCCACATCGAAGATTCAAAAGATGCACGCCTTGATCCAATGCATACGACAGCATCAAGCTGGATCTCAGGTGAGCTTCGAGAGTCATGCTGTTGTGTGGTCAGGTATCTTCGGGTGTTACAGCGTAGCATCAGCGCTCTACAGCACACATCCGGAAGCGGCACGACAACCTGCAAGAGAACCAAAGGCCACACGATGTACCTAAATATTGAGCTGGGATTGAGGAGTCACGCTGCAGTACGGTGAGAAAGAGTACCTAGGTATTTTGGTGCCACGGCTTGGCATGGCATATGCAAGTCCAAACCCCACATTATTATTCGAAGTCTAGAAGAAGCACATGTGAACACCTGACAGGGCAGTCTATCGAGCCAAGTCCAGAAAGGAGTCAAGCCAGAGTGCGGTGAGGCTTCAACATTCCCGGAGCACTTTCGCTCGAGCAGCCGAGCATAATAATTTATTGCAGCCCAGAAAAGCCACATCCACTTCCATTTTTGAAAGGATGGTTTTCACTCCCGTCACCTCCCGAAACTTGGGGTCACAAGCCTCCACGCTGGGAGCCGAGGTCAAGTCGGGTCAAAATCAGACGAGGTTCTGTTGAAAGAATCTCGGCTTCGAGGCGAAGACGCATTTCCTAGCAAGAGGCAGCCAGGCAGCGTTTATCTGCAACTACATCTGAGCTCTCCAGCCAATAAAGCTGTGGGCGCCATCCGACGAGCTGGATAGACGTGGCTCGCTAGAAAGGACTAACAACATCGCCTCGCAACGTCCCAGAGATTTCGTGCCACCACGCATCAGCACACCTCTTGACAACGAGAAGTTTGCATCATATACCCACAAAATGGCCTTCATAGCTTCAATCACAACTGTTCGTCTCAGTGGGTAGCATGCGGTACCTTGGAGCATGACCAACCAGTCAACACACTCCAACAGCGCCAAGTCAGTCACTGTGAGCAAACTTACCAGAGATCGCGCCAAGCAAAGATATTATGTTGAATTTAGAAGTGGAAGTATGTCGTTAGGTACAGACTGTACAGCGCCAACGTAGATCAAATGATTGCACAGCGAGCTCTGATTCATACCTGTGTCTTACGATAGACAGCGATGCCACGTCCTGTGCATTGTAGAGGGACAAAAGGGATGCCCGGCCTCAAAGAAAATTCTGAGCTCTACAATAAATGCTAAATAGCCAATCAAGCCGCTTCAACATTATATCCGTCAAGTGGAATATCAACGAACATACAATCACACACCACAACCATATCAACTCACCGATCACCACGCACCAACATAATAATCAAATAAAGCCCTCCAAGTCCACCAATACCGCACACACCGACACCTATTTAATTGTATGCTCACCATCCGTGCACTCTTCAACGCTATCGACGACATCGGCATCCTCATACTACTATCACCAATGTCTTTCCTCCAGGACATCGGGTTCCTCAACATCCTCGACGACATGGGTATCATCCTGATCATCCGTCCACTGGGTCACCTCCACCGCTTCGCTGAGATCATATTGCTGGCTGACAAGTGAGCGTGCAGAAACATTGGATCGTGCTTGGCCGAAGGGGTTCGATCGTTGGATTGCTAGGAGGGTCAGAGGGGAGGCATTATTTCGATGAGACCTGGGGTACGAGGGGTTTTTGGAGAGTGGTAGAGATCAGGCTGCAGTCCTGACTTGTTGATATAATGCTGCGACTGCGGAGGAGAGGCGATGATTTCGGGCTAGGCACCTGATATTCGTGATCGTCCGCGGCATGCGTCTTGTCCAGAGATGAAGTGAGAAGAGAAGCGGAAGGCTCCATGGATTCTGACAGTTGAACGTGGATCAGGAAACGAAATGATGATCAGATAATGAACAGCTTGAGCATGAGAAACGAGTAAAGGGCAAGGAGCTGTCAGCTGAATTTCAAGTGAACAATCCGCGGGGAAAAGAATTCCTCGGGGTGTTACTCACACACTCCTTCCAACTCCTTTGTACTATACCCACCGCTTAATCCTGGATATCGCTTCAAAGTAGATTTCTGAATATATACTGCTCTTCTCAGTCACGATCCTCTCGCTCCGAGCTTGTTTCTCCCCCCGAACTTCCATTTTGCTGTCGAAAACATACAGTATCGAACGAGCAGAAGATTTCCTAAAAAAAAATTGTGGTGGAAGCTCTTCTCCCTGATTTCTGTTGAATTGACCCAAATTGGGGCCCGGATTTCGTTTCCTACTTATTTCGGCCACAATTCAGGAAGAAAGCAGTTGCTTTGGAACAGATCCAGTCTCAATAATAGCCTAGTTATCCATTCCAAGCAATTGAAATCCAAAAGACCAGTTCAATATCAAACCAGGCAGCTAAAATGTTGCTATGTATTGACACGGTTCATATCACCCTGTTTTGCCTTCAGTCAAGTCCTGCTCAGACGACAGGGACGAAGGCGTGTTTAGTAGGCTGTCTAAGGCACGAAACCACTTCTTCATCATGAAATCGTTGGGGAATAGAATATCGACGGATTTCGACGAGTTGTTCTCCACCCAATCTATTTGGATCCTATCATTGCCTGTTTTGACGTCAGCCCAGGGTATCACTTCCATACTGTGTTTGCGCCCTACCCTGTTCAGGCAATTGCAGAGTCCTAGGTTTGTCTCTCATCGAGATCCATCCTTTTAGTTTCAACCTTACCGCTGTGTCCTGATACTTGCCTCTGCTCTCAGGCTTCTGACTAGACACAGGTTCATCTCGGGAGGTGGGAGAGATGTCCTCGACGCAGAAGAGTAAAAAGCGCTTGAAGAGATAGACTTTGTACTAGATGGTCAAACCGTCAGCAAAGGTTCTCCAACAATGCGCCTTCTCTCGAACGAGGGGTTTCTATTGTGTAAGAACCGAGCAATACTTGTCTTTTCAAAGCACCCCTAAGAACAGGGAACGTTCCAAATATTACGAGTTCTCCAAGACTGTCAAATCGGAGGTCTTTCCAGTCTTCTAGCCTAGCATATAAGTAATCTAAAGCCTCGTTGCGGAGGTCGAGATCGATAGCCGCATTGAATTTCTCAATCACTCGATCTATGGCCTCGATACCAGACGTGAGATCTGCTTGTGCCTCGTCGTTCGCCCCAGTCCGGTCACGAAGGTCCTACGAGTGTTAAAGAATGGAGTGTACCGATGGAAAGAATCTGTACTTTGAGCAAAAGTGGATACTTGACAAGTCTCGGTAGTGGCCACATGATAAACATCTCTAATGTGTTGATGTCGATGGCGAGTGGATGATCAATCTGCGAGATTTTGTCAAACTCTCGCCGAGCAGCGGCTTTTGCCTGTCGTTGATTGCCGATGTACGGTACGTAGACACCGAAAGCCTCTTCGGATGTTGCAAACAAAGAGCCCCATCTTTGTGTATCTTCGGGCTGCAGTAGACTCATCTCTTCAATTTTGAGGAGAAAGGTGTTGCAGAATTTAAGGACTGCGTCAAGGCTGAAGAAGATCTCTTGGACGACATCGCGCGAGAGTAAATCGTGCTGTTCAATGACATTTTTCAAGTCACAAAGTTGGGTAAGACCGTGGACGTAGCGTCGCTCCGTCTCCACCAATTCACGAATCACGAGATCGCGGTATTTCTTGCTAGCCAAAGCTTTATCAACAGGTATCGTGGCAGTTGAGTCAGGTTCGATGGACTGGCCGGAGCCATGATTGCTAGCTTCGTGGTGAAAATCCATTTTGCTGACCAGAAGTTCTGAGTATCGTCGGACCTGGACTAGTGGCTGTTCTAAACTTTGTTCGTGTATAGTGGTAATGGGATCGCGGAAAAGGTCGACATCTCCGAAAGGATCAGACTAGAGGAAGTGGATAATATATGAATTCTGACAGCTGAAATTGTGTATGGAAGGTGTTCATCAGAAGTTCAGGCCCAGAAAGTTAAGCCTTAATATAGATTCCTGTCGTACTCAAGTCGACTTTAGATGGAAGTTAATACACAGATCCAGGAGATTCAGCCGCAGACAGTTCTCTCAAGGTGGGCCTGTCAATAGAATGGATGAGGGTCTTTAGATGTAGATGAAACGAAAATTGAGTCGCAGCCTGCCTTGTCAAATACCCGTATTGCGCCACAATGTATACCCAGCCACACCCACATCCCATCCCCCTTTTCCTCATTGGCTACAGTGGGCAAGTACCTGTACACACAATATGTATATTAGAGTTGGTTGGCTGCTTCATCTGAGCACAGTGCGTGCCAAAGTTCAACAACAACGATCTATCTTGTATGTTATACCAGATACAGCTGTTCTGATTTTTACAACTCGGTAAACCGGCCTCACGTTTAAGCAGTCAACACTTCTATATTCGGGAGCTTGTTGAGGCGGAGTTCCATTTTGCTGATACCAAGGTGCTTGTACGCGAGTCCTCTCCATAATTTGTGCTCAGTCTTTCACTGCGAATCGTCCAGGTCGCTATAGAACTTACTCATAGCCTACGCTGTGAACAATTGTCCCTTTAACAGATTCCATCATCCTGGGCTTGAACACTTCTCACCTACTTAAGAACCGAATTGCGCATATCTAAACAGCCTCAAACTGCGAAAGCTGAGTCATAGACCTGTCTAAGACAGAGAAATACATTGTTTAGTCTAAGCATACCAGGTAACCTGAAAATAATTGTACCATGTGAAATCGCACAACTGACAGCCTCTTGATTCTCAGTACAGACCATAACCCTTCAATAATTCCGCCCGACCCGCCCAGGTTACACTGAAGAAATACTCTAATTCTAGCTTCTCGCCCTTCTTTATATCTCGAATACTGGTAAACTCTTTCTTTTCGGTTATTGGCCCCAAATCGCCATGATATTTGGAACATCAGAATGACTGAACATCGATCTTCTATGCAGTAAATAACGCCACCGTAAGGGGCATTTGGTCAAGCATTGGTGTTTACTCCATCTGTAAATAACCCAGGAGATGGTAAAGTAGGATGTCGATAAGAAGTGAGGCTCTCTTGTATCCCGGCCCCTGATTGTGCAGCAACATGACAGTCTCCATGAATTTCCGGGGCAGAGTCAGAAGAAGTAGCATGTTCGACTCTCCAGGAGGTAGCACGATGATTGGTATGTCTCGTAGCATGATATCACCGGCCATGATGTCTCGACTCCCAGTGATACGTCTTCCTTTCGGGGGGATGTTACGATTTCATGACAGCACCGACTGGTGTTCTCAAGAAGTTGGAAAGAAGATACAGATCTTTTATGAAATTATACCCTAGACAATAGACGCTTAGAATGTATTGCGATAAATGGATGGCAGAGTTGTTCGGACTCAGCTACTAAGCATGTGAGGTCAAAATTATCTGCACCTACAACTTCGACGAACACTGCGAAGATCAAGCTCTATATATTCTGAAAAATGATGTGTTCCATCCCTGCAACCAGATAAGTCAAGGAGTATTCTAGTCCGTATTTAAAAGGTTTTGGACGTTCAATGCAAGGCAGACGGGTGAAGGAGATGCTGCTTTTCATCAACCAGCTCGTACGGCTCAGGTTTCGAATCCCTGTTCATGGGACCTGAGCTTGTGATTATGGGTAGTTCAATTTTGAAAGCTCTTAAATGACTATTAAAGGGAACTCTGAAATGGATGGTAGAATGGAGGACGTAGGAGGCCAGAGCATACCTGCGCTAGCGGCCGCCTCGGTAGCCAGGATGCAGAACGACAACAACAACAATCAGTAAGTCAAAGGATAAGCGAAAAGACAAGTCTGCACTGAAAGCAATAAATAGATCTTTTCAAATAGCTCATCACCTAGTCAAGACTCTCAAAATCTCCTGTTGCCCTGCCTCAAAGAAATCCTAGCCCAACCAAATCCTGCTCGCAATCCACCTAGAAACCTCCTTAAGAAAAAAGTGCGTACGCAAAACTAAAACCGACTTCCTCCGAGTCTTGACCATCCACGAATCACTTCTACCAGGAGATGGTAAGTCTGTACGCCTCCTGCTCAACAGCACGGGCCATGACGGCGGCCTCATCCCGCTTCCAAGAGATGGTAAGCCTGTAAGCCTCCTGCTCAACTGAGCGCTCCTTGACTGAACTCTCATCGCGCTTCCAGGAGATCGTGAGCCTGTACGCCTCGGCATCAACTGCACGAACAGCGAGGGGCTTATTGATGCTGATGTCCTTGGATCCCTCAGGAAGAGTGCAGGTGATATCGCCTGCGGCATCGGTAACGCCTGTGAAAATTGGGATGTTAGCATTCTGTCGTTCAGAATGTTTGGAAGGAAATTTCGAAATCAAGAGAAATGATTGAACCGGTTACTACCAGGATGACTTACAAGCACCGGGAAAGTTGGAATCGAAGACTGGCGCAGTTGCGTACTCGCAGACGATAGCGCGGGATGAGGCGTCACCATTCACAAAGTGGCACTGCTCTGGAATGTCTGATCGTGCGGCGACTGCTATTGTGGAAGCTGTCAGTTGTGAGTTCAAGAAGAAAGAAAGAAGTGGGATAAGTATGACACATGCGAACGTACGGGTCAATGGAGCAGCGACTGCAAAGGAGGCCATGAATGGCAAGAAAGCAACAATGGTGGAAGTGGTGAATTGCATTTTGAAGTGTGGAAGGCGGTAGAAACTTCTAATGAGTTTTGTGTTGAGTGTTTAGAAAGGGTTGTTTGAGCTTGTAGAAGTGTTGTTCTGAGTAGTTTGAAGTGCTTGTTGATGATGAGGACTTGTAAGAGGGAGAGGTTGCCCCTTCTTATACATGAAATGCGTCTCCCCGTTCACCCTCCTCGGCGAATGATTTTCAGCTGAAGCGGACCAAAAATGTTGTCTTCTCTGACATTAGCACCCTACGACGATAGCATTCTCCAATTCATTATTGTAACAAGGATATCTCCCCGACGGGCATTCAAATTCCAGCAATGAGAGATCACAAGGTAAGCACGTAAATCAGAAAGATTTCTCAGCTTCTGTATGTGGCCCATCATGGAAGAGTATCTCACCGACGGCTATTTGGTATTCAGCTTTGAAGTCGGAAAGAGGCGTCTCCAACAAGGAGATCTCGTCTGCGTTGATGCAGTGGTCGTAAAGAGGCGTCTTCAACAGGGACATCTTATCTGCGGTGATGCATTTGTCGTAAAGGCCGAGTTTATCCATGCCTTGGGTAGGGTGCGGGGAGAACATTCTGCTGCAGTCACTCGGAGACTTCCTGCATACATTTATGAAGCGATTACACACTTTTGGATACAAGAAGGATAGAACGTGTTCACCGAGTAATTATTTCGGTGATGGTTCGAGAGCTTCACGGACTCGCCAGCGCTGGTGTTTGTTGATTAGCCGTGCTTGGCATCGCATCTGCAAGATCCTCAAGATAGATTAACTCAATGCAGTCATCACTTTCAATCCGGCCTCGTCCGTCTTGGCAAAATATTCTCCGGGGACACGAGCAGTACACCAGTAGTATCGTGCAGGCTTGTTTTGACCTTCCTAATTGAGCATCTTTCATTTCAGCCTTCGCTTGCTGTTCTGCGTAACATCGCATTCGTCGCTTCAATCTGCAGCCCGCTACATGTGAGAAATTGTTCATTGGACGTATGTGTGAGAAGCTTAGAATCGAGGTTTGAGTTCGAAGCTGAACATTCTTCATCATGTGGAAGTCACTATCCTTGCGAACAACACCACACCTGCTGCATCCCTGCGCGCGTCGCGTCAGCCTCTACCACGGCTACCGAATGCAGAATATATTGGCTAGGCGGACGAAATAATAGGCTGAACAGATGCATGTCATGGACTTAAGATTTTTGGACAACATGTTTAAAGTTCTTCAGCCTTTCGTCGGTCTCTCCGAGGGATTTAAAGGCACGGCAATTGGAATAGAAAGCATAAGCAGGAACGAGACAATTTCTTCATACGGAGGAAAGTTGAGACTTCTCGGAAACATAAGCAAGAGCAAAATCATTTCTTGTATTCAGACCAAAGCTGTGACTTTTCAGATTAACATTTGTTCATCCCGCTATCCACTCTTACTAAATTAATATGGCGCAGTGTCGAAGTCAGAGCAAAATCGACCAAGTCGCATGGGAAGCGACCTCCTACTCAGCAATTTCTACTTCTGACAGCGAAACCGATAGTGAATTGGAGCCCAAGACTTCGTCAAAAAGATCAGAAGTTCAGAGACTGCTTCCTTGGTTCCTGCATGTTGTGCTCATTCTTGCGTACACAGCAGTCTACATCCTATCAGTTCAGCATCGCACAAACGTTGATTCCCTTGGGATCCCGTATGTGCAGAAAGTGTTTGAAGTAAACCCTCACCTTAACAAATCTACCGCAAGGATATACACTGGGGAGCCAAGTAATGAGTTGGAGGCAGCATGGCACAAACTGATGCGATGTGAGCAATTCTGTCCGAGACAAGAACAATGACTGACAAACAATAAAGATGCGAACATACGGGTTCCCGAAGAAGAGATTATACGTCTTGATCGAATGGAAAATTCTGTCCGGTTCACAGATGGGTCAGGTTACTTCGGACAGATGACCGTTTTCCATCATCTACACTGCATTGTTTGACAACACAAACCCCCGTTGCTCTCCTCAAAACTGACTAAGCTGCAGAAACGAATTCACAAATTCCTGAATGTTGAACATTACTGGCCAAACGCAACAGCCGAGGAACTGTTCCTTCTCCGCGCGCACAACTGTGGGTCCTAGCTTCATTTCTGTCCCTGGGTGTTCGTACTGACCTAGAAAGTTCACTGCTTGGATACCCTTCGACAAGCTATCATGTGCCATGGCGATACTTCGCTTATAACTTTCAAATGGGGCACAAAGCAGCCAGTCCCTTCGGCGAACTGGTCCACTCCACACACCTGTCGCTCATGGGAGGCCCTGGAAGAATGGAATAAAGAGAGATATGTAAACGTGTTCCAACCTGGACTCGTTGTTCATCCTAAATTTGGTAAGAACCTTCATGATCCAAATATATTTGGAGAGCATGCCTAATATTGATAGGACCGGCTTATGGGGCCCCTTCGGAGCGTGAAGGCACAGGAACTGTGATAGAATAAAGCCGTAGGATGTAAAGCGTTCATCAAATAGCCTTCCAAGTTGATCAGTTTCATGTGCTGCTGCTACATTACCTGTCAATGGAAGTGAAGAGGACAATTGCCATCATCCTCACTAGGTCGCCGGGACTAACATAATTTTCAGCAGTTGGAAGCTCACCTCAGAGGCAACGAGCTTCATGCGACAAGCTTAATCCTCGACAAAAAGAATGGTCAATCTAGATTTTGATGTAATAAGTCATCACCTTTTACTTTCTGTGCTGAGGCTGCTTTTCTCGATGTGATCTTGGCATCAGTGAACTCCTGATTGATAAATTTGCATATGAACGGAGAAAGATACAAGACCTGCACATACGACCATAGACTGAAGAGAAAAGGGCATCCCGTCCGCTCTGCCAAACTCAAGCTTCAGATCGGTGGATTAGTAGTTGGGTGGGTGACCACCAGCGAATACCCACTGTTGTATGTTTTTACCTTTTTTTGGTGGGGGCTGACGAGGCGGATTCTGGATTTGGACAAGCAAGACCGTATGGGTGTAGTGCATCATATAAGGTATCCTTGGGGGCATAAAGCCAGGCATCGCGGTGATCTGTTGTGAGGATACTTACCCTTGAGAGGATCGAAGAGATGTTACTTCTCCAGACACTGTGGCATTTTGACTCGCTTGCATCCTTCGAATCAAAGAAAGCTGGCAACTCAAGAAAGAGGATCTACCGAGTCCATTTACTGCCGCCAAGTAGATCGTGAAAGCTTGAACGCACATACAACCTAGTCAAGAGGCCCAAGGGAAGGACGAATTCTTCAGTGTGACTAAATGATCTTACTCAACTCGACAACGAGCGATGCCTGCCAATCACGAACGGCACGTACGGGAGGTGTTCGTGTCCAGAATGCCCACCCAAACATGCATTCCATTTCCTCATTTAAGGTCATCAGTCCTGGATACGGCGATGGCGAACAGATATTTCGTAGAAGTTACAAGCGTTATTCATGATACGCTATAGCGGATATAGTAACTCTCACCGGAAATTGTCTGTATTTACGGGATTTCAGTTCTCGAGACACAGGCGAGGTTCTAAATGTGTCCGCATTGTGCCAAACCTATACATAAGCATCGAGAACTACACATAACGACGTCCTAGTGTGCGAATCCTGCTATGGGAATAGAATGACCTCGATTCGGAGCCTGGGGCACATGAAGTAGCGGAAGACTGACCCAGATTTGAATATGGGGGTGGTCTGAGGAGAAAAGCCTTTCTAGCACAGTGGCACAAGATGCAGGACGGCAGAACCGCGACTTGGCCAATTGAGCCTACGGACAAGTTCCTCTTTAACTAACCTTGACCTCAGGAGACTCATCTAATTCAGTGGTGACGGGCAGTGGACGGCGCTCGTGCTCGGAGCGGACGAACGTGAAGTGGCGTGAGAGGACTCATGGCGTTTTCTGGTGAGCCGTCGCCGGACTGAAGCCAATCGGGCCAACCTGCTGATCTTCAGGGGGTGCGGATGCGCCGTCAGGCCGTCAACTATGTGGAGAGGTAACAATAACCGGGTAAGACATCCAGGGAGTAGGGGTCCTTGGAAACTGCATGGCACCACCCGCGACTTCATCTTCATGTCATGATATTAGGTAGGTACAGGTGGCCACGTGCTCTCTTGAGCAGTTTGGAGCAATGACACATTATCGACGCAGAACAATACCCTGTCTCATATACGGCAATTCGGAGAGGTCCAGTGAATGCCACTGAGACCATCAACTTGGCTTTCTGTAAATCGAACGTCCCCTGTTACCAACACCGCGGGGCGATCTGCTCACACTTTCCTCCCAGCCCGTTTCTGAACCCGGAGAAAGACCTCAGGCTGCATGTGATGTACGCAGTAAAGGTACGATGCACGAAGGCACCACCTCAGTTCTCCCAGACAACCGAGCTCCGAAATCAAACTTTCTCGCTCGGAACCTTGCCGAATGACTACAGTGAGGCAACCTAGGGCTTCGTAGAGCAGAGTCCAGTGGTAATTGTCATGACCTGAAGCATGCATCTCATGTTCAGCCACATACCATCAGATGCATGCAACATGAAACAGATGCGATTTTTCAGCCGCGTTGCTCTCAGAACCATCATTTGCCTGCTCAGAATTCCCCAGAGCTTTTGCACTTTGACCTTCTCAGCGTTGTTTGCTTGAGTCGTTTCCGTCCCCCATTCGAAGAAAATCAAAAGTTGATCTCACAATCGCGACCCACACAACTGGATTTTCAGATGCAGATGCCAAACCATGACACATATGAAGACGAGAGATTCATCAAAGCACTCAGAGTCTTCAGCTGCAAGTTTGTGTTCTCGCCAATCTCACAATTACGCCACCGTGGTACTTGGCGAAAGCTTGACGAGTGCATGATATCACGAACTCGTTAAAGGAACCTCATTTGCCCAATTGGATATGCGCGGCATCGGAGCAGGCGCCGCTGCAAGCCAAAAATCACGCGTCAGCAGAGACTTTTCTATTTGGGAGTTCCAGACTGGCGGGTGCGTTTGTTTGCATTAGACAAAGCTTATCGTTACCAAGAGATGCCAATGAAAGCTTAGCATTTCATCTCGACGTTTCTCGGGACCTGTGGCGTTGGCTTGTGCGAGCTATATGTAGAAATATCTTGCAGTGTCCACCTTCACAGTCGTGATATCAGGACTGTGTGATATCAGCACTGGGAGGCGCAAGTGTTTGTTCCAGCCCTTGGCAGAGAATTTCTCTTGTCGGAGTGTCTTCCGTATGTTCGAAGAGTCTTGTGCCCATGCTATCTACCACACGTCCATTCGAAGGCCACCAAGTCGTCACATCATGGATGTCTTCAATATTGAAGGTTTTGGCTTGCATTGTGGCTGTCAGCATCTTTTGGGAAGCATTCATGAGGAGTAGGGCTGCTGGATATTTAATGGAAAGGTTCCTCTCCCCAAGATAGATCTAGAGCATTCGTCTTCAGTAAGTCTCTATATCGACGTGACGACAACGATCTTTCCGTTTCGGAAGTCCTAGAACTGTTTGTCATCATGTTGACCCCAAAGCCGCTTCTTGTCAGCTTGGCATCATCATTGCTAGTTGGTCTGACCTCAGCAGCAGGAGTTGGGCCCAGTCCGGCGTACAAACACCTCTACGAATTTCCATTACCTGTGCCGCCAGTCGCAACCCCACTTACGTGAGTTGACTTCCTCATTGTTCTTTGTTAATCGGAGATTGATGTAGTCATCAGGACCTATACCAAACCAAACGGCGCAAAGATCGACTATTATGAAATCCGCATCAAGGGTTTCACCCAACAGGTGTATCCAGAGCTTCCACCAACCAAACTGGTAGGGTACAATGGAATTTCTCCAGGTCCCACATTCCATATGACTTTTGGTACCGAGGCAGTGGTACGTTTCATCAATGAAGGAAACGACAAGCCAACCGTCACTCACCTGCACGGCTCCATCAGTAAGTCAAGACTTGCTGACCCCCATTCCAAAGCCTCTCTGACATCAAAACGCAGCACACCCACCGTGGGACGGCTGGGCAGAAGACACCATTCCTGTCGGATACTATAAAGATTACTACTACCCAAATGCCCAACGAGCTCGAACTCTCTGGTACCACGACCATGCAATCGATCATACGGCGGAGAACGCATACTTCGGCCAAGCAGGATTTTACCTCCTTACTGACAACGATGAGAAAGCGTCGGGACTCCCACAAGGAAAATATGACATCCCGATGGCACTCTCGTCGAAACAGTACGGCAAGGATGGTCAGCTTGTGTCCCCCGCCACGCAACCAGGTGTCAGCTTGTTTGGAGATATCATCCATGTGTAAGTTTCGCTAAATGTCCATGACAGCTTTTTGACTTACGAGCCACTAGTAACGGGCAACCGTGGCCATACCTCAATGTTGAACCCAGGAAGTACAGATTCCGCATGGTAGACGTGTCTATCAGTCGCGCATTCCGCTTGTACTTTGTCACTGATCTTGGGATCCTTGAGGATGATACGGCACACCACATTCCATTCTACGTTGTCGGGTCCGACAGTGGCCGAACATCCAAGCCTGTTCAGACTCCCGATCGTAAGTATTCTCCGAGTTCTTTGTTATCATTACATGTTGCCTCGAGATGATTCCGATTGGATACTCATATAGAGCAATCTTCTCGCCTCTTGGCAACACATTTTCTGCTTAGGAAAGCAATACTGACTTTGAGCTTCCCTGTAGTCTGGATCTCTATGGCCGAGCGCTGGGAAATCGTTGTAGATTTTGCGCCGTATGCTGGGAAGTCGATTTACATGAAGAATTTCTACACCGTGCAGGCCGATACTCCGTACAACAACACCAATCAGGTCATGAAGTTCAATGTCGGAAGCTCCGCCCCAGATACTTCCAACAACGGGGCGATGCCCCCTTCATTTGCTCCACTTCCCCTTCCACCTTCCAAGGACTTGTCCAAGCCGGACCATATCTTCAACTTTGAGTCAAAGTGAGTTTTGAGTTCTCCCTCAAGTGCTTTGGGATTGAAACTGACCCGGGAAAGAAACGGCGCCTGGAAGATCAACGGTGTTACGTTTGACGATGTGAACAACCGGGTCATCGCCAAGCCACCACGTGGATCCGTTGAACTTTGGAAGCTGGTTAACAATGGCGGAGGATGGTCTCATCCAATCCACGTTCATCTCGTCGATTTCCAAGTTGTGTCAAGACAGAAGGGCTCTCGTGGAGTTCAGCCATATGAAGCTGCAGCCATGCAAGATGTTGTGCTTCTGGGCCAAAATGAAGAAGTCTATGTACTCGCCCGCTATACTCCTTGGGAAGGCCTTTATGTAAGTCTCCCCTTCTTTCACAGGTATTTATAACAGAACTGATGATGCAAAGATGTTCCACTGCCACAATCTTGTCCATGAAGACCACGCGATGATGGCAGCATTCAACGTCTCCTCCCTCCCAGACTTCAACTATCCCGACAACACCGCACGATTCATCAACCCAATGGATCCCCGCTTCATCTCAAAGAAGTACGATGCTTCAGTTCAGACTTTGGATAATGCTATGAACGTCGTCCTGCCCAGTTTCGGAAATCTCAAAGCATATGATAACCATGAAGGTGCTGAGGACGCACTAGTTTCGTATTACAAGACTGCTACCAGTACGATTTCCGACACAGCGCCGACGCAGTCCGAGTTCAACGGGAAGGTGAGGCGCGAGGCATATGCTACTGCTGTACCGTTCACTGCATAAGTTGGGTACGAGACTGGGATTCTCTTTTGTGGAATAATGGCTAGCCTGGCGTCGGTGCATGTTCTTTGGGTAATGATTATGAATCTAATTTGTAGCTTATAATTTACTCGCCTCATTTATAAACCTTCTCAAGCCAGATTTGTCTGTGAAACTGCGGCGCTCCTCGCTTGAACGTATGCTAGAAGAGGCTTGTCGACAATCAACCTCTCCATTCAAATGAAGAGCGTCTGGGGCCCTGTGATCCAATTAGGTGATTCGAAAGTCGACGGCGTCGTACACCAGCGTAAAAGAAATCGTATTTCGATCATGTTACCAGTGTTTTTGGATACCATGCCTTGTTGGCCCGCCTAGAGACGCAAGTAGAGTCCTTGCGGAGCAGGCGTAAACATCTGATGCGAGAATAGAATCGGGGAGAAGATCAGATCTACATATCATGCTCGAGGAGTCATTAGCAAACCTCTTATGGCCGATTCAACTTCTCCCTGCTTCTGAGTCAAGCGATTGCGAAGGAGGTCTTCATCCCCAGTCAAGGTCGAGCGAAGAACATAGGAACGACTGAGGCACCCCGTCAATATCGAAGCATACAACGCACCTTCCTCGCGAAAGGTCGACGCTTGTGGTCATCTCCGAGCATCTCACAGAGGCATCCGTTATCTGTTCCTTGCCTGGATTAATCTTATGCGACGCCGCGAAGGCACTTCGCGGTGCCTGCGACAGGCTCCTTGGTTCGAAGCCGTGCTCTCTCCCTCATCCCATGTCCTACATCACCCCTTTCGATTTGCGCAGGTAAATTTACAAGCCCTTCTACTCTACCGGGCCTCTGGACCTTGCTCTTGAGAATACTCACAACATCTACTCCAGCTGCAGCCAGATCCACAATCCGCCTGTTTTAACGTCACCCAGTATCAGTTTGTGCGGACTAGACCTGTCGCTACACCTTTTCTTTACTACGACCTCGGCGGGCCGGGCCTAGCACTGGAATGTCCACAAATGGCACCGCGCACAATCACCAACAACCGAATTGAATTCAGACGTATGAATGACGTTGGGGGAACAACATTACCAGGTCTCCGATGAGAGGTCAGACTGCCTCCCCACCCAGAGCGCCCAAGCCAGACTGTCGGTCAGCACTCTTGGAACATTGCCTATAAAGTCCTTACTTCTTCAAGATTTCGCACATCTTCGTCTTCTTCGGGACAACCACAGCAACGCTGTTTGAAATCAAGTGGTCGCGGGCCTCCTTCACGCTTTCCTACCATGCAGGCAGCCATGGTACCCCGTTCGTCAACCATCTCCTCACCTCACACCAAAGACGAGCCTACAGACGATGGACCCCCTATACTACAGAGAGATGTCCAGGAACCATACTCAAGCCTTTATTCATCGCCGGATTCACGGCCTGTGGATTTGCAATCTCCCATACTGGAGGAAGCAGAGGAAGGCGACATGAACAATGACGCGGCGAGTACGCCCACCAAGCCCATGGGCAACCACGAGCCGCAGAAATATGTGCTCCAGCTCGAGCCTCATAACTCAATTGCACACGACGCCATTCAAAGCTCTTCATCGACACCAGCCACTCCTACACCAACTAGAGCAGCGACCCCACCACCATTACCAACAGAGAAGGACAAGTTATCAACCGCCTCCCCTAGAACTCCACTCCAGAGGAGAGCCACTGCACAAGATAAGCCATCCGTCAAACGAGGACTCTCAGGACTATTCAAGCGGACCGTTTCGCAGTCTGCGAATGGCCCTTTCGAGAAACATGCCAAGACTGCTGCGACTCCTCTGTTCCCAGGAGCCGGCTTGCCTGATGACAACGGATCAAATGTCGTACCGCCCAAAGAGCATCGTGTCATGCCAGTTCGAAGAATGTCAGGTACCAGATCAGCCCACACGACGAGACCTAATTCACCGCCCTCCCCTACGTCGCCAGCGATTAGAGGGGAGAAGGCGCCGCCCAATGCCACGGGAGACTCGCCTTCCAAGATCGCTTTTGCGAGTACCAGAAAGAAAAATCGGTCATTAAGTGGTCTTGGACTTCGAGAAATTCTCACCAGACACAAAATCACATTTGCTCCACAGGAACTTGAGCCAGAGCCCGAACGGCGGAATCGTGCTACAAGTGTGGATTTTGAAAGCTCCTCGCAAGAGGGGACCCAACAAAATGATCCGCAGGTGCAACTTCCTTCGAGACAGGTCTGGGGACTGGCAGCCGACACAGGTACAGGGCTGAAGTCACGGCGTTTGAGTATGAGCCTCCCTGACGCCTTCATGGTCAACGAAGTCGAGCTGTACTCGGAATTTTGCGATCAGAGCAAGATCATTGGGCGACGAGGAAAGACAGCGGGAAAGGGGGCCACGGCCCATGTCAAGCTTATGTATCGAAAGGGAGGTGGCCCCCATGAGACATATGCTGTGAAGGAGTTCCGAGGGAAATCGACAAAAGAGAAGAGCGAGGATTATGAACAGAAGGTCAAGTCGGAATACTCCATTGCGAGGAGTGCCCATCATCCAAATATCGTGGAGACAATCCGTTTGTGTACCCACAATGGACGATGGAATCATGTAATGGAGTTCTGCGACCAAGGAGATCTCTTCAGTCTCGTCAGCCAAAAGTATCTATCCAGAAAAGGTCGCCTTACCGACCGACTTTGTCTGTTCAAGCAGCTCATCCAGGGTCTCAATTACCTTCACACCCATGGCATTGCTCATCGTGACATCAAGTTGGAGAACCTGCTCCTCACGAAAGACAGCAAACTTAAGATTACGGACTTCGGAGTTTCTGAGGTCTTTGCCGGTATCCATCCTGGGCTACGAGCTTCGGGTGGGCAATGCGGGAAGGACATGGGCGAAATCAGACTCTGTCCTCCGGGAATCTGTGGTAGTCCACCATACGTCGCTCCAGAGGTCATTGCCAAGACAGGTAAGTAGGGAAGTCTACAGACCGCCACGTACTGACTTCTGGTTCAGAGGAGTACGATCCTCGGCCACTAGATGTCTGGGGTGCGGCTATTGTGATGATCTGTATGACGGCTAATGGCGTACTGTGGAACGAGGCCAGATCGGGAAGTTCTCCCCTGTATGATGAATTGCTCCGAGGATGGGCGAAATGGAACTCCAAGCATACGGTCGAGGGTGTTGGGACAACAGAAACCGACTACCCATTTGTGCCATTCTTTGACCGACACATTGACCCACCAGCGCTACGACGCGTTCTTCTCTCGATGTTGAATCCGGAACCATCAAAGCGAGCCTCAATATCGACTGTCGCCAAGAACAGATGGATCAAGAATCTCGAGTGCTGTCAGATCGATAGCTATGATGACCCGAAGACAAGTATCGACGCCTCTCGAGCTCGCTGCGGCGGCGGCACCAAGGATAAGACTGTGGTCCCTCATCACAATCATCTTCCTCCCACCAGTCATCTTGGGCATAAATTGGTTCGACTTCCTGGTAGCACAGAGATGTGATGCGTTCAACATTTCTTCTGGACTGCGATGACCGACTTCAGCGGGCGACGAGGATGGCGGTGATGCAGGTACAGTTGTCTTGCTGGGACAGCGGATTGAATTGGCGTTGGAGATCTCGTGAAGGAGAACATGGTGAGCCTTTGAATTATCAGAATACCCTGGTGGTATAAATTAAGTCCAGAATTGAGACTTGTGGATGGAAGGTGATAGACCAGGGTGATCCTGAAGAGTTTCATAGCAGTCGCAAGGAGCCAGGGAGTGTAAATTGGAAAAGACATGTATACTTAGCCCTTCTTGAAAACTGCATAAGATCCAGATGGTACTTGTGTGAGTTCAGGATTAGTGTTGTCTTTGAAGGCGTCAAGAGTCACTGAGAGCCATAGAATGAGACAGACCGCTTCAGACGGGAAGCTCCGGAAATCTGTGCCCCTTGGACTTCCTAGGTAATCAGCTTCAGCCATGCTTAAAGCTTCTGGATGAGCAACATCTACGATGAGAATACCAAGACCGGTGCACGTACACTCAACATTGTTGGTCGCTTTGTGCTCATCCTTAGCCAATACAGCAGCAAGCCACTCTCTATTGTCATGCCACATCATGTCAACCATTCCGAACTGCCCGCGCTCAGCCCACTGGCGTCCAAGTACAGAACATCATCAACCGCATATCAATCAAATACATATCGAGCACAAATAAACACACGAAGCAGGACTTGACAAAATCGTGGCAGCACAAAATCCAATACAAGACACGCCTTGCGGTACTAGAAGAAATGCAGCATGGAAGTGGCGAGTAGATAGAGGAAAGGACACCAATCAGGGAGCGCGGTGAAGTCAATTCAGAGATGTGAGGCCGGGGAAAGCTTGCTCGGCGGACTCAGCCTCGGCTGGGATCAACTTGACTCAGCGAGCTCAGGAACTGTGGTAAAGACCCCTGGAGGGATCCATGTACCTGGGGTGTGACTTGGACAGGCCTTCTTTGCGAATCAGTTGTCAAAGGGAAGGGGAGGCGAGACTGGCTGAGGTGGAAGGGGCAAGTTTTTTTTTTTTTTTTTTTTTTGGGAGGGGTGCACAAGAAGAACAAACAAATGGATTTGGTTTGTAAGTAAAAGGGACACGTTTGTATCGATTTAGAAGCACCTCTTGCTGCCTCCTAAGATGAAAATGTTTTTAAAAATTAATATATCAGATTCGGACGTGCTGCCCTGGATTGGGAAATTATAGGCTGATTAAGGTAAGATTAGGATCACGGTGCATCGGAAATCGGAATCTGTGCAGCGCATCGCATCGAATTTCGTCGGCCAACATCGAAAAGATAGAGGCGAAGGCGAAGGCGGGGACGCGGACGCGGAAGCGGTGCTGTGAAACGCATAGGATAGCGAGGATAGCAGGGCAGGACAGGGGAGTGACAGTGAATTGAGCACTTGCTGACCAGGTATTGCTCGAAAAGCCAGCACAGCAGAGCACGGCTGCATGGTATAGCCATAGGTACCTACGGAGTACAGCATAGCAAAGCAAGTACGGCAATCCGCCTCCAGACAGAACAGGAGAAGACCTCCGGGAACTCCACTTCTCGCTCTTCCTCTCCCTCTTCTTGTTCTCAAGTCCGAACATCCTCTATCTCTGCCATTGCTCTCTTCTTCTCGTCGCATCCAGGTCTTCGGCACGGCGTCGTTTCAACCGACCCAGCTGGCCACTTTCGTAGGCTACACTACCGTGCCTGCGCTGGTGAACGGCGAGGAACAGGCCGTCGACTTCGACTCCAATGGCAATAGGGGATCTCAAGACAAGGTTGCGCGCAAAGTTCACCCGAAGACATTCCACCGCATCGACATTCTCGCAGTCCTCCGCTGACGGCGAGGCCCAAGGTACAGCGACAGCTCACAGTCCCTCATCGACGCCAGGAGAACACGGCCGCAAGGCCAGATCGGTCAGGTCGCGCGCGAGTCATAAGCCGCCATCAACATTCGGAGCTGCAACAATCGACGAGAAGGATGTGCTGGCAGGAGGTGAGGTTGAAGCTGGAGGTGGATCAGGGACGACGGGACTTGTAAATAGTGAGGCTGCTGGCCCCAAGATCGTTAGTCGGGACGCCGGGCAAATCCTACCAAAGCTACCACCAGACCACCACGGGAGTAGCGATCGACGCGAAACACCTGCAACCTCGACTACGCTACTGTCAACATCGAACCTTCCACCCCTCGCTCTCGAAGCTGCCTCGCCGCTCGACGACCCCAAACACGACAGCTCCTCAACAGCAGACTTCCCCACCCCGAATACCGATATCCAACCTGTGCTGGAAGAGGACGAGGACGATGGGAATATCAGCCCCGGAGCTAATGGCAACCAAGAGATAACTGTGACCAGCCCTGGCAGTACCACGACCAACGCTGCGAGCAGCCAGAGACCTTCCGAGCTTTCCAGACGCCAGAGTCTACTGCCACATCAGCAGACGAGATTGATCAAGACACTCCTCGAGACTGAACTGCCAGCGCAATCGAGAGCTGCGAACCTCGACTATTTTACTGCCAACGGTCCTTCGACAATCAGCGCCAACATGGTGAGCAGGAAGATGTGGGTCAAGCGCCCGGCTGCGTCGGCGACACTGGTCACGATTCATGAGGACGACTTGGTGGATGATGTACGGGAGATGATCCTGAAGAAATACGCCAATTCGCTGGGGAGGAATTTCGATGCGCCAGATGTCACGTTGAGGATTGTACCTAGGGAACAACGGCAGGAGAGGACGTTGGGACCAGAGGAGCCAATGGGGAGGACACTAGATGCATACTTTCCGGGTGGACAGACTGTGGAAGAGGCTTTGCTTATCGATGTGCCAGTGAGGAGGACTCCAAAGCCAAGTCCCCAACCCCATCGGATATATTACGATGAGATCCGACCTACAGAAGCGGGTTCGGATTACTTTCCTCCTATGCCACCCGCTATTCCTTCACCACATCTTCCGCACAGTGTTCCGGTTGGGGTTAACGGTCAAAATGGGCACCATCCTCTGACAGCACATTCCATGTCAGTCCTCACGACCGGACATGTTCCAGCACTTCCCTCGCCTGGTGGTTCCTCAAGGAGGCACCATAGCAATAGACCTCGGATAGGTCGTCAACACACATCATCCCCTACTGTTATCGGCGGTCTGTCACAGCAGCCTGCGGTAAATAACGGTACGCACGCTTTACTTCGGGGTTCACGTTCAAGAGCTCACTCAAGTGCATCAGAAAAATCCAATGCACCTCCCGTTGCACCTCCCCTCCCCACTCCACCTGCACCACAACCCAATGATCTTGCTTCTCAAATCCAACGCGTTGCCACTCCTCCCCCTCGCGTCTCTTCTCCTCGTCCCCAAAGCAATCACCCTAAGAGGTCTAAAAAGGCAAAGGTCGAACACCCGTCCCTCCCAGCGGGCATGCTGAACGGAGGCGTTCCCCCAATTAATGTCCTCATTGTCGAAGATAACATCATCAACTTAAAGCTTCTAGAAGCATTCATGAAGCGATTGAAAGTCCGTTGGCAAACAGCCATGAATGGACGTGAAGCTGTAAACAAATGGCGAGCTGGAGGGTTCCATTTGGTGCTGATGGATATCCAGTTGCCAATTATGAGCGGATTGGAAGCCACGAAGGAGATCAGACGGCTTGAGAGGCTGAACTCGATAGGAGTGTTCAGCAGTAGTGCAAGCTCTTCTGCGCCGGAAACTTCGGCGGATGAGCCCGAGGGGGAGGACAAACTTCCGAGTACGGTACTGTTCAAGAGTCCAGTCATTATTGTGGCTCTTACGGCGTCGTCCTTGCAGTCGGATCGTCATGAGGCTTTGGCGGCTGGGTGTAATGATTTCTTGACAAAGGTATGTGTATCCGTTCTGCGTCCCAGGACTATCTCCACCTCTTCTACTTCCTACTATCGACGTCCATTTCTAGCAAACATGCTAACCCCCTCACCAGCCCGTCAACTTCGTCTGGCTCGAACGCAAAGTCATGGAATGGGGCTGCATGCAAGCACTGATCGACTTTGACGGCTGGCGCAAGTGGAAAGATTTCTCGCAGCAAGCCGACACGGAAGACAAGGGCGGAGCCAAGAGCGCCAAGCTCTCAGCTGCGAATAAGAAGAAAAAGAACAGGAGTAGTTTGGGGGCTAATCCGGGAGGAAGTACGAGTCGACTGGCGATCCAGGAGGAGGTTACCGAGAGTGAAGAGGGGAAGTAGGGGCGGGAAAGGATTGGGGGCGGGGTGGTGGTGGAATAATGGGAGGAATGGGAAGGCCGATTGGAGATGGGAGAGCCATGACCGACTGAGTGATACCTACTGCATCATGTTACGATACATTGTAATTATTTTGTTCTGAGTTTTTCATTTTCTTTTGTCTGGCTGTGGCGGTTTAGCGAGCATGTTTACTTTTTCCGTACATCCAGGTATTTGACATGATGCGGAATGATCATGCGTACATACATACATACAAGCATGCATAAATATATGAAGAATGCAAACCTTCTTGTTCTTCCCCTTGCTCACAATCCTTTGTTGGAACAGATGATTTGATCTTTCACATCTTGGAGCTTGCTTCGGTTGGAGACTCGTATATTAGCAGAGAGGACTTGCTTGTTTGCTTGCTTGCTTGCTAGGAAGCCCAAGTACAGGATCGAGAGGCTGGAGGCTGGCAAGTGTTGTTTGCTGTGATCCTTATCTGACTTCCTGGATTTGGAAAAGATATGGGAAGGGGAAGCAAGAAAGATGGAGGACGTTCAGGAATGAAGCCTAGAGTGGCGTGAAATAACGGATGCTGTCGATGAGTAAAGGTAGGTGTGAAGAGTCCGACTGTGCTGTAGGCGACGTTGGAAGTTTGTGAGGTTGTGTAATTCTTCTGCTTGCATCTGGGTTACGATGGTAACCAGAGCGCTGCAGGGAGTGGCCGTCCAGTAGTCATCGGACGACTGAAACTCGGTGTGTATGAACCACCTCTTGCAATAAAAGAAACACCAGCTTGCGTCTCCTGTGCGGAGAGGCTGACGTGCGATGACAGCCCCCCCTCCAGTACGGGCAACGTCATCGAAATCTTGACCTTTGCTGGTGCTTTATTCATGAGCATACAAATATACGTCAACTCATTGAGGAATACAACCAGAAATCTGCAGCAAGCTGCAGGCTATTAGAATCACTCTACCAAGAACTCCAGCACCTGATGCAGAAACTCCAAGAGCAGGATCTTCATCACACCGAAGAAAATCTACAGGGAAGAATAAATACCGCTGCAGATCAAGCTTGGAGACATATGTATACAATTAATTTCCGTCTTGATCAGCTCAGCTCTCGCAAGTACAGCGCAGGAAAGAAGCTTTGCTTCCAGGCGAAGTTCATCCAGCGGTAAGACATGATCAAGAATGGCTTGATTGACTCCGAAAGTGCGATTAACACCTTGCAAGAAGTGGCAAACGATGTTTTCTCTAGGAAAGTATCGATTAGATCATTTGATCCTATCTGGGCATGCTAATCCCAGGAGGGTGGACCAGAACTCACCGAGCATGAACTCGCTCTCAGAAGCGACAAAATGCAATAGATGACAGCAGTTAGGAGTAAGCTACACGGCATGTGGCAAGTTCGCTAATATGGGGCTCTGGAGAAAATGGATAGAACTTTGCGTTACAAGAAAAACTGTCGTCTAAATTGAAGGTCCCAAGAGATTATCCGGTGCTGTTCCTCCTCATAGTCTGGTAGCGCGTCACTACTGAGAGTAGAAATCTTGAAATATGCCAAACTTAACGAACAACTAGCACTATAATTACTTGACGGCTAGTACTCTCACTACCCCACATGAAGTGGATATTCTCAATCTTGAATTTAGGGGCGAAGTCTCGCAGGACCTGGTTGATATGAGAAACGGCATTAGGATTTTCCAAGGAACCAATGCCAAAGTGCTGCGCGACATACAAGACATGCTTAAAGGAGTGATGAGTAGAACTGATTCAAGAATATACTTGAAATCTGCAGAAGCTGTGTAGAGTGGCGCAGAACATTCATTATCTCCTGGAATAAGAGGGTGGACTGAATTGACTTGCAAGGCCGGAAGCTAGTTCGGAGTAAACAGACAAGCGAAAGTTTAAAATGAACTCCTGAAATAAGCGAGGGGAATCTAAATCGATCTCATACCTCACTTATGAAAGTAAACAGAAGTGCGGCATGCAACAAAATATAAGTAATATCGTTTAGCGAGGGTAATAGCTCAATCACTTCACTGAGAAGGAGTCGATATTCGGCTATGCTCCACTTGTCAAATTCGATGAATTAGCACCCAACCAGGAAAGCCCTCTTCCTATTTGGACGTCTCTATTTTATATCCACAGCATTGTCGTGCCCATGTTATTAATGATTGTTCGCCATCGAGTCTACACTATCTGAGCTATTTTAAAATCTACAGATAGATGTAGCAAAAAGGCCCTCCAAGCGAGCTCATCGCATCCCGGATTTTCAATTCCGGCGCCAGAGGACCCATGCCCAACAAATCATCGAGCGTGGTATTCCTGGTAGGAGGGTTATTGAAAACAGTAAGCGTACCATCCAAGTCCGTCAAACTCCCCGGCAAGTTCAAATTCTGATGGATCCAGTACGTGCGGTCGATCATGGCGTGATGCAGGTAGAAGACAGGGTCTCCAGGAGATTGGTAGAAATCGGATCCAGGGTCGCCACCGATTGTATAGTGCCCTGCGGAGTGGATTCCTAGGTTTCCTTTCGCGAAGTCACCGTTGATGTTGTCTTGGAAGGCTTTCACCCCGCGGGTGGTGATCAAGGTCATGATCTGGGGAGTCGTGGTCCAAGTAGAGGATGCGTAAGGGGAGATATCGCGTTTGAGACAGCGAGGGTTGTAGGCATAGAAGCCGTTGGGGTTGGCGACGACGCCGTCCATTGTCGGTTGCATTGGACCCATATTGTTGGCCATGCTATGAAATTATCAGCACGCTTCAGATTGAAGAATTAGTTGGGGGTAGGTACTTCTTGAAAGGTCCGGATTTCATGCAACCGCCGCCTTTCCCAGGTGGGACCCAGATTGCTCCTCGTCCTGCAACAGAACCGTTATGTGCGACGAAAGAGCCATCACTTCCTAGAGACGTGTCGGAGCCATCGAAGACTGGTGACTTGGCAGGGTCATGAGCCCACGTACCCCAGTTCCAATACTGTTTGTGTCAGTCGTGGTAATTGATTCAAGGCAATGTAAATATCACTCACCGGCTGAGCACCTTTATACCCGCACTCGTACTTCAATACTTGCTCATAAACGAAAGTGAAGTATCTGTGCCATGTCAAGAAATTCCCAGTGCCATGGATCGAGCGACTGTAGTTGGCATGAACGACAATGAAGTCGTCGAACCGGGACTTGGCTCCTGGGTAGAGAGTGTGGTCTACTTGTGAAGGCTTAGCCATCAAGCATTGAACAGAACTGATGTAGGCCTTGCGCTCTGAGGCAAACATATGAGCCCTACGGAAATCAATACATCAAAACTATTCTGTAGCATGAAGAAGATGATCGTACCAGTCCCTTCTAATGCTGACATTGAGCAATGAACAACCTCCTCTCTTGACTTTGGACTGGGCAGCTGCCTCTTCAAACTCAGTGAGATTCGCCAGACCAGCAAGGCCTAATCTTGCAATGTCATCTTCTGGCGTGAAGCTCTCGATTTCCTCAAATGCATTCGCAGTCTCCTGCCTGGGAGAAAGAGTGACAGCCGAAACCGCAGTCACGGCTACTAAGAGGTTGACAAAATGCATTATTATTGACTGGGAAGGGATGCGAGAACGTCGAGGGAGATCCTGGGGCCGAGATAGAGAACGTAAGACTCCTCTTCCGGTTTCAGGTGAAAAGGCTTCGCGAGGAAGAGCCGAAGGATGAAGGAATAGCTTGTGGATGGACTAAGTCGAGACCGGATGCCGTCTTCGGCCTTCATATAGAGAGATCTAGGTGCATTTCCACGTGGCTGTCAGTTCCAAGATATGAAATACGCATTGGTGAAAATGAAGTAACCGGCTTGAACAGCCAATTGATTCTCATGGATTACCAGAAGCCCGAGCGGGGCTCGGAGATGCCAACCTGGGATTAGCTGTAGCTTGTACTTGGCTGCATGGAATTGTTATGGGAGGATCAGAATCCCATCAACCCAGCTTCGTGGTCGGAACAATTGAGATGTTGGTTTATCCTTGTTAAAGTTGTTATTATGCGAGTGCCACTGTTATACGTCTTGAGACCCGGTCTCGGATTCCATACCAACGAAATAGATCCAGGAAATTTAAGATAACCATGTGATCGAAGTACGTAAATGAAAGAGAAAGCATCAGATTGCGTGATATCCTTGATGAAGTTGAGATAGAAACACTTGGCTCGCTAAATTAATCCACCAAACATGGAAGTTCTCAATTCTCGCCACCCTTACCTCCCGCTTCAGTATTAGGAGAATGCCCGTGACAAGGTCTTGAATGTTTGTTTGCCAGTCTCCTATCTTCCAGTGTTGACTCCTTGTACTTTCTAGCCCTTTCGATTTATGCTTCTATTAATACGGGTAATAATCCACAAGTTTCCCAACATTCCCCTTTCTTTTGCAACGTTTGGGCTGCTGTGATATAGAGGTTGACGTGCGCGAACGTGAGCGAAAGTGCCTGAAAGAGCTTGCGTGTGCTGCGAGATTTCCAGCGGTCAATTTCTCTTTTTCGAGTGGGGGGCGGATCCCAGAGCTTGCAGGTGGCTTATCGGCCCAAGACGTCCGGGACGGCTTCCCCAGATTGCTGCAGGATTTTACCAGGTAAACAATCCCGCTTCACAAAGACAGCGAATCGGGAAATGGGCCAAGATCCTGTGCCTTTCCGTACTCCGAAGATGCTTATTTTTCGAAGCAAGGGGAAGAATCTGGCTGAAATTTCGCGGTGCAGCGTATCGCTTTTCGATATAGACGCTTATGTTCTTGAAACAGGCTACATGATTGATTGAAAAGGAAGCCCGATCAGTTGGCCACAAGTTGGAAGTTGGGGAGTAAATGTTGGCAAAGCAGAACGTCAATTTGTGACAGTGCTACCTAACGATATCTTCGACCTGACGCAATTGGAGAATCCAGGGTTATTTAACAAGAACACTTGAACAAGCTGCTGATCTCTGGATTTATGCGTAGATAATCATTATCCACGATGTCATCCAACAAGTCGTCTGCCGTTTCATGCTCCTGTGATCAACTTTCTGAAGCAAGGGACCGAAATCGAAATGTTGAACTTGATTATACCTTGATACTGGAAAGTGTTTACAGTTTAAGTAATGGAATGTACTGGCATGGTTTCCATGTTATTCTTTGGGGAGATTTGCTCCGCCACACATGCAGGAGGAACAAATGTTTCCGACGGGACAAGCGAGAGGAAATCTTGAAATTTCCAAATCCAACGGATGGCCCTGGTACACCCTGGAGCAGAACTGCAAGGGACAATCCCATCAAGCAAGAATTGAGGGACTTTAGGTGTTATAAGAATCCTTGTGACAAGCACTGTCTTTTGTTGCTCCTGGTCTATGAGCTGTAGGAGCACCATGCCTCCACCACGGACCCAACAGAACCAGGACGACGGGGAGATTCTTTCAGAACACAACATGACCCCTTTCATTACTGGCATCCACTAAGATGAAATTCAGAGAACCAATGATTTCCCTCTCCCATCAATCTATATCCAGGAACCAATACCGAATTAATCCACCAGGCGTTTATTGTTAGAGAAGTCAATCTCAGCTTCAGCTGTGTTGTTCTCAACAGAGCCAGCCTGGAAAAGACTTCAGCGGAGTTGAGAAACCTATTACCGCCTACTCACTTCTCTGGTTCTGTTGCACCTTATCTACTCTTTTGATTCTGTGGATCAGCGACAGATGAGGGAATCCGCATCGATCCAAAGTCTACCTGAACAGACCCAAAGAGCGTCACCGTCAATGTCGTCGACCATTGGCCGTGCCACTGCGCTTGCAACCGGAGGAACAGCTTTTAAGCCAACACTCAGTCCAGTAGATTTCGCAGCCAGAGCAGCAGAGTCAAACCTTCCTTTCATTCTGGGGATGATTATCCCATTCTTTATTCTGGCATTCATTGCAGTATCGTTAAGAACATATGTCCGTATGAAGATCGTGCGGGTCACAGGGGTTGACGACTGTATCATGATTGCTGCTATGTACGTTGATCACCTCCGAGTTTTTCTTCATGCTGGCCTTTCCTTTTAAGCAGTTTTTCTTCAATAACCGTATCCATCATTCTCACGACCGCTGACTTTACGAACACATAGGGTAAGCTTCTAGTGGATGTCATAAACAGTCTCCCTCCTTCGCAGGTTGAAAGCAGCGAGTTCCTTTGGCATTATTTGACAAGAGAAAGTATCTGATGCATATATAGGCTTGCTCCTGTGTGGCGATGGGTATGTTCAGCTGGCAATCGCAGCACTCACTTGGACGACATACCGATACCGTTTCAGCAGCACACATGATCATTCATCGAAAGGGGAATCTGATATATTCGACAGTTGGAGCTGTGCTGGGTCTACACCTGGTAAAAGTGAGTATCTGCTTTCTGTTGATGCGATTTGTCAGCGGTAGAGGATACAGAATCGTTTTGTGGTCAATCGTTGGTAAGTGACGGCCCTGGCGATTAATGTCTTCTGTGAAGTTGGGGATTGAACGCTGACCTAAGAATCAATTCACAGGCTTTCTGATCGCCTTTACGATCGCATGCTGGGGAACATTGATTTTCTGGTGCCTCCCGGTCAAGGCATTCTGGGATGTCTCTCTTCGTCGCCTTCCAACAACACATTGCTATCCTCAAATCCACTTCACAAATATCTCGCTTATGAACACGGCTATCAACATGTTTACCGAAGTCCTTCTTGCCACTCTTCCCGTCCACATTATTTGGAATCTGCAGATCAACCGGCGCCAGAAGGCCTCGTTGATTGGAGTTCTTTCCCTTGGATATGCAGCCGTCGGACTTGGGGTAGCGAAGGCAATTAAGCAGGTCCAATTGCCAACAGACAAAGATGTAACCTGGTATGCTCCCTAGATTAGTTTCAACTTCCGTGTCTTGTGGATTGTAAATGCTTACTAGTATGCTCGGACAGGTCCCAAGGGGTTCAGCTATGGGGGTACGTGCAACTCAATGTCTCGATAATAGCCTCCTGTATGCCTGCACTCAGACCATTATTCTCTTGGCTCTCCGACGCAGTCTCCTCGGGCCACCGCACGCGAGATCCTGCAGGTTCTCATCGTAATCCAAGATCTGGGTACTTCCGTCAGTACGATTCGAGTGGCAGTGTTCCGAAAGGAACAAGTGGAAGCGCCACTTGCAGCTTTGGTGGGGAAAATAAAGAGTCCGATGTGCCGCTGTGTGACCTGGAAGCTAACGGAGGTGTTGGACGCAGCGCTTTCGTGAGTGCCAATGTCAGTCAGAGGACCGAGGGAGAAAGGAGCTGGATTGATACCATTGACGATAGCGAGAGTGAGAAAGATATTCTACACATGAACGTGCATGGGAGTAAAGGAATTGTAAGGACAACAGCATTCACAGTCAAGACTGACAGCAGCAGAGATCAGAGAGTCGTTTGATTGCCTCAATGGAGTTTGTCAGAGATACCGAGTCGAACACTGATGAGTTTGGGGATGAAAGGTTCTAAACAGGATGCTTGGTGTGGTCATCAGAAACCAGACGAGACGAAAAAAGTCGAGTGTAACCGGTTCTCATGATGGCAGTGGACATTCGCTTTTTACCTGTAGATCTAGGCAGACCAGCCTGCCCAACCTCATAAAAATATTTTGAAGAACCAGTCATTATGATTTAACAGCTATTGTGATCTAAAAAGCTGAAGGACGAGAAACCGGGCCGGTGGCCATGGCAAGTATCGAGATGTAAGGAGAAGGGAATGATTGATGAAGCCGGGTTGTAATACCTCCGCTGTTTCAAAGAAGGCCGCAGCCAAATTTCCTTATCTGACTTCTTGATTTACCAAACGTAATCACTTTGGGTAATATTTGACTCGAGTACAGGTCAGCGAGCCAAATGGGTCCCATCGGGAAAAACAAGCCCCAACTCTTTGCAGGGAAAATGAGAAGTCTTGCAATACACTTGTAAAGATAAATTGGAGAGCCCAGGTATGATCAACTCCACGTACCGTCTTCTTTCTGAAACGAGATTTCTCATGGGCAGTACTGAGATCCCTTCGGCCCGGAATTATGCTCGACCTTGACCAATTGGACTCTGTAGCTCCCTGGACCTACCATTGCCTCCCATTCCATTGCGCTCCAGTATGGATATCGCTATGTTTACATTAGAAAGGGCTACATATGAGGGGCGTATGAGCAGTTACTCACACGTCGCAGCCAAAGAAGTAGAAGTTCGCGCAAAGCTGCCACAGAAGACGCAATTCCGATGACGAAGGGGATGAGCTGACCAGTTGTATTGTTGGTATACACGCCCGAGATTTTCTTGGCATGTATCGTAGCTTCGATGAACTATATAAAGATCGCAATGGCTCCCGCGGTTAGGGAGTGTGAGATCAAGCATCGAGCGGTTGCGCACCCAAGCTTGCCACTGTCTGTGGGATCTTTTAACATGTCGGGTTGAACCTCCATCCCGCGACTGAGAAGTTGGACATACCCGGCGAGGAGATCTCTCAAGGGAGGTAAATGCGCCTTCTTGACGGTCCAGAACTTGTTGTCAGTTACCGTCTCCAGCATGACATCCAATACCTTTGAGAGTGGATTGGTTCCGGGTCCACCATCAAGAGCAAACATGATGCCGATGGACCGCTTGTGATGATCAGATAGGCGGTGCCAAGCCCCAGGCTTCAACAGTTCCAGTTCCCCCAAACCTACGATAACTCTTCGAGATAGAAAGTCTCGAGTGAAACGTCATAAAGCAAGGACAATGTTGAAGAGAACCGAGGCCAGAAAAGCAACGGGGATGAAGAGTAGTATGCTGGAGACTTTGAAAGATACAGTAAGAGTCCAGCTATCCAAAGATCTTTTCCCAAAAAAATAGACCTGTCCATCGCACGAAGGCGTAGTGGTAGTATCCGCCGGAGAGGTGAATGCTGACCACCAGAACAAGAGATTGAACAGAAACAGTATTCCGGCAATGCTGCCAATGCAAATCCTCCAAGGCACGCCTGCCCATGAGACGGCGGGATGTCTGATGAAGAAGGCAATGCCAAAGGAGATTTTGACCTTGAGAATTTTCCATGCACCCAGCAAAATAGCTGCGACCATTTTCATACATGCTTGTGGACTAAGTGATGCCAGCAAACTGTGCCAAGAAAAGCTTCCATTCCGCCTGTCGAGTCGAGGGAAGCTCAACTGGGCTTGATATGGACCAGAAATTTTGACAATGTACTTGAATTCGCGAAGTGAACACGAAGCCCAAAGATGCTTAGGACTGTGAAGAAGTAGCCGGAACATATAAGCAGCATGATGTAAGATTGACAGGCCTGATGTCGCCTCGCGCTGTAGCCGACAGCATGGCTGTTAGGATGGCCAGCACAAAGATCGAGTTTGCATCGTGAGTTGCCATCACACCGCTCGGGTTCAGCGTTTGGATAAGCCATGATGATGATTGAGAAGGGGAAGGGAGTGGGCATGCAATCATAAAGATGTAAATGTGGACTTGGACATGTATATTCTGCAGCCTACAGCACCCCGTGCGTGCGTGAAGGTGAGGCTGTGTTGATGGAAGGCAGGAGGCCAATAGCTGGTGGTAGCAATGCAGCACCACCCGAAGTCAAGAATGAACATGAATATGCCAAGATCTGCTGTACAACGATGGAACAGTGGGAACTTCCACAGGTTTCCAAGCAGCTCTCCGCATAGAGCCTCGTCCGGACTTCGTACAGCAATTGCCGGGCTGCCTTACTTCCACTTTCGACAGAGGCGATGAACTAAAGATGAAAACGTGATTTCTTGCAGTTAGTCTAGAAGCAAATCTAGAACTGCTCCCGATATATCTATAGTCTAATAAAACCTCTCAGCAGCAACACATTGCAATCTATCAAACCAATGACTTGACCTCGCCATCCTTTATCTTGCCAGCTTCGACCAGACGCTTGACCTCACCAGACCAGACTCCCTTGATCTCATCAGCGATCTTGAGACCATTAAGCTTGCCAGCCAGAGCAGCAGTCTCATCAGGATCAAGCTTGCCCTGCAGCAGTTCGACATCGTTCAGGACGGCATCGATAGCCGAGGCAGGAGCATCGCCAGAGACAAAGTAGTTAGCATCTTTGACACTGCCCTTCATGACACGTCTGTTCTTCTTGACAGCGGCCTTGGCAGCCTCTTTAGCCTTCTTTCCTTGCTCGCGGTCGATTTTGGCCTTCTCCTCTGCTTCTTTTGCAGCTTTAGCCTCAGCCTCCTTTGCGGCTTTGGCTTCTTCGGCGGCCTTCTTCTCAGCGGCTTCCTTTTCATTCTTCTTCTTGTTCTTGTTGGCATTGGCGGCTTGGCGGAACTTCTTGATTCGCTCGTCTCCTGCCATGACTTGATCGACCAATTGACGAAGGCGAGCAACATCCTCATTCTTCTTCTTCTTGCGGGCATTGTTGTTCTTTCGTTCCATATGACGCTTCTGATCACGATTCTCATTGTCATCAGGGACATCTTCATCCTGATACTCGAATGAGCGCCACGAATCAAAGTTGTAGAAGAAGTTATAGAAACTTTCGACCTCCTCTTGAGTACTGTTCTCGTCTCCAAGCTTGGGAACTGGCTGGATGCGAGAAAAACGACCCTCCGCCTTGAATACGCTGCCCCAAAGCTTGTAGTACTTGCCATCCTTGGCTTGTTTCTTGGAGGGAGGTTCGACATCAGCACGTTCGTCAACGGAGTCAAACTGGCGGCGCTTGACTGGATCAAGTAGGACTTCGGTAGCCTTCTGGATACACTTGAAGAAGCTATCATCTTCGGTGCTTCCCGCGGCAGCCTTCTTGTCAGGGTGATGTTTCAGGACCTTCTTTCTGTGAGCGCGCTTGATCTGTTCTTCGGTAGCCTTGTAGCGGTACTTTGATAGACCAAGAACTGCGTAGTGATCTTGACTCTGTCGAAAGGTTAGAAGAATCGTTTAAAACAATGCTGCGTAAACCCACCTTCCAGTCCTTTGCATCACGAAGGAGCATCGACGGGTCTTCCGGCTCGCTGATCTCGCCTGAATCATCGTCCTCAACCTTCTTGACATTTTCTTGGGCTTGAATGCGATCATCTTCAGAGAAGGTGCGCTTGTGGCGGGCTCGGCGAGCATGGGCAAGGAAGTGAGGTCCGACGGGTTCGATGCTGCGCTGTGTTGCGGCTGAAAGGCTTCCAATAGCTTTAAAGTCCTTCTCTGCTGTCCATCCCTGTGGAAGGATGGGCAGAGGCAGGACTACCTGGGTATGGGTTGCCATTGTGGTCGTAGTATTGGTCAAAAGAGGCCAGCAATTGTTCGTATGTGCGACGGTGAGAGTGGATTTGGTTCGGACAGTTCTGAACCCAACGACCCCAAAGAATATGTTCTTTACGAAGTTGTTGGTCGGCGTCAATGAAAATTTTGTTTAGTTCGTCTCGTTGCTCCACTGTGGAAGGGTGGAAGTGCCCTGCTGGAAACTGGCCGGAGCTGAGGTGTAATGTAAATTTTGCGGCAATGTCTAGATCGTCGGTAAAATCTGGAGCGAAAAGTGATTGCTGAACCGCAACGAAAGTTAAATAAATACAGTCATCAACGAACTGGAACCGCGACTGACCTTAAAAGCACCACGGCTGTTCTCTCTCCTGTAAAAGATATCGAGGATGTCAAAACTTGATCTCACCAACCAAAACCAGACCACCGGAGACCAATGTTGTGCCTTGGTTCTGAAGAATGCGTACTCGGACAGGTACCCGTTTGCTCTGCAGTGGGATCTTAAGCTACCTGGAAGGTCTTCTAAATCTTTACGATCCTTCTGAGTGAGGAGCTTCTCTATCTTCTGTGTGCCGCCTGGTCTGCCGTCCAATCCGATCAGAATCTGAATGCCTTGAACAAAGTGTGCGTCGTGGAAGGCAACTGTAACGTCGTGGATGCGGGCGGCGTCCTGGAAGGTTTCAATTTCCCCGGCTTTCTTGCCAATATTGCGCAGAGTCTTCACAATCAGAGAATGAAGCTCAAGCAGTTTGATGTCTCTGTCCCAAAGATTGAGGTCGCCTTTGCGGATGCAATTTGCGATGGAAACGAGGTCTCGAAGTACTGCCAGAAAAAATATTAGCTTCGGGAGGGCTGGGCCATGCTGTATTTGGCTAGCTTCTAACACGTGACATTGAAATGATAACCTCGACAAATCTGAGGATGTAAGGCGAACCCCAGCACTATTGCCATTATCCCGAGATATTTGGGATATTGAGACGACAAGCATAATCAAGAATCTCGACTATAAAGAAAGGCAAAATCTTGTAAGGGTCTGATGTGTGGGGAAAAACGAGTTTGGTGAACTGACCATCCGCATAGGGACCCTCAAATTGCACTTCGGGAACAGCCTCGCTCGACGACTTGTTCTTCTTCTTCTTCGGCTTTCTCTTCTTCTTCGACTTGCTGCTTTCATCCGCATTTTCGTCCTGCGCTTGGTCGGCCGCTATCGTCTCGTCTTGCTGAAGCGGTTCAGGTTGCCCGACAGAAAGTCCAGACAAGTGAGTACTCAATTGCTCCATAGTGTTGTTCTCTCGACAATCCGCGTTTCCAGCCATGTCTGCGATATGTGCAGGAGTCTTTTTGTGAGAAATCTCAAAACCTTGAGTATTGGGAAACTTTAGCTCAGAAGCTAGTGTTTCTTCGGTCCCAACATCATCGATGGAGTAGTGCCGAGATGTAGTGTCGACCGGCGAGGTAGTAGTGATCTCAATCGCGGTTGCAGTATTCTCATCTCCAGGTGGCACGGATACGTTTGTATTATTGTTCGTGTTTTCAGGAATCGTATTATTGGCCTCTGTCGTCTCGGGATTCGATTTTCCTTGCTGAGCAATCGTGTCGAGCATTGAGGCGTCTACTTCGTTGCTCGGAATGGCATCCTCGGTCTCCCGTATATGCTTGGCTCTATTGTCTTCATTGTCTCCAGATGCCGATGTTAGAGTCTCCTTTATCTCGACCTGTATAGAATCATGTCCAGCGCCAGTCTCCGGCACTGCGGCAGTCGTCACAATACCAGGAACGATATGCTTATCAACCGCTACCATCTTCCTGATTGGGTTGTTATCGTTTTCTCCAGATATTGGCGCTTTGGGCTCATTGGTTTCACGCCTTATGATATCGTGCTGCATGGTCTTTGCAGACACCGAAGTACTACCCCCGATCCCAGGAACATTACTCTTGCCACTCTTCCCACCCCAAGTACCACTTGTTTCCTCCTTCTCAGTCCTAGTATTGGATGTTAGGTGTGCGGGCTTTTTGGCCCCGAGAACAGCTTTTGATACTGTGGTGGTCACCTCAATCGCAGAACCCTTGTTCCCACCGTCACTCGTGATCTTGCTCTTTTCCCCTTGGCCTGTTTTTGATTTTAATGTTGTATAACTGGGCTTCTGTCTTTCTGGAATAGTGCTGAAGGATGGGCTAGTGCCATTGATTAGATTTTTGTTCGTGCTATTCAGTACCGTAGTCGCGGCTGTTGTTGATTTCAAGATATCGGCATAACTTAATTTCGGAGTTACCATTTCGTTAGTGTTGAGGAGAGACTTTGGTACTGAGGTAGTCACCTCGACTGCAGGACCATTTTTTGGCAACCTTGTGTCGGTTGCGTTATCTTCTGGAACGGTTGCATGAGATACTGGGCTTGCACTTCCGATGGTGCTGGGCAGACTCTTGGGTACTGTGGGAGTCAAGTCACTCGCAGGCACGTTGGACCAACGATTTGACCCTTTGAGATCTGATGACTTCTTGTTCATGCTTGAGCCAGATGCTGGCTTTGAATCTTCGATGATCTTGGGGGTAATACTGGGCGGTGATGTGGCCACCTTGATTGAAGGGGTGTCATCCTTATCACTCGGATGGCCAATATTGTCGTGATTGGTGTATTCTATGACTGCGAACGATGACCTCGTAGCTTCATTGTTCTTTGGAATAGTGTCTGGCGAAGTCCTGGGAATGACAATGCTTGGAACGTTATCTTCGTTACCTAGCAATCCAGTATTGACTGCCTCGCCGCCTATGTCTGCTCTAATCACCGAGCTTTCTGCCTCCTTATTCGTGGGCTCTTGGTCGTCATCTCGCATGATAGTGTCAAGAGATGAAGTGGGACCCAGAGTCACAGAGTCATGCTTCTCATGTGACCCTCCAGTGTCGACCGGCTCATTATCAATTTTGGATGTCAACCCCGTGGCGTCTGCGCCCTTGCTCTCTAGTCCTTCCCTCGTATCCGCTCTAGGTTTATTTCCGTCTGCCTTATCTGTCTGTGTAGGAAATGGATCTGGCGCCTTCCATTCTGGCATCCAATCTCTTGGTATGCGATATCTTTGGAGGTCCCAGGTTCGTATGAGCCTGCTAGGCGGGTAAGCAGATGTTGGATATGCCAGTGGCGGATATGTCGCCGGATGGTCCTCGTCGTGGCCGTCAGATCCGAACGCTCTCTTAGGGGCTATCTGTTCCGTACTCTCAAAATCGATGTGGCTGTTCCATGACTTGATTTGCTCCCAGTCCTTTGGGCCTCTCATATACACGGAGACCTGGTCTGAAAGGGTCCAAATACCCCGCCTCCCTTTCCCGTGGCCGATGGTGTGAACGCCACATCGACTTGCAACGCGTTCGTTCGAGAACCGAGTCGTAAGAAATGGATACTTTGGCTTGGTTGCCAACCATTCCGCGGATTGATTGGCATCATCGGGCCTAGCTGAAAATCCTGGGGTCGGCGAAGACGCTTTCCCTCTGCTACCCATCTTTCCTTTTGTTCTGCATCCCCTATTTCCATTCGTCTCGTGTCGAGAAACACAAAGCCTGGATACCCGTCTGTACTAATGACCAAAAAAATGCTGATATTCAAAACAGGACACGAATTAAGCAAGCCCAACAAGATGGCTTCGACGGCATACAGGCACCTTCTTCGTTCAGCGCGATTAGCGTTTCAGGGTACGTTCCTTCCGCAACCCCCCTTTTCTCCTGTATTCCTCTCCTCCATGCTCCTCCTTCCTTTTCATATCGCTCACAACGAACGCAGGCGACACACACCTCCTTCATGCCGCCCGCAGCGAAGCCAGAAATGGCTTCCGGAAGAACGCATCAATGAGCCTTGACGATCCGGCATTGGCGCCCGCGATAGCTCATGCTGAGGAGGTGGCAAAGATCCTGAGAGAGAATGTAGTTCAAGGAAAGTTGGAGGGTAATGATAGGTACAGTAAGTAATTGTTCCTCTGAGTTGTCACGCGTAACAGATGAGTATTAATGGTACGCAGAACTTCGCATTCATGAGCATACTGAGAGAGGTGACAATGACACCATCAAAATGCCAAATGGTCAGAAGGTGGTTATTGATGGGAAGAAGTGCTCTGATCGTTAGAATTGCTCTTCGAGTTGAGGCCGGGAGTGTATGATAGGCATTGCGATGGTGTATTGGGTGGCATCCGGATTACATTGTATTGACGGACGTAGGGTTTTGGTATGAGGTGACTAGATTGTATCATATCAATGGATGTGGTCGGCTGTGCCTCCCTGCTCGAATTGTTTTCTACAGTCTTTGATCGGTTATTCGTCTATTGTTGGAGTTTGTGCTGTACTTTAGGGCCTCCTTTGTTTCCCACGGCAGAACAGGCACAAAACATCACTTTCACATCCCAAAACATCAACGAGTCCCCGTTCACAATTCATGTCAATGTCACGAGATACAATCCAACGCACATCTCACAGAAGTTTAGACCATTTGGCCTGTTGTGCATTCAGATCTGAGGACCTCCCTATTCAACATACGACAACATAAAACTTACGCTCCAGAACGCCAATCCATGCAATTTCACGTCTTAGTGATTCCCAGCCAGACTCGCGTACTGAACATCACTAGCACCCGGTGGAGCAGCAACAGCAGACATACTAGCCAGATCATCTTTCTCTGGAGCAGCAATTGCACGCTGTTGGCCCTGCGAAGCACCACCCCGTGCAGCGCCTGCAAATGCATTACGGCCTTCCCTACCCGTTGCTATCCGCTCATCCTTATCCATAGTACCAATAGGTCTGGGTCTACCCCATTGTACACGCAGAGGACATCCCGCAATGACAGCTCTTCCTTGCAGAGCCTCTGCTGCAGCCTCCGCGCCTTCTCGAGTGTTGTAGTTGATGAATGCACAATGCGACATATGCGAACAGACTAGCGACCGGATCTTTCCATACGGCGAAAAGAAATCCCGGATCTTATGTTCTGGCAGGTCGTCCTCGACACCGGTGACGAATAGCGAGGTAATAGACTGATCAGCTGGTGGCTGGATATCTTGAGCGGTGGGTGGTAATTGTGCGGCGCTGGGGAATGTTCTGCCTCCTCTGCCTCCGCCTCTCCCTCCACGTACTCCAGCACGAGAACTTGCCCCTCCTCTGCTGTCCCGGGTTCGGATCGGACCTGGACCATTGGTAGTCAACGCACTTGAAGCTGCACCTCCCTCGCCCTCTTCACCTTCTGCGGGGCCAATCCTCCTTTGCTTCTTGAAGTATGGTTCTGAATTCGCAAGCCTCCTTAACAGTTCCCTAGCCTTCTCATCCGTCTTCTCATATGCCTCTACTCCTCCTCTCCCTTCCTCAATCTCCTTCTCATGCTCTTGGGCATAGTATTCCCTATTCACTGCACTCTGTGGACCTGGAGCTACCATCTTGAGGGCCGCATCGCGGACAACAATTGGGAGACCAAAGGAAAGATCGAGCATGCAGCATTGGCAGCAGTTCTTCAGACGCGCGCAGGTGAGACAGATATTGGTACGCTTGCTTCGTGCTGTACGGTCTGCTTTCCATTTGAATACTGTGAACGGACGGGTACAGATCTTGCATTCTTCTCCATAGTCTTGCTTAATCATCTGGACGTAGGGGTTCTCGGGGAGGCAGTTCTCGCAGACTGAGGGGAAGTCGGTAGTTTCCCAGCCCGAGCGATTCAAGTCTTGCTTAATTTGAGGCGGCATTTTGCGCGAGACTGTATGTTGCTTTGTTTGTTGGTCAGTGGGAGCATATGCGATTCGAAGTGTAGTTGTGAGCTGCTCGAAGGGTGGCGAGGTGGTGATGTGGTAATGAGGCTGAGAGAGGCGGATATCAAAAATTCTGGTAATCGGCTTTATCGCCAGAACTCGTGACGTCGCACGTGAATAGGGTCACTGTGCTTACCTAATGTACCTATTAAGGTAAGGTACAGGTACCTGTAACTGTACCAGGAATAAATAGATGGAGTTCAACAAAAATAAAACGCTGATGACAAAAGAAATAGACTGGAGGAGACGACTTATCCTTGTTAAGTCAATGCCGTAAGTCCCAAAGTCATCGTAGGACATCCAGAACCTCGAAGTGAATTTCTGAATACATTTTCTATGCAGCAGCCAAGGTCTCCTACTACAGAATACCGGCACCGCCTCTTTCAGGTACCTCCGCGCGTCCCCACAAGGGGCTATGTGGATATCAGATCCGAATACGAGACTTCCCCTGACGGCTGAAAAATGTGAGGCCAAAACCTAGGGACAATACAGCGCTCCTCCAAGTGGATAGTCGCACGGATATCTAGCGTTGCTTGAGTCTTTGAGGGGTACTCACTGGGGAGTTTAGCTCTCTAGGTACCGGGAGTCTACCGACTATCAAGCGAGGGGGTGCGGTTAACGTCAACCCAGTGCGGTATTGTCCCTGAGTGTTCCCAAAGTAATTTCCAGACACCGCTTCACATGGAAATATAAACAACTCCCTTCCCACAACAGAACCCTACTCCGACTTGCCTCTCGATCAATTCAACATCGAACTTCACTCCTTCCCCAGATACCATCTCCGCTCTTCAAAATGGCACCCACGAAACTCGAGACCGAGGACCATACCCGCGATGCGGCTTTCAACAAGGCCATGCACAAGGGGTCCTCCGCTGCAAAGGGTGGGTTCAGTGCGATGTTGAAGAAGGATAAGGCGGCGCAAAAGGCTGCCGTTGACGAGTACTTCAAGCATTGGGATGACAAGTCTGCAAAGGACGAAACACCTGAGATCAGAGAGGTACACGGCGCATTCTCTTGCTCCCAACAACTACTTTCTAACTCGCGATGCCTAGGCCAGAAAAGCAGAATACGCCACCCTCACAAGACAGTATGCCCTCCCACTCTCACCACATCCTTTGTTTGTGCTAACTCTCCCAAGCTACTACAATCTCGGAACGGATCTTTACGAATATGGTTGGGGCCAATCTTTCCACTTCTGCAGGTTCGCATACGGTGAACCCTTCTACCAGGCAATTGCTCGTCATGAACATTACCTTGCGGCGAAGATTGGTATCAAGGATGGAGACAAGGTTTTGGATGTTGGATGCGGTGTTGGTGGCCCTGCGAGAGAGATCGCCAAATTTACTGGCGCGCACATCACTGGGTTGAATAACAACGATTACCAAATCGAACGTGCTACGAGATATGCGCAGAAGGAGGGTCTTTCTCACCAGTTGGATTTCGTAAAGGGTGATTTCATGGTAAGGCACGTTCCTTAAATTTTTCTGGAACTTTACTAAGTCAAGAAGCAAATGTCCTTCCCTGAAAACTCTTTCGATTGCGTATACGCCATCGAGGCAACTGTCCACGCTCCTTCGCTGGAGGGTGTTTACACCGAAATATTCAAGGTCCTCAAGCCAGGTGGTGTATTTGGCGTTTACGAGTGGCTCATGACCGATAAATATGATAACGACAACGAGCACCACCGCGAAATCCGTCTTGGTATCGAGATTGGCGACGGAATCTCTAATATGGTCAAGATCTCCGAGGGCCTTGCAGCTATCAAGGCCGCTGGGTTCGAGCTGGAGCTCCATGAGGATCTGGCTAAGCGACCAGATGCCACACCGTGGTACTATCCTCTTGCAGGGGACTTCAGCATGATGGGATCAATTTGGGATTTCCCAACAATTGCACGAATGACCAAGTGGGGAAGAGGTATCACTCACAGATTCGTTGGTGTTCTGGAGATGGTCGGTATTGCACCAGGCGGAACACAGAAGACTGCCAACAGTATGGCACTTGCGGCTGACTGTTTGGTTGCTGGTGGTAAGGAAGATCTCTTCACACCCATGTACTTGATGGTCGCCAGGAAGCCTTTGAAGTAGATGTTGTGTGGTGCGATTGAGGGCATGGGGAGATCTATGATGGAGTATTTGCTTCCGTTGTAACAGTACGTGTTAATGTACCATAGCCTCCAGAATGGCGGTTCTTTTCTTTATATGTTCATATTGAATCGAAGACTTTTTCGCAAGGAACTGGACGGGGGACATATACACTTAATAGCATAATAAAGGTTGAGAGCGAAAGAAATGGAAAATCGTACAAAATCTTCGGCTGCTGGCCATGTCTTTTCCTTGACTGACCTTCCGAAATTGTGGTCATCGGCATGTGGTCGAGTGGCCAGGCATGTCCTCCAACATCACCAACCCATCATCACTATCCCAAGCCCCAGTTCACACCTCCCACTTGCCTATCATTAGCCTCATACATCACCCTCATCCATTCTGTTGCACATCGTAAGGTGCATTATCCTAAAATGGCCACTTCGCATTCAACCATTCCCGCGTCCTCGCATATATCGTACCACCAACAAGCCCAACCTCTGATAAATCAAGTTTACCCCGTCAAAGAAAGAGCTGCAGGTTCTTGTTGCACATCGCATTCCATCATTTGCAGAAAAGGGTAATCGTTTAATGTCTCTTCTCGGGTCCCAAGACCCTATCTTCTCTGTTACAACGTTGGTTTGGGTTCAAATGCCGGCTTGTTTTTGGCTGCTGCTGATATTAACCGAGCCGAGCGAAGCGATGTGAATGGATGGCTGAGTGAGTTGGTGTTGGGCTTGATCAGTGATCAGTGATCACGAATACTCATCTCTCGAAGCCGAGCTTCCTGTCCTCACCACTTCAGCTGTCTTTTCCTATATCCATATGCACTTCTGACCACATCCCACCTCACCGTCTCGCATTGTCTCTGGGACAGCAGTTCAAAATGAACGCCATGTTGCACAGATTGCCGGATTGGGATGTGAAGGTGCAGGTCTTGGCTCCGTAGCATATTCCTAAAAGAGAACGAGAAACAAGATGGTGGTAGTTATATCAAATTACACGCAGCCGGGACGCTGGGATTTGGTTTATGACTTCAATTCGGGGTCGTGTTTACCAAGGCTTGTTTGTCATAAAATTCGGGTCTTGGTCAATCCGTGCTCCATAAATCAAAACAACAGTTCTGAATTTCGGAGATAGAACGGCAGAAGGCCTTCCTGAAGTTCTGATTGATACTAAAGAAATCTTCGGGGGTTTGATAGTCATAAGTTTGCTGCCAGAGATCTTTAGCCATTCTCTTTCACGAGGCACGTTGGCGTCATACCTACCCATTCTAGGTGGACCTCATAACAATAACGCCCCATCTTCCTCAGATGTCTAATATCGATGATCCGGCATCCATTTAACGTGCTTACCTCTATACCCCTCTCAAGCTCCGAAACCGGGAGGTTTCAGGTTCGCACCTTCTTGCTTCCGCCCCGATATCCGCTCCCATTCCAAAAAGGGACAATGAACATTCTCACCTGCATATGACAGGGCTCTCCCCCGCATGCAACAGCGGCGCGGCTCGCACATGTGGTCAGTGCCATGTCGACATTGATAATTAGTTGGTATTGTAGTGTTCGTAAGGTATGTGCATGCATTGTGCTAATGCAGGTGATCTAGGAACATTGTCTGTAGCAGCTTTGGGAGCATGGTGGGGTTTGGGACTGGGTAGATCTTTTGAGAGGCGACTAGACGGTTTGTTAAGTGGACTCACGTGAACGAATTTGCACGGGGAGGCTGGCAACTGAGTGTGATGAAATCATAGTTGGAATTTTGTGTCTCTGGTCAAGGACTCAAGGACAGCGTTATGAACTTTTGACGAGAAGATTAAATGCTACTCGAATAATGCCGGGGTATTAGGTCACATAATATGGCTAGGGAATGTAGCGCGAAGATATATTGCATTTCTAAGTTGCTTGAATTCTGCGTAGCTATGGTGCAAATGGGAGGCAATACCTTATCAAATAAGTCCTGATCACCCGCCTGACAGGTGATGAGCGCACGTATTGGTCACTCCGTCATATCGCGCATTAGACGTGATATGCAACACTGCAAAGTGATGCTGCAAGCGCCAGATTTGATAGACGCCTGGATCAGTATTTGTATTGCTCCGGACACTTGTGACAGTTTGACGGCACAATGGAAAACGAAACGATGTGGGTGGGCAAGCGAGTTCCGAGGGGAATGTCTCCTCTGGGGAAAGGTAGACTGGGTGAGCATTAGTCCTGATCACTTTTGTACTCGTAATCCTCATCCTGATCATCGTTGTCGTCGATGTTGAAAAATTCTGCGTCATCGAACGTTGTCTCCTCGTCATCGTCATCATCAACTTCTTGTCTGGATCGTATGCTGACCTCGGACTTCCAAGCCTCCGCTAGCTTATCAACAATGATCAAAAGATCCTTCTGGAGTTTAACTTTGGAAGGGGACTCGACTCTCCGAAAGCTGCTTCTGATTCCGTTGGCGCTGTTTTGCTCGAAGAACAGTTGAATATCCTCCCGAATCTGGTCAAGCACCGCTTTGTGATTTCCGTCGAAGCTGGGCGAGAGACTTTCCAACATATCATCGAGCGCACTACGGACAGCACCGGAACCTTTCTGGTACATTTGAAGACCCTTGTTTTTCATAGTATTCTTAAGGAGAGCTTTGTTTCTCGCGTAGTGACCGCTTCCTCCCTCTGCTGCGCATTTGTCATAGGTGGGAATCAAGAACTGCTTAACGGCTGGGGTAGCAGTCTTATGTGCCTTTCTGACAGCTTTGGTAACAGCCTCAAATGTAGTTGTGGTTTGATTCTTCAGGAGCGCTTGACTCCTCATGATTTGATCCTTAAGTACGACTAAACCATCCGCTACATCCGGACAGAAGTTGGCATCTGAGACTTTATCTGCGAAATTGGCGATGACTCTTTGGCCTTCAGCTACATATGTGTCGCGCCCAGTGGGAAGACCTCGGGTAAAAGTCTTATCCCAGGATGCAACCAAAGGAGTTGTAAGTTCATGGACACTACATATGATCAGTATGACTACGAGAGACGTAAGATCTGTGCCTCAACTTACAGAAGCGCATTCCACTTGTGATTTCTCTTCCGGGAGTCCTTCCAAATTCCGTGGTTTCGATTAACAGTCCTATGGGTGCTCCAATGCATGCCCGTGGCCCAACTCTCGACGACATCCTTGACTTTGGCCAAGGCAACTTTCTCAGCTGCTGGAACCTTGGAGTAGATGCCTGTTCGAATTAATTGCTTGAAATCTCCAATAGCGCTCAACTTGAGCTGGGAAAATTGCTGGAGTAAGTCAGCAATCTCCATGGCAATAAATTCCACTGTTCAAGTAGAGGTGGTTACTTACGTTCTGCAGCTCTTCCAAGTCTCTATCCATCTGGGGCTCCCACTGCTCTCTAATAAACGAGGGCATCTTATAATCGGCATATTTGTCCTTGATCCAAGGCATCATTGAGTCCAGGGTTGCTTCAGTGTCCTCCAGAAATGCCTGTGCATACGATTCGCGAGTGGGGAATGTTGTACTGACAAGCCAGTCTCTTAGTCTACCAATTTGGGTGTCTTGTCGTTGCGGAAATCCCGGGTGAGTCATGGAAGGCTCCATCTTCAAATACTGTAAATGAACTGTGGCGGCAACACAAAAGACCTCCAGTGGACCAGAAGATTCTCTACCCATCTCAGCAAGGGTGTCGTTATAGTCTCTTCTGATCGCGGCTGTCGCTACCTTGTTCCGGTTCTGTATACAAGCAACTCTGATATGAGATCTGGCATGGAAAAGGGCGGTCCGGAGGTGGGCAACTCTTCGTCCAAGAGATGAAAGCTCGTCTGCTCCTTGGTGATAAGTCTTTCTTGCATCATCTAGGAGCTTTTGTACTTCCGAAAGCTCGTTTCGAAGAGCCATTTGTTCATCTGTTGCTTGGGTCGTCTCAAAGACTGGAAAATATCAGTCTTATAAGTCATCAAATGCAAATGTAACTTTACCTGAGTCAGTGTCTTCGGCTGAACGCTTCCAATTGCGCCCCGAAGAAGGGGATGCAATGTCAGTGATCCCTAGTTGTGCTTTCAACTTTTTAGACTTGATCGAGAATTGCTTGACACGCTTTCGATTCTCGAGATCATTAGCCTTGGCGACTCTGTCTTCCTCCAGACGTGCCTTGAGACTGACAACCAAGTCGAGAACTTTCCGATGATCATCAGCACACGCAGCTTTTAGAACCGGATGGCCCTTCAAGTATTCCATGATGTCAAAATCTCTATCAGTCTGAGAGAGGACAAAGCACAGAGACTCGGCATTGTAGAGACCATCAAGTTGCAAGTTGCGCTTCGTAACCTTCTCAAGCAAGTCATGAGCCTGGTTCACATTAGCTGATTCAAAGTATCAGAGCAGTTCAGTGACACCTACGTTCTTCTCACTGATACCTCGCTTCGCTTCAGCCAGAATGCATGTGACTGAGAGCTCCTTCTGGTAGTGTTCGGCAACAGCGGATCTGGCGGCGTTATTATCCAGGTTTCCTGGTAAATCAACCAGGGTGATGCCATGCTTCAAGAAGTCAGATTTGACGAAAACTCGAACGAGTTTCACCAGTGGCCACTGTGCTGCAGTACCATCATTATCACCACTGTCGATGTGATTCTTGATCGTGTTGGAGAATTGTACCTTGGTTCCAGATTTTACCTTGACGACTCTTCCAAGCAGGTTGCAGACAGCAGGATCCTGTAGAAGCTGCTCGACTGATGACGATCGCAGCTGTTCCACGCTTTTAACGCGTGGATAGACACATTTCAGCTTGTCAAGCGTCTCCTTGATCCTCTCACGGCGCTCAGTATCGCTCTCCTGATCATCGTCCGTTGCTGCTGGAGCCTCTAAGTCTTCGTAGAAGCGCTCAAGCTCGTCACGCCACTCATCTCGGGTGATGTAGACTATTTCGGATTGGAACAAAGCATCTTTGTCGTTGCTCGAATTGTATGCTATTTCAACGACTACAGCTGTGCAAGCACGCTCCGCGGACGAAGGAAGCAGGTTTCGATAGCCAACTAAAGCATTGATCAAGGTGGTCTTGCCAGCCCCCGTGATACCAAGGAATCCAACGAGGATTTGGAAGGTCTTCTTGCGACCTAGAACAGTGTCTGTGAAACGTATCAGCGTATAGTTATGGCTTTGCGCAAGTCTTGATGAAAGGAATGGAAAGAGAGGACCGGCGACTTACCAATTCTATTGATGCGAGGCTGGCATGATGGATTCAAGAACAGGTGAGCCTTCATAGCAACCACCAAAGCTTTTAGAGCTTCTTCGCCATCTTCAACAGCCTTTTCCTTGGTCAGAACACGCCTCAGATTATTCTCATCAAATCGTCTCCACTCTGGGCTCTTGACAAAAGATGTTTGGCAAGGTCTAGAAGACTGCGAGACACAGATACGAGGAGCTTTTTCATGCCCGTCGTCGATGTCCATCTTGTCGCTCACAGGAATATCGCTCATAGGGGATTCGTCCTCTTCCTTGGGGAGCAGATCAGACATGCTGTATGTTGATAGGGAGATAGGTTAGATTTCAATTCAAGGTGAACAGATCGAATTGCTGATCCATATTCGTCAGTGGTAGCTCAGTCCAACATTGGGTCAGATAAGTTGAACTCAAGAAGCTGAAATTTTTACTCACGTAACTCGCTCAAGGTGTCTCGAAGATGAAATAGATCTCGAGGATTAGATATCGATCTTGTGGAGTTCAAGTTGACCACAATTCAAGCTTAGTATGAGGGGACTCGAAGGGGAGGCGTGGGAGAAGATGGAAAGGTGATCAGTGGAGAAGAAAGGTGTCTGGCGACAAAAGCAGTAGACGTGTCGAAGCTCAATAGACCTGCAAGCACAGTACAACTTCGCAAGATAGCTAGTTCGAGTTGTGATCAGCCATTTCGCTGAAGATGTGGCCAATTGATGTTGTTGACAATTGTGTTGCTGTAGAGATGATCAGAGAAGCTTCGTGGAGAAGTGGAGAAGTGCGGTATTTGTACTCGCGGAGCTTGGCGACAATCGCGGACAGGCAAGGCTCAATTAAGAAGCTCAAGTGAATGGAAAGAGCTGTCGCAGATTAGGCAGACATGTGCTATGTTCAACTCGTGCATGTCTGCCCAAGCGAACCGAGCAAGCCAACGTCTGGACAGACAGTGATGTATTTCCACCCTTGTGTGATAACATCAAGGGCATGCTATGAAGAAAGTTGAGAGACAAAGTCATATATGAATTGCAGCACCTTGAAGCTCAGAATTCAAGCAAAGTCAGAACATGGAGCCAAGCAGAAAATGATTGTTTACATACGCCTCTGAGATAAGCGAGGGTATCACAAACATGAGAACATCAGTGCAATGCATGCCACACATAGTCGAGAAGACCAAACACCACACACAAACGCATCATCTCACTAGAGATTCACCCAGCGCAAAAAAGCAGAAGAGAATAAGTGCATGCCTTTACAATTCGTAAATTCAGTGCGAAAAGCAGATCTATCTTCTCGTCCAGCAACGCAAGTGGCAGTTGAAGCCAGCACCTATATCTAAGAACGCCCGTCCCTTTCCATACCATACCCAAAACCGAAAAATCAAGATGTATCCGGTGAAGCAGAACCAAAAGCAAAAGCAAAAGCGCTCACTGGTTTTATATCCGACCAACTCCATGCCTTTTCGATGTTGAATTTCACGAATTTTTCCTCCGTATCGCATGAAGTATTGCTCATTATTGTGGTTCATCAGGTTAGTTTATTACGTTGGATTAGGCGCGGCTGCACCGGTGATGCCACCGGCTTCGTCGACTGGATCGACAGGTCCGCAAGTGCAGAAGAGGTTCATATCACCAAAGGCTGGGAAGTGTTAGCTTGTGCACGTAGGTGGGAAAGGGGACATTTTTACCATCGTCTAGTCTAGTCACGCTGGGCCAGAACTTCTTCTCTCTGAGCCATGGCAGAGGATAGGCAGCCTGCTCACGCGTGTATGGGCGATCCCACTCTCCGACAATCAGATCCTTCTGGGAGTGCGGTGCCATCTTCAAGACGTTTCCTTCCTTTGCAACCTTGCCATCTTCAACTGCTTTGATCTCTGCTCGGATAGAGATCAGGGCGTCGATGAATCTATCCAGCTCATCCTTGCCTTCTGATTCAGTGGGCTCGATCATGAGAGTATTTGCTACCGGCCAGCTCATGGTGGGAGCGTGGAAGCCGTAATCTTGGAGACGCTTGGCGATATCGATGGCTTCAATGCCGCAGGTCTCCTTGAAGCCTCGGACGTCAAGAATGAACTCGTGAGCGCAACGGGAGTTCTCGTTGGTGTAGAGAATTGGGTAGTACGGTCGAAGACGGGACATGATGTAGTTGGCGTTCAAAAGAGTAATCTTGGTTGCGTGGGTTAAACCACGTCCACCCATCATCTTGACATAGGCCCAACTGATGGGAAGAATGCTTGCGCTGCCCCAAGGAGCACCACTGACAGGAGCGATAGCCTTCTCTCCACCAGTCTTGACAAGCGGATGTCCTGGGAGGAAAGGCGCCAAATGAGACTTCACACCAATTGGCCCAACACCTGGTCCACCGCCACCATGAGGAATACAGAAGGTTTTGTGCAGGTTCAGATGGCAGACATCAGCTCCAATCTCCCCAGGTGAGCAGAGACCAATTTGGGCGTTCATGTTCGCACCATCCATGTACACTTGACCACCATGCTGATGAACAAGGTCGCAGGCAGCCTTGACTTGAGGTTCGAAGACGCCGAATGTGCTGGGGTAGGTGATCATGATAGCACCAAGTTCCTCGCTGTACTTCTCACACTTGGCCTTCAGATCCTCCATGTCGAGATTTCCAGTCTTGGTGTCGCACTTGATAGTAACGACTCTCATTCCAGCCATTGCTGCAGAAGCTGGGTTGGTTCCGTGAGCAGAAACTGGGATCAAGCAGATGTCACGCTTCTTTCCTGGCTGTTGTTCCTGAAAATTGCGAATGACGCGAAGCCCAGTGAACTCACCCTGGGCACCAGAGTTGGGCTGCAAAGATACGGCATCGAAGCCAGTAATTGTCGCCAGGTCAGCCTCCAACTCGTCAATCATGACCTTGTAGCCAGTTGCCTGATCGGCAGGCACAAAGGGATGGATGGAAGCGAACTCGGGCCAGGTGACAGGGGCCATCTCGGTTGTGGCGTTGAGCTTCATGGTGCACGAACCCAGAGGGATCATAGAGTGAGTCAAGGAGAGATCCTTAGATTGCAGGTGATGAATGTAGCGGAGAAGCTCAGTCTCCGAGTGGTGGATATTGAAGACTGGATGGGTAAGGTACTGGGATGTTCGCTTCAAGGCAGCTGGGATTGGCAGTGTTCCACTTCCAGGGAGCGACTTGATGATCTGCTCAATGTTGATCTCGGTGTCTGATTTAGCGAACTTTTTGAAAATCGCAAGGATTTCTTCGAGGTCCTTTGCATCAACTGTCTCATCGATGGTTATGCCCAATCTGTTGTCGTCAAACTTTCTCAAATTGATGTTGAAAGCACTGACTGCGTGTTGCAACACCTCATCGGCCTTGTCTTGGCCAACACTAACAACCACAGTGTCGAAAAGGACGCCTCCATCCTCACCTTTCCCACGCGTTCCTGTCTCGAAACCAAGAGACTTGAGGCCAGACTCAATGATTCTGGCACCATTAATAGCACGCTCAGCGATGTTCTTGAGACCCTGAGGACCGTGGTAGACAGCGTAGAAAGCACTCATATTGGCCAAAAGTGCTTGAGCTGTGCAAACATTGCTGGTGGCTTTCTCACGTCGAATGTGCTGTTCTCTGGTCTGCAAGGTGAGCCTCATGGCCTTGTCTCCCAATCGATCCTTGGAAACACCAATGAGACGACCTGGAATCTTTCGCTTGTACTTCTCGCCGACAGCGAAGAAGGCAGCGTGTGGTCCACCATACCCAAATGGTACACCGAAACGCTGAGCATTTCCGAATGCGATATCAGCACCAAACTCTCCGGGTGGTGTAAGAACAGTCAAAGCTAAGAGGTCCGTAGCAACACTGAAAGTGGCCCCTTGCGCATGGATGATATCTGCCAGACCCTTGAAGTCCTCAACTCCTCCCTCAGTGTCTGGGTATTGCACCAAAACTCCAACGAGATCCTTTCCAAGCTCCTTCACACGAGCTCCTCCATCCGCGAGTACATCTCCAATTTCAATCTTGATGTCAAAACCATCCGCGCGACTTTGAAGTACTGCCTTGGTCTGGGGGTGGACTAGGTGACTAACGAAGAAGGTCTTGTTCTTGCTCTTTTGTCTGGAAGCGGGCAAGGCGTTCAGAGACAAGGTCATTGCCTCAGCAGCAGCTGTGGACTCGTCCAGGAGAGAGGCATTGGAAATTGGGAGAGCTGTCAAGTCACAGACCAAGGTCTGGAAGTTCAACAGAGACTCCAACCGACCCTGACTGATCTCTGGCTGGTATGGTGTATAGCTCGTGTACCATCCTGGCCCCTCTAGCACGTTCCTCTTAATGACCTCAGGTACTCTTGTTCCCGCATATCCACAGCCGATGTAGCTTCGCATAATCGTGTTCTTGGAGGCAATAGTTCGCAGTCTCGCCAGTAACTGTGACTCCGTGAACCCTTCCTCTCCTCCAGCTTTAGCAGCATCTATCTCAAGATCCTTCGCAGACAATATGTCACTCGGGAGAACTTGCTTCACAAAGTCGTCCAGACTCTTTACTGGCGGATCCAGAGCCTTGAGCATCTGCTCTGTAGTCCCTGGTGTAGGACCGATATGTCGCCTCGCAAAAGTATCGAGGGGTAGGTAGGAGCCTCGAGAAACCTCGGCAGGTTTGGCAGCGTTCGCATCATCTTTGGCAGAGCTTGTGTAGAAACTGCGTCTTCCAATGGTCGAAGAAGCAACGGGGGAACAGGAGCACTGGCGACAGATCCAGGGTCGTCGCGTGAGCCGGACTGTTGGAGTCGAAGAGCTTCGAGCTTGCGCCACGGCACGTCCAAGCTGTGCTCGAAGAGCAAGACTTGAGGTCGCCATCGTATGAAGAGCTGACCGTGCTCGAAAGTAGAAATTAAAGTCGGTGAGAACAGCAGGGCAGCTGTTTATCTGTCTGGGGAGACTCAATGGTGGGGCACGGGCAGGTTCAACGGCCAATGGTTCTCAACCCCTCATAGCAGATATGATAAGACAGGCTGAGGGACAGGGCGATTTTTGGTGCCTGGTCAATCAATTGAGTTGAAGAATGGTGTTTTCACGAGAAAACAAGACTCTAAAAGAAAGTGAGAGTGGGATTGAATCATGTAGAGGTCCAAAGAACGAGCTATTGTCTGAACACGCCAAACAAAAATGTACGCCACAGTTGTCCTAGCGCGCCACCACCCCCGGCATGACCCTGGCGATTTCAGATGTCAAAAAAGGGCGCTTTCTTCAAAATTCCGCATCCAGCCCGGCCCGCCAGTCTACCATCATCGACAAGACGAGAATATCCAGCCTTTCACAGCCTTAAACTCCACAAAAATGTTCGGAGGACGTGAGTTACATCGAAACACAGTACGGAGTATAAGTTAATGGATTTGCAGCACCACCCCCCATGAGCGCGGCCGACTTGAAGGCTTCTGAGGCTGAAGCAACCTTGACTATCCAGAAAGTCATCGTTGGAGCTGTTATGTTGTACCTGTGTACGTGTTCAGAGCTTTGTAACTTCTGTTGGTGGTAGGAGATTATGTGCTAACCCGCTACTTGCAGCACCGTTTGCGATCGATGTTGTCACAAAGCTTGTGTAAAGGGGAAGAAAAACTACGAGAGCTGTACGACTATGGAGAATGTATATTATGGTCGGAGAAGCATCGCATATTGGAGCATGGCATCATAGAGGGTTAATGACAGGCTTGTAGACAAGGGCCAGGCACGATACGTGTATAACATGGAGAATGAATACCTCTCTTCCAAAAAGTTTGTCAAGCCACTGGAAGACTTTGTGTCAATACCGTGGTTGAATTGTTGACACCTGGGCATCTGAGGAAAGAAGAAATTCACGACTAAGATCTGGTATCGGGTAGGTGATCAATCTTTCTATTTCTCTTTCTGTGCTTCAAGTTTGTTTTCTCTGGTACCTTTACCCCAGTTCACCATTCCAAACTTGATGTGTTTCTATCGCCGTGTTTGAATGCATACTGCTTCTCAAATATCCAAATCCGACTTCCAACCCTTGATTCACTAGCCCTGTCAATTGGGCGAATAGCTCCGTATATGCGCGCAGGGCCATCCTCTTGGAAATCATCAAATAGATCTTGCGTTTCTCCACCCAGTGGAATGGTTTCCGTTACATATAGCGCAGCTGCAGCAAGTCTCCTGACGCTCGGATGTGCAAAGAAGGCGCCCAAGTCCTCCCGGCCGAGACTCGCTTAAGCTCGGTTCAATCAAGAGAAGCAGGAATCTCAATGCTATGGAGCGATGTACCTGGCTCGGCCTGGGTACACGTTGTCGTAGGTACTGAACTGCACCGGAAGATCAGGTCAACGGCACAACGTAGAAACATTGAACACGTTTGTGCCCCGCTTTCACCATTTGCTCCGGTATATTTTAAGACTGTGGCGGTTCAATGTTAGTAGAGACGTTGGCAGTTCGTTGTCAGGATATACATAGATCCCTCGATTTGACCACGGCGAAGACGTGATAGCACAGATGGTAGTGATGTAGGAATGCTCATTCATCATTCTGCTTTGGAGGATCCGCTCCTCCTCTAGCTCATCCACGAAGCCGATATCTCTTCAGATCTCATGCTAAGCTGTCCCGAATTTGCTTTCCCAATAGCTCTATTATGCGAAGTCGATTTATATCTACTGTATATCTAACAAGTCTAATTCTAGTCTGAAGGCCGACTAGCTGACGTCTATTATCTAGTATTGAGCAGATCCCGACTGTAAATATGCACAATCGTTTCTCACTCCCTTTACATCAACCCCTCCCTAACCTCCTCCAACTTCCTAATCTGCCTCCCTTGCTCATCAAAATTTGCCTTCCCAAGCCACTCCTCCAACCCCTTCTTCACACTCCCCTTGCCCTCCCGAAACCACTCATCATCCAGACAGCTATACCAAGCTGTATCTCTCCTCTTTCCCTTGACGACAAGATGTTTCCTGAAGATCCCCTCGAATACAAACCCCAGTCTGAGCGCCGCCCTCTTGCTTGGCTCATTCCAATCATTGCATTTCCACTCGACTCTTTGGTATCCCAATTCCTCAAATGCATACTTCATGAGCAGGTAACTCGTTTCTGTGGCTGCGGGAGTCCTTTGCAGTGTGGTGCCATACAGAACGTGTCCGATCTCGACGGTACGATGAAGGGGAACGATGTTCATGAATGTTATGATGCCGACTGGTGTTTCTGATGGTGAGGAAGTGGACATGATGGTGTAAGGGAAGTAGATAGCGCTTGTGAGCAAGGTATCGATGTGTGCAGAGAACGCATCAAGAGTATGGAAAGGTCCAGCTGGCATGTAAGTATGCAAGTGATCTTTCTCCGGACCGCATAAGGAGGCGTATAGTCCCAGGACGTGAGTTTTGATGAGCGGGATGAGGGAGATGGAGTGCTGACCAACGAGGGTCTTGCTTGGATCTGGCAGAAGGGCTGGAGAGCCGGAGACGATGTCTCCTTTGGGCTCGAAGTTGGGCATTGTGTAATATCGTGGTTCGGTTGATTCAATGTTTGTATTGATATGGCGGTGACAGACGAGTGTGTACCTGAGAGAGATAAATCTCATCTAGAAGCATCCAGGAACGGATGTGAGTCACGCAATCTGTTCGGCGCGAAAATGCTTTCTTAGGTCATTGCTAGTCCGGAAGTATTTGGAAGTTGTGGAGCGAGCAGGAAGGCCGAGTTGGACGGGTACCAAGATTCGCCGAGCGTGGTGATTGAAGAATTGTTGAAGCTTTCCACCTTTTGAAGCTTCTGAACCCAACCCGGTTAGGTAAGGGAGGCATCCAGAGTCGGACATTCACGTGATAGGATCCAAGTAGGTACGGGAGGTAGGTAAGGCAGTGTGCACCTCGATCGAGCAGAGCGAGCGTCGATGCAAATGTTTTAGTACACATCTTTATATTATACATGATTTTATGCATCCTGTTGTCATGTCGCTAAACGAACTGAAGGCCTCTGGCCTGGGTATCACTCTTCTTCGTCTCCTTGGCTTTCGGTGCGGTGGGACCTCCCTGCTCCTTCTGCCAGTCCGCGAACTCCTTGTTTATAGACTCGAGCTCTCCCTTAAGATGGGACAGTTGAGTGTTGTAATCCTCCAATACCTAAAGATTATCAGAAATTGTAGTTGCTGCAAAACAGAAAAACGTACCTTTTTTGCTTGTCTACTCGTATCTTCATCCAACACATCTGGAGCTTCTGTTCCGGCCTTCTCGATCTCATTTCGCAATGTACGTGCTCGATCCTGCACGATAAGCATCCTGGCCCAGATCTCCTCTCCTCTCGCACCCAGTCCGGGATCAGTGACGTTCTTCTCCAGGGCCAACAACTTTGTCCGCAAATCCTCCTCATCACCAGCCATTGCATAACCTCTATTTCTGAGCACCTGAACTTTGGTAGCCAAGGCCAAGCAACGCTGCTTCAATACCACATGCTTTCTCCTCGCATCTATCGTCCTAATGCTCGTCTTGGTCTCATGGTCTTGCATCATCTTTGTCAGCGAAGCGTTGATTTCGTGCAGTCGGGTGTTGAAGTTTGAGAGGTTACGTTGCTGAAGCTTAATTCGCTCTCCCATTTGATTGAACCCTGTACAGAGAACCGGGATGTATCCAGGACCGGGCTTTTTCGATAGAGCTTCCTCCCACGCTTTTGGATCCTCGTTGGGGCCAGGTCGGTAATACGGTGCCATATTGTCATCGACTTTGTTATAGAAGTAATGCTTGAAAACGCAGTTTGGATTGCCCGAATCCCATTTCTCAAGTACTGTTTGCATCTGGTCTGGAATACTCTTTTCACCTACAATAACATCAGTTTCGAAGTCGGAAATGGACTAACGATACATACGAGGATTTATCGCATTGTTGGCTGCTTGCCATAATGATGCACCTTGGCCCAACTGAGGAATGTTTTGTTGCGAAGATTGACCGAAGAGTCCATTCTGCTGGGGCTGGTTCTGGCTCTGACCAAGGCTACCAAAGAGACCACTTTGCTGCGGCTGTTGATTGTTTTGGGTTTGAGCCAGTCCACCACCAAAGAGACTGCCAGATTGTTGTTGCTGATTATTTTGATTCTGCCCTAGTCCACCTCCAAAAAGGCCACCAGATTGCTGCTGCTGAGTATTTTGAGATTGGCCAAATAGACCACCAGTCTGCTGAGGTTGGCTTTGTGCTGTGTTGCCAAACAGTCCTCCACCTTGTTGTTGTTGTTGTTGTTGATTCTGCGTACTCTGTCCCAAGTTCCCAAATAGTCCTCCGGTGGCCTGGTTCTGGTTTTGTTGCGTGCTCTGACCCAAGTTTCCGAACAGACTTCCGCCTTGTTGCTGCTGGTTCTGCTGGTTGTTCGTTCCTGTAGAGCCAAAGAGTCCGCTGTTCGGTTGCTGTGTATTTGTATTCAGCGACGATCCAAATAACCCACCGCTCGCTGGCTTGGTTGCTCCGAACATGTTGATATAGCTCGGAGGACGTTCGTTTGCGGAGTACTAGGCTGTCGGGAGTTTGCAGAACTGCTATCGTGCGATATCCCTTCAGCTCGTGCCGGATCTTGTATTTAGGAGCTTGGAAGCAGGACGCGTAAATGAACGAGCGCGCAGTCGCCGGGAACAAAAAGAATTTTGCCGGCCTCGTGATGCAGGATATCGGTGGAGTCCGAGAGATTGACGCCCCAATATTGTGTGCTTACAAGCTTCACGAGATCGCTGCAGGTCGATCAGGTCGGATGGGCGTTGCAGCTGGAGATTTTTCTCGCGACTGACTTGAAGCTCTCGCGGCCAGGGATGTGTCACGTGAACAATTGAAGCTCGCTTGCCGTTGAGATCGCTGGACCTCCTCCAACCTCCAAAGCTACCAATTGAGCTCCCACCACTTTCCTGCTTCTCCAGAAATACCGTCAAGATGTCGGGAAGACCAGCCAGGTACTCATAACCACACCAATTTTACCCACCGCCCAGTGACAATGCTGATCAAGTTCAATTACAGATTTAATCAAAGCACCCTCATCGATACAACACCACTACCTGCGGATATCCCACCAGTTACGGAAATCGGAAGCAGTTCAGCGCCTTTGCTATCGGCCAGCTTCTTCATTGGAGCAAGATGCAAAGCTTACAATGACGATTTCATGCAATGCAAGACCGAGAGCGGGGGAAAGGGCGAGATCGATTGCTTGAAGGAGGGCAGAAGGGTCACAAGATGCGCTAAGAGCGTGTAAGTGCTGTTCATATTCGACTTAAGCGTCGTGCGAGGATTTATTGCTCATATGGTCGACCTCATGTGGCTGGTAAAGGTGCTGGATGGACTGCCAGGAGCCTTGTACAAGGTGTTGCTGGATGTGTGATCTGGAAGGAATGCTGGGATATGGACAATTGTGTGTATGTGAGGCTGACTACAGTCTGATAGGATTGAAGATGTGAACAAGCACTGCCTGGCAGAGTTCCGAAAGCATTGGACCTGCCTGGACAACAACAACCAGCAACTATGGCAATGCCGACCTGCGGAATGGAAGCTCAATAAATGCGTCTTCGACAACCTGGTAAGCACTTCAACCTGGGCTGATCTCTGGATACAGCTGCAATTATCATTCTCGAGCTGAAATGCTGATTTTGTGAATTAGAAAATTGAAAAAGTTATCCCCGATACCCCGAAAGGCGAGACTCCTGTACATCTCAAAACAAGGCAAATATACTCGCACCATGGGCCATAAAAGGTGTCGAGGCTACTGGGATAAAGAGACTTGGGGTGTATGTGTACATAGTGTTGCGGAAGAGACACAGTTATTCGAGCTGTACTTCGCCGAATTGGAGTTTCTTGCGTTCGAATTTCGCTTGTCCAGGTGCTCATGTTTAGTTGTTACGAGCTTCCAACGATGAAGTATCAAGCCAAGTGGCTTGGAGCCAAAGGATAAAATGATTACTCATTTGTCTGTCTAAAAATTTGCCTTCGGTGGTGGCAACATTTGAGGAAAAAACAAGTTCTCGGATTTCTCTCGACCCAGCAGACCTAGAAGTTTCAAGCAGACGACAGCGTACGGGACATCAATCGTAAGGTTAAGCGAGAGCACATGTTGTGGTTGTAGTATCGATTCGTCCTTTGACTTTCTGGCCATGCACTGTGCTTTATTGCATCCATTCCAGGATCGTACACGAGCATTCCAGAGGTAGCTGTCCTGGATAGAGGTGTGCCAAATCCAATTATGCTCTAGCCAGATATACGTATTCTCTTTTCTGATCAACGCCCCCCTAATCTATACATTTTAGATCCATCTAACACTGCAAGTCTAGTACATCCTTCACCAGTACAACGCCCTCGGTCCTCAGAGACCTGTTGGCTGCAATACCTGTCAAAATACTCCTCGCACCATCAATATGATCAGCAGCTCTTCCAAAACGATCTTCGCCAACATTGCTGCCGAACAGATCATTCAACAGCACCGGATCACCACCACCGTGTCCCCCTTCACCCGACTGAACCTCAATCTCCCGCGGCTTCTCAAATAACGGTCTCAGCGTGACCGTACACTTCTCCAAGGCGCCCTCTGCTCCCTGCTCACCGCCACTATTCACATAACTCTGCTCCACTACATCCAGTTCCAATCGGCCCTTCGTTCCGTTAAACACAACTCTGAATCCTTCCCATGGCGCATAAGCCGTCAAACTATACGTCAGGATCGCACCACTCGCATACTTCACCAAAACACCCATCGTATCCTCAATACTGATCCCATCACCGAAAACGCTCTGATCCCGATAGTATGAATCTTCGTGCTCAGCATCGAGGTACATCTTCTTCAACTGCTCATGATCTTCGAGATGCAGGGCAAATGGATCATTCTTAGCGACCTCGCTTCCATGAGCACGAGTATAGAACTCGGTCACGCCTCGGTTCTCGGCATTCTCGCGGCCGTAGAACATGAGACCCCCTTGGGCCATCACACTTACAGGTGACGATCGCAGCCAGAAGTTGATCAGATCGAAGTGGTGCGTGGATTTGTGGACCAGAAGACCGCCAGCATTGCGTTTGTCGCGGTGCCAGCGGCGGAAGTAGTCAGCTCCGTGGCTGGTATTGAGAGCCCATTCGAAGTGGATAGAGTTTACTTTTCCGATTACTCCTTCACCTGTTGACTTGTTTAATAGGAGTTTCATTACGGGATGAAGAGTGGTTCTCAACATACCTAGCAGCTCATAGACCTTTGTGTTATGTGGAGCATAACGGTAGTTGAACGTCACCCTGACTTTCTTCCCCGTTCTCTTTACAGCATCAATGATAGCCTGGCATCTCGTCTCGTCAATGGTCATTGGTTTCTGTTTCCACTTTTCAGTACAAGATACTTCTAAATCCTCCAATTATTCAGAACCGTCTATTTACCTCAGTTATCACATTACACCCGAGCTCCAAGGCCTTAATGATATAAATGTCATGCGTCCTATCCATCGTCGTGACAATAACCTCATCTGGCGTCGTCTCCTTGATCATCTTCTCAAACTCATGAGCCTTGTAAGTGGGCAATGGCGCAGACGGATATTTCAGTGCCACAAGATTGTCATTGGCAACATTCATTCGCGTCTGGTTTGTATCACAGAGACCGACTATGACAGAAGTAGCTTTGAAGTCCTTTGCCAGTGCAGTGTAAAAGAAGCTACTCCGGCCTCCCAAGCCGATGATTGCGTACTTCTTCATTATGAGTGATTCCAGAATGTTCAGAATGGCTATTCGAGATGACAAAATGTCAGTAACGGCTTTCAAACGAGTAAAGTATGTTTCCAACGCAAAAGCTGGAATACAGTGACGTTTATAGAAAACTCACAACACCCATCTGTTCCTCCGACATCCTGGTCGAGGGGTCACTCCACATGAGACTTGCCCCACGCCAACAACCCCACACTCGGGATTCCGCCTGAATAGCAACCGCACCTCTGGTTTTCCCAAGCTCTGCTCCCCAAAATTTCAAGCAAGAGGAAGCAACTCTGCCCAGCTTTTCATTCAGGCAGAATTGAATTTTTCCAGCAACCAGAAGCTGCGGATCGATAATGGGCAGGGATAAGCATTGGATCCGCAACCTTAAGCCAGCCCACTCTTGCTCTTGGGCGACGTTTGGTTCTGATAGCTTCGCAATGGATTGTCCCGAGTGCCTGGACCGAGCGGAGCTGCCACTCTCTGTCCTTCTTATAGGATTATCGTGCTCACTGGCTCGTTCTCTGACAGTTTTGGGATGTGGGACCAGTGGGGGTTGCATACGAACGACAGCGTATGCAGTTAGTATGGAGATCCCGTAGCATATCTTGATGCTTTTCTGTTGTGGTTGTTCTGGGCGAGGGGGATTGCCGTATGAGTTTAGCCTTTACCCCATACCCCATGTTTATGTACGTTTTTATTCTGGATGGATGGTTACAATCGTGTTGGCGAATAGCAGATGGAGAAGGAAGTCCCAATCTATCTTTGCTAGCCAAGAACCAACATTGAGAAGTGGAGAGCGTCGGTGTTGCAGCTGGTTGGTATGTCGGTCGGGGTCTGGATAGATGTTTAAATATGCCCACCCCATCTGCAAGAAACTCGATATATGATTTTATCCATTTTCTGCTTATCCGGGATATCTACTGAGAGAAGACTGATAAAGTCCTTGACGCAACTTGCAGATGTCTTCTTCAAAACCTCAAGTCGAGACGATGGACTCCAAGGATGTCATCTCAGCTCATGTCCAGAACAATCATGAACCAGTAGTGGGAAGACAAGATCCAGTTGACCTCTTAGCCCATGATACAAATATCTACTTTACTGTTGAGGAAGAGAAGCGAGTCCTTCGCATGATCGACAAACGAGTGCTTCCTTTGATGCTTGGAGCTTATGTGAGTAGACCATGAAGAAGTCGCTATGTCCCATGGTACTTACAGTACACCAACTGGCTCTACATGACGGATAACCACTCTGGAATATCCCTCGACATGCATTGAAGTCCGGAATGACGTACTGACTTTCCCGTCTGATGGTAGTTTCTCCAACAACTCGATAAATCCTCTCTCTCTTACACTTCCGTGTTCAACATCCAAAAAGATGCCGGGCTCCATGGCCGCCAGTACTCCTGGCTAGGCTCGATTCTGTATATTGCCCAGCTGGTGATGCAACCACTAGGGGCATTGCTCCTCGTCAAGTTACCCACTGGGAAGTTGATCTCAACAGCCATCTTCCTCTGGGGTGTCACCATGTGCGGCATGGCGGCTTGTAACAGCTTCAAGACATTGTTTGCTGCCCGGTTCTTGCTTGGTAGCTTTGAGAGTTTGATTGGTATGTTGTCTGTGGGAGCTGCTCAGTGATAGTGGCTGATATGTGCAGGTCCGTCTCTCGTTGCAGTGACCCAGATGTGGTGGCGTCGAAGCGAAATGACGAATCGAACCTCAGCCTGGAATGCTATGAATGGTATAACCTCAGTGGTACGTGTTCTTCACAATCAGAAAACGGATCACCCTAACACAGCCAGTTTGGCTCTCTTAGCACCTACGGGCTTGGGCATATTAAATCTGATAAGCTCCATTCCTACCAAGTAAGTGAACTTTCACTTGCACACCTCTAAACTATAGCTAACAACCTATGTGCAGGTTATTTTCCTATACTGTGGTGGACTTACTCTGGTCTTCTCGGCCATAGCTTTCTGGCTCTTCCCGGATTCTCCCATGGAAGCCAAATTCTGGAAGGAAGGCGAGCGAGACATTGCAATCGAGCGTCTACGAGCCAACCAGATGGGTATCATATCCCGGAAATGGCGCTGGGACCATGTCGTCGAGGCATTGCTCGATCCAAAATCGTGGTGTTGGTTCTTTCTTGTGATGGCGATCTCGTAAGAACCTATTCTCCTTGCTCTTTCTTCTCTTGAATCAATGCCAGTCTCATAAATTTACAGGATTCCATCAGGAGGGATCGGCACCTTCGGTCCCTTGATCGTTCAATCATTCGGCTTCGACAAATTCCACACAATCCTCTTCAACATCCCATTCGGCGTCGTGAACATCATCGCCATCCTTGGCGGCGGTTGGCTTGCGACACGCATCAAAAGTAAAGGCACCGTGATTGCCATCCTCGCACTCCCCTGCATCACAGGAGCATCCGTCCTCCTCGCCTTGCCCCGTGACAACGGCAGTAAAGGTCCTTTGCTAGTAGCGTATTATCTGACTTCGTTCCTGGCGGGGATTACGCCGCTGATCTACTCGTGGCATATTCAGAATACCGCCGGTGATACAAAGAGGAAGGTGACCACAGCTTTGGTTTTCATTGGGATGTGCGCCGGTAATATCATTGGCCCACTTCTATACTCTGCGGAAGATAAGCCGTACTACCGAACAGGCCTCATCTCCAATCTTGCTATGTTCTGCTTTGTCGAGTTCCTGGTTGGGTAGGATCCCTTCTTTCCCACCTGTCTCCTTTCCCTCCTCCGCTTCTCCCAAGAAATTCACATGTCATCAAACTTTCACATGTAATCAAACTAACCTATTACCAGCTTCATAATGCTATACCTCAAGTTCCTCAATGCCCGCCACAGTCGCATGCGTTCCGCCATCGGGAAATCTGCCCACATCCTCGACGAGTCCATGATGAGGAAGACAGATCTGCAGAATTTGGGTAAGGGTGATGTGCAGCAGAACACGCCTCGCGAGGAGGATAATGCATTTGCTGACATGACTGACCTGAAGAATGAAGATTTCATTTATGTTTACTAACAGGGTTTCAATAGGGAGTATTTCGGTTAACTGAGTTGGATAGAGAAGGCTACTGCTGTGGCCTGTGTGGAGCCAGGTTCAATATCTCTTGATGCAATCAGTGTTTTGCTTTTGCTGCGTAAGCGAGGAAACATAAAGGGATTTGGAAACGGACGTTGGTGGCAATGAACATTTCCAAAAACAGGGTCGGGATAGAAACATGCCCTCGCAATCTTTTGCTTTCTAACAATCTAGGATAACAGAGAGTAAAACCCTTACAGTATACCAGTTTTGTAGACAACTTCTTCGGGCTGCCACGCAGTTTACTACCTTACACAACATCCGATAAAAGTTTACCAGCACACCAATCTATGGCTCGGCAAGTGAGAAACCCCACGAGGCCTTGAATACTTCTACTACTGTTCCACAACTATGCTGTGAGCTCTCCCTTCACTGCTGGTCAGAATGAAGAACAGCAAACTCAACTTCGTCGCACGGGACAACAGAACTTGTGTATGGCGAACCTCTCTGATCCATCTGCCCAATGTGAGTTACTTATCGGTGGTGTAAACAACGAGGGTATTATTCACCGAGTCATAATCAGGGATAAAGCAAGTGGACGGACTGCTTTTCGAGCCAAGCGTGTGAGATGTTCCTCGGAATCGGTCATAGTAGAGATGCTTGGACGGTGGCCACCTGTCCCATCTCGCTGGGAAATAGCCATACCACTGCAGAATTCTTTAATCAGCACATGCTCTCAGGGTACAGCCACTGAAGGCGATTGGCTTGATCTTGTCTGAACTTACGGGCTTGTTATCCGTTCGCTTCGGTGGTGCTTCAGCTGCAAGTTTCTGAGCTTGATTACACGCAATGATCCATCTCGCCCAACCGCGCTGAGTTGCAAGGTGAGGGTCCTTCAAAACAATAATAGGGTCGAGTATCAAGCGAGTACTTTTGAAAGCTTTCTCACGGAGAGTCTCTAGATGCTTCCTGTCTTTGGTTCTTTCGCGGACGTGGTGTTTGTGCTTGATAGCTCCGCTGTGTTCCTTCGAGTTAGGTGGCATGGTAGTGAAGTTATCGGTATGAACACCGCCCAGCTGAGAGTGGTAGATGTCCATGATATCCAGCCCGTATTGCTCTTCACCCGGCATATCCAGTCGCATAATGAAGCCTTTGGGACGAAAGACCTTCACGTCCTCCTCTGCACAGAGATCAAGAACCTTTTCAATCGCGTAAGGTATTTTTTGATTGGTAAGTGGTTCAGTCAGTTTCGAGCAGAACTTTGCCCAGTCCTCCTTGGTAATCCCGAACGGTCCCAATTCTTTTAGATATGGGAAACCTCCTTCCAGAGTATTGGTGTTCTTCGCCATTATTTGAATTCCTCGGGGGAAAGCTTGTGCAGGAGTGCGTTGAAGGGTGGTGTTGAGGTATGAACTGGACGCCTTTCGGGATGCAGCTCCATCATTCGTTTGAACAGCATCACAGTTTGCCAGATCGTGTTCCTGCACACAGGTGCAGTCTTTCTTAGCTGCCTGTTTAGAGAATTTAGATCCTTTGGGTTTATCTATCTTTACTGCAGATGTTTCAGCATTCTCTAGGGGCTTCTTAGCTCTTTCTTCGCCTGCAGCACGTCAGCAGGCTAGGATTTGTCATATTGAATCGTACAGGCTTACGAGATTTGATCAGCTTTCTCAGCTTCTTCGCATCAGAAGAGGACAGCCAATGGTCCGTATCCACACAATTGTCTTGATTGATGTCAGCCTTGTGCGATTTCTTGTTGCTCTTAACTTTCTTCTCCTTCTTTGGCTCCTTGGGCTTCTTCTCCTTCCTGTGATTTTTGGGAGACGCCTCATGGTCACCATCTTGGCAGTCCTCGTTGGGTTTCGACCTCTTCAATTTGTCCATTAACTTGGATTTAGACTTCACTCTGGGCTTCTTGAGGCCCTCAGAAGACTTCTTGACATCTGCAGGGGACGAAGCTGTCTCGTTGTGTCCTGCTTTTCGCGGCATCTGGTTCCTGTCTGACGTTGAAGACTTTAAAACATCTCTGAGTTGATCACAGTCTGCATGCTTGCTGAGATTTTGATTTTGTGCATGAAACTTAACTTTTGATGGCCTTTCTGCAGACGTCGAAGTTTCATGATCAGAATCAAGACATTGTTCCTCTCTGTCATTGGAATGCCTGGTCCTTCTCGACTTTGGTGAGGACCTTGATGTCTTTGGATCTTCTGTCGACGAGGAGGCCTCATGATCCATATCCGGACACATTTCTTGTGCTTCGCTAGAATCTCGAGATGTTCTCGATTTCGGCGATGGCTTTGACTTTGGATTTTCCAGCGACAAGTGGCCCACATCCGGATATGACTCTTTTGTCCTCTGCGGATCTGGTTGGTGTTTCGACTTCGATGAAGCTTTTGTTTTAGAATATTCTAACGACCTTGAGGGTTCGTGTTCAGGATTGGGGCATACTTCCTCAGTCTTGTTGGAATCTCTGGACTTTCTCGATCTTGACGAAGACTTTGGTTTCTTCGCCTCCTTCGAGGTAGAATTCGAAAGCTGCTTAAGAACATTTTCAGGCTGTCCTTCCTCAGTCTTGTTCGATTCCTGTGACCTCCTAGATCTTGTTGTAATGCGTGAGGTCTTCGCGACTGTTCGCTTCAAAGTCTCAGAGTCGTGGCTCGTTTCAAGTCCACCACTGCCTGAATTTGTAGCTCTCTTTTGATTCTTCAAACGGGTTTGCTTGCTATTTGAGGACTCTTCATGATCAGTGTCATAGCACTCTTCATCAGTCTTGTTCGATATGCGGGACTTTCTCGATACCGATATCGTTTTGGACTTCTTTGCATCTGCTGGTTTTAACGTTGCTGATGTACCATGGCTAGTATCTCGTCCGCTACCATTTGACTTGTGCGACTTGTCTGATTTCCGAGCTGCCCTTGACCTCTTCGATGAATTCGACTTGTTATTCAGCAGACTGGTATGGTCCTGGTGATGGTCGATTGAGGGGCACGCTTCCTCAGCGACGGCGCCCTTCTTGGACTTCGGCATTTCTCATAAAGATACGATGGATCGTTATGATGGATCGTGATATCCAAAATAGATTGGGTTTTCGTTCTGGTACTGAGCAGTGCGCTCGACACAGCGCCGTGGGTCTTGTAGAGCTTGCTGTTTGCGTTGCTGTTGCAGGGGACAGTCGGCCTCTGGCTTGTCTCGGCGTATTTGTGCTCCAGATAATAATTAATAGAACATCTGTGGTGGTTAGGGTATAAGAATGGCTAGGTGTTAATCTGAGGTGGAAGAGTGAAGATTTGAAAGGTATTCAGACCTCTTCTAGACCTTGCGACGAATCGTGCCTTCCTCTTTTGCAAGCTACAGCCGCGCCTCAAGACAAACAAGGAGCATAGATAGAGAAATTCCATTGGTATCTCTAAAATCAGCAGTACAGTTTTCCATGTCGTCCCAAACTCCAACGCTGCAAATCATTTCATAGTACATTTATCGCCTTCCACGACCTCCACGTCCCCGACTTCTGCTTCTGCTTCGATCATCATAACTGCTGTAGCTGCTATAACTTGGGCTTCTTCTCCTCCTGCCACCATTTCGAGCTGGACTTGTTCGGCGTCCTCCACCACCTCCTCCACGTCCTCGTCTTGGCGGAGAGCGTGAGCGCGAAGAGAGAGATCTAGATCGGGTGCGGTGTCGTCTTGGAGAGCGGGACCGTGAGCGGGATCTTGGGCGGTAGGTGTCGGTGTTTCTCTCAGATCTGCCATAGGGAGGAAGGGGCGATCGACGTCTGGCTGGGGGAGGAGGTCGGACATTGGGAGCTGCATTGAAAGATGCACGGGGGTCGAGGTTTACGCCACGTCTCGCGAGAGGTGGGGAGGGAGAGAATTTGCGACGTGGGAGAACAATGGAAACATTGATGACTGCTCCGTCGATTTGCGATTCGTGCATGTGCGCGATTGCAGCTTCAGCATCGGCCTCGGAGGTATACAGGATGTAGGCTGTTCCACGATTGGTGTTGACTTGAAAATTAGCTTTGAAAATGATGGCTGAATGGAAAAATTACAAGCTCTGTTCATTGGCATGTCCAAATCGCGAATTTCTCCATATTGACCAAATATCTCTCGCAGGTGGGCTTCGTTTACGTTCTTCGTAAGCTTTTCGATCACAACCTGGGAGTGTTAGCAACGACCGTTTCTTCTTCACTGGAACATACCTTTGTGCTTCGGACTGGACTTGGACTTCTGCCACGACTGACGCTGCGACTTTCACTTCTGTATCTGCCATTGCGACGAGGGCTCCTGCTGATTGACCGAGGGGTAATTGACCGACGAGGTCTGGAGATGGACCGAGGGTCTCCTCTGCCTTTGGAGGCATCAGAGTATGGCGAGCGAGTGCGCACGCGGCCGCGGGGCGATTCTGAAGCCATGTTGTGCTTGGTGTTGAAGGAATATCGGAAGCCTGGCCTGGTTCGCGTTGGAAGACGCGAGGTTGCCCGGTCACGTGGCTCGCTAGTTCCTCCTCACTTTTTCTGTTTCCTCCCTGATGATGTTTGAGGGGAAACGAAAGCTGGAAGAACAATTTGAGAGAAGCGTACTTTAGATGAAGGCAAGCAAATCCTGTGGTCGTCAAGACTAAAATGTTACTCTGACGACCAACTTCTGGCTTGACCAAGGTGAAACGGGACAATGTAAATGCTTTGCTCGCATAAAAGCCCAATTCGCTATTGCAGTCGATTGGCTCCTAAATCGAATGCCATTCAGCTAGTACTTTATAAGAAACAAATCAAAGACTGCCCAGAAACAGACGGTACTCTTCTACCTGCTATATTGATGTTCTTGTAGCTCGCCTCGCTAAGTGTCTCGGGGGCAGGCGGCAAGCAGGTTGGAAAAGATTTTGCTAATTACAGTCATTTTCTGGTCTAGACAGGCTCATCTTTTACGAACAGAGTGTATCAACATGGGTGCTTATGAGGGAACGTAGCAAATGAATGGAAGTGAATTAGCTTTGCGCTGAGATGGCCAAGAAGAAAGCTTATCACATCTCACAGCACAAGCGACAAAACCAATATCGCATGGGTCTATGACTCGCTGGGTCAAGGCCATGGTATGGTGCTTGAAAGCCAGCAGTAATGAGAGGGCGGCTGGGTGGAACCTGGATGTAACCCTGATCTGATCTGATCTGGATAGCTCACAAAAAGCTGCGCGGAACCCGTCTGAAGACACGGCACGAGGGTGGTCCGCATTTGATGGGTGCTATCAAACAGAAGGCCAACTACTCCGTTCAAAGTGCTGCTTTGTCCACATTATCTTGGTACGGCCAGAGTTTCTCGACACATAACCTCTCCTGGTCATTATCTGCAGCTTCGAGGCCACAAGTCCTCAACCGCTCCAATTCGGCTTGTACCTCATCATACTTACTCGGAAAAACTGTACCGTCCGGGGGCAGTCCATAGTTCTTCTGCATCAGGTTCAGGACATCGGAGACGAACTCTCTATTCTCCAGCTCACTATCGAAAGCAGACGCCTCCTCCTCAGTGTTGACAGGACATGGCCCAGCACCAGGGCAGAGCGATTCCCAGTTTGCCATAATCCGTAACAGCGCTCTCCGTAGAAAAAATACCGTATTATCGTCCCATACTTGCTGCACGATCCTTATAGGTTGGACTCGTACGTCATTTTGAAGCTGCAACGCAGTCCAGTGCTTAGGGTTGTCCCTCTTTGTGATTCGGAGGTAGTACTGATGCAGATGCTCGCTCTTGTGCATGTTCTGCGCGTATTTCTTTCCATCCTCATCAAGATCATTAAAGTTATCAGGTAGCTTTGGAAACGTAGAGAGATCGAGGGAGACGGGTTCACGGTGGCACACCATCTTTGGCACGCCGCATTGGTAGTAAAAAGGAGTTGCGAGAGTTGCTTGCCAGTCTATCACGCTAGCGATCTGTAGAGTACTAGCGTCGATTAAAAGATTGTCGAGGTGGAGGTCGGGATGCCAGAGCGTAGCGGCATCTATGTGATCAGGAGTGGCGGGAGGCAGCATAGCTGGAGTAAGCTTGAGATATTTGTCTAACAGCCCTAACATTTCCTCGGGCTGCTCAAGCTCTATCGATGAACGAGCATAATTCAATCGCGGCATAGCATGCTTTTCAACATAACTTTTCTCGTTGATGGCTCTTTGTCTGATGAAGTCGAGGGCGCCTTGGACTTTGGAAGTCAGTGAGAGGAGGCTTCACGTTTCGCTATGGTACTCACACGGCCCTCTGTTCAAGCTCATACTAGTCTTCTGTCCCTGCCACTGATCGATAGTCACCAACGGGCCCATCCTAAATCGTTCTAGGGTCAAAGGCGATTCTATGCCTGCCATTGTGATATGACTACCATGAGGAGGGTCCTCTTTGAAGTAGATGCAGCCGCACTGCTCAAAACGTGCATCCGCAAGCTTCCGTTCGATTTGAACAACCTGCCGTATGATGCTAAAACGATCCTCGAACGAGAAAGTCTTCCAGTCCTGCCACAGTGACCATAGAGGCTGACCTTTGACCCTCTCTTCCAGTATGTACTCCGCACCTACAGGGTTCGATTTCTGGGAACACCAGGCAATTATAGGGGGATTTGGGATATCCAATACTTCGCGTAGCTTTAAAATCGTCAGCACAAGTAGAGTACTGTTCAGGATACACCGACAAAAGTACGGGTAGCAACTTCTGAGGCAGTCGTATAGTAGGCAGGCCCTGCGCAAGCATGTGGCAACTTTGCAAATATTACTGAACCATTATCCATAGTCAGCAGAAACGCCTTATTGTTCATGCCTTCCTTGCATTTCAGCACTTCTGTACCTTGAGACTTGATCAGCGTTCATCATGTGATTTGATGAGAAGGGTTATACATCGATTAGCAGCAGCAGCTTTGACTGCGACCTGTACAAGCTCCTGTAGATCGAATTTGAGATATCTCTGGGATAGGTTGTATGCTTCATTATATCTGAGACGTTAGCAGTCATGATCAGCTCTAATTGCGGCCATCCTACACCCAGCGATGCCTTGTATATCGGAAAATGTCCGCCTCTGGAATATCCTCAACTAAGTAATCAGTAATATACGACGCAAAGACAGGTCAATCTGTGGCATACCAGATCCATCTTCTCTTACAGCTCGAATCGCGAACGACACCCTGCATCGGAAAGGCTCCAGCTTCAGAGACGGCCGACAACCCGTAAAGTGGAGCCGCGTTGGGGAGGCGCAAGCAAAAACCCGACGAGGGATATGCTGGCAACAAATAGACCTCAACATTACTCGAGAGAACTCGGGGAAGCTATATCTGGGAACTGTTGATACATGGAGTGAGATCATGTGGATTAAAGGGTTGCTGTTTAACGCCCAGGTCTTCCATACCTATATCCTGTCTTTACTTAGGGGTCGAGGAATAAGCGGTCGATTGAGGCACGGGCGGGCGTTTGGCACACGGCCGAAATAACTTGCAAAGGCAAGGGTATGTTGATTCTACCTAGTATCTGTACAGCATACTCCAGCAACAATCACATCAATGCGGATTGTCTCAATTGTAATTATTTGGTTCCCACGCTTCTTACACTGCTTCTCGAAGGCGCTTATACGACTTATGGACGTCTGGATAGTGAATTTATATTTGATCCTTCATTAGATCCCATATCGTTTCGGGTGGGTTCAAATCAGGCGGATTTGCTACCCGGAGGATCGGAATAATACCAAGAGCTCCAAAACTAACTTCGTGTACTTCGAGGCATACCCTTTTGCGTTGTCTTGCTGAAATATAAGCTCACGGTACCGCTATAGAGTCTCATGAACTTTGGAATAATAAAAATAATCCTTTTCTCTTACTTGGGCAAGTTATCAACTAACCTGCCTGTAACACACTTTGGTAGGGAGCAGTGCTAAAGCGAAGCACGAAGGCTCCGGAGGTTCTCTGTGCTACACGGTACGTGTGCTGGCATTAGCCCCTGAACAAAAGTTTGTTTCGAACAGCAGCTTGGGGGATAGGTAAGGCTAAGCCTTCTTAAGGGATCGCTTCGTGAACTAATTGTAGAGATAAACGTTTACGGTACCTATCCCCAACTGTCGTATCAAACACACTTTTTACAGGGAGAGCATAGCCTGTAGCGAGACCCTATAATTAAGCGAAGAGCACTGAAATTTGAATGCTGCGTTGTCGGCTAGGCAGCCTTAGCGCCTCGCTTCAGCGCTGCACCTGGAAAAGTGTGTTTTCACCAGTTGAGGAGATGATAGTCTCAAATCGACAACAAAAATATCAAAATAGAAAGGTAGACAAATGAATTGCCCTCGGACGGAATCGAACCGGCAACCTCGTCATTACTAGTGACGCGCTCTACCACTGTTCATTGGTCAGTCGTTGTCCTTGTGAAAGTTTGGTCCCTATATGGACCGGAATTGAACCTTGAAGGTCTCGAATTCCATGATATCGAGAGAAAAACGTACTTGAGCTACGAGGGCTGTTAAGCCGTAGTGTTGGCCAAAAAATTCTTATTTACTTACATAAATGCAACATAAAATTCTGGCCGTTTGTGGGTGGGGTGGTGAGGAGATGTGTCCGAGACTGACCGGACTTCACACCGCCACTTTTGCTCCCCCACCTTCGAGCTGAGGCAGCGAGGGCAGGTAGGGTTCAGCTATTGACTAGCAACCAATCAGCAGGATTGCGCCACAGAAGCATATCACTACGTCCTTGGTCATCATAAGTATGACACGTTTTAGATGGGAAGATATAACATCACGACTATAATGTGCGGGCTAAGTAATGCACAAGTCCGCGAATTTCGTAATCGTCAAATGAGCTAGCAAGAAAATAGAGGTAGTAGAAAAGCGCGAGAATGATAAGATGATAAACCACCAGAACCGACAACCAGGAAGACTGCTTGGCTAATCAATACGCCGATGCATAATGTCTATATATGGCCAGGAAATCTAGAGCATAATACAGGAGAAATATTGTACTGTCCAAGAAAGGAAATGGACGAGAGAAGTTCAAATGCGTTCCAAGGAGAAACAAAAAAAGGATGAATGTAGTGTTTGACCAAAAACGGTGATGAACAAGCCAAGACGGTTGTAGAACATTTGTAGGCGACGGAAGTGGAGTACAAGGAAGTCTAAGGATTGATCGATGCTAAATTCAATTAGGAATTTCCGTAGCGATTCTGTAGTTAGTAACCAATGATGAACGCTTGATCATCGTTGAAATAGAGCTATGGAGACATTAGTGCGAGAGCCACTTGGCATGAACAGGACAGGCTCCACCCAGCGCTTTGCAGTGGACTCATGTCCAAGCCCTCATGTGCTATCGGTGAAAGTGCTCGAGTTGTAGTAATCATGTACGTCCAGGAATTACTTAATGACGATATTCCAAATCTGTAGCACTTGCTTTTCATTTGCAGACAGGTCACGGACAACATGAATCCCTTACCTTCGCTCATTCAGGCTTGGGACTGATTCTCCCCTCCAAGAACTTGATCGTGACTACATGAATTAGTGCGATAGATTTTCGATTTTCACGGCAATCCTCGCATTTTCTGTCCACCTGTACGAACATCGACAGGTTCAGGGTGAATTATTGTTGTCAATCTGGTTGCCGAGGACCTTAAGCGAGCCCCTTTTCGCTTAACCACAACAATGCCTCGCGACCTTCGGACCTCAGCATTGCGCTTAAAGAAATAATCGAAGCCTTCAAACTTCCATAGGCGGTATTCCGCGTGCTATTGACCAAGAGAATCATGAGGTACTGAAGTTATTCAACGATATCTGTTCACAACCGAGAATCTAGCCGAGTGGCTGCTGCCACGATTACCTTGCATCTATAGACTAAGTTACTGGACCAGGGACCTTCGGCTCCCTCAAGTGATACTTTTCATGCTGGTGGAGCCTAGAGCGAGTTCAGATGGAATTGACATTTTACCCTCGACGCGCTAGGGAAAGCTGTGGACTTAGCTAGAGCCAGGTACTTAGGCAGACGTCAAAGAAAGAAAGAAGTACGAGCATGGCGATAGCATAAATACTCCGGCTCTCTTATTTTCCTTGAATTCTCTTTTCATTCTTACAAAAGCCTCCAGTCTCCCACTTCGACTATACTGTCACCCAAACCAGACGAACATTCTTGTCAATCACACGGGGTGCCTTCGGGAAGGGCAGGTATTGCAAAGTCGTTCCGTGTAATCAGGGCCATCTACCATCATGTCAAGGTATGGTATCAAACACCTCGCTGAGCGATTTTCAACCACTAACAGCATATAGCGCCATCTACCTCGGCAAGTTTATCGGCCATGACAACAAAGTTTACAGAGCATGGGTCGAGGTCGAGACTGTCATCGATCTCCTCCGAACCCGTCTCGTAAAGTCCACAGGACAGTCTTTCCCGACGAAGTCCATGGACTGAAAGTACTCGAACAAATTGAATGCAAAGATTCATTGAAAGCAGGCTGGTCACACTTCCTCGATCATACTGGTAAGACATGGGTATCTGGTGGCGATCAGAGAGGAAGAAAAGCTCGTGTGAAACACTTGTGGGCACTTTGGCTCAAGAGAAACAAAGCCCCATGACGGAAGAATGATATCACTATCGCCCCCATATCCACCGTAGGGACGACAATACCGCACGTTCCGAAGATATTGAACAAAACTCTGCCAAAGACAAGCGAGAAGTGTCAAACAAATGGTTGAATGGAACTGGTATCAGAGCATCAACAGCCCGTGTTATCCCCAGAGCTTACCGAAAGTACAACATGTCCGCTTACGGGGTCATCGACAAGTTCGTGCGTGGGAAGCTGCTTGCGAGCACACCCTTCAAGTCCAATGGCACCTCATCGCTTGATACTATCGAATCTGCATTTCTTAAGTATGGGTATCGCATTTGTCAAATCAATGCCATCAAATCTTCTGGTGACGTTCATTCTCGTGGCCTGAAGTCAATACTTGATGCCACGTGCTGGGATTTCAGCTCTGCCGTGGCCATTGAAAGATTTCGGAGCACAACCGAGCTTATAAATTGCTGAATGAATAGAAGCTAAAGAGAAAGCGTGCCGAGAATGTCGTCCCGAGTCTTGAGGACATTCCAGGAAAGGGTACTTCCGATAAAGATCAAGTGCAGGCTACAGCTACAATGACAATAGAAGCGCCAGCATGTCCGTTCAAGCGCGTGCGCATCACTTTAAGAACCAACAATGGTGAAAGAAATTAAAGGATGCCTAGAAGCATATTTCGAGGAAGAATAATGTCAGACAATGTAGTTTATATCTTCTTCCAACTCATGGTGTGGCGAAGAGCATGGACTGGGGTGGTTGAAAATATTTGAACAACAATCGAGGGATCATATTCGGTACGACGAGGGAAATTATGATATGAAGCAGAAGTTTTTTCAAATCCGGCCACAATGGTGAAAGTCATACATGAAGTGGAGAGACCGTTCATTAAGACGAAGTCTAGAGCAGGCGATGATAAGATATCATGTAAAGGGCACGAAATTAAGCTAGGTTGATAATGGAGGTGCACCATAGATGAGGGTGGATGGCAGATCTTGCGATGCTCTCATGTCTCTGACATATGGACGCGGAACAAAATTAGACAGCATGAAATTGAATCGAAACGTCCAAATGACCGACTCTTCACTACGTGAATATCTCACAACACGTGCAAGATTTCATCATGTGCCTCAAGTCCATTCAGAGACAGAAGGATAGAATTGCCATTAATGATCCCCAATAGGTCATGGTTTGTCATGATTGAGCAAAGCGCGCCATCAGTTGACTATGAGAGTAATCAAGAACAGTTTCTGACGTTACATTTTGACTTGGCTGCAAATCTTGTACGACTGCATTGCATGGAATGTCTTGTTTATTGGGAGGAGCTCGCGATGATAAAATTGCGTCATCTAATTTGAGCTTCCCTTTCGATTTCGCATCCTCCTCGAAGAAAAGATCCATGCCCACGACTAAGTATGACATGAGAGGATGCCATAGTTATAGTACAATACAGCAGCAATGCAAATTTCTCATCACAGGGCGTCACAAAGGAGGTAAATTAAGTGCCAGAGATATATTTGGTGTCATTTAATGGTTCGAGAGAGCTTTTTAATTCTTCAGATCCCCTGCAGAAATGCTCAAAACCGCCCCGTAGACACAATTTTAAGGATTTCAATGCAATGATACCGGCAAGTAAACGCCAATCCAGGGTATCATGTGCAGCCAAAATCGTCGGCTCACGCCAAGAAATCATCATGCCATCTATGCCATCCCAGACCATGCCAGGTCTTGTCCATAGTGAATGTCTCCCCCTCGTACCCTAGGAGAATGGCCCAAAGTGCAAATCAAGAGGAAATATCAATGCCGCAAGCACACTGATTTCGTTACAGGCGAGATATTTTATCGTGAAAGTTTTACTGTACAAGGAAAATGATGTAGACCGTCTATCCCACGTTATTGTTGTTGCCGTTGAAGAGGAAGGCAAGTTGTCGAATGTCAAGACGACCCATACTCTTCGAGGCGTTTTCGTCAAGGGCACTCTCAACCAAGTTTCGCTTCTGGTTTTGAAGGTCAATGATACGGTCCTCCACTGTGCCCTCAATCAAGATTCGATGAACCTCGACCTTATTTTGTTGACCAATACGATGGGCTCGATCGACAGCTTGCATCTCGATGTATGGGTTCCAGAAAGGATCCAAGATGATGACTTGAGATGCAGCAACCAAATTAAGACCTGCATTACCAGCTTTCAAGGAGATGAGCATGATGTTATCTGCAGCCAATTAGTGTTTGTGACATTTCACAGGTCCAAGATCTCTACTTACGCTCTTTAGAGTCAGTGAATCTGTTGATAGCATCGTTTCGGAGCTCTGCAGACATCGTCCCGTCGTAACGAAGACATTTCCACTTCTTTTGGTCGATTGGAACTTGAAGTAAGTCAAGGAGAGACACGAATTGACTGAAAATGATCGTCTTCTTGCGGTCTCTAGGGTCTTCAACATCAAGGAATGACTCGAGGAGCTGCATACACTTCGTGACCTTTGCTGATGGTTGCCAATTCTTGCGAAGATACTTCATATATCGACGCCGTCCATCAACTGTCTTCGTTGCTTCTTTTTTAAGCATAGCTATCGAAAGGTGAACTTTCTTCTCTGGTTTCTTGCCCTTGGACTTTTCTCGCTTTTCCTTGCGCTGAGTCTTGCCCTTGGACTTGCTCTTAGACTTGGACTTGCTCTTGTCCTTGGATTTCTTAGACTTTGCATCGTTAGGGATAACCTCCGCCTCCTCCTCCTCCTCCTCCTCATCATCATCAGCGTTGTTGTCTTCCGCCTCCTCATCAGTATCTTCGATGTCATCTGGGACAACGAAGCCTTTCAAATCTCCACCATCATCAACATCTGACTCTGTTTCCAAATCTGAATCTGAATCTGAATCCGTCTCCGAATCATCCTCACTATCGCTGTTGTCACTTGCCGTCTCCTCATCACCGGCATCTGGGGCGTGAACTTGTTTAAAAACGCTGTAATCAATGACCTTGTTCATCGATAGTGGCCCACGACATGTAGGACATTTAAGGTTGTTCTCACCCTCATCGCCTGCGGCAACATTCTGTTGAGCAGCTTGGTCGGCGATCCGAGTCATACACTCGCTACAAGTGTCATGACCACAAGGGGTTATGATCTTGGGATTGACAAACACATCGTAACAGACCGGACACTCAAAAGCGCCATCGGCACCAAGAATCCGATTGACAACCTCAGGTACCAAGCCTCTCGCCAATTCCATCATACCCTCGGCATTCTCGGCATCGGGAAGTGGCTGGTCGAAGTCGTGGATGAGATGTGGATGGCAGCAGGCTTGTCGAAGGCGGAGAAGCAAAACCAAGACACTTGTGTAATTTTTTCCAACTGTGCCAGCTTTCATATACTTGTTGAACTGTAGCACGGTCTTAGTTTCAAGTGCTGTGTAAAAAGCTTTTTCATCATCATCAAATACAACGTGCTGAATTTCTTCTGTCTTCTCGGGAAGGGTGATGATAGGCTTTCCATCGATCATGGATTTCTTGGTTCGTCGTAGCAGGATAGCTTTCAGGAGCACCTGGAGCTTTCGCATGGCGCCATCAGTATCCCGCCTTCTCGATTTTGAGGGGTCCGGTTTGGTCAGACAGCCAAAGTTCTCCTGGAACCTCTGCCACTCGTTGTATGGTTTGATTCGAAGGAAATGGATCAAAGAATATAGCTCGCCGACATTGTTCATCATCGGGGTTCCGGTGAGGCAGAAACGATATATCGCCTGGAGGGTACAGCATGCTCTGGCAGCGCCAGTGGACTTATTCTTGATGCACTGAGCCTCATCGAGGATAACGCGATACCAGGTACTCTTTGACCCAAGCAAGGGGAATTTCTTTTTAATCTCCACCTGGTCAAACGTGGGGTTGCCATCAAGCTTCATCTTGTCGTAGAATTTTTGGAGGCGCTTGTACTCAGCGCCTAGAGTACCATACGTCGTGAAAACCACATCAAAATTTCGAAGATCGTCCCAGCCTAACTTTCTTGCCTGTCCGTGAAGCATATAGGTACTAAGTCTGTACTGGGGTAGGGTCTTATTTCTGAGTTCCCGATCCCACTGGCGAACGAGCGCAACTGGACCGACGACCAATGTGGTCTTGCGTGCGCGATCCCCCGATGGACGAGAATGAATAAGTGCGAGAGCTGAAATAGTCTTGCCCAAGCCCATGTCGTCTGCAAGGATTCCGCCTTTGTTGGTGCCTGTTTCCATTGCCTTCATCCACGTCAAGGCGATCTTCTGGTGCTCATACTATATCGATTAGTTGTGTGTATTCGTGCGTACAGCAATAACTTACCAGGGGGTACACAAGAGCGTCTGGGGTTCCTCCTCTGTCCTCGGGGGCAAGCCCGATGTCCGGTTGGATATTCTCGAGCAGAGCCTGGATTTCTTCGGCGTTTTTGCGCGGGTCATTCAGCACGTAGCCGAGTTGATCCATTCTCTGTGGATCAAGGTGGAGAAAGTCTGATAGTTCCTCGAGATTGTTTCCGTTGGCTCGAGCAATGAGGTCTCTCAGAGGGTTTGGATTTGGATTTGGATTTGACATGTGTCCAGCACCATAGCCAGTAAATATAGGGACGTAGTCCATTGAGAAGTCACCAGTAAGATCAATCTTTTGTCCTTGTTGCATACTCTGCGGGGAGACAAAGTCACCGTTCACTCTAGGCTGCGTCCCATTCATCCATTCGTGCTTCAAGTGGCCGCCAAACAAGGCATTCTGCAACGCATCGGTCGATCCAGAACTTCTGGATGGTCCTGCATAGCTGGGTCTTTCAACCTTGGTTTGGGTGTGGCGACCATTATCGCGAAAGGCTGACGCCGGTATGATCTCGAGGTCTGAATCGGAGTCATCAGAAGAGTCGTCCTGAAAGCTGCCTGGCATAGGCCGTGAAGATTGCTCCCGCTTGAATGGATTCTGGGCACTGGAAGAAGAAGCCATAGATTTATACGAAGCCAAGTCTGGTTTTTCTTGCTTGACGCCTGATTTCATTGACCTTGGTTCTGCCTTGACAGACGAGCTGCCATATGTTTGAGGTGCGGGTCCCCACGGAAGCTTTCTACTAGCATTTGCTCCATTCTGGTATTGTGTTGACGGATTGGATGAGTAGGGGTTTGTAGATGCGAATGACTGCTGATGGCCACCAGACATCCGGTCGAAGGCAGTCCGTGCAGGGGGTTGCATGGAACTTGACGGAGCACCCATCTGAGGGTCGGAGAAGCTATTCTGAATAGTTCGAGCGAACTCCTCGTCCATTCTTTCCCGCTCCAGTCTCGAAACCTCGTCATGTTGCTGTTGAAAGAATTCCCTATCAAACGCATCGAACTTATCGTCACTAAAAGCAGAAAAAGGTCAGCCTCGATACAAACTCGTGAACTTGATCTCAAGGAATCTCGCTCGGTTCAAGAAGTATTTCATGTGTGAACAAACAAAGTGTGGTCAGAAAGGCCATCACCAACACAAGGTAATCGTACCCTGAACTACTCGTAGACGGTGTAGGAGGACCAGTACCAAAAGGACTCTCTGATGTTCGCCTGGACTTATTATCGAGAGGAATAGTAAGCTGACCGTCAAGGTGTGTGCTGTGTGATCGCTTTCGGGTAGGTAGATTCATATTCGAAGGGCTGACTAGATTTCCGAGGGAGTCAACGGTGCCAGCTGTAGAAGCTATTGATGCCGCTGAGGACCGAGTGTGCCACTGCTCTGAAGCTACTGGTAGTTAGAAAAGCATAAATTAGGAAGAACAAGGCCCGAAGATGGGAGCGTTAAGTGAAGAATAAAGGGGCTGCAGGCAGACGTGGAGGAGAGTCAGAGAATGATATGACGTACCTGGGTAGCCGTTCATCGCTACTCTTGCAGGATCTTCTGAAGCACTGTTCGTGGGATCTTTTCCTGGAGTTGAATGGAAAGATTGGGAGGAAGGCTTTGAAGAAAAGCCACTGGAGCCTTGGGCTGCGCGTTTCAGGCGATTCAATTGGCGTTCTAAAGAGTGAATTTCATGGCGAACTTCTTGCTCAGCAGCCTCGCGATCCTGAACATTGTCGTCGATTGATTGTAGGAGGACTTTCTGAAAGAGAATCTCCTCTTTTAAGTCTCGCATCTCCTGCGTCACCTGGAAAGAGGCCGTCTGCGACATTGTGGGCAAACTTGCAGACGGCCGCCCGGCTTGGGGTTGTGCGTGTAGTAGACTGAGTGGAGTGGCGGCCTGAAAGCAAGGCTGCCTTTGGAGCTGGTTGGTGACAACAATAGCCGTGGATGTGGCAGGGCAGGGCAACACGCCAGGCTGGTGGGAGCTGTATTGTGCAGTGAAATGACCTGTGTTGGCGTCGCGCAGACACGGGAGTGAGAGTGGAGCTGGTGGTACAAGGTGAAGCTTCAGGTGAGGATAGGTGAAGAAAGGAGAGAATGGCTTGGTTGGGCCCGGTGAAGAGATCGATTGATGATGGTGTTGTCTGCCAGTCTAGGTCTTTTCGCGGACCGAGATGGAAGTGAACCCAGATACCTGGTGAATACTCGTATCGCCCTCTGAGCCGCAGCCGCGTCAAAAAGACGCTCGGCGACCGCGTTTTGCCAGCCATGACGGCAGATAAGCTCTTATCAGCTGGAAAGGGGAAAGTGTCGGGACTGTCTCACATGACCGTGTTCTTAACGCCGACGACATTCGCTTCAACAAGAATATCCACCGCAAGAAGGCTCCTAATACTCCTTTCACTCTGGAAATCCTACCGTTTCTGGATGCTGAGAAATCTTCGCTGGGGTAGCTCACGTACATATGTGAAACATGATAACAGAACTCCTCAGCTGCCTATCTACAGATTGAGTGGCTGGTGTGGATCCGCTGCTGAGCTGGTGAAAGGCGGGCATTGCCTGGCCTCTGATGGCCTAGTTGGCCCAACGTGGCCTGGAATCCTTCACCACCAACTCAGTCGCCGAGCCATTGCACAAAAGCAACCATTCGATATCAATTAGACATGCACTCTTCTTTGGCCGTTGCAACCATTTGCTAAGACGAATGGCCGTGGCTGCTGGACCTTCCGTCGTCCATTGTGCTCAACTTCGAAGTCTAGCCTCCGCATGTCTGTGGAACAGTCATTCCTTGGCTATGCAGTACCGATATGAGGCTTCAAGTATCTCATGTTCCCGTTCGCCCATGTTCCCACCGTCTTGAACCTAGTTCTAGTGGTTACCATGGTTGAAATTTCTAGGGCACATCTTTGTCGCATTTCGTCACCCAGTAGCCTCAGTATTGTCGCGTATTAGCTGCTCAAATTCACGTCAAGTCTGTTGATTCCCATTTTCTCTTAGCAGTAACTCGCTCCACGGTTCTCAAAAGCACTGTCGCTTGAACTACCATGCTAGCTGCTTCTATTTCTGTACTTACAAGATAGCCCTATGGAGCGTCACATGACGTATGTTCGAGAATACAACGAGAAATTACTGCCGGCTATTGAATTAGAAATATTTGGAGCTCAGCAAGGCTGACTGTCTTCAAGTACATCGCTTTTCTCGCGATTAGATCGTTACTCCGGACCCATCGAAGCCATCTTGTTGTAATCGACAGCATAGGAAGAGACCGCACTTGACAAAAGCTTTCAGCTTCATCTTCACTTCTTGTCAATCTTCATCATTTTCGCATCTACCAGACCGCTTATAACTCTTACATGAATTTTCTACACGCTGAATTCTCGCTTCCTTCATCTCCGACCGCCATACTCTCAAAATTCACCTCAAACATGTCCCGACCAATTGCCATATCATCGACTGCCGACCCTATATCTCTAGCAGTGAGGTCCGCTACAAGACGTAGAGGGCAGCTCAAAAGCTTCAAGAAATTTCCCCTGCTGCCAACCGAGCTGAGACTCAGGATATGGCGTCTGCTTTTCCCTCTCGGCCACGCCATCGATCTTGATTTCATCAAGTACTTCGCGAGATGGGATACCCGTCACAACCCAATACCCGCTCCTCCCATAACGCTCTTCATCAATGCTGAAAGCCGCCGCGAAACGTTCAACCAGTACTGGGTAGTCCGCGGCATCGATCCATACCGATGTATTCATCGCGGCAAGAAACCCGTCCTAACGATCCTTTATATCAATCCGAAAGTCGATCGAATATTTATCACAGAGGATCGGGCGAAAGATGGCTATGAGTCTGACTTGTGGCTTGATACGATCAATATCCGTGCTCCTGGACTTCTCCGAGCAATTGAGCGACTCGAGGTTCGCGGTGTCCATTGGACCTACTGCGAGAGGAGAATGCTCTGTCTTCAACGTCTGAACGATATCCCAAAAGACCGTGCATGCCGGCTTTACAACGGTCGGGCAACATTGAAACAAATGCAATACCTCCATTATGGGCGGCTATTTCAGTTCCCGGAGTTGAAGGAGCTGGTCTTTGAGCTCGGGAGGTGGGACTGCAAAGCACAGGATCTCCCAAGGGCTCTTACTTGCGATCCGAGCGGCAAACCTGTAATTCGACCAGGGGGAAAGGAGGAGTTGGAGTGGAAATTTACGAGGTTCTTGAACTTTCACAAAAAGATGTTCTCGAGTGGTGATGTGCCAAAAGTCACCTTGCAAAGCTTCAACGGTCCCAAACCAGATCTCCAGGATCGAGTTGAGCACATGAAATCCCGCATCAAAAGAGGTCGCTGGGCGCTGAAGACGAAGATGTGGGACACTATTGTGGACATGCTGTCCTGATTAGCGTCATATCCCCATGGGCGTTGAGTGTTGAGCTCATCCGGATTATGAGGCTACACAACCAGAGTCACAATAACAATCACGTCCAGCTCGAAATATTCCCACAGTCAAAGCCTTGAAGAAGTCCCAAAGTTTACGGTCGACGTAACGCTGCGCTTGCTCACCTCCTAGAGTGTTAAGACCATTCCTCATTGGTATGATTATCACCTTACCCAGCGAATAATATTAAATGACTATATGTCTCAATCCTGCATTTTGAAAACCATCCTCAGATGCCGCGGATTTCTGCATCTCTCACCAACCTCATCAAATCTATCAAACCTCCTTACCCCCCACATTCATGATGTTCCACCCCTTCTCCCACCTCCCAACCGAACTGCGGCTTCTCATCTGGCGCGCCACCTTCCCCTCCAATCGCTCCATCTATCTCAACATCCTCACTTGCAACCACCCCTCCCGCAGCGCCGAAGCGTTGACATTCACAGCTCCAGTAACCCTCTTCATCAACCGCGAGAGTAGGTGCGAGACACTTCGTTTCTACCACTGCCAGTCGAACCTCGACTCTTTCTCCAGCAAGAGTAACAACAAGACACTAATTAATGTAAGGGAAAGGGAGCCCTCGTGTATATACTTCAACCCCCGCTTTGACCGTGTCACGGTTCTCCAGGAACACTTCCTCTATCGCGTACCTTACAATTCCTGGCCAGCATGGAAACTCCACTTCATGTCAACCATTGAAATCCTGCACATCGAATTTAGGGAATGGTTCAGCTCCGACCGGTCCATCCGACAAAACATGCTAGCGCAGATGAAGCACTCGACGAACTTCGAATGTTCCCCTGATTATGTCAGCTTGGCGAAGTTGTGTATTTTCAAGAGCTTGAAACAGGCGGTTCTTAGCTTTCCGGGAGTTATGGAAGAGGAGAGGATGGAGGACATGAAAGAATGGGTGAGTGTTGTGAAGTGTTTCCTGGAGGATTACTCTGGGTGTTGTATGAGGGGACGGCACGAGATCCGGAAAGCAGTTAAAGTCTCGGTAGCCTTTGGAAAGTGGAAGCTGGGTGACTTTGAGACGAAACATCTTGCCTGAGTATAGTTGGCCTCTGAAGTAACACCTTAGAACTCGTTGATACATTGCAGCCACGAAATTTTCATGCACATAAATATTCTGGCTTCTTGTGACGTAACACTCACCTTGATTCCAAATTGAGGTTTCTCAATCTAAATAAATTTTATATGAGGCTTCTCGGCATCTTAAAATCGGCGATAAGACTTCAGAGAAGCTCATAATTTCAAGTCTCTGAATCTGAATAATGCCTAGTCCCTAGACTCCTTCACCACTTTTGCCTGCAGAACTTCATCAACAGCTGACGACAAGGAACTCCTCAGATCATTGATTTCCCAACCTAGAGTCATTATTAGATAGTTCTACTGGTAAGGTTATGCATAATCAGCGTCTCTCCCAGTTGCTCACCCCTACTAGGGGTATTCACAGCTAACAAGGGAGACCATGTTAACAAACCCTACCCAGCGCGGGAATAAAACGCAAGCGCACTCCAGAAGCAGCAAGCGAGAAAACAGTGAATATGTATTAGGGACCGCTTTCCTTTTTATCATCACGGTAAGGTTACAATGACTTTAAAAAGGAAGAATTTTCGTCGGCGAAGAGGCGTGCTGATTCACTTGAACGAAATAGCGCTACTTTTGGATTACCATCCGCGGGTCAGTAGTTCCTTTGTAAAATCAAATTCCATGATTCGGAACATATGAAGCTTTGGAAGCTTTCCATTTTCTCTCTTGATTCAAGATGTGATCTTGTTCGCAAGCTACTTCGTAAGGACACGACAGGAGTTGCGTGAAGCCGAACGGGGTCAGATTGGAAGGGCGAGAGAGCACAAAACAATGGATTTGTAAAGCTGCCAATTCAGTAGAATTTTCTTCATTCATTGCTTGAAAGCAGGGACCACAGCATTTGAGATATTACTTACCTTGTATCCAGCCAAGCATGACTAGGTGCTTCCTGTTTCCTGTAGGCTTACTCAAGACGTATTTTTTAGCACTAATCCATAACTCCTCAAGGAACAATTTTGGAATACAAAATTTCTTTGATCAGGACTACCAGAGTAAGCCAACGTTCGGAGAATTCCTGCGACTCCCTGTACCTGGATCGCCAGAAGGTGGGTGAGGAAAGCCATGCTGAAAACGGCTAGTTGCCGCACCCGACCCCACATGATTCCCAAACCTTACAGGACCAACCTCCGTTTGCATCATTTCCAATGTCTCTCTACACAGTTATTTTCTTGTAAATGCACAGTTCACTCGAAAGTGGATGGTAAAATCGCTATCAGCTTCGGCGAGAACTTCAATTCGATTTTCGGAGGCTGTTGTGAGCTGGCTTCCCGGTCTGTTCTCACTGGCTACCTTTCGTTTGCACTCAATGCTTTTCTTTGTTCTCAACAAACGCATGAGCTTTTTCGAGGCAAACGTGACGTTGAGAACGAATAAAGCAGAATAAGGTTTACATTTTCTGTTTCCCGAATTCAAATCACCTCCGTTTCCAAGTTCCAGTCTCTTTTGACTTCCTACCGCCTCGACCGGATCTTCCGCGCTCCTCTTGGCTTGGCAAACCGAATCATAAACCGTTGATCTGAGGAGCGAAAGATCATCATGGTGTACACCATGAAAATATACATCGACGGAGGCTGTAGAGGAAACGGCCAACCAGGAGCCGTCGGTGCAGCAGCTGCCGTATTCGAGTAAGGAACTATACATTTACCACCTACATACTTCACATCTCCAGCGCATAATATTTCAAAGCAGTACCCCAGCATTCTTACCATGTCGCTCTTCCCCATAGCATCACATATACATATATTGATCAATAGTGCGTAGAGGAAAATACGGACACCAACAAACCTGGACCCGGTACCTCCCCGACTATCCACCACCAACCAACCGACGCGCAGAAATCACCGCCGTCATCATCGCCTTCGAGCAAGCCCTCGAAAAATATCACAACCTTGACGGTAGCCCCTACTTGGACGTCAAGATCTACACTGATTCCAAGTATGTGATTGGATGCATGACCGATTGGGTCTACAAGTGGTGTAGGAATGGGTGGATCAACTCTGCTGGATACGAAGTCGCCAATCGCGATCTAATCCAAGAGGCTTCGGACTTGGATGATCGGCTGAACGAGGAGGGTAAAGTGACGTATATTTGGATTCCTAGAAGTGAGAATCAGGATGCAGATGATGCTTGTAATGACAGGATGGATCAGGGATACTAAGGTTTTGATTGAGAGAAACTTCTCTCTAATCTGTACGCTATCAGTGTTGGTGAGAGCTCTATCCTATGTTTCTAGAGTTATGTGGCTCAGCTTCGTCTCTTTGTTCCTTCTGATGCTCACCGTTTTGGAAATTTGAACTCTTTCACATCACTGAGAGACTCATTCGGTGAGCGTCTTTCATCTACGGAAATGTGTGTATCGATGATGCATGGGGTCTCAAAGAGGATTTCTTCAACTTGTAATACAAATTTGTATTCGCGAGCCATTAACAACCTCACATGTTGCATTCCTTATTTTGAAAGGGTGAAATCAAGCGAGATTGGCGAGAAGAGACTACGGCACCTTCGTCGATACCTTGAAAACCAGTTATACAGTCTATTTCGGCTAGTAGTAGACTCGTATTGAGAGGTGTATATCTCCATCTTTGCATGGCATTGAGTAAACTGTCTCTACCTCAGATTTTCCATCAAATACAAGAATCTGACTATCTAACACCACACTGTGGCTGTATACCAGCAATGGTCTCCCTGGCGTCTTGAAACCGTCCCAAAAGAGCCTGAGAATGAACCATGAGCATAATGAACTACCAAGTTCTCATCAAAGTACGCAGAATATCCTCCAATGCAACTCAATCCAATTCGGTTACAGCCCGGCACTTGTCCTTTGCGGTTGGTCAACGAACAAACTTGTGAGCCGTTGTCCGTCAGCCCGGCGTTCGTGTTGTATAGATCCCCATTGTAACAACTTCCAGCAGCTATCTCGCAGTAAGTATGAGAAACGTCAATGGGTTGTCAAAGGACCCACATGTGCCAGGGCAGGTGTAATCAATGGAGAATTGAACGCAAGCTAGAGCTGGTGCTGCAAGTACCAGGATTGGCATGAGATTTTGGAGGACTTGAGGAAGAAGCATTGTGAATATAGAGCAGTGGCAGAGTATCGGTGGTAAGGAATTTGAATCAAGTTAGAACTGATTTCTTTGCTGCTTGATGCTGCTTGAGCATATGGGAGGTAAAAGCAACGAGTCTCATGAAGACATGGAGCTGTTTAAGTACTTATTTGGCTTGGGAAGAAAACCTTCCGCCCCCAAAGTGTCGGCCTAATAGACGCTACAGTATGACTGCATTAGGCATGGTAAATTAACCGGCATGCAGATTGCTGACGAGGAGAGAACAAAGTGAAAAGGCTCTATCATCAGCATAATATTTGTCCGGAACTGGTGTTGTGAGAAGGCACAGCAGGGAAAGTATCAGTTGTGACTTGCCTCTTCTGTGGTCGTCCGCGCGGCTCGGTTGACTTGCATGTGGACACAGGAGAACTAAGCTTTTGAGGCAGCTCTGTATAGCTGTTCTTGAACGGGATTTTACCGTCTTGGGCCAGTAAGCAGCACGTTGCTAGGCTATTGTATCTCAGAAATTTTTGGTTCTGAACATTTTGTTCTTGTCGGTGGCCAGTCCAAATATTCTCGGAGCGGTGTCCATTCTTGGTCAGCACCCATGCACTTTCTTACCGGTAGCAACCTAATTTGTGACTGGCCACTCTGCTCCAGCCTTGTTTTCTTAGCGTGGAAAATAAGCATTAATGCACCTCTTCAACAAGGCCTACGATCGAGAACGACGGCTAGGCAATCTACGAGGTAGGACCAGGGCTCTTTGCATGGCTGTTACGCACCTAACTAGCCGAAGTTCGTGGAACGACAACAAACTTGCCCCTCACAATAAGAAGGCGTGACGAAACGAGTTAGCTCCCCACGGATTCTTCCCCCACATCACTCTCACACAATGGATCTCAATGCATATAAGTGGTCAGATTCACGGGTGAATCGCTTCCCGCACTTACTCTTGAAAGTGACAAGACCAGGACACGCTGTAAACTTGTTTCACAGGTGATCTTTGAGAATTTTATAAACAGAATAAGACACCAAACGCCTCTATCTATATAAGTAGCTCTCAATTCAGTCTTTAACACCTGTCAATGCGAGTAGTCAACCAAGACCCGGCACAGGTCCACAGCTCCACTCAATGGCTGATATGCAATACCCTTCATTGACTCCACTTTCATACTTCTAAGACCCTTGCACTTGCGTCGCATACAATCAATACTGGAATGGAAAGACAGTATTTTATGATTACAAGATCTCACCCACCTCCCTGCAAGCCAATGATGAAAGCAAAAGCTGAAGAGGTAGCGTGGTGAGGTCACCTGAAGCTCGCTGAAGTATCAATTCAGACAAGCTTACAATAACCAGTTTATCATTCATGTATGGCAGCCACCGTAACACGTCCTTTGATTGGGGCAGTCTCTTCCAAGACCATGATATGTTCTGAATTATTCATAGTTTAACATCGACAATCGGAAACAACATGGCAGCAACAGCGTTTGAATTATATCACATCCATTCTCAAGAGGGTTTATCCCGTTTCACTTTCAACGAAGTACTAGCCATCTTATATTTACGTACGAATAACTGCATAGATTGTCGTGAATTTGACAAATGACACTACAGACGCGGCTTCTAAGAGTTTTCTTGTCATAAAATCTCAGTTTGCAGCACCGGAAAAGGAACAGCCACGAAGGTACTACTCCCCAGAATGCCCATATTCCCTCCAGGATATGCAAGAACGGAGAATTGGCTTAATGACCAGATCAGATGTTTTCATTTCTGAATTGAGAAAGGGAGCAGAAAAAGCTTCATCCCCAGTTTCCACCCTCCCCACCAGTCTATTCACTGTCCTCTGCTCTTCACCAGCCATCAAATCACAGTCTCCCACATATTTTTCCCCCTTCTAAAAAGATGTATCAAGCTCCTTGTGCATATAAATCCCTCATCTCCTCATCATCCACCAAATCAGCTTGCCCATCGAAAAGAATGCCGCTGGACAGTCTGAAGTTCGGGAAGATCGCAACTCATCCACACTCCACAATACTCCCCAATCCTGCCTGCTCACAACAAACTAAAGTTGCTCGCGTACTCGCTTAGCGAAACGAGCGACAAACAAAACGACCCTTGGCTTGGCAGCAGTACATACGATACTTTTGCCACCACCCCCCGATCCAAACCCTATTGACGATGATCACATCCGCAATCGCAATGGCAATCGCAATCTCAAACTCAGTACAGCGCCTGCCCCAGACTTATTTAAACTGACCTCTTCACTCCATCTGCATCTCCACATACAAGAAACATCCCACTCCCTTCTCCTCCCGTCCCTATCCAATCTCTCACCCCACCGCATCAACAACCAGGCACGCGTCATGGTAATCTCAATTTCGTCTTGCTAGAGACTCGAAGTCTCGGATGAGAGGAAGTACGTGGGGTTAAGTAATACTCCCTTGATATCTACGGCCCTAGTCACTCCCTGAATTTGATTGATTGTTTCGTGCGTCAAAGGCAAAAATAATTCAGCATCAAGTCCCCGACATCTTATGAGCGAAAGGCTGATAAATCAGGGTCTTACTTGGTTTAGAGAATACCTGTAGAATAACCAGTGACTGAGACTAGAGCAGTACAGTACAGTACAGTTTGTGGATGTCTCCCGAGCACTCAGTACTTGACGTGAAGCTACCTAAGCAACCCAAGTTGCATCCCAAGAACCATGTTGAGCGGACTCACAGAGCGAGCGCCATAATTTATCATTTGTCTCACTTCATCACTAAGCTACTTACACCCCAACAGACAAAGAAAGGAAATTGTGCGTGATGGAAGGATATCTCATTCATTCATTGACTGTGTGACTCTCTACTCTCCACTCTCTTTCTTCTCCGTGAAACCATTTCAATCTCCATCCAACCTCCTCCATCCAGCAATAGCCAGAATAGCTATATCCAGACATCCCTTCCATTCTGTCATGCCAACCCCAGCAAGCAACTGTATCAGTCTTTCCAAACCTCAAGATGCAGTAGTCTGAGCAGTGGTGAGCCATCCATACGATATTTTTATCTATCCATTCCATCCATGCAATGAATTGCCTCTCAAGCGATATTGATATCCACAATAGAGACAGGAAAAGCCGTTATAACAAAAGAAAAGCCCGTTGAATATGAAAGATAAAATCAACGGCGAAAGCAAAAGGGGTAGTCCAGGCCCGGTTCAGTCCAGTCCGGTCCAGCCTAGACTCCATAACTCCATGAACAATGCATAACGAATGAGGTAATATCAACACCAGCACTTGGTGTCTTTCGCTTAGACCGAATGTTCGATCTAGTGTGATGCGTGTCCAGTCTATAGTTGTGTTGTGAGGCAGTGATATTCGTGAAATATTGGCGCAAATGGGAAGCTGATGCGTATGAGGGAGACGACGAAGATGCTGGACCAGCCAGCAAGGTATATAAAGACCAAGCCAGCTAGTCAGTAATACCCTTCTTGTCAAGTGTATGTGTCATCGTGACGCTTTATATTTTATACTCGTCTCTCGGCCGGACTAGGCTTAGCACCGGTATAAGGTTTGTTGAGCATCATCTCCAACTGTCTCTCATTCTCCTTTCTGACAGCAGAGCTACCAGCAACGATATACCCATCAGCCTCCTCCAGTTCAAACGGAGTGATAGGGCCCGGACTACCCAGCGGTTGTAGTCGTGGACTGTTGGGTTCCTTCGAGGTTCTACCATCATTTGTGGTTGGAGCGGCAGCTCTAGCCTGCGCAATCATGTCTCGTTGGTATTGTTGCAACTTGCGCTTGATATCCGATGACCTCCTCTCATGACCAGGACGCTCCTTCGAGCTTCTCTTGTTGGTCGTAGCTGGAATGGAGAGGTTGGTGGGAGGAAGTGGTGCTCGTGGGTTTGTGGTGGGAGTGGACACTTCAGTTGAGGCTGGTGATTTATAGTTCGAGGGATGGTATTTGCCCATGGGGATGCGAAGGGTGTCGGGTATCGTGGGAGACAGTTGGCCAAATGCAGAGGAGCTGAGCATGTGAGTAGACATCTTAGGGGTGGTGTCTGATGTAGGACTGAAGGTCGGTGACATAGTCATTGCTGATTCGTTTTGATGAGATCGGCCGTGGTAATTTGAGAATGGATGGGAGCGATATGATATTGTAATCTCTTCGTGGTTTGGGAAATATCCACTGCACGTAAAAGGTCAGTCCAAATGCCTCTCATGCCTCGTTGTCTTTTAGAGAAGACTCCAATCATCCCATCTCAAGGTTCCTTGCCATGACGGATGCTCGGATACCACGTCAACAGACCAAGTGCCTACACGAGTCGCAGGCAAAGTGCGTGACCATCGTAAACACCTGTCATGCAGAATCGACACCAATTCCCTGACAAAACAAAACACGAGTCAAGTAACCCTTGGTCTCCATTTCCCCACGAAACAGACTATTGGGAATGACAACAGAGCGGAAATTAAACATACCCGGGTAGATCTCCTCGTGCAGATAGGGGTGTGTATGCAGCTGTTCCTCGTGAAGGCAGTTCGATTGCTATAGGTTGACTTCTCTTCCTGCCGGGCGTGTCAAGGAGGGGAATGTGTGAAACAGAGGACGAGCCGTTGACTATTTGAAGAAGAGAAAGATTAGCAAGACAGATTACCAAAAGATGCCCCATTCCATCCCATCCCTCACATCCTCGATCTTTCCCTCATTCGTTCATTTCCGCTGTGCCCTTCGCTCTGTCTTCCGTTTCCTCTCTGGTGCGGTCCCCGATGCGTGGGACCCAATGGCTGGGAGTGGGAGGCTGCAACGGACTGGGGCGGTGCGTAGGTGGCATTCTGGTGGCGGGGTAGCGCTACGCCATTCCCGTCCACGCTGCATTACAGTAGAAGCCCACCAGGGCCCACCAGAGCCCACCAGAGTTCACTTGGCGTGCTGGGATGGGGTGTCCGGGGGTTTTGCTCCTGTGCGATGAACGAACGATCGAGTTTGAGAAACCCATGGACATCGGAGCCTCGTAAGGGACAGGCAGAGGGCTCGTGAAGGGCAGTAGATATTGTAGAAGATGCAGAACAGTAACATACCTGGTGTTATAGACCGTGGGGGTCCCATATGCTCACTTCTTCCCTTTCCATTCTCCTTCCCGTCCACCATGCTCAATCCTCGAATGCCTGCCACAATATTGGAGTCTTCGCTCTTGGTGCTCACGGTGCTGGAATTACTGCTGGATCTCGTAAAGCTTGGCCGCGGACTCCGGTTCGGCGCCTGCTGAGCAGCGGATGCCAAATACGATGCAGGTTTGAATGATCGGCTCGCCATGTTGCGGGCGCACTGTGAGTGATGATTTGAGTAGAATCGAGCCTTGCCAGAAGGGACGATGGCGTGCGAGGAGGACTCGACCGAAGCTCGAAGCAGATCTTTTGAACAACCGCGTGATTATCAAAGGTCACAGACCGTTGTTTTGGGCGAGCAGAGTGATGATCGGCTGTTGGGGTCCAGTCACTGTTGTGAGTGGTTGATGCTGGTCGGAAGGATGTGCCGATGATGCTGGGCTGTGGGTAGGCTCGAGTTGCTTGTCGATCGATCTCGAAGTCTTGTAACCGTCCGTACCGCACTTTTTGAACTTCGGTCTTCGTGTCGAGCGCGACTTCCGATATGGAGATGATGAGTTGGTGTGGTTTGTGGTGGCCGTTTTGGTGGTGGGTTTGAATCGTGAAGTGGTGGATAATCCCTTTGTTTGCTGGTTCCAGAGCAGTAGTTTTCTGTCCAGAGGCGGTGATGATGGTGACGATGTCGTCAAATCAAAATGACGTCGAACCTGCCCGCCTCCTAATAGAAGCAAGCGAGACTTTGTTCGAGGAATAGTCCCTTTCCCCAAAATCCCTCAAAGAAAGGACTCTTTTTAGGAGTTTGCAAATGAGATTTGATATGGTGAATGGATGTTTGAGTGGTGTCCGGAGGAAGTCCCGGATTCGTGGTCCTCGAATTCGTTCCTTCTCTTTCTTATCCGTCGTCCAGTACCAAGAAAATCCGTAACCTGGGGCGATACAGAAGACTTGATATGGAATTAATTGCGAACGAAATCTATCATCAGACAGAATTTGACCATTTGAAGAAAAAAAAAACTTTCTCTCCTCCCTTTGGTATGTTCGTCAACATCCATCCAACCCTCCGGCGTCATCACATGCATTCTATATGAGCTGCCTTCAGTCCACGAAACGCTTTGTCTATCAAAGCCACGTTCCAAGGCGGTGCATATTTCCATATCTGAGATCGTCTCATAACGACGACGATATCTAGCGCTGGGAAGGAAGTAGTTGCAGATAAGCCAAGCCCAAGTGTCGATTAATTTCCCTACAGATCAAAGCGATCCACACTTCTGCAGGGCTTCGCAGGGTCTTGACGAGTTGTCACGTCAAAATATTTGCCTCTATCTCAAGTTTCCTACCTAAGAGATGCAGTAGCCGCTAGTCTGTATCTGCATTCCTAAGAAACATAGGTTAAGATGAAGTCATACTGAGACAGGTTCAGATGCTCGGCGGATTCAATTCTTTCATGATGCCAGACAGGATGGAATTCTCACCCTCAAAATTAACATCAAAAGAAAATACGTTCACGGTATTCTCGTCACTTATCCACTAACATCTCAAGCATCAACCCGTCAAACTCAATGGCCCATCGACAAACCCAAAGTGATCCTCCTGTAGATCACCCCCAACAGGGAGCATGCCCGCCCATCCATCCCTCTTTCTGTCTCCACCATCCCTCTTCATCCCTACAACTCTACACCCCTCAACCGAGCATTCCTCAGCCCTTTCCTCCCAAGGACCCCTCCTCTCGTTTCAAGTTTCACTATTTCAATGCTACCTGACATCCCAAACCAACGCCATGCCTCGCATACGTCCACCATGCATCCTCGTATCGTCCTTTCACCACCTCACCTTGACCAACCGAATCTTCCGACTAACAAGCGAGCTCGGCTCTTGGGACTTGGGGACTATCTATTACGGAAACAACGCACCATTCCAGTTCTAGTTCTGCTCCGAGGCATCTGTAATATCAGAAAGATTACAGAGCAGTACTTACTGTAGGTATGAGGATACTCTGGGGAGTTGTTCATGATACTTCGTATTGGTCTTCGTATTCGTGTGAATCTCATACAGTATCAAGACCCCCGAGTAGCCGGAATGATGGCATTGGTCCCCTGTACTGACTGGATCCTTGATATGTTGGACCCTTCATATGGCAGTTGCTTAGCGAGTGACTGATTGGCAGTCAGCCATGGAGGCTTACTGGTAGATCCTTGAAAATATATCTTGAGGATTGAAATTGGCGGTGTTGGAGGATGATCTTCGAGATTGGTGAGTGGTGATTGGGATGTGTTAAGGTAGGGACTGTAACGAGTATGGTGATGGTGTAACACCAGGAGACGATGAGGACGGAGGTGTTCTTTCATTGTTGTAAACAGGGACAGCTCGAAGTTGATACTTATGAGAGAGAGTTACAGTTCTCCCTTATCCTTCCCTTTCTCCTTACCACCTGCAAGAATTCGCTTGTGCTCGCATCTGACACTACTGGAACAAGTCGACGGATGTAAGGGAAGTATGGAAAATTAACTCCCTAAACCTATCACTCGGAAAGTCACAGCACCCTGCCGTCAACTTGTACAAACCCTTTGACAACTGCAAAGTAAACTTTCATTATGAAACAAGAGCGTGCTAAAACACTGATGAAAAGCCCAACTAAACAGATACGACTGGTATCATCGCGCAACGAACTCGCAAGATGGTATCAATCAAACGAGGACAGCTCCCTAACAGGACCTTGCAAAACAATGAACCTTCCAATCCATCCATGCATCTTCCCTCCCATCTTCCAAAGAATAGGTATCCGTCATCCCGTCTCAGAATAAATGCTATCCCCCCCTTATGTAACGTCATCGTGGGTATCAATCATGCATGATATGCTCGTTCTCGAGTCCTTCCTCACTCTAATCCACCTGCCATTACCACTTCCACCACATCCCCCAATCTCCAACTCTCTCACCACCCCTCTTGCCCCAATTCTCTAAACCTTCGCCCTCCCCGTCCAAAGACTCCTCTGGCCCCTATGCCTAAACCAAAAGATCGCCATCCCCATCGCACTCACCAGCCAAAGGAGCGCATTCACGAGATCAATCCACACCGCATTCTTCATGCGCTTGATGCCCGAGTTCCCCTCCGCGTTCTCCTTGATATACATATTTCCAAACAGGCCGAAGAGCGCGATCCACAGGATGAAGAGAATCAGATCCCAGACGAACATGAAGGGGATGCGGGGCGTGAAAGGCACGATATAGAGGACTGCGGTGAAGGCGGAGAGCGAGGCGGTGACTTCGGCGTAGATCTGAGGAACGAGCGTGTTAGCTGGTATTCTCTGAGGTTTGGGGTAAGGGAGAAGGGAGATGCGATCGCGGACTTGTGAATCGTGTAAGAGGGAGAGAGGAGAAGAGGAAGACATACCCATTTTCCATCGCTGTATTTTCCCGCCTTGTTCGCGCGGTTCAAATCAACGCCATACAATCCGCAGACTGCGAGCGCGAAGACGAGCTGGATGAAGCGATAAACGCTATGCGCAATGTACGCCTTGGTCAGTTCGAACCCCATTTTGCTTTCGTTGTGCTGTGTATTCTTGGGGGGATTGCGCGCAGGTTCGTGTTGGTGGTTGTAATCGTCGGTGGTGCTGTCTTGGTAATTCGAAGAATGCGCGGGGCTTCAGTCAAGGGTCGCAGGTATTTGTTGCAGTTTTGTTGAATGGTATTGTATTGTATTGTATTGTATTTCTGTTGTGGAATGGCTTGACTGTTCTGCGTGTTGAGGAAGAAGATTCACAGCGAATACTTCGTGACGTCGTAGCAGTAAAGTACCTAGGTAGTCTAACTGTATGTTGTCGGTCAGGCTTGTGACGTCGTCGCTGCACTCACTGGCTAGGTAAATCACAATCAATGTCACTTCCTCCTTCTCTTCCCCTCCAGCTTCTCCCACCCAGGCTATATACCCAACAACCCCTCCTGTCACCTAGCTCCCCTCGTCTACGCTTCAATGACGATTCGCTCTCAAGCGTTCAAAACCATCCGATGTGGCAGCGCGCCCAACATCTACGAGTAGATGGATCTTGGCGGCAAAACCATACCAAGCCCAGGCACAGGAAAAAGTCGAAAGCAGGAAAAGAGAACAGCTCACCCCAGCCTATGACGGCATCGTGGAGATTGGGAATGTGACACCGCGACACCGTGACACCCTGGAGCTGCACCTTGCAGCGAGCGTGGCGCTAGACCCCTGAATTTGCAAGAGACAAGCGACTGTTTTGGCGCGGTGATTGGATGGGAAGTGCTAGGGGAACCTCTACAGTAGGGATTGATGTGCCGGGAACGAGAGCGAGGAGAGGAGAGGAGAGGAGAGGGCGGATTGAGCAAAGTTGGGATGAGTAGCTGAACTTTAAATTTTGCCATGTGCTCTCTTTTGTTGGGTTGGGAAGAGAGAGGACAACTTTCGCTTGGATAAATGTGAGGAGAGACGATGCAGTTCTTCTGATCCGTCAGACTTTGCTGTTGTCTTTCAGGTCTCGATGAAGGCTTCTTGTCTTGTGAGGCGAGAATCTCAAGCCGACAATTCCCCTGTTGTCGGCATACAAGCGCTTGCCGTGCCGTGTTGCAACGTCTTCAATCGAAAGAAAAGGGTTGAATCAGAGCTATTTTGCGATTATTGCCTGCTGCAAGTTTTATTCTGTGCCCATTGCCATTTCTCTCCTGTGATCTTCTCTGCAAGTTTTATGAATCTCAAGCTGGGATCGGAGCCGTGTACGCAGGGACGAATTGTATTCAAAACAGAGTTCTTAGCTGTCACAAAGGCCGTTTGACGGCGTATTCTTCAAGGTTTCCATCAATGCAGTGAACGACTTTGCTATATCACGTTGCCATTTTTCCCTCTCCGAATACTTTGCTGTTTGATCTTCGTCAACTCCGTGCAAAAACTCGGCTAATTCACTCGTTGACACTTGGTATTTCGCTTCAGTCTGACGTTAAAAAACGAGCAAACATATGTCAAAGTCGAATAAAACCACCTTCGTACCAGGTTCTGGTCGACACACTGTTGACAGAGTGGAAATTCAACGTTGGTTCGTATTGTGGCTTTGATGTACGACGCTGATTGGGACATCTGCTCTGTAACGCTAGCAATGCCCTCCACATGGAGGGTAATAAGAACTCCCCACCTCAGGCACCTATACGTTGTAATGGGACCTCGAGGCTTTTCAGCTCGTCATTCTCTCCAGTTCTCTGTCACTACGTTCCAAAACTGACGAGCCGTATCGGGATGAATTCAGAGCTCGCACCGGACCCATCAACGGGTGGCCATATTGCTCAACCACCCTCTGCTGAACATTCTGGTGACGACTCCGCACTCCCAGCCTTGTCTGCTGCCGCTCCAGCAGAGCCAGATGGCGATGTGCCATCAGTTCCAAATCCTGTACATGAGACGTCCGGAGTCTCTCTGGACGCGCAATCTCTGTATGTCATTTCATCTCATCTGTACTGTAGATCAAGCGAGCTCGGACTAATGTTTCATGTCAGAAGCCTTCCGAACCGCAATCATATTAGCATAGAAGATTCGAATAATCCAGATCTAATCCAGCCATGCGAAACGAGCAAAGAACGAGTCAGAGTGGCAGAAAGTAGGAAGAACAACAAGGATTGGAGAGCCAAGGGATTTGCATCCAAGAATGACCTTACCCACTGGTTTCCAAGGATTGCAGAGAATGAACACGAAAGTTGGCGGATATGGATGTCCAAACGTAGTCAGGCTCTGCTCTTGCACACAGCTACAGTCGCTGCAATTCTCATCGCCAATTTTACGCTCACGCTTTTCGCACTTGCTCAGTATGCTCACCGGGATGGAGTCGGGATCATATACCAGGGGTCATGCAGTACTGCGAAGCAGCTGGACCGATGGTTGCATTTGCTCATAAATCTCCTGGGCACTGGCATGCTAATGGCCTCAAACTACTGCATGCAACTACAGGCAGCGCCAACGCGAGCCAATGTCAACATCGCACACAATAATGACAAGTGGTTGGATATCGGGGTATCCAGCTTGCGAAATCTCACGAGCATTGGGCCATGGAGGCAATTTTCTCGGGTTTTCCTGGCATTAAGTTCGTTACCTTTACATTTGATGTGAGCAGACCAAACTTTGCGCAGGTAGCATCTACTCATGCAAGTCGTAGCTATAACTCCGCCGTCTTCACATCGTTGGCATCCAATGATTACACCGTTGCAGTGGTGACTTCTTACTTTCTCAATAGTACGAGCACGTCTTGGAACCTCAGCGCTGCAGCTTCACGTGGACTGTGAGATCCAGGTTGGAGCTGGGTGACAGAGGGTCTGCCAGGTTTCGGCTGGCGGATACCCACACTCACCCCACAGGACGTAATCTCTGACATGCAAAAAAATGCATCAAACAGTATATACACAGAGTACAATGTCTTGGATTGTTTCCAGCTATACAACGACTACTGGACTGCACTTGGCAACATTGTTATAGTCACCAAGAATGACACTCGTCCCATCGAACGACAAGTCAGCGACACCCTGCTGATCTACGCCTCGATAGTCCTAAACTCCGATAGCTGGACCAAGAACCAATGGGCGATAGAGAATGGCACACAAGTATCAACGCGCAACAGGGCAAGACTTCCATCTGGACCAGTAGCAACCTGGTATCTAGGCCCCGATTTCTACGAAGTTGATTCTTGTTATGTTCAACCAAGTTCGTAACGAAGTGAAGCCCTATCGCCTTAAATGCCATTCGAAACACACTTTTTCAACAGGGCCAAAGTCAGTGTGCGGGCTCTGTAGTACAGGCCATTACCAGACTATTAATTTAGCATCTCGCGCCAGCGCTCCTCCCTTCAAAACTGTGTTAGGGCAGCTTAGGAGTTAGATAGCGAGTTGCCGAGCCTCTAAAGTAACTTCTCGTTTAAGGCCCCTGGAACCTCCACTCCCTGTCAACAAAAGCACTCTGGCTTGCATCTGTTCACTCAACGAAGGACTGAAAAGGTTTCGCATGCTGAACATGAAAGAATCTGATATTCTCATTATTAAATCCTCAATGGCTACCACCGTGTGAATCGCTACAGATGAGGGATAATTTCCGACCACTCCGGCGTCGCGTAAGTTTGCGCCGGGATTTGCCTCAGAGTAACAACCGCATCAACCACCAAGAAAGCTCTGGCGAGAATATACAGAACACCACACGCAGTAGCTATAACTCCATAGAAAACATATTCTATCCAAAATGCCTGAAGAGCTATGAACCGATGCCAATACGACTTCGCCCACGGGCTCACAGCTCCCATGACATTCATCAGGAGCCACAGTAATCCAGAACGTGTGATATACACTGACGATAAGTGCCACAGCAGCCTCTCAGTTTCAGTAGGAAAGTACTCGTTCCAAGCGGCGATATGAACTCCGCCATAAATCATAGTTGCGAGCCAGAGTGTCATGCCCATAGTCTCGCCCTTGAGACCAGGAAGCAAAAAGTCGGATGGCCAGTTTCTGGCACGACGAACAACAAGTTGCTCGATGAAGGGTTCATAAGTTGCTGTTATATTACGGTGTACATCCTCAGTGTCTGAAGGTAAGTTTTTGAAGCGATTCTTGACAGCTGGAAACTTCTGAATGGCCTCAACAACGAGCTTATGTCGAGCTTCACGTAAGATAAACGTATCGGAAATGGGCTGTGATATCCAGCCCATCATCAGCTTTCGGCTTATTGTCTTCTGAGAATCAGGGTATCGGGAAGGTTGCATTTGAAGCATGCCCCTGGATTGAACTGTTCGTGTGCTAGCCAAGTCGTCTTCTTGATTTATATCCATCGGAGAGTCTGAGTTCGAAGGATCGCTAAAAGCTTCGATCACATCGCTATGAGGCGAGGAGACGGGTGGATTACTGCCATTGTCGGATTCCAAGTAAAGACATCTTCGCAATTCTGGTGTGACCCACGATCGTGGTTTTAGAATGCCCTTGGTATTCGGACCGCTTATCCGACTGCTCATATACATGTAAGCACACATGGAGTCGACCCAATCTCCCCTCAAGACTGTAGGCTCGTGGATTTCTCTTGGTTTATTCCACCACAGCAAGTAAACAACAAAAGCACACATGATATGTCCGATAGTGTTCACTTCCAAGAGTGAAATTGGGATGCGAGTAGCTATTCTCCCAACTGTCTGAAGCAGCATCCAGCCAGCTTGCAGAAGTACTAGTGATTTGGCTAATGCGTCTGTTTTCGACTTGTCCAGAATTTCTCGCTTGTCTACGTCAGGTACAAGCCCACTTCTGGCTAGCAGCAGTACCCCATGGGCCGTTAACGTAAGCCTCTGGGGACCAGACACAAAGGGTTCAAGACCGCAACCGTTCTTGGATTCATCCAATTCGAAAACAAATCCACCTGATCCAGCATAGAAGCTGTGTATGTTTGTCCACATATGTTTTCGCCGAGTGATATTGGCAAAGTCGTTGCAAGATATCTAGAATAGGTCAACACTACACAGATAGAGGTATATGATCTGCAATGCTTACATCAGCCGTAGACGGAAGTGATCTTGGATTGGAATTCGATAGTGGTAGCGTAGATTTCCCATTGTTAAAGATTTTGTTGACCTCTTTGGTGAGCCTCCCTGCTGAAGTCCACTGTCTCCAGGCTAGAAGAACGACCAGCTCAGGAATTGGCACTCCGCAAGTTGACCATTTCACGCGCCGCAGCCAAAATTCCCGCTGGCCCTCATGCTTTACGGGAATATTGAGATGCATTGCACTCCATACACAAAGTCCCAAAGTAAGGAGGCAGGATATGACGAGGCCGGAAGTACCTCTGCCATTTGGGTCAGCCACCCAGCCGACTATGTCGTTATTCTTCTCATCCCTCGCTGTCATGATGGTTGGTGGCATCACATAGGCTACTTGATGTCCTCTGATAATAGGGATCCAACTTGTCGAAGCTGATGATGTTGTTTTGTAGTGATTGTGGAAGGCAGATACATCTCTGCAGGTTGCAAAGAGAACAGGAATAACCAATACGGCATTGGAGTACCGTGCTCCCTCAACTTGATCCTGTCAGAAACCCAGCCAGAATCCGTGGCTTTTCCCAGCCTCCAATCCATCAAGAGTGGTGCGCGGGCTACTGCCGATGTTGAAACATCGCAGCCGTTATGTGACTGATGAAGTGATCCGGACACGGAATTAAGTGGGCACTGTCTTTCACAAGTCGCATCGTCCTTTGTTAAGATATTGATTCTTCCCTTCCTTCACTTCCTCTCGCTCCTTCCTTTATCAAGACATTGAACACGCACATCTTTCACTTTCTGTCGCTCCCCGTCCATTAAGACATCTGCCTCCACAGGTTTCATTTTCCGAAGCCGTTGTTGATCAAAAACTCACATCCTCTGATTTTCGGCCTGATCGCTTCCGGTCAGGTGAATGGCGTCTTCTGGAACACGAAATCGCAAGGCTGCGACATCCTTGAATCAGCACACGACGAAGAAGATACAGCAAGACCAGCGAATGCAGCTCAAGCGCTGGGAAGAGCTTCGTGAGTGGTAGAAACATTCTTTGCGTATTTTGGCCGTGCTAATTACGACCGGTAGCACTCTGGCAGCAGTAGGCATCTCACACCTCACTCAGGCAGCGTCGAGGAGTCGTGAGTACTGTGGCTAATCAGGTACAAAGGGAGGGTAGCCATTTTATCGAGACGGGATACCGGTATTTGGTCCATAAATTATGCAAAGTGTCTGAATTAAAGCTCACGTCAGAAAGGCCACCGTCAGGATCGATGCTGAACTCATTCAAGAGTTGGGGCTATCTTCACAACGAATCTGGTGAGAATGTCTTGCATAATATTGCTGCATGAGCTTATGTTTAGTGAATATTTACTCTCATCTTATCGGATCTCTACTCTTCTTCGCTGCACCAATATACATATTCAAAACGGAAATTCCGCCACGATATAAAGTCGCGACCAGTGCCGATATTGGAGTCTGTACAATCTATTTCATCGGTGTGGCTATCTGTTTTCTTCTATCGGCCACGTAAGTTTGCAGGACTCCAAAAAACGTCACTGGTAGATTTTTGGCATCGGCTTTTGTTTGAAGGTTTCACACGATCACGAACCACAGTCCCAGAATCGATAAACTGGGCATGCAGCTTGACTTCCAAGGAGTAATCTTGCTTATGTGGGGAGCTACCGTGCCATTAATTTACTACGGATTCCATTGCGACAAAACATTGCAATGGGTCTACTGGTCTCTGGTATGACCTTCAAATTCCACATAAGCATTTCCATACGCAAACTGACCCACCCAGTCGTCAACATTCGCAGTGGTGTGCTCAATCTTCACATTCCAGCCGCGCTTCAGTGATCCCCTACTTCGACCGCTCCGTGCTGCGACTTTCGGAACTTTTGCGTTCTCCTCAATCATACCTGTGATCCACGGGATTGTCAAGTACGGCTGGGCTCTTCAAAGTCAACGCATGGGGCTCAAATGGGTCTTGATCACATTGGCTCTGAATACTCTAGGAGCCTCGGCATATGCTATCAAGGTAACCAAACCCTTCAGTTCCAATCAATAACAAGTCTTGAAACATCTACAAACAGTGTTAATGCTAACAATTCGATATGCTCTAGATTCCAGAGAGATGGTTCAAGAGGACATTCGATATATTCGGTGCCAGTCATCAATGGCTTCACATCATGGTTATTCTTGCGGGTTTGGCACACACAGCTGGAGTGCTACAGGCCTTTGACTTTCTTCATAATCATCCAAACGAGTGCAAAACTCTCTGAATGTCAAAACGGTCAGCTGTGTCAAATAAAGCCCCACCAATATGGGAACTCTTCATATTAGCAGAGTGATGTCGACAGCGGCATTGCTTGAATCACCTTTCACACACTGGTACGATCTGTCGTTGAGCACCATGGTCCATGAGTCTGGCCAGAGTCCGGCATTCATGCACCGGACAGGAAGAATCACATTAGAGGATGTGTCAAATTAAATTATGGGTCGACTTTTCTCTTTACAATGGTTACATACCCTCTGTTTGATACATCTGATCAGGATCGCTCTCGCTCTTTTGTTTTCATTGTTCGCTAAGGCCCAGGACAAGCGAAGAAGTCAACTGTTTCGTCATCAGCAAAATCGAACACCATAGCATTGTATCACTGATACTCGAAGCGGTTTAGGTCATTAGGATGATCCCCAGTATTAGCTTATTGCAGCACCTTGGACACCCACGAGAAAACAACACGTGACACACACTGCCATCCACCTTGATCTTGGAAAGGCCACCAATGTTAAACAGCAAGATGCACAGGGAGCGTAGGGGTCAAGTTCAACAGTTACATGACTCCAGGTAAACTAGGGGAGTTTAGAAATAAGCCATCTACATTGAATATGGCAGTCTTCATTAGTGGGGTATCACGTACATGTATGACTCATAATTCCCCAAATGGATTCTTCAAAACCGTTTCTCTAAGTTAGGCTTCTTACCAAGAACAGTTGTCTTTGTTGAAGTACAGTTGAATATCCTGAAGCCATCGTCTTGAGCGCTAAGATCACTCCCCCATTAGTTTAGGTCGATAATTACTTGAATTTGCCTTGACCATATCCACCAACTCTAAACCATCCTTATTCCCACATCGATTCAACCCAGCATGGGACCGATTTCTGAAGGGAAGTCTCAGACTCCTCAAAGACCTCAGATTACGTCCTCGAACAGCCCGGAATACCGCCATAAGCTGGCAGACATCAGCTCCCGGGCGACCTTCTCAGACTCGCTAAACTCGGTCTTCCAAGCCGAAAGAGTCGGGCCAGCTTCCAAAGTTAAGCTCCAAGATCTCTACGATGCAACACTCTTTCGTATAGAGACGAAAGTCGGACTTGGTTCTCATATCGTGGAGGCTGATAATTTTGCTGCTGTAGCGTGCTGGGAACCTCCTGGAGCTGTTCATCCGAATCACACCGTGGAAGAACTAGAGGAATTGGCTTTGACGAGACCCATATATTCGGGATTCATTCGAGACATTGAAGCTGCGAGGACCGAGTGTTTGGGAGAGCAGAAGTGCTGGCAGTTAACGCTGATGGCGAGAGATCCGCTGAGAACGAGTAAAGGTGCGGTGAGGGCGATCATTGAACCATATGTAAAAAGAGCCGAGGAGGAGAGAGTGCCGATTTGGTGTGTTGCTGGAAACGAACACGCCAGAGATGTTTACGCTTATTTTGGCTTCAAGGTTGTGAGAATTGTTTACTCTGGCCCAGATCGTGTACAAACTTGGTGCATGGTGTGTAACTGGCCGAAGTTTGGTCCCGGATGCTGAAGTGAGACACAAGACCACAGAGGGTGGCCTAGCCTACCCGACCGTGAGAGTTTCATGGTGAACGAGGCGTAAGGATAGAAGGAGAGGCTGGGTGATCTGGACTTCTAGCGTATAAACAAGGTTGCAACCTCCTTCGCGTCCAGCTACTATTTCTTCGTGCGACCGTTTAAAAGTAAATAACGAATGTTCGCTGTGTGTTTTGCCTTTGTGTTGTTCCCAGCCTGGACTTTGGCTCACATCTTTTATCACTCAACCCATCAACAAGCATTTCTTTGCGGCTCGTTCTTTACTCATTATCGTAACTAGGAACTCCCCATATCCACACCTCTTGGCACGGTTTGGTGCTTTGTGCCATCGTGACCATTTGTAAAGTTCGAGCTGAAAGTGTGCCTACAAGCCACAGCCATACAAAACACTTTCCCAACGGCAAGGCTGAAAACTAACCCGCAAACTGCTATCATCGGCAAGGCTCCTACCCACAGCTTTTGCAGCTACGGGAAGTAGGCACTACCCGCAGCGAATAAACTTTGAGGGCCTTTCAGAGGTGGCTTTCTTGCAACTCTTTTCGGTTCTTGGCATGGATACCTTTGCAATGCCGGGACCACTTGGAGGCGAGATCTTTGGTGACGGGAGAGCTTGTTCTATTGAAAATTAACTCGGCATTAAGCCACGAATTGCTTCATTTGACAAGGCTCTCAGCGGGTGAGGCTCTTCGTTGGAGGTCGATATCTTATCAGGAGCCTTCAGCTGCTCTTTGATCCACCAATTTTGTCGACAACCAGAAAGTCAGAAGACTTTGAAGGGACCTCGAAGATGGCGGCACGGATATTTCTTCTCTGCTTACTACAACTATTGGCTATTAATGTCAATGCCGGTTTTCAAGACTACCATGCTGCCGTTATAGGTCGGCAGAATACAGCATCAATTCCAAATGAATGCTCTTACGTTGTTCTGATTCTGAGCGCTTGCCAAATCTTGAGTCCAGGCTTCACAGCTTTGAGTCCAGAAAGCAAAGCACCTTGCCTGTGTTATAGCGACACAGCATGGGCTCCGCAGCTCTTCGATGGAGCAATCGAGACTTGCGCATCATGGGCGCAAACAGCGGATCCTGTGGATTATCTTGGGCTCGTACCATACGAAGGCATCTGTACGAACGTTGGAGACATCTTGAGTGCGAATAATATAGTCCCAGGTGTTGGAACAACTACACCTGTTCCAGCTCCCGTACCACAACCAGTCACTCCGAGCCCTACGCCTACAACGTCGACTCCACCAATTGTCGTAACGACTCCTCCAGAACCAACTCCAACTCCAACTCAACCACCTCCAGTTATCACTCCCTCTCCATCCAGCAGCGATATAGGAATACGTGTGAACCCGGCCTGCGCAATCGTTGGCTCGGCCTTGACCTTTTGCGAGTCGGCAACGCCAGGATTCACAAGTTTGTTGCCACAACAAATGGCGACATGTCTCTGTTATAGCAGCACAGTATGGAGCCCTAATGGCTTCGATAGTCCCGTATCAACCTGCGCTGAGTTCGTCAAGACTGCTTCGCCTACCGACTATCCAGTTCTCTCAGGTCTCGAGGGGTTTTGTACAGCTCTTGGGGATGTTATCAAGTCCGGAGGTAGCGGTGCTGCGAATACAGGCAAGCCGTTGTTCAACACCGACGCTCCAATATTAGATTTAAATTCGAGGAGTATGACTCCTGGAACCACGCCTTCCGTAACAACGTCTCGGGGAACGGCTGCTGGAACCCCTCGGCCGACAACGATCACGCTTATTCCGACGACGACGGCCAATTCTTCGAGTAACATTCGAAAGTCTGCTTTAGATGGTATGGCGAAGACCATACTTTTGAGTTCCCTGGCTGTTGTTCTAGGTCTGCTTATCATACTCTAATGTCGCGTTATGAATTCCTGTCATCTAGTTCCCTTTTCAAAGCTTTCGGGGAGAGGCTTGGACGCTGTAATGATGCATGACGCCTGTTGAGATGGACATAAAGCCTACATGGTCAATTCAGCTAGATTTTTGTACTCAAGGTTCTCCTTCATGAAGCTCAGAGCCTCCGAGTGATATTCTGCTGAGACTTGCCAATGAGTATGCAATTTCTCACAACTGTATTTTATTGGTAAAGTCAGCTTATGCAAAATGTCTCCGGCGGAAAAAGTACAACCTACACGGTATAATGTTCAAGATTTCTCACCCTCATGAGTAGACAGCGGAGCATGTTGCCACTGCACGGCAGCTCAGTAGTAATCAGTTCGCCAAAACGTATGTAGCTTGCATTCAACGAGTCATTTGTGGATTGACTTTGCATTACAAGTGCTACATTACACCAAATCAGTTCCACCTGCAGCAGCCGCTGGAATGATTACTGACAGTGGCCAGACATAAAGATTACTGATTGACCACGCGCCAGCAGTTGCCGCAAACTTTCATTAGCCGATGTCTTATTGGTCTCTTGGGACAAATATTTCCTGCACTGGTATCGTCGCGGTGTTAATGCTACTTGGACGTAAATATGGGTCAGGCTATCGGCTATGCCGGACGTTGATGCATACCCGTGTCGACAGAGTTGCGCAACCTTATCACGCTCCGAGGTACTGGCGTGGCAAGACCAATACAGTCAGACGCAGCTCGAAAAGCGGAATTTACTTAACACTGCAAAAAGGTCTAGTTTGGGATCCGTCCATCACGAGCATGTTACCAGTTGTGTCCAATCATGGACGACACATGAGTAAGCCGTCAGACTTGGATGTTATGACTCTCATGAAAGTCAAGCCTCTTGGATCGAGGCATGCTTGAGTAGCGCGTCAATCCCCTCATACTTACCTTGGCTGACAGAGAGCTAAGGTAATGGCATCGTTCTGATAAAAGGATGGTAGGCGCTTCGTTGAGGTCGACTTTTGCAGTCCTGGCAATCATCCCATTGTTTCTGGTGCACTAGTCCATTCACCAATATTCAAGATGGTTTCTCCAAGTTATGAAACCAGACTGTTCATCAACCATGAAGTCAGTAAGCTAATCAGCCTACATTCACTGCATTCACTGCTGTCGCACTACCACCCATCATACCCAGAGCTGACAGCTACAGTACGTCTCTGCGAAAGATTCAGAGACCCTCTCTCTCACCAATCCCTTTGATGGATCCAAAATCGACGCTGCGGTTCAGGTTGCCGGCGGAGAAGATGTTGACCTCGCCGTAGCAGCTGCCGAAGTGGCGTTCAAGTCTGGGCCATGGAGCACATACACCGGCTCACAGCGTGCCAAATGCATGCTCAAATTCGCTGATCTGATCGAATCGAGCCTCCAGGAGCTGGCTGAGCTAGTTATGGTCACTATGGGTGCTCCTTTGGCCATGGGACATTTAATGATCCCAGCAGTAGCGCAAACCTTTAGATGTAGGAATTCTTGTTCCGATCGGCCACCAAGCCTGGCTTGACAGCGAGTAGATTACGCTAGCTGGGCCGACAAGATCGAAGGCGAATCATTTGCCGCAGATGATGGAACTTACAAAATTGTCCGACATGAACCGCTTGGTGTCTGCGCTGGAATTGCGGCTTGGAATGTCCCCCTCCTCTATGTTGGCTGGAAGATAGCGCCAGCCTTGGCCGCAGGGAATACGGTGAGATCGATGTCTCCTTGACATCCGTACTGCATCTCTGATCTATCCCTAGTTTATCTTCAAGTCTTCTGAAAAGTCGCCCTTGAGTGCTCTAGCCTTGGGCAATTTGGTCATCGAGGCCGGTTTCCCGCCAGGAGTTATTCAATTTATTAGCGGAGGCAGCAAAACGGGTGCACTCCTCGCTTCGCACATGAAAATTTCCAAGATCAGTTTCACCGGATCAACCGTGACAGGAAGAAAGGTCCAGAAGTTGGCTTTGGAGAGTAACATGAAATCCTGTACCTTGGAGCTCGGAGTAAAGTCGCCGGCTTTGGTGTTCGATGACGCTGATATTGCCAACGCTGTTGGCTCGTAGGTTTCTTATTCCTGGTTGAGGATCATTATTGTAACAGCTCCTAGTACCGCAGATGGATTCTTCGCAAACTCTGCCCAAGTTTGCGTTGCTGGCTCTCGATTGATGGTCCAGGAAACCATTGCTCCGGCCTTTATCGAGGTGGTAAAAGAACGATTCGCAGTCGCATCCTCTGGTCTTGGTGCTGACCCCAAAGGTGGAACTTCCATGCATGGTCCTATGGCCGATGAGGCACAATTTAATCGCGTCATGTCATACATCGACCCAGGTAAGAAGTTCACTGACCCTGTTGTCGGTGGTAATCGAAAGGGCGACAAGGGTTTCTTCATCGAGCCGACCTTATTTGTAAACCCCGACCGCAAGGGAAAAGTTTTCAATGAGGAAATTTTCGGACCTGTTTTGAGCATTGTAACGTTCAAGATCGAGGAGGAAGCCATCCAGATGGCCAATGACACAGTGACTGGTCTATCCGGTACGTTGTTCAGCTGCGTCAACGTAGGAATGTGTGAGGTGCTAATACCCTGTGTAGCAAGCGTCTACACATCAAACATCACCCGTGCTCTACGAGTTGCTGCAAAGATTGACTCTGGTACCGTTTCAATAGATGCCCCTCATTTCCCAAGTCTGCAAGTGCCATTTGGTGGCTTTAAAGAAAGCGGAAATGGAAAAGAATTGGGGAAATATGGTCTGCAGTCGTATTTGAGGACCAAGACCGTCCTGATCAAGTGAGTTAGGAAAGAACCTTGTTCCAAAGAATAATCTAACATACAAATAGCATGAAACTGTAACAAAAAGTACGACAGAAGGCATTGCGCTGGATAACATGACGATGGACCAAAGTAAAACGAAGAAAAGAGTAACTACAATGCGAATACTTGTTCTTATGTAGGCAATGCTCAGTCGTGTGTGAACTTTGAGCATCGGTAGACACCCCAATGATACTTCCAGCTGGAGCTTGGCCACCAAGTGGTATTTGCAAGGCAATCCGACTGTCAATGAGATAATCCCTCATCGACTGGAAATGTCCGTTGTCGTAACATGGCACTGGATGGTGAGTGCCATCTCGGGTCTGTCTGGAATCATTCTTTTGCTCTCCTCCACTTCATCTGGTAGACCAGACCCAGAATTCTCTCCAGCCACCCACCATGGTCCTTAAATAGATGCCTCCCGCCAACAACCAAGATGCCGGCAATGTCGGCTATGATGATGAGAAATAGACATTCCATTGACCAGGTAGTAAAGCAGAGGAGAAATGGCATTTCCCTGAGTTTGAAATACAGCCAATCTCTGTATGATGACGCATTCCCTTCCACCCCACTGGCAAATTCAGCACGACTAATTGTCCAACCAACCAAGCCATCAGGAAGTAACCCCATAGCTGTCGTCAGGTCTAGGATTCGTTTCAATTAACCTTCGAAGCACTTGGTGGCTTTCTCTCTGCTCCGCGCGATGTGAGGTGCCGTGTCGCAGGAGTGGTGTAATCCCATCTCATCGTTTACCCTCTCTTGAACTCTGCCATTGAAGGGAGTGGACAGCTAGGGTGATGGATGTTTGGCCGCGAAGTTCAGGGCGTGAAGGAAATCGAGGGGCAGTGATATTCACTAGTCCCAATCCGGATAGCTCAGCAGCACCTCATCTTAAGGTAGCTGTTGCCCAAACTTTCTGTCCCATCTTCATCTTCGTCCAGTACATCAAAACTGCACCCATTGAAAAGTTTTGTTAATTCTCCATCTCAATTACAAAGTATGAAGGGCAATTTCCATCCTACCATGCCATGACCTTGCATTGGCGCCAGGGCGAATGTTCTTACAACTAGGTCCCAAAATCTGTTGGTCAAGGAATCACGATTGGGCAGCAACATCACTGGTGCATCTGCCCAACCAAGTGTGCTGAACAGTCCCCAGCACGCAGCGAGAACCCATTAATTTGACCGCCTCATTCTTTTACAATGCGGGATCGAGAAGACAGTCAAGCGGCGTATGGGATATTGAAGTCGCTTCCTGCCAGAGAGCAAGTAGTATGATTGATTATCGACAGCCTCACTCTTGCCATCACTAGTACTTGACGGCACCGTACAGTTCCTGCTTTGTTTATCGCTAGGCGAACTGCCGCAAACCTCTAGTTAGACGTCGTCTCCCTTCTCTTCACCGTCTTCTCAAAAGCTGTCCCCACGCAAGGTGCGGCATGTTTTGTCGTACGCATGCATCCCGGTTTCTTGCTATCCAAGCTTCTTTCAAGGCTTACGAGAACCTTGCAACTTTTTTTTTTCATCCGCATAGCTGTCAGTGCACAGTATTGTCCTCTACGACCGTTGGCTCGTAGTATATCGACATGTTTACTGTCTGTGGCATTGAAGCGGCAAGACGAACCCGCTCGGCCTAAGAAGAAATGGGAGTCCAACGAGGGCAATTTCGTTCTCCAAATCAGTGACTGCAGTGGAAAGCCACTTGTCCTTATCTTGTGTGGTCTCGGACTACTTATGGGTAAATACTTTCAAGGTTGTGCTTGAGTATAAGACTGCCATCGGATGCTCTTTCGATGATCAGATCTAGAACCGACAATCTCACAGAAAATGAGCAATTCGCCGTCATCTTTGCATTTGGGTGCTCAAAGCGAAAAGATCAAATGTGACTATGGGTCTGGAGCATGCAACAGACTCTTTAATCGACGCGAGGACATGGAGAGGCACAAGTCAGAATTTCACGAAGATCCCAAGAAGTGTCCTTGGTGTGGCTATAGCGCGAAAAGAGACCAAAGACTGTGGAACCATCTGTACGAGGAGCACAAAGCGAGGAGTTACAGGCAAAGCAAATGCCGTTGCCACAGAAGTAAGATGTGGGCCGCTGAAGAGTTTGGTCTCCGCTAACCGCATCTAGAATCCAAAGGTTCCGCGAAGCAACAACGGCTTCAAAGAGACGAGCAGCCTCAAGGTGAGAAACACGAACCGTCTTGCTAGTGTCCGTGGTTAATTTTGGTACACAGGAGCAGATGCAGATAGCTCCTCTGTTGACATGGATCACGATGACTTAACCAACGCTGTCTATCCCCTAAACTCAGACAATCATGAAGAAATCACGAAGACCGGGGACTGGAGCTTGTTCCTAAATACAGGTCCGCTACTGTCCCGATGTTCATCCAACCACATTCTGACACGACTGCAGAGTTTCAGAATAACATGCAGCATGGTCAGGATTCAGCAGGAAGCTTCATCCAGCCCTCTTCCATTCAACAAACATCCGATGTAGAAACTCTACAGCAAAATCAAATTTGGACGAGTCCGGTGAACACACCCTTTGGCTCAACCGAGCATCAAAATACGTTTGGATATATTCCTACCAGCCGTGGCTCACATGGCGTTGGTGCGACTAGTCATCCACAAGGACCACCCGTGGTCTCTAATCAGCTCCGAAATAGGCAGATAGATTTTTCGTTGTCACCTGTTCGTCAATCTGAAGCATTTCCTGCACCAATTCACGACCAACAACAACAGTTCGAGCAGTCTGCTTTGGGTATCTCGATGTTCTCACAGCCCAATTATTCTCAGAACAGCATGGTTTACCAGACACCTGTAAATACGACTAAGGAGTTTGGTCAAGCTGGTTCCGTCGACCCTGCGATTCAAGGATCATCATTGCAGCAGCCGATGTCAGGCGCGGTAGACATCGCAGCTACTGCTTGGGGAGGTCATACTACATCATCACTAACGATTGACCATTTCACAAGTTCAACCTCTGATTATTTTCCTGGTAACTCTGAGAATGATCGAAACCCCATGCATCTCAACGAGTTTGGGGGCTGGAACATCGACGATGACTGAGCTGCTGGAAGCACGATTAACTTAACCCTGGTGTACTTTTTGACCCAGACCGACCATTTCCATTCTTCGTGTTTATCGATTTGTTCGTTGACCATAGTTTTCTTTGATCGAGCTGTTGTCGATTTGCTTTTCGGGTTGCGGCTATAATCATTTCAATGTCTTTCCTTCTTCACTCGTTTTAGGGCTTCTTTAGCCCGCTCCCTATACACACCCGCTCATGCGATTTATACGTTGCCTCATTGGTACCCTGAATATCTACCAAGGGATTGTATCGGTGGTACCTGGGTGGCATACGAAGTCATGCAAAGCACTATTGATCTTGGACTTGTGACACTGGCGCAACAGAAATTGTGCTGCAATTTATTCTAACCTTAGGGCAATTTAAGCAGATCAAACGGGAGAAGCCGACCTGATGCTTGAGAAAATGGGTCGGGATCCTCCTGACTCTTTGCCACCCCTCATAAAGATAATATTAATGTGATTTTGCTTCTAATATCCCCGTCACTTCGCAAGCGAGAACGACTTTTCATAAGAAGACTGCAAGTATTCGTACAAGCTCGACCCCACCTGAGTCGAGCTGCATCAATGCTCCTAAAATGCTGACCGCTATTCGCGAATCTATGCAGTAGTACGAGGTTCGGAGGTAGCATCCATGTTCCCCGTATGAGACAAACATCTACTGGGTTTTCGGAAAAACTCGTCAGTGGATTGATTACGTGCCCCTGCTGGCTACTTGAAGAGATCCCACACATCCGGCCAAGTGTCAAGAGTTTCACAGGCATTCAGGTGCTGGATCGTGATCTTCTAGGGAAGTGAGGGGAGTCAGCTCCACACGAAGACCGCAAAGCTTGAGGACTGTTTGATCAGCTATGAATATCATAAAGTTTTAGAGAGCTTCCTACATACAGGCAAGCTGGACTTCGTGTATTGGTGTTCTGAACTCTGCGCGTGAAAGATAACGAATACTGACTTGAGGGGGCAAGGGAACCGGCCAAGCTACAAGAACCTTCTTCCACCTCCAACCTTAGATCCTCACTTGAATCCATTCTTCAAAAGGAAGAATTACAGTGCATCTAACTATTGGGACGTACTGATGCTTTTCAGTATGTTGAACCACATAATGGAAGGTATGATTATGCAGCAGTGCGAATTAAAGATCTTCTGAATCTAGGCAATTCCCGGGTCTTCTGCCACTTACATGGTCCGCAACCTCGCAGTCTCCTCATGTCAGCCTGCTATGACGAGAATTGAAACTCACGTCCTGCCTCGTCGACTTGGGTGTGACTGCGAAACAGCCTGTATTGGGACTTGGTATACAAGTTCTCCACTTCACGATATTATAGCTAACAATCCTACAGAATTCCAAACGCGGGGTCAGATGGCCGTTAGGAATAGCAATATTCTCAACGCGGCTGTTGAAATCTCTCGAAGCAAAAGTGGCTCAGATCCTCGAACTGCACCAGCTCATTGAACGGCTCGTGGCGGGCGCTCAAACGTAGTTTGCAACACTCAGCTAGGTATCTCCCCTCCAAACTGCCCTCGCGCTCGCTTAGAAAGGCTGTCTGTTGACATGGTGAAGGTTCTCCAGATGGTCTCCTCTGTGATGTGATATCAGCACTATCTAGATATTTCATTGGTCTATGTGAGTGCAGATGAAATCACCATGCAGGTGCCTCTATTGACTTATCTCTACTCATTTTCCACTGAAATTTTGAGCTGTTTGTGAGTCTTCCATCAGACGCAAGAGGTAAGATGGGCGGTGCTAAGCGAGCGAAGCAATATTCAAGGTGTGCCTATCACGCTGAAAGTGCTTCAAACAAGCCAGAGGGGTCGATGAGAGCCTAGAATAATGCTGCTCTAAGCTTTTGACTGAATGTGAGAGGATCATGTCACCAGCCACCCCCGGTCAGTAGTCTTGAAGGGATTACCCCAGATTTGGCGACGGATCAGCGACTCAGCAATGCCTAATATGCCCAATCACAAATGAAGGGGAAGGCTTCATCTTAGCAGACTCTTTCTACTAAGTAACTACTGTATCTGGATCTCAATCTCGACCGTATTTCCTCTGAGTCTGAACATAACCAAACTCAACAAGTGATGAGATGTGCTTGCGACTGGATGAGAATTACGAGGTCAAGTCAAGCAGTTACGAGAAAATAATAAAGAAGGAAACAAACGCTGGACTGTACCTACCGCCAACCATACACAAGATACCAGGTATCTTGTCGTCGCTACCCAAAGTGCCCATCGTCCACGTACGTCCATTTTTGCCTCCACTGCCAGGATGATTCCCGAAAGTTGGGACCGGTTGAGCGGGACGGGACGAGCAATCACATCTGGAACACTTTGCTTTTTGATGCCTAAAGACATCGGCTCAGCCCTAACGAAGATACTCGACTGTTGTGCCCTCGAAAATTACATCCTGCGGGTCTGTAATTCTTCCTCGTAGGTAGGTAAGGACGTCGATGATGGTAGATTCCTACCACGTGATCTTATCAGACTCCAGCCATCTTATTTTCCCCTCATCCGCATCCACCAGGATTATTCCCAGCCGACCCCTCCTTCGCCTTCGCCCGCCCCCTTTGCCTCGCCCACCAGGAACAGCCGCTGTCACGGCACAGGGCCGCTCTCGCTCGCTCCCAGGCCGCACAACTCCTTCGTCTTGGAATCTCTTGTTTTTGCAGAACTACCGACCATTTCATATTTTATAGACCACGATACTATATCGAATGTCCCGGATTTGAGTTACTCGTCCCTCTTTTTGATCTTTTCCATCCGGCTTGAGCGCGTTCGTCCTGCATCCTGACATCACCCGCCCACTGCGACCGAGTAAGAATACCCTGAAGTTGGACATGCCTGCAGACTCAGGTGCGTAGCGGACCACTCAGCAACCTGCGGAGTCGAAGGTTTCACGCAGAAGACACACCAGAAGACCCATGAAATCAAAGCCGCCCGACCTGTGACAGCGCACCATTCTTACCTCAATCACATTTCCAGTCAACGAGCATCCAGCCAGCCAGCCAGACGAGTAGAGAGGAGCGAGACAGGGAGCCAACCCAATCCACTCCTACCCAACCCAACCCCTCCACTGCGACAGTCGTCATCCCACCACGAGCAGATACGAAAAGAGCTGAACCGAGCAGCCTCATCGCTACATAACCCATTCGCTGCTCCGGTGTTGACCCATCAACGACTTCAATCCTCTTCGATTCGATCTGCTATCTGCTTGCTGACCGCCGAGACCTCACTTCGCACACCCGCAGCGATCAGGAGTCATGTCTCGACGTGGTGATGCCGTATACGAGGAGCGCGATTACTATTCCCGTGAAGGACCACCTCCCGTGCGGACTCGAGAACGAGAATATGAAGAGACAGATATCTACAGCAGGCGTGGCCCAGAACGAGGAAATCGACCTGATTTCCTCCGTGATGATTATGGCAGAGGTGAACCTGGAACGATGGTGCTGAGGGAGCGAGATACAGAAACGTTCTCAAGACCTTTTGAGCGAAGACCCCGATCCCCTTCTCCAGTGAGGATAGTGCGCGAAAGCCGCGAGAGAGTCATTGAGAGATCACCAAGCCCACCTCAACAACTCGAGCGTGTCCGAACCCGAGTTGTAGAGCGAGAGCGACGATCGCCTTCCCCAGTGCAATCCGAGCGAGTCAGAACTACGCGGATCGTCGAGAGACGAGACCCGTCACCACCTCCCCCAGAGAGGCTTCGGGCTAGAGTCATCGAGACAAGAGAGAGATTCCGTGAGAGGTCTCCATCGCCAGTGCATGTCCGCGAGAGGGTCGTTGAGAGGGAGAGGGAAATTAGGGCACGAACACCATCACCACATATCGATCGAGTCCGCATTCGAAATTTCGAAGAGCGAGAAATCAGACAGCCGACACCCTCTCCATCTCCATCTCCCCCTCCTGCTCCACAGATCCGCGCTCCTGCTATTCACCAAGAGATAATCACTCACCATCGACACATTGATCATGGTACGTACCTGCTCATGTTATACATGGTCTTACTAACATTTGACAGGCTTTGAGCTTGCTCGAGTCCCATCTCCGCCCCCACCACCCCGCCGAACCGAGAACCGTATGAAAGAAACCGATATTGACATCCACACGCACCGAGGGCATACTGATGTGGATATCAAGACAAAGACGACAAAAACAACCAATGCCCGCTCGTTGACCCCACCACCGCGCCATGAACATTACCACGATGATAGTTACCTTTATGAACAAGAGCGAAATCAGTTGCGTGTCCGGGACACCAGACTCGACATCCATGCCAGGCGCAGTGTCAGTGCGAGACCTGAACACCGAGACAGAAGCAGAAGCAGGACTCGCATTGATATCAGAGGTGACGACGATGAGGCTGATTATTATGCTCGCAAAGCTAGTGAACGTGCCTACATTGGAGAAGCCTACAATGGTGCAACAAAAGACTGGTCTATAGTCGATGTTCCCCCAGGAACCGAGCGGGTGAAAATGGATGGCGTTGGTGGTGGAAGTCAAGAAATTACCTGGCAGAAGTACAACGGAGTCCGCAGAAGCAAGTTCATTCCTGAGCGCGAGCGTGAAAGAGAGCATATCAGCGATCGAACCGAACGAGTGGAGATTAGGGATGAACCGAGGCGAGAGAGCAGCGGGCTAGAAATCGAGATTTCAACTCGGAGCCGAAGACAAGGTGGTGGTGGATCCTATGAACGCGAGTATGAGAGGATCGAAGAGACTTCTAACCAGCAAGTCGGGTTCCCACGCGCTCCACCCAAGCAACGAGTTGGCGATCTTTGGACAGAGATCACCAAGGACCTTGTGGTTCGCGAAGCTATCGAGGAGATGGGCTATGATTTTGAAGAGACGGAGTTTTTCTACTACATCATTCAATATCTACGTTATGTAAGTTTCTCGCTCAAGATCCAACTGACAAGTACTAATCCAAATGTAGGAGGATGTCCTTGAATTGGTATCTCTCTCCGAGACCATCCGTCGCGAACGCCAGGAACGCATCCGCGAAATTCAACGTGAGCGAGATCGTCTGGAACGTCGAGACCGGGAAAGAGAGGAATGGGAGCGCAGAGAACGACGACGAGAGCGAGACTCCGGCTTTTCAGACGAGAGGATCATCGAGCGCGAAATCATTTACGACAACCGAGGACCGCCGCCGAGACGAGGTGGCTGGTAAATATACACAGATACAGCATGACAGACATATACACCATGGCGTTATGAGACAGGGACGTAAGTTCGGCAATGGGCGGATACTACAGGACATGAACATGAACAGACATTTACGGTACTTTTAACGAAATCACGAGTAACGGACTAGGGCAGCATGATGCCGATGTTTTCTTGCTTGCATAGCGCGCACTGGGATCTCGAGCTCTTCTAGTTGATATTTTCTCGTCTTTTTATCTACTTGAGCTCTTCCTTGCAACCTCGATACCGATACCTATTTCAAAGCTTTTCTGGCTTGGTCTTTTTCACTGAATGAAGGGAGCTTTCCACAACTTGGGTACCCAGGCCCAGATCATATACGGCAGAACATGTATAGTGGGTAACAGATGGACTTTTTGAATCGCATTTGGAGCGTGCAAGGAGGAGGGAATGGTGAGGACAGTTTTTTGGTTTTGGACTGGCTTACGTGGAGTCGGTGAAAAACGACGAGGAGTGCAGGAAGCGGAATTGATTGGTTGTACCGGTGGCTGGCACGATTTGGATCGATTTTTGTCAGTTGTTTGGTAGGTCGGATTCGTGGCAAGGACGAAAGGGTGTAATGGCTATAGATTCCATATATCTGCATTTATGAATGAATGACGAAAAGATATAAAATTGCGAGTGTTTCAACTTCAGTCCGTCGACCTAGGTCTTTCATGTTCTTCCAATTTCCTTTCAGTGGCAGCCGTCGCTAGCCACATCTGCCTGAATGCCACAAGATGAAATCAAGATACGAAACTTTAAAGTCGCTGCCCGGGGAAGTCTGCCCCTGAATGCCACAAGATAAAATCAAGATACAAAACTTTAAAGTCATTGCTGGGAAGGTCCGCTTCATTTTGCGGAGGCACGTCCTGTCGCTTACTGGATAGTCTACCACGTGGGTCAACAATAAGTTCATCTTTGAAATCGGTGCCATTCTATTGGTAGTTATCATCTCATGTTCGCTTTCGGTGTCGCATCTAATCCGAGTTTCCCTGCCAAGTTTCCAGCAGGCATCGACATTGGCCGGGTTGTACATTTGGTTCGGAGAACCCTGAGGGATGATACAGAGACAACCACCCCCCCCCCCCCCCCCCCCCCTCATTAAATGCGGCAGAATCCTCAGAATCTACCTTAGAGGCAAAAGCAGGTGCAAATGGACCGTCCCCTGACGGTCTTAGGGCGATTCTGTTTACGGGGACTGTCCCTGAATAGAAACGTTCCTCAGACTGTCTTAGAACGGTTCTTCTCTTAGGGACTCCACCTTTAAGGTAAAAGCCCCTTTGTTCCTTCCAAATAAGGGAATAAAAGTTGATTTATCTCTACTTCAATTGGATACTTAGTACCTCTTGTATAGTATCAACTTTTACTTTTAGTTCTTAAAAGTATCTAAATCGATCGATTCAGGAAAAGTTGACTTTGTAATGTCAACGTGTGAGGTACAACTAGGTGTAGCTAAAGAGGGGCACCTTGATAAATGAAAATCTCCTCAAGTGCAAGGCATCTAGGTAGCAATTTCAAATCGTCCTGAACTGTTCTTAAGTAAAGAAACCGTTCTAAGACAGTCTGAGGAACGTTTTTTCCCAAGAACTGTTCCTACACAGAGAATCGTCCCAAGACCGTCCGGGGACAGTCCATTTGCACCTGCCTTTGCCTCTAAGGTATTGTTGCAATTGATCTGCCTCCTTAAGTAGCCTGAATTTCAAAGGTATCCTACTAACTCCTACTCTAACACCTAAACCTATCCCAAGCCCTAATCCTAGCCCTAATCCTAACGCTGCAACTACTCGCAGGCTCGCAGTTGCAAACTAACTACCTAACCAGGCGTTTGTAATAGAACACACACACTGTGCTCGACACTCACCGCCGATTTCCATAGCTTAGTCAAGTGGGGAGGAGTCGTCTCTATATCGTCAGAGGGTCGTCTCTGTATCATCCCTCAGAACCCTTGCACGGCATTCTTCCTCTCCCCTTCATACTATCAAATTACTAGAATTCAAAATTTGTAAGCAGACACTTTTTTGGGTTTGTTATACATGGCGGTACTGCTAATAGAGGGGTACTGGTCAAGTCTGCTGATTTGAAAGATTCGAGGGTACCTCCTGGTGGGCTTACATTCGGGTCCCCGCCTACGAGTAGACAGACGTTGGAAGGACTAGCTCGCTATAGGGACCGGAAAAAAACCGTATTATTCAAATAAAACAGGTTTCATGTATCGTATCGATGTGTTTTAAGGATAAAATACGTGTTTGGATACATTTTCACGTGATTATATACTAACCTAAAATAGAAGTTACTAAGCTTATTTTAGACAGATTTACTAAGAAAAAAACAAGTATATAAGTAAATAATTATTCTTCTTATATAAAGATTTTAGTTTCTAGTTATAGAATTAAAATAACTAATAAATCTTTAATAGAGATTATTTTTAATAAAAATATAATAGAAATAAAAAGAATATGAATTTTTTTTAATACTATAATTAGATATATATCACCTAAAAAGTACTAGTGCAAATATATAAAAAAACGAGGTTTTAAAAAAAAGTTTTAATACGGTATAAAACAAAAAAAACAAAACGGTTTTATTAAGGTCTCATTCCCTAGCTGGCCAAGGTAAATGAGACATTCTAATACGACCTAGTGAAACTACTCGAAAGATCAAGACGGTGTGAATTACAAACATTTCAACCTGATGCGGGATGGCAAGTTTCTTTGGTTGCTGGAGCAGAGAAGTACGATGAAAGTCATACGTGCCCTATAATTAGTCTTGAATTACTCAGCTCGAAAAGACATGCTACGTCAGTGGGAGAAAGGGTAGGAGGTATGATTGAGTTTAGTTCCTAGATACGAGATGTGGGATGGCCCGGATGAGGTATGCTTTGAGGCTTGCGTTTCGGAAGTAGTGTAGATGGCAATGTTTTGAGATAAGCAAAGCTTGGACTTGGAAGACATGCAAAGTATGAGGAGATGATCCTGGTATACGGGGATGACTGTCAAGTGACAACGTTGCTGCCGTTAGAAACCTGAGCGGTTGAGACTCTTTTTTGTCGTCACTCCAAGCTACATGTAGCTTTGACAAGATTTCCCCAGTTTCAGTCTAGGCAATTCAAGTCCATAGTTAAGAGGGAATCGCTTAAATGGTCCGTTAATAGTACGTTATCTAGCAATAAGGATACTCTTCACGTCGGTCGATTTAGATGGCTTGACAAGTATTGGCTACGTACCGAGTCTTGCGCCTTAAAATCTCTCCAAGTGGCTAGGATTGAGGTGAACAAGAGTCTAGTGTAAATTCAGCTTCAATGCAATTATCGGTTCCCACTGGGCAAGTTGCGTTGCTGTTGCTAACTTAGATCCTTCGTCGATTTGGAGTAAGGTGGCAGGCAGGCAGGCAGGGTATGGATTAGATTCTAGTAGCGCATTAAGGCCTGATGTCTCCTAAGGCTTTCTGTACTTACTGGGTTCCTGTAGGGAAACAATCCTCGGTAGTTATAAGTGACAAAGAATAGGTACTTGAGTTGTTCCGCGACAACCGATGCTCATTAAGCGAGATTAAAGTGCTATAAAGCTGGCAAGGTGACTGCGTCACTTCAAAGTTTTGATATCGCAGAAGCTCTTGATGCTTTCGGATTATACATGATGGTTCTTGAGATGTCATAAGGTCACATTTTAGACTTCTAAGACTACCTAGTGCTGTTGGTACAGGCTTTGTCATTGCCTTGTTGCGCTGAGCTGAGCCACGATGTCATTGAAGGGAAGCGAACCCCGCCTGATATCAAGACTTGATCCTTGATAATACTCCGTACTGTATGAAGTCAAAGTGTCTTACCCTACGCATGGCAAGTTCCTCACAGTTAAAACATTACCAATCCTTTAATGAAGTTATTTCGGCAATGTGGGGTGAGGGAGTGAGCACCGAGCAGGTGAGGGAGGGGCCGGTGCGGGTGCGGGTGCCGAGCCTCAAACAGCTGCAGAGAAACGGTCCGCTGTCACCTACAGTAGAGAAACTTGCTTCATAGGTTGGTATATATTTACGTTCGTGGTGCCGAACTCTTTTAAAATGAAACAATGCTTTGCTATGCTGCTTATGTAGAATTCTCCGCCTTTGTTTCGGTGTCGCCGATAGTGTTCGAACCTCGAAGTGATCCTCGAATACTTCTGCTCCCAACCAGAAATTATGTTTCTCTCGATTGATGTGTCAGACTGGATCATGTTCACTTACATTTTTGATGTGCGGTGGGGTCGATGTGCCACTAGACTAAGGCAGCGTGCGGAGAAACAATAACTGCCGATAGTACAGTAATGGTCTGGGCTTTGGAATGCCATCGTTTCGTTGCGACGATTATTTACGAACTCTAACTTTAAGCTTAATTACCAGGGCATCGCTGCCCACTTTGCTGCCCACATCGCTGCCCACGATCGCAACCATAGCTACGATTTGCGGACTCAGAACCGACCGAAAGCCGGGACCTTCACTCCGAAGGACTTGGTTTGCCAACTCTGATGATTATAACAAATCTCAAATGAGAACGCTCATCCTGGGTTATAAATAAATACCAAAGTTACGATTCGGCTCCCATGCATTTCAAATCCCAAGCATCTCAAGATACCAAGGCTCGCTTAGAAGTGCAGATCCGAGCTGGCTACAACGCTTTGTCTGTGCGAAGCGCTGTGCTACTGCAAGGATAGGCACTTTCCGTCCCCAAAACCCCAGTAATTGAGCAGACGAAGAAATTGGGAGGGGGTTCTACGGGTGACGATGCTATCGGCAACAACGCAATCTCATACATCGGGAATAGGCCTCGGCACGTTGAGGGATATCTTGCCTTTGGTTGGGCGATGGAAGGCAAACATTCCATTGTCAATAAAGCTCGGCACTGGAAGCATTTGGTCTATTATTAGACGGCCAGACACTTGGCTTATCCTCTTGGCTCACTCGCTCCTGCCTTATGTAGAATCTGGTGACGGCGACTTAGTAAAAAGGTCCTCGCATGCTGATGTGATACGCCTTCTTACAGGCGTTCAAAATATCGCCGTCTTCTGTTGACCTCGCGAGCTTCGTGACAAGCTGAGGCTAGCTGGAAACCCCCCCGTTAAGCGAATATAATTCAACCGCGGACCCATTGGCTCGCTTTGATTGTTTCTATTCATCAGGATCAGGTCAGGATCAAGGTTTTCATTCTCCTTCTCAGAGCCTCCACTTAATTTCCCCGCCGATTTGTAGCGTTTTGTTTGAGTTCGGGATTTGCCATCCATGTGGTTGCACTCGTGCTAGCGCAGATGTGACATCCCCGGCGTCGAGATCCACCATCCATCCGATCTCAGGGGTTCAGAAAGGGTATCGTACGACTGTAAATGCACATCACTGCATATCGCTGCCGCTTCCGACGTGATTTCCGCTTCTGGAAGAAGCCTGTCACCTATGCAGGAGGATTATTTCAAAGTCAAAATCTCACCACGTTTTCTGGCTTGGCTGACATTTCCAATCGTCTATTTCGCCGTTGAGCGATTATAAAGACTGCGATGGCAGCGGCCAAAAAAATAAAAAAAGCCCTATATCGACATTGTCCGGAAACTTGAACAGCTTCGTGCTTCCAACAATATTTTCTCACTTTCGTTGCGTAAGCTGCAGTCATGTGGTCATCATTGATCTTACTGCTGCCATTGGTCTCAGCCCAAGGCTGTCCAATGGCCGCCATAAACAAACGAGATCTTCTTGGTCAGCGAGCTGATGCTTCATCCCTCGAGACTCTCAGCAATTCATTCGGCAAGTGTCCACGAATCAGTGATGCTGCAGGCGGTGGTTCGCGCACCGGAGACATGTTTCCATGTCAACTAAAACTTGACGTCCTTCGTCAGTTCTCACCTGAGCAGAATCCGCTTGGCAGGAACTTCGACTACGCCGCAGCTTTCGCAAAGCTCGATTGTAAGCATACTTCTTCTCACATATTTGTGTCCGTACTTGGCATTTAAATATTTCTTACTAACATATCCAAGACAAGGCGCTCAAGGCGGATCTTAAAAAGCTGATGACGGATTCTCAACCATGGTGGCCAGCAGATTTCGGCCACTATGGTCCATTCTTCATTCGAATGGCATGGCACAGCGCTGGAACCTACCGAGCTCATGACGGACGTGGTGGAGGAGGCATGGTACGTATCAACTTATGAAATCAAGACAAGCATCGTTTAATTAAGAGAGCTGACTTCGGTTATTTAACAGGGTCAACAACGTTTCGCACCACTCAACAGTTGGCCAGATAACGGGAATCTTGACAAAGCTCGACGACTGTTGTTACCCATCAAGCAGAAGTACGGTCGTTCAATCTCATGGGCCGATTTGATGTTGCTCACCGGAAATGTTGCACTGGAAGATATGGGATTCCCAGTCCTCGGGTTCGCTGCCGGTCGTCCAGACACCTGGCAAGCTGATGAGAGCGTGTTCTGGGGCGCCGAAACTACCTTTGTCCCCAAGGGCAACGACATTCGCTATAATGGCAGCACTGATTATGTTGCAAGAGCAAGCCACTTGCAGGAACCTCTCGCTGCTGCTCATCACGGACTTATTTACGTCAACCCTGAAGGTCCAGATGCCAGTGGTGATTCCAAAGCTTCAGCTTTGGATATTAGAACTACGTTTGGTCGGATGGGAATGAATGACTCAGAGACCGTGGCTCTTATTGCAGGAGGCCATGCTTTTGGTAAAACGCATGGTGCATCAAGTGCAGGTAATTTTTCACTTCCATTTGGCTTCTTTTCCCAAACTCTTTGTTTCGCCCACCATCGGCATAAATCTCAACCCAATTGAATTTTAATACTGAAATCTTATCTCTCTTAGTTACGGGACCTCCCCCAGCAGCAGCAGATATGGCAGCGCAGGATTTCGGTTGGGCGAACCCTGCTGGTACCGGATCTGGACCGGATGCTATTACCAGTGGCTTAGAAGTCATCGTAAGCTCAATCTCTCGCTTCCTTCAGTCCTATAGTATAGATTCCAAGTATCGTGCTGGTAGATGCACAAAAGTCCCGACAAGAATTGAAACGTAGTGCTAACTGCTCAAAAGTGGTCCAAGACTCCCACCAAATGGGGTAACAGTAAGCACTACCTCCCACGCAAGACCACATTGATTGCTGACTTGGTCACTTCAAGGCTTCTTAAACAGCTTGTTCGGCAATACTTGGTCACCAACGAAAAGTCCTGCTGGAGCACATCAGTTTGAAGCATTGAATGGGACCGCCGATTATCCGAATCCCTTCGGAGGCGGATTCCGTCGCGCGACAATGCTCGTCAGCGATCTCGCGTTGCGCGATGATCCTATTTATGGGCCTATTGCGAAATCCTGGGTCAAAGACTTTGAAGGCTTTACGCATGCTTTTGCGGCAGCTTGGTGTAAGTTCCGATTCGCTTCCACACCTCTGGTTCTCTCTATCTTAGAATATTTCGTTCCCTGCGAAAAGTTGGACTGACCCCTTCTACAACAGTCAAACTCACTCACAGAGATATGGGACCACTCAGTCGGTATTTAGGCCCAGAAATTCCGAAGCAACAGTTCATCTGGCAAGATCCCCTCCCAAAGGCCAACTACGCGTTCACCACAGCCGAAGATCAGTACAACCTGAAGAAGCGAATTCTTTCTACTCCTGGAATTACTGTATCAAACATGGTTTCTGTCGCTTGGGCATCTGCCTCGACGTTCCGCGGAGGAGACAAGCGTGGAGGAGCTAATGGCGCACGTATTGCCTTGGAACCCCAAGTCTCTTGGCCAGTCAACAACCCTAAACAGCTTCGCACCGTACTTTCTGCTGTAAGTCTTCACCAAAATTTATTTTGAGTTTACAAACATACCCATACTAATTGCTCGATGCAGCTGAACTCAATCAAGTCTGACTTCAATGCTCGCAACAGCGGAAAGCAAGTCTCCTTGGCAGATCTAATCGTTCTAGGCGGAAATGCAGCGGTCGAGAAAGCTGCATCAGATGCCGGCATATATGTCTATTGTCAATTCATAGTTGGTCGCACTGATGCCACTCAAGCCGACACCGATATCGCGAGTTTCGAGAATCTTCGCCCTCAGGCTGACGGCTTCCGCAACTACCGAAACACCACAGGCTGGTCTCTTGCCCGCACGGAAGAGCTCCTCGTTGACAAAGCTCAACAACTCACTCTGACCGCTCCAGAGATGACAGCCCTCGTAGGAGGTCTACGTGCTCTCAATGCAAACTACGATGGGTCTTCCAACGGCATCCTCACTTCCAAGCCAGGAGTTCTTACAAACGATTTCTTCGTCAATTTGCTCGATATGCACACCGTTTGGACTGCTGACCCTACTGGTGAGCTGTTCACCGGTAAAGATCGCAAAACTGGTGCGCAAAAGTGGAAAGCCACCCGCGCTGATTTGGTCTTTGGCTCGCACGCTGAGCTGAGGGCCATTGCTGAAGTGTACTCAGAGGCAGGTGGTGCAGAGCAACTGGTAAAAGACTTTGCTGCTGCTTGGATCAAGGTTATGAACCTGGATAGATTCGATGTCAAGCATTGAATACAGTGAACCTGTCATGAGGATAGACGTGGCTTAAGAAAGAAGCTGGGCTGATGAACTTTGGCTATTCTATTCTTGTATATAGATTAAATCAATCAAAACAATTTTGAAGGAGAATGTTCCGACTGAACAGTGAGCGTGAGTATGAGAGCTAATTTCAAAGGCTGGGGGAATCTGCAATGGCAATCGTGTGAATTGGATGCGACAAAATGATTATTCAATATTGTGTATTGACACGATGCAGCGCAGCGCGGCATTCTTAAGTCCCTCTCCAGTTTCTCGCATCCAATCGTCTGTCAGTGATATCTCTTTCTCCTCCGTCTTCTACCACAGGCTCACGGGCCGCAGAAGACATATTCCTTAACTCATCGCCCCTCCTCCTGTCTCTGGATCGGAGCAATGCCCTCCTCCTGCAGAACCACCGAGTTTATGCTCCGTCTCTTCGACCACCAGCTCCACCTTCTACTCAAAGTGCCTATTTCAGATTCCGGAACCAATCTTGCTAGCGTCCCATTCTGTCGTATGTACAGGTTACGATGTTCGAGTTGGTAGAGCTGTCCGCCAGTGGTATTACTGACTCGATGTCTTTTGATACGGGTTTCGAGGGCGCTGTAGATTAAGACGACAAGAAGGACGACCGTCAAGGTGAGAGCAACCGAGAACAAGATTACTCGTCGCTTGCTGTACATGTAGTATTGTTGTTGGAGGAGGAACCTAGGCTGCTGTTAGTGACGACTTCGTGACAAGGGGTCACAATATGGTGGACGTACTCCTCCCTCGTGTAAGTTTGTTTCTCCATCTTTGTATGATTAAGTTATGGCAGTTTTTCGATGTGAAGAGTGGGCGTTGATCATGTTGTTATAATTCTGTATGAGCGGATGTGAAGGTGACGTGATGTCACATTGAATGTTTGCCCAGAAGTTCCAGAACACAATGAAGTCCGCTCTACGTGTGCCAATGCCATCTGTCTCGGTACATTCGCTCAACCATGGTAAAGTAAGTGGCCGGAACTTCCTAAAGTATGTTAGCTAACGAGCGATTTGTAGTTGGCTTGGCGCTATAGTTAATTAAGCGAATGAAAACAAACTGGTTCTCCTTCGCCCACCACCCTTCAGATGCCCAGTCCTATTAACCAAAGTTCAGTACCAGATAGAAGTCTTATCCGAGCTCAGTGCTGTTGAGAAGATTTTTGATCAATCTTGGCTGCTGTAAGCCCAGGAAAGTTGTCACCTGTCCCTCTGAGCCAAAATTCGGTTCCCTAATCGCATTGCGATCGAGTGGTGAGAGCTGGCTGGGCACAAGTCGCATTTCTCGGACCCTACACATAATCGTAAAACAATTGTGGAAATACTTTCACCTTAGTAAGAGCGGTGTATCCCCTCAACTGGTGAAAACAGACTTTTCCAGGGCACAGCGCTGACGCCAAGCGCTGAAGCCAGGCGCTAAGGCTGCCTGGACGACAACGAAACTTAGCGCTCTTCGCTTAGTTACAGGGTCTCGCTACAGGTGTGTTTGATACGGCAGTGGAGGGGGATAGCCTAACTTCATCATGGATGGTAAAAGGATAAGCAACAAGCTCATCCATGGCATTGAAGCAAAAGAAAGAATATCTACTAATATGGGGAATCAAATGTTAGAAGGACTCCCAAAAAAACAAGCCCAGACCCAGACTCCAAAATCCAAACGCCAAGTCCACCAAAACCGGAATCTAGCCTATCAAATATCATACACCTATCCTCGTACATTCTACGCCGCCCTCCCCTGTTTTTCTGCATCTTCCTCAGGCTTAACCAGCTCCCCAAACCACCCCTTCACCTTATCCAGCTTTGACTTGAACCATTCCCAGAAAGTCTTCTCTTCTGGTGTCATCTCACTTTCATCAGACACGACTGGCCTGGTAGGTTCAGGCTCAGGTGGATCGACCCCGACGAGCGCGGGAGACAGTTCCTCGGGGTCGGCAGCGGAAGAGGCTTCGATAGGTGAGATGGATATCACGGCATCAGGCGCGGGTTCGGGAATCACGGATGTTGATACGGATGAGGCGGTTGGCGCTGAAGAACTCGTTGAGAGGGGAGTCACGGCTTCTGAAGCTGGGCTGGCGACCTGGCTGGCTGCTTGTTCAGGGTCATTCGGCTCGTCCAGAGCTGTATCAGGAGAGTGGATTCCCACGACTTTGAAAGGGAGTCGAATCGTGCCATTGTTTGGTTTCGGAACAATGTTCAAAGAGTCGCAGACAATGTTGTAAACTTCAATATTTTCTGGAGACTGTTAGCTACACTCTTTGAATGCACAACCAGCCCGAACTTACGAAATGGCTCAACACGACTGTTAGGCGCATGAGGGAAGGCTGGCCCTCTTGCAATGAAGATAGCTCTCATCAGAGGATGCTCATGATCATAGCCATGCAAGCCCCGGGGGCTGTAAGTAAGCCCCTTTTCGAGCCCATCTGCTACATTGAATTCTTCTTTCGTGACAATCGCCCAGCCGGTTTTAGGAACGATCCAAAGGGGAGCAATGCGTTCGTTTTTGGAGAAGTGATATCTCTCAGGCATGGTCTTGTCTCTTAGAAAGACCTCGAATCCAGGGTTAGTTGCTGTTTGTTTTAAGAGCCTGTCGTAAAGAGGATGAAGATCAGCGGGATTCTTTGGGCGGAGACCGTACAATGGCCATCCGTCTGTATGTTCGATCAGGCTGGTGTCAATAAGATCCTCCAGTTGGATTAGGCGTGAGATGTCAGTAGTAGCCATGCCGTGATCCGAAACTACCACGACGTTGACAATGCTCGTTAAATTTCTTGTTTCCAACCCTTTGAACAAGTGATCCAGCATGGTATCAACATCGTTGATCGTGACCCGAATTTCGGTACTGTTTGGTCCATATCGGTGTCCGTCAGAGTCAACATTAGGGACATAAGCAGCAATGAGCTGTGGTCTCATGCTCACAACTTCGGCCAATTGGTTCTCCATTCCAGGCTTATCCAGTAACTCCAAAATCCTGCTGACTTTGTTACTCAATGGCTCTTGTCCATTGTACTTGTCCAAAAATGCAGGGGCAATATCCATGATATGCGCTTCACTGCCAGGCCACATGTGAATAGCAGTCCTGATGCCCTGATTCTCAGCTGTCACCCATAAAGGTTCTCCACCCCACCACTTGGGCTGCATTGCATTTGGATTCGTATAGAAGAATTCTTCCTTCAGATCTGCATCCCAGAACGTATTCCCAACAATACCATGCGATTCGGGATAAAGACCTGTGACCAGAGTATAGTGATTTGGGAATGTGACCGAAGGAAAGCTGGGGTTCATATATATCGGCGACACGCCCTCCTCGATGAAGGAAGTGAGCCTCGGTGTAATTCCCCTCTTCAAGAAATCCGCCCGGAATCCATCCAGGCTTATCAAAACGGTCGTTGGCGCAAATAACGCTGAGCCATTGCTAAGCATTGCTTGTACTGGTATAGCACTTTTCCGATGTAGCGAGAGCTTCCATGCGCCCAGGACCAATATAGAAAATCCAACTGCAATCAGTAGATGGATGAAACACCATCTCCGCCAGCTCCTCCTCCTCTTCACTTTATCGTCATGTAGCCCCCGCAGCCCCCGTCGGTCGATCTCATCACTCCCCTCCGTCTCGCTGCTCGCACCCGTTATGCTTCCCTCCTTCAATCCGCCCTCCTCCATCTCATACATCAGTGCTCCATCCTCACCCCTTTCTGCCTCGCCCAATAACCTCTTCTTCTTCTCCCTCCTCCTCTCCCTCCTCCTTTTCCTCTTCACCTGCTTCTCTGAACTCCCGGCCAACCCAACTTCCTGCATTTCCTTCGTAGCACCAATTGATCCTGATCTCGAGTCCGCTCCCACCAACGGCAATTCCGCGTAACTCTTCGAGAACAATCCCAGTCCCTTCAGCGGATTCCGTATCGCAGCGAGAGCGCTTCCTCGTCTCCCCCTTCGTCTACTATCTTCGAGCAATTTATCGCGTTCTTCTTCTTCTAGTAATACGTTTCTATCGTGAGCGCGGATATCGGCAGAAGTGCGTGCGCCGAGGAGGACTTCATCGTCTTCGCTGTCCGTTTCTTGGTCGCTGCGTTCGCTGTGGAGGCTGGAGGCGTCGTCGTCGTAGTGAGATGGGGAGAGGAGGGAGGCATCTCTTGTGGACGGGGGCGGTGGCGCCATTACTGAAAATGTCTTTGTTGGAGTGTCTAGGATTGCTTCATTGGGGCCTTATTGGGTTTGCGATGGAATGTTGAGGTCGATGGGAGTAAGGTCGATGGGAGAAAGGTCGTTGTCATAAAGGTTGATTCCCTATTCGCTAAGATTCAGCCAAAATGATTTCTCGGCTCAGCCTTGCTTGCAGCAGCAGGGCAGTACCCTTCGTACTGTAACTTTACTGTAACTCTACATTATCCTTGACCCTGAACAGCAGATACTTCAAAATCGCCTGCGAAGGATTGTCTTCAGTAGAGTCGAAGTGCAATTTCGAATCAACATCCTTTCGGATACCACTTGCCAGAGTATTGCGCTTCGATTTGGTCACCGTGGATAAATTTCTTTACGCGTCGCGCTGGACGAAACGAGAAATCTCTTCAAGTTTGGGGAGGTAAATCGACACAGGTAAACGATTGCAACTTACCTACGGAATGTTTATTTTCCTACTGATAAGTTTTTGAAAGGAGCGAAATAATGTTAGGGGTGTGATATCATTTTACATGCCATCAAAAACGTTACAATCCTTGTACAGTACCTACATCCATCTCTCTTCTCTTTCAAGCAAACCAACCATTTGTTCGCCTCTTCTCCTCATTTTGAACTGCAGAACAATGCTTGGGTTGGGAGGACCTAACAATCAACGAACTATCATTTACGATAGTTCCGCTCCATATCTAGGAAGATACAAATGCGCATCTCTATTGCCGTCCATCATTTGCACCCTTTTCAGAATCAAGGAGTTAAATCCCGCACTCGTTATCTCCGCCACCACTTCCATTGCAAACACCCAAGCCGTCCAGGATAAGCGAGAATACGTGCTCCTCCTGTCATCACCCACTTACTCAGTTGCGACTCTCTCCCTCTCGAGTGTAGTCAAAAAATAGAATGATCGATACACTTCCGGGGAGTAGGTAGCCGTCGCTGATCGCATCATCAGGGAACGATGTCTTGGCATTTTGAGGGATATATCTGCATGTACAGGGAGGTTGATGAGATGGAGGCGGTGCTACGAATTGAGGGGAGAGTAGGTGAGAAAATGCCGCATGTGGGGAAGAGGGGGAAAATAGAGAGGAGGTATATGAACTGCACTGGTAAGGTAGACTGAGAGAGAGTTGGAAGTCCTCACTGTTCACCTCCACAAGTTCCATCTACTTACCACGCGAACGACTCTTCGAAAAGGCAACACAAGACAAAAATAGCAGATTGCTGAACAAGAGAACGATATGGAGCCAATCACATGCGTCATCCTGGGTATCACCTTGGTTGCTGGTATGATAATGGTACAATTTCTCTGAAAACACTCAAATCAAAGTATGGTATCATATCATATCATTCACATCATGACTTCAACCCTTCGTACACTTTCAAAACAAGGTCAGTAAGATTATTTGTACACTTCCCACGCTTTCCTTCAGCTCAACAACCATTATGAACGACAACAAGAACTAACAATAGCCAATCAAGCGAACAGACAGGCGTAGACCAAGCACACAGAGGTCTACTTAATCTCCGTAGTTGGCAAGGTCTCTTCTGTAAGTTCCGTCTTTTTGCTAGGATAGCTGTGCGTTTCGCTGTCGGAGCTGCCTTCGACGCCTTCTACGATGCCTTCTTCGCGGCCGAGCATGTGGTGCTAGAGGAATGTTAGTTTGTGTTCGTATGCTGGAAACGGCCGAATAGATGGGAGGAATAGAAAGAGTGCGGAAGGAAGAAACCAACCTCAACGTTGATCTTCGGCCCTTTGAACCATTTGTGAGCGGAAACGAACCACCAGATCGTCACCATGATCATCCTGCTATCATTAGCGATTGTTCTCTCTCGTCCGCTCCGAGGACACGGAAGTTTTGGAAGGAATAGAAGGGTAACCCACGGTCCACCATAAACAACAACCGTCCAATTCATCAACTCCGCCGTCAAATTATTCCCTCTCACACTTGGGAAACACAAAATCGGCATCATAACCAAGATGAATGCACACGCACAACATCCAATCGGCTTACTGAACTTCCCCAAATGCCACGGGCCCCGTCTGAAACGATTCCCGACGAAGAACACACGGATAAAGATGGGGATCGTGAAAGCGACCATGGCAGCGATGGCTCCGACAGAGAAGATAGCACCAATTGCTACCGAGCCGCCGAAGATGAGAAGGAGGAGCAGAATGCCGATCATCGTATTGAACCAGACTGCGTTGACGGGTGTGTACGTGTGCTTGTTGACCTGCTTGATCCACGAGGAGAAGGGAAAGCAGTCGTCGCGAGCATAAGCGAATGTTACCCTGGACGCAGCCACCATACAGCCTTGACCCATAAAGAAGCCGCAGACGATGGTGATGGATAATATAGCGAGGGCAGTGTTCTTTGGCATGACTTCGATGAGATAGGATGCCCATGGTTGGCCGAGATCTGATTCGAGTACATCGGTTATGTCATAAACTGTGTATGCCACGACAAGCTGAAGTGCCCATCCTGCGAGGCCACCCACGCCAGAGGTCATTACTATTGCGCGAGGAGCGGCGATATTCGCATTGCTGCATTCTTCAGAAAGATGGAACGGCGCGTCATATCCTGACATGGTCCAGATGATGGCGATGAAGGACATGAGGACTGCGACTCCGTCTGGCCAGTCTGTTCCGTTCTGAATCGACCAGACTTCTTTCGAAGGGAAGAACTTTGGGTGTGTGTCTGATCCTGTGACGGAAGCTGGGACCAATATGATCACAATGAAGAGACATATCATGTTCATTGTCGAGCCGTACGCATTGAAGCGGGCGATCCAGAGGGTTGGCATGCTGGATATGCAGCCATGGATTATCATTACGAATACAGTGAGGAGGAAGACCTGCCAGTCTTGAGGAACGTAGGAAGGATGTGTGATGGATGCTGAGGCGAGAATCATAGCTGAGAGGGCATAGTCAACCGAGGGAGCTCCAGTGACCTGCACGATCCAATTCGACCACCCTGTAATCCAAGCCGCAAAAGGACCATATCCTGGAGGAGCAAGTACAGCTGCTGCGTAGTAAAGTCCTCCACTTGTGGGCATACTCGAGCATAGCTCGGCCATTCCCATGGCTACACACTGGATAAAGAACCAACTGATCAACCAACCCCACACCATACCTCCAGTTCCCGCATATCCCATGCCATAGTAGAGCGTGCTTGCGAAACTCGGCAAAAGACCTAGCACCGCAAATGACACGCAGAAAGTCGTCCAAAGTGAGAACTCTCTCTTGAATTCCTGTTTGTAACCGAGTGCTACCAGTGCCGCCTCGTCTGCGCTGAGGCCTTCAAGATTCGGGGAATCGCCATCGGGAAGGACAGTCGTGACGGAGGGTTTGCGGGGGTCGGATTCAGGATGGCTTTTGCCGCTGTGGCTACTTGGTTTGAGAGAGGCCATCTCGTCAGGGCTCTTGCTGGCTGTATCGTGATACAGTACAGGACAGGACTATGGATGGGTTTCCCGTCGATAATTCGGCTCAGAGAGCAGAATCGGAATGAGGAGGCTGTTTACTTATGTTTGATAGTGAGTCGAGAGACGTCTAGCCATAGCTTTATCTTGCCCGCTTCTATTCCCTCCACTTGTGAGCATGCAGTAAGGTTGCAGAGCTCCAGGGTTCAGACGGCAGCTATCTCCTCTCTGGCACCCTTGGCTTGATTGGGTATGTGTAGCCTGAGCCGAGCTTGTGTATCTTCGCTAAAGCTTGCGCCCGACCATACAAATGTCGATCCTTGGGTCTCTCGGACTTGAAAAACCAACTTCGAAAGTTGACTTTCAATGTCCTCTTGCAGCGAGAGAGATATGTTTCGCCTCGTCCTCACCCTTTTTGGAAGTCTCTATCATTTCCGCGCCCATTCTTCAGATCATTCCCCTCCTTTGCTTTTTATCTCCTCCCGTTTGCCCGGTACCATGGATAGACACGAGATGTACGACGATAGACTGGCAAGAGTACTCTGTATTAATGTGAGATGGAATGATTCCCCAGCCTGGTGGTCGTCGGCTCCTTTGCACTTTGATGGGTTTGCCCCAGTCGCTTGTTGCTTATCTCTCGTCGCGAACGCCCATTTTACCCTTCTCAACCAATGAGATATCTCCATATCCAAACACCCTGTCACGTCTAGCATTCTTATCGCGAGGTGACAGGGATTGTGAACTCCAAATAAATCACATCAGCGAATGTCGAAGTTTTCAACCGAACTTTTCACTATCGCGGGGGTCCTCTGTTGTGATCTATTCTGATCTCTGGAGCTCTCCCTCGAAATGATGAGCTTTGCTGTAGTTCCTGTTTCCATCTTGACAAACGCTTCCCATTAATCAACCCCTCCCAAGCTTCAATATCCCAATGCACCAGCGGGCACTAGCCTCACGCCTATCGACAGGCGAAATGTGGGGAAGAAAATGTTACGTAAGACCCGCATGTCGAATAGCCAGACGTCAGCCTGCAGTGCTTGGAATCTTGAAACCTGTGCCGATGGGTTGCATGCTGTATTTGGGCATTGGATTGACCAGCCTGAAGTTAATCCTTTCTTAGATGTGGACGTGAGGTGGTAGCATAATACACGTGACAAGCTGCTTTAGGAAGGTCCAACCTGGGCTGGAAATGTGCCTTCCTATCGGTTTGCTATGCATATTCTCGAATCTCGATGGGGAATTTCATTGTTTTCCCCCCTTGTGCTGAATCTTCGGCAGGAACGGCATCGGGAACTTAGAGTATTACTCCTGATCTATTCTCAAATAGGAGGGCGTAGCCGATATCTTGTGAGGCTCGTTCTGTATTGTTTTGAGAGCAATCCTAGATCAAGATAGCCCCGATCTGCTACCGAATAAGACAAAAGTTTTCTTTTGTATGCTCTGCACTGAAAGCCCAATTCATGCATGTTTGACAGTGGAGAAGAAGAGAGTGCCGTGCAATGTATGCATGAACGATGATCGTAGCTAGTTCCAGATATCCTTCATGTCGACTTTGTTGTCGAGATCCATCTATTCTTGACACACTTTCTTGTACGAAAGCAGTAGTCAATTAGATTCCAAGAAGCATAGGTACGGGTGGACTAGCAATGCGGTGCTGAAAGCGAGACACCAAGGCTTCCACAACAGAGATTCTGTGATCCCGTTCAATTCCACTTCGAATGCTGTGGCTTAGACTATCAGGACAAGTAAGCATCAGCCATGAGACAATGGACTCACTTCATTACTCAGTTATTGCCTCATGCAACCATATATATATCGAGTAGGTTTACCAGTTTACGACCGACATACCTGTTCACACAGCCCTTCGGGCTCGTGCTCGTCTGGCTATACGCAGGTGCGATGAAATCTGAGGCAGGACGAAGCATGATCGATTGCGTTGGTGGCCGCGGGTCGAGTGAGGATTGGAAACTTTAAGGCATCCTCATCATCGGTGAACGAGATATATTTCCTGAGTCGAGTCATGAGCGAGCGAAAATCAGCGAACGAGAGTACGTGAACTTACTCATCTCCAGAATTCCTTTTAATACTGCGCAGTCTGCAACTTCTACAAGACCGCACTACGGTATATCCCAAGTCATAACGAGGTAATCATCGTCCGTTGAGGCTCATCTCAAAGACAACGAATAGTCTGCACAGGGCGAACCCTCAATCATCTGGTGAAGCCATGGATCCTGCTAAGTCAATCCCAAAAACATATCCTTGGAGACTGCAAAATGCATCCGGTGAGAACTTCAGATATCTTTCTTGACGCGTTAATGGAAGGCTGGGATGAGTCGTGGGCATAGAAATCGTACCGTGATGCGAAGTATTCCATTCTGCATACGCACAGCTAACATAAATAGTGCATCTGATCTTGTCAAGTCCCATGCTGAAGGAAAGCCTATTCGTTTTGGAGACCAGAAAGTTCCACAAGACGGGTGATTTGAGCCACGTAGTCCGTGAAACCAATTTAAGGTTGTACCGTCTGGGCATCGCTCCCTGGTAGCCGAGGCGTTTGTTTGACATTCTCCTCCGCTTGTGTTTGTACATGGATCTACCAAGTAGGCGCGCACTAATTAACAAAGTTTGCATGACGAGCCAGTCGTGCGTTTCGGACGTATAGCTTCCAGTATGCGACATTGTGTACATGGATATTAGTCGTTGACATGAAGCTCTGGGAGTATGTGCTCAGGGACATGGTCGTGTATATGAGGAATCCTCCCATGCTCATCTCAAGCGACTTGCCATTGTGCTTATTAAAATTCCAAGCATTTTCTCAATACCATTTAGCATGCTCTTTGTTCCACAGTTTTTCGTTTGGCAATGGGCGGCGCTGTTTATAGCTCTGGTTTCTTTCCCCTCCCTTGTGTATGGCGGGCAAGGTTAACGTACCTCTAGCCAGCATTTTGCTTCCTTTTGAAGGTCGTGTACAACGTGTACTTTCATCCTCTTCGCAAGTATCCCGGGCGATTCTGGTGGAAAGCATCGCGGATTCCTTGGGCATGGTACTCTTTCCATGGTACTTTGACCAATCGCCTCTGTGAACTTCAGCGTGAGTACCAAGATGTCGTCCGGGTTTGTCCTGACGAGGTCCACTTCTTTACCAGCCAAGCCGTAAGTCTTTTGATGCACCGGCCTTTGCTACTCGGAATCTCAGCTTCGTATTGATCTCGTAAAAGTGGAATGGTAAGTCCAGGACTTTTGAGTTTGTTCACAAGGAGCTGGCCATACTGATTAGTGCAGATATACATGGGCGCCAGATGCCAAACGGGAAAGGAAATTTAAAGAAGTTTGTGGGGCGTAGAAGGGCGGAAATAAATAAAACGCCCAGCATCGTAAGCCGTTCTGGTCTTTACCTCCCTGAACTCAAGTCTGACGTATGGATAGGTATCAGTAGTCAGCGACGAAGATCACCGGCGAAGTATGATATCCCCCGCGATCATGACCTTGGCCTGCATATGATGAGAGACAATTCTTCCTGACATGCGACAGTGAGACGTTTGCTATCTCATGCATTCTCTGATAAGGCTCTCACAGCACAATTCCCGCTCATAAATTCGTACGCTGATAAACTCGTCAACAACCTCCGCCATAAGGCCAAGGGAGATGGTGGCTGTACGACTGTAGACATCGTAAAATGGTATAACTACACCACCTTTGACGTCCTCGGTGAGCTGGCATTCGGAGAGCCTTTCAGATGCCTTGACGATGATTCCTTACACCCGTGGATTAAGACCTTGTTCGCATCGTTGAAGGACGGCTCATTCGTTCGTATTGCTAACTCGTTCCCCCAACCGATCAAGACTCTCATAAAGAAGCTGGCCCCTAAAGGCGAAAATGATGCTCCAATGGAAGAGTTCACGTTTGCGGCAAAAAAGGTGAAAGCGAGGATGCAAGCTGGCGAGGCAAAGAAAGTGGACTTCATGAGCTATATTCTGAAACACAACGATGAGAGGGGAATGACCATACCCGAGATCGAGAGTAATGCGGTACTGCTCATCGTGGCGGGTAGTGAAACGAGTGCGACCTGGGTGTTCTTCCGGCCTCTCTATGGAGATGCTGACACTTATCATAGCTGCGACTTTCCTCTCCGGGATCACGTACTGCCTCCTTATGAACCCCACGTATTACACCAAACTTCGCGACATCATTCGTACCACTTTCTCTGATGAGGCTTCGATCACCCCGCAGGCACTCAATCAGATCGAGTTTCTCACCGTGTGCCTTGAAGAGACTTTCCGCATCCACCCTCCTGTTCCTCAGACTGGTATCCCTCGTATAACGGCACCGGAGGGATCCTTTGGTTCGCTACCATCCTTGGAAACGTGCATGGAACGAGTATGTTGCTAACGCCGAGCAGTTGATGGGCATTTTGTACCTGGGAACACAATCGTCATGGTGCCTCAGCTGCCGACCTACATGTCAGACGCAAATTTCGCAGATCCCAGGAAGTTCGTCCCTGAAAGATGGCTGAAGGGTGACGAGTGTCCTGAGAGGTACCGAGGGGATAATCGGAAAGCCATGCAACCATTCAGCGTCGGTCCGCGAAACTGTATCGGGATGAAGTATGACTTTCCCGCCTCCTTCCCCTGTCCAACAAATTTTTTGAAATGTTCAAAGATTCTGACTTGCGTAGCCTTGCATATTTCGAGATACGATTGATTGTTGCCCGCATGCTCTGGAACTTCGATTTCGAGCTTATGGACGATAGCCGTGATTGGACAGATCAGAAGGTATGGAGCTTGGTGTGATCTGCCTTTCTTGGAATCATGACTAATCGCATGGCAGATATATACAATGTGGGAGAAGAAGAATCTGAACGTAAGGCTGACTCCGAGGCAAGTTTGAGACTCACGACCTGCTGTGCCACGGACGTGTTCGGTTTGATGAAATGTTGATGTTTATTGTAAGCTCTGCCGGTCCGGGCGTTTTAGGAGAGGCAGAATCAGGCGGTGAAAGTGCTCTCAAGACGAATCTTTTCGAGCGGGCCAACATAAACTCTGCAATAAAAACCGTTAAGGTTAAAGCAAAACAATGAGACAGCCGTAGAATTCCCAAAGCGATCTTCGCTCAGAATGCCTGAGTTCAGAGTTTTGGCCCAGATAGTAATATTTTATCCACTTCAGCGACTCTTTGTTTAGCGAGACGAGGGTGGAGGTCATGATCCGCTAGCCGCGTAGAGAACAAACGGGAGAAAGTACTGTTGAAAGCACAGAACGATTCTATCCTGCATAGTGTTTAAGTTGAAGCCGGTCGGTTTCTTGGGCACGGCAAAGACATTGTCGAGAGCGTCGAAGAAAGTGGCATTGGACAGTTTGCTGAGTAAGCGAGTCTAGACTTGAACCTTCATTCAGCTGAGTGTCAACTTCAACACAACTTCATCTCTCCGTTCATAGGGGTAATCATGCAACGCCTGATGTGAATATGAAAGAAGAGCACTATTGAAATTCCAGCCCAGTATGGCGGAAGTCCTCGCAGCAATCGGGATCGTCGCCTCAGTTGCCCAGCTAGCAGAGTATGGCTTCAAGCTCTCCCTAAAGCTGTACACTTTCAGCAGCAGTGTCTCGTCCGCCTCAACCTCCATCAAAGCCCTATCATCGGACGTCTCCCTTACATCTACAGTCCTACAAGAGCTCTGCCTCATCATCAAATCCGATGAAGATAGTCACGTGGTGTCAGATACGGCTTTCCAAGCAACGAGCCAAACAGTGAAAGACTGCCTCGCAGTGTTCAAGCAATTAGATGAGGCGCTTGATAAGAGCATGAAGGGAATGGAGGAGAGGGGTGGTAAGAGAGTTGTGGAGAAATTGAAGTGGCCGTTCAAGCAGCCGAAAATGGATTTGTTGCGAAGCAATCTGGACAGGCTGAAGACGAGTTTGACGCTGATGTTGCAGGTGCTGAGTTATGCTAGGGATGTGACCAATCGGTAAGTTTTTTGTATTGTACTTACTTTCTTCTTTTGATTACATACACTTATCAAACACGAAGTCTCGAACGGGGCTAGACTTCAACGTTCTAAATTACAATTTTTCACTTCCAGTTCTGAGTGATCTACCTATATCTTTCTCTTCTGCTCTTCTTATTCCTCTTATTCTTCTTCTGCCGAATTTACTCGACGTCACTGATGCTTGAAACCAGCAAAGCTGCGCAATCATCCCTTATCTACCAAAAACATGTGATCGAAAACCTTGCTCGCTCTGAACGAGACATGAATCGAAGATACATCAACATGCAACGAGCACTTGAGTTCGAGGCCATCGACCGCGACTTTTATTCTACAATGAATTCTTCTGTTCATGTTTCCACGTCGAGGGAGATTCGGGCTGACAGTGCCTTCATGGCAAAGCCCACATCTATTAAGCGGTCAGTTCCAATTGAAGCAGAAGCCAAGTCGCCTTTGGCGGAGATAATCGACAATCCACCTGCAGTGAAACCTCGAACGCTCGTCGGAGAACTCCTCCTCTGTTTCCAGCTGCTAAATGATATTCTGGGATATCACATGGCAGTGTCCAAGCTCAGTGATCTTTCCGCTTCGGGATATGATGACCTTCGTGGAGCACTGTGTAGAGTTCACGATAAAGAACTCAAGAAAATGGAAGCGCAGCATGCGGATGCTCCGATTTATGTGAGAGCTGAAGCAGCCAAAAATTTACAAACTCGGTTGAGAGAGTTGGTCAGAGCGGGACTTTTAGCGAAAAGAGAGACGGATTTGAAAGAGGATTTGGGAACAGCACCTGAGAAAGTCTTGGGGTCTAAACCTGTGGTAAACTACGCATTTTACTTTACCTTGTGCGCTTTCATGTTGACCGCGTGGTAGGAAACTATCCCAGCCGAGAAGCATCCAGTGACGAATGACTCCTCAAACCCAGCAGAATCATTTGAATCTGAATTCGTGAGTCTTACTGTTGTGATTCTCACAGTTTTTCCACCTACCATACCTTCCTTCGCCCTACCAAACCAATTTGGCAGGCTGACAAAATCACCAGGGCGGCCCAATGATGCTTCAGCCGAGCCCCGCCACCAGCAATTCGCGAACAGAAGCATTACAGGCACAAATCGATAGTACTGTTGGCATCATGCGAGAAAGCATCAACAACGTGTCTCAACGTGGGGATCGACTTGGTTGGGAGGAGTATGGCTCTGACAACCTAGCTAGCTCACGCCAAGGATATCGAATAGGTGCGAACAGAGTGCGCAAGGCACAGTGGCGTGTGTAAGTCCTTTTCTTGTCCTCTCAGCTCCACAATAATTGGGAACGTACTGTGACAAAGTGTATTGTATCCGGAATGCTAATGTGATTTCCCAAACACAGGAGTCCGCTATCAGCCATTGCCTGGCTTGGAATGGCAGGTGCAGAGGCTGTCCAAGGCGTTGATAGCGGAGTTGTAAATGCTTCAAAGGGGATAGGAGAAGCGATATACAATGCTAGTGAGAAGATTCTCAATAGTGTTGAGGGGGAAGTGGACAAGGATGAGTTTGTTACTAGTCCAGTCAGGATTGTTGGGGGACGATTTGAAGATGTTGACGATAAGTTGGGAGAGGATGAAGAAGATGATGAGGATCTGGGCGAACATCTGGTTGATGATCTATTGGCGCAGTGGACGACCTTGTCTGAGGAGGAGCGTGGTGAGGAGAGGTCTGTGCCGTCGGCAGACGAATGATGAGCAAACGAGTGAATGAATTATGAATATAACAATCTCCCAGCAGTCAATATCTGAATGCATGAGCAAAATTCAAGGTTCTTTCTATGAGACAACAAAATGGATGCGGCTTTCCACGAGAAAAAACAGGGAGGGGCAAGGGGTGAAAGAGCAAAAAGATAAATGTTCTTCCGGAACGGGGAATTGAACCCCGGTCTCCTGCGCACATCTTTTATTGTTGAAACAACAGATCTTGAGAGGCAGAAATACTAGCCACTACACCATTCCGGATCCTATTGATGCTGACGAGTCCTTTATTCGAGCAGATGAATGTGGGAGTGAAGTGGATTTTTTCTTCTTCTGTAGGGTAGGGTTGTCGTAAGCGAAGAGATGTGGGTAAACAGGGATGAGACGGGTGGATACATGACTGGGGGACCTCGTAATACAAGAGACTTGCGTTGGAACTTGAATTAGACGGCATTGGAAAGTATTAGGAGTAGCAACCATCAGTGTCGTGAAGTTCCTAGATGTTTCCACCTTGTCAATGAATAACAAAACTTCGCACCTGCTCTCCCCCACCGTCTAAGCCCCTCATAGCTTCACCGTACATATATCCATCCACATATGCCTCTCCAATACACAGATATCCGCCTCTATCCTTATTTCTTCTCAAAACCACGGGATACTTGCATCCGAGGAGGATACAAACCATGTCACCTGCCTCCGCACTGGCCGGGGCAAGACCCACAAGGTTCCCCTGAGAGATGAACAGCCGTCTCTGATTCATCATGAGCCCTGCCGATAGAATAGCTGATAATCGAAGTTTCTCTTCCTCATCTTCATTCGCAATAAATGGGTCCTCTTCCTCGGAAGGAGCCAGGGATAGCGTCGACCCAGAAAGTTGAGAGATGCCCATGCCAGAACCTGTACTAGACCTCGACGGCGGATCCAGCCGCAACATGTCCGAGCCCTCAAGCACCTCATCCGACAGCGCAAAAATAGCATCCAGTTTCCTCGCATACAAGTTCTCATCATCATGTTCCCAATTTCCACACGAGATCGTACGACCAAAGACAGCTTGTGAAGCAACACTATTTGAGTGTGAACTAACGAAGATATTCCACCAGTCGTGGAACACATTCAAGGCGGGCGCCACGTCGCTGGGTGGACGTTGCAGAGTCCGTTTATATGTCATACCGACTGTATCGATAGTGTCTAGGACAAAGCCTGAGACTTTGAGGACGTACCCATGGGAGAGGAATTGAGCGTTTGCGAGGGTGGAACCGGATGCTGTGAAGGGTGGTTGGTGGTGATGGAGTCCGATGACTGTAGCACCTGAATTTAGAGGACGTCGTGTCCAGTCAGGTACCCATGATGGGAGCGAGTATTGGTTGAGGTCATGTTGCGAGACGCAAATTACGTCGAGCCGGTTGGAGGTGGTGATAATGTGGTGGGCTGTATGAGTGTAGACTTCGCGAACTGACTGTGAGTAATCTATGATACCAAATGTATTAATGGAATCGGAAACGCCAATTAGGGCGTAGACTTTATCTTTTGGATCTGTTGACGATTTGCTCTTGTGCGATAGGAGGAGTTCGAGGATTGGTGGTGCAGCAATGTTTGGCGAGAAGCGAGATAGTTGTAGCCCGCGAGGACCGTCGTGCGTAAGGGTTCGTACATAAGACGGGTGTTTGTAAAACAGGGATTGGAGCTCCTCAATTGCTTCTTTGAGCAGATCACAGACTTTGTCTAAGTCCGTCCATGAAATCTCGTCCTCACCACAATACACTGTAGCTTCTCGAGCACTGCTAATTTCTTGTATCACCCATATTCGCCACCAGTACTGTCTTCTGAACAATCTCACTAGTCCCTCAATTCCCTCTATCCTCTCCGGGTCTTTGAGTAAATTTCTAACTTCATCGATTGAAGCGCAAGAGTTGAGATCACGTGCAACCCCCATTGCAGCTTTACTCCGATTACTCTCCAACCCCAGAAACACAGCAACACTCGCTGCATGTTGGTAGATGGATCTCATATTCGCTGTTTGTAGACTCCTCTCGGGGATGTCTTCTTGATTGATGCAAATTGCATCAACCCACATCACTAGATCGCTTTCTCCAGGCTTGGGACGAAGACGTGTGAGAGCATGTCTGAGATTCGGTGTGATGGAGACATGTTCTTGGTCGATGGAGATGAGTTGAGAGCCAATTTGTTGGCCCCAGACATAGGACAGGGCAATGTAGGGAGGCGCGGAAGCGAAAGTGGTGTGGAAGAGGGAACAGCGGATTGGCCAGGTGGAGTCAGCGGAGGGAGAGGCGTGAAGTCTGAGGAGACGGATGGAGTCTTTGCGGCTGTCTAGTGGGGTGTAATTGTATTTACGGTAGCCCGCTTGTGTTCTATGGATAGAGATAGGGCGAAATGTAGACTTCATAATCTCGGGTGTTGACGGTGCCGCGTTGGTGATGTTGCGGTAGGTGGGAAAATGGAGAACAGCAAAGGGTGGCGACGCTGCGAGTAGACACTTGTGATTGAAGGTTCTGTGCCATGCTATGGGAGCTTTATGCAACATCTATTGATTTTGTTGGTCATTTGAAGAAAACCGAGCTTCTTGACCAACACATTGAAGGAAAGATGCGGCCGAAACCCAGGGACAATACAGCGCTTAGGTCACGTTAACCGCACCCCCTCGCTTGATAGTCGGTAGACTCTCGGTAGACTTTCTCGACTCTTCATTGACAACTCCTTACCGACTTACCTGACGCCAGACAGCCATGCGACTCGCTGTGTTAGCAATTTGTCCCTGGGCTTTGGCTTCATTTCGCCTCCAAGGCAGATGAACCTCATTTAAATGTAAGTATGCCACGTGATATTGTAAGGATACTTACCATACTAAGATATCTCCCCGAACAGTGTTTCCTTACTTCATTTCACTTCTGTCGAGATAACTGCTTCCTTGCTACCATATCCTAATATGTATGACCACTATGCTTTCATCCGAAAGAGGCAGAATATTGAGACGCGGCTCGGTTCGGGTCGCACAAAACGTGACCAATGGGATTGAGATTTGAAATGCTTCTGCATGTCAGTCTTCACGTGGTTCGGTGCTTGAAGCCTCAGCCTTCCACCACCACACTTTTTTTATTCTCCCAAATTTCCGTTGAATGGGACTGTATGCTGAGCTGAATATACCTTCATCCCAGCGCCGTTCAGCATATATCCCCTGGTTGACCCATAATCGAGCTTGGCAGCTGCCAACAGTACTGTCGGCCATGCGCCTCCTTCACGCGAAGACGTTCAAGCTCCACAGTTTCTACGGCAGGGACATACCATCCTATGCAATCCTGTCGCATAGATGGAGTGACCCCGAAGTTGTGTTCCAGGACTTGGAAAGTGTAAATGGTGTCGAGATCGCTCGCACGAACGTGAAAATATCAGGGTGCTGTGCTCAGGCTGCAAGAGATGGATACGAGTATGTGGTTAGTGGCCAATTTCCCGAGTTTGAATTGATACCGAAAGTGCACTCACACACTTAAAGTGGATTGATTCTTGCTGCATCGACAAGAGCAGCAGTGCCGAGCTGTCTGAGGCGATAAACTCTATGTTTCGCTGGTACAAGGATGCTATCATCTGCTATGTATACATGTCAGACGTCTATTTTTCAGAATCGAATCCAGTGCCAAACAAACAATCGTTCAAATCCAGTGCCTGGTTTACAAGAGGCTGGACACTACAGGAGCTGCTGGCACCCGATATGATTGTCTTCTACGACAAGTCTTGGAACGAGATTGGCACTAAAGCGACATTGAAAAGCATAATTGAGGAAACTACGAGGATCACACATTTATTTGACTTCTCCAAGGCATGTATTGCGCAAAAGATGTCTTGGGCTGCGATGAGAACAACTACACGGGTTGAAGACGAAGCTTACTGCTTGATGGGACTGTTCGGGATCAATATGCCCATTTTGTACGGGGAGGGCATGAATGCTTTCCTCCGCCTTCAGCAAGAGATCATCAAGCAGTCTGATGACGAGTCAATCTTTGCTTGGACGAGCAGTCGCTGGTCATCCAGCTCCGGAATGCTGGCAGAGAGCCCTAGTGATTTTAGAGACGGCGGAGAAGTCGTGCTGATGGATTTAAAAGGGGCTCCAGTCTTTCCGTTCGAGACAACGAACAAGGGGCTGAGAATTCGACTGCAGCTCATACCAATAGAGAACCCGTGGTTATACAGATCGGGTGCTAAGCAGGAGTTCTTTGCTTCCTTGCGGTGTCAATGGAAGTTGAATAAAGACCCTATAGCGATCAAGCTAAGGGCTCACATGGACAGTCCTGGTAAGTCTCATTGCTTTTCTTTCTTTTTTCACCCCTATTTAAATTTAAAAGTACAATATGGAAAGAGGCAAACATAGTTAAAAAGTTCTAACATACAGGCTAGACATGTTTGTAAGAATATTCAATGATAGATTATACACTAAACCCGAGGCTCTCGACGAAAGCACTCGAATTATCTACATCACCACTCCACAAAAGTCGGATCATGAGTGGTGGATGGATTCGAATTGCTGGTTTCACGTCGTCGCAAAGGATTTGTCTGATTTGGGATACCGCTCGAAGTGCATTCGGGGAGATCGAATTCCAAGCCTAACCAGTCGGAAGCTCGCCCAAAATCCATCATTGGAAGTTAAGTCACAAGAAGGTGTGGCTTGGGTAATTTTCCGAAAATTTGATTCAGATATCTTCTTAGGCATGACCTTTGAGAACGGCAGGCCGGGATTACAGCTACATCATGTAACAGACTTGGATGACCAAAGTGCCTTGCCACAGCCGTTGACCGGATTGCCCATGGATAGAACACGCATCTCACTGGACGGTGAGCTTGATGTAAGTGTGGCTGTCAGGAAAGTCACAGACAGTGGTCGTGACGATCGTCCACTATACCAAGTGTCGATCACCGTGAGCAAGTCGCACGATGAAGAGGGATAAGTGCCATGAGGGCGCCATGATGGCTCAGATATGACCGGAATTTCAGCTGTGGTGCTTCGGTACAAACAATATTTATAACGTACAAAGGTATATTGGAGACTCAGCATAGTTCATAGAGTGACCAAATCCCAAACTAACCCTCTCAAAAGAATCGATTTATATCCTCGCCATCCATTAACCCCAGATCCCACTCGCCTCCCATCGGCATAAACTGGGTATAACCATCCACAGCACCAAAGCCCTGCTCACCCGTAACCAGCTCCCCCACCGCTTGGAGATCCAACCACGAGAACTCATCCTGCTGAGCAAACATATTTATATTTTGATTTCTTGCCTGTGGAGCCACAAACCCATTTGCATCTGGGACATTTGTGGCGCCAGGATTCGGAGTCTGGGATACCCGGGTCTGCGTCTCAGAGTCTTTGCGCTGCCAAAGTCGGTCGAGGAGCTCGGAGTAGCGGGATGTGAAGTCGTTGGGGCGTACGCTGGCTTTCTGGAGGTGTCGGATCACGTCTTTGATCATATGTCGAATACCGAGCTTTTCTTGCGTGGAGAGGACTTCGAAGGACCATGCCTGGGAGAATGAGTTGGCTGCTCTGAAGTTACTGTGGGTAGGAGGAGAACTCACTTTGTACAGGAAGACGGCTGAGTTGACGCAATATCTGGCCATGTTAGGAGTGCTCAGTGTTGGTTGGGTAACAATTGGCTTACAGTGAGAAGCGAAGAGGAAGATATCTTAGACAATTCTCGGCATCAATATAACTATTAATGATGCTGAGGAGTGACTTTGCTGCATCTACTGATTCGTATATGAAGCGAGCGTCGGGTAGAGACGGTATCCCATTGTGAGGAGGCTCATTGGCTGATACTGCACCTGAAGACTTGGCAGCCACGGCGCGAGTGACGGTTGCTTGAAATGCATATGCATTTGTATAAAGCCGTAGGTACTCATATGACATTTGGAGAGTTGCTTTGATATTTGGGGGACCTAGGATCAATTAGGTCATACTTTCGTGTACCATGGGCAGAACTCACAAGTCAGTGTCCCCCAAATACTCTTCCATCCTTCGATCGCGCGTCTGAAGTCGTCTACGTACTTGACATAGTTTCCCGCCAGCATTAACTTCATACTACTGCCCATCCCAGAGTAGAGGACATCATGAACATTGCTGAACAGTTGCGTGAGGTCCAAATTGGCCTGCAGCACACTTGCGAAGTCCGTCTCGTCAGGCGTGGTTGGCTGTAAAGGACGAAAGTCATCGAAGACTTGACGACCATGCCGCCCAATACCTGAGAGAACTACAGGTCCACGAGACCAAAACGCTCTGCCGATACGAGCAGATAACTGTCTGTCAGAAATGTAACAGGCTGCAAAACGTAAGCGAGTATCTTAGCGAGAGCCGCCACAACACTTGCCTGCCCACGTCACACGCCGCCTGTTGAAGTGCGCTGCTTTGTCCTCGTCGTCATGCTTGATTGCCGTTCGATCAAGACCTAGAAAGTAGCCTATCCTTAGAGCGAGACCGACATGCATCCATGCAGCGCGGTCCTCCTCCCCACATCCGACTTCTTTCCCTTCTGAGAGCGAGTCTTGGGGTTCCCACTCAGCGAGTAATAAAAGTGCTTCCACTGCTTCGACGTCACACTTTTTACCGGCTATGATCTCTGAAACAAGTTGATGCATGTAAGTGGAGCAAGTGTGGAGTATGTTGTCGGGTTGAGGTAAGTCTCGTGCTGCGACGGTGATCATAGCCGTCAGAAGATGGGGCTCATTTGTACACATATATTGCAAGCATTTTGGATCAAAACTTCGCCTGGGAGCTATAGGTAAGTAAGGGTGATAGTATTGCTGGAAACTGGTAGTCCGTCAGCATTAAGCCAGGTACAGGGAGTACTTGATGAAAGTTTACCGGACTATGAGTCGAGATATCTGGGCAACACTTAGGAGGCCTTGGGATACCAAAGCATATTGCAGTTGGCCTGGTGGAAATTGGTCACTTCTTACAGACCCATTGGCAACTGCTTCAGGTGACATGACTATCGGCCGATCTGAAGTATGGGATCTCTGGCCTGGAGTTGCATACGTATCGAGTTGAGCAGCTTGGCTGAGCATATTCAACGCCTCGGAAGTTGCATGCAGGTCTGTGGAGGCAATAGTTTCCTCAATGTTAGCAGATGATATCGGTCCATCTTGGCCATATGGCTCTCTTCCTGTCGGTGAATGATGAGAGAAATGATCTGGAATGCCGGCGGCATATGAATTTGACCTCGTTTCTTCCACGACCGGTAATGGTCTTGATGAGCTGCTGTGAGATGCAGTTGCCGTCTAGATCATTGTGATTAGTGCAGAGCCGCAATATCAAAACTCTTTTGAGTTGGCACTCACACTTCGCCGAACCCGTCGCCCACCTCTCCGGGAAGTTGCCAGGACACATTCTGCGTTATCTCGAACACAGGACTCGCATGGCGGTATTCCAGGCTGACCATTGGATCCTCTGGAGACACTCGTCAGCTTGTGCAACTTGTCAAACGCATGCGATTGAATTGCCAACTCACAAGTTACACTTTGATTTTCGTTGTCGGCATCGGACACAAGCCCGCGAGATCCTTTTCACCGGCCTCGAATCCCTTGAGGACTCCTTGTCCATCCGGCTGCTATCTGTCGGGTATTGCCCCGCATCACTCCTGAAACTCTCATCGGGTATCATCGTCAATTGTAAAATCTGGGGAAGTGAAGCTGTCCTCGGCCGGCAACAGGATCGATCGTCTTGCAAAGACCGCAGATGTGGATTAAAGGGCTGTAGACAATAGCCGGATGGCGGGGTATCAGGCCATGCCAAGTCATTTGCGTCCCTTGTTGTCTAGCCACATTCCAGGTCGCCACAGCAGTCAATCAATTGCCGCATGCACTAACCGACTCTGGGACTGACTCAACAATACCCTATTTCTCCTGTTCTCCTCCAGCTTCACGTTCTTCTCAATTGCCGTCAACGACTAACTGAGGCTCCCCGCGGGGTACATTCCGGGGTACGATCGGCAACGACATGACGAAGTCATGATAAATTTTGTATATGAATGAACAGCTATCCCCATGGCATGATGGTATCAAGCTCTCAGGCGCAAGCATCATCATCCACTTCCTTCCCTGAGTCAACTCAATCTTCAACGCAAGCAATGGCGAACCTTTCTGGTGGAAAGCCAGAGTCTGAACCCCCCAAGGCGCAGCTAGAATTTGCGGAAGACATTGAGGCTTCAAGGACCTCGAGCAAGGAGCACCATAATGTCGATCGCGTGTGGCTCACAGAGGAAGACGTACGTGCCATTCAAGAAGCAATTGCAAGGCATTGTGGAGCTGTTGAGAACTGACAATTGTCTCTAGAACAAGAAAATTTGTCGCAAGACCGATAAAGTGATCCTTTCGATTCTTGTTTGGGTCTACTTTCTCCAAGTTAGTTCCCATATTCCGACCTTATTTCGAGCTATCAATCACTGACACCTGCAACCCTCAGATCTTGGATAAATCTGTCTTGGGTTACGGAAGCATATTTGGTCTGCAGGAGGATACCCATCTCAAAGGCAACCAATACTCCTTGGTCGGATCGATAGCACCTATTGCTCAATTAGCATGGCAACCATTCTCGTCCATTCTTATCGTGAAGGTTCCCCACCGAATATTGATGCCAGCAATGATCCTGGGCTGGGGTATTGCTCAAACATCCATGGCTGCTTGCCATAGCTATTCCGGCCTCCTTGCCACTCGATTCTTCCTCGGATTATTTGAGGGCGGCTGTCTACCCCTCTTCAGCGTCATCACCAACCAATGGTATCGACGCGCTGAACAGCCTATTCGAGTCGCAGCCTGGTACGGTACAAATGGAATGGCTACAATTATTGCATCGGCACTGTCTTTTGGACTGGGACACATTCCTTCAGAGACGCTCAAATCTTGGCAAATGTACGTCATCTTCGATCCATGTTCCTGTGTTCTACTAACAAGGTCTCAGCATTTTCCTCTTCGTTGGTCTCGTGACAATTGTCACTGCTCCTTTTGTTTACTGGAAGCTCGATAACGATGTCGCCACCGCACGATTCTTCGACGAAACCGAGCGAGCTCAGGCTGTTGAAAGACTGCGAGCCAATCAAACTGGTATCGGTTCCCGGGAGTTCGAATGGAGTCACGTATGGGAAGTGTTCCTTGAGCCGAAGACCTATCTCTGGTTTAGCATGGCGCTTTTGTTAAACGTGGGAGCTTCGGTCACCAACACTTTCGGGCCATTGATCTTGAAGGGACTTGGATTCGACAAGTACATCACTTCGCTGTTGAACATGCCTTTCGGTGCCGTCCAATTGATCATCATCTTGATCGCATCTTACGCTGCTCAGAAAGCCCGTCTCAAGGCACCAGTTCTTGTCGCCTTGGTTGTTCCAGTTGTTGCAGGCCTCGCTATGCTTTATGCAATTCCAAGATCCGACACTGCTGGTCTTCTCGGAGGATACTACCTCCTTGCTTTCCTCTTCGGAAGCAATCCTCTCATCGTTTCATGGATCATTGGTAATACAGCTGGAACAACCAAGAAGTCCATCATCATGTCGCTTTACAACGCAGGATCCTCAGCAGGAAATATTATCGGACCTCTTTTGTTCAACGCCAAAGACGCGCCACAGTACCTGCCTGGTCTCCGAGCTGTTCTCGGTATCTTTGTCGCGCTTGCGATCATCATTTTGTTACAGCTTGCAAACTTGATGTTCTTGAACAAGATGCAAGCCAAGAAGCGAGTGTCGAATGGCAAGCAGGCTGTCATTCACGATGCGTCGATGGAGGACCACTATGTTCCTGTGGACACAACTGCAGGAGTTGGAGAGCATGCATTCGACTTGACTGATCGCAAGAACGATGAGTTTGTATATATTTACTGAGGTGTACATATCTACTGAGGGACGTGATGGAAAATGGTCCTTGATGGCACGCTGTATATATGATTTATGAAATTATGATTATGTCTTCATCTACTTCATCTATACATTTCTAAGTGAGTCTTCTCATAGGTGGAACGGAGATCAACGCACCACAGACTTAATCAAAGGAAACTTAATCAAAGGTACGGGTACAAGAATTTGACCAAAGCAACCAAGATACCGATTCCGTTTGTCTACTCACTTACATCACCAGGAGCAAGCCTCCTTGAAGCCTCTCTCTAATTTCCCCCATAGACAACCTCCTCTCATCCCTCGCCCCCCTCCAGAAATTCGTCCCCCTTAACACCTCATCATCCATCAAAAACCACCACTTTACCGCAAATCTCTCACCAATCTCCCAAGCCCCTTCATCCCAAGGCGTGTTCCCCCAGACCGTAATATCTCTCGTGATATCCGCCCAGATCTCAACTCCACTGATAAATTGCTGAGACTGTAGTAATCTGTCTCGCATGGAGGGGAAAGGGATGAGGTCCACATAGGGGAGATGTGGGGTTGTGGACTGGAGAGGTGTGGGTGTCAGGGCGGAGGGTGTGGAGAGTGTGGGAGGGACGTAGATTTCGCGGCTGCGGATTTGTTTGTGGCAGTCGATTTGGAGGATGGCTGCATTGAAGAGGAGCGCGGAGAGGGTCCCCAGGGCTCGGACGACGATGAGTTGGTCAGTCAGTGGAGATGGGGGCTGGTATGTGCTGACTGCAGTATTGGGACGAGACTCAAGTACCCGGGAATCTACGGTAGATGTATCGAGCGCAGGATTAGAAGTGCTTTCAATATTTTGAAGTGTTCCAGATAAAGTGGCTTCTTGAGACGAATTCGGTTGGTAGTCAAGCGAGTCCAAGAAGGATATGTCGAGGTCTGCCAAGCTATGTGCTGAATCTGCAGGATAGTTGTTAATCTCAAACGTTGCAACCACCTCTGAATCTTTGTTGCGCTTCTTGTCTTGAACATTTTGGTGCGTCTCTAAAGGTTCACGTAAACTCGTCCGATTTTCCCTCTTAGTCATTGGCTTTCTCCCGTACTTCAATCCTTTTTACAATTTAGCCGACATGTCTTGGAGGTATAGAATAACATACTATGAGATCGCTGAGCGATCCTGTTCTGGATTCTTCTCCGCGTTGCAGGATCTTGCACAACCGACCAATCATCCTCATATCCAGGTAGGGTATCAATGCTCGTCATCGTATGCATTTGAGGTTTTTACCTTGAATGACTTTGTCTCAGGCCAAAGCAACTTGGTGCTGTCGGTCAGAACATTTGGATATCTGGTCAGGAAACAGGGGTTTGGTCATCTTTATGTTCTGGTTCATGATCACCAGTCCGCCTTCCGGGACGGGAACGATCACTAAACAGGACGATCAACCACCAGAACAAAGGGCTTGATTATTCAGCAGCTGCGAACGGCATTGGAACCAATTCGGTTGGATAGAAATTGCTGACCAGCATTAGTGACATTTTCTGTGGTCAGCTAGTGCCATTGGTCTGTTTCTGACATTTCTGGTAGAGGCTCTTCCAGCCACTTGTTGGACTCAACTGACGGGGTTGGAACTTGGACTTTGCGAGCTTGTTTTCTTCCCATAAACCATCTAAGTTGGAAGATGAGTGGTAATCATGACCATCAATGTCACATCAGAGTATTGATCAGCTGGATCATTAGAACAGAGGTACGGGAGAAATGGCATCAATATATATCAAGCTCAAATTAGTACTGGCTTCAACGCCTTGATCAGAACCATCACATACGTTCAAGCCATCTCATCCTTATATTAACAAGACCCATTTCTAAATCTACTTGGCTTTGAACGACGGGCCATTGATTCCTTACGAAATGGCACCATTCCCATCTTTCACAAAGACTTGGCATAGTTCAAGCTATCCAGCTATTTCACCGTCTCGTCCTGAACTTTCCTTAGTTGGTAAATCTGTAATCATTACAGGAGGCGGCTCAGGAATCGGTCTCGCAATCACAAAATCTGTCGCTCAAGCAGGAGCATCACACATTGTTATTCTCGGCCGTCGCGCCGAAGTCCTCGCCAAGGCCGCAGCCACTGTTCATGAGCTCGTCGGAAACAAGACCAAAGTTCACACAATCAGCACTGATGTCTCGAACAAGGAACAAGTCGACCGAGCATTTCGAAAAATCCATTCCGAAATTGGCAAGCCTCTGGATATTCTGATCCTCAATGCCGGATTCTACTCCGGTATTCGGCCACTAGGGACTGAGACGGTCGAGGAGTGGCAGACAGTATTCAACATCAACATCCTGGGGCCATATCTTGTTTCAGCGGCTTTCACCTCAAACGCAGCTCCAGATGCAACTATCGTGAACATCTCGAGCGCGATTGCCCATCTTGACCCATTCCCTGGATTCGCATCATATGCCGCGACAAAGCTGGCTGGCTCCAAAATCATGCAATACATGCAAAAGGAGAATCCAGGTATGCACGTTGTGGATGTGCATCCTGGCCAAGTGAGGGAGACAGACATGGCTGGCAAGGCGACTGGAGAGCTTTATGATGATGTATCACATATTGATGATGGTATGTTCTGGCAACGTCCTAGAATGCGAGACTTTGGGCTAATTTGATTGTGATAGCTGAGCTGGCAGGTAACTTTGTCGTTTGGGCTACTAGCAAAGAGGCCAGGTTTTTGAAGGGGAAGTTGGCTTGGGTGAATTGGGATGTTGAGGAGTTGAAGGACAGTGCAAAGGAAATTGAAAGTACGAGGGTGCTGAGCTTGGGTCTTGAAGGCTTTTATCCGGGCAAGTACTGAGATACGGTAGTGAGTGCCTCTGGCAGCCTTCTACAGCACTCTAAAGGTGCCCGCGATGCATTGATAGGTAGTAGGTAAATGTGATCTTGTTGCCGTAAAATGCAACTTTTCTTTGGCGCTCAACTGCTAACTGGGGCTGTGAGAAAACTTAATGTCGGTGCAAAATGCCCATTTAGCTCAACACGACCTGTGTATTGGGGTTCCTTGACTAGTAATGAATATGAAGGAGGAACTCAGATGGAACAATTTAAAAATGTGAATCTTAAAGATAAACTGCACATAAAGAAACACTCTTTTTCATGCCGGAAGTCTGGCGAAAATCGTGCGCAAGTGTTCGAAGTCTCGAAATGAGACGATATACGAGATCTGAGAGAGCAACGTTCTTCTCGTCATATTTAGTAATTCATATTCCGTCTTCGTCAATCATATACATTCATCTACAAATATCGTACTGCTCATTATTCCCAGTTACCAGGTACTTAATAAATATATCGGAAGTTTCGATTCTGGGACGGGCATTAGCTTGAATACAACCAACATGATTCAGAAACATACCTCGAAATCGGTGAGATCCCCACCATTTTCCTCAACTGCGTTAAACTCAGCGTTCGTTCCGGCGGGCGCAGCTGCGTCTCGCTTCTTGTTGCGAGCTATGAGAAGTGTTCGCAAGGCAAGAGCAATTGCAACCTGTGTTACTGAACAGGCAAGAATGACTTTGCAGCCTGTTGGGTATCTTGGTGATTCACTTGCGATGAATGCGTGTGGGCCGATGATGTTTCCAACACAATATGTCATGAAGACTATCGCCACTCCAGTCGTACGTTTCGTATATCCTCCCAAGTTTGTAGCAGGCATCTGGAGGGCGAGGACGAGACCAGTTACGTATGATCCGGAGATGTAATAACTAGGCCATGGTTAACAATATAGTTAAGAAGAGAATTTTCAGAGGTGCGTACCCGAACAGAACACCAACTTTCTCAGCTTGTGTCTCACGGCCCATCTTCCACAAGAGACAGGCGCCGACGATGGTAGGCATGAGGTACATCATCATGACGATTGTGCGAGCATTCTTGAAACGCGATGCAAGGAAAGTTCCACCAAGAATCCAGAATACTTGAAAAGCGCCTTGTGGGATACCGAGGGCAGTGGTGAGAAGTGGTTTTTTGACAAGTCCCTTAATGATAAGCTTGCCAAAGTTCGCAATACCACCGTTGATGACCTCATTGAGGAGCATGTAAAGTGCGAGGAGCAAAACTTGGGGGTCAAGGATAGCTTCCTTAATTTGGTACCACTTGATTGTTCTGTTGAGCACCCCAGTCCGTCCGAGTTTGGCACGTCCAATAAGGACTGCCTTGTCCTCGAGACTAAATCGCTTAGCCGAGATGATGTTGTCTGGTAAAAGCCAGAGGATCAAGCACCCCCATAGAACGGTGACCGCACCGCAGATGAGAAAGATCAGCTTCCATACAGGGAAAGTGTTGACCTGTCCGATACAGTAAGTGAGAACACCTCCAACCATTGAGCCGACGCCGTTGCAGCAGTAGAAAACTCCAGCCCGCAATGGTTGTTCTTGACGTGTGTACCACTTGAGAAGTCAGCAAGCCGAAGAATGTACCATTGGACAAAACTTACCATGCCAACAATCATCATGAAGCACGGTGTAATTGGTGCTTCAAACACGCCTAGAAGAAAACGACAGATCGCAAGTCCAGTAAAATTGCTGCAAGCTGCCGTAATCATCAAGATGCTCCCCCAAGAAATGATACACCCAGCCACAACCTTTGCCATCAGAGTCTTCTGTGCCAGGTATGACCATGGGTACTCAGCTGTTATGTCAGTCAGTATGTTCTCTTTCCAAAGCCAGACGGTGGGTAGGGCTTACCGATTAGGTAGGCAAAATAGAAGATACTGCCCAACCAGCTGTACTGGTACAATGAAGTATTTGTGTCTGTGAGTATATCAAAGACTGCTGAATAAGCCAATGCAGACTTGTCGATATATTGGAGCACATAAGTGCCGGCAAGAAGAGGCAGTAATATTAAATCTATCTTTCGGACCAAAAGTTTATTCAGATCTTTGTCGGCGAGCAGTTCCTGGATGTACTCTGGGCTGAAGTTGTTGTCGCGTAGGAAAATATCGGCTTCGTCCAGGTTCGAAACCTCTCCCTCACTGAAATCCGCAACTTTAGGGTTCGATTTGGTTTTCTCCATCTTCTCGTTTGAGGAATCCATTTGGTGAGATTGAAAGGCGTCGAAGAAATTGGACACAGTGCAAAATTGATCCCTTCAAGTCTGGCCATGTCTCCTGTTCTTGTAGGCTGTTCTCAACGATATCCTAAGCAATACCGATAACAATAAGAGCCAAGAGAGGTAAGCGATCGGCATCACCCGTGGAAACACTGCGGATAACCCGAGGACTTATCCGTTGGTTGTTTGTCACGATAAGACGCGCACGATTCATGAAAATCCACTTCTACGCCCACTTTTGCCCCCATGTTCACCGGAGGAAGACCCTCCAAAAATGACCGTGTGCCCATAAAGCGGGTAAGCACTGGGGAAAGTGGGATTGGGGAAAGCCTAAAGACATGAAAAGTTAGGTGGAATGCTGGCTTGTAGCATTCTCCATAACCAACTGGGATTGTGTAGCACATAATACTTCACATATCCCATCATCATAAAACATCACTGCACAAACACCGTTCAACAGGTAGAGAAAACGATGGAAAATCAAAAGAAGGCAATATAAACACGTCCCCGGCTCTCAAGCGACGAAACGGGTCGCTTCCCACCGTTTCCCCGGGCCACTCGTGGGGTTAATGGCATCAACAGGGATTGATCGCTATGCCATGACTACTGGTGTCAAGTGCGCTGAAATTTCCAACTCCCCAACACGAGTAGTTTATTGTATCAAGTCGTTCGACATCCTTTTCCAGCCAAAAGTCCCGATTCTGAAGCGGGGTAAGTGGAGCGTCAAGGGTGTCTTCCCCAGGTCTGACGCGATCTTCAGATGCTTCGTGCACCACACGTCCGGAAGAGGATCTAACAACCCGGTGTCGTGCTCCAGGGTTGCATCTTTTGTTTTTCATTCCGACTTGGAGGAAAAGACAACTTGAGATAAAAAACATGTTGTTGGTAGAATCGTTGGCAAAGGTACGAGTTGTGTGGAAAGACTTCTTCCTCATGCCTGTGGGCGGCTTTGTTGTCTGCAACATGTCGATGTATCAACTAGGCTGACGATAGGCATATCTATGGATGCATGCAAGAACGAATACCGGGCGTGTTGGACCAATTGCCCGAGATCCGGAGATGCTCAAATATACTGCAACATTGCTTTCTGATGTGCTTCGACTTCGGTGGAAGTAGTTTGGTCCCGCAGTGGGAATACCAACAATTCAATACAAGTACTTCAGCAAACCGTCAGCACTTGATGTGCACCTGTTTATATTAGGAGTTGTTCTTGAATTCCGTACAAGGGGTGGTCAAGCATTTGAACAGTACCTGGCTGGACTCCTGCCAAGCACGGGGAAAATCTACCACTCCATCGAAATCGTCTTTGCGCCGTTCTGAAATCCAAAGTGCTGTGGACTATCCTTTATAAATGTTGTAAATGGATTCTCTGGGACTTCTGCTAGTAAAGTTTCGGGCTGTCTTCATACAATTTGAGTGTTTTGATGACTCATCATTTGCTCAACATTGAACTAGTACTCCTCCTTATCACGAACGGCCTCATCTCTTCATGGACAATATTCTCAACCTTGGTCTGCTTGACAGAAGCTGCTTGGGTTCGATCAACCAACTCGATTTACTAATTCCCTATCTTCACTCGTTTTGCATCTCCTCTGATTGGCACATTATAGAAAGACTCCAGGCTCGTCAGTTGAACGACAAAAACTAACTCAACAGTCGCTCTCCGTAGCTATATCACGATGGAGAAATAGTTGGAAAGGTCAGACCAAACAGCGCTTCAGCGGCACGGCAAATAAGTTCTACATTTCATTCTAATAGTGTGACGATCAAATTGGTCCGACGGGAACCATCTCCGTATTTCAAAGTACTTTGGAACGTCTGCCATTATGATGTTCCATCCTCGCATTCCAAAGGATTGCGGCGAGGAGCTTTAGGCAAATTAGCCCTGTCCTCTGAGACCACCATGACTGGCCGTCGCTGCGACGTGATTCCTTGATGGAATTTTGAGGTTCCAGATCTCCGGATAGCCTTAAGTTATTAGGGCTTACCTCAGCTTGAGGTCCCAGCAAACATGCATATCAGTGGCGAAGAGCATACGATTCAACCAATTGGGTTGGGACCGTCGACTTCTTCTCAAGTTTTATCTCTAATCGATTTTGCGCAAATGCTGGGTGCAAGATGGTTATTATAAAAGCCGAACCTTTCCAGGTCTGAGACTCTGACTGTAATCAACCTCGCTGACCTCGGTAATCCTCAACATCATCTCCCGAAGATCAACCTGAGATTATTTTTCTATAAGTTGTTCTGAAATGGCATATCAGCAGGAAAATATCCGTGGCGATGACCCGGCAGTTACTAAGCTCTACGGAGACAGAACAGTTGCGACATCTTGCCAGTACTTCGTTTCCCACGTAGCGAAAGGAGCGAACATTCTCGATGTTGGTGGGTAGATAATCTTCTTAGAACCCGTTCTGTTCAATCACTTACATCTATCTAGGTTGCGGTCCTGGATTCATCACTTCAGACCTAGCAAAGATCGCGTCTGAGGGGAAAACCATAGGACTAGACAATTCATCCGGCATTATTGAGCAAGCAGCTGCTGCATTCCCACCGTCTGATGTCCCAAATTTGTCCTTCGTTGTTGGAGATGCCACAAACTTCTCTGAATACACTGACAATACGTTTGACATCGTGCACTCTCATCAAGTTCTTGTGCACCTTCCCAATGCCGTCACCGCGATCAAAGAGTACTACAGAGTCTGCAAGCCTGGAGGGATCATTGCAATTCGGGATTCATCGCCTGCCATCGTCCTGTCGTTAAAGCCAGACCTGCCAGGTATTCGGGCTTACTGGGATCGTGCTATGGCTACTATGGCGAAGATGGGTGGTAACACGGAAGCTGGAAACAAGTTGGAGGAGTGGGCGACCGAAGCTGGACTTGGGAAAGATGGCGGGAAGCTAGTATATTCCAAGAGCCCAATGCGGAGCCCGAGTCATACCCATAGGACTGTTGGTCAGCCAGCTGAAATGGCTATTCAATATGGTATGGCGAGCAAGGAGGAGATGGATGATTGGCACAAGGCCTGGGTCGAGTGGGATGAGACTGATGGGAGTGAGTTTGTGTTCGAATGTGGGGAGATTCTGTGCTGGAAAGTAAGTAAGTGAGGTCCAGCTCTTGCAATTCAACTATGTCGGCAGTTATACTTTAATTTGTTGTATAGATACACTTTGCCTTCAACAAGATTGGCCGTATACAGTTCTTTGTCATTCCCGGTAATCTGCAATGTGGTACCTTTCCGTGACAAATATTGCTTTTCTAAATTGCTTGGATGCAATCCATGAGAATCCAACCACACTCATGCTTACCCTGGCTTAATCTATTTCTTTGGTCAAACAAACGGGTCGGCGAAAAACGCCGGTCCCTCTAGACCCCGCCTTCGCGATTGCTCTGTTATCATCTCGTTATGTATTCCTGTATTTATCCCCGAGCTACATCTTTTCCCGTCCCTTTCCCTTGGTTCCCCGGTGAAGATTTACTGTGTTATTTGGTGACAGGATACTGAATTTTAGTGTCTACGTGAAATACCTAAATCCCCAGTTGCTCCCAACAAGCAGGGCAGAAATCCGAAATGGTCTCATTGCAATGCAGCTTCACATTGGAGACAGGTCCGCAATATGATGTGCATGCCTCTACCAAGAGTACTCCTGAATGACCACAGAATGAATAGTGAACGATGGCACACTCGCAAATTTTGGCTTTTGCTGTAATAAATTTAGAGGTTGTGGGGTCATGCTGGGTCCGGTCTGGCTGAGATTGGTCGTGATTTTGTGTATGTGCTTTATCGTGCTCTTTTTGCTTCTAGCGTATTATGGAGGACAGTCAGAATGTTTATCCAGCAGATTGTATGCTTTTGCACTTGTACTTGTGGGAACAATCGACCTCGATAGACCTTCGTGTGTTTTCTCAACAAGCAGCACATTGGTTGCTTTGTTGACTCTCGCTAATTTCCTTTCTGCTGCTGTGGCCTTTGTTACGACGGATGACACAAATGATAAGGTTCTCTTCTTAATAATGAAACTCTGAAGATCAAAGAAGTACACTTCCTTGAACAATAAGTAGAACAAAGTGATTCTCTAACCATAAATCTATCCTTAGAAGCCCACGCACCCCGCCTTTCCACCGAGAAATGCGTCTTCTCGTTGGAACGGCATTGCAGCATTACTTCGTATTGGTCAATCTTTCATCCTCTGATATCCCGGTCTGTAGATTCCACCCTGAATAAAGAGACGAAGCAAAATGGCCTATGATGGCCGACCCACTTTCACGGGCTGGCAGTCATCACAATACCATCAGGGCCCACAGTATGGGTATTACTACACTCAAGGGCCTCCAATCATAACCCCAGGTAGTATGCCACGCACCCAATGGGTATCTCCAGGTATGGAAAACTACTTCCATTCTCCACCACCACGTTCTTCCTCTCCCCCTGCTTTCTATGCTGAGCGAAACTCATATTTTGACACTTCAACTTCCAAAACTGCTCATGCTAGACAAGCTTGCTACGGTGAGTACGCCGTTCCTTCCTCGCCACCACCTTCTTTTCATGCTGAAGACACTTCAACTTCCAAAACTGCTCATGCTAGACAAGCTTGCTATGGTGAGGACGCCGTCCCTTCCTCGCCACCACCTTCTTTTCATGCTGAAAAGGGTTCGTATTACGACACAACCCAGGCTCGAGCTGCCCAATCTCAGCCACAATATGAACACGAGCCCAAACCCCCAAAAGTAGATAATACTCCCACGCCCTACACCTACGACGACGATGAGCCAGACCGCATCCCCATTGCGCCAATGCCATGGAACAACTACTCTTCCACTGCATCCAAAGAAGAGCTGATCAGCTTCTTCGTAGGTAAAGGTATTCATCCAAAGCGAGCTGCTGCAGCTGTGGATAGAGAGTTCTCTGCTCATGCGCCTCAGTATTTTGCTGGGTGCTCGGAGCCGGGGCTACCGAGGGCTCAGATTCCTGCTGAAGTTACTAATGCCCCGCCGCCGAGACCAAGAGAAAAATATGCTACTGGTAGTACGAGTAGGAGTACGAGGGCCAATGAGAGTGGATATCGAAGCTCAAGAACGAGAGAGCCGACCCCTCCACCTGCTGGGAAGAGAGAGGGGAAGGAGAGGACGACGAGGACCTGTTGGAAGAGGTAAAGTAGTAGTTGCGATGAGAAGACTCAGAAATAGATATTGACATGAGAGGCAAGTGCTCTTTTCCCCTTCGTATTAATGGAAAGCGATTCTCTTCATCTTCAAGAACTTACTGTATCAACAAAACTAGTGTATAGGCCCAGGACTTTTGGGACTAGTGAGCCGAAATTTGAAAATAGAAGTGACGGAGATCAGGTTTTGAGAGTTTGTGTTGCTGTGATTGTGAAGATGGTTGTGATACTGTCGTATCACGAAAGTAACCTGGATGCATAAGTATCACAAATCCTGCTTAGACGCTATACCGTCACAATAACTCAAAGAATACATCGGACATTTTCAGACTAAATAAGCCGCAGCAAGATGGATTACCTCAATGTGCAAATTTTGGCGAATATATGTATTACCCGGAAGCAACAACTGGGAAACATATCTAACGATACCAAATGAAACGATCCGTGTTCACCTGTCAAACATCATCCACCTCCCTAATTTCAAACCCCAGCATCTCGTTACTAACGACCGAGTTCTCATCCACCAACTTCCTCGCCGTGTCAACACCCGAGGCTGGAACGCGATACTCGAATCGCTTTCCTTTGGCAGGCACTCGCCCATTAGGAAGTGGATATGGGAAAGGCAGGTATTCGGGAAGAAGGCCCAATTGTCGCAGGATGGAAGCTTGATCCCATGCTATATGCTCGTGATAGAGGCGATCACCACGAACGTTGACAACTGATGTGAAAGGTATCCGGACGCTTTTCCCTGTTGGAGGTATACCGGGAATGCTGGACTTCATTAGATTATTTGGGTAAGTGGGATAAAAGGAGAACAAACAGCCAGTCAACTACTTTGTCGTGGGTGAAGCAGAATATGAACTCGTCAATGACACGATCGGTTCCTACTGTCCGGGAGATAAGCTCCAGAGCAGTATCTTCTGGATTGTTGAAGATAAAGTGATCACGATAGAATGCTGTTAGTGCTGCGCGTCCGATACCTCCCGTCATCTAAACTCATCAGGACACGTGTAGCGTCATTGGGACTACTGCTTACCGTGGGAATATGGTTCACGTATGGCTCTTCAACCATAGTACCCATCGTCTTTTCAACGTTTCGCTCCCCAAACTCGAAGAGACAATGCTCATCCCAGATAGCCTCGAGATTGAAAAGAGGTCCTCCAAGATGGCTTCTAAGAAATCCCAATGTGCGCGTATGAGCCACACCAGCTGGGCCAGCTTGGTAGTCCTCGTGACCTGGTAAGATAAAATTCGTCGAGTTTACATTTTCATAAATGTGAAGTGTGTCAGATTGTCGAGAAAGGGTGATTGCCTCTGAGCTGTGAACCAGTAATGGCCACTCTGGGGGAGTAAACGTCGAGTTTGCCGTTAAAATAACAATGGCGGCCACCTGCGTCCATTTACACAAGTACTCCCAGAGCTCCTTTGGTAGAGGAGCATACACTGATCAGTGTCAGTATCTCGGAAACCTGTCTTACAAACGACTCGCCTTCAATAGCAAGTTAGGATCAAGGAGGAATATAATTATGAAGAAAGTTTCCATGTCGAAAACATATATGGGTATCAGGGATCAGGGTCGCCAATTACCTATGACCCCTACTTTCTCCTTCGACGTGCACTGGGGCAACTGTAACAAAGCCTTGATAGCCAGTTCACAATGGTCAAGGACGCCATCAAATCTGGCTTCTACAACTGCAAATCCCTCCTCAGCCCATTTCTGCAGCGGCTCCGGATCAAGAGTCTTGTTCGCATCTGTAGAATTTCGGCCTTGGTAGTCTTTGGGCACAATGAGCAGCAGTCCCGGACCTTCTCCACGTCTTGAAAGTGGGGTTTGGAGAAGAACGTCACTCGTTACAGCGACGGGCTTGGCTGAGAGGTGTGAGTTCTTGTTTTCTGAGGATGCCATGCTTGAATTTTGGGGTATCAAAGATGCAGGGTGTTGACAATCGAATGTTATCTGATGGATGGACGGAAGCCGCCAAGGTTGGGGTCGATTGGGCACTGGTCATCATGACCAGCTAAACTCAGACAATCCTGTATGGCTGGACTAGGGTGTGATGCCTTTACCCAGATGTTACATTTCCCCATTCTTGAAATCAGAATCATGGCAAACAGATGGCAACAACTTCAGAATAAAGCGACGAAGTGGTCGTTGAAGACAGAGAAAGGTTTGATGTAGTCCACGTGACTGTCGGCAAAATGCGGCATTAGCCCCCGGCCCGGAGTATGGCGTGGTGCTACCGAAACCTTCATGTTCGTGCCCGATCCTTTCGACGACATCTTCGTTTTTCCGATTTTCCAGATTATACCTTCAAGTTCGATGATCTTGTCCCAAGATATATCGAATAAACCCTAGGTATGAAAGTATACATCCAGCGTGGGGTACGGAGGTATTGCTTTCCTTCTCCTGTTCGCAAAATGAACAATCAGGAATCCAGTCAAGAGTCCTAACTTACTCTCGCGTTTTCCTTGGACTCCTCAACTGTTTACATTCCCTTGTGTCAAATGGTCTGCGGTCACTCGAAAATATCATCACTTCTCACATTCCACCCACGCTTTCCTTCCACGTGGTACGCAATAGTGAGCTGTTCCAAGTAAGTATATTGATCGGCGAGCATAAACACCCACCAGGAACCGCGTTGCACCAAAAACCCTGGTGGCTACGTCATTGGACCCTGAGTTGCTCCTCCACACAGAAACACCACCCCACCACGATTCGACCTGTATCGAAACGCTTCCCCAAGCTGCCTTTTCTCTTCCAGTGCCCCTTCCTCTCTCCGTCAAGCAAAACCCTTTTTGTCTGAACATATGATGTGCGCCTACATTGCAGTTCTATCAACACCCCGCCGTAGGCAATCATGATGGACAGCTCCAGCAATTCGAAGAGACGTCGAGGACTCGGTATTGTGACGGCAAATGCTTGCACTGAATGCCGGAAGAAACGAGCTAAGGTACACTTGCCACGCTTGAGACTCGAGAAGTCGGAAGCTAATTGCATTCCTCCAGTGTGATGGAAAAACTCCCTGTGGAAGATGCACTGCCCAGAATGTCGATTGCCACTACGAACTTCCTGTCCGCCAATCGAAAGAACGGATGAGATCTGATATTGATACACTAAAGACACAACAACGACAAAATGAACGAATTCTGTCTGCTCTGGTTTCAGGAGAATCATCGGACCAGGTTCTGGAACAGCTTCGATCGGGAGAGACAGTCGAAACTATTGTAGACAAGCTGGAATCGGGTTCACGCTCCTCGATTTCAGGGAGCAACAACAGCACAAGTTTCTCTCGAATGGTGGATCAACAAGCCATTGGAAATGCGTTAAGCAAGGCCAGAAGTATAGTCAGTTCGCCGCTATCATTACTTGGGTATAGTGACAGAGAAGGGTCAGGAGGTCAAAGTCGATCTGAAGGGACGGCATGGCCAACATGGGGTGCAGAAAGCAATCCTTCGGCTCAGGAGCAGGAAGATAGGAATCAGGATGATAGTATGGTCTGGGATGTTGAGCCTTTATCATACCCCCAGCAGGCTTTAGCAAACAATCCACTGATAGGTACATGGTCCCAACCTTCTGACTCTGACCCCATGTCCCAGCGGCAACTCCAAGAAGCAAGAGGCCATGGACAAGCAACGATTCTTGGGTCGACCTTTGGCATGGAAGAGAAGCCAAAACAACCGCATCCAAATGCGAATCAAGGCTGGACGAACGTCACTAACGATGGAGCATTTGTGGAGCATCTGATGGCTCTGTACTTCTGCTGGGAATACCCAACATTTGCCTCATTAAACAAAGAACATTTCTTGGAGGACATGAGAGCGGGAAATCCCAGGTACTGCTCGTCTCTGCTTGTCAATGCTTTACTTGCCGTTGGGTGCAGATTTTCCACTCAACCGAGGGCCCGAACAGATCCGAACGATAGCAACACAGCTGGGGATCATTTCTTTGCCGAAGCCTCACGACTTCTAGATTTGGAGACAGACCGGCATTCCCTAACGACAATACAAGCGCTGGGACTGATGTCAATCCGCGAAGCAAGCTGCGGACGATCCAGTCACAGCATCTTCCTTTCCGGCCAATCAATTCGACTTGCTATCGAGATGGGTCTACATTATGATGTCCAAGATAACAGGAGCGAGACTGCCAAATTGGACCATGCAGTGCGATCGGCCACCTTCTGGGGAGCATTTTCTTTAGATCAGTAAGTGAGGCTCAATTGACTGCATCAGCAAACTCTAAAGCATGTAGGGTTTGGTCAATGAGCATTGGTCGATTGCCACATTTCTCCAGAAATGCCAAACTGGTGACAAAGCCCCCAATTGTGGAGCATATTGAAGCTTCATCTTGGGTCCCATATACAGATGATGGTAAGATTCCCCGATGACCCCTTGAAATTGACCACTTGCTGACTTTCTAGGCGCACCCATTGAAACTGCTTGCATACAGCCTTCTAATGTTCGGAGTGTATATAAAACATTTTGTGAGCTTTCTGAGATTGTCCACAAGTCTCTTTATATGCTGTATACACCGGGAAAGCCCGTCACGAGCAAGAGTCTCAATGATGTGTACACGGAATACATTCGGTGGTATTCCGAAATTCCTTCAACTTTACGGCTCGGCCATAACTTTACGCCTTCAGTGCTATTCGCACAGTATGTACAGCACCACATATCCACTGTCCAAGCTGATTAGAAATAGCATGTACTATCACACTGCCATCCTCCTCCTCTTCCGACCCTTCGTCAAACTCAACATCACAGGATCCGGCGTCTCACCCCGCGACCTATGCCACCAGGCAGCAAACACCATCTCGATCCTCCTCAAATCCTACTCTGACCTCTACACGCTCGAGCGGACACCATCATTCGTACCCTACTTCGTACTCGCCTCAACAATAACGCACGTCATCACACTCGGCAATCAACAAGCCGGAGCAGAGCAACTCGAAGCCGCCGTCGCCAACCTACGACAAATGGTAAGCTGTCACGGCTTCGCGAATCGCGCTCTCAACATCGTTCGCTTCCTCATCGCGCATTGGGATGTCACCTTCACTATGCTGCACTCTGATGAAGAGCTTAGCCACCAGGACTTTGCAGCATTGTGCCAATCTTCGTCATCATCGATGAACTTCTTCTGTCCGAATGTAGGGAGTACGGATATCGTGAATGGAATTGGTCCTGCGCCTCCGGGTGGTACTCCTCTGTTCTGGCCGTTTCCCTTGCAGGGACGGTCGCTGATCAATTCAAGTGGTACGTCGCTAGAGGATGCGGGGTTTAGTGTTCGGAGAGATTAGGTGCTATTTGGTGGGATTGGAGAAGTTCAGGATTGTGAGAAAGAGGCGAACGAGGATCTGTTATGGTAGAGGAGACGGCAACGACAGTCGGCCTGTATGAAACAGATAGAGCATGATGCTTTCAGTGCCGGAGTATGATGAAGACGGGCTCAAAGCCTCTTGAACAAACATTCATCTAGTCAGATGCACACGCAAGGTGGAAGGTTGGGCAAGCAAATGAGGACCTGATGATCAGTACGAGAACGAAGAACTGGAAATGGGCAACGGCGTCCAGACACAGCAATGCGAGATGTGCTCGTGATGTACGGGGAGAACTGGGTGGGACACGCAAGTAGGAAGTATCTTATATGCGGTTGTGTTCGAGGTGAATAGGGGAAGCCGAATAATGGAGTTTGTAGGTGATGGGCGGGAATGTCAAGGGTACGGGAATGGATTTTTTTGGCTCTGGCGGATGGGCAACAAGGCTTGGGAACTCGGGAACTGTTGGATAGGATGGGACAGAATGGGATAGGAGCGAGATTATCATAACTTGCATTCCTTTTGTGCCGAAAAATAACAGGTACTTCAACTATCAGCACTCGGAGTGAATGTGAAGTGAATTAGATCTCTAGTTTTTTTTGACGATTTTATGTTCTACAGGTATTCTAACACATCTCCTAGCCTCTGTGATTGGATTATGGCTCATTCCCGCAATACTGTAAGAGATCCCATACTTGACTGTCACTGGACGAACGGATACATGCCCTAAGCTGCCGTTAACACACTTTTACAGAGCGTGGTGCTAAAGCAAGGCGCTAATGTTTGAGTGACTGTCTGAATTATAGGGCACATGCGCTACGCCAGGAGATAATCCGATCCCGTGGACGAATAGCAGCACCAGCTCTCGGTCGGTACCGACTACTTATCTCTTGCTACAACACGAAAAATCTATAAAAAAAAACGATAGCTAGCTACACCATCCCCAATCTTCGTACAGCCGAACTTCAAATGAATGATATAACGAAAGGAGAGCTCTATCATGAGCTCAAAAGGGATCCATTTGAAATCCGCCTCATCACTTTTGAGCCGAGCGAGCAAATCGACGCAACCATATCGTTGCAGTTGTTTCATCGCCCTCTCTCCTCATCGCTTCCATATGCGACGCTATCATATACTTGGGATAGGCCATCGCCCGACTTCCCCGAGAGCTGGGACAACCCCGAATGCACGAAAATCATATCCGTAAATGGCAGGCCTTTTCCAGTCCGGATGAATCTCTGTTCAGCTCTGCTGCGGCTTCGTACTTTCATGCCTGCGGGTATACCTTGGTGGATTGATGCCATTTGCATTGATCAGACCAACGTGGCTGAGAAGAACATGGTCGTGCCTCAGATGGGGAAAGTATATCTGGGAAGTCAATGCACGATTGTGTGGCTGGGAGATGCAGATTCGCAGACTCCTTTAGCTTTCTCTCACATATCACGAATATCGGCGTCGTGGGAGAACCGGAGCGACCACCTGAAGATGAGAGAGGTGGAGCTGTTGACTGATGAGCACCGGACTGAGTATATCGATCGGCTGGAGGAAGAGTTCCCCGCCACGAGCGCGCAACAGTCTTGGGATGCCATCGATAATATCTGGAAGAGATCATGGTGGCGTCGATCATGGATTGTGCAAGAAGTCAGCCTTGCGTCCGGCGTTGTCCTCATGTGTGGCCATCACGCTGTAGGCTGGGACCACATCTGCAACGTCGTTAGAGTCGTCCTCCAGCACATCATATGTCTTCGCCAAATCGCACATCCTCTTAAAACCCTAGGCCAGGAAATAGTCGATCACTTCATGACTACATACCAACCCTTTGATAATCTCGATGCAGCCATGCGCATGTACGCAGCCGAGTCACAGCTTGGTGGACTGCCAAACGAGCATATGTTGCTATTGCTCGCCTACATCCGGCAAACTAAGTGTAAAGATCCTCGAGATAAAATATATTCAGCTCTAGGCATGTTATCGAACTCGCTCGGAATTCAAGTCAATTACAACCTTCCCACGGAAGAGATATATACCAACCTAGCCTGTATACACATATCACAAACCCAGAGCCTGAGCATATTCTCATATTGCACTGCCAGTCCTGCTTTGATCAACGTTCCAACCTGGGTTCCCGACTGGACAGCTCCTCGAGACCGCAATCCACTCGGTATCCCTCAGCGCGGTATCCGCGGTCTTGGCCCTATACCTCTTACGCCAACTTACACCATGTCTCTAGACTTGAATTTGAGTGTCAGATTCCAAGCTAACAACCGAATACTCGCCGTACGTGCCTTGCCCATGTTCGAGATCGCATTCGTGTCGAGTGAATTCAGCGACACTCAACTCCTCTACAAAGGCCCCGATTACCAAGACGAGCTGCGTGGCATTCGCGAATGGGCTGTGTTCCATCATGATCATTCCATGGAGTTCGAATACATTGAGAATAACAGTTGGCAGTACCGCCCAGATGACGATATGGTGCAGTTCAAAACGCCGACGTATATACCTACAAACGAATCGCTCCTCGGGGCTTACTTTCGAACACTATGCGCTAATCTGATTTACGACCGACAGGCAAAATGCGAGGTCGACCTCAGTGTGGATGGTCTCACAGCTCCGGAAACGTCGTCGGATTCACTTTTCGTGAGAATGACAGGTAGAAAGCTGGCTGTTTCGACAGACGGCGTGCTGATTCTAGCTCCTCCCACCACGGAACCAGGGGATGTATGTACAGTGGTTGCTGGTAGCGAAATCCCGCTTATATTGAGGAAAGCCGGCGACAATTACAGGTTGGTTGGACAGTGCTATGCTCATGGATTTATGGGGGATGAATTATGGAAGCTCGTTCACGTAGAGGATGAGTCTCAGATAGGGGAGATATTTATCATCTGACATGGCTTCGTCTTCGGGTCCGGCATCGCTTGGCATGGTATGGTAATCCAATCCAGTTGTATGATGGGCGAATTCAACTTGCCAGAATGGAAACCTACTCTACACATTATGGCGGTACATGCAGGGTTCTGTATTTTTTGAGATGATGCTGGCGGCCACAGCTTGGTAGGAATGGTCGGCGGTTTAAGGGAGGCCCAAAGATGTGGGGGAAAGACAAGAATTGCTCGTGAAGGTTGGGATGGGAGACAGCAGACGGAAATCATGGGATTGAGTGTGTATGTGGGGGTAAGAAAGACCCGGGGAGAAGGTGTCTTGGAATCATTGGGAGCTAAACGTATCATAGTAAGTACGATCGTGCTCTCCCAAGTCGGAGCGGTTTGGTTTGGAGGATGCCATTGGTTCAAACTGGTTGAGAATGATCGCCCGCTTGCCTGCCTGCCTGCTTACCTCAATCAGTGTTGATGGATCTGGCTGTTGGTCTTGGTGCTTCAAGTTATGTCGTTGGGCTAGGATGAGGACGATACGAGTATCAGCGAGAGATGGTGAGACGAGGTCAAGGAAACACAAGCTGGCTTCTCCACGGACTTGTGGAAATATCGTCGTTCATGTGAATTTGGACGTTGTGTCTCTGAAGACTTTGCGTAGCACGAGGCATGATAAGTGTGCTTTGGAGAAGAAACACATTGAAGGCCCCGACTTTTTTTTAACTTCAGAGGGGCTCGATAGCCCGCTCCGAGGAGATATCAAGAATCCAAAATTGCTGGCTTGCAGCCTCAAGGACGGCTGCATTTTTTCATACAACACAGCAAGCAAACAAATCGTTGGAGAGTTGCACGAAAGGTTGATTTTGTCAGCTCAGTGGATCTTGTGCTGCTTCCCAACGTTTTGTCGCCAGTGAGTTGATGAAAGACTTGAGCCGCAAACATGGTTTCCCAATTTGGGCTTCCCCATGCTTTAAGCTGCAAGCGGAGGCTTGATAACTTGCAGATCAGAGCAAACAACCTGTCGATGAGTGCTGTATGAGGCACAAGCCTAAATCTGGCTATCTTGGTGTAACCTTCTGGGACGTCGGCGTTAGTATACGGCGGGATGTTTTACGGATTTGGAACTACTAAGCGGGAGCTGGCTTGAGGGGCATGCTCTTTATCCACGTAGGAGAAAATACTGGAAACCTGTGTTAGCTGATATTTGAATGGAAGTGGGGGTACTGAGCGCGCTTGGAGAAGATGTGTCTTTGCTTCAGCTGGCGAACAGGCATCACGGTGATCACCCCTTGAAGTTAATCAGACACATCGATGTGGGGTTTCCGAGCATGGGAACAAACAAGAGAAGTTTCAATGACAAGGAAAGATTCGCTGCGGAAGAACGATTCTTTGATTAGGCTCGGTCCAGAATCATCGTACGTCGACGGATGAGTCTATGACCTCGCCAGGCCAGGTACAAGCCGCCTAGCTAACGAGCCTCGCATTGCAAGCGGTAGCCTGTGATGATATAAAGCAATCATGGTTGCTAACGGAGACTCTCGAGCTCGAGATCGAAAACCTGGATTGGACAGAGACCCGTAGACTTGCTGACGGTTCGGATTGCCTGTCTGAGAATAATGCATCAAAATATACGAACCTCATCATCGTCCTTGCCTCTTTCTCCTCGAGTGGCTGCTGTAGGTAGAGGAGGGAAAGGAGTCTTACCAAGGTACCAGTCGGGATGCTGAATAGCTGGTGTGGGGCAGCAAGTGATGACTAAGCAGGAAATATGCAAGGCTTAGCGTGATTTGCACAAAGTTAAGCAGAGGAAACAGGAAAACCGTCGAGCTCAGTGGACTGTCGTCCCAATTCTCTCTCGAATTACCATCTGTCCAGCTGTCAAGGGCGTGGTATCCTCACACCTTAATCCAATTATTTTACATGGAGAGGCCGAAGTAGGCCATCACCCAGTACACACTGGTAATTTACCCGAGCTACTGTATAATATCCCGCAGGATCTACTCTGTATTTGCAGCCCGGCAGCCTCCGCGGCTTGGGCATCCAGCAGTGCCGTGCCGCGGGTGGCTCCAGGGTTTGGTAGTGTACCTGTACCTAGCCTAGGCGGAGCATTGTATGCAGGCAGCGCAAACTCGCCTCAAGAATCAGCCCACAAGACCAGTTGTCGTCCGTTGCTCTTGATTCCTCGTTCGATGCCATTGCGTTGCGTTGCCCTGCATCAGTGCCCTTCATTCCGTTCTGCCATCGGCCAATAGGTAACGAAGTAACTGTTGACCATCAGACTCCAGAGCAAACTTACAGTCCCTTAACCTTACCTGGCGTCTAGCTGCTGCACTGCACTGCACTGTTCGCGCTGCTCTCCAACAGCGAAGGACCCGAATATGTATGTATATTCCAGAAGCACGTCAAGTGGACGTGAAAGCCCTGGAGAGTCTCGAGGAAGAGGAAATCATCGTCCTCCCCGAAGGAGCATCATCACACCACAGCGATACAACTTGCCTTGCCACCAGATTGGAGCAGGTCTCCCCGTGACTTCCTTTCATCCATAAGGTATGCATAACCTCATCGACCCAGAAGCTTTCATACCTAGGCATGGTAGTGTGGTAGTGAATGCTTCGGAAACCACCGCCAGTATATTTTCTGTAATGTACATACAGTATTGCTGTCAACCTGCAAGTAAGGGTGTCTGGGTGTTTGTGTTGTGTTGAGTTGAGTTGACGCCTGGCAACGGGTCTCCGGGGTGGTCTCGACCAGGATCCAGAAATTGTCACTCCATCGGTCCACTTCCTCGTACGATCACGAGTATGACCCGGCACCGAGGCTCGCACTCGCACTCGCACTCTCCAAACACTGCCATTTCCACACGGCGGAGTCATCACGATAGTCCCTGACTTGCCGATATTTCTCTTGTTGAATCGACGAGGCTTCTGCTTTGGAATGATACATAAGACTCTTTCCCCCCGATGCGCATGGCACGTCATCTATTCCGAGAAAACAGCAAATCGTAAATAGTGTTTATCTTTAACATCATCTCATCATTCCACGACACATCAACTTTCTGACTTGACTTGTATCTATCTCCTTTGGTCGCGGTACCCAGCATCACGCCCACAGGATATATTTGACGACAGCCCCGCTGCATCATCCTACAAAATCGGACCACCCTTTCATTAGTTGGACGGTTCTTGCAGGATTCATTTCTTGATTCCGTTTCTTCCTCACTGATTCAAATGGCTATCGATTGTTGCAAGACTCCTAGTGTCGACTACTTCTCAACACTGAAGAGACCTCAAGTATGTCTACCTTCTCTTAGCCTATCCTTCCTCATTCAGCAACATACTTTACCACGCATGCTGGACGCCACTGCCCTCATTACTTGTCGTGGGGGCTTTAGACTTTTTAGTCATCTGCATTCCACTTCAGCATCACCTGGTGTCTGTATGAACTGACATTCTCCAACTAGAACTCAGTATCAACATTCGGCTGGGCCTCGAATTCTTATAACGACTCAGGAATCGCCTCGGATTCGTGCGACTCAACCCTACCATCGCCGATATCCCCAGAACCATTAGTATTCCAACCTACGCCATACACTTTACCTCAGGAAGAGATCAGACCAGACATCAAGTCTGAACAAACATTTAACTTTGGTACATTCGAAGACTGGATGCGCTGGGACGACCCAAGCGACGCAGCCCTCTCACCAACTTCCGAGGAGTATTTCCCCAAGTTCAAGGCCGAACCGTCCTCTCCTTCTATGTCCGGCTTGGAAATGCAGGGCAGTGGATACGGAAATCAAGGATCTAGGATGACCGACGACTCTGCAATATTCGGCGAAGATCCAATGTCAGAGGAACCCCTCTTCCAAACACCAGACGCAATAGTTCCGCCACCAATGACCACTATACCCAGTCGCGAGGGCCTCTACTCAAAACCTCTGTCTTGGCCGCGACCAGTCGCTGGTACGAGACAAGCGCAACAATGTGTTGGAACACTCACTCCTCAAGAAGAAGCCAGACTTCGCAGCATCGCCATGCCATCCACACAACCACAATTCGCCGCCTCTCCCTCCTCATCTCCGCCGTCACCCGACCCAACAGGGAACCGCAAACGGAAGTCCAGCGTAGAGGAGGAGGAAGAAGAAGATGATGACGAGAGTCCAGACCCTGCCAGAGTCCACTACCAGCCTGTCAAAAAGACAGCACATAACATGATCGAAAAACGATATCGCACCAACCTCAACGATAAGATTGCCACATTGCGAGATTCCGTCCCCTCGTTAAGAGTCATAAGCAAGAAGAACTCGCGCGGCCAAGAGATAAAAGAAGATCTACAGGGTCTCACACCCGCACACAAGCTAAACAAGGCATGCTATTTCTTACCCTCTGACATAGACTTGGACCAGTTCTAACACATATTTAGGCAACAGTTCTCGCCAAAGCAACAGAATATATAGCACACCTGGAGAAGCGTAACAAGAACCTCGCAAAGGAGAACACAAGCCTGAAAGCACGCCTTGACGCATTCGAGATCTTAGTCATGTCGAGTCAATCGCAAAATATGCAACAGCAGCAGCAGCAGCAGATCAATATGGGTCGCGCACAGCGGGCCTCGATAGTTGGGAGACAGCAACAACTCCCCTCGAGACAACAGTACCTGATGGACGGCATGTTAGGTCCTATCTGAGTCCAGGTTTTTGACTCGTCAACGCTATTTTCTTGCATATCATTGGTGGCATTCTAATTCTGGATGGGGTAGCATAGCAATTGCGCAAGTCTAGGTGGCTTTCATTTTCGTTTTATCTAGCTGTTTCAGGCGTTCGGGAATGGGATGGTATGGGAACTAACGCAGGATACCCTGGGCCATCATTTAGATCTGTCTGCCCCCTTTTTGCTCATGAAGCAAGGGAGTGCGAAGGTTGATTGAGCCTTTTGGTGGGAAAAGTCATAGGTTTTGGAGTTTATGAATGTTTGATTCAGGTCTGCATCAGGATTTGTGTTTGTGACAGAGAGAGATCATCACATGTAGCAAGCATAGCATACTTTCTATGTCTCCACTCTTGAAACGGCTTTTGGATCTTGGGATTGATTGAGATTTCGTTTCAATGTGAGATGGGAAAGTGTCTGGTCTCGTTGGGTGATATCGCCACGCCAGCAAATTCCTCGAGCCTTCATCGAGAACATCTTGAACATACTCTATTGATCGCCTTTCATACCATCCTCCACCTTGTGATCAATAGAAGTGTCGTCCAAGTAGGGAGTCACTGCTCAGCCCCGTGATCGATAAGTCGTACTCATCTGTTACCTTCCCTTCAGTTGCTTCCGAAGAATCCGCGAAGTCTCCACAAATACCATTGGCGGTACTGCTCGTATATCACCAGACCGCTCGATTGAACTCGACACACATACTGTACAGCAGAGCCCTGCTCGGTATTCACCTCACCTGCGAAATGCAGGACATTGCAGTATGCAAAGTGATGAGTAACGTAATCGCATAATATCCTGACCGTCACCTCAATTCCACGACTTGGCAGGTAATCGAAAATTTATGCGAGACATTGCGTGCGCCGATGTGGAGATACAGTAGACAGATTTAAGAAACAGATAAGATAGAGTAGGAATGCGAAGAAATAGGTACTTTCCTTTTCTCCGAGATACACTCCGTCTTGGCTTTTTCGGGACTGGTATCCTGATCAGATGGGAAGCATGGTACTTTAATGAATAGGTAGAGGAAAAGAAAACATACCTACCTGGGAAGGGAAGATGGGAAGCACTGGTCGGTCGCGTGGTGTTTACGTTGGCTTGATGTCCGTCACTTCATGATTTCGAGACCTAAGACCTAATAAAATGAATTCTTCTTCCCAAACGATTGTCTAAGCAATTTGTTTTACACAATCGTGCATTTATAAATAGTGCTCAAAGCCAAACATGTCAAAGTCCGCTGCAGGGCTGCAGAAGTCCGGCTCAAGTTGTCCAGAACCGGAAGCCTGATTTACTGCACCTTCTTGCATGCAATTTGATTTCGTGCCAGCCATTTCGTGGCAAAATTGCGACTCAGTGAGAGATAGCAGGAAAAGTGATATGGCAGCCCCCTCGCAGGTCAGCAACAGCTCCTTTGCACGCATGCAACAATTGAGAACGCTTAAGGTTTCAACACTACTGTGCTCTAATGATCAAAGCCTATAAACTTTTAAAATACATAAGATGTCAAAACACTGGGAAAATACAAGCTTCGGTGAGCTTCTCAGGCGATTTTCATCAGTCGCTAACAGTCCAGGCGGAAGCTCGCTAAAGAATCTAGAAAATCCCGTGAATCAACAAACGGCTCCTAGCCTGATGTGGCAATCCTACATACTGTAGATTCTGATCTTGCCTCTTAAGTTCCAGGCAGGATCGAAGATTATTACTGCTACTGCTTTACTGATTTAAAATGGAGCTGGTCTCCTACCTTCTGCAGGCTGGTTTCGCTAAGTCCCGGAAGCGACGTCTCGCCTTCATCTATTAATATGTCACGGACGTATGCACAGCTCAAAATACACCATTATTCCCGTCCGCAACAGTACCACAGGCAGAACTAAGAGTCAAGAGAAACCTTGGAGATAGTGTAATACTTCCGGAGGCCAAGCAATAAATACCCAGCGACCCCTTGAAAGCTGAACTACCTTACAGTGTGTAGACGCGAGGTGAAGATACAAGACTCCAGACATCTGGGGGGTCGCGTGAGATTTTGACTGCCTTTAAAGATCACGGTAGCTGGGATAAAGTGGTAAATACCGATTCTAACCCCTTCCATTGTGCTCTATTAGCTACGCAACCATGCCCCCAAATATCAATATCCTGGCTCGGGAAAGACCTCAGAATCGTAGCTGCATCTGCAATTGCGGCGGCTACTGTTCTGACGTCTCTGCTGGGCGCGTTGTTGCCGTTGGCGGGACAGCCATTGCTTGATTTAGTCTGGGGATCAAGTGGGGGAGGGTAATTCGCTGTTGGGGTTCTTGAATTTGGCGATGGTGACGGTGTCGTGGGTGTTTTGGTGGTATTGGGGAGAGGATTAGGTTGAGGATGAGAATTAGCTTGGCTTGGACTAGATTTCCAGTTGGGATTGTTTGATTCTAATGGTGGTTGATTGAGTGGGAGACAAAAGCGTGGTTTATCTTGCGATGGAGGAATTGGTTTGTTGATACTTTAGCGAGTGGCGTTGGGGATGGGTCTTGTTCGAAAGCAGAAAATCGCACCAACTTAGTAACGGTCTTGCTAAACTGTTTCAGAGTGTAAAACTAGCCCACTATTCATAATTAAAATAAAGAGGATGAAGATTAGTTGATTTTCGCCGTTCAATTGGCATCACTTGTTTAAGCTATGTTTGCTCTAAAGTGCGAAACTGGGGTACAGAGGACCTTTCCTCCGTAAAATGTGTGCTGATTGTTCTTCGATGATGCCAATAATATGTTCCTCCCATCGTATCCATCAAATCCATCTCCAACATGATGTTGGTTCAATGATGCTATAGAACCCACCCTATCATGATATCTATGCCAGCTTTGTGAGATCCATCCCGTCTTCGTGATATGCGTCTTGTAGATGTATTTCCCGTTAGGAAAGAGGTGAGCTCATAGGAGTAGCAAAAATGGTAAATGCCACCGTAAATGGGTAAATATTCCGTGTAGGAAAAAGAAATTGGAAAGGAAAAGACTCACTGATCATCCGCGCCTTTAAACCTCGACAGCCTTTCGAGCCTTTGTAACACACTTTGAGATCGGATCTGGCTTCATGATGAGTCGGGTTGAGAAGTCGGCGTTGCCATCGTAGTTGAACTTCTCGGCGTGGTCAGGAATGGTACCGGCCTTCATGGCGTGCTGCTTCTCCTCTTCTGTGACCATCTTGTCAAAGGTCATGGTTCGGCAAGTAAGAGCGTAACGTCGCTTGCCGTAAGAGTAAACACAGTGCTGATTCAATTAGTCGAGGCTGTCCAAATTGAGAGTGTTGAAGGGACTATACCTCAGAGCTTTTGGATCTCGAAGCCATGCATCACCATCATGTCACCATGCTCAAGAGTAAATTGCAAGACGGGTGACTTGACACCCTTAGCGTTAGGAGGTCCAGAGAGGGTTGTTCTAGCCTTAGGACGAAAATGCGTGGTCGAGCGGCCACCAAGAGACAGACTGGCAACGGTTTGTCCAGCATTCTTTTCTCCATCGTCGTGCCACTACAAAGAAGTTAGCAAAAGTACTCTGAGGGACATTGAATTTTTCCATACACCCATCTCGCCGCTTTGCGTGTATTCCAAGGCAAGAAGCTCGTTTGGTACCTCATAAAGTCCTCCATATTGGGTAACAGCTTGCTCCGAAGCCCAGGTGCAGCGCTTCAATACTCTGAGGATAGCATCCGGAGCAGTCGCAAAGCTTTGAGATTCTGTGCGAACGATAAACTTATAAGTAGCACCCTACAGCAAAATTAGCACCAGCAAGGTCCAGGAACTCAAAGAGACTCACGTAGTTGCGGCTGAACTGCTGAGTGAGCTTTTCAACAATTGCTGTAAAATGTTAATCCTCATTGACATCCTTGGAAATAAATACATTACTTACAACCGGATGCTCTCGCAGCTTTACGCTCCAGGTCAAACTCTCCTTCCTCCATCGTTGAGAGCTCTGAGAATATATCGTCAGGTCCATCAATCTGGCTATTGATAGGAACATTCGATTTGGAAACAGCAACAAAACCAATAGGGTTGTCGTTCTCATCGAGAAACGAGTACTGAGTGACATTTTAAGCACCCTTCACATAGTGAGTGATGGAGATGTTAGGCTTCACAAAGTCCTTTTGCCGCTTTAGGCGTCCTTCGGCTCTGAATTAGCTTCCTCAATTGTCATGGCTCCTCCGCGCATAGGGAAGATCGCATTACAGCGGTCATTCTCACAGACCCAATGATTCCAATGCTTCTGACAACTGCAGCAGCCACAGACAGAACAGACAAAGCCTTGTTTGAATTTTTTAAGAACGGATTCTGTGACTGGAGTACCAGCTGTGGAATCAGGCAAGTATGGGGCAACAGCGAGTGGTATCTTGCCCGTAAATTGGGAACCAGCGTTGAGAAATGCCTGACTGTAGTGATATTCTCTGGCGTCAATCGTGATTCCATCCCTCTTGAAGTAGGAATTGCACTGAGGACTCATGCAAAGCCACTCTTCTTGGTAGATTCGGTCAGTGCTCTTATGGCAGGAAAGACAGACTTGACTCGGGGCAACCGAAAAAGGAAGAGAGGTGTGGATGGATCCCTTGACTGAGAATCATGGCTAGGTAATTGTATCGACTCTCTGGAGAAAAACATCCAGCAGCAGGTATCGGACTTGTCATATCACATAGCTGTGATATGATCGTGACCCAAAACATTGAAGTTGTAATGAAGCTTGACTGGACAGTTTGTATTCTTCTTGCCTGTCACCCGAAGTCAGCTTTGTGCAATTTCGACCGGAGGGTGGGAAGTACAAACCAACAATCACTAAGAGAGTCTGCAACCTTTCCAGACAATTGTGGAAAGCAGTGTCGTTTCGACCCTCAATGGCATGATCTCTGGCGCGCTGGACATCGCCATTTTCATTCTTAGCCTTGCCGCCTCCACTGATCCATAATTAGTAATGCAGTCAAGTATCTGGACCGAGGTAACCTACAGAGTAGTGATGATGATATCGTTGTCAAAAACATCCTTGGGAGAGACACCAGCATCGATGTACAGACCGTACGCGATTTTGTTATTTTGATAGACACTAGCTTCATGGGCTCTGTAGTGATGAAGTGTCTCGCAAAGTTGCTAGCGCTGTTCTGCCCAGACTTCTGGCTCTCCAAAGGACTCTGGCTTGTCTTGTGGGTTGCTTGTTGACTCGAGGTTTGCAGAGGATGATTGTTGAATCTCGAATTCTGAAAATTTGGCCTTCTTCACCTCTGGTTGACTGGTATTTGACTCTGAGGCAGATCGCTTACGACATGGCTGGGCATCAAAAACATCGTTGCTAAGTTGCGTGGCGTCAGGTCGAGCAGAATCGACTTGAGTAGTATCAGTTTGAAGCATATGAGACTGGATTGTGTCACCTTCACGAGTACCAGACTGAGGTGGTTGGGAGAGAATCTAAGCAAATGTTAAAACTCGAAATCCAAGACTTCAAAAGCGAACAGCCAGAAATTACCTGTTGAATTTGGAGACCACCTCGCTGCGAGACAGGAAGCTAAAGAACAAGACGGGTTGGACCAATTGGGAGAGGTCGAAGTGCTGGAGGGTGAACGTAAGAGGGGGGTAAAGGAGTGTAAGGCTTTGGCAGAGGCAGCTGAAGTTTCAGATGGATGGGGCCCATGGCGAAGACCAAAGCTGAGGTGAGGTAATTCGAGGTATAACAATCTTGTGAAAAGGAATACCTCGAAAGGATACAGAAAGTATGTATTAGTGAACGTAGTTGAATTAAGGTAAGGTGTGACGAAGAAGATTGAAGAAAGAAGTGATGATGTAGAAAGAAAGGCAGTGCTGAACAAACGAAGAAGCTTCGAAAAGGACGAGGCACGGAGGAGAATATATACACGTGGAAGACCTCGAAAAGACGCTAGTACGTTGAGAGTGCTGGCCTCATTCGAAGCAGTCTACGAATGGCGAAAGAGAGACGTGAAAGGAGTTGCTAGAGGCCGAATGAATTCTAGATCAGGCAGGAAGAGGGGTGAGAAGAGGAAGAGGACATGGATGTGAATGCTCTTTTTCATATTCACTCTCGTGGGGAACGCGAGTTCGGAGCTGTTCGTGTCTGAACATTCTGTCAAGGGACTCGGTATTTGCATGCATTGGACTTTTAGACGCGTTTGAATGGAAATACACACAGCATGCCGAAAGAGCCATTTCGGAGACACGGTAAGGAAGTAGGTATTTCTGTATATGTCATTAGCATTGTGAGACATTGGCTATCAACGATTGTTTGTTTTGGTGGGGTTGTATTTGGGAGTCTTCAAGAGAAAGGGCATCTTGAAGTGTGAGGGCGAAGCCTCTTACAACACTAAGAAGAATACCTCGGGCCAATTCTGAGGTTGAGAGATTCATCAACTTGATTTGCTTCAGAAAGTAACACGTCTCTTGAGGACGAGAACCTAGAATTTACATCAATGAAGTCAAAGAACGTAGGAATTTTTTTGAAGCATCTTTTAATAGAATGGTTCGTTGATTTCTTGGGCAGGTTCTCTGTTGACTCGAGGTGAAGTAAACTCTTGGCTACATATAGTTCAACCAAAAATATCCGGTGGCTTCTTTCAAAAGGAGTAGCGCTACCGCAGAGTCTTCTCCATGTACGTAGATAATTTAAAAGCTGTTAGGATTTCTTGGACATTCGAATTTCATGCAGTAAGTCATTGCTTAAGATGCTCCTCCAGTCGGTCCCAGGTGAAAGGCGCTTCTACATGAACAAGTAAGACGCGTCTTTTTAAGTAGAGTACAATGCTGTGGACACTTCTCCACCTAACTTGAAAAGAAGAAGAATTTAAGGTCGGAATAGACTGCTGAAATTCAATCTCGCCTTGAGAGTGTGAAGAATCTGAATCCGTCTCCAATGAAGTATGCTCCTGATCTCTGCCAGAAAACATGAATGTGTCTTTGTAAAAGACAAGAATATATGAACATGAAATATCAGCTATTCCAGAGGCTTCATGGAGTGCCCTCGGGAGCAACGTTCAGCTTAATGCTCAAGGTTCCCAGTTCCTCCCAAGCTCGTCAACATGGGTATACTTTCCTAGGCCTGAGTCCAGTATATATGCATAGGTCTGAGTTGAACGGAATGCAGGACACCTCTGTTAAGATAAGAGAGACATGAAATTATTCGAGAATTGTAATAGAGGAATGGCCCGCCAATTTCCAGTGTGAATGTTAGGAGTGGTCATGCCAGAGACTTGCCGCCGACTCAACGTCTTCGGTCTTCCTGCCTTCTTACAACTGAACTGGATGGCCAGGAACTCCAAGTGTAAATTCATGATTAGACTTCTTTCGTGACGCTCAACGGAGCTCTTGCAACTGGTATTCTTTTCCAGCAGAATCCACTTGCTTGCAACATCAGAGGGTATGGTGAAGCCAGTCTTGCTCAGGAGACTTTGTGGTTAAGAGTGTTAGGGTCCACATGTACGACTTCCATTGGCAGCGACAAAATGAAGAAAAAGAAGCCAAAACAAAAGCGTCTAAAATCCAACGTTCTCTTGACGCGTTCTAGATATTTTTCCATGAGCCCTTCACGGCGTGTATAATAGTTGTCGTTAGTGGCGGGAAAGTTGAGCAGTCCGTGCGGGTGTGAGAAGACGATGACGATACTGTAAGGTATGCTGGAGCTCATCCCTGCAAGAGCTTCACAGCAGCCAAGAGCTCCGAATCCCCACTAAATTCCATTCCAAAAAACAATTGAGAAGCAGGAGCTTGAGCTTGAGCTTCAGACAAACATCTCCTTCATCGAGCAGACCAAAAGAAAAGGATTCCAAAATATGAAGGGTCTCCCTCCAACCCTATTGTGGCGGACAATGATCCAGGCCGAGGAGCCGAATCCTGGCTCCTGTTGTCTCCAAAGTCCGAAGAGCTGCCCCTGCTTCTACATAACATCCATCAGCGAGACGTCAAATCTCACTCTTACGACAAACGATACGGGCGTAAATGACCGCAGAAGAGCAGCATGGGCACAAGAAACTGAACTGTCAGTGAGAGATCAGCAGTGCGCTGGAAAATTCCGTTAATCCGGAGCTACCAAACCTTCTCGAGCTTGCACGAACGGGAGCACGACACGAGAGCAGGTCTCAAGCTTCCCCTCCCAGCATTGAGCTGATGGTGGACAAGCCAGCATTGATATCGATGCTTGCCCAGAGAAGATTGATTGCCCTCATATCATCACCGTTCCTCTCCATATTCTATGCATCTAATGCATCTACAAATCTCTCAATTCTGCTGAGTGGTTCTGTGAAAAGGATATGTGCCGCCTGGTTTCATCTGTCGTCCTCCAAAAATTCCCAGTGTTCGAATGTTGACCTCGGTTTCGGCCCAGCTCACACGTCGGCCGCAGTTCAAAGCGGATCTGACCCCGCAACTTTGGGAAACCGGGGGTACTGTACCAAGGACCTAAAGGACGAGGCGCTGCTTCCAAGTTGTCTGAAGTCTGAAGCTCTTCATTTCTCCTCCTGTGGCCGTTTTACTCTCCTACATATCATCAGCTTCGGAAGAAGAATCCAAGATCGCGTGCCTCCATCGCTGTTGAGCTTTACAAGCCATTGAAAGCAGGAACGAACAGACTTTGAGCTACCCCTGCAGGATTACCTCGAATCGCCCCGACCCGACTGTGCAGCTCCACTCCAGATTAATAACTCGTCTTCACCATGGTCTTCACACCACCCTCTTGGGTGCCCAAACTCCCCGATGGTAAGCCCTAAACACGCTTTCTACAGTCTTAACTAATCTGCGACATCTGCGACTGCACCTATGAGTTAGCAAAGAAGAATGGCTAAGTCAACCCCTCACAGTCCCCGACACGGTCCCCATCAGCCAGTTCATGCTAGACGACTCCTACGGCCGCTGCCCTCTCAAGAAATCGAGAAATCCGTTCACATGTGGCCTCTCAGGGAAGACATATACGGCGTCGGAGATGGTGGGTAGGGTCGATCAGCTGGCGAGGGCTTTGGCAAAGGAATTTGGATGGCAGGTGAACAAGGGGACGGAGTGGGATAAAGTCGTGGGAATCTTTGCTCTGAATACTGTATGTTTGCCTCTGAGAAAATATGGATTGACAGAAGGGGAGATGCTGACTGCTGCAGGTTGATTCTATGACTTTAGCATATGCTATTCACAGACTTAATGGCATTGCGACTCCAGCAAACGCAGCATACTCTACCTCAGAGTTGGAGTTCCAGCTGAAGTCCTCTGGGGCAAAGGCTCTTTTCACAGTAAGTCAGTCCCATAGTACAGGACAAAATATCAGACGCTAATTTCTCGAAAGTGTATACCCCTCCTCGAAACCTCTCTCCAAGCAGCCAAAGCTGTCGGCATCCCAAAAGAGCGAATTTATATTCTAGAATTACCAAAGGAGCTGTCAGGAGATAAACAGCTTCCTTTCAAGACTGCATCGCAATTGATTGAAGCTGGTAGCAAGCTTCCTGCGCTTGAAGAGTTGAAGTGGGAGAAGGGACAAGGTGCCCGACAAACAGCATATCTTTGTTACTCCAGTGGAACGTCTGGGTTGCCTGTTAGTGTGGTGGTGTTGCTGGTGATAACAACAAATGGCTGACTGGTTTGCAGAAAGGTGTTATGATCAGCCATCGCAACGTTATATCAAATGTTCTGCAGATTGGATTGTTCGAAAAGCCCGTCAGAGACAAAAGGCCTGAGAATGAGAGAACTGAAGTTGGGTTGGGACTTTTGCCGCTCAGCCATATTTATGGTTTGGTTGTGATTGCTCAAGCCAGTACTTATCGCGGAGATGGAGTGATCATTCTCCCAAAGTTTGAGCTTCAATCGTTCTTGAAGGCTATTCAAACTCATAAGATCACAACTTTGTACTTGGTAAGGTCTAAATGCAAGTTTGTAGAGAACTTCCAGCTAATGGTCCAGGTTCCTCCGATCATTATCCAATTGGCAAAGAACCAGCAGGTTGTCTCCAAATATGACCTCAGTAGTGTCCAAGCAATCTTTACTGGAGCAGCACCACTCGGTGCTGAAACCGCAGAAGACTTGCAAAAGATCTATCCGTCATGGAAAATCAGACAAGGCTATGGTAGGTTTTCTCAACGTATCAAGCCGGTCAAATGTTAATAGAATTCCAGGTCTCACAGAAACTTGCACGGTAGTATGCTCCAGTTCTGAAAACGATATATTCTTCGGAACAAGTGGCTCGCTTCTTCCAGGATACAAGGCCAAGATCATGTCCATCGAAGGTGTTGAGATTACAGGATATGAACAACCAGGAGAGCTAGTCGTTCAATCCCCATCTGTGGTGCTCGGCTACCTGAACAACGACAAGGCCAACCAGGAAACTTTCATCGATGATACCGATGGTCTTGGAAGATGGATGCGCACAGGTGATGAAGCAGTGATTCGCAAGTCTCCGGCTGGGACTGAACATATTGCTATTGTGGATCGTATTAAGGAGCTTATCAAGGTCAAGGCATGTTTAATTCTTACTTACTCTCAATGCAATCTCATCTGACTTTTTCTAGGGTCTTCAAGTCGCTCCCGCCGAACTCGAAGCGCACATCCTTACGCACCCCTCCGTTGCTGATTGTGCCGTCATCCCCGTTCCCGACGACGCAGCAGGCGAAGTGCCGAAAGCCTTCGTCGTCAAGTCTTCATCCGTTGGCCTCGAAGACAACGACCGTATGATCGCCAGAGACATTCAGAAACACGTCGAGGAACATAAAGCAAGGCATAAGTGGTTAAAGGGTGGCGTGGAGTTCTTGGATGTGGTGCCGAAGAGTCCCAGTGGGAAGATTTTGAGAAGGTTGTTGAGGGATAAAGAGAAGGAGGCAAGGAGGGCGAAGGGTGCGAAATTGTAGATTCCGGTGCGGAGTTGGGAGGACAGCTGGATGGTGTTATGTGTAGATGGTTTTTAGATCATTGAGATGTGTAAACATCTCGGTTGGAATTTGATATCGAGATTACCAGCGTTAATCTTTCTTTGTGGTGCCGCAGTGTATTTTGGATTTTTGAAGATTGAGAAAAAGGAGGAGGACAGCCTTCACAGGAGCTTGGAAGATTTACACTGGTAGAAGAGCAGATGGTATCACCAATGCACGATGTATCTCTTCACTCCAGTGCAGCTTCTAAACCATATTTCTATTTCTTCGCGTATTTACTCGAGCAACACCAACATGGAATTTACTACTCCGAGTCCGAACTCCTTACTTCCCGTCGTTAAGGTAGGAGGTACTCAGCCCATCTCGTCAGAATCGCGGGGTCAAATAAGGCTGCGTGAAAAGTGGGCCATTCTGTCATCGGGGCAAAATACCCCTCCGAACTTTTTCTTGGGCTCGCTCAAACTCGATTTCAAATCAACAACCAACAAGACTCATTTCTCCCAACTCTCCCGCCGCATTTAAACCCTCCAACCCCCTCACAATCCCTCCCTATTTTCACAAATTCAATTTCACCGTAAGAAAGAAATTACAACCAGTTACAATGTCGTCCTCAAAAGACCTCCAAGACCCCCATAGCGGGGAGAGTGAAGAGGCAGCCATGCTCGACATCGACGAAGCGGCAGAAGAAATTGTTGATTCCGACGGCGACGCGGCGATGGACTCCGGTTCTGAAGATGGTGACGAAGACGAACAAGGCGACGACGACATCATGCAAGAAATCCAACTGCAGAACGACTCCTCCGCACACTTCGACAAGCACCCCGATAGCATCTTTACCATCGCACAGCACCCCACAAACCCCTCTATCGTCGCAACGGGTGGCAGCGAAGGCGAAGATCTGGGAGGAATAGGATATATATTTGACTGCACACCAGAAGCTGCGCCTGTTCTGCCAGCTAGCTACCAATCTGCGCCGAACGAGCGCGTGGAGAGGAAATCTCTCGAGCCGATTTTCAAGCTGGAAGGACATACGGATTCGATCAACGCGCTGGCATTCACATTACCAAAAGGCGAATTCCTATTCTCCGGTGGTCTAGACGGGAAGTTACGGGGATATGTCTCCAATACAACAGGCTCAAAATGGAAATTCATCGCAGAGGTCCAAGAAGTCGAAGAGATAAACTGGATGTCCGCATGTCCCAACCCCTCCTCGCCCAACACCATCGCCCTCGGCGCAAACGACGGCTCCGTATGGGTCTACACTGTCGACCCCAAGAACAAGGACGCACCATTGGTAATCGTACAAAGCTATTTCCTCCACACCGGCTCCTGTACCGCAGGCTCTTGGTCCGCAGACGGCAAACTCCTCGCCACAGTCAGCGAAGACGAGAGTCTTTACGTCTGGGACGTTTTCGGTGAAGCAGCTGGCGCAGGACTCACCCAGGGCGAAGGAAGCGCCTACGTCGTCGGCCTCACTTCTCTCGACCAGCGCTTCGCCGTCGAAGGCGGTCTCTTCAGCGTCGCTATCTCGCCCGCAGGAAATTTCGTCGTCGTAGGTGGCGCGGGAGGAAACATCAAAGTCATTGGTCTCCCTCGTCTGAGTTCCGATACGCCAAATCCAGCTGCGAAAATATCGCGTGGGAAAGCGGTTTCTGGAAAGGTTAATGCGTCGGCTGGGCAGTCGGGGCAAATATTGGCGGATCTGAAGGCACAGGGTGATGGGATCGAGACGCTGGCTTTTGCACCGCCGCCGTTGACGTTGTTAGCTGCGGGGAGTGTGGATGGGAGTATTGCGCTCTTTGACTCGGCGCATAGGTGGGCGGTGCGCAGGCATATCAAGGAGGCGCATGAGGAGTATAGTGTTGTGAAGGTGGATTTCGTGAAGAATGCTAGCAGTGGCGGCTGGCTGTTGACGAGTTCCGGCATGGATGGAGTGGTGAGGAGGTGGGATACTAGAGGTGGAACTGGGATGGCGAACTCGGGTTTCGTGAGGGAGTGGAAGGGACATCGGGGAGAAGGAGAGGGTGGTGGAGTATTGGGCTTTGTGCAAGGGGATGGAAGTAGGATTATTACGGCGGGAGATGATGGTGTTGCGCTGGTGTTTGAGGCGCCATTGAATTAGAGGTTTTGGACTTTGTCATATGGGATGTCCAGTTGAGACGACGTCTGGGTAGATAATTGCTGCATTGTAGGAGTTGGAAGAAAATAGCAAAGCTAGACTCGTTAATTTTCAGTGCAATAGCGTTCAAACCCAAACTCTCTGATCCGAAATCGAATCTACTCTGATGCTGTAAATGAATCCACCTAACATGCCTATCGTATCTACAATATCAATATTTACCTCGCCTAATATCTATCTAGCGAAATCGGGCCCCGTCTGAAACTTTGACAAATATCATCACCTGGCGGCGTCATCCGTGTGAATATCCGTGTGAATATATGCCTCGCTTGATTTATCATTAAGAAGTGAAGTATTGGAACATTATCTAGAGATCATGTCATTTGCAAGCTAGTTCTTCACAACTTATACTAGCATTTGCGTGGTAATTTTGGTGAAGGAAGAGTCATGATGATAGTATAATACTTCTTAACGTCCAGCAAGAGTAGGCTAATAGACCTCCCTCCTAAGCCTCCCGAAAAGCATAGGGACGTGCTAAGCAAGAGAAATATACAAAGTGTAACGAATACAGAGTTTCGTAGTCCCAGGTCTCTTATCCCACGGTATTTCAGCTTCCTTGTATACTTCTTATAGTATACAACTAGTCTCTTGAAAGCATTTCCTATCGGAAGACGACCTCGTTTGTAACGCTAGTTGCTAACAGTTGCAACAATCTATCCTCTTTCTCTGAAGATTAGAGCTTTGTTCCTAGTATATAGGAATAGGGTAGGTATTTAGAGCTTTCGCACAAAACCCTAATAGCCTCAAATAGTATCAAAAGGACCTCTAGCTAGGTCCCAAGCTAAGGTATCCAAACCGTTTTCCCCTTATTTAGCTAAACAAGCAAGGCGTACACACACAAACCCTGAAAACCCTGAAAACCCTGAAAACCCTGAAAACCTTGCCTCAAGGAATTCCCCTCAGTCTAGCTCTGCCTACCTCGCGATATCCTTTAGAAAGTCACTACCCTTTCCTTCAGATATATCCCCTTTGCTCCTCGATTACTTGAGGATTTTCTCGTAGCGAAAGGCTATTATCAGAGGAAGTAATCTACCAGAGTGCTTGAGGTTTCGAGGGAAGGAGGAAGGGGCGCGTCGAGCCGTGGAATTCGTAGAAGAGATTTAAGAAAAGTATGCAGCGAGCGTCAATTCAACTGTCGTGATTCAGTCTTAGTCCTCAAGAGAGATTTCCAAGAAACACCGCGTGGAGGTAGGTGCTAAATCTTCGTCTCTCCCGAAGGAAGAGTCATCAAGGGAGTGAGTGCTGTTTTGATCGGGTTAAGCGAGGTGGAGGAGTTTCTAGAACCTACTTATTGTATTCTTAGATTGGCTATTTAGAAGTATGAGGGTTTTTGGCATTAGCTCCTACATCTGAGAAGTAATCTGATATCTCGCAGGGTGTATGTGGAGCTTGTTGTGGAGTACGCACTCGTCAAGTTCTGGCTACTGGTATCGTGTGCCTGTAGATAAACAAAAGGAGCGCATCATTGTACGAACTACGCCCATGGTATATTGAAGATGGATCACTTTTGTCCTTGGGTCAGAAGAAAGCCGAGAATCTTACTTTGAGAGCTTCACTAAGCCCGTACTCAGTTTCGTTGCTGTATCATGGTATATGTTTCGCTTCATTCTAGCTTTCATGCTCTTCGCCATTCTAAGACGTGGATTACGGATTGAGGAGTCATGGATCCACATAAGAGATAGATTGCAAGGCAAGTTCAGTCTACTTGCTTTCTATCTAATGTTACATCTAGAAACTTCCCTCATGTCGGAGCGTTTCCCAGCTCTCGCATTCTCGGTTTCGAGGGCATACCACCCGAGTAAGCTGCCTCGTTCTAGGCAGCTTCAGAGAAATAAACCAAATTCTCATCTCTTTACAGTGACCGCTCCACGACATACTCTCGCTGATGAAGCTGTCATGGTCATGCTGATTTACACACCGAGTATCATGAGTTCGGCGTATTTCGTGCCCATCTTACACACGAAGCCACCAGGCTGACTACAGCCTCATCAGCACGACAAAGCCTCACTCTTCGACGCTATAGGCAGCGAGATTCCCAGCCTTATGATACTCGTACTACTATTCGATGCACGACATGAAGTTAGTTTCCAGCTGAATTTGATGATGCCGCAGGAGGAGCCATATATCCTCACACGACTCGGTCACCTCGAACTAGAGAGTCGTTGCACAGAGCCTTGCGAAGATCCTCGAGAACATGAAGTCCCATGAACAAACCTGTACTGTACTTCTGACAGGGCATTTGACACGAGGAAGTGCAGAAAGAGTCAGACTGGAGTTTGCCTTCTTTCTACAGGTAGTCATTCGACATGAGAGAATTCGATTGCCGTTCACCTATCTCCTATCGCTTCCTCGGCAACAGCGATGTCATGATTTCTGCACCTCTGACTATTTCGCCGTGGAGACTTGTTCATTTCATATGACCGAGAGATTTCCCAGCACGAATGAAACATGTCCTGTACAATGCATGATTTTGGCTGTTCGGCTATCACGAGGAGATATACACTAGTTGCCTCACCAAAATTCCCTCGTGCAGTTGCTTATTCGACGCCCCATCATGCGAGTCGATCTGATTAACGAGTAATCTTGATCATCAGTACACCACCAAACTTGAACTGGAGATCCAATAATGTTCCTTTGTGATGAAAATCGTGGGGACGAGGAAAGAAGCAATCGTTTCATCTGATCGCGACACTAAAAGCAAATACTTGATCATATGTTTCAAAATCTGTTACGATACATACTCCTCAAATATTACGAGAAGTGATTAGCATACAGATACGTCTTTGATAAAGTCACCGATATATCAGGCACAGAGTTGATAACGGGCAGATAAAGCCAATGGACTGGCTCCAAAGCTGGATATGCAGCCTATCTGTGTGGCGCTGGAAGAGGAAGGCGACCCCACGCAGTCGCTTCATAATCTTGAACTTGATGATTCCAAGAAGCTCTACTTACGAGCAAGATGGATGACGATAGACTCCCTCATATAACCGACCTGTAAAATGCATTTTGAGGCCTACTTAGCGTCTTTGCCTCGATTTGCCTCGTTCCCTATCCAGAGTAGATAATCTTGCCATTTGGGGGCCGTGTGAAATTCGGTGAATTTTGAAAGTTAATGTCAAAAATGATGAAGCGGGCTTGCATGGCCCACCACCACTGAATGGACTCGATCAATCACACTTCTGAACCTGTGAATACTGAGTTGATAGACTTCCACGTAGACTCCAGTAAGCATGGTATCTGAAGCCACAATACATGGGCGTGATCTTCCAAGTGACGAAGCTTCTTGTGAGAGGCATTCACAGCCTTGCACAGTGCCCTGCTCCTACCCCGCCATGTATCCAGACTCTAGAATCTATGGAAGAACACCGAAGTCAACTAATGCGTCTGAACGCCCCAAAACTCGCCTATCTTCGACACTTTCGGATTGGATTGACTATTGCACGGTTACTGTGCATATTCTCAATATTTTGCCTTCAAGTTCATAGCCAAAGATTGATAAGCACGCTCAAGGCAAGCAAGGCATACACTGGCAAAAACATCATGTGCTTAGAAACGAGAGACAACAACTCCCGTGAGACAACACGACTGCAGCCTCGTGTCTGTGACCGCCCGAGAGCAGCCGTCTCGCCTAAGGTAGGGGGCTTCGGCTCCAGGACTGGGTTTCGAGGTGTCAATGCGCAAGGGAATTTGACTCGTCGAGATGCTGTCTTGGAATGCATCAATCTGGTTGCCTTGTTGCAATGGAGTTTCCAATTGGACCAAAAGCTAATAACGCATCAGAAATACCTTAGGCAAATGAGATGGATCGGGCGACGACATTCCCGTTCTTTGTTTACTCCTCGCTTTGGTAACAGCTGTTGTCTGTGCCTTCCCGCCGCCCGGATCAACAATTTCCAGGATGTAGAATTTTGCGTGCCGGTGCCTGTTTCTGAAAGGGACGGACCGCTCTTTAGAGTCAGGGGAAGTTTTACTCGGTGTCCAGAATGGGGATCGATTAGGAGAAGGCTTGAGCGGGAGAATTTTCATGTGGAACTAGAGGGGTGCTACTTGCGAAGTCATTGTGAACTAAGCCAAACAAGCTTTTTTTCGATGGAACTTCAATCTGGAGATCGCTTCATTGCAACTGTAGACTTATCATTTCTATCTCATATCTCACGTAAAAACAAAGTTCTAGATCTGCATGGTGGGTCCGGAGGCTGGATCCGGAGGCTGAGCCAAGAATCGAGTCGAGGGCTTTGTTGTTTTTGAGACTCGTCAGAGAGCGGTGTGAGCGGTGAGCTTGCAAACCTCACAAAATTTCTGATAGAAAAATATATTATCGGTATTATGCATAAGTTCCAGATGCCTCGCTGCAGAGCTCCTCAATACTGCCTTACATCTGCGTCAATGCTTCTTGATTTGTATCCAACGCATTATGTGCAGCCAACGTGATATGCACAGTCTAAATAATATACTTATGTACTGACAACATCTGCAAGTTGAATGGTGGGAGAGATATATGGCTTGATGCTTGAACGGACCTGGGTGCATTGCTCGAAAGCATAGGCAAATCCTATGAGAGATTCTTCGCTCCACATGGCACCTATGAAGGAGATCCCGAATCTAGAAAATGTTAGAAGACGTTTAATTTGGGGCACGATTTAGATGGATGCAAACTCACGGAATGTTTGGTCCAACCTGGACAAGGTCCCAGTATCGCGATTTCACTACTGTAGTGTTTGCCGGGTATGAACCTAGCGGTACTGTGACAACAGGCAAACCCGCTCTTGCTGGAGGGCCAGATGCAAAGTCTGTCGGCAAGATTAATGCATCGAGATTGTACTTGTCCAGTGCGCCCAAGACTCCACCCTCTGCTCCATAGTAATAACTAGCTTGGTACGCTTGCCAGAACTGGTAGTCTGAGTTATTGTATCCCAACGACAAAGCATCGTCCCAAATAGCAGTGTCTCTAGTTGGGTATGACTCTAGCTGGAAACTTTGTGTGAAGTTCCGGATATCGGCTAAGCTCGTCACGTTGTTTGGATTGGTTTCAAGCTGAGCCAAGTAGGCTGCAAGATCACTGATGAAGTCTGCTTCCAGCACCAGAGTTTCGTTGTCATCTCTGAGATAGCCTTCCCAAGCTGGATAGTCTGCATTTTCGACAATCGTAGCACCTGCTTTTTCTATCACTTTGACAGCAGCATTGAATGCCGATATCATCGGGAGACTGCTGTTATCTTGATATGAAGCGATGACCTTTCTTGGCACTCCGATTCGAGCTCCTCGAAGACTGGAGAAGTTCAAAGACTTGGTATAGTCTGGAGGAGTATCCCATGGCTGAGCAAGTGTGTAGTTGTCGGATGCATCTTTGCCAGCGATGATTGAAAGGATGTACGCCGCATCAGAAACGCTTCGAGCCATTGGACCTGTACACTGTTAAAAATTGTACTCCCGATCCAGAAAGAAGACCCAGGCTGTGTCATAATAAAAGTTTCTCGCTTACCAACTGTATCTTGATGAGAAGAAATTGGAATAACCAGCGATCTGGAAGTCAGTCCAACCGATGGCTTGATCCCAACCAAGTTATTGACACTGGATGGACTCAAGATACTTCCATCGGTCTCTGTTCCCAAAGATGCCCATGCGAGTCCAATTGAAGTTCCGACACCACTTCCAGACGAACTTCCACTTGGGTCTCCGTTTGGAAAATATGCAGAAGTGGTTTGGTTTCCATACGCCGACCAACCACTGGAACTATTCGAGCTCCGGAAATTAGCCCATTGGCTGAGGTTACTCTTTCCAAGCAGGATCACACCAGCTGCGCGTAACTTGGCAGCAACAGTGGCATCACGGGGAACCTTGGCTCCAAGCAAAGCATATGAGCCAGCTGTGTTGTTCATCTGGTCATGTGTCGCGATGTTATTCTTGATTAGCATTGGGATACCATGCAAAGCGCTCCTGATTGTTCCATTGGCTCTCTCTGCATCGAGGCTTTCGGCAATGGAGAGAACATCTGGGTTGAGTTCAATCACAGCTTGCAAAATATCATCAACTTCTTGAATACGTAGAAGGTATGCCTGATAACGTCAGTACGAGCCCAAAGAAAAGTCTTCAATCAGCTTGCCTTTGTCAGGTCGACACTCGTCCAGGCACCGCTCTCCAATCCGGCGATGAGCTCCTCAGCTCCGACATCGATGAGATCTGGATAAGAAGGAGATTGAGCTGTATTTTGTAAGCATACGAATTCTGTAAATGACTCAGATTGCACTCACTGTGAAGTCTTGGAGCTGACCATCCCACCTTACTGAGACACAGCAGAGCGATCACAACAAGCAATTTGAAAGACATGGCAGTCCAATTGTACAAATTAACAACCGCAAGCTCTTCTACCCTCAGCACATATGAGTCCTCCCTACCTAGAAAACTTTCCTTCTCAGACTGAGGTGCAATGTCCGCACCGGAGGTGGTCGGCTTTATATTGTTCCTGGCATCTTCAACGAGCTTCCTCATCCAGTTTGGTATGCCCTGGACGATCTCCATCACCAACCTAGGCAAATCAAAGATAAGCTACCGAGCTCTTCGAATGAAGTAGCAGAGGTACCTTGCTTGTCATCAATTTTCCCCTTGTTACCAATAATAATGACGACATATAAATTGCGGCAGAGGAGCTTGCCCCTGGTGCCGGTAGGAGATGCGGGGTTGAAAGCCAATCAATCCTGGATAGCTTCATTCATGCCGACTGCTATCGACAACCATCTTGATAACAATAACGTGGAAACGACAAGCAAAGCTGCAAGGTAGAGATGCAAGCGAGATGTTGGCGGTCTTGGTAATTATTCTGAGAGGAATAAAGTAACTGATCTCGGCATGTATATATTACCGGCATAAGCTGCCGACAAGATGGGAAGGTGGATGGAATGGATTATTGTTCCTGGAGGAACCCTCCGAGTGATAGAAACAATCGCTATAGAATATGGTTGGAGGAGATAATGAGAATGTCTGAGTATTGAGGTGGGAACTGTGCGAAGTGATAATGGATGGATGATGAGGTTGAGCGAAGCCGTCAATTCTGGAAACGCCACAACATATGTCAGAGTGGAGCCGCGACATGCCCCGCAAAGAGTCCACAACCTCATCAATAATTTTTCTTGCGGAAATTGAGGATCGAAGGAAACTTTCAGGAAGCAGATATCTGACATCGTTTTGTTGGATTGATATTCTATCCATAGTAATCTTAATTGTCGTAAGAAAACCCCAGACTTTATATTCGCGCTGCCCCAAGAATGCGTATCCTCTCTCGCCAGCTGCAGTGAAGAAATTAAGAGAGAATGAGCAAGAACTTAGAAAAGTAGAAACCACAGGGGAAAATCCGTTCAAGGAAGAGACACATAAGGTCCAATCTTATGTTAACCATGTTTTTATTCTCGAAATCAAAAATATCGCGATACTACTGCCGAGTAGGCATGTGTGGGGTCAGTTCTCCCTCGTAGTAGCCACATCCAGAATTGAGATACACGAGCAGCAGCACCAGGTGACATTAGACATATAAATTGAATGTTCAGCTGAAAGCTGTAGATATGTATGAAATCCTGGTGTTGACTCGATGCGCTCGCTTGAGCTTCAGCTGTGTTGGGTTCACAGCCACCGCCTGGCACCCTATCGGTTCGACTTTTAAATGGCCGTTTAAGGCCGTGCAGAACACTGAAGTCAACGTTTTGAGGGAACATTTATACAACGCACAATGATTCAAGATATTATCAGTCTTGGCAATTCTTTGAAAAACAGCTCTTTATTATCCCCTGACCTTTTTATTGATTATTTTATTAGGCTGTGGCGGCTAGAAATACCATTTTCTCCTGATTTAGGTGTCGTGCCTCAAACGGCCACTTAAAAGTCGGATCGATAGGCACCCACTAGAGCCTGCTTTCGAGAACCTCGCTTAGCACATCAACAACGCTGAAACGTCCACTTCCAATATCGACAGAAAAAGTTGCAGAGTTGGATGATTGGCCTCGTTTGTGTTCTGAGTATTGAATTTATCAAGTGATAATAGAGGATTCTTGTTCAAAAGCAGACTTGCAGAATTTCGAATCCCCATTGGCTCGCCCTTGTCCACACATCCAACCAGATGTCTGCACGTTACACTGCATGGAGTTTCACTAGGCTGTTCATAATAGGTCGTCATGTGGTAATACCCGCATCTATCACCGAAACAAGTAGCAGAATTCGAGCTGCTTGGTCTGGTTGCCTACTCGCTAGCTTTGTGCAATGTCATTTCTTGGTGTGACTGACGTCGGAATAGAGTTGCAAACGATGAACACTAAAACCATTAATTCCCACTGATGTCTCAAGACCAATCTGTGACGAGTGATCCAAAGTGCAATACGCCAAATTTCTACCAGATGAAGGACAAGAGAATACCAGAAAATGTGAGTGCGGGTACCAGCAGCATCCAGATCGAGATCTAGATCGATCTAGAATAAACGTCTCATACATAACATGCGATGTCCCGAATATTTCCTATGTGATAGTCGCTACATATTTGATATGCATCAAATGATTGCACCGGGGCCCCGGATCTATGCCATGTGACCACGGCATCTGCACGGGACCACGATAGGAAATAGAATCCATCTTCTGCGTTTTCTGCAGCAAAGTTACAAGCCACTCTGCAATCCGGGTATCAAATGGTTCTTCATCATACGCCAAATAAGGATTCTCTGCGAGGTCCAGGGAATCGCCTATTGAACAATACCTATCCCCGATTTGTCTCGTCCAATGTGGTAGTACAGAGGGAGCTGTGCGACATGTTCCAATCACTGGCGAAAATTATGTTTAAGAAAATGAATTCCGCCTCCCCGGCCATCGGGTGGCTGTAAACAATGATCCGCAGTAGGGAATCAACTTTATACTGTAACGTGCGTCCCTCGGCCCTCGGACCGGTGCAGGGACTTTGACAGGACTTTTCATCATGATTGAGTGGTACCGGACATTGTACGCCAAGAAATCTGGGGCTACACTGATGCGGCCGGGGCGGTACCGTCCCATCGAACCGCTGTCATGAGGCTTTTCGCAATGCATGAGTGGACGTCTTAGCCTCACGGAACTCCTCATCCGGACCTTCACGATTCTGGCTCTTGAAAAGCTTCGACAATGAGTATGAGGTATTTTCAAATTCTGAGAACTCACCATGGCATCATATCCATCATCTGAACAGTTTCTGTAACTTCTCACATCAGCTTCTCCTTCGGTCCGAAGCTGAGAGCGACTGACTGATGATATGAAAACTCATCAACCACATCGCAGCACGAATTCAGCCGCGTCTTTGTCGGTCCAGTGAAGATAATGTAACACCCAACCTGGTGTGCTGTTCGGGGGCATCAGGTAGCAATGCTGTAAGGCGAATAGTCCACATGCATCACATAGCCTTGGGTCACTAGGTATGGAGTTGATGCTTGTGCTATTGTGAAGATGAGGTTCGTTGTCGCAGTTTCCCTCTCGGCGAGGAGCAATAAGCTTAAGGCGGAGACACTCCCGTACCATGATGTTGTGGCGGGTTTGAACAAAACAGTCAGTGTGACTGGGGCGTTTTCCTGACCGGTTAGGGTCCAGTGAAACGTGCACAGAGTCCACAGGTACAGTGAACACGGGCGTTCTATCAATGCGAGGCTGTCTCGGAGAAGAACGCTTTCCAGTGCTTCGAAGAGCAGGTTAGAGGCAGCACGTCTGATTGACCATTGATTTGCTTCAAAAAGCCGTATATGGCTGTAATGTTGCTCATGAGCGTATGTTGTATGGCATACCGCAATTCTTACTGCCGTACCTTTTCCTTTCTGTAGGCGGACATCCAATGCATGTCGTGCTACCAGTGCTCTTGGTAACCATTGAGGAGTGCTATCTGCCTGTTGTACCAGCGTGGCCTGCATCTGGAAGACGGATTGGATGCCGATCTTCATCTCCTGCACCTCATGGAGCAGATTATTGGACGTCTGAGGACGCTGCTTTATACTGAATTATAATGGACTGTATACTTTCGACATGAGTTCGGCATGGTTCAAAAGACTGAAGAATTCTTAGGCATCTTCTAGATGAAGGAAGCGCAGACAAAACAGCCTGCTGTAGTACAATATCCAGAATATTGCATGAACTACTTTACTGCATGATGCACTCTGATTTTGACTTCCTAAATCGTCTCCCTCGCTTGTTTTTCCCAACTGCACTGTCACAATATCGTCGCGGACGCCCCTCCGGGAAAACCCGGAGAGAATGAGCCTCGTAAATTCAAGTGGCAAGCAGCTTGCCACATCTTATGTGAAGATGCATAGCACATGCATGGTACTCATCTTGAAGCGATGAGAGGTTGAAGACTCCACGTCGTTGCTCATCGCATCTGCATCATGGGTCACAATCACCAAACTAGGACACAACTTGAACAAAAGAAGATCTTCGATGAGCAATGTATGAGATAGATGCAGCCTCACCATTCAAAGGATTAACACCCGTTTAGATGTACTTTATGCCTGAAACTGGCACGCGTCGATACAGAATACCTCGGTGAGGCGAGTTGCACCAAACAGACAACCATTTTGCCCCTGAACGAAAACTCACTCGAGAACAAACATAACGGAGCTCATCGAGGCTTCCTTGAAGCATCCTTGGTGTCACAGGCAACACGCTTCTGAATTTCTGCCAACCTCGGGGAATATCTCACCAGACATAGTCACTTTATCCACGTTTCAAGGTTCTTGTGGCTGCGTACTCTTCAACATGACAGCACCGCCTCATGTTTGAAATGGCTCATGATGCGTTCTTCATGTCTGTCGTGCGGGAAAGAACCAAGCATTTCATTCCCGTCCCAGGTCACTCGGCCCCGACCTGACCAGTATCAGGGAACCTCAATCCAAAACGCAACGCTGCCGCCTGGCATCAACAAGGACCGCTGATGCCCAATGCTCGTCCTGCTGTGGCATTTCGTTAGGTATTCAACATCCACAGACATCGCCTCGTCGTCGCCCAATACGCCCAGACCTCTTCATACGGAAACTTGTTTCCAATAGACGCAAGACTCGTATCGAGGCAACCGAGTATCATGTCTCCAACCTGATGGAATCTTCTCACCGCTTGGTCGAGGAGTACTCGGTGAGATGAGCTAATCTTAGAGTCGCTGTGCTTCACATGGAAAAGCAATTTCGCCCTCAGACAGCCACGCGATACTGTCCCAGCGAATGCAAAACGCAAGATGTGCAGGCAACAGGCTCGGACCATAAACTAATCAAGGTTAGATGATGCTTTCTCGCACGAGGCAATAGCGCTACTGCAACAAGCAAAAGCTCTGTATGGATATGAGTGCCCTGGGGATGTGTCTTGAGTGGCTGGAGCTTCTCATGTTCCACGAAGGCGGCTCGAAGCGGTGGGTAGCAGATATTGGAGATGAATCATCGAGGTTTGAGGGTGTTGAGAGGTCGTAGTTACGAATGGTAGATGCCTGGATGGCAAAACTCAGACACTGATTTGGTAGTTGATGTGACCAGTATGCACAGGGGATGGAGACCGCAGGGACCAGTCTGGGAAGGTCCATAGGGACTCGGCGTTATCAGTGGATATGGTGAATAGATCATCGGCCATAGGGCCCTTAGCATATAGAGGCGTGACTGGTGAAGAGTCACTGTATCCCAGTATGTCGAGTTGATAGGAGAGCTGGTAGCCAATGTGGAGCTGAGGTCTCGCCGGCGAGCGACGAAGAGGAGGACGCTTGACAAATTAGTAATGAAGATAATATCAAGAAAATTGAGCCACAGAAAGCATACGAATATACAACACAAAAATCAGTGAACCAAGCACAAAGGGGCGAAAAGAAGCTGGAAGAAGGTATTGATCAGCTACTGTTTTGATTCCTGCCTTGATTACAAGGTGGCAGTGCTCACGGCTAGGTCCGCGGAATCTTCGCCACGCATAACAGCCACAGTTTGTCTTGGTAATCTCCAATGTAAAATAAAATGAAATTCAAGCAGCAACAACAAGTACAAAAACGAGGATGCATCTTCTTATACCTGCCCAGCTGAGAATCTCATACTTGCTTCACTTGACGTTGAGGCGTTGCTGAAAACAAACAATTTCCCCTGAGGTCGTGGGGGGCGGAGCCTCTGATTGGCTCGTTAGGGAAAGCTGAGATATGCATAAAACTCTTCACCTGATGGTGTGCATTATTTTTGCCACTTGATTGTTCTGTGCACCAAATCAAGCTTCTAGAACACTTTTGGGCCTTCTTCAAACGAAAAAGCAATGCTTCCAGCGGCTTTGTCTTGTTTAATGACTAAAGATCCATCGGCGAGTTTTCTGCTGAGCCGAAGACATGCTTAGCCGACAGGGTGGGATTCAATATTGCCGATACGAAGAGAGACTTCGCGCCGCGCATCCGAAGGAAGGTGTAGGATTGTAAGGCAAACAGACTAAGTATGTAAGATACCCAATTCCGTAATCAAGTGCGTGTAAGTGAATTCACTCCAAAGCCAGAATGGAGGGCTGGTCAGCTGGAGCTGCTGCATTCGGTTTCGTGCCATATCTTTCATTTCAGGACGGGTATTACCGCATCACGGGAAAGTAGCCTACCTCACTGGTGCAGACATCTAGGCTCTTTGCTTGAGCTTAATAGCGAAACGGAACGAGGAGGAGACTGTTGGCAGCTCAAGTCCACAGGTTTTCTTTTCGTGGAGAGCCTGTCATGCTTGTACCCGTCATGATCATATCTCCAAATCAAGTAGACGAGGTCTTCCTCACTAGCCAATGGACTGGAGGAGAGAAATGTTCAAAACTTGGGAATAGCTATTGATATAAAACAAGGCGAATTGCATGCCTAATGGGAATTTGGTATCGTAAATGATGAGGTGAGATGTGTAGGTCGGTAAAGGTCAGCATCCCCGCAGCTCGCACTTTTGCTTCCATAGAATCTGGAGAAAGTGGGAAGTGATCATATGAAAGTCTGCCTTGCAGCTTATAATCCAGCAATTGATCAAGACCATCGGTGAGGGAGCTTGCAGATAGGCTTGCAACAAACAGATCAGGAATTAAAAGAATGTGATAGGTGATGAACGTTTCTCTCCCGCACAGGATTCATATATGAAACGGTACCTGGTTATCGCATGCGCGTCATATGCTGGAGTAATATCAGCTCAGAAGAGCTTAATTCCCGTTGATAAGTTCGGCATTCGGACAAAACGTATCTTCCTTGTTCACGAAAGACGAGATATCCATCGCACAGCCCGTGATGAAAACGTGGGAAACTTCTCCTTCCACAGCCTCCAAGCCTAAATTTTGCAAGGAATACTTCTGTGTATTTCGATCAATCACTTGGAGAAAAGTTTAGTGGCTTGGAAATAATTGCAGATAAAATTAGCGATGAAAACATGACTGTTCCATACCGTGGAGCCAGTCTTGACGTCCAGGAAATAAACTTCGCGCGAGCATCGTGACCAGCACAGCCACCAGATACGTATGTCCAGCACTTCAGGGGACCTCGAACAAGAACTTGATGCTCAAATCACTCTGGCGCTGCGTCGAAAACCAAGACATATCGAAACGCGAGTTGGGCAACTGATTGAGCCACAGGAGCCACGTAATGGTACTGTAGGTGCGAACAAGTTGTGAGGCCATCCCATCTTAAGCCTATTGTACCTTTTTGGGCAGCTTTACTGTCTTCCCCGATTTCAATCTGTCCCTAGACTTCGCTCGATGTTCGTTGGTTCAAATGAGAATAATTTGCGGATGGAGCTGGATAGTGATTCGATGTTAGGCTCGGCCTGGAACAGAGCATTGACCGCCTTAGAATCCTAACCAATTGGGCATCGAAATTTTTAACTTCGGGGGCCCACTTAAGTCCCGGATGTAATTTTCAGCAATCCCAGGCGAGCCACTGGCCTCTTATCATCAGTTACCAGCCTCGAGATTCCGTTCAGAGTCATGAAGGGATGCTCTCCTGGGAGCGGTGTCGGTTTTCACCCCACTACGCTGCTCAAACAGGCCACAAGTACATGAGCACGTTGCAGAGTATTTTTGAGTTGCATGTGTGTCAGGATAGATGGATTTGCCTTCTTTCTTTACCTTCGAAAGCATCGAATCAGCTGGTGAGAGGTGATGGGGCTGCGTATCCGTCCAGGACTGGGCTTGAAGGCAGCTAACCTAGAATTGAAGCAACAGGCAATATATGATCCCGGGAAAGGAGGTGACATGGCTATCACCTGTTCTCCAGTAGTCGAAGAGGATAGTGGCATCGGTGGGCTTGCAAAAATTCCATCCAGGGTTGAATCCTCTGGCTATCGGTATACGCTCGTGGAAAGCTTGGAGCAAATAACATTCTAATTTAAACATGTATTTGACTCAGTGATAACGCCGTGGAAGCCTAATCACCAGAGAGGAAATTAAACCGTGAGTTTGTCCAACGGGTAGGCACGCAGGCTGTAGGTGCAGGTTTTGTTGGCCATGGGATATCCTATCATTTATGGACATTACCAAGGCATGTTCTCATCAATCATAAGATTGTTGGAAGTTGGATCAGAAGGACTCTCGAAGATAATTCCTAGGCGATCCTGCGAATTCCTTTTCTGCTCCCATTTGGCATCCCTTGAGCCAGAACATGGACGTCCTGGTGGCCTCAGAGGAAGCAGCGTCGCGTCCCAGGGTGCGGACTGCCGGGAATTCTTGCTTGGCAGAACACTGGTCTCAGAGATGGCATTCGTTCCGACCCATTGCGACGCGACGGACTTCTAATCCAAATCAGCGATCATGTAATATATATACTTTCTAAGGAAGGGGTCGTAAAAAAATTGATAGGAGATTGGTACAAGTCTCTCACCGGAGACTAGGTAACTTTGTAAACAGTCTCGTTTGTTAGCCGAGCATGCCTTTGGGCGAAAGCTGCGGTCCTGCTTATCAGCTGAAGAGGGCACGCCGAAGACGGAACTCCCAATGGATTGTCGTCTCGTATTCCTTATCTTATTGCTGTTCAACAGAGATGTGTCGTTTAATAAGCAGCCTCATCGCATGGACGTGGCGTTTCCGATGAAAGCCTCTCATCCTAAAGAGGGCTGAGGGCTGAGTGTGCACAGAATCCTAGAATCCCAACACAACAGCTTGCGACCTAAGTGACAGTAGCCAGCAGGTCAAGTTCCTCCTGGCACAGTGAGCAGGGCGCTTCTTATGGTTCGGTTCGCTCTGTCGAACAACCACTTTTCTTCATAAGGCGGCTCTCCATCGTTTTAGTAGCATTGATTCAGCCTAGACATTTCGTTCTCGTCAGGGTTGCACACCATACTGCATTGGGGGCGGCCACATTGGGGGCGGTTCGGTCAGTGCATTTGTCCAGAGTTCAATACGCCAATACAATCAGTAATCAAAACAAGCATTCCATGCCCGTAAGCGGCCGCTATTGATAGAAATAGTTCAACGGGATATGTGAAATGTGTCTAGATGCCTATGTAACGAAATATTACATACCACCACTTTGACGGCAGGCTCTTCGTGCTTCGATATCGTAAAAACATTCTTGGATCAAAAAAGCACAAGCCCTATTTATGATTTGGATGGTAGATCTGACTTAGCACTTATGCCCCTGGGGCTGCTCTAGATAGGTACCTAGGTAGCTTTCTCTTTGTGTTTTTGTTGCACTTTGAAAAGGAGAAAGCGATTCTTTGTCACAGGTCACCTCGGTGAGCTTTTGGGGGTAGGCTCGCTTCGCTTCACACAGGATGGGGTGTGATACTGTGGCAGTCTAGGCAGACCTCGCATGTGGCGCACAGGGATCTCTGTAAGCGCATTAGGGCTAGCGTAGGAGATCGATAGATATCCTGACCAGCGATGCGCAGTCTGCAACTCGGGGGGGGGGCCAGCCTTGACTTTGAACACCACCGCAGGCAAATGGTTCGCAATTTTGCGGACAGTAAGTGCGACATGAGCAAGAGCCTCAATCAACTGGACATGCCCCCCCGCGTCCCTCCTGCTACAGTAGACAAGGCCCGCATATGGTATGTGGTACCAGCCTTACTCTTTCGGTTACTAGGTATATATGGTCAATCTGCCCTTCTCAAAATGCCTTTCTCTCTCTCAACAAGTTGAGATACTTATCTATCACCACTGTTGTCCGGTTGCTGCTGTTCGCCCCCAATTGTCAATTCCTCGTCACTTTGCGTCTCCCCCCACAGCAGCACGCGGGACATCGACGCACACGCCCTCCAAACTAGCTCCATTTTAGCCGAGCATTACCCAACAGCCAACCCCGCTGTGAGTGAGTTCCCAAGGTTCCATTCCATTGCACCTCGTCGACGCCTCCATTCCCAATTGACATCACTCTTCTCCTCTGCTCTACTCTGCTCTCTTCCTTTGACGTCGGCCACGCCATTCTTTGCCCAACCTCCGAGGAGCCATGCTGAGATTCGTCATGTATCATAGTTCCAATAATGTCACAGACGCAACAGCAGCAGCCGGACCTCAGCCAGCGGTGGGTACAGCATCAACGGCAGAGAAATAGGGCAACGCAGACGTGGAGTTGCAAGTACTGCCCAGATCGAAAGATATTTGCATCAGAGCCTTCGCTGTGGGAACACGCCATCTCTGAGCACAAGCTGGCGTTCGCGTTAAATCAGAGTGTCGAGGGTGACTTTCGAAAACAATTCGCAGACGAATGCGCCCAGAAGCGGTACGTATTCCTGGGGTTTTTCGCACACGTTCGTTCACCGGAAGGTGAATAGCTTATTGGTGGACCATTTGGCTGGAATTGAGAATGCGGCTGACCAGTTCCCCCAGCCCTACGAAGGACGACGCTACACCGAGGAAACCGATATACAATGACGCGAATGCTGCACAGCCCGAACCGCCACCGGCAGGCAAGCGTCCACTCTCATCACCTGCTCCAGTGCCACGCTCTATTTCGGGGATTGACACTTTGAACATAAATACTCCAAGAGGAAGCCAGGATGTAGACATGCAGGATCTGAGTGAGGAGGGTGGCCAGGCAACAACTGAGCAGCAGCCTAGAAAGCGGATGGCCACAGGAGATGGCATTTCAGCAGGCTCAGGAAGTCCGTTCCGTGAGTCATCAGCATCGCCGCCTCCACGGCATTCAAAACCTCGTCCTTCCTCCGGCCAATATGCCGGAAGTGAGAAGGAAATGTTGTTTGACGCGAGACCCAAACCTTTGAGTAAACAACTCTGGACCGAAGATGCGACACCCCTGTCAAAATCTTCTGTGGACCGTTCCAATATTGCAAGCATACATGCCCAGAGATCGAGGGCACAGGGACATCAGACTCGACCAAAGAAGACATTTCCTGCAACTGCACAAGCTCTGCGAAATCAACAGAGTCCGCAGGGTACGACAATTTTGGGCCGGAATGCAGCATTTCAGAGCCTCCCCACCCGTGATGACAATTATGATATCATTATGCAGCCTGAGACTAGGCCAATCTCCCAGGAACAGCTTGTTGCAGAAGTGAAGGGCATCTATGCCGGCTTGGGTTAGTGTTCAATTCCCTCCCAATGAAGTACAATGGTCTTGAATCTCCTCATGTTCTACAAACTGAGGCTCTTGAGAGATATATTTAAGGTATCATGTTCTAACCCATTACAGTCATGGTTGAAGCAAAGTGTATCGAAGTCGACAACAAGCAAGCAACACTTGCTCAAGCTGATCCAAATTCGCAGCCCAAGCTCAACAATGAGCAATGGTATGTTTTCCTCCATCGAAATCGCCATTGGTCAAAGGACCAAACTTTGGTTGTGTCAGGTGGAACTAATATCACAATTAGGCAAGCACTCATTGCTCTACATCGGACACTGCTCCATGAGCACCATGACTTCTTCCTCGCAAGTCAACATCCATCCGCATCACTTGCTCTGAGACGACTAGCTTCGAAGTACGCGATGCCGGCTCGCATGTGGAGACATGGAATTCATTCTTTCCTCGAACTTTTGAGGCATAGACTTCCTGCGTCTCTTGACCACATGTTGGCTTTCATTTACTTAGCCTACTCGATGATGGCTCTGCTGTACGAGACTGTGCCGGCCTTCGAAGACACGTGGATCGAGTGTCTTGGAGACTTAGGCAGGTACCGAATGGCGATCGAAGATGATGATATTCGCGACAGAGAAGTCTGGACTGGTGTCGCAAGACACTGGTATTCAAAAGCTTCCGACAAGGCGCCCACGACTGGTCGCTTATATCACCATCTTGCGATTCTCGCCAGACCCAATGCTCTGCAGCAGCTGTTCTATTATTCGAAGTCGCTTTGTGTTGCTATTCCATTCACATCTGCTCGGGAATCTATCTTGACACTCTTTGAGCCTGTTCTCAATTCGGACAACGCACAAGGCCAATATCGCCTGCCTCCTCTTGACATGGCATTTGTCCGAGCTCACGGTCTCCTCTTCACTAACAAGAACCTTGAGAAATTTGAACCAACCGTAATCGAATTTCTGGGCCTTCTCGACAATCACATTGGTCGTGTCACCAAGAAGTTCAAGGCGCAAGGCCATGAAATTGCTATTTCGAACTGCGTGGCTATGATGGGCTTCGCTGCTAGAGACAACATTTTAACCAAAGAAATTCTCCCCGCCAAAGACTCAGAAGCACAGATGGAAGTCGATACTGACGAGAACTCTCTAGCGATGGTATCCTTCCGCCGTGCTCAGGCGCTCTCAAATTCAACTCTTGAAATCGTTTTGAAGCGCATTGGGGATCCCAATGTCCTTCCTTTCATTCATGTTACGCTCGTTTTCATGTATACAATGGCTCGCCATCAAGGCGCTATGGCATGTCTTCAAGACTCTTTCCCCAAACAGCTCTTGTCGATCATGCTCAATACGTTACTGTCGAGTTACAAAACTCACAGCGTGATTGAGGGCGACAAGTTTCCACTGCCGGAGAAAGAAGATGTTCGCCCCTTTCCAGAAGATATTGCTATGCGCGGAATGTTGTGGGTTGAAGATTACTATCCAAATGATTGGTTCATGAATGAGAAGGTTGGCGAGGAGGAGAAACATCAGGAAATGGCATCAATGACTGATGACCGGAAAGAACGCATCCTCTGGCTTGCATGTCGTCTCGCGACCTTGGTAGACTGGATCAAATATGATAGTGTATCTAGGAGATTCTCAACATCTTCAACCAAGACTGAGCCTACAGTAATTTGAGCTCGAGAAGGCTGGGCAGTCGTGTCCCCCAGACGACTCCTCCAGATTGGAAGCCTGAATATACCTCCTCATAATCTGCTCCACTGGTAAGTTCACTTTGTCTTCCTAATTTCACCGCATTCCTGCGTTGACCGAGTAATATTCTGACACTTCTCTAGTCCGAACCTAAGAATCACTCATGTCACCTATGTTCTCTCTTTTAGAGTGTCTGCTGAGAACTCAACTTCGGATGTATAATTTATTCCTACTGAAATCCACACAATATACGTTAGGAAGTTATGCTGTTGTTGAATATCTGCCTGGATGGTTGTGCAGATGTACTTTAGCCATGACGACCTCCCAATACAAGCGTCTTTCACTGTCCTCCCAAATCTTTGTGATATCACCTGGGGAATGAATGTGGATGCTCGGCTTATCTTCGCTAACAGACGACTGGTACGTCAAACAGTTTGCGGAGATGTTTACAACAGCAGGTTCGGAAGGATGACGGCTTATGTACATCTCCTTTTCCAGATTTTTCAGAAACGAATGATATAACGAAAAGGCCATGATGCCCTCTACAAGCCATCGAGCAGAAAAGGATCATCACTATCCTCGATCCTGGAGGTGAAACCTGACTTGCAATCGTGTCCTGTCGTCTGAGGACTAATTCGGACCAACAAGGCAAAAGTCGCGTTGGCGCCTCCTTCACCAAGGCAATGTAATTATGGTAGCATGCCCTGTCTCTTCACAAAAGAAGACATCGGCTTCTTCCCCTCCGAGGTTGGCCTTCGAACTGGCCGAGTGTGTGCGGCGAAGCGCTCGATCCAGCGCTTATGTGCAGCGTGGGTGGCCATTTACGCGCCAGGCACGAGGTTACTTTTAGAGAGACCAACAACTCTTGTGCTAACTTTTTCACCGAGCATATTGCTTAATATGCCTCGAAAGGCCTACAGGTCCATCTGTCATGCTCTCACGTAGGTTGATTGGCCGTCGCGGGTGCACCTCCATGCTGTTGCAAAATTCGACACAGCCCTTCCCACCGAGGCCTCAAACATGACAACCAACAGGAAGTTTCACGTTCAAAAGCATGGAATCCTCAAGTATAACGTCTCTCCAATTTCAGTCTTCTTGATCATCTCTTCTCTATGCATCTATTTCCGTTGTTAGCATATCTGTATTATGTCTTCATCTTCCTTTGCACAAAGATTTCTCGGTCGTTCAGGGACACCTTCACGTTCAGATGGTCGTTCAGAATCATACAAGAAAAAACTTATAATACAAACCGATCACGATCCACCCATCTTTCAGCCAGCACCATCGCTATAGACCAAAGCTCTCTCGCAAGCGACATTGGCCAGAACAACCCTTCAACTCAACAATGGCGTCTCCCCCACAACTGGAACTGGAAAGGAGGCGTCACTCGCCCCGCAGACGTGGTTACCATTGACTCCTCATCCATTCTTCCCATCACGGACTACCCTTTCCACTCTTCCGGAAAGCAAAGTTCGGTAGTAGGCATGTCCAACGCTACAGTCACGCGCGTGATCTGCCAGCGAAAGGTGCTGGCTCGAAAAACAGAGCCACTCCCTCGTTCAAAGTCCACCTATCATCTCGAAGAGATGCACATTCTCAAGCAGCTGAACCATCAGCATATTATTCAGCTGTGTGGTGCGTATGTATTGGGGAATGAGTATCACTGTCTTCTGTATCCAGTTGCTGAGCTGGATCTGGTGCGATACATGAAACTGACACATGAATCCGAAAACTGGGTGCGCACCTTGATCCAGGGACTTGGTTGTTTAAGTAATGCATTGGCGTACCTTCATAGTAAGGGGATAAGACACCGGGATATCAAACCAGCGAATATCCTTGTTCTGGGAGATGTGATGATTTTTGCTGATTTTGGGAGCGCGAGGCAAGTAACCATCGAATAGTTTCCCATGAATACGTGTTGATGAAGCTGCAGGAAAGAAAATGACAGCAGAAGCGAGACTTACGTCTCTTCTGGGGAAGGAGACCAATCAGATGGTATAAACGGAATGACATTTCTCTACATGGCACCTGAGTGCCTCACGTCCAATGGCCACGGAAAGAGCGCTGATGTCTTCTCCCTCGGCCTCGTCGGAGGCGAGATACTCGATTACATCTTCTGGAGCGCTTATCCAAAGTCCCGCATCTCTGAAGTAGAGCGTCGACTGGAGGAGTATAATGCCGATCTGCGAAAGACTGCTCAATACAAGCCGCAACCGATGACGAAAGAAGAAGAAGACTTTAGCAAGAACATGTCGCGTGTCGGTGAGATCATTTCTGAGAAGCATGCAAGACTGCTGTTTTCTATTATGACTGCGAAGAACCCGCGGAAGAGACCTACTGCGGATCAAGTATGGAGATTTCTTAGGGGACGACGTTTTGATGTCTTGCTTGGGCACCCGGATGGTGATGGATATCCTCCCACTTGTGGGAAATGCTGCGAGTGATTTTTTGCATCTTTGCGTTTCCATGTACGGTTCTGGTTTACGCGAGTTTGTCGATTGTGTTTTCTGCTTTACTGATTTATCTGCCTGTATTTCTACCAAATAGCTCAAGATCACCAGTTTTCAAGCCATTTCCCCGCAGCCCTTGACTTCGATGCAGCAACATAATCATCGCAGTGGCTTTGCAAAACAGGCAAGAATGCTTGCAGCACGTTGCTAACACGTTTCTCGGGGTACTTCACCCAATCGCATTCTCCACCATTGTGCGTAAATCCTGCATGCTCCCCAGCTGTTTCGTGGTCGTTGGACTTGAAGGAGTGAGTGGCCAGCCTCGTCAAGAATGCTTATTTGGTATCCTACACTCAGCCGCAGCTCATTTCCACTCATATGATTGATCCAATCTCACTCAATATATCCTCCATACCTGCTGATAAGGAATGGCAACAATCACGACGTCAACAATCCTTCATTTCAAGCCTCTTAATTTTTTTCACTTAGCCAGTCGGGCGATGGGCTTGTTTGCCTCGTGTGCTAAACATGTAGCTGGTGCATACGGCATGCCGTTCTTTCAGCCTCTCCGAAATTACCTGTTTTCGTGGCGAAGCCTTGGAACAAGTGATCATCTAGTCGCGATAGTGTTACCCCCAACTATTGGCTTGAGAATCCCGTTGTTTACCTGTCACTGGGTCGTTCAAAATCGAGCAGGATCAGAGGCTGGACTTCACCACTTCTGGAGGCCGGCCGGGCCAGCCACAAGACCTGGCGTAGCCCGTCTGTCCGTGACAGCGACCTCTCACGATCAGTATTGGGAGACTTTCAGCGCCTGACTCTGGGAGTCCAGCTTGACGTGAAAAGTAATTGACGCCGTTTACGCCTTGTGTCGCTGTCACTGTCTGTATTGAAGCTCCTCCAGTGGGGAGGTTTGGGATGAGGATGCGCTGGCGGCACGGGTCTCGTAGCCTTGTCGATGATCGGGTCGCTATGCGTGAAGTTGCACGAGTGAGGCTTCTCCTGAATGACCTGCATATTTTCATTTGGGGATCACTAGGATTTCTATGCCAGGAGGCTTGTTGGTTAGTTGGTGTTTCTGTTTGCCTCGTCTTTTTCTGGTCATTGTTGGTCTTTTATGCATTATTAAGGCGAGGGGATTTGTTGGTGAGATGTATGTGAAGCGGTGAGCGCATATTGGAGTTGTGTAGCAATCCTGATCTTGGATACATCGAGAGTGGAATATATGCGGTATTTGGTGGTATTGTTTTGGAAGGACTATAATTTTGGCACTCTCTCAGTGGATTGAACAGCGTTCGAGGTCCTTGCCTATCACATTCAAGTTCCCCACTGAGAAATTTTACTTGAACAGTCAAACCTTTGTTCTCTCACTTTGTTTTCTTAGCTTGTCAAATCTAGATCTTGGACATGCCATTTGAAATGGGACATATGAGTCATGGACCCAGGAGTATATCCTCAATTGCGTACACAATAGTCTGAAGCTGGTGAGTTTGCCTGAGACCTTGATGCCGAGACTATTTCACTCGGAGCCGTTTCTCACTCTTCGGTCGCCCCTATTCTGCTTTCCCTTGCTTTGCTTTGGCGTCTCATCTGGGAGTCAAATTTGGTTTGTGTGAATTGCCTAAAGTGAGTAATTAGCCCATTGCAGCTGTTCTCTTCTCTGCGCTATCATGACTGTTGCGAGCGAACCATTTTTAGAAGTGACCAACTTCGATGTTTGTTCTTGAGTAACACATCAGTTGCGGTCAGCTGTTTGGCAGAAAAGCAGTATCCCCTTCAGAGTCCCGGCATGACTCAGTCCTGAGAATTATTGGCTTGGAAATGGGCCAATTCGTTCGACAACCTTGGGTTGCCATCATCAGTCATAGTTTTTGCCGTCTGGCTTCTTGGAGGAATAGAATATCAAACTTTCGGTGTGACGGATATTCGGTCTCAATGACAAGGAGATACAATTTCAAATAAAATCACAATCTCAACCCATGCCCACCAACTTCAAGTTGACACTCAACACACCATCCACACCTGAAATATCCCCTCTAGCTCTCAATTTCTCTATCTCCTCCACTAACGCACGCTTGATCCCCTCTGAGATCCTCTTCCCATCTTCTGGGTCCAATTTCTCCCTCGGACCTTCCCCAAGAACAATATTCTTCCTCTCCGCATCCGTGATATCACTTGCATGACGAGGAAGTCCCAACCGTGGGATGATGTGAAAATGAGAGTGAGGTACTGTTTGACCACTTTCTGCACCTGTTTGTCTTTCAACATATATTCTCACCCAAAGGTTACATCGAGAGGATGCAAAAAGCAGAGACTATGACGGTGACATACCATTCGCCTGTAAAATATTCCAACTCGCCTCCTCCGGCGTCTTCCCTACACTCTTCAACACAGCTCTCGTCAGCACAGGTAACCAGAATCCCAGTGCCATCGACTCCGCAACTGTCATCTCGGTTGCTTTCACAGCATGTCTCCTGGGGCAGACAAGGAGATGGCCAGGTGAGAGAGGGGCGATGTCTAAGAATGCGACGACGAAGGGAGTTGAGAGGACGGGGTATGCGGATCCATGGGGAGAGTTGATGATTGCGGGGTTGCTCGATGGCGGGGTACTCGATGCAATCATGCAAAATGGGCAGGGCATTTTGTAGGTTGTGATTCAAAGATCGGTCCGAGAATGTTGGTTGATGTTCACTGGGGTACGTAAAGAGAGGAATACTAGTTTATGGCGGTGTTTGGCGAGATACAAGATTAACTGTAGTTGGGGAGCACGACACGTGGGTGGAGATGCCAAACACCCAATACAGTATCACCCGAGCCAGCGTAATGCTGACATACACTGAGAACGTAATCTCAAATTACAGGCTCGTGAATATCATGGTGGACAACTCGAGTGAGAAGATAGTACGTTTCTATTCATTCGACCCCCGATCGTATTTCCCCTTGATTCTAGACCACATAATTGTTAAGTTTCGTTTGGCTTTCATCCAGATGTAGGAAATCTCTGACCATTGATCAAAATATGCAGGACGTCCATCTGGTCATCATTGATTTCAATCCACTTCCTTCTTTACTTGAATATGACTCTCACACCCTTTGCCTCCGGGCCTGGCTGTGGCAAGAATCCATCATATGCCAGATCGATATCTCGCTCCCGAATTGTGTCAAACAATTCTAGTTCGAATCTCCGGAATACAGTTGCGACCGTGAGGAAGAGTTCTGCTTTTGCTAAACTGCGGGCAAGTCAGACTTCTGGACCATCAGGTGCTTTTGCGTCATGTTTAGGGAACTTCGGCTAGGAGAAGCTGTCTTCCATGAACTTACTTCATACCGATGCACTGTCTACTTCCTCTCGTGAAAGTAACCATATACCGTTCAAGTCTCTTGGCGCCATCTGAATCCATCCATCGTTCTGGGGTAAAGGAGTAGGAGTCTGGGAAGATCTTTTCGTTGTGGTGCATCATGATCGAAGTCATGCCGACGGGAGTCTATCTCATCTATTAGATTATTGAGCAAGGCTGGTGGAGTACGGGACTTACGCCAGCTGGTATTGAGTACTCTTTGTACTGAAGAACTTCGTTCGGAGCGATCCGTGCGAGACGGGTTGAAAGTCCGTATGAAAGTCTACAGTCTGTCAGCTCGTTATTCAAAGTTTATTTATTCTTGAACTGGCCTTAATCCTTCCTGAATAACCGCTGACTATAAAGTAAGAGTTAGCCAGCCATTTCCTCCAAAGTCTGCTGCGCAATCTGAAGCCAATCTAGGTCAACAACCCAGCCGAAACTACAAGCTCGATCATTGACCAGAAAAAGAAATGAATTCACCAGATATGGTAATTTCTCCACAGCAGTAAGTTTCGTAGCCGTGTTACTATCCACAAACGCCTCCTTCAACTCTTGCTGCAGTTTCACTAATTTTTCCGGACTGTTCAGAAGATGGAAAGTGATGGTCGACAAAGCATGAGCAGTGGTATCAGCACCAGCTCCGATAATGACCTGTGCTTCCTGCGTCATCCGATCTTTGCTAATCTCTTCAGCTGGAAGGTCGCTGTCAATTAGAGTGTGGAAGACTGTGCGGGGTAAGATGGGATCGTGTTTGTCAGTTCCATTGGCTAAGTCGTCAATGACTTTTTGGACATGGCGTCCTAAATCCTGGGGTTGTTAGAAACTGAAGTTGAGTGAGAACTGTTCGATAAAACTTACTCGTTGCCAGTTCAAAATCAACATCATATCTGGAGACAATCTCGACATTACCGAGTCAGGTAGCGCCCGGCAAACAGGAAGAATCCAGTTCGCCTGCTTGATCAAATGACCCATATCAGCTGTGGCTTTAATAGTCTCGAACCACTTTGGCGAAAAATCATCGCTGTCCAAATAGTTCCAGCTCTTATTCAGGGCATATCTTGTCACGATATCCGTCGTCAAACATCTGTAAGCGAGATCCAGTGGCATAGGCTCGCCAGATTGCTTGAAGACGTCGATCCGAGCACAAAACTTTTCGATCATGCCATTTATGATGGGTTCTAAGCGTAGAACGCTGGCTCGGGAGAAGAAAGGATTCTGTGGTTGGCGACGGAGACGATGGTGATGGTGATCGACGGTGCTGAAGTTTGATTTCGGGTTTCCGAATTGGACAGTGTAGTATTCGTACTTGTTCCTTGGAGAATTCCATGAGTATAAAGTTTCATAGTATTCCGGATCATCGATGTGAAGTTCATAAGGACTGATACGAATGATGGGGCCTATAAATAAGATCAGTCACATCATTCAGATGGCTTGGCAATGCTGGGATGAAGTCGAACCATATTGTTTGTGTAATTCTCGGATCTTGAAGGTGTATTGACCCTGCTTGATTACATCATAATAAGCCTCGTAGAATAGCGTGGCAGCTGCGAGTTTTGGTCCCGGGAATCTGGAAAGAGGGCTGAAGTAGACTCGGTACACAATGCCGGCGATGCTGTACAACACGAGTCCTGCTGCAAGGGACAGAACCCAGTGAGTTTGGAGATCTTCAAGTCGGATCATGGTTTGTTTCGTTCTATGTTGTCCTTGAGGATAAATACTGTCGAGAACTTTTGTGAGAATTTCTTGAAGAAGTCGTGTCGTTTTATCGTCAGCTTCAGGCAATAGATTGTGACAATGTGAATATTCTCCGTCGTTGCACACTAAAGCTATTGATCAATGGCTCCAGTGACGATCCAGTGAACCAAACAAAGCTCGTAATATTGAATTGAGTCAGTCAATCCCTTCTTCGCCGAATAATTCTGCCTTTCTCTCAGTACAAACGCGGGCCGTGCCGTAAGAAGTATTTCGTAGTGACAAGTCGAGATGAGGGGTCCTATCTGGGGTCCCCCACTGAAACAATCACAAGGTCTGTAAGGTAATATTTACTTTATGCTAGAACTTCCAGCTAGGCTAGAGCGAGTTTGGTCCGATTATAGGTCGAGATCTGATTGAATAATCGATATACCCTTGTATCTTGGGCCCGGTCTTTCATCCACTTTGAGTAAGCCAAGCTCTCACGTTCCGCTGGAAGTGGTGGTACTCACTTGAAGGTTTCTAGACAACCACGAGGATTCGGCGACTCAAACTCGATTTCTAGAAGAAAAAGCTTGTGGGCTTCGGGGAATTGTATTTTTCTTTGGGCTCAGAAACAATGTCACAGGGTGTGACAATGTGTTATTGGTACGAGTGGGAATCCACAGATGCACGGGCTTCGGGATCCGCAGTGACAAGATGCAGCCAAGCTGCAGATTTCTCAGCACTTGTCGCTTTCGATCGCTTTCGAAAGAATTGAGTCTAAATAAGACATTGTATCGGGTGCTTCATCAGTCGATCGCTGACTTCTGCTCATAGTTTTGGCTTACTGGGCTGGGAATTTAGCGAGCCCGTGGACAATGAAATCAATAAGCAAGACGTGCTGGGCTTCCAAGAACTCTCAATCCGATGTGAAGGCGATCAATTTCCACGAAATTTCGCAGCTCGATTGAGTGTCTGTTTTGAAAGAAAACATGGTTATTTATCCTGTAGATTGTGTTTTTGGTGATGTTGCAGCCGTGTTTGCTACACATCCGTAACAAAACAAACATGGGCGTGAGAGAACACGTTAGACTCCACGCAAACAAGGGCTCTCAAAGTCAGAAGACGTCGAGAAATTTATCATGAGTACTCATCCCAACAAACCAGTACGAAGCAAATTACTAGTCATCACACTCCTGTCGCAGCTACAAATTCCTAATCTAGATATCAGTGGATGCAATGCTATTCACCCGCCACGTTCCTACTTTGAAACCCATATAGGAACCTTCAATTCTGACTCAATACGAGACATGCGATTTTTACTAGCTCCGAGACTTGTGTTAGTACGTCTGCTCAACGTAGCCCAGGTCCCAAGACATCTGCAAAGCGAATTTAAAACCAGTCTCTATTAACCAACCACCACCAGTAATGTTACCATCCAGCCTAGTCATTCTGCTTGCCTCCACATATTACCCAACCCCATCGTGTCCGTACAGAACTCCAGCACACAACAACCGATCTGCGACAAAACGTACTGGGCGACGTGATAGACTCGACACTTGGGAAGATGGATCCAGTCTGTGGACTTTCTCTTGCAGTTCACCTCAACTCTACCGCGTGCTGTGCCACCAACCAGCCGATACCTACTCTATACTTGTGCCTGCACGTGAGCTACATCGCTTGGTTTATTATTATTTTATGATGGAGCAGTCGTATTAACAAAGCGGGATGGCAGGCAATATTGTCTGGCGTATAAGAATCAGACGGATGGTTTTCCTGATTGCGTGCGTCGTATGGCGAAGTAAAATTTTTACTATTGGGATGTATGGCTGCCTGGCAAGCGACGCGTTGCGAATTTGAAGGCCGTATTTGGAAGGAGTGCTTGCTTGTGAGTTTCGGTGCTGTAGTTGTGGGCCTTGGGTTAATACTGTAAGGATGGCGCGACTCTGTTGACTTCCAAACGAGCTTGCGATCTGTGAGGATGGATTGTAATTCGATAACTCCACTTCTTACGTCGAACCTAACCCATGTGAGCAAAAATTTACTTCCTCTATCATGCTCTTGAGCTACTCGTACTCTGAGAAGCGTTTACATCCACGCATCCACATTTCCAAATACTCCCATTTACCTTGTCAGCCGAATCTCAAAACAGCCAAGTCATCTTTTCTCTCGTAAAAGTCATCAAATAACCTCGCGGGCCCAACTACGCTTCTCATCATCATTTGGAATCTGGTAATCCAGCAGTTTCGTACGAGCATTGATGCTGACATTAGCGACGTTGTGACCGCATCGAGCTACGTACCCGGTGCTAAAACTCGGTTATCTGACCGGACTAACGACACTTTTACAGTAGGGTGCAACAAGTTTGAACACTCCCCCCCTTGCAGCCAAGGCACACTACCCCGATCCGGATACTCTTCCCATGCTGCTTGAATACGCGTTTCCTACTGAAAACAACACCTTTTTGAAGCTATTTGTAATGCCGGCACGTAAAGAACTCTTACTGCTGATACGTGCACGTATCTGCGAGCTTCACTCGATCGGCTGGAGTGCTCGACGTATACATCTGAAGCACCCTGATATTTGTATCTCAACGATTCGTACTACGATTCGCTGGTAAGCCTTACGTGTTGATCACGAATCGAGACCACGTTTAGGAAGGCCACACGCTCTTTCAGAGGAGTAACGTGATCACGTCTTCGATACTGTAAATCATACGAATCCTCATATTAAAATGCGAGACTTACTTCGAGAAGTGAACGACGATTGTAAAAAGCGGTGTATATAAAGCCTCCTTCGAGCGATAGATAAAAAGAAGTGGCTTCAAAGGAAACGACCCTTTATTACGCCCGCACAAGCAAAGGCTCGACTCGACTGGGCTATTCGAGTACAAGTATATACGTTGAACGATTAGAAGAAGGTCTCGTGGTTAGATGAGTGTACAATCGAGAGAGGAGTAGGAGTGAAGCCGGTATGGACTTTTACTCGTCCTCGAGATCAAATAGCAGCTGGAGATATCCAGCCTGTTCGATGCTCAGGAAAAGGGGTAAAGAAGATGTTTTGGGCTGCATTTGGACACAATCGAAGGACGGGATTAGTACCTCTCGATAGAGATCCTCAAGCAGCTCGAAACGGTGTAACTTCGAGGGTTATTCAAGCCCTTTACGAAGCTTTTCTTCCAGAAGTCGTTGTCGAAGGAGGGGAATTTATACACGACAGCGCTGGGCCACATCGAGGGAATATAGTTAAACAACTGCTTGAAGAAATGGCTATTCGAGTGATGGAATGGCCTCCTTACTCGCCGGATTTAAATCCAATCGAGAACCTCTGGGCTTTAGTAAAGGCTGAGTTATATCGATTACATCCTGAGCTCGAGCACGCTGAGGATACAGATGCGACTCTGAATGCCTTGATTCGAGGAGCACAGGAAGCGTGGCATAATATTGATATTGGAATTTTATATCGATTAGCTACTACAATAGAAGATCGAGTACAGGCAGTAATTGCCTCCGGAGGGTGGTATACAAAATATTAGAATATTCTTTATTTACCCTTAAAAGCAGCGGTATCAACAATACTATTTCGGGGTAGTGTGCCTTGGCTGTAAGGGGGGGGGGGGGGGGGGGGGGGGTGTTTAAACTTGTTGCACCCTACTGTAAGCGTGGTGCGAGGAAACGCCGTTCAGCAGTAAGCAATAAGCAATGATCAACGAGAAAAAGCTTGTGTGGATCAGCATCATGATGCTCGGTTGAGGGCCCAGAGCGCCAGCGTAGTGTGGATTTGCGGTCGGCCGACATACCCGAAGTTCAGGAGCGGCGGTACGAGCTTTGGCGCATGTAGGATACCAGGTCAGGTAGCAGTAACGGGTGCTGAACAGACATCAAATATGAAAGGAGACCCATTCTCGGATGGTCACTTTGTCATGATGTTAGGTTTTACCAGAAGATGTTCGCTCTCCTGTCTGTCTGAAGTCATTGAAAAACGAAAACCTGCAGCAAATTCAAGAATCAAAGAAAACTCCGTAGAGATACCAGCAGAGTACAGCTACAATCACGGATACCATGGCGCCTACTCACGACATAACAACTTACACCAAGCGACTGATGCCGCACATCATCGACGAACGAGCAAAAGCAGGCTACAGTCGACCATTCGCCTTGTACCCCAAGTCCATAGACCCTTCTGAGGGCTTCCACTCAATCAGCTATGCACGCATTGCAAACGCTGTGAATCGAGCTGCCTGGTGGCTCGACTCTGGGTTGACCAGCCAGGAAGAGAAGGAGAACCCGTTCGCATATTTCGGAGCGAACGACTTGAGATATGTGATTTTTCTCATGGCCATGATGAAGACTGGCAGGAAGGTATGTCAAAAGCACTTCCATTTATTCAGAAATTCTTGTAATTGGGATGATAAAGCTGAGCTGTACCTTGTAGATGCTATTTGCCTCCACCAGAAACCTTGTCAGAGCACAGCTTTCGCTGTTTTCCAAGATCAATTGCAGAGCAATCGTCTTTTGCTCGTCGCTCAATCAGAGCTTTCAGCCCCTGATTGCAGCATCCGAACTTCGCCATATTCAAGCTCCTAAGCTTGAAGACCTCCTTGCCGAAGACCCAGTACCACATTACACATATGACGCGACTTGGGAGAGCTTGTCGAATGAGAAGTTCTTCACCGTACATACTTCTGGGTCGTCAGGTATGCATATTGAAAATGGCTAGCAGCACTCAGATCTGACTGATAATATCAGGGGATCCCAAACCTATCAGCGCCGGGAAGCATTATATTGGAGCTGTTGACTCAATGCATTGCCTTCCGGATGGCCAAGGACAGGTATTGCAGGCGAACTTTCGGTTCGAGAACCTACTTATTCTACTCCCATGTTTTCATGTAAGCAGTATCGTGCATTATCATGACTCTGCTGACTTGATCCACAGCTTGGCGGACTTGTATTACAAATGCTAGCCCCTTTGATTGAGATGACCATGGTTCTTGGCCACCCAGACGTCCCCATGTCCTCCGCATATGTTGCAGAACTCTTGAAGACCGACCATGTAACAGCGCTAGCATCACCGCCATCAATCCTCGAGGATCTCTCGAAAGAGTCGTCTTCACTGCAATCACTTTCGAAACTAAAGCACATCGCTTATGGGGGTGGACCTTTACACCCTAACACTGGAAATCTCTTGGCCAAGTCTGTACCGCATATCTTCAGTTTCATAGGTGCAACCGAAATAGGTGTAAGTAGATATGCCAAATCGCAACTTTCCATCTTCTGACTCTCCGACCATCCAGTGGTTCCATTGTGTAAATGGAAGCAACGACCTTTGGGACTCGCTGCATTATTTCGACAACATAGGCTACACTTTCGACGAGGTATCCAAAGATATTTATGAGCCTGTTCTCGTGAACGATGAGAAGACCAAAATGTATCATGGCGTGTTCGAAGTATTCCCAGAATTGCGAGAATATAGAACCAAAGATTTGTACTCGCGGCATCCCACAGCGTCTGGATGGATGCGGTACAGAGGGAGATCCGATGACCTGATCGTACTCTCAAACGGAGAGAAAATCAACCCAATCCCAATGGAGAACATAGTCAATTCTCATCCAGCAGTCAAAGCTGCTCTGGTCGTTGGAGAGTATCAGTTCAGTGCATCTCTCTTAGTAGAGTTGAAGGACGTGAATAAACCGAGGAATGAGCACGAATTACGCGAACGTCTGGATGACATCTGGCCGTATGTGGAGGATGCGAACAAGATCGCCCCAGGGTTTGCGAAGATCCCAAAGTCATTGGTGGTATTTACAACGCCGGAGAAGCCATTTCTCAGAGCTGGAAAGGGTACTGTACAGCGCCAGCTGACCGTAAAAGCATACACACAAGAACTGGATCGTTTGTATGCGTCACAAGAAGGAAGCTTGTTGACGGAGGGTTTGACGCTGACTAAGGGGGGCGGACCAAACGACATCAGAATCTTCGTTCGAGAAATCTACAAACAGGCCATGGAAGATGACAGCTTGAGCGATTCCGAGGACGTCTTTCAAAAGGGATTGGACTCTTTAGGTGTATCTGTCATCGTGAGGCGTTTGAAAGCTGCACTGGAAGCTTGCTCAATTCCTCTTAACATCGAAGACATCAATCCTCGTTTCGTCTACAGTGCTGCAAATGTCAGCAAATTGACAAGCGCACTACTGACTCTCAGAAACACCGCCCAAGGAGTTCCTTACACAAACGGAATAGCAGCTTCTGAGAAAGAGAGCATGGCATCAATACTGGAGAAATATTCCGGAAATATACCAACATCAAAGTCAGAGCACAGATTAGATCTAGTAGAGACTCCGTGGACCGTTCTGGTGACAGGCAGCACAGGCTCGCTGGGATCCTACATTTTGGCTGCTTTAGACAGGCTTCCTAAGTCGAGGATTGGCAAAATCGTATGCCTGAATAGGTCGGCAGATGCCAAAGAACGACAACGAAAGTCAAGCTTGTCTCGAGGGATCAACGCATCATGGCACGATTCCGATTACCCAAGAGTTCAGTTCCTACAAGCGGACTTCTGCAAAGTGGACTTAGGTCTAGATCCAGATGTGTACGCAAAACTTCTACAAGAGGCTACAGTGATTATTCACAGTGCATGGAAGGTTGACTTCAACCTTCCAATCGAGTTCTTTGAGTCTCAAGTTCATGGCGTGCGGAACCTGCTAGACTTCAGCTTAAAGTCAACAAAGCAAGCACCGCTGATGTTCACCTCAAGTATATCGGCCGCGTTTGGATGGATGGACACCTATCCGTTGGCAAAAGTCCCGGAAGCCATTATTTCAAGTTTCAAAGCCCCCGAGAAGATCGGATATGCTGAATCGAAGTTCATGTGTGAGCAACTCCTTGACAGGTTTACCACAGCCTCAGGGGTTACCACGGCAGTCCTCCGAACTGGTCAAATTGCTGGCCCCATCACCAAAAATGGGATGTGGAACAAACAAGAATGGTTGCCATCCATCATTGCCAGCTCCAAACACCTCGGGATACTGCCTGAGACCTTAGGAAGCATGGATACGGTTGACTGGGTCCCGGTGGACTTACTTTCAACAATCATCCTTGAGCTTGCGGAAAGGATTGTCCATCACAAGAGCACGAAGGATCAAGGCACACTCGTTTACAACCTCGTAAACCCTCAGACCACAACATGGTCAAGCCTCTTGCCCACTGTCCAAGAATCCATCGGCGTGCAAAAGGTCGTTTCATTCAGCGATTGGGTGCAAGCATTACAGCAGAGCAGCACCGCAAACAACGGCGCCTTCGTGGCGTCCAACCCCGGTGTGAAGCTGCTCGATTTCTATCACGAAATTGGCGAGAAGGAGTCGGCAGTGGAGGGTTCCAGATACGCCGTCGATAACCTGATATGTGATAGCAAGCAAGCTTCTGATTTGACAGCGGTATCTCCAGAATGGATGAGACTCTGGTTGAGACAGTGGAGTTTCTGATCAGGCAGCGGGAAGAAACAAGCTCGTATTCCCACTAGGCATGATGAAGAGGTGGTAGGCTTAGCGGGCGGGCGGCTGTAGATTTGAAAGGTTAACCCTGATTTGTATTGCTTCGAAACATGTTCAGACTCGTATTCAAAGAAAGTCAAGTATGGTGTTTGATGATGTAGCATTCTGGAGGGTGAGGAGCGGAGGAAGTTTCAAGATCCAGCCATGACAGGTCGTACTGCCGTGAATTTAGCGTCCACCTAAACAGACACCTGGGGTGGGGGCAGCGTGCTAAAGAGACAGCGGACTTCATCTTCATGCCCCACTAAAACATCAAATTCCACCGACTCGGATAGCGATGTATTCTCTATATCCGGATGATTAACTGTATGTCCATGATTTCACTCAAAAATCTGGTGTATATCCGATAATGAGGATAACCAGGTTCTCGAAAAGCGGTCGTCCATTGGTGATCTCGAGATACTTGCTCATCTCAGCCAAGGGGCCCTCCACTCTTGGATAATGGACTGGCATTCCTTTTCTATGTATGGGTAGGCAAAGACTTTCGGTGCTCTTAGTTCTCACATTCTTCGTTCTCACCAAATCTGTGAGGCACTTGACTACCTGGACTTAACAACATAAATTTCCAGTTAAATCTCATTTGCCCAACTTTCATCCCAAAGCATCATAAAACATCTATTACCAAATAGTCCACCATGGCCTCCCCAAACCCTCTCAAAGTTCTCTATGCAATCCATCCCAACATGGATACGCTCGATTTCGTTGGGCCACTCGTGAGTCATATCCTCGAAACATACCTGTCTTCCCATATCTGACTGTTTTCAGGAAGTTCTGTCCTGGGCATCTCACGCTCCAATCGATCCCGCGAACCCCAAGCGCACTCCTGTCTTCACACACACCGTAACGTCTCTCGAGCCCACCACACCTACCAATCAAAATATCTCCATCTCGTGCCATATTCCCATCTCTGAAGCCTACGCTCAACTCTCTACCTTCGACATTCTGATCATCCCAGGCGGCGGCTCTGAGAGTGTGCTGCCAGGTAACACGGAGCCCATCCACTTGATCAAGGCGTTCGCTGCGTTGCCGAAGAAGAGTGGTGGAGGGATTAGAACGATTCTGAGTGTTTGTACAGGATCTCTGTTCTTGGGCGAGGCTGGTATCTTAGGTGGGTTGAAGGCGACGACTCATCCTCTGTACTATGGGAAGTTGGAGGAGGTGTGTAAAGGTGAAGGGAAAGGAGTGACGGAGGTTGTCAAGGAGAGGTTTGTTGTCAATAAAGTGGATGAGGAAAAGGGCTTGAGGGTAATTACTAGTGGTGGTGTTAGTTGTGGGATGGATTCTTGTATGTGGTTGATTGAGAATATAGCGGGGAAGGAAAGTCGGGAGTATGATGCAGAACTCATTCAGTATGCTCCTCGGGAAGGGATTGTTCTTTGATGGGATAGACAGAGATAGAGAGACTTACCATGAAGACATGCTAGATCTTACAACGCCAATTAACATGATTCTAATGCCACTGCACCATGGTGTTTTCGGTCTGCATTGAGGAGGATTTGAAAGGGATATTAGAGATTTGTAGAATGATAGTGCAGGACATTCGATTGAACGCTATAAATAGAAAGTAAAGTGAATCTGTAATATTGTATAACGGATCAGGGTTTGAAAGAGGAGATTTGTTGTCGATGGATTCAAACCCCAACTTAGGGTTCAAACTGGTTGCTTTTCGTCTGGAACTCAAATAGACGAACCTCTTACTGAACTCGACTGTCTTCGCTAACGCAACCCTCTTTCATATCATCCATTTCGTATAAGCCACAGTTAAGAAATAAGGAACCTGCAATGGAAGAAAGACACTCGCTCTTTCCGCTTGCCAAGCTAGCGAGAGTTTTTCCTAGACTTTCCCGTCTCCTTGGGCAAGATCAAAGATAAAAAAAAAAAACAAATCGCTCGTTTCTCAGATCTGGCCCATCTCAACAAACTCAAACCGAGCACTAAATAAAGAAGCAAATTGAATTTCACCTACTGTCCCGTCTTCGCAGATCAAGTAATCGGCCGTCCTCTTAGTCTCTCAAGTTGCATCTCACACATCACGTACTTCCACACATCGCCATACCCTCCTCATCTCATCCACCACATCACAAATGTCGACTCTCAAACTCGGAAATTAAACACTCGGAAGATTCCCAATGCTTAATCGCGATCATCAATCGTTTCCAGGTCTCTCCTCGTTCCACAATACATCATGACGTTTCCTTTGCGATCCTTCAGCTGGGAGTAATGACAACCGATATGGACTCAGCCATCGATGTTTATGCAAAAGGTAGGTAGACAGCCTGGCGACGTTACGCGTGCACATCTCTCTTGTGCAAGCAAGCCTCAACCTTGTCGGTGGGGGGGGGGGGGGGGGGGGCAGAAAGTGGATAAATATACCTTCTGTGCTGTTCGTCGCATCTTTTTGAGTTTAATGCCATGTTTATGCGCACGCATCATAAAAAGCATACCGAACCATGTCAATAATGATGAAGTCAGGCCAGTGTCTATTTGGTTGTTCTGTGACTTTTTGGTGGTGGGTGTGGAGTTCTTGCACTGCCCCCATGGTTCGTTTCAAAACTTACCTTCACACCCCCTTTCCCGTCGCATGAGGCTTGAACGCTGAGGTTGCTAGTTTGCAGCAGCCAGCGTTTCATCGACAGCGAAGCATCTTCCCCACAACGGCTTGCTGATGCGATGCGAAGCGAGGCCACATGGGACGGTTTGCAGGGAAGGGATGGATGTTTGGCTGGTCTGTCAGTTCCTGGACTCGAGCGGAGGGTTGTTTGTTTCATGTGGGTGGTATTTTTTTCTCTCTTGCACGGCTTGTAAGCGAGGTCTAGAATGTCCAAACGGGATGGGTCACTGGGTGACATCGAAAGGCTATGAAAAGATTGATGGTGGCACGAGTGGGATTTTGGTGCCCTTTTTCAAATATGGTCATGCGGGTGTCAAAAGACGGATACGGGCTATGTGTGTTTTGTGATGGATGTCACGTCGTGAAATAATTCTAGGATTGGGATGTTATGATATTCATCTGTAGCGATCATCCGGAGGCCGAGCCAAGACACTGCTTTGCCTGTCAAATCTCTTGGGAGGTTGGAAAACCGGGAAACATTTCTGTTTGTTTCTTCGGCTCTCTCTTCCAGGAGAGATACTCTTATCTCCTGGACTCCATCGCCCGCAAAATATCTCCCAAGATGGATGTCCCCAATCTACAAACGTCGTCTTTCAGGCAACATGCCCGCCCACGCCGTACAGAGCTCCGGTGCTATCGATGATCTCCCATCCAGGTGGATAACAAGGAGATCTCAAATTCACGATTTTTCCCCAACAGGGTTTGTTTAATTTACAGTCGTCCGATGCATCTGGACATACTGCCTGTTGCGGACATTTCAGGCGTCCGAGCGGAGTGGCTCTTCGGCTTTATCTTCTCATCGGTTGTCCACTTCCCCTGATTCCAGTCTGCAGTCCCGCAGTATCCGGGCAAGGTTACTCGATGGAGCTTTGCGTGGAAGGATGCGTTAATCCAAAGAGGGGCGACTTGAGTGAGTGAGTTATCGTGCCCGTGGGCCGTGGCAAAGCCATCTCTGTTGCAGTCTGGCGAGCGTGGACCAGGTTGAGAAGGAGAGAATGACTTGGTATTTGGGGTAAATAAACCCCTACCCTGCCTCTATCACGGGGAGCCTCAGCAAGGGCCATCACCCAATCGTTTGATCAGAGCCAGTCTAATTGTGGGCGAGAGCCTACTAGAACCACTCTACAGGGTAAGGGTTTATTTATCCCAACCACCAAGTGATTCCGTGATCCGAAAAGCAGCGGGTCAGTACGACCATGCGAAGGAACGGTTGGACCTCTTTATTGGGAATTCTGCCAGCGAGTACGGTAGGCGACGTAGCAACGTGCAAAATCTGGATGAACAGCTCCAGAATAGCAATGCGAAGGCTGTTGAAAAATACCCAGGTAGGGTTCCATTGCATGCGCTGCAGATTTTGCCGATACGAACTTCGCTATTTCCAAACAAAATGTAGAACGGAATTTTTTCATGCCCAGCTGACGACAGGAAGCTGCAGCGCATACAGCCCAATAATGGATTCCAGAACGACGTATCTGGACTGCCGCGTTTCGAGGGACGGTCACGGCAGGAGACGGTTGGATGTGATTCGAGGATATTTTGAAACGCCTACCCAGATCTCGGCTAATCACGCGCTCGTCATCCTAACCCCCAACCAACTTCTTTTGGATCCCTCGATCCGTTGGACCAGACCTCTCCCGTAGGCGCAGATCAAAGTGGACGTTCTAAAAACAGGTCTTTACATCATTTCATCTCATCTGGGCGAAGGAGAGGCGGCCCAAATTAATCGATGACTGCATCTAGCCACAGGTGGTCGCTTCGAGGTCGCTGAGTAGCTATGCAGGAACAGAACCCTCAACAAAGGTGCATGCAGTCAAAGTCAAGATGCCCACTTGCAGCGGAGTCTGAAAATGTTCCCGACCAGGGACGAAATGCGCATCCACCTTCAGCCTGCACACGGTTGTTCGACCGAGCGTATCGAAGCAACACAAAGTGTGTGCTCAGACGGGCAGCTCCAACTGAGGAGTGAGGTCCGTCTGATAGAGAGTCGCGATGTCGTTTTGAGCCAGCCGCCGACCCCAAAACGATCTGGCGGCAGAGCTCGGGCCCGAGATCCAGGGACTAATCGGACATTTTACTGGCCTCGAGAGACAAGGATGAGCATTAATACAGTACAGTAGTGAGCCCCGTGTTGCCCCCAGTCTCTATCCGCGGCGCCTAGTGGCTGCTCTGGCTCTGGTCATGTTCTGTTCCTGCATTAGTTGAAGGGGGCTCGCCGGGGGGCGGCAGCATTGGGATGCTGGTCGCTGGGCTGGCGCAAGGGGCTGTCCGCGTTTCAGTTGTGCCAGCCTCGAGCCTCCTCGTCCAGCAACCGCACGGCTCCGGCTAGACTGCATCAGGATACTCCCAGCAGGCCACCACCACCACCAGTGCACCACAAGGTCCACAACCTTTGGCGATATCCCGTGGATGGATCCTCTTTTCTTGCCCTTTTCTCCTGAGTCTCCTCCCCAACGCGCGCGCAAACCAGGGGTCAGACCTCGAAATTGACAAGGTCTATCTTTGGACCATGGCAGTTCAATACTCGACACTCGACACTCGACACTCGACCCCCCAGTACAGGTACGGGATCCCGGCCCCTGCAAACCATAGAGAGGTCTTGACTGGCCGACATGGGACGACAAGAGAAGGTGGCTGTGGCGGCCAGTTGGCCACGGACATCCAACGGTTTACAAAGATATATCTATCCTGAGATCCTCTCTTTGACGCTCTTTCCTTTGTCCCCATCCTCTCCAGGTCTCTCTTCTTTTTTCTTAATACATACCATCTCATCTCTTTTCGAGTGTCAAAGTCATTCGCTTCTTTGCTCTCATCCTTCGTTTTGTTCTAGTAACTAAACAGGTCAAACAAACAAACAATCGCTATCTCATATCTGTATCAGCATTATATTCTCACAGCCCTCGTTTTTGTCAACACTTGACTACCAAACTATTTCCACCCAACAACCAAACATCAAACAAAAATGAAGACCATCTATACCGCTCTTGCGGTTCTCGCCGCCAGCGCTGAGCTCGCTTCCGCAGTATGCTCACCCGCTCTGGCGTCACTCGCAGCTTGCTAACATGAACTCAGACGTTCTTCGATTCTTCCAAGTTCTCTTGCCCCGCCAACACGAACAATGAGTGTAACCCCCAACAATCCACCGGCTTCAACTGGGATACCTTGAACCTTGGACCTTTCCAAAACTACGGAGACTTCTCTTTCTCTGGCTGGTCGTGTGCTGGTTCATTCGGCTCTGGCAGAAAGCGAGATGTTCTTACCGGACGTACATTCCAAGACAAGTGCATCACTGGCAAGGCTTCCCACGACAAGTCGAACTCCCCATCTTTCGGCTGCGGCTCATCCCAATCCGTTAAGGATTTCTCTGTCACCGAGTTCGAGGTTTCCGTTGAGTTTGACTGTGAGCTTGAATTCCACTTCGAGATGCCTGACAAGTCGTCCTGCAAGCAGAAGAGTCACTGCTCCAAGGGTGGATCCATTGTGAAGAACTCCCAGTGCGGTGGAGCCAAGAGTGTCACCGTCGTCTACCCACCTCAGACCAAGGGACCCGGAACTGGCAAGACTTCATGCAACCTCGGTATCCACAGCATGAAATTCGACTGTAGCCCTCCCTCTTCCACCAAGGTCTACTCCACCAAGGTCTACTCCACCAAGAGCACATCAGTGGCAACCCCCCCAGCTACAACTCTTGCAACAACCACATCCGTTCCCTTGACCTCTTCATCGGTTGTCGTTGAATCATCGAGCTCTGCCGCCAGCTCTACTAGCTCAGTAAGCATCCCAGAGACAACTCCAGTTCTCAGCAGCACCACTTCCACCTATGGATTCTTCAACACATCCAGCAGCGTCGTTGTTCCATCTTCTTCTGTCCCAGAAGCCAGTAGCAGCTCCATTGTCGTTCTTACCTCATCTTCAGCCGTTGGAACTACCTCTGCTCCATCTTCTGCCGTTGAGACAACATCTGCTTCGATCAGTAGCTACACCTCCGTCGATGTCGTTACTGTCAGGTAAGCAATCCACCTCTGTCCTGAGCCAAAACTAATACATTGATAGCGTTTCCACTTCCACAACTGTCTGCCCAGTTACCCTCACCCACGTTACTGGAGGAACTACCTCAACTGTTCAGACCACAATCTCCCACGTGACTGAGGGAACTACCAGCCTTGAGACCACATCAGTCCCATATGTCACTGGAGGAACAACCAGCATTGAGATTGGCACAACCACATCCACAATCGTTTCTACAGTCACCTCGACCGTCTGCACTAAGTGCTCTGCTGCCAGCGTCACCGAGATTGCCTCAACTACTTCAAGCGCCCAAGGCCCAATCGAGACTGCTCCTTGCCCAGCCGTTCTCCCATCTTGCTTGAACACCTGGTTGTTCTCCGAAGGATGCTCTTCCAACACCGATGCTGCATGCTACTGCCCATCTGCTGCCTTCGTCAAGAACGTCTTCGACTGTCTCTCCGCTCACGCTGCTGATGATAATGAGATCGCTGAGGCCCAGACCTACTTCCAGGGTATTTGCGCACCACACATCCCCCAGAACCCAGCTATTGTCACTGGAGCAACCACTGCTCTTACAACCACTGCTGCACCAACTGCCTCATCCGTCCCAGTTACAACCATCCAGGTTTACACTACTCTCACCGTCCCATGTGTCGAGTCCACCGGAATCTCGTCCGGATCCATCATCCCATCCAGCTCGACCGTCACTCTTCTCTCCACCTACTTGACCGTTCCCCAAGTCATCTTCACCACCGTCACTGGATACTCAACCGTCTCCGCTAACCTCGTCCCCGGCACTCCAGCCAGCAACCCAGCAACCACCACCCCAGCTCAGGTCTACTCCACCGTCCCCATCCCAACAGGAACCCTCTCTGTCTCCAAGACCGCAGCAGGAAACGTCTCTGCCACTGCCACACCATCAACCATCGTGTCCACCGGCAGCGGAGCCCAGAACGCCTTCGGACTCGGAGCCAGCTTCGCTGCTCTGATCGTCGCTGTCTTGGCTCTGTAAGCGAAGCTAAACCAAGCTAAGCGAGGCATCTGTCAACAACCACGGATTTACTCATTTTTCATATCATTCGTCATGCATTCAGAAAAAAACGGCGTTATATACACAACATTACATTCGATACCATGTTTCTCACAGGTTGGTTTATGAATTTGGGGGGAAACCACTCTTGGTCTCGGTTTGGGACTTTACGGTCAGACGGCCAGAACATCATGTTCAGAATGACGCGGGGGGCGCGGCGCGCGCGCGCAAAATCATGGGCGGATAGAGAGCTGAGCGTAAAGGAAGCTAGACAGCTGTAATGGGAATGGGGGTGGGGGTTGGGGGTGGGGACGATACACTTTGATAGTTGTGATGCGATGAGCACTGTAATTAGAGATGTGGTGCGATGATGTGTGCATACAATAGAAAATGAAGAAATGTTCAAATACCTGTGCTTCCTGATCCTCTTTCTTTTTTGCTCTCGTGAATATTCAAAGACACCGACCCATGGCCTACAATCAATTTTCCTGCATGACCCGATTTATTCCAGAAGTGACGACTATTATGGTCACAAAGCTGAGTTATTCTTGAACACATGCATGTTGTTACATGCCTTCTATGTATCCCAAGAGTTCCAAATCTCACCATTCAACTTCGTAATTTATGATCCCACTCACTCGCTGATCTCTTATATCTTCCTCAAATATTCTTGACTAAATTTAAAGCTCCATCAGCAGAGAGTTCGTTGTACCCGCATCATCCTTCCAGTGAACGCGACCGTGGAGCTCCTTCGTTAAACATAGTCGCAACTCCAAATCACTGCTCTACATCTTACATTATCCTTCAAAAACATCGTATACCATCACATACCGCTGAGTTCCTGGTAACAGTGCAATGTTCATGATGCCAATATGTCATTCAGTCAGTTACTAATATAAGCTACCCATATAAAACCTCTCATCCGTGTGCTTCCAGCTCTCCCTGGGGAGTATGCTAATAGGAATATATATCATTTCTACGCCTGAACATCCGGCTGAGTGGCTTAAAAGGGGGAAGATAAGAGGTTGAGTCGTGGCCTTCCCAAATACCTATACCAACCAATTTCACACTCAACATCTCCTGTTTCCAAGAAACTACTATCTTCGTGCGTTAGGATACACTTTCCCTGCCATCTCTTTCTTACTCACTCTGTCGGTCCCAAGTATCTAAGTAGTTTTCGGTAGTACATTCCAAAGACTGAGCAAAGCAGTTTATGGACAGACAATCAACGAATAGTGAGTTTATACCTAGGTAGTGATTAACTTGAAGTTGTTTCAATATGCGTATTTATTTTTCATTTCAGGTCACCACTTATCCGTTACTGAATACCGATATACATTTCCCCTAGGGTGATTAGCAGCAGGGTTTGAAGCACACTTTCACGGATCTAAACAACATTCCACGTCATGCCATCGTAATCAATCAAGACAAGCATCAACACAATGATTTTCAAGAAAGAGCCAACAGTTTTCTTCAATTCCGTCAGTGCATTGACTGCCTGCCCGATATCTATGTATGCCCGAGTTACGCAGACACACTTACATCCATCAAATGCTTTTCCATTCCAATTCATTTCATCATCAATCATCATGCTCATTTCATCGGATGTTTCTACCAGCAACCTCAATTGACTCGTCTCCAGGATGATCAAGTAAGCTTGCAGTAATTCGCCGGGAAACTGCCCTTCACACCACGCAACTCGCCATCCCACCAATCGTCCGTACTGTCCGTCTTTTTGAGAACTTTGATCTGGTCCCCTTCCTTGAAACTTAGATCACCTTGATTCTGGCCCTGGAAATCGTACAGAGCCACGGCAAATGTGCCAAAATTTTGGGAGCCGATTCTTTTTGGTGGAGGAGGCGGAGGTTTCTTCTTCTGTATTGCGTTGGTGGTTGAGGATCGCTGGAAGTAGTCCATACTGGGTCCTGCGGGAGAATGTGCCGAATAAGTGGAAACAGGAGTCAGATGAGTTGAATAGTCTGGTGGTGAATAGACTGGCGTTGGTTCTGGAGAAGGTGTGGGCTGGGGGGCTTGAGGGGCGATGGTAGGTATCTGATTCGATGATGGAATCCGCATCACTCGTTTCTCTGGATGTGGAGATACTGATTGCGAAGCAGGGCCTTGCGTGGAGGGCCGCCGATTCGCAAATCCATTTCTGAAATTCAGGCCAGTTGCTGAAGGCTTGCGGGCGCCGTCATCACCAATAGCCATTGGCTGATGGATTGCTTTCCCACGGGCAATCACTGGGATTTCCTCTATGTCCTTCTGTATTGGTTTAAAATCACTATTCCAAGTCGATATGACCTCTTCCATTGGTGGCGGTGGAGAGGCAAAACCAGTATCCTCACAGTAATTATGGAGTGATGTGTAGTATTGGGCCAATATCGTGTTTTGGATCATGATTTGAACAGCAAGGAGGTGAGGCAAGATAGAGAATGCGGCTGCAATGATTGGAGGTAAAGTTTCACGCAGAGACTCGTCTGCGAATTTGAAGTCCTGTGGAGTCGGTCAATAACCGGGCATGAGATGTGAGGCTTCGGAACCCTACCTCTGCAGCTTTGGCCAATTCCTCCTCGGCCTTCGCAAGAGCAGCATTCTCCCTGTCCGTACGTTTTACCTTTCTTTGGTAGTTGTTGACCTTGTCAATGTAACGCTCCCAATCAAGCCTCTTGTTGTCCCTTTTCTTTATGACTTTCCGTATAGGTTGGATGTAGTCCTTTGCTTCTGTAGCAGGCTTGATTACTCGAGATTCCATCATATTGACCTCCTCCAAAAGATCTGTCTTCAAATCCGTGTACACATCCTTCAATTTGGAGGTTCGATCGAGTTGTGGCCGTGGAGTTATAACTGGTTCCCGTCCATGCCCATCCCCAGCACCAACAATAGGATTGTACAATTCTTCGAATAGGGTGCTCGCCGAAACGTTGATACCGAGAATCGAAACCCATGCATCTCTCCAAGCTTTGGAAGCCTCGATGATCTGTTGTATAAGGTCAGCCATGTCCCTTGAAGACCCCACCATTTAACAAACCTTCGTGAGCATTTTGTCCGCATCTTCGTAATCGTTGAGCAACACCGAGACATTGGCTTTGTCTCCTGCTCCCTTATGCGTAAGCCTGCCAAACTGGCGGTGCAAGGAATTCATTGTGTAGAATGAGTTGGTCTGTGGAAGTGTGGACTGGAATCTGGATAACGAGTGGGCTTTGCCAATGTTTGGTGTTGAACAGGCGATATTCTGCAAGTCCTCGATCTTGCGTGCTAAAGGTATTGAAGGTACCCAAGAGAAAAGACAGGAAAGAAGAAGGAAATATACTTGGCACAGTCTCAACACGTGAAGAGATCGTATTCAGGTCTAGAGGCTGGTGTTGACAAGTGCTTGAATGCTTCGGTGGGATGAAGACTAGACAGTGGTAGGCGGGGGAAAAGCAGGGCAGCGCAGCACAACAGCTAACGCTGCTCCGCCTAAAACGACACTGATCCAACACCGACTACCTACCTACCTAGCCTGCCCTGCCTCTCGTGTCCGGAAATGCGGCAAAGAAAGCATAAACGTGGTCACTGGCACGATCGAGTGGCCCCAGACCGTTGGTGGTTGGTGAATGCGACGCGCAATCCAGACGTGCCCTACATATGCCAGACTCTGTATGGATTTCACGTTAGTGAGTGATGGCAGGATCGGAAAGAGAGAAGTCGATGAGGGATGTTCTATTTTGCTTGGCCATATCCTGCTGGCCGACTGATTGGCTGCAAAGAAAGGTTCCCTCAACTGCACGTGACTGCGCTCCAGGAAGCGCGCCGCGTGTGGATTCTGTGCCATCGATGTCCCGCGTCTGCTTCTGAACCTCCATCATGCTGTCTACCCAGGTACCTATCGGTGGCTTGCATGTAGATTATTCTGAGGCAATGACTCATTCTACACAGCTGAAATTACCGTGGCGATGACTGCCCACCAAGGGACAATGTCGGCGTCCATGGATGTCCCACATTCGCAAAACACCGCTCCAGTTCTCGAATTTCGATGTCTGTACACCGCGGATATTCGCCGGAAGCAGAAAAGATGGCAGGATGGCAGACTCAAGTTCCACACCTTCAACAAGCGTGTGATGGTCTACGATGAAAAGTCCAATTTTGTTGGCGATACTCACTGGAAAAGGGGACTGGAATTTGAGGAAGGGGAAGAATTGGAACTGGAGAGAGGCGGTATTTTGGTCGAAGTTGGAGAATGCATTGGGCAGAGAGATCAGGATCTCACCGAGCTGGTGGACAAACGAGTAAAGGAAAGAGAAGAGAGGGCAGCAGCGAAAGTTGCCCAAGCCTCACCATCCGCATCTCTCGTGCGAAATCATGGCACCCCGGCTGGAACTGCACTCTTACGGCCCAAACCGCTAAATTCTCTGTTAACACCAACTGGACATTATGGCAGAGCTGTTATACCGACCACTTCCCCGTTTGAGGAGAGGCAAGCTGCGATTCGAGACGAGAATGAGCCACCGGCGAAGAGAAGGAAGCAGAATGACACAACCTCAAGCAGAAATGGCTACGCCCAGAATCTTATGGGGGCAACTCTATCATTAAGTTCGTCGAGACCGTCCAGTACTCCGACAATAAGATATGAGCCATTCAGGGCACGGCATTTGCAGCAGGAACAGCCAGACGCAATCGTCTTCACGTTGGACGATGATGAAGAACGTCGGGCCAGTGATATCAGGCGAAAGATAGCACAGGAGCAACGGGCTGCAATTGAACGACCTCCACCTAGGCAGAAAAAGCAGAAGAAGTCACCTCCAGCCAAGAGCGGTTATGCCAGCAGCTTGACAGGAACACCCCTCATGTTGTCGCGCTCTGAAGTTAGGCCTCCTGTGAGGACTACGCTGATGAAAGCCCCAATTCAGTTGGGTCTTAGCAACGAAGACTCTGCCTCAGAGTCTGAAGATGTTCGTAACAGTCATGAACATGCTTTTAAACGGCCCTCTCATCTGGTGAAGAAACCCGCAATGGCCCAGGCCAGAAACGAGCATGTGGAACAATCGTCCTCGGAAGAAGAAGGCAGCTCGATGAATCTAGCACCAGCCCCTAGGCGTCCCTCCTACACAGCGAAAGCGCGATTGAATATGCCGCCTGGACCTCAGGATATCCAGCGAGATTCATCTGACGAAGTCGGCAGCTGTATAGACATTGAGCCTTCACCCAAAGCACCTACCAAGAAAACGAAAGTCACCATTGTTCACAACAATCACCCATCTGGCAATCTTTCCTTTATGAACGAGGAGGATAGTCTGTGTGACATGCGAACTTCGCCCATGATAGACTCATCGAAAAGAAAATCGAAAGTAAAGCGACCGGCCGCTCCGAGCAGACCCTTCAAGTGTGATTCCTCTTCTGCTGTTGAGGTTGAATCTTCTCCTCCGAGGAACGCCAAAGTCCAGCAGAAGCAAAATCAGAAACAATTTCCGACTACAAGACCTGCAGAGGTCAAAGAGACAAGCACAAGCGTCCAGTCTCGCTTTACATCCTCTCCACGAACTGAGATTGGAACCTCGGATTTGCAGCTTGGAGGCTGTTTTGATCGAGTATCTACTATCCAGAACTCGTCTGCCGCCGAAGCCACACCAGATCGGTCCATGGCTGCACTGCGGATAAAATCGCGACCTCGACAAAAGATGATGATGCTCATGAACCGACCAAGCTCGCGTCCATCTTCTTTGAACACATCGTTTGAGGGTAGTCGGCCGACCACCCAGCATCCACCGCAGGCGGTAACAGCTTCTGATGAAGTGGTATTGTCCCAAGCAACGATAAGACTAAACACATTTTCTGAAAACCAAAAGGCTGAATTGGAGGCCCGCTTGAGACGCATTAGATCTAAGCCACAGCTAGATATATCGTCCTCAGATCCTGACAATGGAATAGACCATACGACCATCGATTTGCTCTTGACCCGAAAGCCAATGCTCGCGAAGCAGCAAGAAGAACAAGTTCGACGGGTCGCTCTAGAGTCAACTACCGTCCATGGATCATCCAACCGGCCACTCGTGGCTTCCTCAGGGAGATCGTTTATAGCAGAGACTTCTGGGTGTGTCGAGGTTCATCAACACAGCCATTCCAAGGAATATATGCCTACCTCAAAGGTGGCATCTGCAGAGAACAAGGGCCAGCAGAACCATATGCTCTCCAAAGGATTGCCGTCAAATACAGACCCTTCGGATCCGAAAAGCGATAAAACACCGCCAGCAGCAGCTTCTCATACCAATGAGATATCTATTCCTCGCAGCCAACCGAGGCTGGAAGTCACACTTGCAGCTCCGGCGATGATCCAGAGGAATTCGGCGGAGCTCACATCGCAGGATACGCGGAGGGTCGAGGATTCCATGGAAGATACAGAAATAGCTGAGGATACAGGCCCAACATCAACTGATAAGCAGATGCCGCTGCCGGGAATGGAAAAGGTTGGACAAACAGTCGCTTCTGACAACCCTATTGAAGAGTTCAAGGCTGCTGGTCCAAAAGTGCTAGAAGACTCAGCAGATCACAATATGTCGACTGAGAGACAATTTTTCTCCAGCGATGATGAAAGTAGCATTGGAAATAATCCTTCAAACTACGACGAGAGAGTGTCGTGCCCCGCGCCTAATGACCCACCTGGGCAAGCCAAAGACCAGTCGTTCTCGACTCAGGCTGATGTCGAAGTCCCGAAAGTCGTGAGCGAGGGTATGCAGTCTTCAACATCTCGATTCCGTGCCATGATAAATCCCCCCTCAAGCGCAATGAAATTGCCACCCAGGATAGCCTCGTCGCGTAACGAGATAGCGAAACCTGAAATTCCGAATCCCAACGAAGGCGAACCTGGGTCGAGGGAGTTGTTGGGCGAGCTTGTTCCCGAACTACTCCCCCCTGCTGTGGAGGTGTTGAAGGGAAATCCCGAGCCTTGCAGTGTCCTAGGCTTCAACACAGCGGCGACATCTGCAGGCCTAAGTACCCCGGATTTGGCCAGCCACAGCCTCAAGATTGGACTACCGAAGGCCAGGCTGGCAAACCCTGCAACCCGGGGCAAGTCTCTTCAGACTTTGGCTGCCAATACATCCGATACGATGGCGACCTTATTCAACCCGATGCCTCCGCCAGCTACAAGAATTTCGAGTCGAATGGACAGGATTTTAGAACGGACTAATAGCGATGTTGACAAGACAAGCGAAACCCCCCTAAAAGAAGCACCCGCAGGTGGACCCTGGAGTCGAGAGGCGTTCGATCTATTTGGTATTCATGGACCTCCTAAGCTGGAGAGTGGATCGGGAATTCCCGGTACCTAGCCTAGCTACCAATGCTCTACAAACATGGTCGTGCAAATAGAAGCACATTGGATCAAGTTTCGTTCCCGCGTGAAACGGTTTTTTCCAAAAGATGTCACGAAGCCAGTTTCCCTCGCGCCATGTATTTCAATTGAACGCTCTAACAAACCTTCATTTTTTTCCGACTCGAGAACTTCCAGACATTCTTCACAATGACTGAAGACTCAGTTGCCTCAGCCCCGCGAAGGAGATGGGGACCAGGTCTCAAGTGAAACTGACTCATTCTCATAGGCGGCCTTCATGGAGGCTGACTAGGAATGCAGAAGGGAAGCCAAGGGCGAAGAGCAGAAGGCGAAAGGGCAGCTGAGGCGCTATGTAATTTATCCCACTAGCCCACCTTCGAGGCCCAGTTTGCACTTTGCACTTTACACCCACGAAGCCTTTCGACTCTGAAACAAGCCATTATTGCTCTGCACTTGTATGTTCTCGTACCTTCCGTACTTCGCCACCTGGGAGACCGGCGCGATGAGGTCAGAATATTGGTTATTGTTTTGGTTCAATGAGGTTCTGTCGTAAACCGGACAGCCGATGATGCTCTGCCCCGTTGAGTGCAGCGCAGCCTCAGCCATGATGAGGTCAGATGCAATTTCGCTTCGGTCCCGGCCGTCGCGATCGCCCGCCAGAGAGCAAAAGTGCAATTGATGGCGCCGCGCAATCAGTTTATGCGGTCGCGCGCAGGCAACGGTCTCATTTTGACCGCTCAATTGGATGTCCTCTCGACCGGTCGCGAGTACGTGTCGCCCTCTTTTCGACACCGAAATGCTGCGCTGGCGTTGGTCGGTTGACGTCGGGCGGCATGCGCCCTCGAGAAGCTACACTGCCTTTCTGCCTCACGGCGAAGCCCTGCGCCTGCTCCCATCGATATATACAGACTGTCGCCGCTGCACATGTAGGTGAGATCTTTATCATTCGTTCCGCTTAACAGATTTCGACTCTTTTCCAACCCATTTCATTTCATTTCGTACAAAAGGCTCAAGGTCGGTCGTTGCACTTCGACCAGCACACTGCCTGCTGTGATAGGTGCCAGGCTTCCACCCCACCAACCACAGCGACTGTCAGCCTCGAGTCGTCCATCACCCGCAGAACATTTTCTTTTGTCAACCATGGACAGCAACAGAGATAGATCATCGCGCCGCCCGAACCAGACAGCTCGATCAAAACATCGCCAGTCTCTATCACTTTCTATTAGGACCGCCAACCATGTAACCCCGCCAGCAATCCAGCAAGCTACCCCGCCATCTCAACCGTACCCACACTATCCTCTACCCATCCCAAAAGATAAGGAAGCAAGAGCTTTGGAGCTCTACACACAATACTGCGACGCGCAGCTGAAAGAGAAGGTCGAAACAAGTCATATTGAACCTCAATCTACGGCCAGCCATCGTGGAGGCTATCATTTGACGGTGCCTGGACCACCCACTGCCCACTCCGTGGTTTCATTTACGTCTTCAAAATACAGCTTAGCCACTTCAGCCTACGATGGTATTACAGACTTATCCTCCGTCGTCTCATTTGACGACGAAGATGAACCGACTTCTGCCGCCGTGAAGGCGGAAGGCGAATTGATGTCCTTTGATGGCAAGAGGATCAAACAACGGACAAGGAAGAAGCTTTCTCCTGTAGCAAGGGCGAAAGCTGCTTTGGTAAGACACTTGGGATCATGCTGGGTATGTCGTAGTCGGAGAGTCAAGGTAAGCTTCAGAGTCTGTCATCCTAAACTTGCAGGTTTAATAGAAGAAGTGCCCTCTAGAACACCACGACATAGACGTCCTCGAAAGACTCCGCCAGAAACGCTTCGAGACGCAACGGCCGAAAGTGGAAAATAACTCTGGCTCCTCTATCTCGACCTCTTCACAACAAACGGCGACGTCCGTTAATGCATGGCCAGTTACCGAGTCGAGCTTCTCACAAACCGATGATCTAATGGGTATCGGAGGAGGAATTGGTGGAGATATTAAAGCAACACTAGGGAATCTGGATACAAGCCAACTTGACATACAATCACCAGGAGGTGCTGCATACGCTGACATAAGTCTCGACATCCCTGACGCAGTCTCCAACTCACTATCTGTCGCACCCAACCTACCAGACTTTGGACCTAGCCCCTATACCACTTACCAAGACGGTCAAATGTTCGGCATAGGTGTCCAGCGGAACGGCTATTTCTGCTGTCAACATCTTGACGGAATCTGTCTCGAGTACTTCCCCACTGACGAAGAACTCCTCGTCCATTTCGAACTCGCCCACTTTTCCTTCACGCGCATCAGCCCCGCGCACCGCTACGTCTGCCTCACTTGTACATATCTAAATAACGACCTCATTGGTCCATGTTCAAATTGCCAGTCTGTAGGCACGATCGAACTTTGGATATATGGAAACTATATCCGCAATCCGTCGTTCCAGCGGCATGCTCCCGATGGGCAGAATCTTGATCTCGATATAACGAATTGGACACCGACGACTCTCTTTTCGGAGACGTACACGACGAGTAATTTTGAGCCGTGGGACAGAGATCTGAATGGTGGTGGTGGGTTTGGGGGCGGTTATACCGACACGAATGGCGCTGGCGATTATGGGTTTGATTCCCAAGGTGGTGGTGGAAATGGGAACTTTGGAGGCTCGCAGTACGACTATCAGCCGAGCAACCATTCGAGTTATAGTACGAATCGGTATCAGGGGAATGGGTTTGGAAATGCGAGACAATTGGCTGGTTGCACCCCATATGAACAATCCGAGGTGCGGATTGTGTTCGGCAAACTCGAGCAACATCAACATCACGCTCGGACTCGTCAACATAAAGCCCTCATCGCCCTTCTCGCTACCTTCGTCCTCGCTGTCTTCGCTCTCAGTCTCTTATACACCTGGCCTCTCCTGATTACCAAGGCACAGCAAACTCTTCCATATTTCGTGAACACATTGCAGTCGCACATCCAATTGCTTGGATTTCTCGGAATGATAGGAGGTGCAGGGACATGTTTTTCTGTCAAGACGTTAGCCGATCAGCGGTTGAGTCTAAGGAAGTTGGGGCATCTGAGATACGGGGGATCTGGTGGGAGGTTAGAGAGGAGATCTAGGCGCAGCCGAACAGCACATGCTACATTCGTGCTTGGTGGTGGATTTTCATGACATGCTTTTTTTCGCTTCTATTCAGTTATATTGCCGGAGTGATCATGAAGCGATATCGCGCTCCTTTTACGATGACACGAATGACAGGCCACGCTCTTTACGACTTGTTTAATGGCATGCTTATACGACTTATTCCGCAGACGAGATATGTGCATGGCGGTAACTGGATTTGGAGTTTGGGAATTGTTCAGTCTTGAAGCTTTAGCGGGCTGGGAAACAGTACAGTACAGCGTAGCATTAGACTTCTTTTTGTTTTCATGTTCATTGAGAGTTAGCGCGGAGGTTGGTTGATGTGTATCGTTACCAGCACTTCCCTTCCTTGAGTGTGGTCAAAAATGGAAGGGGATCGTTGCGGTTGGGACACATAGATGGAGTTTGTATATACCGAGGGTTTGAGATCTTTGGACATTAGTTCAAATTAAAACTGGCAGATATCAATTGCGACTGCCGGCTTGTTACTCGCATTTCTGATACCAAGTCGTCTATAGCGGTGATGTCTCTGGGTGTGCTAGAGTAGCAACGCTCTTCCCCTCCAACATGTTCGTGAGTCAGAAAGGCGGCCTCCCTTGGCTGACATGCACAGCATCAGCCACACCCCTAGCCCGCTCCCTTCCCGCTGGTAGCGTGGGCTCTCCGCCCTTTGCCCACCACGGAACATATAAAGAAACGTCGCATCTGCCCTCGCCAGAGGCCCCTTTATGTCGTGCACAAGAGTCATAGAGTAGAAATGATTGGTCAATCAGGAAGTCGAGTCTGCTTGCAATAAATTGAGCGTCCTCGAGTGGGGTTATGGTTATGCGACAATTCCATGCTCCACCCCTCGTACTACTACTGTACCTTAAGAGCGCGTTCAACTGCAAGATCGAGGATGGGGGGAGTCATCAACTAGACCTTTTACGGCCTCGCCGACTGCAAGCTTGGGCATGCTTGTTCTGGCGCGCAGTCAACCCTAAAACCAGGGTACAGGTTGGTCGAGGGTCAGCATTTGACACGCTGGAGATGCCCGCTATTGGCTCGTTACCGCAGCTCGAGGTGCCACGCTGCCCACCGCTGCAGCTTCCAGTGCTCGAGCTAGGCCTAAAAGATCTCGCCGGTGGCTGCTGCTTCCTTTCCCGTTACTGCGCAATTCGAGGTGCTCCAGGGCAGTGTGAGCCGACTGATAACTTATTAGACTCACCCATTTCCTCGAGGCATCAACTTTCTTCCTCTTCCTTTTCGAGTACCACATCAACGAACGTATCTACTGACAGACTGCTTTCTGCAATTCCTTCAATTGCACGACCCTGTCGCCAGCTCTTGAGAAACTGACGACGCAGTCACTTGTGCAATTAAAACCTTACTAAACACTTGCACTATCGGCAACTTTGCTATCGCATCACGTCCCGTCTTGAACTGACAGACCCCTCCTACTTACAAGTCCCACCCCGCCAAAATATCACCACTACAATCCACGAGAATCAACAACCCATTCTTTCCAATGGCAGCAACTAACCGAACTACCTTCACCATTACCCAGCCTTTCTTGGGCGCTCCTCTACAATTCCAACCTGCTTTGGGATCCAAGGAGCTTGAGGCACTTGTTGATGCCTATGGTACGTTCTCCGATGTTCCACTTGAGGCTGGCCATTTAAAGAGAATTTTGCTAACTTGCGAGCAGTCATTGGCAATGGATCCAAGAAAGACAAGCTGTCCGTTGTCACGGTCGAGTTCTTCAATCTTGCTACCGTCGACCTGAATACCGGCGCGCTTACCAAGACTGTAAGCTGAAGTCCTGAAACTTTCTTGGGTCGATAGCTAATACTTTCTTTGTAGTACGAGGTCTTCTCCTTCGGGCCAATGTCTGATACTTTCTTCGAACAATCTCCAGTTGAATCGCAGTCCTCCGGCTTCTCTCCTCCAATCTTCACCCCATCGCCAGGCTCATCTGCTACTTTTGGAGATTCCGGCTACGGATCATTCAGCCTTCCAAGCATGACCCCTCCTACACGCACATTGGGCTCTGCTCGTGTCACCAAGAAGTCAGCGAAGAAAGATACCAAGAAGCCAAAGGTTGACGAGGCCCGCTTGCCAGGTTTCTCCATCATGACCAAGGATGGCATCGATGTTACCACTACGGCTGGCAGAGGCACCAAGACCAAGGAGCAGAGAGAACATGCGCATTTGATGCGGATCATGAAGGCATGCGATGCTTGCAAGCGAAAGAAGATCAGAGTAAGTCATTCTAGCATCATTGAGCCGGCCTGGTCTATGAGAGTGAGGACTGTTTGCTAATCTGCCATCAGTGTGATCCATCCCACCGAAGATCACAACATGATATGTCCCGAGCCTCGACTACCACCACCCAGTCTTCCTCCGCCTCGGCTCGCCCAAGCCCGCAGTATGAAAGTAGTCCTGGATCAAGTGCACCCGCCTTAAGTAGACAATCCACGCAAGCATCACAGAGAGTGTTCACACCCTCGAATGTCATAGACGATTTCGTACTGTTCCCAGAAGATTCAGGTTCCTGGAATCCGGAGATGTCAGAGGCCGATTTGGGTCAATTCAACTTCGATATCAACGATATCGAATTCATTGCCGAGCTGCCTGTGCAAACCAACGACTTTTCGTTTTACCAGCAACCATACAATGATTTCAACTTCGATCAGCAACTTGGACAATCTTTTTACCAACAGCCGCAATCATACTCTCAAGTTGATGGTCAACAGAGTTTCTCGAACGCCCCTCTGATGACCGATTCGTTTGACACCCCAGGATCATACGACCTGGATCAATACATGCCAGCCGCTCACTCTCGACCTCATCCATCTGGCTCGAGTCAAGATTCTGGCCAGATAGATTACTCGCAACAAGGCTGGCCTGAATTCTCTACAGACACACGTGCGAACCAAACTACCCCACTATCACCTAGCTCAGATTGGAACGTTCTTGAATCAAGTCTGATCAGCGACTCGCCGGGTGACCTACATGACAGAAGCTCGTCAACTGGCCTGGCTTCCAGTCCACTGGAGCGGGTTAGTAGTGGTAGAAGCCCATTGAGTAGTAGTAGTCGTCGCGTCGTCAATGCGCAAGGCCTTGCTGCGACGTTGAGTACTGGTATCGATCGTACCACCGCCAACGGCGCGAGCATCCACCCCGACCTCAATGCCCAGCACCAAGCGACGGCATTGAACAGCGACCACCTGAATGTACCTGCTGTAAGCTATAATTCTGGACCAGACGGTACAGCTGATCCTTCAGACATTCTCGACGTTCCGCTACTCGCTTCGAGACAACGATCATCTCCCGCTGCCAGCACCGCAGTACTTCGTGGCCTGTCTGAGAACTGTCAGCAAGTGTCTCAATCATTACAGACCATCAATTCTTCTCGTTCAGAATACACCGGCCTAGGCAAGGATCTCCAACGACTACGCTTCGTGGCGGATTTCCTAAGCTCACGCCAAACAGTTGTTCCCGGAGCCGTCATATCAGTTGCTGAGCAATTCCGATCACGTCTGAATACTTTGTCTGCCCGACTTGGTTCGATCGTCTCTACCGGGACATCGAACCCACTTCTCGAGACATTGGATCCAGACTTCCATGCGGAGTATCTCCGACAATGTCAAGTTGATGCTCGCAGATTAGTCCGCTCCTTGTGTGCTACGATCAACACCGTCCAGGCCCAGAACACTGGCACTCATGTTACCGGCAACACGCAAACACTGACGTCCGGTCGCAATGCCCAACTGTTCCCATCGCCCAGCCAGGGAAGTCCACAGTTTTCCCTCGTCTCTGGTGTTGGCATGTGGAGCGAGAGCACCCATGAATGGCAACCAAGCAACGGCCAATCGGCCAATGTCCTTCGTGAAGTGAACACTTTCGACATTCTTGAAAGTTCTCCTGGTGCCTATGAATTGTGCTCGTCGTCAATGTCGGAAAGTGAATCTGGAACATTGAGGTTGTCAACAACCAGAAATGCTCCTAGGTCGTCGATCATGGTGAAGGATGCCCAAACTCTGGACCGTCAATTCACTGCCGAAACGCATCTGCAAGATGTGCCCTCGGTTCCGTTCTTCGATATTGCTGAGGAGTATTCTAGCATGCTCGCATACTCTGGAATCCAATCGCAACATGATTCCGTGGCGGATCGTACCCAGACGTCCTCAACCACCCAGTATGTGGATAGTTCCCAAGAGACCAGCCTGGCTCAAGCCGGGCCAGACTCTAGTAGGAGTGCAATTCTCCAGACTACTGTCGCTGCCCAACAATCGTCGGTGTCCTTGAGTGTCAGGCCCTCACTGCCATTTGTACTTGCAGTTGCTGTTCTTGGCTCGCTGTTCCTTGGTTCGAAGGTATGACCAACAACCATCCATTATCTATTCCCCAATCTAATCAAGCAATCTAGGTTCTTACCTCATTCATGACATCGCCCTTCGCTGTCCTGGTCATACAAGCCCTTACCTCGCTCAGAGAAAGCTCTACCGAATGGATCGGCAACGACTCTTTCTCAGTCGCGAAACTCGTTGCGTGTGCCGCCTTGGCCGCACATCTCCCCGCCTTGGCCAAGTCGACCCTCCTCTGTGGAGGTATGGCTTTGTTCCACCTTCTCACTGGCGCTGAAAAGTCCGATGGAAAGGAAATATCTTCAATGGTATGCTTGTCATCTCACATCAATGTAAAGCAAAGACTAACATATACACAGTCTACATCAAATAATGATTTGGAGATTGATGATAGGTGTGGTGACAAGAGAGGGTTGATGGCGATGATGATGGATTTCAGTCCTGTCGTTGCTGTGCAGTAATGGATCCTAAATCCTAGATCCTCGATTGAGAATCTTGGCTTGCGCGTGCTAGCTCTAGACTTTTAGAGAGGATATGGATTGTGACGATAGGTACTCGAGTTATGCTATGAGACAACAGACGAAGAAGGATGAGGCGTGGTGAGGTGTGGTTGATGATACCCTATATGTGAGGTGTGCGGTTAGGTAGTTGAGTGGGGAATTCAACTTATTTGGCCGGTACTCTTTTTCTCGTGTTCTTTTATCTTTAAGTGACGTGTCTTGATTAATGTGAAGACTGCCATTGTATCCCGAAAACTGCTGACCGTGGAGAACATATACCTCTCTAACCAAATACATCGCTCCATGTAACAACGAATTGCCCTTCCTCTCCCCACCTCCGGTCCTTCCCCAATGCAAACCACAATCAACCCCAAACTCAAGCCTGCAAAAATCCATGTTATTGCCTCACTTCTCACCCTTTCTTTATTCCCAGCAACTACTTTCTACTTTAACACCGATGAAGCAGTTGCAGTCGCAGTTGCAGTCAACTTCAACTTCAACTTCAATTTTACCCTTTCTCCCCCTTCTACCCTTGAGTACCTACAAAAGTAGGCGATTTAACATTGTATCTGTATCTGTATCTGTATCAGTATGATTGTGATTGTGAATGTGATGGAGTCAGTGATTGAGTCTTACAATCGATCAATTGTCTTGTTTATAGGACATAGTCTGACGATAGTGAATGGATGATGAATGAGGTGGGAGGGATGGGGAGGGATGGGTAGGGATGGGGAGAGGAGGAGGAGGGAGGGAGGGATGACAGTGGTAGTGGTAGAAGGAAGGAATTGTTTTTTTTTCTTTGGTTGTGGTAAGGTAGGGTACTTATAAAGGAGCCAGCTGGGGGGGGGGGGGGGGGGGGGGGGGGGGGGGGGGAAGAAAAACGTAGGTAGGTATGTAGGAGGGAGTTTGATCGTTTGAATGGGTGGGTAATGGGCTGGAACTGTGGTGTTGGTGTTGATATTGGGTGCTGGGTGATATGTGCTGGGGCAGTTGGGGTAGTTGCTTAGGGGAGGTATGCTGTGCTGGAGTTTGGGTGGGAGTGGGAATGGGAATGTATAGTGAACTGACTTCTTGTAGGTAATGTATGAAACGAGCGAATATGACCTGAGGAGAAACCGACTAGACTATGGGCGAGTTGTCGTGGGGTAGGGGGATTGACAAAGGCGTGACGGGGAGACAACTCTCTCCAGGTGGGGGATCGATCCGAAGTTCTGGCAAATGTAATGAGACTGAGGGTGAAAGTAACAACTACAAGCAAAAACTTGTGTGGATGTGCTCCGAAAGAATTAGATATGGGGTTAGTAGGGGTGTTGACAGTGCTGTGGAGTTCCACTTCCATGGAGTTTAGCCCGAAGAGGCTTGATTTTGGAGGGGTAGAGAGATATAGGAGGAGACGGCCAGTATTGTCTTGGATACTGGATACTGGATATTGGATAGTAGGAGGAGAGAAAGGTAAGTCGCATGCCAGGAAACTTTCCAAAACAAATCTTGGAAATGAAACCTGGGGAAAAGGGGGCTCGCGTGAAAGAATCTCGACGGATAGCAGGATAATAAGGCCAGATACTCAGCTTTATAGACAAATTCGTCGTACGCACAGTATGCGACCTTTCAGAAGAAAATGCCCGATTCGCCATTCTCAAGAAAGCGCAATATGAACCCCCTATGGAAAAACCAACCTAACCAACGCCATGCCAGCCCAAGCACACCACACTCACTCACTCACTCATCACGCACCCCTCTACGATCTCAAAGCTCTCAATCTCTCTCCCAAGCCATCCTCCTCCACCTCCATCGGACCACTCTTCACCGGCGCAGCAGCCACCGCCTTCGCACCTTCCATTTCCTGATGTAGTTCTACGCCCGCCTCATCCGCAACCTGGTTCATCAGCCTGTCGACGTCTTCTTGCGGCGTGCCAACTGCGGTTGCGGATGTGGTGGCGTTCTCGTAGTAGCCGGTTGCGACGTCGAGGTCTTCGAATTGCGTTTCGAAGCGGTCCATTACGGCAGATATCTGGTTGTGTGGTGTTAGCTAGGGTTTCTCTTATTTGGGCTGGGATATGGATTGTAGAGGGAGGGTTCTGGATGGAATGGGTATGTATAGATGTAGATGTACGGACCTTCTCCAAGTCCATAGCTTTCATAGCCTGGTCCATTCCTTTCACTACATTCGTCATACTACCCGTAACCTGCCTCATCGTCACAGCTGTCTGCACCCGACTAGCAACCGCATCGATACGGCTTCCCAGTCTCAGTAGATTCAGGCGCTCGTTCTGTTTGCGGATTGCGTTCTGTGCGTAGATCTTTGCGATGTCATTGTGGCCCTGTTGGATTGCCTAGATAGAGTCTACTGTCAGCCTTCTATACTCTGCATGATTGGCAGTCTTTGTTTGAGGCTCGAGGCGTTGATGTATGCTCGGGATATGCGGCGGGTGGTGGGGGAGGAGGGGTAGAATGACCTTCTTCAGCTTGTCCTTCTCTGTCTTCTCGTCTTTGCTAGCTTTGGCTGCTTGTCTGTTGAGTTGTTTCGCGGTGAACTGTGCGAGGAGGTCAGTCGGTATTCTGCTATTTCTGCGGATGTGTTTGTTGTAATGGCTGGACAGATGGCATAGAGGGACATTAACCCCGCCAAGCGATAAGGACGTACCTTCAAGTTGAAGAGCGCTTTCTCGAGACCGGACATGATTGCAGTTCTGCGGGAGGGAGGGTTTCGATTGGAAGGAGGAGGATTTGTCGGAAGTTCAAAGTTGCGTGTAGAGGTTGGTATTGAAGTAAGTGAGTGGATTGTAGCCTTGCGGTCGAGAACTGGGTCGGGCTGCGGTCCGGCTTGTGACGACTTTGGGCTTGGCTCGCTCACTCGCTTCCTACGGAGACTTTAGAGGTTAGGTATGCACATAAATCTACCCCTCCATCCAAACAACATTTGAAACTCAATGCTCAATCACAGATATTTGATATCATTAATTGTAATTATTCTCTCTGTACTTCTAGTATTCTATAGATCGGAGAAACAGATCAAAATGCCACCAAAACCCAAACTCAACGTTCAGAATTTCCCTCGTCCACCCCTCCTCGAACGAACATCCCGTCATCTTCAGATTAAATGGCATGGCCAGACAATAGCTGATACGAAAGAAGCTTATTGGGTTTTAGAAACGTACCACGCACCTAGTAAATTCTCTCAGTCATTCCCATTTCAAAGAATTCAGAATACCTCTAACACAACCACCAGCCTACTACCTCCCTATCTCATCAGTCAGCGCCCCCTTAACACCAACCAAGAAATCCACATTCTGCGAGTGGAAAGGTTGGGCAACGTACTACTCCATCACACTCCCGGCCACTTCTGACTCCAAAGAAGAAGTCATCAAAGACCGAATTTGGAGTTATGAGAGTCCTACGAAGGGGTTCAAGGATTTGAAGAGTTATGTGTCGTTTTATGCGGGCCCGTGGGATTGCTATGTTGATGGGGAATTGGTGAAACCGCAGCCGGGGGATTTTTATGGTGGGTGGACGACGAGTGAGTTGGAGGGGATTATTAAGGGGGATGCGGCGACGAGGTGGATGTGATTGTATGTGATTTGAGATGAAGGGCATCCTGGAGATGGGATCTATTGCGAGCAGGGAGGAGAACTTGGTTCATTTTTGGGCTGGCAAGGGAAGTATACGATTACCGATTTTTGGGGGGGAATATCAGTCTTTTGGTGGGGACTTGCGGTCTGAGACTGTGATGGATTTTATGCGTGAATAGTCATGGCAGTCAGTATCAAATTGGAGCTACGTTTATTTTCAGAGGATGTCGGCACCAAGACTTCCGAACCCAATTAACCATTATTATCGAGAGTTACATGGTGATAGCACAAGTCTGCGTGTTCTGTACAGCTGTTCCACCTACTGCTGTTCATGTCAAAGCTAGAATAGCATTCGGAAATGTAAATAATTTCGCTTGTCGGATAACGTAAATGACATGAGAGATGAGAGAAGCTTGATACACGTGAGACTGTTTGACCATCGCTACAAATATTCTTTTGTTACTTCTCCAGAACCTAAATACTATCAATACAAGAGCTGTACCGCAGGTAAACCAATACATTCGGCTAATCATAACATACCCTTATTCCCCAGGACGCCTACCCATCCTGCCCATGTTCCGTGCTTTTCTGCAACACATTCTGTCCCATTACAATGTAGGATTATAGTGTCTCTGCTTAGAACAATGACCTAGCCTGGACATCGAAAATTTCGTTTCTCCATCCCTGGTTGGCATTCTCCTCAACAACTTCTCCGGCTCTCGCGGCCTCCTCATCCCAAAGCTTAACAACACTACCAGGCGCATAAACCCCAGCAAAGATATTACCTCTCTCACCAGCTGCACCTCTAATACCAACATTCGTGTACAAATCCGGATCCTCCTCTGGCGTCAAGCGAGTAACAATAGCCTTGATGAACGTCCTGAGATCTTGAGGATCCGAGATTCTCGTTGCGCGAAGACGTTCCCTCGCGAACAGTAGCTCACGATTGGCAGCATGGAAGAAATCCGCAATGGCTGTAGAGAGTTGTCTTTCGATGACCTTGCGGATAATAGGGCGAAGGAGAGGCTTGAAGAGCCAAGCGAGGCAAGCGAGCTTGCTCTTCCTCAAAGTATAGCTGAGATGGTGGATCTTGACTCTGACGTTCTTGAGAGTCAAGATCTTCTCGAGGCGTTCCTTGCCTATCTCGACATCGAGTTCAATGTCGATTCCTCGGTCGTCGAGCTCGAATGAGGCAATTCCTTGGTCAGCGAGGCGGATCAGGCCTTTGTGCGCGCGAAGCCAGAAACCGACTTCGTCGGCGCGGATGGACAGACCTTGGGCCTTGATAGTGACAAGGGATTTGACCGAGCTGACGGTGCGGAAGCGAGCTTTGCGGATGGAGAGATCGTTATATGTCTCGATCTTTAGACGGAAGGGAAGGAAAGAAGTGTTGTTGATGGTGCGTCCTGGTTCGAGGATGAGATTTTCGAGTAGGAGGTCGATTTCGGGAACTGATATCTCAAGACGGGGAATTGGAATGAACTGAATTGCTTGAATCAGGAGTGGGATGAAAATGGTGTGCGCGTCGGTGAACAGGTCTGGGTTGGCGACGCTGTTGGCGGGCGAAAGGATGTTCCAGATGCGTAGAGTGGTCTGGAGGAGTTTTGACACATCTTGGTCATTTATGACAGAATCAAATGTCTTCCGAGATTGTTGGAGCACAGCATCAATATCTTTGCGAAGAGGAGAGTCAGTGCCGACGTCCTTGGATTTTTCTTTCAACTCTTCAATCTTGTTGCCTGCAGACTCGAAAAAGTCAGGATCTGTGAGCATCTTCTGGATCGACGCTGCGAGCTCCTCCATGAGGTTCTCGAAGTCTGGATCTTTTTGCGAGTGCTCCATGAGCTTGTTTACACGCTTCTCCAGCTCTTTCCAAGCTTCTTTGTCTCCAAAAGAGCTGACGAGAGACCATCCATTCTTGATCGCTCGATCAAGCTCCTCGTTGGTCTCGACATCATCCTGAACAGTTTCGAGAGTGTTGTCCACAGCTCTAGAATAGACTTTGGCGTATCTCTTGATGAGAAGGCCAATAGTGGATACCGAATCGGAATAATCATTTCGCTTTCGGAGCTTGGTTACTGCAGCCTTGAGACGATAGATCAAAGTCTCACGCTGGTCACCTGTCAAGTTCTCTTTCAAACTTGCTCCCGCCTCTTTGCCAGTTTTCTTGATGCCGTTTGCAACAACATTGGTCACTTCGGCAGCTTCAGCTCCAAGATCCTCAGCTGTTGGGGCTGGACCCTCTTCGCTACCCGGATTCTTGATCGTCTCTGACTCTTCGGTCGAAGGCTCAATTTGCTTGGCAGCCTCTTCCGCGACATTCGATACAGTGTTAGCTGTATCAGCAAATACTTGTCGTCCAATTGTATTCAGATCCGAGAGGAATATTCTGAAATCGGAATTGGTCAACAAAAGACTTCCCACAGTCTTGAAGCTTTCATATGCTAAGAACCGTCAGTAAGATTTTGCATCGCACATTCTTGTGATTTACTAACCAGCTGAAGCGTCTGCTTTTGCTCTTGTTGAAGTTGCAGTTTTCACCAGATCGTCGACATCAACGTAAACCCGTGAGTGAAGCAAAAACCAAATGAAGTCCTGAATCTGATCCCCATCGTTTTTGTTGCCCAGTAGGTCAATAAACTCCTTCAGCCATTGCTTTGAGTGTTTTGTCAATTTTCTTCCGCTATCACTCAAGCCTACAGTCTCAGGGTTGAGGACGTCCGATGCCAGTAGTGTTCTCAAATTGACAATGGCCTGCTCAGTTGATGGCATGAATCCTTTCGAAAGAGCACGGAGCATTTGGTAGGTGTGCATCTTCTGATGGGCGGCTCGTTGAAGTGTAGTGTCGTCCTCATATTGAGGAAGCAACGGCTCTCTGTCGCCATTTCGTCCAGACTTCTTTCTTGATCCAAAGCAGGAAGACATTTTGATGAACTGAGGGTTTGAAAAATGCGGAGCTGTTGATCTTCCCTGGGGCCTGTCCTGGCTTATGTATGGGTCTGCCAACGGAAGCTTAATCGATGACGGGCTCAGCCCAAGCTTGTGCTCAAAAACGATGACCTGGTACCCCGCAGGACGTTCTTAGCTAAGGCAAATAGAGGCCGATGAATAGTAAACCCGAGGTCTAGAATATCTTAAGACGCGATGCATACAGTAGCCTGCGTGTTATTTCACTTCAAGAAGTCGATGCCTTGATTCCCATGTGAACTAGCCGGCTAGGTGAAAGATCGATGAGGAGGAGCTTGGGCCAGAAAACAACTACGTCAGGGGCACTCAACTGGACCCAGCAGTCTCGAGTCTGGGGAAGCGAAACGCTAGGAAACTCTTTATTCCGCCCCGCTTATCGCCATGCACTGCGCTTCTTATCGTCAGCCGCCTGATCAACTTCCCCTCCATATTTGTTCTTGAGAAGCAAAGCAGCAAGCCGGGATCAACATAGACTCCAGATATGGAACAACGAAGGGAGGAAGTTACAAGGAGACCGCTGTATGGTCAGTCGTGACATGCTGTTCGCCTATACCAATGAAAGATGTCCTAACCGTTTCCCAGTGTACGATTTGCCGCAAGATATTCTCTCAACTCTCACGCGAAAAGACGACACAGGCGACGATTCCCCTAATGGCATCTCATCATCCACGAAAGAGAACATCCCAGATACACGGGCGGAAAGTGCTGCAGGTGCAAAATCATGTTCGTTATGTGGGGTAGCATTTCACACTGTCGAGGACCAGAGGAGCCACAACCGCTCCGACTTGCATAGTTACAATCTGAAGCAGAAGATCAGTGGCGCAAAGCCGGTGACGGAGGGAGACTTTGAGAAGCTTGTTGGAGGTAGGGGATTACTGTCAAGTTTATCGTTTTTTCTAACGATGGCCAGATCTCAATGAGAGTCTGTCAGGCTCTGACTCATCAGATTCCGAGGACGGTGAAGACGGAGACGCGCGCAAGGAAACGACATTGACTGCGCTGCTGAAGAAACAAGCACAGATATCATCGAACAGTAATGATGGCAAGGAAAGTCTTGCACCAAACAAGCGGAAGCGAGGCTCAGGAAAACCTCCCATCATCTGGTTTGCATCAAGCACGCTTCCAAGCGATACATACCTGGGGGTGTATCGAGCAATATTTACAAATGCCGAACAAGAGAATGAACCGACTATTCTGGACATCGTACGACAGAAGCAATTGGCTCCTAAGCCGGCTATGAAAATCCCCATGAATCCAAGCACTGGTATCCCTCTACCAGAAGCATACAAGGAGCCACATATTTTTCTTTGCATGATAGGTGGTGGCCATTTTGCTGCTATGGTTGTCTCTCTGACACCTAAGCAGACGAGATCAACCCCAACAGGTCCAATTTCGAAGGAAGCCACTGTTTTGGCACATAAGACATTTCACAGATATACTACTCGTCGGAAGCAAGGTGGCGCTCAATCTGCAAACGACAATGCAAAAGGCGCTGCTCATTCCGCTGGTGCTGATCTGAGAAGATATAACGAGCAGGCACTTACAGAAGAAGTTCGAGCTTTACTTCAAGACTGGAAAGGAATGATCGACACTTCTGAGCTATTATTCTTCCGTGCCACAGGTAGCACCAATCGAAGAACTCTTTTCGGGCCGTATGATGGCCAAGTTCTTCGGCACAATGACCCAAGGATACGAGGGTTTCCATTCAGCACCCGACGTGCCACTCAAAACGAACTCATGCGAGCTTTTGTGGAGCTCACTCGTGTCAAAGTATTAGAAGTCGACGAAGCCGCAATAGCTGCAGCAAAACTAGCGGCAGAAGAATCTGCCAAGGCGGAAAGTGCGAAGGCTGCCAAAAAGTCAGCCCCGGTGGCTCCAAAGCTGTCAGAGGAGGAAGAGACGGCCTTGCTTCACACATCACAGCTTCAGGCTTTGATACGACGATCCAAGGTACCAGCTTTGGCTTCGTACTTCAAGAGCAATGAGATATCTCCCGATTTCGTATTCCAGCCGCCCGATGCTCAACAGCATTTTCACGCCCCAACTTCATTACATCTTGCTGCGAGTCAGAATTCTGCACCTCTAGTCACAGGTCTCCTTATCAAAGCTGGCGCTGACCCAACCGTACTTAATGGAGATGGGAAAACACCCTTTGACTTAGCTGGAGAACGAGCCACGAGAGATGCATTCCGTGTGGCGCGCTCAGAACTCGGAGAAGCCAAATGGGACTGGGAAGCCGCGCACGTCACTGTGGCAATATCACGCGCTGACGCAGACGAGCGAGATGCTCGGGAGAAGAAGGAAGAGGCCAAGAAGGAAGAAGAAAGGCGGAAAGCCGAGACAGCCCGACTCAAAGAAGAAGGTCCGAAAGTTGTCGATAACGGACCGCTTGGAAAGGCGGCTGGGAGAGGGAGGATGCTGGCACTTGGCCATGTGGCCAAAACGGCGCAGGAGAAGAGGGAGGAGGAGGCCAGGGGAATGACGCCTGAGATGCGGATGAGACTTGATAGGGAGAGGAGGGCAAGAGCTGCAGAGGAGAGGATGAAAAGGATGCAGAGCGGCAATTAGAAGAGGCCATAGGCATACCTACCAGAAATTGCGAGTCTCGAGAGTCATTTTCTCGCCCTTACGGTTACCATAGGGCTCATCTCATGTTTTATGACTCAGTAAGCATTTGGATTGACCAGCTTCTCTTGCATATCACTTTTCAAGCTCTGAACTTGGGCCGATTCGAGACTCTGATATAGCGGTTGCTAGTGTCCACAAACATTGTGAGGAATGAAAATGTATGTGAACAAGTATCCTCCTCTTATCCCCATTCAGCCAATTGATCCAGCCAAATTTCCCCTGCTGGCTTCCCTCTCGAATTTCTCCTTCGCTTTTATATCTTCCAGCTTGCGCTCATGAGCAGCCCAAGTCTTTATTTCTTCCTCCCTCAACGAACAATCCTCGAAAAACTCGGGCCGAATAGCAAGTCCTATCCCGGGATACTTCTCTTCAACCTGGAACAGAACATCCATGACTTTCGGCCTCCGGTCCCTAACAGTTACCTTCCCGAGGATAGACTCATGAAGCTCGCTCAGCGGAATCCCGTGAGAATGAGGACTTCGTCTTCTTCCTGCTACAAAAACGTTCTGGATCATGCCAACGGTTCCAACGCCGAGGAGACACCATTTATTGCCATCCAAGCCACCTGCAGTGACTAGGAAAGCAAACCATAGGAAGGCGGACAGTCCGCAGGCCAGTCGGGTTCTTCTACATGTTTGAACGACTGCACCAGCCAAATCATCCAGAGCCAGGCCAAGCCCACGCTCATTTCCTCGCACAATAAAGACATGTCTGTGACCGTTTCCACGGGTGAGAATGTAGGACTCTTTCGATCCTTCTCGACATGAGTATTTCTCCTCGCGCCATTTTCGGAGGGATCCAGTGCAGATACTGAGGATGGTACCAACCAGAGTAATCAAGACGATGGACCAGTCGCGGTGCAGTACAATGGGCACAGCGGCAATGAAAAGTTGTATGAAACAACATATGAAGAACGAGTAGAAGCAGACGTCCGTTGTGGGCTGCTTGCCCCCTTCAATGGCCTGCAAAACATCAGAATCAAGACCATGTTGAGAAGCAAAGAGACTTACATCAAATACGCTCACGATGAGGCCAGAGTCTCGTTCCCACGGCTCCATCTTCTCGTCAACAATGCGCTCGAGGTCTCTCACGAGACGTCCAAGAACCCAAGAGCTATTGCTCTTCTTATTCCGAGACGAGACGACAATCACCGAAGCAGAAACATCAGGTTTCGGCATCAGTGCCCCGTCCCCGAAAGCTGCCACCAGAGCGCTAAATGAGTGTGCAACCCAGCCAAAACTGAACGCCACGAGCGTTACTTTTCGCCCTGTCATTTGAGCTACGGCTTTCTGGATGGTGTCCCCTCCAATGAGCAGGAGTACGGAGAATATCTCGGATGGGTTTCTGAACTGAGCTTTGAATTGGTGGGAGGCGCCGTCTCGTTTGGACGTGGTGGTTGGGGTAGTGCTTGGAGTCGGAGAGCAAGATACGAATGCTATTTGTTCGTGAGCAATTAGATAAATGGCTATGTCAAGGAGATGGACAGGTGACTGTAGAAGATTTGGCATGATAAGCTGGGTTGTGGAGACTGTAGGATCTACTGTGATGTAGGGGACTCACTGAGCATACAGAGGCACAGAAACGTAAGATAATTCAACATCTGTACTGAAATGTAGAAAGACATGATGGACGACCAGCTGCTAAAGATCTGGTGGAACAAATGATGTTGTGAGGATCAGTGGGATCTAGATAACTCGCCTCAGCATAAAAAGGCATGGAGCTGTCAGAAAGCCTTGCATCTGTGCTCACTTACAAAGAGATTTGATGAATGACAGTTTCCGATTATGAGACCTGGCATCAACTCACAAGGCTTAAAATGATGCTCAGACGGAGTCTCTCAGTAGTTTGAAATGATTCAAGACCTTCCGCTGAGAACCACTGGCCTCCCTTGACGAGACATGCTACTTTGATATTCCATGGCTTCTGCTCAAGCCACATTTGCTAGCCACGAAACGCTCATTCCAATTAGTTGTTGGGCTGAAAGAAACGATTGTCAGCCCTGTTTGATGATCTGCCGCTTCCCGTGCAACGAATCAGTGTCTTGCCAAAAGCACTCAAACCAGGGCAAACATCATGAAACTGACAAGGTTTATGTGTACAAGAGAAGATAATTATATATATGATAGCTATCTTCTGTGGTGATACATTGAACGTCAAAGTCTCGATAAAAAAAAGTGAGGTCTAGGTATCGTACTGCAAAACAAATTGGCTCGCTCGCTCGCTCTCTTTCATCTCTGAAATCAAATGCTTCCCAAAACTCCATCCCAAAACTCCATCCAATGCAAACTCAGCCATGATGTGTGAATGCTTGACAATCAACGACAATTCTTCATGGCAACATACCACTGCAGCAAACCTCCCACTATGAAAGCACAACTACCCCACAAACTCGCACCGCTCGCCTGGATGCTCCCCGCCGTCGTACCCAAGTAGAACAATGCCCCAGCCAGTGTGAATCCAATAGAGCCAATCACATTCCAAAATCCCACGTGCCACTCGACGCTCAAGGGGCGCGGTGTATACCAGTTTGGCTGCGTGGTGATCATTTGTAGGACTGAGGCCGTGATGAAGAGCACACCGCCGAGTGTTGCAGGGAGAAGGTTGGCGGTATAGAAGAGCGTGATGTTGGTCAGGTCTATGACGCCGGGGAAAGCTGTGATGATAGCGAGCATGAAGATGAATGTCCCTATAGATTGAATGATAGCTGCGATGAAGCACAAGTCGCGAAAGTAGAACGTGCGTAGCTGTGGTGTGTTAGGCCAGAAAATGAATGTCGAGCTTCCATATAGAGCAGGAAGTGTCGCTGTGGTAGTTTTGGAGTTTGCTGCTGCGGAGCTTGGTGAGTGGTTGCTAGGGAGTGTTTGGCGCAGAGGAAAATCCATGGTGCTGTCTCTGAAAGGTGCGACGAGTTTGTTGATTTGGCGCTGGGCTTCTTCATCACTCTTCATCTCTATGTCGGATGTATCACCATCAACAGTAATACCTTCAATCACAGTCACTTCCGCTCCCCGATTGAGATTCAGGGCTTCCAGGATTCCTGCAAAACCGCCGAGTATGAATATCACACCGCCAATCACGCCTGTGGCTCCAGTCCAGTAAAGTTCCGAGTCGAAGATAGTGCTTGGGTTGGTGAGTGGTAGTAAGAGGAATAATCCGTTGACGATGAAGAATGCAGATCCAACTGTAAAGGTCACCCCTACCAGCCACGACATGTCTCGCCATGGAAATCGAGTGAACATTTGCTTGATGCGTTGGCTTGGGCGAATGGTTTGTTGCTTGGGAGGTTGTGCTTCGTAGAAAAGTTCCGCTGTCGAGTGCACACCGGGAGATCGTGACCTGCCATTCTGAAGGCCATCTTCAACACTCATGTTAGGCCATTTCGTTAAACTTGAGCTCCGTCGATCCTTAGAATCGTCGAAGGAGGACCTATTCGTGTGAGGTCGCAGACCGTAAGTTCTTGATTCCATTCTTGTGTATTTGGGTGAGTTTCTGGAGTTCCAGCGGTTTACTATTTTGGTAAACATGGGGACCACCGTCCCATATATAAATCCTCCTGAGATATCTGACATGGCTACGACAGGCTGATGACGGTTAGGCTGAGTACTCTGTCGATTTGACCAATGTTACAGGCTTCTTCAGGATGCACAATGCCAGGCACGACAAGGAGGTTTTGAAGATACGGGGCAAAAGTGGAAGATAGTGATCCGGTCAATGGTCGGGGATGGCACGGCTAGGACTTTACAACGTGGATCGTAGCTGATATCGAAATCTACCCATCGTCATATCAGAAACGCTGTTTCCAGAAGGAAGATTGCAAGGATACATACCTTCTAGAAGCCAATGATCGATCCCGGAATATTCTTGCACTTCCGCAAGGGCCGGGAGGATGAAATGGGGCTGAGTTGATCCCCCGGTACTGAATGCCGCAGGAACACCATCGATGGCTCCGTTGTAGCCAAGTAATATCAAATTGATGCGAGACGATGCTGAAGAGCTGCTGACAGTAGCTTGGTGAGTGGGCTGATGGCCGAACGAAAGGAATGTGATTATGGCGTAAAGCAGATTCTCAAAACGAAGAAGAAAGGATTCATTCCCCAGAAAGAACGGTGGAGACCCTCTGATGACGTCTCAAACCCTATGTATTGACTTTTTGCTAGCATAACCTTCAACAGGGTACGCCAGACGATGTAGAACATTCATCACACGCCGAGTCATGCGAACTTTTCGAACTCCATGCTGCTGGGAGTGCTGGCCGATGTCTTCTCTACGCGCTGTACGAGACTGGAGACTGAGACGTCTTTCAGCTGGGGATGGCCTGGCAGTCGTTGAAAAGCGATGTCGTCGAAACAAGAATCGCCCGATGAAGACCCGCGCCCCTGTTTCATTTTTCTCCGAGAATGAGCCGCACCTTGGGATATATTTCTGGCCATGTCTATATTCGCATCAACAGCATATAGATTGTCCGAAGGCGCTTTGAATTGTGTAGCTTGAGGGAAAGTGCATTTAGTTTGCGAAAGGGGGATTGGTGATCGAAGTCAGAATGGCTGATATCACGTGACAACATAGACGCACTACCACCAGGTCGAATCCTACTTAAGGTACATGTTGATCATTTACTGAACTGAACAAAATGTAAGTGGCTTTGGATTGTTAAGATAAGACATAATCAACGATGTGCTTCCTTTCGGGCCCAGAAGCTGCTTGTTTTTGCAAAGTCTTTCATTCGTGCCTTCCTCTGTTCAGCCTCTCCTTCCTTCCCTATACTTGTCGAAAAGCTCCATTTACTTTGCCTTTCTGTTCCATCAGAGAGCTCTTCTGAAACTCCGTACCCATGTTCAACGCCGATTGATACTTTCCAGCAACAAAAACAATGCCAAAGCCTCAGGATTATGATATCGAGCCTATGATAATCTGTGAAGTACAAGGCCGACTGATTGGGAGTGGAGCAGAAACAGCCGGAACACAAGCCCTTTGATACGATGTTCCAATAAATTATATCAAGACGGAGAGGACAAGATCAAGTAGGAACGAGGAAACAAGCCTTCCTATCAAACTAGCCCTTTGTGTGGGACCACCAGATGATAGATATCTCGAATTATGCAGAACATAAGTGGTGAGGACGAAGGTAGGAAGAGCTGTGGTTCTATAGGGTCGGTGTCGCACGTAAGTGTTTGGCAATGACTGGAAACAGAGGCGGTTGAACTGAAGAAGGATACTTTTGGAAGGAGATTTGGCATTCTACCTATTCTGCCTCGATGACCAGCTGGCATCAATATGATAAGAGTTAAGTAATGGACTGAGTGATGAGATGTTCCAAACACTTAGATATAGCTCAGTCCGAATATTTCCTTGAGATTGTTCCGATCCGGTAAAGATGAAGGAGTAAACGTTACTCCTCCTATGAAACAGCAGGAGAACATAGAAAGCAGATACAGTACTAAAGCCAAGACAATCATTCATTCATACTCTCTCTCAGCCTTGACTTGACTCGACTCGACCCTCGTTTTGCTAGCAGCACACAACTACAGACTACACCATGGGCACACAAGTGTGCATGAACGATAGAGGAAAAGCCACTGTAACCATGATTTTCCGATCCGCAGCTTCGCAGCTGCTGTGCACTCTTTCCTAGGGAGAAAACGCCACGAACCCGATCGCCAGCAGCTGTCTCGCACATGCAAATCTTGCGCCACTGCGACCTCCAGATACTATAAGGAAGGATGTCAACCACTCGCTGCGGAAGAAATGAAAAATAATGACGTCTTTACCGTCTTTATCCCCAGATTGCTATAGAGATCAGATCCTGTCCGATCGGATTAGGTTGTTTAACCATATTATATTGATGTGAGTTGAGGCGAAACACTGTTGGGGGTATCGAGTTTGCTTTGTAAAATGTGAGGCGTGGTGATGACATACTACGTGTTTTGGCTGACAAGGTGAGAGGCGAGAGGGGCAGGGTTTTACCCCGCCATACTCGTGACAGAGAAAGGGAATCAAGCAAGGAAAGGCGGAAGGTTTCCCCGTCGGAGGGGAGAGAATGTGGTCTTTTTGCAGTGTTGTGTGACATATGATCTGAAGAATGCTGCTGAATAATGCTCTAACGAACAAACTCGGGGAGTCGGGGAGGAAGTCAAGGCAGACGCATATGGAGGGTGAAAGCTGAAAGACCGGAAAGAGGAAATTGCTGACTGCAGCTCATCCGGAGTAACGGTACACAGAGAGATATTCTTGGGTGGTGGTGGTGGTGGTGATCATGGTGGGGTCGATACATTTCCTGGTGGTGTGTTGCTGCGGAGATGGTAACCGTAGAGGGGAAAACACAAGGAACTGCAGGATTTCCGACTGACTGATGCTATGGTAATCGCGGCATTGCGGTTCAAAGTTTGGTTTGCAAGGAACCAGAGGATAATATTGAATCTGATCTGCTCGGCGGGTACTTACTGCATCCTACGGGGAAACTCGGTACCTACCAGTTACCGATGGTTAAGAAGAGCACACCTTGGGGTACGGGCCAGGAGTGCTGAGATTTGCCTCTATCTCTCGAGATTGGAGGGGTTGAAAAAAGTCAAATTGCCTAGCAAAAATGCATGGTGGGGTAGATTCCAGCGAGACGACATTGTGAGTGGGGAAGATATGAAGAGTGCAAGTCGAAGACCTGCAGCATGCAGAAGTAGCGCCAGTTATGCAAGCTGCAGCACAACGCCATGCATGTAATGGGTAAGGTTGGCAGGTAGGTGGGCTTGCAGGACTCCAGTGAGCAGGAATGCCACAGCCTTTTTGAATCCAGTGGTAAAAACCTCGCCGTGTGAAGTCTATTTATTTAAGGACCAGCCGAGAGGACAGCGGATGTACTCGCTTGGTTGGGGGGAAGTTCATGGAGGTTCAGGAACAATGGTATGGCCGAACGCCGATATACACCCGTAAATTCATCTGTTGGTTTGAAATATGTTTTGGGGAGAGAAACATATCTTACAAATTCTCCGAGCCCGCGGACAAGGTATGGAAATCAATCCCGTTCCAGTGTCGTTATTGTATCAGTTCTTCGTTTGTGCTTTGAGCTTGTCTGAGTTTGGTGTCTTACGTGTCCAGGTGGTGGGAAAGGTGAGATGGGAGTTTAATTTTTTGATTTGGATCTCCTCATCACGGACATTGATGATGTTTCTGGCAGGTCAGAGACTCTTTGCCGACGGAGCAAGCGTTGAAAGCTAGGCCAGGTCTTGGTCCTTGCGATCCTTGCTGGTTTCTAGAAGGGCGATAGCGTTTGACAAATTGATACGAGCAACAAGGAGTCCGGAACTGGAGATGCATTTCATGTTGAAGTGTTGAGGATAGAAGGAGACGATAGTACTGTAGCAGGTCTTTCTCTGGCTTCTCAGCAAGTTGTTCCAGAATTTTACCATTTCCTAAGATCTGGCGTGTTGACTTTCTCAAAGTCTTCGACGCCAGGACCCGTGCGGTCTAATATTACGGGATGGGTCTCGATAAAAGCCCCTTCTCTCCACCATGTATTTCGAGAGGGGCATCCAGAAAAGATGCCAGGGGGTACAGACTCTGAAATGGACTCTATGCGGAGACGAAGCCGCTTCTCGCGCGCTCAATTCCGGTACGTAAGGTAGGTGGCTCGGTGGCCACCAGCGCAGCCCATCTGCAAGAAGAAACGACTTCTGCAAAGAAGCCTTGGCGTGGGTAACCCGCTACGGCCACATGCGAACATCAATTTTTGCATGTCCCAAAGAGGGGCATGGTGGGGTGCATATTTGGTATGACAGTACGGAGGTACGGAGGTACGGAGGTAAAGCATGGAAGCTGTTGACATGTACGAGACAGGTATTCACTGTGTCAATAGGGGCTGAAGTGGAAGGGAGGACTTGGCTGGCTGGATCCCTAGAATCCCTTCTGAAGGCTGAAAGGGCTGACGATGGTGTCGTGGTCTGGTTGCAGTGGTTATTTAAGGAAGGAAGGGCCGAAATCAAAGTCGGTTGCATATCAGCCAACACAGAATTTCCTGATGGGGACATTCCAAGCTTCTGGCCATCGGATACAAGCATGTCGGCAAAGCTGCTACAAAGCACGTGTGTTAAAATGAGAGAAGAGACCTCGTAGATGTCTCGGAGTATTACTTCAAGATATGCTCATATGAATAATAATACCTGAGAGGAGATATAGTTGTTCGGATACTCGGGTAGGTCTTGGACCTTTGCCGTGCGGAAACGCTGTGACACAGGGTGACACAGAATGTTTTGCTGGAAGATAATTTATCAGCCTTACGTATGTCATTTTGATAGTGTATGATAATGCGTAGGCTGGCTGTGGATATTTTGCCTGATCAGCAGAAGAATTTGGCATGACAGCCGGCAGTAGGTTAGTCGTTTCTGATAATAGAACTTACTTCTCAAGATTTTCCGGACTTCGTAGCGAGCGCCTTTCTTCTGAAATTATCCTGATACTCTTCGCACGGATGTATCACGGATTGAGCAACTCGTTGATCGAATCAGGAAGCAAGATATTCTTGAGCCGTTTGGTTGCTCGAGCCCCCCACGGTCTGCCATGCGACTGTTGACACTTCGGTTCCCTTTCATCCCTAAGTGGTCAGAACCTCGGGACAGCTCGTAAGGTGTCTGGTCAGAAAGGAGTCTGTCCAACAAACCAGGAATGAAGGATGCGATATTATTCAGGGACAAGCAGGATTTCCAGAACTTCGATCATCGTCCCATCCCTTGCTGAATTGGGGTTATCTGGTTGTTCTTCATCTTCTAGAAGGTAAGGCCCGTTGCCAAGAGAATGGCAATTGCCTGATATCTCGATATCTCGATATCTGTACCATGACATACCGTTCGCACGTAGTATATGCAACGGGCCATTGGGGGCTTGTATATCCCATGATGGCACCCGCACGCATATCTGGGCTAACACAGCGACCGAAAAGGCGTATTCCACCATGTATTCGAAAGGACTTTGGCATGATTTGCATCTTCTAGATGCAAGTACTCGTCATGCAGCGCCGGAGATGGCAAAGAGACACTTGAACAATAAATTGAAACGTGAAGAAGCACTCCACTTCATCTCGTCTTGCACTTGCAAAGAGAGCCAGACAAAATAAAACAGGAGGGATGATAGAAAAAGAAATGAGAAGGGCATCGAGGGCCGAGCTACTATGATTCTTTTGGCAAATAGGATACGGACTACCCGGCAACCACCCACTGGCTCACCACCGACCCAAGCTGCCCAACCCACTCCCACTCTCGCCTGCCCCATCCAATCCTACTTCCTTCCAATCGACCGAGCGTGTGTGGGACACTACTGGCATCGACTGGCACAATTGGAAGAGGCGACGACGATAGTCCGTCGATACTGAACCCTGTCGCAGGTAAGTCGAGTCCATTTCCATTCTGCCCGCGCTGCTAGGTCTGTTGGCCCATGCCATGCCCGTCCACCCATACCCTGCCCATGCCCTCCCTTCCCCTGCAACCTCCGATTTCCTTTCCACTGTCTTGCTTCCTTTCATCCTGTCCTGTCCTCTTTTCCCTCCTCTGCATCTCAGTTCCGATCTATCGATCATACATTTCGACACCTACGCCCTGCGTTTATTTGTCGTTCTACGTTGAGGGCCATTCCTTTCCCTGTGTAGTTGTGTCTGTGTCTGTCTGTCTGGGTTTTTGGTGAGTGGCTCTAAAAAGTGCTTCGCTCGGCTGAGACAAGTCGAGGAGGGAAAAAATCTCGCTCGCTCGCTCATCACTGCACTACTCGAACCTACCCGTCAACCATCCTCCCCTCCCGCCTCGCTTTCGTGGCAGGAGATTTTTCCTCGGCTGCCCGTTCTTCCCTCCCCTTCCCCCCCAACTCTATCTCTACACTTCACCAGTCTTCGCCCTCACCCTCACCCTCACCCTCACCTTCCAGCACTCGACTAATACATGCTGCGGCATTAGAAGTGCTCTTCGCGACCTTTTTGTCGTTTACGTTCCTTACTTCCCATCGAAACAGCACTGCAGGCCCCAGTTTTCGAAGCATCTCTTGATCCGAAAATATGTCTTATTACGAAAATCAGCAATGGCCAGCCACTGGGCAGCCTACGTGGGAACAGCAGACGCCGCCGGCACGATCTGGTATGTTGATGGGGGATTGCAGAGGGATGGACAGGTCAATTGACAAGAGTCGCAGGTGCTAGTTCGGCCGTTCCGCGAGAGGAGACAGGGGCATTCATGACACAAATCGAGGGTACGTCAAGGCGAGATGGGATGCAGATGGCAAAATTGTTCTGGCAGGCGCAAAGTCATGGTTTGGCTGCAAGGTGGCATTGTGCAGGATACCGACGTTGACTTTGCGCCCATCCCAGCATCATGCGCCAGCGACTTCAGGACCAGTGGGCTAACAGATTATTGCAGAGGTCGACCGTGCTATTGACAATCTGGCAAAGAGCGGAAAGATGTTCCCCAACATGCCTGGACCCGGTCGTCGCGAATCGATGCCAGTGGCTGGTGGCCCTCCGAGACCGTTCAGTGAGCAATACGGTAAGGAGCACAACACAATGAATATAGCAGCGAGCTTATACATCTATTAGACCCACGCATGGGCGGCGGTCCCCCAAGACACCACTCAGTCAGTGGCGATTTTGGAGATGCCCGCTCCTTCTCAGGTTCGAACTTGCAAAACTTCTATGCCAGCCAGCGACATGCCCCATCCCGAGGCACCAACGAGGTCGAACAAGTGATGCAGGCAAAGCGAAGGATGGCAGCCCAGCGTGAGAGAGAGCTGCGAAACTACCATCAAGAGCAGCAGTACAATCGAAGTAGGCCACCCTCTTCTGTATAACACAAATTCCGTACAACAATACCCATGCATATACCTTGTACCCAGCGGTCGCTATCCCAAAGTTCTGTCCATACTGTTCTTCCGCTCGCTTTTTGTGCTGTGTGATTGTGGATCTTTTCTGGAAACCCTCTTCCCTTTTTCCGATATCAACATTTACTGACTAGAATAAGGCGTTTCAGCTGAAATCTCAACTGTGGGAGGTAAACAACTTGACCGTACAATGAGCCCAGGTAGTGGAATGAGTGAGGAGGAGCGCCGTGAATTGATCGCTCGTCAACGCAATGCTCTTTACGGCGAGGGTGCATCTTACTCCGAAAATGGTGGCTTCGATGAGAATGGAACTCCGCGCCCAGGAACTCAAGGATCAGGGTCTCAATCTGCAACCGGCATCCGTGGCCACTCTCCATTGGCATTTGACCACTTCAATGCTCAGAACCAAGGTGAGAACCAGAGCCAAGCTCAAAGTGAACAGCCTCAGTCAGCCGTCGGCCAATCTCAAGGACAACAGCGATCCCGTGCCAACAGCACCTCATCACCATCATCGAATCCAACCAGCAGCTTCAGCCTCTTCGAGTCGGCAGCACAACAGTCAAGCCGCACGTCGACCTCGTCTCCCGGTGGATCGCCTCCTCGTCAAGGCAAAGGCCCAACCAGCTCTGGTGTTGCACCTATCGGAACTCGTCCAAGCGGTCAAGCACCAAACCCAGCCTTAAACAAACGCTCTACAACTCCTCTACCTTCGCCCCTTAGCTACGGCTTCGCTGCGAGCAGCGAGGATAATCAAGGCGAGAAGGAGGGACGAACTGCTTCTGCAGCTTCCAACTCAAACTCTCAGAATCAGCAAGATGTTGGTCTAGGATGGGGATCTAAGAGCGGTGTCTGGGGCAAGAACTCTTCACTCGGCGTGCAGGCTTCGGTTTGGGGTTAAGGGGAATTCATTAATGGAGCAGAGTTTGTGGATGATTTAAAATGGGGCGGATCAATTCGGTGTTTGGCAAATGCATATATTGCTGATGGGCAAATTCATGGGGATGGCGGTTCGGCGTAGTGGCCAGTTTGAGTTGGATTTGCTTGTGGGTGACACTATCCATGTTTCACCGGACATAGGATGTCACCTGTGGGTATCAGGTTCAAACATCGGTCATCGGATTTTGTTTGGGTGTTTCTCGTTTTTGCCTTGCATTGGTGGAGCGTTGGGCTTTCGATATCCTCTCCTCTATCGGTGTGTTTGCTCTGCCTTTTTATGTATCGGAGAACGGGTTACTCGGGACCATAGCGATGGAGGGGCTTTCCGAGGGAAGAAAGGCAGTCAGGGGGTGTCGGTATTATGGAATACGTTTGCTCGCCCAAATCGATCACCAAAAAGTACAGTTTTGAGCCAAGAGGAATCAGCATATCTGGCAGGCGTGCTTGCTTCATTTTTTCCCTCGGGGTTGTCGTATCGTTGGGTTTCGGTCGTGGATTGTTTTCCTGGCATTGCGCGCGCGTGGCTTTCATCTATCTCTTCGCTCGGGTGTGGGAATGGTGGGAAATGGAATTGGGAATTGCTCTGCTTGCTTGCTTTCTTGGCTTGATTGATGGATGGATGGATCGTTAGGAATCTTTTTGCGCGTTGTATGGAATTGGCTGGGGGGCTAAGGGTTTGCAAACTGCTTTTTTGTGTGTAATTAGGTATAGGGACGAATAACACCTGGTAATAATGGGACAATCGGTTGGGTTGGGGCGTCTAAATCTCTCTGCTTCCTACCTTTGTACCCTCTTCTCACTTTGACAATGATATCTCTCTGTGCGTTTCAAAACTGATCTTTCAGATTATATGAAGGAGGGTAGAGCTGCACTGAACCGGGATGTGCGAGGCTGGTAGTTGTGTCGCTTCCTTTATTATGTTACAGGATCCACATCATCCGATGTCACTGCTCTTGTTCCCATTTCTTGTGACCCCCTCCTTTCTCGCAGATACATACACGTCAATATCATACATCTTAAGTTTCTCAGGGCCAAACGAAGATGTATTCATAACCTATTCAACTAGGCGTGCCATCTTGCCTTCACGCACAGCTAGTTAGTTCTCCTATTCAGCCCCGAATCCAAATCAAGTCATATCCAAATATGCGCCTCTTTGTCCAAGACCTCCCAATCCCACCCACTGTATACTCACTCTCTGAGAGATGATGAGCTCCCGATCGGTGACCATGGAAGGAACCGCAAATACTGTGCGTTTTATATATAACCTTGGCGATCTTACTACTCATACATTGACTATTGCTGGAAGTTTAGATAAGGCTGTTCTTCCGCTGTTGTTGTTGTTGTTTCCGCTTTGAAGCAGCGGTCTCGCTTAGGGCTCCCCTGTTGTGGGGATAGAATGGAACGGAGTTGATTTTACCTTATCTCTTTCTTCACCTCATAGAAGTTTTATTGTCGAGGGTGATCATGAGACTGAGACTGGGACGAGGTTGAGTTGGGGTTTGGAGCTCGAGAAAGTATTGGTTAGGTATAGTCCATGTTGTAGGTATGGCTTGAACGTTTAATGGGGGGTTTTGATCTTTTGGGATTTTTTTTTTTGCTGGTTGGTATTTCATGGTACTTTTGTACATTTGTACCTGGATGGAGTTCTTGGTTTCGCAGTAGGTAATGTGTTTTTTGCTTGCTAGAAATCATGGTGGTATAATACTATCCAACTCAGTCCGACCCCGAAACGCCATCCAACCTGTCCCTGTTCAAGTCCCTGTTCATGTCCCTGTCCCTATTCCTGTTCCCGAGTTAATCACTCCTACGAGGAGGATTGTGGTTTGGTCTACCTCGCTTGCTATGTACAATTCGTCTCGTTCTCTTTCTGTATCCCTCTCACAGTAGAGGCATCCTCTTAAGATTGCATCTGCATCTCTCATATGCCAGGACAGCAATCCAGAAAACGCTCATACCTTCCCCGTCCCCATTCTTCTCTCATCGTCAAAATACCTCTCCCCACCATCACCACCCTCCCTCTCCAACACCACCAACCGCGCCATCTGCGCCGCGGCCGCCATCTCTTCCTCTCTCATCTCCCTCACCCAAAGCACCCTCGCATAACCCCTAACACACATCGCCCCCACAAGCTGCAACACCGTCGCCACCACCACTCCCGCCCCCAACATCAATTGTCCCAGATACACCGTCCGCATGCAGCTCTCGGGGGTGAAGTCCGACTGGCTGAGGTATTCGCTGTGCGGGGAGCGCATGGGCGCGAGTGCGTAGAGGAGGCTCATGTCGTCTGAGTTTGGGCTGGGGTGGTTGAATGATGAGGCAGGGTTGGTGAGCGAGGGGAGTTGTTGGTCGGATGAGGAGGAGGAGCTGGAGAAGGCGGTGGAGGGGTTGAGGGTGTTGGTCGGGGAGCAGATGGAGGAGGAGAAGGAGGTTATGGTTAGGAGGAGGAGGAAGCGGGGGATGGTGGAGAGGAGCGTGTCGAGGATTAGGTAGTTGGCGAAGATGGCTACCGAGGGTGCGTGTTGCTGGAGGGGGTGGAATGTTAGCGGTTATCATCCTTTAATGTTTCCAAATCATCTTGCACATAGCTGCTCTGTGTACAATATGCTCCCAGAAATATAGTTCTGCAAAGTGTAGGGAAGTGGAAGAAATAAGTCGTGATCCGATAAGAGGAAGAAGACATACCCTCAAAGCCCCGATAAATCCAAAGACACTCAGCAAATTCGCAAAATGCAGATACCATCCAAAATTATTGGCTAGATGATATGGATCATCTGGTAACTGGTAGAAGAACAGTGCAGAGAGGACATTGCTGGCTAAGGTTGCGAGGGCGACTATTAAGGTTATTGTCCTGTTTCAGTTGTGTGGTTAGCATTTGTAGGTTTTTGATATGCATGACTGAGAGCTTGGGGAGCTTGGAGCTTGGATGGACGGTTGCTTGAGGGCGAGAGGTGAGAGTTTCGTTTATTTTTTTGTTAGGGATACGTCGTTTGGAACAGACTTTGCAGTGTGAAGTATACAGTGGCTTGGCCTTTCTGAATGAGAGATACATACCTTGTGCCTGAGTACGGTACCATCTTGAGATACATCTTGGAATCCAGGAGGGTCTTCCAGCCCCTAGCTCAGCTTTCGAAATGCTTCTTGATGGATGTTACGAAGCCAAGAGGTCAAGGTAACACAGGAAACCCCACGTCTCGTTTCCTCGTGTGAGATTCAAGCAGTCAGACGACGTCACGGAGCTGTTGTGTTGTGTTATGTGGTTGTATCGCACTCTCCTTATCGAGCTGTGGTTATCGAGCCGAGAGTTCCGGAGCTCTCAAGAAAAACAAAATAATAGCACGAAAACGAGAACAAGGAACCCGATTGTCAAAACCTGGGTTGTATTCGAGGGCAGTGACTTTTGATCACTAGGGAACAGGTAACGAGTGTGAGGGAGAGGGCAAGCTTTTGTATATATTTCTAGCTGTGGAGGTAGGGAGGGGAGAGGAGCGTGTGCTGGATTAGACATGAATGGATGTTGATTTCTAAGGTTGTTTGTTCGCGGGCACATGATGACGTGCCGGGAGCCGTGCTGCAAGAGCTGGACGGCAGTAGTAGTCAGACGCGAGCGAGGCTAAGAGGGGATGCATTTTTCGCGCTCCGAGAATGCCGGACGAGGCTACCAGATTGTGCGAGTCTACCTTTCATGGATCCATTGATTTTCCATTTTCGATTTTCGGACTTGAGGGTTCTTATGGCGGACGAATCGGAGGGGCATCGGTGGTTGAGATGGGACATTTGAATGCGTGGTGCGCTGGGATGGGCATGCAGATGTCAAAATGGCCTGAGATTTGGAGGGGATAGGACAAGTGTGACGATCACAGCACTTAACGTGCCTGGTTACATTTGAAGTAGTGCAGGACTCGACGGTGAGGAGGAAAAGACAAGACGTGTGGGGATGGGGATCTCGGGATGTACCTATGCAGGTAGCCGAAGTGTCGTGTGAGGCTGACTCAGATATGAGGTCGAGGAACGGCAATGGAATGCTGGATAGTAGTTTGTGGGGTGGAGAAGGACAAGAGCGGCTAAGATGCAGATCTTAGGTCTGGATCTGATATCTATGACTTTAGGGCTGCTTAGTTATAGAGATATCGACGAGGTGGAAGTGGATGATGCATGTGAAGTCCCGGATCGATGACGGTGTCTGTTGACTTGGTGTCCGCGGCTTCCATGAATCCGCGGGAGAGGGGAGAGCGACAGGAAGAGCGGTAGCCCTTTGTGAAAGGCAGACATGTTATCATCATCATTTCGTGTTGTATTGTTTTGAACGATACGTTAATCACGAAGAAAACGAAGGGTAAGAAGGCCAAGCTTGGCATTGAGAATCTCGCCCTAGTGCAGGGAGAGACATACCTCCGTAACCTACATCGCTTCACTCACACTGAAATTTTCGATGGGGGCTCTTCCGAGAAGCTGTTAAAGCGATGTTAGCTGAATATTCAAGTGCGTGTAGTATCTGCCGGGCCTGGAATGGACTCTTTGCTAGTTGACTCGAGTACCTTGACATAGCTCTCCACTGTAGTGCAAGTCTGGCCCAGGGCAAGGAGTGATTTCGGACACCCATATCCTTCCAACTACCTCCATGATCAATCAACCAGGCTTCATTGACAATACGTCCAGTCCAAGAATGCAGTAATTCAGCCACTTCAAACACAACGAGTCTAGACTACTGCTGTATCGCCTATCGAAACCTTCCTAGCATTCCATCTCAGAAACAAGGTCTCGGGATCAGTAATACGATATGGTTATTTATGCCCAGCGCGTCCGCACACTATATTTCAATACTAAAAATCAGATAAAGTGGTATGGCGATCGCGACAAACGGATGCAGTCTCCCATTTGTTGGCTCTTGGTATCTCCGAATCCCATCATTGACTCCCTCGTCCCGTCAAACAAGCTATTTTCCACTTAGGTCCGTCTCAAGATGAGCCGTAAATTTGGCGTGCGCGAGACTCTTGACCTCTAGAAATTCAAAGGTCACCCAGATATCCAGCCTTCCGACTATTCTTAGGTTTTGCCTTTCAACTAGAATATCAAATGGACATGCCTCCAGTCCGACGATGAGGATGAGGGGTGGCTCGACTTTTGAAGGCCTGAAAGGAAAGCAGACTGCCAAGCCTTTCAGATGCAGCGGATGTGGCGTCGGTCTCCGGCCAATGGCCCCGGTCTAGCAGCGGTTGGCTTGTCTTTTGCTCTGATATCCCGCGTTCAAAGCTGGCCGTTTTCCCGAATAATGTTCGACTGATGGTAGAAATCGCCTAATCGAGTGCTATATGAATTGCCTGCGTGTGCGTGGGCATAACACGTATTTGTTCAGTTTCATCAATTTTGCTTGGTGGATTGCTGCTCAATAAAGACCGTGGCTTTATTGGGCCAGGGTGGGCCAGGGCCAGAAAGCGGTGCTTCAGGGTTCCCGTGGCCTATGCGGGGTAGCTTCCGGTGGGTACGGTACGGTGCTTCATTTATTATTATTTCCCTAACAGCCTCCCCTGGTTTTGACTCGATTCGGAAATGAGGATTTGAACTCCCGTCTGCTGCTCGAGTTTCATTTTAATACTCGGGGACAAATGAATCGGGTAGGTACGTCAGCTGCGAGAACATCAGACGACGAAAGCTTCGTCTATGGAGTGATAAGAGATGTTCAGGGTGGCTGCTCAACCGCGAAACGGTTTCGTCTCAGGCGGCAACTCGGCTGCTGGGAAGGAATTAAGGATTGAAAAGGGGGGAAGGCCGATGTAGGGGTCCGCAATCTGATAGATACTTGTCTGGAGTATGGTAACTTTGGTATGATCAACCTGACCCTGACTGAGACTGCCGACCCGGCGATTAAATATAGATTCGAGTACGAGGAGGATTTCAGACGGTCTATCTGGGTCGAATCCATCTGGTTGGTACGATGGAAGGTATTTCAGGGCCCCCCAAGGCTGAAAGGTAGCATCTGTAACTGTATGGTCGTATGGCATAGTGTAGTAAGCACCGTGTCGGGTCAGACTGGAGGGAAGATTCAGTTTCCGTCTCATCTGACTTGAGTCAGCGGTGCTGCGGACCTGTGGTCTTGAGCAAGCGACTTAGGAAGGTGTGAAGTAGTAAAACAAAGGTACGAAGGCGAGATATATATCTGGGCCAATAAATCAATTGTATTTGGCGTAAAAGCGGTCTGTGAAGCGAAGCTCGGATTGGACCATCATATTTTAATCTCGCCTTCATAAAAAAGAGTAAAGTCAAATGGTTTGGGGCCAGATGCACAGGTAGCGCCATAGGTACAGCTCTCTTCCCGTAGTCCCCGGCCCCTGGATATCGACTTGCCTTGGGGTGAAGATGGTGGAGGGCTGTCAGGCGGGTATTCTCATCACAAAGAACCGTGGCTGCGCTGACTGTCAATTCAGGTCGAGTCTGGTGAAATAGAAGGCTTGTATTGGCCAGCAACCACAAAGACTCGTGTCGATTCTGGCCGGCGGATAAAGACTCGAGCCATATTGGGAGTGCAGCAACGAGCGTGTGGCCTGTCTGAGGCTTTGCCTTTGCCTTTCTTTGTAGCACACCGACATGTAGGTACGCTATGGACGTCACCTGGAGCCGAATCAGAATTGGCCCCCTTTGACTGGACGGATGATTCCTCTCGACAAGCAAAGGTCAAGAAATTGTTTCAAAGCAGGTACTCGAGGATAGACTCCAAGGTAGCAGAAGCAAATGACCAGGCCAATGCACAGCAAAGGATTGGGGATTTTATGGCTTTAGGGGGCAATGTTGAGCCATGATAATGTTAATGAAAGTACAATGTGTCCATTGTTGTACCTTATGTTATTGCACAATTGATTCTCCAGTTCTCCCTCTGGAGGAGAGGAGGAGAGGAGGAGAGGAGCCAAGCCAAGCAAAGAAAGTGCAGTGCAGTGGAGCAGGAGCGGTGGTGCAGTGGTGCAGTGCGCTGCAGGTGCTCCTGGGACTGCCCAGTGCCGACCCACACTCGGACCAGCAGCCGCTAGGCCAACCAGGGCCCAAAGCCGCCCTCACCTCTCACCTCACTCTATTATTCACGTCGCCGTGCTGCGTGGAAGACCCGTCCCGTACTGCACTGCACTGCACTGCACTGCACCGGTCTGGCTTGAGAACAAAGCACAACACTGCACTGCACTGCACTGCACTGCACTGCGCGGCACCGACGACAATTCTCTCCTCCATTTCTCATCGCGGCCAACTACCCTTCACTCTGCCGTTTCGACACCCAACTTCATCCCCTCGCACATTGCTCATTGCTGCGAACCTGCCAGCAAGCAGCCCCAATTCGAGACGACCGCTCATTGCAAAAGGAAGGGGGTAACGACCCAAGACAAAATCCATATACACGCTCGCCGCTCTCATTCGATTCCCAACTACGAGCCAGCCAGAACCTGAGAAAGACAAGTCATCCACTCGTTTCGAGCCAGAGAGACGGGACATCCTCGCCCTCGAGCGTTTGTGCCAGCTTTGGGCTGATTGTGCCTCTTCGTCTGACAATACCATCCATCCACCTCCACATCCCCCCATCCACCTCGTCCAGAACAAGAGCGAAGCCACACTCACAGCACGACTCCCTGCAGTCGTGAGTGAATGGAGGGCCAGTCTTCTTCTGGTAATTCTCAGTATCAATATCAGGCTACTCAGTGGTCGCGTCTCGTCCGGCGCAACACTCTCGCTGCTGCTGCTGTTCCCAGCTCCTCTCCGCCCCCGCCTAGCATTGCTGTAACCTCTCAGCTCCCTCCGCCACTGGATCTGATTCCTATCCTTCTGCCTCAACAACCCTCATACCACCAAGCCCAACTTGATCATTACAATCGGCTCATCACTGCTGGAAGAACATCGCGTCTTCAGTCTTCGCCACTCCCCCCCTTGCTTTCTCCACAACACATTCAGGCTGTGCCTGGACAACGATCCAGCTCAGGTGGCAGCACCACGGCAAGAACAAACAATTCAGCTGGGCGGGGTGGTCATGGGAATAAGGAGGCACGAAAATCCAGTAAAGGAGAGCGCGCGCTCATAACAGAGAAGGACAAAGCAGTCAAGATGCCGGGCAAGAAAGCGGAGCTAAATCAACTCCCAATACGACCTCACGCACAGCATAACAATACCAACTTCTCGCAACAATCAAGTTCGGTCCCCTCGACACCGCATCAGCATGCCAGGAAATTTTCATACGAATCCCGAGAACCATCCCCGAACGCGACGAATAACCACTCGCCGCGTTCTGCATATTCGGAATCGAATATACCCCTCCCACCAAAACCCCATCCGGCGAAACGAGGAGGTTGTAAGTATGAGACGGCTATGGCGAACACTAGGCGGCGGATACCTTACAGCGTAGGAGACAAGAAGCTGGAGAAGCTCGATCAATCTAAGATCAAGAGCAGGCTGTCAGAGGAAGAAGAAGCGAAAGTTTCGGCTGATATGAAAAAGAAGTACGATGGGTTATTACCGACTGCTAAGAGCGACAAGAATCGGGAAACGCTCGTGCAGAAACTGGAAGACCTTTTCAATGGGCAATGGCCTGGGCATGACATACGAGTGCATGTTTTTGGCTCTTCTGGTAACATGCTTGCTACTGACGACTCCGACGGTTAGTTCTTTTGGTGATTCGGGAGGGTTGACAGGGCTAACGAAGCTGCAGTTGATATATGTATCACGACAGAGTGGAAAGAGATGGAGGGAGTGTGTATGGTTGCTGAGCTACTAGCGAAGAGTGAGCCGTGCCGATCTGTCTCCAGATGATAACTAATTATGATTAGGTGGGATGGAGAAGGTCATATGTGTGCCAAATGCCAAAGTACCAATCGTCAAGATATGGGATCCGGAATTATCTCTTGCGTGCGACATGAACGTAAATAATCCTTTGGCTTTGGAGAACACGCGGATGATCAGGACATATCTTCAAATCGACCCTCGAGTACGACCGCTTGCCATGATCATCAAGTATTGGACAAAGAAGAGAATACTCAATGATGCGGGTAAGCGCATGCCCCCATACCTTGCAAGTTTTGTTCTAATATTTTTTCAGCTTTCGGTTGTACGCTGAGCTCGTACACTTGGATATGCATGATTATCTTCTTTCTTCAGACTCGCAATCCCCCGATACTTCCAGCACTACATCAGCGGCCGCACAATAAGCTCCCTCCTAAAAATGGCGTAGAGAGCGCTTTCGCAGACGATCTCGAAGCCCTGGCAGGATTCGGGAGTAACAATAAAGAAACTCTTGGGGAACTTCTGTTTCAATTCTTCCGGTTCTATGGTCATGGATTTGATCTTGACAACGGAGTTGTTTCCGTGCGGCACGGCAGGCAATTAACGAAAGCTGAAAAGAAGTGGAATACGGGGTTCGGAAATCGATTATGCGTTGAGGAGCCCTTCAACGTAGGCCGCAATCTGGGGAACACGGCCGACGACATCTCATTTCGTGGAGTGCATATGGAGCTGAGGAGAGCGTTCGATCTGATTTCCGAAGGAAAGCTAGAAGAATGTTGTGAGCAGTATGTGTTTCCTCCTGAGGAAAAGCAAACCAATACATTTCAGAGGCCGACTCAGAAACCAAAACCAATTCTGCGGAGTAGCTCACAGTCGAGTCGGGGCGGCGGAAGAGGGGGTGGCCATCGAGGAGGAGGACGACACAACCAGCACAATCGAAATGGGAATAGTAACCGGAGAGCGTCAAGTGGAGCATTTGACCACAATCTCGGGTACATACCCGGCCTCCCACCAAATCTGTCACAACAGGAAGCATGGCTCCAGCGTCAAGCCCAGACGCAGCTACACAATGATCTGTTCGCCACATACTCGGTCCTACAAGCGCAGGAAAACAGTCTTCGTCTTCAACTGTATGCGCAGGGTCTGCAGAACCAAGCTTATGCCCAGTCACATGGACAAGCACAAGTTAATGGTGCTCCGGCCAAACAGCATGCTACAGATCGAAATCGAACCAGTTCGTTTGACCAACCGCCGCTGACAGCTCCGATCCGTCCAGATATGTACTTTTATCCCCTTCAGTACCCAGCAACTCCGGGTATGTATGGTTACCAGACCCCAACTACGAATCCTTCCTCTCCTTCACTGAGCTCGGCCGTGCCAGAAATGAGACGGAGTATGCACCGATCAACGGTGACCAATGGTACCAGCCAAGGTGGTCAGTCGACCAGTGCATTAAGATCACAATCCCAGCCAGCATCCCGTTCTGGACCAGTGCCCCTTTCTATAAGCGGGAACGGAATGCATCATCCTGGTCTTGGAATATATCAACAGCTGCGTCCCGTCAATGGAAATATAATTCCAAGTTTCATCCCAGATGAAAATTCGGAATCCGCTATGGAATCTAGTTACGGCTCGCTGCCCGCGTCCGAAGACCCGACACCCAAGGAGTATGTTGGTTATTACGTTAATGATCCAACGCAGTTCTGGAGAAGACAAGCGAATGCACCAATGCCAGTTCCTACGTTCGGCGACCTCGGTCAATCCCGAGCCGGTTCACGCCGATTGTCAGCGGAACAGCTACCTCAGTCAATCCTAGATCGACTCAAGAGGCCGTCACGATCTCCATCGCCCTTGGGACATGACCGGTCATTTTCAACAGGTGCTCCACTGCCATCCTTCTCCTCTCAAAATGGTGTTTCCAACACGAATCTCAGAGCCTTGAATAACCAAACACCTATTGTTGTAAATGGCTCGAACCCAGTGCCATTGTCGATCCCAAACTGGCAAGCTTCTATCAGTGACGGCTCGATCTCCGAGGATCGAAGTAGCGATATCTTCGTCGGTTCCTTAGACTCAGTTTCGCAAGCATCGAGAGCTGGAAGTGACGGACTTGGTGATCATGATCTATCTGGGCAGGTCACACCTCGAGATACTCGACCAGAAAATCGAACTCAGCCTCCTATGGTTGTGAATGGGTCTACACCGCTGCACAGTGATGTGGGGAGTGCATCTTCCAGTATGACATCCTCAATCGAACATGCTCCGCAGCCGGTCAACCCGAACGCTACTTTACTGCCCATAGATACGAACGGTCAGCTTCGGCTCTCACCGAATTCTCGCAATAAGTTGGCTCGGCAAAATGGTGGGGTGTCTCCCCTTGACATTGGTCTTGGCCTGGACTACAATCGCGACGACTTGGCTCATTTGTCTCCTGTCTATGAAACACGAACCCCATCGCCAACGGCAAACCGAAAGTTCGAGCCGGTTGAGAAGAAATCGAACGGTGTACCACCAAAACCTACCCAGAAGACTGGACTGTCAAACGGCGTTGTACCTGTCCAACCCCCAGCGGTCTCAAAGCTAAATGGGCACACTCGAGCTTCGAAGAGCGAAGGCGCCCCTGGCAATTGGCAGAAAATCCAAAAATCCAAGAAGAAAGCTGGTAGCTCGGACATGAAGAGTGGTGATGGAGAGCCTCACGCCGAGAAGCTGCCAGTGCATGTCAATGAACGCAAGGGGGGCTAGAAGAACACAAGACGTCCACGCGAGGATCCCAGGTTCGACTTGCGGATGCCAATTGGCATTCGCCAAGTCGTGTCACGATTGTAAATGAGACGTGATGGGACTGTCCCAGCTCCTTCACATTCTTGGATTTAGAACTTGGCTTGGAATAGCCGTTTATCCAGAATGCGAGAGTTCTCGTCCCGTTTGTCCCACTCGGATGCTCCAACGTTGTTTCCATGTTAATAGAAGGAGTGTGGTCCTGCTACTGAGGTCTCGTAGCTGATTTTGTGTCGCCTAAGACTACAGAACCACCTGAATTTGGCTTGGCCAAAGAGATGTTCATGAACTGGAAGAGCGTCGAATAGGCTCACCGTGTCCGAAACTACTCCCACATATCAAATGTCTGTGGTTTTACTTTGATGCATTTGCAAGCGCTCCAGGACGGGCTTCGTTTTCAATTACTTTCCTGGTTTGTTTTACATGTTGCGGGTTGCGATGGGCAGGCCGCTTTGGTTTTGGCTTGGTTTGTCTCTTGATATACGTTGCATGCGCTGGGGTTCTTTTTGGTTTGGCATATCAGCACTGGTTCATCCCCCTTCCTGTTTACTATTTTTGTTGTTGCCTATGGGATACGACTGGGTCGGCTCTGAGCGGGCATATAAGCCTTTGGTCACGGAGAGATGTTACGAGATCGATGCTGCGACGACGACGAAGAAGTAGAAGAAGATAAAAGACGGTGCGGTGGGGTGTCAAAGATATTGATCGTGCGGACGCGACTTTGTATGTTTTTATAGATCAGCGTTGGGCCGGGGCCACCTTCGGGAAGACAAAAAGGCTTTTCATTTTTTTCATCACCATATCTTTGGATGATGGGTACCAGAGCGAATGGGAGCGAGCATGAGAGAGCTATGATGAGCTTGGTGAGATTCAAGGGGCGAAAATACAGATAGATACCTTGACGGCTTGGATGGCCTGTCTGATATACCAGTGGATGAAAAGACAAAAAATGAAAATACTAAAACTTATGATTGGTGTTTTGAACCAGAAGTGACAAGATGGTTGCAAGAGATATTTGGAAGCTGCTTTCTGCGTGGAACTGTGGGAATATAACAGCAGTGTGGCGCATTCCGCTAGCTTCGGGACCACCTCTTTGCGTAGCTTTCTGTTTTTGTGAGATTTCCATCTGCCGTCTCTATCCTTTTGCCTTGCTTGACCCTACTCGCCTATCACTTCCGTTCAGTAGGTGAGAGAGGGGAGGATGGCCTCGCTGCTGATCATTCCGATGTAGAAAGGCATGGTTCCGATGACGGTTTTGCGATTGGCTTTGATGAGGATTTTACAATTGCCTTGGATCATGATGATTGTAGCCTTTTTTGCTGGGTGGTGTCCATGATTAGATATATTCATACTTTTCATGTGTCGATGTTCGACCAAGACTGAGCGAGGTTACCTCTCAAGAAAATTGTAGCGTTTTCAGGGCGCAACTATTATTGATGAAGTTTTCCCTGAATGTGCTGAGCTTTGGTTCATTGTGAAACTCTATCTGAGTTTCCATGAGTCTCGTTGAAGTGCTGGACACTGCAACAGCTTACCTCGCTTGTAATGTAAACAAACCCACTGCGTGGGTAATCACACGTGATGTGGACCCTGAAACGAACGCGGCCCACTTTGCCAGCCTCGCCATTTCGCGACACCCCTATGTTTCAAGCCTTGACACCTTGAGCTCTTCAACCATAACTCTAAACGTAAGTTGCTCTTATTCCTTTCTCCTCACCCATTCTCTCTAGCAATTATCACTCTTCACATCTCGTTGGGAAGTTCAAATAAAATACCATGTTCGCAAAACTCACCACAAAGATAGCTCTCCGCAAGGCGGGAATTCCATCCAATGCGCTTTCAGTCCCAGACTTCTCAAGCCAGCCAAATGGCTCCAAAGACGGCAATTCGAATGCCGCGCTTCCATTCGCAAACCCTTTCAAAGATCTCCAGGTCCCAAAGGCTTTGAAATCATGGCAGACGCCACCGCCGCCTCCTGTAGAGGTAGCAGACTCGCCAATTCTAGGGACTAGAGCACCGAATTCGATGAAGTTTCGATTGCCAGCTGAGGATGGAAGGAGCACGATTGTGGTATTTCTGAGACATACTGGGTGTCCTTGTGTGTTTGCCCCTTCAATATCTGAACATCCTTTTCCCCAGTAGTGAACTCTTTGAAATGCGCGTTCACTTACACATATTGTCAAACCAGTCGCCGAAAAGAACTTCATCGAGCTCCGTCGTATAGCCAATAAATACCCACAACTACACTGCGTAGCCATCTCGCACGCCTCAAAAGCAGCAACAGATCGATGGCTCACGCAGATTGGTGGAGCTTGGGCAGTCAAGGTCGTGGTCGATGAGGAGAGGGAGGTGTATGCTAGTTGGGGACTGGGCGTTAGTACGACGTACCATTTGTTGAATCCGTGGACGCAGGTCGCGATTAGGAAGCTGGGTACGAATGAGAATATTTGGGCGAGAGAGGTGGATCCTAGTGCGAATAGGTGGCAGGTTGGTGGGTGTTGGGCGACGGATGAGAGTAAGTGCCGTTTATATATGTCAGTTTGGCTTGTGCGATGTGGTTCCTTCTTCGGAACCTTTGAGAGATGTCGTTTCCTGATGCGACTTTCGGGCTGTCAAAATGACATTCGATGTCGCGTTGCTGGGAGGTTGGCGTTGTCTAAATGTCATGCCACTTTCGTATTTTCCCCTTGGAGAGTTTAAGCGGTCCTTGAGTGGTATTTCTGAGATTTGAAATATCTCGCTCTACTTATCACACTTGCTAACTTTCTTTAGTGGGTTCGGTACGATGGGGTGCTGCAAGCCGGACGGCCGATGAGGTTCCAGATCTGGTTGAAGGGTGCAAAGTCCTAGGATTCTATTAAAGTGTGAGTTCTGTCCTAGGCAATCTTTCTGCATGCCAATCTGATATCAATCAGAATGTACAAATAGTCGATTGCCATGGCTTGGATCCAGTCATCCAAGTTAGAAAAGATACCCACACGTGAGTTTGCGGATAGCCGGTGAAAGCGGATGAGCCAGGATCTGGCATTGAGTGTGCCCGTTCGTCTCACTCCACTTCTCACACCTTCATAACCTTGCATTCACAAAAAGAGTGGAAACGTATTCGCGGCATCGGAAAGTTCTGATGCAAAATCTCTCAGCTAAGCATTTCCATTACCTGTTCGATGATCCACTCAATATCCTTGAAAACTTCCTGGCCAACAGAGTGTCTTCCTGTTGAGCCGCAGCGGAGCCTTGAGTTTCCGTCATTGGAGTCACTGAACTGCATCACATACAGACCCTGATTCAGCTATGAAGTATATTTAGAAAGTGGGTGATTTTCTAATCGTGCGTTCATTTGTTTCTCCTTGTCATCTTGTTCTGTTTTGAAATCCTCGTTGTTGTACATCAGTCAGACACAAATGGCAAACAACATCTTTGCTTTGGTGACTGTTTCCACAATGTTTCTGTTGTTTGAATAATTCTTTGACTCTGTAGCTTTATATCATGACCGATGAGCAAGTAGAGATTGATAGGGGCGGGGAGGGAGGGAATGAAGGAAGCACTGGGCAAGCTGAGAGAAGTCCGATTCGACCAGTCGCGAGCACGCCAGCTCAGGATCTCGGCCCAAAACTTGCGCTTCCAGCTGTAAGTCACGGAAATGGGACCTTTAGGAATGGTTATTGGTTCTATGGACCTTGGTGTGGACCGATATCTGGGGCGATATTTGGGTGGTTCTTGTATGATGCGGCGATCTTTGTTGGGGTTGAGAGTCCGGTCAATTATTCGAGGAAGAGAATGGCCAGGGCTTGGAAGAAATCAAGGATTGAGAAGAAGGTTAGAAGGGGTAGAAGGAAGGTGAAGTTCGGGGGCGAGAAGGGAGGGAGGATTAAGATGGGTGATGGGGCGAAGCTGTAATGGGAATTTGATGATGTGATGTTATGATCTCGCCGATTCTAGAAGTGTAGACTTAGGTAATATAGACCTGGTGTTTGGACACACACTTTAAACCAACATTTCTACACAGATTTGGCAATGGGTATGAATATCTCAAAGATATTGGCACTTTTGAACGAAGTAAACATCATCCTTCCGCTGCCAATTGTGCATTTTTCTTCATCCGTGTAATTGTAAGATGGATACACTGTATGTTCATGGACAAGACATCAAGATCCAAACAACTTTCTCACCACGGAGTTGCCCTCGGCCCTTGAACGTCTCTCCATTGCCCATTCTCCTTCACTCCCTCCCTACTAACCCTCCCCTCCCTCTCCGCCCCCTGCACAACCTTCTCACCAACCCCCATCTTCCTGAATCCCCACTTGCCCACTGCCCACGCCGTGCCGATCCCCAAACTCCCCAATATCGTCGGCGGCGCAAGCAAGAACCCAACCCCACTAACCATGCCCCCAAACGCCGTCGCCCCCAGCGCAGCAACAATCGACCCTACAAGCGCATATTTCGCGTACCGTACTACACGCCAGAATATGAAGATGCTTATGTATCGGAGAGAGCGCAGGAGTGCGCGTGTCCGTAGATGTGCGGGTCGTGGTGAAGTGGGTGAGTCGGGCGCAAAGAGGAAGTGAAGGTTTGCTTTGGCGGAGTGGAGGGCGCTTGAAGAGCGGATTGTTGCGCGTGCTTCTGTGGAGCTTTGGGATGTTGAGGAGAGGTCTTCGGGCGGCGGGCCTCTGGAGGGAGACATTTTGTTATTCGTTGGTAAAGAGCTGTTGGGGAATTTTGTTGATTCTGGTGTTGCTGAAAGTTGCTGGAGCTCGCGCGTTAGGTGACCAGCCAGTGATGTCATTAGCCTTGCCAGGAAGCGCCATCACGCTTACTGCTTTGGGAGGTTCACTTACCTATGTTTTATTTATATCTTGATTCAAAGCAAGTAACTATCTATCTTGGATTGGTAGATATTTTTTTAAAAAAAAAATGTGGCTGCAAAATATAGATTGGAGCATCAACGTATTTCATCTTGTCTCCATAAAAACGTATACTTTATCCCCACCCTGTCTCGGCTAAATTTGTTTACCTCGCTTCTACTTATTCTCCGCTTTCCCTGCCACACGCTCAACCTGCTCGTCCTCCGCACCCTGAGCCACGATCTTGTTCTGAGTAGCATCAAGATTGGCCACAATGACTTCGTCTCCGAAGATAGCAGCGATTTCCTCTAAGCTCTTGCCTTTGGTCTCGGGGAACATGAGGAAGACCACAATAGCTCCGACAGCGTTAGTACAGATAAACAAGGAGTAGTATTTGTACCCGACAGAGGCAAATGCAATGGGTGAGACTTGATTAAAAACGATGTTGACCAAGACGTTGGAGCAGACTGATATGGCGGAACCCTTAGCACGGATGGCCATTGTCATAATTTCTGGGACGTAGATGTAGTGGATAGAGTTGTATCCGAGAGAGTAGCTGAATAGTTAGTGTTTATCCTCTCATGGCTTCATTTGAGAGAACTTACATGATAGAGAAGCAGAATATGAATGCAATTCCGAATCCCTTACCGATAACATTACTGGTCTGACTGAACGCTCCGGTCATGGCCATGACAAGTCCCATGTCCACAGTCATGATAATGCCTGTGATCCAAAGGGTCTTCTTCCGTCCCCAGCTGTCGACAAAGTACAGACAGATTACATTGGCAATCGGACCAACCATTCCATAAATACTCGCCAGCAATGTGACGTTATGACCGGTAATGCCCAATCCCTTGTACAGATCCGTCTGGTAATAATTGATGACGTTAATACCGGAAAGTTGTGTGAAGACTTGGACAAGAATTGCAAGTATGAGTCTCTTCCTATTGCTGGGCTTGGTGAAGAGATCGGAGAAGCTTCGAACTGAGACACTGTTCTCGAATCGGATCTGATCTCGCATTTGGCTGAACTCGGCTTGGAAGAAAGATTCGTCTGCGCCAATGTTTCCGTGAAGACGTTTGAGCACGGTGTAAGCCTCGTCATCGCGTTCTTTCTCCATGAGCCAGCGAGGGGAGAAGGGAAGCCAGAAACTTCCTGCTAGAAGGATTACGGCCGGTACGCATTCTAGCGATGGTCACTACGGTGTTTTATGGATGGAAAAAGCTTGATAACTTACGGAAAGCCAGTGGAAACCTCCATTGGAAGTCATTCGTTGCATAGGAACACCCGAATCCGATCCACTGTACACAATCAGAACATTGGCCAGCGCAGTGGGTGACTGACTGGTGCTTACATTCGAGACTGCAAAACCAACGCCAACAAACTGTGCATGCAGACCCGCGATCATTCCCCTCTTCGCAGGTGGTGCGATCTCGCTGTTATATATTGGTATAGTCATATCTAAAAACTCAATAAGTGACGCTTAAGTGGATTTTTGTGAGGTACTTCTTACTCATGATACCAACTGCAACTCCCCCAATAAAACGGCCCGCAATTAGCATTCCAACATTAACAGCAGCGGCCTGGATAACACCAGCAATGATAGCGATGATCGATGCAAATTGAATTGTCCTTTTACGTCCTATGGTAAGTTAGATCATGATATCACAAAATGTGGGATAAGCTTTACCCCAAGCGTCGGCTGCCCATCCAGCAAATATGACTCCGAAGAATGAGCCAGCACCGAAGATACTGACGACAGCACCTTTGATTGAAGGTGTAAATGGAGCAAACTTTGTGAGGAAACTTTGGTGGGATATGGTAGTCGATATCACACCAGAGTCAATCCCATAGAGAAGAGAGCCGACTGCAGCGAACAAACTACAGCCCCAAGTGTACAAATTGACAGACTGATTTTGGTTTCCCATCATGAAGATTCCTGACTGACGGTGAAGAGAGTGTTGAGATCTTGTTGAGCTAAACATGAACATATCAAAGCCCAACTTATATGTTCCTGGCACTCCGCCGCGTGTTTCGATTTCTGACTTACTGTTCTGGGACTGATTCCCATATCCAGAACCCCGGGTCGAGATTTCCACCCTGCAGTCAAGGATCTCATGTCTGTCTTGCGGGGTAATTTTTTCCGTTACACCTACCCAGCGAATTGGCTACGAGTATTTTGATCCTCACTTCGCCCTTCGCTGCATTGTAAGAGCGGAGTGCAAATAGCAATTGTGGAGTTGAGGGGAAGCTTCAATAGCCGTTCCGTAAGATAAGCGGCATGCCGGTCACAGCTTGCTTTAACCAACAATGTAGCGGCAGTGTGTCGGGAACATCGAATGATCCGATTTCGTGTCAACTTGATCGGCCGGTTAAATTCATGGGTAGAATTACGACTTGCAATTATTCTCCAAAGGAATGCTAGTGAGCAAAGAGGCTGACATCGAGGTCTACTTCCTCAAGACTCTGTTTACAGGGGAGGGAAACGAGTTCGCTTGTTGGATTTGCAAATGCGAATTTATCTTCTGCGGCGACGTATTCTCAAGTATATTCACGAAAGTATGACAGCTCGATCGAGATTCGACGCCATTTATGAGAGCTCACTCCGAATTATCGATCTCTTCGAAGATCACCATTTCCTGCCCTCGAGACCTCGGGTCTTTGGAGCCATCTTGGCGCGTGTAATACGAGTCAACATCCCACCTTTGAGGCTGCAGCACAAGTTGGCGTCGGCGTAAGTATATTATTACTGGTTGCAGCACCGCTCATTCAATTTCCACATCTGGGAAAGTCCTTACGAGAAGCCGGATAAGAAAGCGGTTGCGTACAGCTTGGCTCATGACAGCTTGGCAAAATTACGCAATGCAAGAATATCGGAGTCGCTGCAACGTACATAATCAAAACATGACTTGGACAGATCCAACAAACGGGGCTCTTGAACTTGGAGAACCCCACTTGAAAGTCATCTTGGCATACACAATACGAAACTCTGGATAAATACAGCGGATAAATGCAGCTTCAGCTGTGTCGAGTTGGGATACACCAAGAAAACCAAAAACAATGGGTTGCCGAAATAGGAGCCAAATGCAACCCGTAGCCGAAGACTTCAATAAAAGAGTAATTCATGATGCCAATCGACCGCACATCATATCACTACAGAATTACCACGTTGATCAACCATGGTGAAATTCTCCCACGGATGTTGGCATCCTGCCCAAGATACCCTCATCGACTGGGCTGTGGAGGTCATCAAGTCGGAAGTTCGGGAAGATAATGTTCATTTCGTAACAGTAAGATATTTCTAAATCAAAACCACGTCGCATATAATGAATAACGGCAGTGTTCAAAACCAATAAACCATAGGGGAGACTCTCTCAACAACCCCACGTTAACCCACAACCTGAGTTCACCTATGGATGATGTTCTCTTGCTTTCCTCGAGTCACTGGAAAGCACAAAAGAGCATCACAAGTGGACCTCACTTTGAGCTGTTTCCACACGGCCAACCAAAATCCAATGTGTCCACTTCAAAATCAACATCAGCATTGTCAATCCAATCCGGAAATTTGAAGTCCACTGTCAATACTGGCCCGAAAGCATTCAATATCAGCTTTGAAGCCAATGGGGAAATTTTGTCAGAACTTGGATGGCGTTCTGTAGGTTATGTGAAGGAGAACACGACTGCTTTGCACCCAAAGGCCAATTATACCGACCCCAACAAAGGAAAACGATGGGTTACATATCAACTAAGACTAGCCGTTGGCGCCAAAGTATTCGGTCTAGGCGAGAGATTCGGCCCATTTCAGAAGAATGGCCAGGTATGCTTTGTCAAGACTATGTTCACGTGTCTCCCCTAACTCGATTAGAATGTAGAGATGTGGAACGAAGATGGCGGAACCGGCTCAGAGCTCACTTACAAAAATATTCCATTCTTCTTGACTTCAGCTGGATATGGAGTTTTTGTCAACAGCCCCTCGTTCATTTCCTTCGAGATCCAAACAGAGCGTAAGCCATTTTCGAGGCAGCACATTTGAAACTACTGACAACCTCAGGTACAACAAGAATTAATATTGCGATTCCTGGAGAGAAGCTTGAGATCTATCTCATCCATGGCTCTACTCCGAAAGATATCATACAGAAGTACACAACCATCAGCGGACGGCCAGCTCTGCCGCCTGCTTGGACTTTCGGTCTTTGGCTTAGCACAAGCTTCACTACAAATTATGACGAGGCAACTGTGAACAGCTTTCTTAACGGGATGGCTGAAAGAGACATCCCAACTGGCGTTTTTCACTTTGATTGTTTCTGGATGAAAGGATTCGAGTGGTGTGACTTCAAGTTCGACAAGGATATGTTTCCCGATGCGAAAGGTCAGATCAAGAGGATTAAAGAGAGGGGAATGCATGTAGGTGATATGACCTGAGATATGAACGTCACTGATGTTACAGGTGTGCTGCTGGATCAATCCATATATTGCTCAGGAAAGCGAGATATTTGATGAGGGCGTTGAAGGAGGATATTACCTTAAGCGCAGCGATGGAAGTGTCTGGCAATACGATTTCTGGGTTAGTTGGCGGTTCAGCTTGGCACCAGAATTGAGAACTTACTTCTTCGCAGCAAGCCGGAATGGCTTTCATCGATTTTACCAACCCTGCTGCGTGCAAATGGTACCAAGATAAGCTTCAAGGCTTGGTCGAACTAGGTGTTGATTCTTTCAAGGTCTGTCTCTCTCTCCAACATGTACAGTAGAAGCTGACGAAAGGCAGACCGACTTTGGTGAGCGTATTCCAACAGGTGATGCTGTCTATTTTGACGGTTCCGATCCCGCAAAAATGCACAACTTTTATCCGTATCTCTACAACAAAGTGACCTTCGAGGTCCTAGAAAAGGCTTACGGTAAGAACAATGCGGCGCTATTTGCTCGCTCAGCAACAGCAGGCGTTCAGCAATTCCCCGTGCATTGGGGAGGTGACCCATTCAGCACTTTCGAGGCAATGGCCGAAACTCTTCGCGGTGGCCTGAGTCTCGGCCTCTGTGGGTTTGGATACTGGGCTCACGATATTGGAGGATTCGAAGGAAATCCTGATCCGGCTCTATATAAACGCTGGATCGCTTTTGGTCTGCTATCTAGTCATTCACGACTACATGGTAGTGGAAGTTATCGTGTTCCGTGGCTAATAGATTCCACTGAAGAAGCATCGGCTGTTCTGAAGAAGTTCGTCAACTTGAAACATAGTCTGATGCCTTACCTCTACTCTTCGGCGATTCAATCTCACAACACAGGCCTTCCTATGTTACGAGCGCCATTCCTGGAGTTTCCGGAGGATCGCAGTACTTGGCATCTTGACACTCAGTATTTGCTTGGAGATTCTCTCCTGGTAGCACCGGTCTTCAATGCTGAAGGAACTGTCGAATACTATCTTCCTAGAGGGAAGTGGTATGGTTTGATTGACGAACAGATCCGGGAGGGTCCTGGTTATATCACTGAAAAGCATGGGTTCGACAGTTTGCCGTTGTTGTTGAGACCAGGGACTGCCCTGGTGTTGGGTAAAGGTGGAAATAATGTTGTCTATGACTGGGCAGATGGTTTCAAACTATTGATCAACCCAGTCGAGGGCATGAATTCCGACGTTGAGGTTCCAGACCACAAGAATCTTGGGCAGGTGAAAGCGGTGATCAAAGTGGAGGTCAAAGATGGCTTGGTGAGACTGAGCATCCTGAGGGGTGACTTGATTGAGGGATGGTCCATCAAAATTTCTGGGCAAGTTATTCAGGAAGATCATTTGAAACCGGATCGGAAGAATTCTAGCGAGATGGAGATCGTGGACAATGAAATTGTTGTACGCAGTGCTGCGTTGAAGAGTCTTCATATTAAACTTGTGTAGACTAGTGGGTGCTGCGGCTACAATGCAGAAATTTTGTTCTCATGCCTCTGAAATAAACCAATACAGCGAAAGGAATGGTTACGTGGTGACATGCCATTCACTTGACCGAGGAAGTGCCGTTTGAAATGTATTCAAACTTTTTGTAGATTCCTACATGAGTGTCAAGCGATCTACGTATCCTGCTGTATTGTGAACGTGAATCACAGAAGCGAATAGCACCAGTATGATGGAAGCTGAACATCAGCACTTTATTCCTCCTACACAGATGTCAATAACTCTATATAATCCAATTTTGCAGCATACAACTAGACAACCAGATGATGCCAACGGTTATCAGACATTGATTAGTATTTGCAGTCCTTGCCCAATGACTAGATGTCTCACCAGAATCATATAATGTTGAAATAAACAGAGAGTTAACTTAATTCTGAATGTCACTTACCAAACGCACTTATGATATGAACATATGTTGACTTGAAAGCCTGGCTTGGTTAATGGATTGCCCCAGTCCTCCTTGTCGAGCTCGCTAATGAATCTTGACAACAAGGTGAGGACAAGGCTATGACCGTGTCAACAAGGACCAACCATCACATCATACTATCTGCAACTTCAGAGTCAAGTTAAGACATCGTTAAACAGTAGAGTAATACGGTGACTAGTTGGAGAGTCTGCGAAAAGTCGTCACTAACGAAAGAGGGCACACCTAAACTCTACCTTCTCATCTTCGCCCTATCAGAGCTGGTACATGATATTCTGTGTACAGTCGGATGTGAACAGATTCCGACATATTGAGCAGGTCCATGATGACGTTCGCGACATCACAATGTCAGCAAGGCCACTCAAAGGGTTACTTCCCCTTCTCCGCTTCTGAGACGACATCGGAGCAATTGTGCCAGCTCATTTCGAGTCGCCTTTCATTGAAACTGAAGCTACACGTGAGATCGCACATCCAAGAATATCTGCAAGGTTGCAGAAATCGGGTTGTCTCTCTTCTTCCACGGTGAGCTCCAGAACCTGCGACAACCCACCAAAAATACCAGACAAATCCCCACACTCCCTCTACCAATACCACTGCATTTATCTCCCATATCGAAGCAGACACTATACGCATAGAGTCCGATCCCAGCCAAAAACAACTACAATATGGAGCGCCTCATCGTACCCATACTCAAGCACGGCGGTCTCATCCGTGAGATCAGTGCAACGGAAGAAACCAGAACCTACGAAAATGACAGAGCTAGAGTCAAGAACGTCAAGAAGATGTTGTACATGGGTCAATCACAGATGCTTGTGCCTTCTCACCATCACTATCGTCAAAGCCAGTACCAAAGCCAGAACCACAGCCGAAGCTACAGCAATACCTTAACTGCACTCTCGGATTCTTACATCTTGACTGGCAGCGAGTTCCTCCAACTGAAGTCAAAGCCATACCTCACTGGATACGAGAGCTGGCGCGCGGAGAAGGAACTTAAAATGGCTCTGGAGACGGACATGTTCAAGATTCAGCCAGCTAAAGACGAGGAGGACAACGAGAAGGCAGGCGATAAGACGACTAAGAACAAGGATAAGTCCAAAGACAGCAGTAAGACGAAGGCGAAGGAGGACGTGAAGAGCAGTACGGTTTTGCAAAACAGCTGTAAGAAGATCCAAAGGCAGACGGGAAGCCCAGTTTTGCAAGGCGAGTACAGGAAGATACATACCGAGGAGGCAAAGGGCAAGGAAAAGCAGCCGACAGCTCTACCAAAGGGGCCCACGAGCAAGAGACTTCGTAGCCGTGAAGAACTCGAGTGTGAGTGGAAGGCAAAGGAGGACCGAGACATCACCGGACGTGCGAAAATCACCAACAACTACGAGGATGTGATGGAGATGGAGGCGCTCCGCAGCATGGATGGTTTCAAGCCGTCGTTGCTAGGCGTCGTTTTGGAGGATTACCAGCGTGGACAAAGCACCGATGAGGAGAGCGAAGAGGAGGATTCGAACACAGCTCGCAGAAACCAGCAGGAGCGAGTCACTCGACGTGGATACGGTGAGAAGGAGATTGAAACTTGAGGGAAACGTTACTGGAACGACTGGCAATGCAAAGAACGACGCTCGCAAGAAGGTCACTACTCGCAATGCAAATGACTTGCAAAAGGATGCCGAGAATAATCCAAGACAATAAGCAGAACAGAAGGAGGACAGCGGCAATGCACCCAAATGGGTCCCGAGGCCAACATACAGACCTACATATCAGCGTCCTCTGAAACGGTAGAGCTCTGTCAATACCCTACATGTCCAAGTTTTCCAAACACAGCATGAAGCATCAGAACTGAAATACAAATGAGATTTCGTTTACTAAGGCATTAAGCTTTCTTCTTGTTGGATCGGCCTCTCCTGGGCTTCACCTCCACCTTCTCCTCCGCCGAGCCGTCATTTCCTCCATCTTCGTCATCCTCGGCTTCAACAATCTCGCCAGATCCCGAATCATCCTCTGTAGCCTTGGTCTCCTCACCGGATGTTGGACTCGCGGGCTCCTGTGTCTCAATTCTTTCTTTCATTTCCTGTACGATTTTCACGGCTTCATCTTCCTCGCCGTTCATGGCTCCACATCCAAAACACCGCCATCTCCCAAGGTCTGACAGGGTCTTTGTTCCAGGAGGAGCTTGGCCGTTGACAAGCCGACAGTTTTGGCATATCAACGCCACTCGATTCTTCGGCGACGTCTCGTCTTCTCCTAGCAACAGATCCAACACTCGATCATACCAATTTCCACCAGAAACAGACTCTGTACTTTGTGCATATTGCGGGGGAGCCGAGTAGGCGTTTGGTGCGAATTCTGCCTGTGGCGCTGGTCCGGCTGGTACGGGCCGGGCCTGCGGTGTTTGTGGTTTTGGCGACGAATATGGCGAAGGAAATAAATGCTGGGGAGGGGTTTTTTGGGGGACTGGCTGCGGAGTTGAAGGTTGACTTGGGACCTGGTCAGCACGATAAATATTTGCCGTAGCAGGTGGGCCCATAGAAGTCCTGTTCGGCTGTTTCTGGATCTTTGGGCCTTTTGGTGCAGCTGGCTTCTTCGGTTTCGGTGTGGCTCCGCCATATTTCTCTAATAACTCTTGTGTGGAGTTGTATTTCGTAGCTGCCTTCAGCTTCTCTATTGTGGTTGTCCTTTCGGCTTGCTGGTCCTCTAGACGCTGCGTGACGGTATCGATCCGATATGCATAGTAGGAGGTAATCCCACTACGAACAAGATAAATGCTGCGATAGTTAGTCCCATGGCACTTTTCACGCAGAGGTTGAACATTTGCTGCCTACATCATAGGAGCCCCAGAGAGAGCTGTGTATTCCACCACGCCCCAGTTCTTCCACCCGACTACCAGGAACATGACCACAAAGCATAACAGATATGCGAAGCTGGTATAGAGAGTCCATAATGCCTTGAAGCGTCGCTGGTGCTGTCTCAGGGAGTCTAGCTGTCCTTGAGATTTGGTGATTTTGTTCGCAAGGCTGATGAGGGACTTCTCGAAGCTCGCAGGAGAGTTTGCTTCGCCCTGTAGAAGTTAGGATAAATGTCAATACTGCAGGATGTAACTCTTACCTTCCATGGCCACAAGGATACCATTTTGCAGCTATCTTGTTGTCATTGTTCGGTGGTGAAGACGGAAGAAGAGCAGGCTTGTCTGTCAACAGTGAGTGACGCGGGAGGGAAGTGGCTTTGAAAGAGCTGGGGCTGCCTGTCAAAATGCCAAGCCCAGCCTTGGGCCGCGCCGTCCCAAAGTCGCGACACTCTGTCAATGCTCGAGTGCCAGATATGTCGCTTTGGACTGTTTTACCTTCACTTATCCATTTCTAGTACCTTTCGCAATTGTCACATTTATGCCATGCTCTTGTTAATTTGTAGTTGTCGTCGCAATTAAAGATTTAATACATTGGGCGAAACATGTTCCAAGTAAGCATTTCCCCAAACTGTGACAGCCTTGGGGTTACAAAATCTAACCTCTCAACAGCGACTGAAAGGGGCCATAGATTCCCGCATTGCTGAAGAACAAGCTCGTGCAAAAGCGGCTCCTCCTGTGGCAAGGTCTGCATCAACAGCTCGAAGGTCCAATTCAAGAACCGATTCTCCCGCATCGAAACCAAGGCGACCTCGGCCGAAGGACAATGAAGGCTCAACTGCGCGAGGTCCAGACCCTTCCGAATTCGAGAACGCCTTTGTGATAGAGGACGAGTCTGAGGGGCCTTCTCGCGTAGGAACGCCTGCAATTGGAGATGAGAAATCACCTCAGTCAGCGGACACAATGACTCCCGCTACGAGCGTGTCTGGGGAAGGGGGAGAGAAAGCAGGGGAAGCGTCTGCAGATGCGCCAGCAGTTCCGGTGCCGGTTGAACTACCTCCAGATGTTCGGACAAAGTTACGGAAGCTCGAGAAAATGGAATCTAGATACGCGGGCAAGTGGTGAATCCTCGTGGGAATATCCCAAGCTAACAGCTTGCCTAGACCTTCTGCGATCCTACCGTATAGCGCATGCTCGAGCAGTTTCGATAGAGCCATTTGAGAAGGCTTTGAAGGAACACACACCACTTGCGACGATTTCCGACCCAGATGCGCTGGTAGAGTACCTGAATCAACTCAATCTGAAAGGGGATATGGTCATGGATGAATTCAAGCGGGTCTCTGCCGACCGGGATGAATACAAGAAGAAGTTTGAGCAATCCGAAAAAGAGGCTTCTGAGGCCAAGGAGGAGCTCGCAGCTCTCAAAAGTGCTAGCGGCGCCAGCGCCGATGCCCAAGCTGAAAAAGCAGATACTGCGAGCATTGATACCCCGACTGCATCAGTAAAGTCTCCGGCTTCTTCTGTCATGAGGATTTTCTCTCCGAAACAGAAACCCGAGACCACGGACAACAAGGACATCAGCGAAGAGTTCTTTTCATACGATGATGAAATTCCAAGGTTGCAGACTGAGCTCAAGGAGAAGACTGCAGAGGTTGATGAGCTTAAAACCAAAGTCTCGTCTCTTGAAAAAGACCTGGAAACCGCTCAAGAGTCAAGTTCTGGGCTAGTAAGCGACCTCGAGAAAGCCACGAGGGACCTCAATGCGTCAAGAGAAGCTGTTACTGAAGGACAAAGCCTTAGAGAGAAGATTGAATCCCAAACGGAGGAGATCCGAGTCTTGAAAGACAAGTTGCAGACCACAGAGAGCCAGCTAGCAGCTCTCGAAACCGATTTGGCGGATCAAAAGAAGGTGTCGCATGACAAGATCGCATCTTTGGAGACAGACCTTATCAGCCAGAAGGAGGCATCTGGAAAAGATCTAAAATTCGAAACTGATGCCCGCAAAGAAGCCGAGAAGCTCCACAAGAAGGTAGATGCACAAATCAAGGAGCTAGAAGCCGCCAAAGCTCTCGACCTTAAGAGGATAGAGGAGCTTTCGGAGGAGATCAAATCTCTGAATAAGCGAGCCGAGGAGGCTGCAAATCACGAATCAGAAGAATTAAGCAAAGTCGCACCCACGCCAACGTCCGAAGCACCTGCTCAGGCAGCAGCGACAGGAGCAGCGAAGAAGAAGAATAAGAAAAAGAAGAAGGGTGCCAATGCTGCAGCATCTGCTTCTAAGGATGAACCAACAGAAACAGCCCCGGAATCAGTGCCATCAACCCCAATCGCCACCGACCTGCAAGCCGAGGTGGAAAGGTTGAAAGCAGAAGTCGTAGATCGTGATTCACAGATTGCAAAGCTACAAAGCAAGCGGAAAACAGAGGAAGAATTGCGTGAGGAGCTCGAAAACATGCAGGATAATTACCTCAATATCGGCCAAGAGCATGTGGAAGCTAAGGAGTTGATCAAGACTCTCCGACAAGAGAAGAAAGATCTTGAGGAGAAGATTGCCAATCTGGAGAAGGAAATTGATACTTACAAGACTCAATCCAAGGATTCAGAAAAGGCTGAAGCAGACTTGAAGTCTTTGACAGTAGAGTACGAAGAATTGAAATCAAAGTCTGCCACTCTTCAGACCGACCTTGGAGCAGCCCAGCAATTGGCTACCTCTAGATACAGGGATTTAACGGATCTTCGGGATGTCTTGCAGAAAGCCCAACCGGAGCTCAAATCTTTACGCACCGAGAATGCGACTCTGAAGGCGACCAAGGACGAATTAGCTGCCAAGACATCGGATCTTAGACGTCTGGAGGCCAGAGAAAGAGATCTTAGATCAGATATCAATAGCTTTAAGAAGCAAGCTGGTGACAGCCAAAACGAGATACGGACGCTGAATGAAAAGGTCACACAAGAGACCAACGCCCGCTTGCGGGCCGAAGATCAAAATCGTGTTGCACAGCGTGACATGAGAAGGGCGGAAGCAGAGAAGATTCAGCTTGCAGCTTCTGGAGAAAAATCATCCACAGAGCTCGCCAAGGTTCAAGAAGAAGCTGGGAAGCTGAGAACCAAAGTTCGGGACCTTGAAGAACAAGTTGCGAAACTCACCAGTGAGTCCAAGGGGCTCAGGGAAGAAGTTGAACTTCGTGGATCTCAATATAACAATGCACAAGGACTACTAGGTAGCATGCGCGACCAAGCCGGTGAGATGGCTATGCAACTCAAAGAAGCAAAGGAGCAGACTGAATCACTCGAGGAGGAATTAGCCGAAGTTCAACGCCTTTTGAGTGAACGTACTCGCGAGGGCGAGACGATGCGACGTCTTCTCGCTGACGTCGATGACAGAGCAGACGCCAAGGTTCGGGACATGAGAGAACGCATGGAAGCCGCAATCGAGGAGCGAGATCGTGCAGAGGACGAAGCTAGCACGAATGGCAGACGCAGAGCACGCGAAGTGGACGAACTCAAGGGACGTATCAGAGACTTCGAACGTGACCTAAAGCGAGCCAACGATGAAAAGGGAGAGCTTGAACACGCTGAAAAAGAATGGAAGCGCAAGCGCAACGAACTGGAAGCCGTCGCCGAGAATGCTACCAAAGATGCTGGGGAAGCCCGCTCTGCCATGACCGAGCTTCGCAATGCCCTAGATGGCAGCGAGAAACAAGCTCGGGACACTGAGAAGCAACGAGCTGATCTCCGCCGCATTCTCGATGAGGCTAATCAGAAATACGAGAAGTTGCAGAAGGACTTCAGAGCACTGCAAGCCAAACAGTTGAAGCTAAACGAGAGTAGCTCGAGGAGTTCACTTGACAGCGGACGCTCGAGTACGCCGGTTAATGGGTCTGCACAAGCCGGGAAGATGGATTATGTGTACTTGAAAACCATTCTCTTACAATTTTTGGAGCAGAAGGACAAGAAGCGGCAAGCAGATTTGGTCAAGACCGTCCTTGGGCAGCTATTGCATTTTGATAAGTACGTAATCCCGATCCTTCCAAGCATGCGAGATTCCTCGACCTCCATGCGTTATAAGTTACGGATCTTTGTACTGACTACCATACAGAAAGGACCAAGAAAAGTGGATTGCGGCGATCTCCAAGTAAAAGTGGAAAATGGTTGTTGTGGAACGGCATAAGTGGAGTTCATATGGGACAAGCGATTATTCATTAACTAGCGAGGGAGAACTGAGACGATAGAGAGCAGTTCTTGGTGGGAAGGAATCTTTGTAGAATAGGCGAGTTGTACAATGGATTTGGATATGGGGAGCTGCTCCCTGATGCTCAACAATAGCCTGTGTAGAGCTAAATTGTCCGCAGGAGATGGACTTGTGAGAGTTTCCTTTGGTCGATGATGCGCTGCTGTTGCTGTCGATTAACGGTTGCTTCTGCCTCCTTGAAGAGATGCCATTGTTGACTCTGATTAGCGGCTTGGCGCTCTTAGGTGCTGATATCTATCTACACATCAACCAGCTACCAACAATCGGGTTGCGGAGAAAATTTGCCTGTCTACATGATGAGAGCCAATCGTAGAGGGCAGTCGCCTTCGGGTCGACCTGGCTGCACAGCATGCAGAGATGAGAAGACAATGTGTGACTGAACCAAACCTGCATGTCGTAGATGTGTAAGGGCTCGGTGGATATGTCGTTGTGAAGAAACGGCCCATGCTGGGAAGGCAAGCCAACTGTTTTGGGAGAGAGCCATTAAGTATGCTATCAGCTACTTGATGCCATATTTGACTCACATGAAGAGAAAAAAAAGGCCGAAGCAGAGTTGGCTATCAAGCTGGGCTAGACGTAAGGTGGCAGTAGTGCAACTGCGAAGGCGTTGCCTCCCTCCAAATATAATGCCATGACTAGTGTGTGGATGTCCTTCTTGGTAGGTTCAGAGTTGAGATTTGTTCTGCAATTTGTGCTGATTGTGAATGCATCCATTGTCGTGAATCGAAGATATTCGGAGCGATGTGCTGAGGGCAAGTGGAAGGCGAGATCCCGTGATCAAAACGAGGTAGAACATGGGGAGGCTTGATTCAAGACCTCTATTTTGCCATTCAATTTATTTCGAAGTCTTGATGTGGAGATAGGCAGTGAGCATGAATCAACATATTCATGGTGCAACCAGTTTTCTTTCAGCTCAACTGCTATTTTTGCAACCTCTTTCCTAAATTTTCACATCTATCAGACTTTCCTTTGATTCATCAGATTGCACAAAATATCTTCTTGAGTAGAAATTATCCGAAAAGAAAGCTTGTACTACAATCCTTACAGTCACCACTCCCATAGTCCACGTTGATGAGCTATAAATCGGCATGTAGTTTACACATCTTCAGGTTTTCATCGAACATGCTTTCCACAACTCGAGCCCCTAACAGCAAACAAAGCAGAAGAAGGACAAGTCTAGCTTGACTGCCCGAGTTGAAATACTGCACCGCCTGGCAGCCCTGAACTCAAAAACCGAGTCCCTGAAGTATACAGACATCTAGAAAACCCACATATCAAGCATGCCAAAGCTCAGACAGAATTACTACTCTTGCCCCATTTGTTTTCAGGTGTACTTCGAGGAGAAAGCGGCTTGGAAGCACTATTATAGCTCGCATGGGGAAGTGGAAATACTGGGAAGTTGTGAAAAGACAAAAATACCAGAGGGAGATAGAGAATCCGAGGGGTGAGGGGATGGAGTGGCCACGAGATTATCGTTCAGGTAGTAGAGACATGGGGTGGAACGAAAGCATGAAGATGGTAAAGGTCATAGAGGTGTGGTCGTGCTGAGGTTGGCAGGTCTAAGATCGAATAGATCTCCAGCTCTCGATGGGACGGTGGACCATGGCTTACATGGGTGAACTCTTGGAGCGAGATTCACCAAATGAGAAAATCGAAGAGCACAAACATGTAGTAATGAGAACAAAAACATCATAACTCCCTTGTTCGAACGCGAGGCGTCTCCAGAGCTGAGTCGACAAAGGCTTATGTACTGTTATGCAGCCATATTATTCTAGATTGTAGTCTCCGAACGAGGCCATTTTCGACGCAATCTATGCTTCGTATCCCACTGTAGTCATACCTCGTCATCCATAACTCATGGCCTCGTGCAAGCTTTAACAATCACATATATAGACTCGCGACGGCAGTGATATCTCTCTTGATCATCTCCTGACATGTCTGCATCTTTGTGAACAGTTCCGGATCACCAATAATCCTGGCTGCATTCTTGACCTCTCTACAAGTCTCATCCAGCCGCGTGATGACTCTCACAATGGTGCCTTCGAGCACATCTGTCAGATCAGTTATATTCTTAAAACTCATACCACGAGCCCATTCATACACCACCTCCATCAACCCGAATCGGGGACGTGAGACGAAATCATTGGAGTCATCAGCGGATAGGATGACTTGGTGGTAAGTTTGGCGCTCATTGACTTTCTCGGATATTTCGATGATGGTTTTCATGCCCCGCTCGAGATTACCTGTCAGGTTGGGAACTGTGTCGGTTTTCTCTTGGAAGACGAAGGCGGAGAGGAGGGCCACAATTTCGGCTGGCTCGTAAGGTGCGAGGACGTTATCAAGAATAAGCTCTGTGAGCACGAGTTCGTCTGCCGAGTGGATCTCGCAGGCTACCTTGCCCTTGAGTTGAACTCGGGAACTGTCGTCGATGAAATCAAGATCTCTAAGCACTTGAATTCGTTGCTCATAGTCGGGAAGCAGTTGAAGATTCTGGTCGGACATCAATTGCCTTAGTTGAGAAATATTCTCCTGGATAAGCCATTGGTCGTGACACATTGCAAACTTCCAAGCGTCAGCTAACGTTATTAGTTCAAGCATGCGGCGACTTACGTGTTTCATGAACTGTGGGCACTTCAGACATGCCGATTTCTGAGCAATTGTCGATTCCTCAAGCCGCTTCATGAGAATATCCCGCAGTTGCATGTCTTTCAATTTGTTCCAGTCCAATTCATTCCATTCATCAGACTCCCAGGACTGGCAAAGCTGCGCAAGCTTTTCCTTCGCGATTTGATGCACTTCTTTCACACCGAAGATTTCTGGTATCACACCTTTGACCACAGTATCCGTTACGCACTCAATATCTGCAACTGGAATCTGAAGGGTTTTGACGTTGACTTCCTTCTTAGTTGCAGGAAGCTTTGTGAACAACTTTCGAAACTTCGGCAAATAAGGTAGCAGATCAGTAGAGTCCCGTTGGTCTCTTCGGGTCTTAACTTCCAGTACATGTACTGTTGGAGCAGCTCCACCTGTGGCTCCCTCACGAAGGAGTATTCCGGGAGTTCGTATGCCGTCCTTGCTGTAAACAATCAGTCTCTTTGCAGAGAACATTCGCCGCCCCACAGGTGTGGCGAGAAGGCCAAGATGTAGATCTGATGTGAGTTGTTTGGCATTCTGAGAAGCTTGATGACAAGCCTCTAGATCTGGATCACAAGTGTTGCAAGGCTCGCGTTTGATCTTTGCCAGATCTGCCTCGGACACCTTGACTGCCTTTTCGTGCTCAGGAAGTAATTGTTGCGTAGCATGCTCGCTAAAACTTCGCTTGATCATCTCCTCGATCTTCAATGCCTCGACACGAAGTAAGTTGAGAATCATGTTGTACGTTAGTCTGAACTGCGAACGGAGTTTGGAAGGGTCTCCGAGAATCATTTGACGTAGTTCTGTCACTGGCGGAGCTTCGCCTCCGCCCGGCGCAACAATGATTACAGACCCCACGGGATCCAAACCTCGTCGACCAGCTCTGCCAGCCATTTGAGTGTATTCTCCAGGCAGTAAATTTCGGAAGGAATGACCATCATGCTTTCGATAGCCCGAGAAGACTACTGTTCTAGTCGGAAGATTGAGACCCATGGCAAAAGTTTCTGTTGCGAAGAGAACCTTGACCAAAGTCTGTGCGAAGAGCATCTCGACGACTTCCTTGACAATGGGAAGCATACCACCATGATGGACTGCGATACCTCGACCAAGCATATCTCTCAATCGTACAATCTGTGGTAAGAGACGATCTTCTGGTTTCAGTCTTGCAATCGACTTCTCGATAATCATGTGAATCGCACTCTTCTCGGTTGCAGTACAGAAGTCTTGGTTGCTGAGAGCATCTGCATTCTCTTCACATCGCTTCTTTGAGAAGACGAATATACATGCTGGAAGAAGTGACTCGTTTTTGAGAAACTGGACGAGATGAACCCACAGAGTCTTGTCTTGAGCAGCAGACGTTCGGCCCCCTGGTCTGCCCCCTCGACCCATATGGCCTGGAGCATGACTTGCCCGAGGAGGTCCTCCACGACCTCTCTGGGGTACCCCGCCACGCGCGCCACCTCTTTGATTCCCACCACGCTGATTTTGACCTCGACCACCGCGTCCGTTTCCGCCTCCCCGAGCATTTGCATCAGATGGTGGAAGTGCCTTGACCTTGTCTCTACCAGAGAGCACATCATTGGCATCCTTCCAACCTTTTTCGAGGAACCTTTTCTCAGCATCAACGATCTTATGAATGCCTTTCTCCGCCCAGATATAGTGCTCTAGTGGAACTGGCCGCTTTGGTGTGGAAATAACATAGATGTCCTTTCGTTTCGTTCTCCCCACCCAAGATGCAAACTCATACGTATTGGGCACTGTGGCTGATAGCAGAATCAACGTAACATGTTCCGGTAACATAATGATAACTTCTTCCCATACCACACCCCTCTCGAGGTCATTGACATAATGCACCTCATCGAAGATAACGAATTCTACATCTCTGATTAGATCAGCTCCTCGGTAAAGCATACTTCTCAAAATCTCCGTCGTCATAATCAGACAGCTTGCCTCCGGTGCAATCTGGACATCTCCAGTTAGAATGCCAACTTCATCGAAGATCTGTCTGAAATCTCGGAATTTTTGGTTACTCAAAGCCTTAATTGGTGACGTGTAAATGGCTTTTGTCATATGCTTTGCTGCAAGTGCAATGGCATATTCGGCCACCACTGTCTTACCAGCAGACGTATGAGCTGCCACAAACACTGAGTCTCCATTTTCGAGATGGTAAACGGCCTCCTTCTGGAAAGTATCGAGTTCGAACGGCCATTCTCTCGCCATATCGGGTACCAATTCTCTGAAATTCGTAATGTCCCGCTTGATATCAACCATATGAGCCCATTCTCTGCCACCCCTCTTCGAACTTGAGGCAGCAAGTACACCATGGGGTTCCAAAGCCGGAAACTCGACTGGCAGTAGAGAGTCGATATCATCTTCCCCATCTTCTTCAGAAGTATCACCCGAATCTCCTGCACTGGCCCCATTCTCCTTCGCCTGATCCAATTCAGCATCTGGCTCTTCGTCTAAGACGCCTAAAATCTCCTCTGCTTCCTTTTCGTCTCCTTCGCTCTTCTTCTTCTGCCCAAGAACCAAGCCTCGGCTTAAACCAGGCGCGACCTCAAGTAACCCTCCATCTCCAAGATTTATCACCCGCTCCAGCTTTGCCTTTGAACCTCCAGTGGCCAGTCCATCATTTCCACTCCTTAAAGCTTGATCCTCTAACGCTGCTGCAGCTTCCACACCTTCCAACCCGCCAGGCGCAAAGGGAAAGAATCCTGCCGCACCACGAACAAAATCTGCTCTGTTGGCAGGCTTGCGCAGAAACGATGTACTGTTCTTCGCCGTAGCACTATTGGCAGGAACTGTCACCTCTCTATATCCTGTCACTCTGCCAGACAGGCCTTCGCGCGTAAATCGAGTTATGGTTCGGGTTTGGGTAGGCGCTATTTTGAACAGGGTCGTGAAATCGGTGGGGGCTTCCCATCTCCTGTGGTCTATGTTAGCTCTGGCGTTGAATAAGAGCAGCAGAGTTTACTGTTGAAGCTTATTGAGCCAAGCTGCGGAGAATGAGGTAGATGGCGTAAGATATTTCTCTTCCAGCTCGCGCTTGAGGTCATCTGGGGATTGCTTGATGCGTTTGCGCGGGCGTTGCTCCTCAAGAATGGAGTCTATCCAATCGTCTGCCGTATCATCTGCGACAGTGTTTGAAAGATGGACTTTTTCAAGAGCACTGACCAGATTGTCGGCCATCGTTGTTGACCTAGAAGCACAAGTTGCGAGTGACTTCGTGGTGTTGTGTGTTCTACCAGGGCTTGGGCTAGATGTGTTGATCATCACTGGTGTCATGGGATAAGCGAATGCAAGGCTGCGGCTTACCCCGCTATCCGTTTTTGGATACCTAGGTATTTCATAACACATCAAAGCTCCAAAATCTGGTCTTAATTCCTTATCTCAAGACATGCCCATACAGGTTCGGGTATTAATTATCTTCAACGCCGCCCAAATGCAAATCCTTAGGCATAATGCACGCCAAACTCCTTTATTTCCCTCACCACATATCCATATCATTCATAGCCTCCATTTCATCTTCATCAACCTCGTCTCGAGGCGCCGCCTTATTGATAACAGGCGCGGGTTTGCTGCCAGCCATGTTTTGATTCATTTCCTCCTCTGCTAATAGAGCATCGAGCTCATCATCATCGGGTCCAAAGTCGTCCACAACCTTTTTCGCTGGTCCAAAGATACTCGCACCAGTTCCGCCAAAAAGCGAGTCTGTTTGTGATACGGTCGCTTGTACTGGTTTCGTTCTTGATGCACGTGGTGTAGCACCATACAAGTCGTCATCTTCCATATCCTCATCCACGGCTGTGCTGTCATTCGGTCCAGGTGTTTTTGGCCCGTCACCACCAGCAGCATTCTCAAAGATAGGCGCAATCCTAGGAGCAGTCTTCTCTCGTCCATCATTTTCATTTGCTGGTGGATCATTGACGGAGTCATCGTTGACTGTCTGTGGTTTCCCCTCATTGATCCATTCCATCCTCATCATCTGAATCCGTTTCTTGTGACCCATCTTCTCTACCATTGCTAGTGCGTCGAGGAATCGGGCTTTGGGAAAGAGGTCGTCGAGCCATATCTGGTAAAAGGAAAGGAGTTTGGCCGCATCGGAGTACTATTCAATAATTAGCCAAAGCTTGCTGGGAATCCTGAATACATACTTCATGACCTTTGCCCTTGAGTTTGAGATGCTGTTTAGCCCTATTCCTTAACTTTGGAATGCCATTTGCTGAAAGTAATCTTTATTGTCACTTAGCAGCTGTTGGGATCTATTATCAATGTCTCCTCACCTGTTCTCGTCCAGCTTCACTCGTGGAGCCCTTGCTTTTCTGGTGACCTCAACTTCCTCGTCAATTCCCAACCCTGCTCCACCTTTTGTTTTAGCAGCCGCATCGATCTGCCTTTGTCTCTCCTTAGCCGCAGGTGCAACATAATTATCGCTGAAAGGATCGTTCATATCGGCATCGTAGTTGAATAAATCGTCAAACTCATCTCCTCCTGCAGACGGGCCCTCAGTGGGTAGAGGGCGAGCATTAGTATCTGGCATACTGAGTTCAATATTTGAAATGACAAAATGGTTGGATTGTTCGAAATTCGCGTTGTGACTTGTCCAATAGCCTCTGATATTTTTTGGTCGAGCGTTGGAAGCTTCCTCTTGTGTCAAAGTCGCGTCCAGAGCCAGAGGTTGAGAGCGACGCGCCGAACCACTTCGGAGCTCGGCAAAACTTTATTCCTAGCCTTCGTTGTTGAAGCTTAGCAACGACAATCCAGAGCGAACCTCCATTAGAAGCAGAATACCAATTGAGACTCCCACCCCGCCGTCAAGATGTCGAACGTCGAGCAGCGGCCATTTGTGCCAGCCAAGAAGGTCGATTCTGATTATCCGGTACGTTAGTCCTCTCCACTTTCTGCTGAGATCAAAGCTAACGATATTCCCCTCAGCTCATTGACAGTGACCCGTAAGCTCTTACAGCACCTTGCTTGATTCTGAGCCGAGACCAAAGTATTGACCGCTGGCAGACATTTCAAACGAGTTATCGCATACGCGCGGAAGTCCGACTATGCTGCTGGAGCGGCGACAGCTTCCGCGGCTCCAGGATTGATGTTACTTTGGGAGAGAATTGCACCATCCTTGGTCGGAAAGGGAGGATTCGCACCTATCATGCGTCTGACAGGAGCAATTGGTTTGAGTGCCGGATTTTTGATGTTCTACCAACGATCGATACGTTCGTACTTCTTTACCCCAATTTGCATGTTTGGATCTTTTTGCTAATGGATCGGATGACAGTGCGGTTCTACGGATTCACAGAGAACTCGAGAGAGGTAGCAATGGACATGAAGGAGATGGTCGCCAAAGTAAAGAAGGGGGAGCCTCTATACGGCGTCAGTTCCACAACACCATACATCCAGGGTATGGCGAGCAGAAACTCGAGATATTCGGGTGTGTGGCTCCATGTGCTTCCTTGGTTCAACTTTGTAAACCACAATCAGCATGGTGTAGATACGGCGAAATACTACCAACAAGCCGAGAGGGAATTGGCAGCCGAGGGCAAGTGAGGGATGGAGGAAGTCTTGTTTTGTACATAGGGATTGGAACGGGGCTTTCATCATAGGTGTTAAATTTGGTTTTCTGTCTTCAGATTGGGTCTTCGGAGCTACTTGTTTGAGTGCTCGTAGATGCGACACGCTATTTTTCGAGGTTGTGCATGTGCTCGACTGTTGTAGCTGGAAATACGATCGTGAAGGGGCATTGCTGGATCGTTGTCAATCGCCTGCCTTTCCAGTCACAATGCGCTCAACCTCCAATTTCAGCACCCTATCTTTTTTCGCCCTCGGCTCAGGCGCCCTATCATTCTCCTGAACATAAAATCTCCGGAGCACAACAATAGCCTCTTCCCTCAACCAGCCCCCAGAAACCTCATAATCCTTTTCCTTTCTCCAGTGCCTCCTCCTTGTAGCCTCTTCACCCAGCACCTCCGAACCTTCCCCTTCTCCTTCTGGACACTCCCTTCCATTCTCCCTCTGAATGTTTAGAACCCCTCCTGTCCCCCCAAACTTCTCATTACTTGCTCCATAAAACACCCTCCTTACGCCGAACTGCCTAAGTAGACTAGCGCACATAATGCACGGCTCCACGGTGACATACAGATCACACTCTTTCAGGACCTCCGGACTGTACATCATGTCCTCAGACCCAGATACTCGAGGAGTTGTCAGGATCTCATTAATGCCAATGAATTCTGCATGACGGGTGCCGTTGTATGTTCGGTTCGTGGCGTTCATGCCTCGCCCGATAATGACTCCGTTATGTACGAAGACACAGCCGACGGGAGTCTCTGAGGTTTGGAGTGCGAGTTCCGCCTATTTGAGTCAGTGCTCCGATATAAGAGTCCGAAGAGAAGCTTACCATCGCTAAAGCCTCTCTCATGAATGAGAGGTGTGTTTGAATTTCTTCTTCCGTCATTGTTGTCGATGATGTGAAGAAATGGTTTGAGGCATTTGGCGGTGGGAGTGAGGGTAATGGCGAGTCCATAACCACCTAGCTTTGAGATACTCGTCTCCAGAAAGAAGAGAAAATTATCTGATGTGAATTCCCTGTACCTTTTGGTGACGGGATGAAATTTATGTTTCTGAAGGCAGCTTTTGCTCGCTAGACAAGATCAGCTCGCGCATGTCTGCTCCCCATCTCGAAATCGCGAAGAAGTTTAACATGGAATTTCACACAGTCACAAATCCATTCAAGCGCCTCCAAAACAGACTCTTCGTTCCATCACCTCAAATGCAGCAAAGCAAGGGGAGGCGAAGGAGATTTTTCCTGCAACTCGAGTCACGTGGTTTTCAACGCCGCTTTTCCAAAACTCTGGTGCCGCTTGGACGCAACAACCCTCAATCGTGATTCAGTTTCGAGCTTTTCCCGTCCGTCATGTGCAAGTTCAAATCTTGCAATATGAGTACGTTTCTTGACGTCACCTCTTCATTCATCTATTATAGGTCTTCAAAGAAATTGCTCATGTATTCTCTCGTTTGCCTCCTTGTTCAGTTTCTGCACAAGTTTTGTTTCCCATTTCCATCACCAGATGTGATATCTTGGGCATTACGGGATGTGGTAACCGTGAAAACTCCACCAAAAGACACAAAGGTAATCTTATAGATTTCAATACTATAGCCTATTAAGTAGCGACAGTTTAAGTTGTTAGGAGCACTGGAACAAAGCTGCTATCGCAAAAGGTAAACAAACAGACTTAAGCGAGCGTCTCCTGCAAAAGTCGGCCTGCGCTACCAACAAACCAGATATTAGATCAATAAAAAGAATCTGGGACATCGGAATGTCCTATCCCATCTCATATAAGCCTTCTCTGACTCATGAGAATGCCAGCTGTTGAGAGAAAATTTCATCATTGGCCACGTCTGCATCGATGTCGATGGAGCGAGAAGTCTTTTCTCCTCATCACTACCTCGTTGCTATTAGCCGTATCATAAAACAATAGTCCTCTAAACTCAATTTCGGCAATCTGAAGCTGCTCTGCCGAACAGAAATCGCTTCAAATAAGCCCCAATTCCCACGTTTCCTGCCTCAACCATACAGATATGATCGATAACACTCTGTCCATCACAACCGACCGGAGGACAAGCCAAAATAATATCAGAGATACTGAAGACTGACAAAGCTATGCTTGATCTCTGAATTCGACATGGAAATTTGGTTATGATCGAAATTAACGACTTTCTCTGGCAGAATTTTGATCCTACAAATGACAGATGGTAAAACGAAGTGGACAACAGCAGCTGTTTCCTTTCTGGGCTAGCCACGCTCAGAAAAACTCATTTCTGATTATTTACAGAACAGCAGGTATAATCGACATACAGCGGAGGGCTGCTGAGAGATCTGAGCGAAATAATAATTATCCACAAATTTGGTTTTCTGTTGGAGGCACATCAGCGCCAAGGAAACTCTGGCTGTTCTTCGCGCGGGTGCAATATATATCCGTGCTATATGCTAAGACTGCTTGCCCAGTGAGGACGAGAAGCAGGAAAATGGGCTTGTAGTCTCACTGGTCGAAGAAATGGCAAGTTGGCTAGTCAAGCTGAGACTAGACATCTCTACTGCTCCGCAAGACAAAAGATCCCTGGAGATAAGACACCATTGTGATCACTTGAAAAAAGAGACTGTAACCCCCTGGTAGCTTAGGCTGGAGTGTGGTCTTGATGGCTAACGGAACATGCATGCTCAGATTTCCATTAAGCTAGAGCATAAAGCTGTCGTCACAACAAAGGTCTATGATATAATTGTTCCTCCAAGCCCTTGACTTCCACCCATGACCGGAGGAAATCGAGTTATCTTAATATTTTTCGGCGCTCTAGCAAGAAATCCTGATGGCATAGTGATCCAGGCATGGTAAATTAGTTCTGCCAACATTTCCAAATTGACGGATCGGATCCGGGAGCGGTGACATGATTACCCGCAGCAACATCAGAGGGGCAGCAGCTTACCTTCTCACTACCGTCACATCCCCCCTACCTGACCACAACATTGCTCTTGACTTTCAGTAGAGCATTCGTTCCCTAGAAAGAAAAACGACAACCATGTCAGACTTCATGTTGTGCTCACAGTGCCAAGGCGTATTTACAGGTGATTATCCTCCAAACACCCCGGATGGAAAGGAGCACCACTTTTCCACAAGCGGTATACATTCAGCAGCTGATCACGGCTGCGTCATCTGTTCATCTCTCCTTGGTCGTATCGATTTGGGAAGGGCGGTTCAACCTGTTAGCGACTACTCTACAAAGTATTCGATAGATAGCTGCGAATTTGAGAATTCAAATGAGGGCAGAGCTGGGGGTGAACGTTACGAGGGGTGCCTAGAATTATGCTTGATGTTAGAGAACAGAGAAGGTTGGGGAAGAAAATTCTTCTACCTTATTCCCAAAGACGGTGAGCCTGGCGTGGATGGTGTGTTTCTGGGGACGATGAAGTCGCTAATTCGGTTTCAGCTGTTCGCGGGTTGGAGGTCGACAGCAAGATAGATTTGATGAAGCAATGGAAAATTGAGTGTGTAACCTCTCATACTACATGTCACCAAGTGCAAACAGGTTTTCTTCCGACTCGCGTCATAGATGTCGGTACAGTAAATTTGGACGTTTGCCAGCTAAGTATTACAGCGGAAGAACATTTAGACGGCGCCTACGCAACTCTTAGTCACTGCCGGGGAGAGGTTGTACCTGCGAAGCTACTCTTAGCAAATATTGACCAAATGACGAGACACATCGATCAAAGCTCGGCTGAACAGATTATTTGGGAATGTCGAGAGCTGGTCGCCTCCCAAACCTTGCCTTCTGGGCTTCTTCGAGGTCAAAGTTGAACACACGCGGAAGACTACAAACACGAAGATATCCTAGATCCTCGTCAACGCAATGATATTGAGTTCCCGTACGAATACTGGGTCACACTCGTGTCTGAATACTCCGAGAGGCAGTTGACAAGAAGCTCAGAGCGCCTCATTGCTGTATCTGGCATAGCAAGACTGTTGGCGGAAAAGATTAGAGACAAATATGTTGCTGGAATATGGAAGAAAAGCTTGGTACTATTGCTTCTGTGGCACATAATAGACGTCAGAGATGAAAGACACGAAATTCGAGGGCCGTCATGGTCGTGGGGAAGTCATGACTGCGCAGTAAGCTACGGTTCTGATTTACCATTTAACAGCTATGATTCAGGAAACCAAGCGCTCATCATTTCAATCGAAACGCACGTTGAAAAATTTACGGATGATCCATATGGTCAGATACAAGCCGGAATTGTGACACTGCAAGGACGTATTTTCCCCGTTCAGCCGAGAAGCTTCTCTCGCCAAGAAGCTCTTAATAAATCCGGGATCAATTTTTGGAGTAGTCAGGAATTCAAAATTGTCGAACAGCTCTGCTTTCTACGCTGGGATACCTGGATCGACGAGAAAGAATTTAACGCAGGCCTTCCCGTGTACTGGGTTCCCATAGTCAGGAAAATTCGTGGATCACAAGGAGAAGGGTCAACAGATTTGCAAGGACTACTACTTCGAAAAGTTGATAGCACGAATCAAGAATACATTCGAGTGAGCCTATTTCAGTTAGTGTCGAAAAGCGAAGGGGATCCAGCGGATCTGTTTTTCCGTAACGATTTCACATCGCGTCAACAAGAGATCTTGAAAATCCACTAGGACAAATTTGAAGGGCGCGTATGGAAATTGGAGAGACCCATTTGAGGTGGGACTCAGGCAATTGAAAGAATAGGGGATTAGAAGAGAACTCTGAGTCAACAGTGTTTATCCGCCCCTTTTGCAATTCGGACATAATAAAGTGACAGTGTGATGCAGCGTTAAAGTCCAAGTGTCTGCTTTCGTGTTTGCTTACTCAATGACACTATTACTGTTACAGATATCTGCCCTTTCAACAATAAGAGATCTGATTATTGAGAACGTGCCACACAAATCGATGAGAGTTTCGAGAAGGCGCCTTGGCACGGATAACATGCAGGCCTAAGCGAGAGAAAAAGGGGGGCTGCATGCTAGCATTTAACCTTTGTTTACCCATCGAGAGCTTGGCGCCATACGTCGTCAAGTCTTGAAAATCGTGTTCGTGGAAGTCCACGACGCCACATACTTTCGAGAGGCCACCATCGCCGCACGCGACTACAACTGATCCTCTGAACTGTACTTGGACGATTCCGACAATACTAGAGCAGCCGCCGAACCAAGGGAGGCCCACCATTTCGTCAGAATTTCAACTCGTCTTCGGAAAATCGGACGAAAACATTGCATTACTCCGCGATTTCCCTTGCATTCGCGAAGTTGGCCCATTCCCATGTGGAATAACCCACCTCACGGCGGCTCTGGCTGCTAAGGGCAGACTGGCAAAAGTTGGCTGCAGATGGGGTCTAGGCCGCCAACATTGGAGAGGACATGAGTGAACTCGGTGTAATCTCAAAGCGATGAGTGAATTGTGGCTCGTAAATGTACCAGATCAGGTTGTTGGCCTCACCTCAGCGAGTCACAACGCGCATTCCTTCGTCCTCGACGCGAAGTTCTGTATCATTCATGTACGTGATAGCCCTTTGCTGATCCACCTCGTTCTGTTCCAAAGCTCCTCCCCAAGCAGAAACTCCCTTATCGACTACTGAATCACTGCTCAAAGTGGTCTGATTCGTGCGGAGGGGCGGTCACCATCACGCTAATTTGACAATGATCCATTATTTATCGAGCCCATCTAGGGTCTAGATGAGCATGCACCTAGGAGTGAGGAGTAGCGAAGTTCATCCCCAGCGCAGTCAATGCTCGACTTCTTCGGACTTCTCAAGAAGCAGTACCGAGAGCTCACGTGGATCCCCATAAAGACTATACACAGCCTCATAAGGGCATAATTCCTATACTCCAAGGAATCTTTCTACAGCATGGCAGGTTATATGAGGAAGGTGGTATTTATCGCAAGCGGGGGTTTTTGGAGGCTGTGAAAGCGGCATGGGAGAAACACTACCTTATCTAGGGAATCGAATTGGCCAAGCATTAGAATTTCTGACCTGCTTAGCAAGTGCCAAACTAATTGAAGAGGTCGGTTAGCGGGTTGCAGTATTGCAGGTATCCAGACTTCCCTGGGAAATCCTGCTTACTTTCCCATATGATTTCGTATTATTGATATTCTGGTATCGAAAGTAGGGTAGGAATACAAAACCAAGTGAGTGATCCCACAAGAAACAATAATTGCTGTCTCGGGTCGCTCCCTTAACCATCCCCATGAGCTACCGTCATGGCCAGAGGCAGATGCAAGGATTCGAAGCACAGTGAGAGGCTCTGGGTCGTATGACCCTATTCCGCCCTAGCCCTCATGAGGAAATTCTAAACTGATATTTTCGTGAAGCTCGAGCAAAATTGGGAAATACTCCGTAGCTAGTGTTATGCCCGCTGGCGGTTCAGAATGCGGTAGGTCCCGTTACGTTAATATCAATACCTTGATTTAAATTTTGCGCTTGAATTTCAAATCCCTGTCGCATTGGTGAAGTATCTCAATTCCACCCGTACTCGTACATTGGCATGGAGGGCTGGGCACTGCATCGATCCACATGCACCCTTGCCGTGCTCCCGTTCCCCGGCCCGTCCCATCTGTGTTACGTCAAGAATAATGGATCAAAAAAAGAACTGTGCCTCGCTGTATTCGTTAGCGAAACCTATAGAATTCACAAGATCGTATAATTGAGGGGTTGTGAAGCTACTCTTATTTCTTGTGTTGGCTAGCAAGCCCTATACGAGACGTTACACCGTGTGGTTAATCTGGCTAATACCGGCAGATCGAGGGGATCCTTTCTCATGCTTGTATTGCCCGTGGAGTCTCAAAATTTGGTTGCCTTGCGAGACGTATAGGATACAAACGACGATGCAAACAAAAGATGACATGCTGTGCCAATCTCTTGGGCATGCGAGTGAAACCTATAGAATACATAGAATCGTATAACTAGCGGGGAACTCATGTACTGGCGATTGTTGTGTTGACTTTCACGAACGGACCAATAATGCGGGAGAAGAAACCTGACAGGTTTTCAAGAAATCACTCCTTTACGACACCTAAAACTTGTATAAAAAGAAAAGAATCTGCAACAATGTAGCCTTTTTTTCTCTTCATCGCACCAATCTTCTCGAGCTTCATCCATCAATCTTCAAATCCCACAGAACTTGCCCATTTTCAAGAATCAAGCCTTAGTTGTTATCAATATGAAGGTTCTCAACATTATTCTTGGTTTCACGGCGTCGGTCTCAGCAATTGATATCGGTCTCAGAAACTGGGGTAACTGTGACTCCCGCGGTGGAGGTTGGGTATGCACGAATTACAACCCCAACGTAAGTGTTCTTCACTGCTCATAAAGCCCGTCACTGGAAATCTCCTAACATGCCACCACAGGTATGTTGCGGTATCCCTTCCGGATCCGTCTCCAGTGTCGTATTCTACGCTGTCCCAACCAACTGGAATCTTGAAGTGAGAGGACATGAGGGTGGTAACTGCGCAAGAACGAGAACTACCGATTCTTTATTTGGCGGAACCGAAAAGTGCCTGAACTCAGGCCCGTACACCGGCGCAGGATATGGATTCCGCGGGAAGAAGAGGGGAACTGAGGAGGGCGCTTGTTCCCAGACAGTCGGCAAATGCACTTCTACAGTGATGCCAGATGTGCTGTTCCTTGGTGATGGACAGAAGTACAATATTGTCAATATGGACCAAGGTCTCATTGATGAATTGGCTGAGCTTGCGAACAACGGATCTGGTGTAGCAGATGTTCCAGAAGTCTTCAAGGCATTTGAGATTGCTGCCTAGAGGTCAATAGTTTTGTATGGTGGATGATAGATGGCTTGGACGAGAGGTATGGTGTGAGGTGGCATGTTGGTGTTGGAAGTCTTCCAGCCTTGCTAGTGAGTGCACGCGCTAGCAAAGTATTGGTCCGGTCTTTACTATTAGTTCCTGAGGCGTTTTGAATACAATCGAGCGTCTTGAGAGATCTTGTGACATCTTCCATAACACCAAGTAGTGACCTTTCCACAATTGAAGAAGTCGAGTTTATAACGCAAAGATTCCAGGGCTTCGAAGGAAGTTCCGATATATATGATTAAGGATAAATGTAGTATGAGGGCTTACAATACTTGGATAAAACTTTACCCTTTACCAAACTCATCGTAAGTCACAGTTCAGCTGGGTTTCATCTGCTTCCCGTGCGGTGTCCTCAGGCGTAGAGAACATATCCTAGTGCATCACAAGTAGCAGAAACTTCTTACCGTTACAGCACCAATGTACCATTATGGCCTGTTGAAACATTCACAATTTTCAATGTAACAGTGTTACTCTTCTTCGACTACTACTCTCGAAGAAAAAGTCCCAACGGCTCTTCTAAAGAGTTCATACCTAATCCAAAGAGCAAGTTTCCTGTCTGAAGAGTGGGAAATAGATTCGCGCTCATCCAGGATTAGTCCTAGAAGTGCTGCACACACTTGGTCTAAACACCTTCATTGGGTTTCAAAAGTAGTGATTGCTTCGTGGGTCTAAACTTATAGGCGGATGCTCGTCAGTCATCCCCAAGAGGAAGGATTCCATTGTTTTGATTTTCGCTAAGCGAGTCAGTCAGCCCGCGTGACAGCACCAACATCAAAACTCACATCCTGCTTTTGAAGCGAATTCCCAAATGGCATATTTCACACCCAAGAACATATTTGCCATGATATTAAAATCTTATTCTATTAGAAACGACAAGACTCCTGAATTCGAAGATCTGAGATGCGATCCGCTGCTCAGGCATCCACGATTTTGCCTTTCACACCATCGCCAAAGATGTTTGCTAGACGCCACAGACGCTAAGATTACGCCTGAAGGAAACAACGAACAAAAAGCAACTATCAATGCAATTCACTATTTCTCTTTCTGTAGAGTTGATTTCGCGTCTGCCTAAACCTTAGCTTAGCGGCGGCTGTCGTTAGAGAAGTATTTTAGAGTCTTCTCCTGCAACCGTTCTTCCGCTCAACAGCTACATCAACGATATCAGCGGTATCATACAATTACAACTCGATCTTTGCCTTGCTGTGCAAAGGTCAGAAGACAACGCCTTCATTGATTCTTCAGCAACCCTTCTCGACGAAACAACAGGTAAGTGGAGTCTTCTCCTCTTTTCACCTGCCCGTCTCCGACAATTTGAAGATTTCAGCTTACACAAAACAGCTCACTCACTCTTCACCTTAAACCTCGAATACCGCAAAGATGACACTCAACAATTGTATCATCTGCAACAACGCAGCGAACAAACGATGCAGCAATTGCAAATCTGCTGCATACTGCTCAACCAGATGTCAAGGAATCGACTACCCACTCCACAAGCTCCTCTGCTCAGAGATGACGTCTTTCCTCTCGAGCAACCCCCGCCCCAAGGACACGATCACGGAGACTCACAAGCTCGCCATCCTCTTCCCCGAGCACGGCACAATTCCCAAGCTCGTCTGGGCACGAAGCGAGACGTATAGCGAGGAGGAGGACGGCGATAAGGAGGTCTCGATCCACGTCGAAGAGCATGTCCCAGGAGCTACGGGCTGCGAGTACGTCTTCGCCAGTGGCTACAATCTTGAGATCTACATGAGCGACCATGCGGTGGGAACTTGCGGCCCAACAGAGAGCATCTATGCCTCAACATCAGGCTTCGATATCCCAGCTGGAAGATGGCTTGGCCCTGTCATTGTTGTCTGAGCCAAGCCAGATGACCCCGAGGATCGAGTGTCTGGCAACCAGACGTACGAAGATATCACGCTTGGTGATCTGCGTTTCGCGATTGATCACTTCGCCAGCGCCGCGAAGTTCTACGAGCATCCGGAAATGAATCGTGTCATTCTACTGGAGAACGGCTGGTGGGTGAAGGGTGTTAAGATCAGCTGTTCCGGAGATATGAAGATTCTTGGTAAAGCAGCATTTCGCGACGTGTACGTGCGACGCTCTCAAAAAGAGGGCCATCAAGACCCGGAATCGACCCGAAAGCTCCTCGACCATATGGTATCGGGCAGAAACGTACCACAGTTTGTGTGTCAAGTGTCCGCACACATGGGTTTCACGCTGCTTGTGAGCAAATGTGACTTTGAAGAAGAAGTCTTGGAGGCGTTCCACTCTGGCAAGATGCAATCACCTTTCGACAACATCAAAGTCCAAGAGCTTATGATGAATGCCAATCCTGCCGAGGAAAATCAATCATGGGGCTGGACTGATATCGATAGGTGGTGCCGAGGCAATGAGCCAACTGTGTTAGTAGTCCGCAAGGACGGAAAGCCAATCACAGCGAAACAGGTCGAGGTCTTCATCGCATACATCAGTGAAGTTTTGCAATGGGCCATGAAGCCAGACGAAAATGACTATGAATACGATGAGATGCAGAAGAAGTTTGCCAACAACGAAATCACTATCGACGAGCTTATGGAGTTTGAAGACAAGAATACGGAAGAGAACCGTCGCAAGGGCATTATCGAGAAGTACATGAAATCCGGCCGCTTTGAGAAATTTATTGAAATGTTCATGAAGGAAAAGCTTGCTGAGGGCGACACCACTTGGGCAAATGTCACTTCTCCTCGTGCGGATTGAATCAAGCCGGAAAGACAAGCACAAAAACATACCGGTGCGGGTTGCACTTTTATTTCTTTGCACAAGCATATCGAGAATGGTGATGGGTTTGTTCCTGAAGGCATTCTTCAATTTGCATCTCGGACGTGGTCCCATCGGAGGTTGAAATCGGAAGGTCAAGGCTTTGGGTTGTGGAATTTCGAATCGGAATCCCCACGTTCTTTATTTTTTCTTTTCCGTTCTGAAGGTATGTAAGTATTGAAGCAGTGGCGGATGCTAAGACGCAGTCGCGGCGGCCATACTTGACGATTCATACGCGGATATTAGCAGAGCATTTCTCAATTGAAGGAAGGCAACGCACAAGACAGGGCAGAGCAAATTAATGAATGAAATGACATACATATACTTACATTTCACCTTTCTGAATTGATCAAAGCTTGTATCTTGGAGACTTTCAGTGAGCTAGCTTCGAAGCTGCTTAGGGGCGAAAGCTAGCGAAGACGTCCTTCATACGCATGTACTCAACGGGCATATAGACTCCAAGTTGCCGACTCACAAAAGCACTTGTTGCATCCCATTTCGACATTCTACTACGTTCCATCTGTAGTACTTTCCGACCAAGCGTCGAAAATCTCCTGTCCTAGGCTGCTTGGTTCTGCTGCCAGTCAAGAAACGTCTGCCTCAGACCTCGCACAATCAAACCAAACCCCCCGTCAGGACTCTTCTCCAAAGCATCATTAGCGTCGCTTGCTTGCCTGCACAACAGTTCTCCACAACAGCCTCGATCACACCCGTCCCTAACCAGCAACTTTCCAGTAGCGAGATCCCAAAGTAGAAAGCCCCCTCTCAACGCACACAAGAGTGTCATCTCTCGTGGATCGCGCAAACACCCTGACAAATTCATCGGACTTGGATTATCTGGACCAAGCCGATCGTTGATTTTCTGCTTGAAATGCATCGAGACTTTTTTCTTCACGGCGTTTAAGCGGAGAAGTTCTTGAGGTTCCTGAGCGGCTAAGGAATGAGCGGAGGAGGGTACTTGAAAACTCAGGCCTAGAGACGTCTCTGCTCGAAGAGTGGTGGGGTACTGATAACATACTTCCCCGATAGAAGGTCCTGTGACAGGAATTGCTGGCTGGTCTGGCATTGGTGGAGCATTACTGGAACGGAAATCTTGGATACATTGGTTGGCGTCTGGCGGGCGGCCGATTGCAGAAAAATCGTGTCGTTGAAGAGTCGGCTTCGGAAGCAACAGGCTGGGATGAGTATTCAGAAGCTGTCCTGGGTTTTCGAAAATAGGTATTGTCCGTATGGGGGCGAAGGAGGCTCGTTCTCGGTATTTTTCAGTGACAAGCGACCTGGAATACCCAACAAGCGGTTCGCTGTTGCAGATGGGTAGCTTTGTAATATTTGGCTTAGAAATCCCGTGAGACGGTTCAAATTTCCTGGCCTCGTAGATGGCTTGAAGCAGGAATTGGACGAAGACGTTCTGCTCCTCGGCGCTTTTGAACACAGGATCATGCCGAAGGTTGGGGTGGTCTTGATCGTCTTTGCAGTAGTGGTACGGATTGGGCTGGAACATGTTGGATGATTTGTAATTGATAAGATATATTGATGTTCTTGGACATGTTGGTGAAGCTCAGATGTCTGATGGATCTGGAAAAGGGCGAGGGCAGATGGCGGCATGAGCGGGAAAGAAGTACCAGCAACATCGTGACAATGTGGTTTTAGGAAGGAAGGCACGCATAGAGATTACCTCCTTTGCTCTTGTCACTAGTTGAAGAGCAATTGAGTGTTAGGTCGGAGATACACGATACGCAACCAAGCTGAGAAGAGAAATTGAAAGAGTGCAACTTTTGCAGCTGGCCATGTTTTTCCACAGCGACTACCTGTCGGTAGACTCAAAGTCGTTTTTTCGGACGAGGATAGAGCCCGCTACCGAACATGTCTGTCACGGGCTTGCATATGAATGGAATGGGTTCTGATGTAAGATGTTCATATGGCTCGTGAGGCGGTGCTCTGATCCCGAGGTAGCTTTGAAATAGGAGGAAGAGCCAGCGTACTGGGCTTGGCGCCCTCCGAAACCCAGCCTCCACACAAACAAACAAAACACTACAAGAATCTTGAAAATACAAATATCACCACACCAATATAAGCCCGATCCCGAAAATAGTCGGCGTCCGATCTGGCGGGTTTGTGGGAATCAATGTACTCAGTGTTGATATTGTTCACTAAGAAGACATCGACATGAAACTCGTCAAAATGATGAGGTTGATTTGACCCAACCAAGTGCAGGGCGTCCGGTCAGGCACAACACACTCGTGCAGCATCGTAGACGATCCAGGCAACCAGGAACAGCCTCACAAATTGAAGCACGTCGTGATAGGTATGCAATGCACTGCCAGCTGGGCAGCGAGACATGGTCTGGGTACAAGCCACTGGCCACTACAATTGTAATTTACTTGGGAAAGTGGTGGGCTGTTTGGTGATGCAATGAGATATTTCTGATATTGGGCTTTGATAATATTGGGGCTTGATATGGAGGTGAAAGGTGAGATGGTGGTGGGTTCAGTCGTTTGCAACAGTTTGTGAAGTCAAGGCTGAGTCAGCGAGTCCGGTCAGCTTAATATTCAGGATGGGGCTTGGCGGGTGATACTAATACATCATCGTTCATCAAGGCTAAACTTTATCGCAGATCTAAATTTTGTAGCTAATCTCAAGGATGCTTCCCGTATGCAATTTACTTAGGTAGAGACTTTGAGGATAAATTGTGTAATTAAGGATTTACATCTGTATTAAAAAGCAGTAAACGATCTGTTTCCTTGGACGTCAATACTAGGATAGATAGAAGTGCTGTCTCACTCACTCGTCTCCATATCTACCCCTCCATACAGGTTTGCCCCTCATCATGTCCTGGAACAGTCTCAAGACTTCAACAACATTTAAATGACACCTACCAGCCCAACAACCAATCTACCCCTTTTGGTAGTCTAGCGGCTAGATAAATATCTGGCCATCTAATTCCGCCATCCCGCGCGCCGGATCTGCAGGCTTTCATTCTACTCTCCCGAGTCTCGAGTCTCCTCCCCCTGTTCTAGACGATTTTAGTCGCCGTGCCAGCGCCAACAGCCAATTGCACGTTTCTCGTTAGACGTCTCCAGTCGTCGCCGTCACCTTTACAGTACAAAACAAGCCCGATGCGACTCGCTACCAGCCCATTGCATCTGGCTATCCTCTCCTCTCCTCTTCCGCGTCGCGATTTCAGCTGCAGACCTTCTTGTATATTTTTCATTTCGAGTGCTTATCGAACTGCTGTCAGACAGCTGGTGGCGAGAAGCTTAGTCTATCGTGTCTACAAATACTTTCGGACTTTACGCTTTTGTATCGAAGAAAGCGCCGCAGTATTGCCATCGCAGCCAGCCAGCGCCTAGTTCTTGAGTGCAGGTTCAGGTTAGGTTCCGCTCACCATTCGCCTTGGTGATTACGGCATATCTCCCCGACCTGGCCAAGCGTCTGGTCGAGTCGATTTAGATCAACATCAGGATTCTGTGCCCGAGTGCCTTTCAGTGCGCCAGAGCAAGGAAAGGAGAGGAAAGGTGAAAAGAAGAAGAAGAAGTTTTGTGTTGTCAGGTTCAATTTGCAGTGGCATATCCAGTTCCAGTTCCATTTCCTGATCTGCCGCCAATCCAATCCCACGCCATACCAGGAGAGTTGCGCCGGGGGGACCGAATACTTTCCGCGCCCGCGCGTCATAGGTAACCTTACGGTCTGGTCTGTATTGGAGTCGAGAAACAGTGCAGTGCAGTGCAGCGCAGCGCAGCGCAGCGTAGACCAGACGGTAGCAGGTCGGATAGCCTCAGCCCTCCCCATCAAAGTCTCCTCCTTCCGCTGCGACATTTATCTATCTGCCCTCACATCTCGAGATACCTGCCGCAACTAGGCCAGACCAGACCAGACCAGACCACACCAGACGTTCCTTCGCGCCTGGAGCAGCTGCAGCCCGCAATACCCTCCCCCGATTTTCATATTGACTCGCATCAGAAGGAAAGGCAGTTCCCCCTCCAGCCGACAAACCCCCCCCAACCCAAACCCAAGGAAGGACCCCGCCTCGCCAAAACCAAACCAAACCAAACACCACGGGCACCGCACCGCACCGCACCTCAAGATGAACGGATCGTCGATAAAAGAAGCCGCCATTAAAAAGGCCAAATCCGTCGCAAACTCTGCCAATGGAGGAGGGAACCAAGTCAACAAGAAGCGCAAGAAGGAGCTGAAGCCCATAATTACGACAGAGGCTCAGCAGCACGATGCTGAGGGAGGCCCGATAGCCATGGCATCGAATCAAGAGTCTGCAGGGTAAGTCACTCTTCGATTCACCTCTTCTTTGACTTCTACACTACTTATACCTACGACCCTGCCACCCTGCGACCCAGATCTATCAACCACCATCTTCCAACGCCCTGCTGTGCTCTGCGCAAGCATTTCCTCAGCATCGTTGCCATCAAGATGACCCAGTTCAACATTCTCCACAACCATCTCCACAATGTCGTCGCTGCTCAAAAACTTGCTAACCACAACCAATAATGGCAATAGATCCGCTGGCGCATCGAACTCGAGCTCCAACTCCAAATCAGCAGCCATGAACAACAATCGCTCGCCTTCCTCGTCGTCGCGGGAAGAAGCCGCCGAGACGACTGCCGACGAAGAAGATTCCGAGGATTACTGCAAGGGCGGCTATCATCCCGTCCAGGTCGGCGAGCAATTCAAGGATGGGAAATACACCGTGGTTCGCAAGTTAGGCTGGGGGCACTTCTCGACCGTCTGGCTATCAAGAGATAATGTTACTGGGAAGCATGTGGCGTTGAAGGTGGTACGGTCTGCCGCGCATTACACCGAAACGGCCATAGACGAAATCAAGCTGCTCAACAAGATAGTCGCCGCCAAACCTGATCACCCAGGACGGAAGCACGTCGTCAGTCTGCTAGACTCTTTTGAACACAAAGGACCTAATGGCACACACGTCTGCATGGTCTTTGAGGTTTTGGGTGAGAATTTACTGGGCTTGATTAAGCGGTGGAATCATCGTGGGATCCCGATGCCTTTGGTTAAGCAGATCGCCAAGCAAGTTCTTCTCGGCCTGGATTATTTACACAGAGAGTGCGGCATTATACATACAGATTTGAAGCCGGAGAACGTGTTGATTGAAATTGGAGATGTGGAACAGATCGTCAAGACATACGTCAAGGAGGAACCAAAGAAGGAGAATAAGGAAGAGAACCCAAATGGACGAAGAAGACGTCGGACACTTATCACTGGCAGCCAGCCTTTACCAAGTCCATTGAACGCTACATTCAACCATGCAGATTTGATGAGATTTCCAGGTAGTTCTACCAATTCTCATACAAGTCTGAACCAGATGATGCACGAAGGTAATCCATCTCCCGTCAAGGACGCGAGCGTTGCCCCCGATGAAGAGCCAGTCGTAATGAGTGGTGCTATAGGAGGTTCCAAAGACCCATCCGCCCGGGCGAAGAGTGAAAAGGAGGACGAGGAAAAGCACAAGCAACGAGAGAAGACTGCGTAGGTTCAACCCCGCTTAATGAGGGGTCCCAACTAATGGAAAGATAGTGACATCCTCACCCGCGAAGTTTCTGGTATTTCCCTGGATAAATCCTCATCACAAGAGAAGAAGAAAGAAGAGCCGACTGGTTATGAAAAGATATCGGTAAAGATTGCAGATTTGGGTAATGCGTGTTGGACAGGACATCACTTCACAAACGATATTCAAACAAGACAGTATAGATCACCGGAGGTAATTTTGGGATCGAAATGGGGTGCCAGTACTGATGTTTGGAGTATGGCTGCTATGGTACTTCCCCATGTCTTATCACAATTACGTCAATTACTAACAAAACTCTACAGGTTTTTGAGTTAATCACAGGCGACTACCTTTTCGACCCACAATCCGGCACTAAATACGGCAAAGACGACGACCACATCGCCCAAATAATCGAGCTCCTCGGCCCCTTCCCCAAATCCCTCTGCATGTCTGGCAAATGGTCACAAGAGATCTTCAACCGCAAAGGCGAGCTCCGCAACATCCACCGCCTACGCCACTGGGCACTGCCCGACGTCCTCAAGGAGAAGTACCACTTCAAAGACGAGGAGGCCCGCAAGGTCGCTGATTTCTTAACACCCATGTTAGAGCTCACACCAGAGAAGAGAGCTAATGCTGGTGGGATGGCGGGCGCTGAGTGGTTGGAGGATACGGTTGGTATGAAGGGCGTTAGAATTCCGGGACTGGAGGTTGGGAGTAGAGGGGAGGGGATTGAGGGGTGGGCTTGTGAGGTTAAGAAGCGGTGATTTGCGTGATTGGGTGATTGGGTGGGGGTGATGGGTGGGGGAGGGAGTATCGTACCGTACCATTACTGTCAGCGTCAGCGTCAACATCAACACCCGTCCTCTGAGCTACCCTTTTTACATATCTGCCTCCCCACCTCTCTATTCCACGTTTACTTACTCACTCACCTACGCACTCATTCGCTAAGTCATGGTTCATACATTCTCTCTCTCTCTCTCTCTCATATGCATTTGGTGGATGGATGGATGGATGGTTGGTCGGTTGGGCTGGCATGGCTTTGGATTCGGCCCCGTATGTATGTATGTATCTACCTATCGTCTTCACGTCTCCGATACCTGGTCCTTCGTTGTTTGGTTTGTGCAGGTGATCGGGCAGGGAGGTTGGTTTGGGAGGCCAGCTATTTAGTTTGGGAGGATGGATTGGCTTCGAAGGCATGGTGAGGAGACATTGCAAGGTCTTGAAAGTCTGGGTTTTCTGTGGATAGGAAAGAAAGAAAGAAAGAAAGCGTGTCTTTTGGTGTGTGTGTATGTGTCTGTTTGTGCCTGAGCTTGTCTGTGCGTGTGGTCGCGGTCGTTGTGGTATAGGTATGGAAGGTTCGGGATGGGATTGGGGAGACGGGAGGGGATAGGGTGGAGCGATGAGATAGATAGAAGCAAGCGAACAAACAAGAAAAACCCAGCGAAGGAGTGAAAAGCAAGTAAAGACAGATAAATAAGTGTCAAGCAAATAAGCAGTCGATTATTCAAGGAATTTTTTTAGACTGTCGAGGAGAGAGAGAACTCTGGTTTTTGTAGTGTATGGTTTTCTTGTGAGAGGCGAAGTTGAGGTGTGAGATTGAGGCGTGTGATGAGTTTTGTGATGGTGATTACGCTGTATAATGTGAGAAGAGAAAAATAGGATAGGTTCATAAGGCTGTTTTGATGTCGGATAATAGACGCAATATTACCATGAGTGGGTTGTGCCATACCACACCACACTACAGTACAATACAGTACAACATTTCCTTGTTGGGGTCGTTTACGACCAGCTGTGTCACACACCCCCTCCAGTATCTACTTTACTATCAGCTCAGTTGGAAAACTTTGGAACTGGAGTGGAACGGCTCGCGCCGATGCGACGTCGGTGTGGAAGTGGAGGCGGTGGAGCAAGTACAGTGTCCATACGGATATCGTATATTTATTCCTGATTGCATCTAGAGTTTAGGATTTGAGTATCGATGGGTAGATTGCAGGTGTATGTAGGTCAATAGGCAATTAGAAGCAACTCCGCTGAAGGAAAGAGGTGAAATGTAACGTGCTGGAATTTCGAGCAATGAGTAGGAAGGAGGATTGTAAGGAGACAGAAGACATTGATTCGCTAGAAGAGCGGACGAAAAAGTGCTGTATCTTTGCTGTATTCAATTCCTCGTATACTGGACATATCCGAACATTGGAAGTCCTGGGGGTACCTATGTGTGTACCCTATGTATTGGTACAGTTGACCCCAATCAATGCTCCTCCGATCCTCTCTCCCAGTAGAACCTCCAACCAAGAACGCCAAAGCATGCAGTACCAAATCAAAACACCAAAACGAAACAAGCAAGAATATCAACGCCATCAACCACTTCCTCAGTGGCTCAAAAGTCACTGCTGAATCGCTCCCTCATTCCATTAAATACCGATCTCCCTTACTCGGGCTCCTATTCCCTTTACTCGGACTTCTCTGACCGGGCGTCTGACTCGGCATGATTTGCTGGTACGTCTGGCCACCGTAAATATCGTAACCCATGGCATTGTGCTGGGGCGTCTGAGGAGGGTTTCCCCATTGGAAGGGCGTGGGTGGCTGTTGTTGGGGGTAGAAAGGTGGTGCAGTGGGCATATTGTGGTGGTTCGTCTTGGAGCGGAAGGTGCTGAAGGCGAGGTTGTTGATGAGGATACAGACTGTGACGATCATGACGACGAAGATCTGAAATGTGTTAGTGATAAACTCTAGTAAAGAGCAGGTGAAGATGTGGGTGGCAGTGGATCTAGGGTTTGATTTGAGAAGACTTACCATGGCTTTATAGCTTATAGGCTCGATGAAGCTATTGAAGATCTGGGCGAATGTGTGGGCACTGACTTGAGCTCTACCGATACTGTTCGGGTCCCTATTCATACAGTGCTCCCAGTTGTCGCATGGGACTTGAAGAGCTGGTAGTCGCATATCGGCGCCGCACTTGTTGACAACGAACTCCTGGGCACATTTGGCTATCTCAGCAAGCACAAGGGCTCGTTCCTTCTCAGAAGCCTTGTCAACGTCTGCTCGTACTGTCATCCAGAAAGAGTAGATTCCGAAGATGGTCAAGGCAGCGATGAAACCGTTAACGCCGAGTTGTGCATAGTATGAAAGAACATTCGGAAGATTGGGATGCGATTCGATATAGTTGAAGATAGAGGCAAACCAGCCCGGTTGAGCAGGCTCTGGCTTCGAATGCTTACTGCTTCGACTTCTTGGACGAGTCTCGCTGTCTTCAGATTCCGAATCCGATCCATCTCGGTGTCCTCTAATTAAAGCATAGTCTCGTTCCATCCGCTTTCTCTTCCGTACCTTCTGTACGATCGCATTTGCATATTTGCCTCTTCGCTGATCTGCTCTGCCAGGACTGTTTCCCAGAAAGCCTGCCCCGTATCTGCCAAATATAGGTTGTCTCACAGTGCCGCTGGAGAAAGTCATGGTTTGGCTCTGCTTTGGGAAGTCGGGAGTGTCTTCTGCATCTGCGTTGTCTGCAGGCGATGACTCTGCGCCGGAAACTTCTGAGAAGAGGTCTTGATCGAAAGGTTTGCGTGGGGTAGTAAATGAAGGGTTGCGAAATGGCGGCGCAGGTGTAGATGATGCTCCCATGAAGGAGTTTGTTGGTTTTGGAGATTCGAATCCACCTATCCAGTCGTCAGCATCTGCGATTTGGGATGTTGCGACCTAGAACTTACGATTGGGTCCTCGTGGAAATGGTGATTTGGGATCAGTCGGTCCAGAAGTTTGCCATTCCCAGTCCATAGGACTTTCGTGTGATCGCTTTGACTGGGGATTACCGAACATAATTTGTGTGGTTTGTATTTGCGATCGTAGAAGCTGATGTGGATGCAAGTTTAAAGGTGAACTTGGTTTATCAACCGGTCTCTGTTTACTTGGACAAAAACAAGCGGGGAAGGCGGCCGCATTGCGCGGCTGAACTAGCGCGAAACTTTAATTGCTAGGGGAGAGCCAGTGAGCTCAAGTTTGACAGGCCCAACTAGAAATATCCAGACGTCTGCAGCTCTACCGCAACCTCCCCAACTCTAGCAACACCTGGTGCACCTACGCTCTTGCGACATAATCCAGAAGTCTCAAGATGTCTGACGAAGAACGCGACACGCCTCCGCCCCCAGCGGCGGACCCTGATCTCGATATGGACAACGAGGACAATGATAATTCCGACAACGAATCCGAACTTAGTGAGGTCGATGAAGCCGAATTCGCAGAATTCGATCCTACTACCGTTGCTCTCGAAGATAGACCCTTGGTAGGAATCGACGAGGACGTTGCGCGAACACTCAAGGCTGGAAAGAGGAAACGCGCAGACAAAGAGGGCGATGGCAAGAAGCCCAAGGAAGCAAAACGCGACAAGAAGAAGCGAGCTCGTCGCGACGATGATGAAGATCCAGATGGACAGGTTCTAGACGGGAAGAGAACGAAGAAGCCAAAGAGTGTGCGATCGGATAGAGAGAAGGGTGACAAGCCGAGGGAGCGAAGACCACCTACGCCTGAGAATGAGGAGAATTTGACTCCGGATGAGAGACGGCGTAGAGCGCTGGACAAGGCTATGGATGCTGCCCTCAAGAATCCCAACAAGAGAAGACGTAAGAAGGATGAAGTGGTACGTCAGGGTGTTCGGACAGCGTAATAAATGACGATAGTTACTAATTGCTACAGGATCTCGAGGAGGCATTCGATGATGAGATTGCGGCTTTGAAGATCAGGATGGAGCAAGCCTGCGAAGCTGACAACTCTGCTCGTGAACAAGGACAACCTGCACTACAAAAACTTAAGATGTTGCCCGAGGTGGTAGCCCTGCTCAACCGCAATACCGTCCAACATTCGATTGTTGACCCAGACACCAACTTTCTCCAATCCGTCAAGTTCTTCCTCGAACCCTTGAATGACGGCAGTCTTCCAGCATACAACATCCAAAGAGATCTTTTTGCCGCTCTCACTAAGTTACCCATCGAGAAGGAGGCCTTGCTCAGTAGTGGTATTGGCAAGGTGGTTCTATACTACACGAAGAGCAAGAAGCCGGAGATTGGAATCAAGAGAACCGCGGAGAGATTACTTGGAGAATGGTCACGACCAATTCTTAAGCGCAGTGACGACTACAAGAAGCGTAAAGTCGTTACTAAGGAGTTTGATCATCAGTATGTTTCTATTTATGATAAAACTCCATTTACTAACTTATATACAGAGCTGCTGCACTTGCCCATCGCCCGTCCGGTACTCAATCATCTCAGATAGCCCCATCGCAGCGTATCTCGCTTTCTCAAAAGGAGCTCGAGCGAGAACGTGTTCTTGCACAACCCAACAGGAGCACTCGAGCCAGAGTGGAGAGCGGAAACACCAGTTATACCATTGCGCCAAAGAGCACCTTCGATGCAAGCAAGGGTCTGGATCCTTCTTCCAGACCTATCGGTGCTGGAGGTATGGAAGCCTTCAGAAAGATGACAGCCAAGCAGGGCAAAAAGCGGTCTTGATCTGGGTGGGGGATATCTTCAGCATGTGTTATCATTGGATTTCTTCGAGATTGCCAATATCTTCAGACTAGCATCGAATTTGTTGCCTCGTAGTCGGGGCATACGGCGTGGATTGCATTTCAGCGAGGAGTTTTGCGGTAGAAAAGATTATTGCAGTCATTATGTGCGAAGCTGTATACGGCAGTTTTTTTCGGGGTTCGTGAGAGGCAGAGAAGTGACTGTAGTCGATCGCCGTTGGTCTCTGACCCTCAACTGGAGATCAGATAGGGATACCAGACTCCTACCAGTATTACTTCATGTCTCGAGTCCAGGTAAGCATTGAGGTCAATGTTTGTCTTTCTGTCCATTCCACTTCTCACCAGATTGCATCGTTGTGGGCTGTTTACATTTACTGCTGCCTGTTACGTGTTTGAGTAAGTCGGCTCTGGTTATTCAGGAGAGCACGTCATAGCATGTGGGGATGCAATGCAGAGATATGAGACTCCAAGAAAATGTAAGGAGAACTCTGATTGCCCTTACACTGGCATCTAGAATGAGCTTAATGAGGAGTGACTTCATTGTCCTCTTACCCTCAACTAGAGAGCGATCTTGCTTGCCAAAAGTCCACCGACAGCTCCATTGGTGCTTCTATGCTAATCACTTTACTTGCATTGCCGTCTTTGTACTTAACATGTTACACAAGGGATGGCATGTCTTCCTATACCATGGCAAACAGAAATCCTTTCAGGCTAACATAGATAATTGCAGCGTTGGTCAGGGATGCTTCGCGTGCTGATCAAAATACAGCACTCGGGTGTCTCCCTATTTCATCATAAGCTCTGCTTGCCCGCATTTATTTATTTCTGGATTAATTAGCCTTAAAAAAGTCTGTTGTGGCCGATATAAGTGGGCAACATGAACCCCACACCCCCGCGCTGAAACAGCTCAAAAGGGAAATTTACGACTGATAACAGGAGAGCCAGACTGTTGGAAGTCGGAACCTCCAAGCTAAGCTCCCTCGCTTGATTTCATCGCGGTTGGCAGGCCAATGATCCTTCAAACCCCGTGTTAGGCTGACACAGCCGCATTGAGCACCTGTCAAGGCAACCGTTTAAAGTTACTGCTCATTCGTTCCTTTTTGTTTACTTTTGGAGTTTTGATGCATTTGCCACGCGTTTGTGTTATGTTAGCGTAGCATTCTGCATATATGTTGTTCCAAGCAGGAAGTTAAGTGCTTGTTTGTTTGAGTGCTTTCATATATACTTTGCGTGGTTCCCGTCCTCTTCTGCATAGTTCAAGCAGAAAGGTTCCCAGCAAATTATATCTATTAAATCCCCGGAGAGAAAGAAACACACATCACCACCATTTCCAAGATGGCTGGAAACACTGCATATCACCGCTTGCCTGAGGATAACCGTCCATCACTCGATTCCACCGGAGAAGATGAACGACTTCTCGATCCGAGAGATGACAACCGCGATGACAATCCAACAACTCCAAAGCAGAAACAGTTCAAATACTGCTTTCACCCAACCCTAATCTTCCGTTTCGTCTCTTTCGTCCTCTACCTCAGCGCAGCCATCACATTCCTGGTTTCCCACCGTTCTTCGGCTCTTCCCGCCATTATATTCGGCTTTCTCGCCCTTGGAAGACAGGCTCTCGTAACCCTGCACCACCTCTTGACCCGATTCATCCGCGTGAGAATTAGGATCGAGCTTAGAGAAGGCCGGTCTTCAATCAATGCGAAGCCAAAGAAGAAGACACCTACTTGGCACCTCCCCGGAATCATTTCGGTGGCGATCGATTTGATACTGGCGATTGTGGTAATTGCCACTACTGCCGCCGTCAATCATCAATCCACGTGGTACTATGGTGATGTCTTGGGTGGGAAAATTGTCGCTTTCATTGCTGCGTAAGTCATCGTGGTCTTTCGGTTTTCCGCGTGTGAAATGTCGTTAGGCTAATCATTTCAACCAGTGCACTCCATATTATCTCGGCCGCTGATCTGGGCCAGCCAAGCAGACTCACCATCTCTGGCAAGTTGACGTTTGACAAGAAGGACGATGATGACAATGAGGATGGCAATCCCCCACAGCTACCGATCTATCGGGATGTTGAAGCTACAGGCGCTGGCCAGGTTGGAGTTCATAGCCGAAAGACTGGGGCTGATTCTCCACCGGGTATCATCTAAAGGGCATGAAGCAGACGGAGATCTGATTCTAAGAAATCCAGATGATGGCTTATTGGAGCCATCTGGGGAGAGAATCCATTTTCGGTCTGTAGTATCGTAAATCGGTGACTTGCAACATCTAGCTATTCCTTATGATGGCGGAAATGTGTTGAGGTTGGAGTCATTTGGTTGGAATGGAAAGCCTCTGTGAGGTGTTTGAATTGTATAGAAGCATTATGCAGGTCGGGGCGTTAATGTTAAAGATTATGTTGGAACTGGCGAAGTGGGCTGTTTTCCGAATATGCATGTGCTTGACTTTATTGCAGCCAGACGGCGTGTTTGAGTCCTGGTCGAAAGCAGACAGACGATAATCATGCTGGTCCAACGCCTTCTAAGTCTGTCGTTACTGTCTAGTTGCTAGTTTCTATGGACTTGAGATCCCTTTGATTCGCTATTTAGAGGGTGCATATTTAGATTCCTAATTTTAGGTAAGTAATTTCTACTAGCCCACTTCGAATGCGTTTTGACGTTGTTGAGAATTGCTGACATTCGGTCACGAGTATAATTAATACACGCCAGGCACAAACCTCTTCGTTTTCTGATGCCAAACCTCCCACTCCTTACCAAAGGTCTCCTTCAACATCTTCTCCTCATCCGCAACTCTAACACTTGCAGCATAAACCGCCGCAGCAGCCAAGCCGCACCCAACAACACTCCACCACGCACTCTTCGCGACCCCCTCACTCAGCCAGCATCCCGCCAAGCCATCCGGTCTCTCAAACAAAAGCACATTGGCCACCGCAACGATGACATTGGCAGTATACGACGGGTGCTGTACATAGGCGTATAATCCGGTCGTGACCAGTTTCTGCGGCTTGGCGAGCTTGAATGTGAAATTCTTGCCAAGTTGTGCAAATGCAAGGAGGCGCATGGGCGCAAAGACAATGATCAAGGCTAAGCAGATTGCCGAGTGTCGCGTCCAGGTGAACAATGACAGGTTCATGCTGGCAGGATTGGGACATAGGATGTAAGATGGGGAGACTGGGTTGAGGACAAGCATCGCGTGGTGCACACCAACGAGGACAACGCTAAGGCGACGAACAAGGATGAATGTTGGACTAGTGAACGGTGTGATACGGTCTGGGACAGCAGAACTGGGATTTTTATTTGGAGGTGTAAAACATTGGAGGCTCAGGTAGCTGGCCAGGAGAGTGGTGAGCGCATAAAGGATTGTGGGGAGGTCCGGAACTTCCATCGTGATGGAAATTGGTACAGTTTGGTTCTGCTTCAAGGTTAGCTGTTGACATGAAGTGTGAATAGTCTATGGTGTATTTTTACTATGCTTGGAATGTCTTGAAGGATGCTTTTCAACGTGATGTGAGTTGGAGATGGAAGGCTGATTTATATGGTAACAAAATTGTACTTGGCAGGCTTGGTGGGGCCAGACACTCGCTTCCTTCCCCTGATTAGAGTGTGGCGGAGTCTCCTCGCAATCCCCGTAACTGACCAAAGAAGATACTTGGGCCGCTACTCCTATCATTGCACAAGTTAAGGCCAGACTTCATATCAATTGTTTGGGACACCCTTTTGGAGGCGTGTGGCCAGGCTCCACATGTAGCCAGCCTACAGCCTTCATTGTTTTGTTTTACACAGTAAGCGAGACTTCAAGATCTCAGTACTTACACACGTCCTAAAACTAAACCGACAAATTTGACATCACTGTCCTTCATAATTTGCCTCTTATCATTTGAATATGCATCACAATAACCCATCTCGTTGTTGTTCCATCATCCGGCTCTTGAGAGTGCGTATCACACAACGTCCTTGGTTTCTTGTCCTACTGGAATCAGAACTGTATCAAGGATATGTATACTGCTGAAAGCTTCACTAGGCTAAACCACAGGAGCAAATACCGATCGATACTGGACTTAGGGAAGTCCAGTCAGTGTGGAGGGAGAACTGAAAAACATTGATCTTCTTAGTGAGGAAAAGGCTTGGCAAACATGAATTGGGAACGCAACGTGATACGTAATTACATGAATAGTACCCAAATAGAAGCCTCGAGTTCCAGAGCATTCCCACGATATATCCGGTGCGAGGGGTCTGAATCGTTGTTATTGAATGTTTACATAGGCTCACCATAACGTGACTAGAGTAAAAGCCGAGGTCAGCCTTACAGTACATTCCACATCCCTGCAAAAGTGTGTACAGTAATGGCGGGAAGCACCCGCGATGACATGTACCTTGGAAGTCAACATCACCTCATGCTCGCATCACTCCACCTACGTCCTTAAATCCACAACAGCGATTACTGGCCCTCGATTTCACGCAAAAAGGTACATGCAACAAATAAGATCTGAACTCTCAGCCTAATTGAAGCTTCCAATCACAGATCAACAGGACTATTCCTGGTCAAGATTATCAACCATTCACAAAGGCGCCACAACTACCAGGTTATTGCGACGGTCAAGGATAGTATTTCCCGGCCGTAATGTCTGGAATCACCTCATATTTGGTCAACGCATTATCGTCTGTTGTCTTTGGACCATCACAAAACAATATGGACCCCGCCACCTCATTCTATGAGGCCGACAGATACGTTCCAAGCATCGAAGATGTCATTGCTACGAAAGATACCCTGTTCGAGAGATTCAAGCTTCCGATAGAGCTCATAGACACAATTATCGACTTTGCAGAATATTTCCCACGCACGACAATGTGCCGCACGGGAGGAGAGCTCCATGTTCGATCTGGTGGATCAGGTTTGGGGGGACACTCCGAGAATCGATTTCTAGTAAGTCCTACATCCCAGGGCAGGGACTTCGTGCTAACTGCTGCGTAGTTGAGATCCTTCCCTTTGGGATATGTCCCTAAGAAGAACTTACCTAACACCTGCTCCATGAACACGAGGAGTCAAGCTTACCCCACCATACCTGCCACTCCATGGCAAGACTCCTCGGGACTTCCTCGCGACATTACGGAAGATATGATGGAGCGGTGGGCGCTCGAGAGTCGAATACGGGGAGAGCATCCATGCCGCAAGATTGTCTTCACACTCGTCAGCCATGATCAGGGATGGGGAGGCGAGGGAAACCAGAAGGGAACATACAAAGGCTCCTATACCTGGTTTGATGTTGGAAAGGAAAGGATACATCTTTCCCAAGACAGTGCGTTGTTTCATTCGAGTTGAGCAACATGAAACCGGTTGCTAAAAGTTTGCAGAATCAACGATTACTTCTGAGAAGCCAGAAACGTTTCCTACTATGTTACCTGAACACGGCTCCTCATCATGGACCAAGGATAATCAGCCACTAGCCTGCACAGTCGAGACCATCCAACCAAGTGCTCATTCATCTATCCCAAATCGTTTCGAGTTCCCTCTCAACCCGACTTGGGACCATCTTCAGAAAAATCGGACAGCTACTAAGGAAGCCGAAGAATACCAGATTGTCTGGTCCTGCGATGACAACGTTGATCCGAACTCATTGGAAGGCAAGGCTTTGGAGAATCAAGGAAGAGGGAGGAATACTGCAAATGGACAGTTTGTGAGAGACTTGAAGGTTGGGGATATTGTCACTGTCTGGGGAAAGGCCCGGTTTCCGGGCTGGGTCAACATGATTGAGACTGTACGGATTGATGTTTACTGGCGGGTTTGAGAACACATTACTGTCACGACCCATCAATGCATGATCCTGATGACAATTTGAGTTGAAGTTATTGTTAAGTGAAAATCCAAAGAGATCAAACGCCGCTAGCCTGACGCTGGACTGATATGGGATGATTACAAAGACATTCTTCAAAAGATATAGATACTGATTCGGAACTAAACAGTCTAATTACATTTTCTCCTCCTATCTAAAGATACATCCGCTTCTTCTGAGTTGTACTCCTCCTTGGATCTGATGACGGAGGAGCACGAGCACTAATACTTTCCCTTGCGGAAGTAATTGGCTTCTCCATATCTGTCGCAGCAGCTTTTCGAGACCTGCGGAAAGACGTGGTCGTTGAATTTCCGGGACTCGATGTCTGTGCAGCCTTCTTCGTCGCTTCCTTACTTGATAGCCAAGATGACCCATCACACGCTAGATCCGTCTTGATGACAAAGGAGAGGAAATCCGAGGGAGAGGAAGTAGAGGGCTTGATGGGGTTCTTCTTCCTTATCGTCGATATTCCAGCAGTCCCTCCTTCCAGATTCTCAAGAGTGGATATACCGCGACTTGTACTCGAGCTTGGCAGGACAGTCGTTGTGCTGATTTTCGTCACGGTCGTCGTGACCATAATCGTGCTAGGGTTCGTATCTATACCTCCATCATGCTCATGTGGATACACATCGCTGAGATGGCCATACATGAACGACAGTATGACCAAGCCTAGTAGCGGGTATCGAAGATAGCTTAATGCTGAATCAATGACGCGGAACGCGGCGATGAGAGCACGTAAAGGAAGGGTATAGAGTGATTTGAAGGTGTTGTGTGTAGAGAGACCTATTTCCTGGAGGGCCCATCTCTCCCTCAAGGATTCTGAAGTGATATCTGGGGGATCTGGGTAGCAGTTAGTTTATGAAGTGTAGAAATGCACCGGGGTAGATGGGAAGGCGTGGAAGGTACCGTATACGGAAGGTTTGTTCTCTTTGACTGGAAGCAAAGGCTGGGAATCAGGATCATCGATGTTTACTACACTCTTGCGATGTTTACGATTAGTGATAGCCGTCGTGTCTTTTCCTGTCGTAATTGCTGCCATGTTTGCGAGACGTGCGTGTATCAGCGTTGATCACTTCGGCGCGGCTATGTCTTGATAATCAAAACTCAATCTATTTTGGTAGGAGAAGTCCTGTCTTGAACAAAGAGATCTCTTAAAGCTCTGGTCTAACATTTTCAGGGGTTGTATAAAGAGGTAGCGGGTATTAGAGAAAGGTAATCTGGGCGGCTTCGCGAAACAACAAAGAACAAACTTGCACTGCCACTTCGACAGGAAATGCATGTGACATACATGATTCCATTGCTCTCACTAGGTCATTCCAGCTTCTTGAAATAGACCAGTGCGGAGACATCTATTTTCTGCTGGCAAACCCTCAGCCATGCCTTCACATTCCCACCATGAATCAATCGACGTACCCGTAGCAAGTAAATACCTTAGCTATATTCTCTCACTCTCAACACGTTTGTTTTGGGGTTTGGAGTGTAAGGGATCAATTGTTACTTATCTGATGATGAAATTCTCGAACAGCGCCAGCAAGAATGACAGCACGAGCGTATTTGACAACAGCTATCAACAGTCTGGACAACTTATCAACGAAATTTTTTTTTCATAGAGTAGTTTCAGGCACACAGGCTTGCGGCATTCCTAGGTGGCCAAAATGTTGAAAGGGTTCTCCGTCAAGAAACAATAGGCCTAGTATTGCCGGACACGCCCCCACTGTTCCATGTCTTCCCGAGGTAGGCACTGGCACTGAAGAAATGCTCTCTGGAAGTCGCTGCTTTGATAGAGAGAGTGACTTGCTTCTAAGTTGATAAATATTGGTGAATAGTAAAGAGAAAGTCAGGTTTTAGGTCCTTGGATCCCGAAATAAAGTGATAGCAACAAATGTGCCAAGAGTAAGTTAAGAAGCGAATTCGCTAAAGTGGATGTGGACAAACATTATATATTATTCGATCATGTGGTACTTACAGCGCTATTCAGATGATTTAAAACTACCGCCCCTGCCCCCAAACACCCAGACATTACCCCTCGTAAGGATTTGATGGCTCTACCTGCCAATCCAGTTCATCCTGTAGCATACAACCCAGCCCCTCAAACCCATTTGTACATGCAATTGTCTCCTTTGGCATAAGCCCAACCTAACCATCTCATAGTTCATGTAACTTGTCCATATCCAACCTCCTCTCTTAACACGCTCCTAGATCATGCTAGGAAACCTCTCCCTAGTTGCTAACGGGCTCGGCGTCGGCGTCACAACCTCCACAATCGTCGCTCCAACCCTCAGCGGTGCTGGCCTCCTAACAGCCACCTCTCTCATAACCGGTCCATTTCCGCTCTGCACTCCCATATTAACACCCAGATAGCGTGGAGCTCCAACATTGACGCCCTGCACTACACTCGTCGCACTAGCTCTCTGTGCCAGGATCGATTGGCGATAATATGCATCGTAGAAATCACTGACGCTGACTTGTGATGTGTCGCTTTCACTCCTGCCTCTGCCGGGTTTCACATCTAGAGGAGGTAGTTCTATCTGTGGGGGCTTGGAAGGTATCTTAGGAATCGGAGGAGTTTCAGTCTCGTCATCGAAATAACTGCTGTTGCGCGAAGAGACCGATGAGATAGAAGAGTTGGGCGAGTGGTGTATAGCGTTGGAGTTTGAGAACGGCGACTCACGCGGGTGGTGGAAGTCGACTTTGCGGCCTTGTACAGACCCTTCTCGAGTTCGATTTGACGATGTGGGATCGTAGTGCATTTGATCGCGGTCGCGACTTCGCCTATTCCTGATGGAGTCGGAAGACGGCATGCGGCTGTGGCGACGGATAGAATCTCGCGTGCGAGTTAGACTGTGAGATGATGCCGAGCGTTTCTGGGAGGCAGAGGTTGATCTTGATCGACTCCTGCTGCCGGCGTTAGGCAGTGCAGAGATGGAGCTAGAGCGTGTTCGGGAGTGTTGAGACGGAAGAGGGTCTTTATTGAATTCTAGGATGGAGGTCCTAGTGCTGTACATGCTTGAGGCGGCAATACTGTGTCCACGACTTCGTGATTTGACAGCTATAGCCGAGGACTCCCGTGCATGTGATGGTTGGAAGATCGAAACTCGCTGCACGGTAACAACAGAATCGCGAATTATTGGTTCCAAAGGCTTCAAGCCATCGTTGCAATAGATTGGCCCTGGAAATGTCGGCGACGTAGGATCCCATTGCTCGGGAGGAACAGTACTCTGAACAGGTGACGTCGGACTCCAGTGTCTCGTATCTTGAGGAAAATCGCCATGCTCAGTGGCCACTATTTGAGGGGTGAGATCATTCAGTGGTACTGCACGTGGAGATGAATTTCCAATTCCATCCCTGGGACCGCGTCTTGAAGATGGTCGGTCGTGATCATCATTCGTAGGGAAAATGGACCGTGAACCTGCTCGAGCAGCTCGAGATGGCATTGGGTGGGCCACAGGAGGAAAGACTGAGAACAACGGAGTCCTGGGGCCTCGTGATGGCTGTCGAACTGGCGGAGGAGCTTTGATTGAGGATGCATTTGTACTTACGATCGATGCAGTCTCTGATTTGACATGCCGTACGGAATTGCTTGGCGAAGGTACAAAGAGGCCGATCTTCTCGATCTCACCTGGAAACTGCAGTTTTGGAAGATAAGAAGTTGGCCTTTCCTTTGGAGTCGATGGCCGACTGAAATGAACATCCAGAGGTGACACCCAGGTCGGTGCTTCTGTTTCTTCAAAGGTCCCAGTCGTTGGTGAGACGCTCTTGAAAGACTTGTGGGACCGTGGGGACGGCAAGGGTGGAATATATGATCCGCCGATACCACCAACGCCGGATGGGCTGTGGCTTATCCTACCATTAAGCTCAGCACTTGAAGGTTGAAGACTCAGCGGCGATGGTTTGCGCTTCGTATGATTAAGACTGGAAGGTGCAAGGCTTTGTGGAAGCGAAAGCATGCTGCTTGATGCCGAATGACCTCCTTGATATCCTGCTTTACCCCAGTCCATAAGTTTCGTTTCGGGGGCCAAGATGTAGGATGGTGTGGGAGACGTAGGTCTCGATTGCGAGACGCCGCCGAAATATCCATGCTCAATTGCCCTGACTCCGAACAGATCTCCTTCTCCCACACCTCTCGTAACCAACTTCTCCTTGTCAGATCTCAAAGATGCTTCCAGCTCCGCTTTCTTCGTGTTTTTCCTCAGTCTTCAAAAGTCAGTGTAATTCTTGGTTACAAGATATTATACATACTTCCTCTTATTCCAAGCAAGTTTTATGAAACCCGCGATAAATGCCGCTCCAATAAGGCATGCTAACACAATGCTGAGGACAGTTAGTTAGCATTCTTCTTCGTCTCGATCGGGCATGTTAGAGCCTACCCGAATTTGTTTCCCATACTCATACTCCCAAAGGCGCCCATGGTGAAATAGCTTAAGTCAGGCCAGACCCAATACCAACGTAAATCATACAGTGTCGACCCAATCAAGAGGTCAGATAAAGTGACCAAGACTGCTCTGATGCACTGCACAGTCAAAGACCAGATGAAATAGACAGGTTGACCAAATGACTGATGTCTTTCTGCTTTCGAGCCAGTTCTATACCAAGACCAACTCAGCCGCACAGACAATGTTTGTGCTCCCCGCAAAAGGTCGGGTTCTCCTCCGTTTCGAACTGTCTGTTTGGGAATAGGATTGATTCGTGTTTCGAGAACGGAAGGGCGTATCGTTCAGACGGGGAGGGAGGTCGGTGCGAAATAACGTCTTAATGGATGAGGCGCGAATGTTCAAAAGTCCACAACAGCTGAAGCTGCGCCATCCGCTTAAGGTCGACCACACTGGTGGGAGAAGGCAATGATAACAATGATAGCGGGGTAGAAACTCGTCTGAGCATGGGCGTTTAATGCAAACGACAGGATGTATCTCAGGAGATACTGCAAAATTTCAAAAAGCTGCAACAAAATAACAGGAAACGACGATGAGGGGAATGAATGGAAGAGGGGAGGAAAGTGGGAGATCTGGACTTCATCGTGTCTTCCAGCTGAAGGCCTAAGACTAGCCTTGCTCGGAGAAAATGGAAGACCTGGCGCCGTCGATATTTCAGGTAGCCGGACGCTGCTGAATTGAATCCCACTCCCTCTGGTCATGCCCCTTGGCATTCGATTTCCTCCCAGATGGCGGCCATCGTGGAAGGAAGGAGTTGGTTCATTAGGCCTGCATAGGGACGGCCTACTCCAACCCCTTGGACACCGGACTTTTCTGCAGCCCATGCTGGGTACTACATGCGGAGAGGTTACAGAAGCGCTAGATTATTCCTGGAAAGGTGTGGCACTTGCTCTGAACCTTTAACGCCTCCAAACAAAAGGGGTCGTTGGCGTGGTCGAGAGATATTTCGGGGCGTTGGAAACGGGATGGGACGGTACCTACCGCGCGTGGAATATTTGGTACTGACGTGCCGCTCGCTGCTGGTGGTGAGCCCAACTGTGTAACAGTTTTCAGTCCGTAGAGGGCTGGAGTCTCGGATGCCTACGAAAACAGCACCGACATGAGAGTGCTTGAGGGAGAGGTGTTCTCTTCCCGGCCACAGAGCGAAGCGGATAAAGGGAGAGTGAGGTGAGGCTGTTATTGGTTTCAAGCGAGCAATTTTGATACCGACGCCTCGTTCAAAGCGCCAGCCGCTAAATCAAATCTCGTCAGGAACAGGTTTAGCGTCTATCAATCGAGGGATAGCTGCGATTCTTAAATAGACCCCACCCCTGATCAAAGATCGCCGCGATTTTCGCTTCAGCCCGCCTTCGGGGATGTTTTGGAGCACGTTTTCTGCTGTATTCGTTTCGAATCAACAAAAGCGGCTGGGAAAGACGGCTTCTCTTGGTGTTGATGTTTGGACGAGTGTGAGCTTGCGATTTGGCGATGTGCCCGCTTTAACCTTACTGACTCAAGAGTCAAGATTCTGCAGCGGCTTGGGTAATCTCCCGATAGATGTCCTTCATCCCGTCTTTATGCAGAGCTTATGCAACTCGATATCGAATCCTCCAACCAACATTTACCTCGTCATTGACGTCAAGTGACGTTGGCGTTGCTCGTGACCGATCTTTTCAAACCCTCCTTGTGATATCAAGTGATACCAACGTACTGAGGAACAGCGGTTAAGTGTTGTCTCTGGCTGTTTTCGTGTCAAGCTTTCCCTTGCAAAACAACTACAACAAGGTAAAATTCCCCAGGAACCTCTTCCCGTTACATCTCTTTCACCTTTTGGGGGTATTCCGAACCTTTCTTTTCCATCTCTTTATGTTTGTCTTCAGAATTGCTTGGATTTTGCGATGCCAAATCCGGATCCGGGGGTGGGCACCCCTCCTGCATTTACCCCCCGCACCTTTGAAAGCTCAAGAAACAGAAGGATAAGACCGGATTTCCACTTCTGCTCACCACTTCCAGTTCTCTACCATTTATAACATCAATCGAGTTCTGCTTAAACCTTCACAATGGCAGAGCTTTGTACCGATAAAACTCCAGCAGCTGTGAGAAATGCCACGGTAAGGAGATTGTCACACGTTATACTTGTCGCTTTGTGCTGACTGAGCGACAACAGGGACTTCGCTTGATCACTGAGTCGACACCGAATGAGAAAAGGGTGCAGATTCTGCTTGAGCAATTGAAGGATGCCTATGGTATCGTGGTGGACAACTACCTGAATCGACCTCGAAACGGATGAGCACGAGGAAGATTGGTTCTTACGTCTCAATTCTGACAGTGCGTAACGACAGCTAGCCCCCCGTCCCTGAGCATTGAGGGTTTGTATACAAAGTGTCGAGTTTGAATGATGTACTGGCCATTACATTGAATTAACATCGACCAGTACTAAATTATTGCCGCTTAGGACGAAGTCCGATTCTGATGGACAGCACGCAATTCCCACCTTTCCCGGTGATGGAGTCAACTGCAGAACTCCTGTATTTTCAAGATACCTTTGATAAGAGGAGCTGTCCGGATTCGGTAATACGCGTGAGCATAGCGAAGTAGTATAATAAATTCTCTGCTGACAAGCATTGGGCCAGCCAAATCAAGGGCAATGAAACCATTTCAGCAAATCTGCACCCGAGAAACTACCTTGTGAGTAATGTGTGATAACCTTTTGTCTTACGTTGAGAAGCCTGTTGGCTAACTTAGATGGAAAAACTACCAGATGCCTTTGCAAGATTTCGAACGGAGACTTTGCGCGTACACGACATGAGTCTCAGTACTTGACAAATGCGTACACCATGATTTTTTTGGCCAACAGATCACCCAGCATTTCTGTATCTCCAGGTCGCCCATCCAAATATCCAAAACACGCTGCCTCCAGGACACTCAGTTCCATCCTGACCCACCAAGCCAAAACCATTCATCAAGCGAAGGACCGCCTGATTGTCCCTGCTCGTCTGCACAAAAAGTTCCTCGGATCGCGAGGATCTGAAGTATCTTTCAAACGTGTATTCAAGGGCCTCTTTCATATACCCCCTTTGCCGAAATTCTGGGTGTATTCTGAACGACACTTCATTCCTGGTTCGTTCGATTTTGATGAACCCGATAACTGTGCCTTGAGGGACATTTGGTGCATCGTAGCTGGTGTGGCCGGGCAAAATGATGAATAGTTGTAGAGCTCCAAGGTTGGCCCACTGCCCCCATTCTCGGTACCATTCCCCAGGGGATCCTCGAAGGTCGTTGATCCTGCCATATACTTGACTCTCTTGCGCTTCACAGCATCTCACTAGGAGGCGTGGGGTGCCAATGGAGGTTGGAGTCATTCTATTAGCTGAACTGGAAGTTTGCTATTAGTTCGTCTTCATTTTCTATTTGTTGTGCTAATAATCTCGTTTTGGTGATCTTGCTGACCGAGTACGCCGAGGGATCGCAAAATAATAGTTTTGGAATGCAGGGAGGAGTTGTTGCATACGGTATGGCTAAGCTCATACATAGTCCTTTCGATCAGCCTCGAGTCATCTACCCTCTTCTTCCGATGCGTGATGCCCATTACAATTCCTTTGATGGATCGGGTTCTGTGGGTCCCTCGATGTAGAGGACCTTTGTTTCGTAACAATTTCTTTGGAATGTCAGGCATATATTTAGCCTCTCAATATTGAGTACAAAGAACCGACACCGACGATGTTGCACAGAACATCATATACAGTTCTGTACTTGGTATGTACTCCTTTTGAATGTTTCTTTTCTTGGTACTCGACGTGGCTCACTGGCGGTAGTACATGTGTTGCCAACCACGCAAGCTTTGATATTACTCAAAGCGTTACGTGGGCGAATGATGAATTTTTCTGGGGTTCATTCATGTGTTTAGGTAATGGTTTCTGTCCTTCTTTTGGGCTCATTTGGCCGAGTTGCATGGTGGAATGACTGCTTGACAGCGGAGCAGAAAACGAGGCCGTCGAATAAAAATTCTTGAAGACATCCACCCAACCACAATAGCTCGAGCACTTGGAATTTTTGTTCTTTATTTAGTTCAAAACAATTCAAAGCTTAATGCCCCAAGAACTTTTCGCTGACGTTCCAAGCTTTCCGCCTCAGACCTCCCTACCTACCTACCTTAAGGAAAGTGCTGCCCTGGGTACACTGACCTAAAACAGTCAAATCAAAATTAATAGCCAACAGTTACCTAGAAAAATATTAACAGTCCCCAGCCGGTAATTTAATTATCGACTGCGCAACAACTGTAGGTATAATAGTTTACTCAGTCCCGCGGTCCCTATCCCCTAAGCTGCCGTTAACACACTTTTGCAGGGCGCAGTGCTGAGCGAGGCGCTAAAGTTCAAATGACTGCCTGAATTGTAGGGCACATGCGCTACGCTAGGCCCCTGGAGAAATGTGTGTTCTGAACGGCAGCTTAGGGGATATGGTACTCAGCTTCAGACATACCATGTGCCTGTAGCACTGCCGAGTGAAACTTTAGCGAGCAACAAACCACTTCATTGCTTGGAACTACCTCGAAATGGGGAGTTGAAAGTCTGTCTGCATTGGTCTCAACCAGACCAAAATTCGAAATGCATATTAATAGAGACCTGCTTGCGTTTATGAAACTATCAGGATTGTCTAAACTTGCTTCGTCGATTCTTCGAGGGCCGAAACTTTCTCCAACCGAATCGCCCCTTCTCCACCTGTGTTGTGTATTGTTTTCTCTCGCTTGTGGAAGGGGCAGCCTGTCCGGAAACAAACACTAAATCTTTTCGTAGTGAATGACTGAATATAAAACGCTATCATTACAGCACTCAGGCCCCCAAGATTTTATCGCAACTCTCGTTTGACCATATTTTTATCAATCAATACTGTCTCTGGCATTAATATCAAAACGACAACCTTCGCATTGAGAGCAACAGCAACATGGATCCAACGACGCTCCAAGTTAGCAACAGTATCGCAGACCTGAATTCAATTTCATCAATTGATATGGAAATCGCCGCAGCTGACATCAAAATATGGGTAGATCTTTTTCATTACAACGACCACGATGCTCGAATCGCAATTCTCGCTCACAGAATGGATAGTTCAGCACATGTTTCGGACGAGAAATGGAGATGGGTTCAGTGGGGTCATGAAAAAGCTGGATTCAACAAGGAAGCCTACGAACATCTTCTCGTCTTGAAGAGATTGAGCGAGAAAGAGAAGGTGTGCAAAGCCAAGGGAGTACCATTATTTGAGTGGGTTGGAGACTATTCGAGGATTTGCTTGGAAGGATTTCTCACTCTCGATATTCTCCGACGCATCCTATCAATAAGCGATGAAGAGATTGGGACAATTGACTCGGCAGAGAAGTGGTGTTACATCAAGCATAACACATATCATGAAGAACACTTATCGGCGTGGGTGAGGAGGTGGGATAGAGCGGTGACTGCTGCGAGACGTGCGTACAATGCGGTTTGGAAGGTGGCAATTGAGGAGCAAACAGAAGCAACCACGCTTGCCAGGGCAGGTTTCCATGCAGTTCAGTCAAGCATCCAACCTGACGACAGAAACGTGGATATTCGGGCAGAATTCGCGCTACTAGACGGAGAGCACAGTACAAGTCAGTTGGAGCAGAATAGTGTGCACGGCATGCAAATACGGAATCTATCTACCCCATCTCGATGGCGTCAACTCCAAGCTCAACTCATTAGATTGAGGCCGAGTCTGCCATTTCGAGCGCTTCCACCACAGCGTAGGCTCCCAGGCTCACTCGAACCGGTACTTGACCCATGGAGCCAGGTGGGCGTGCGATCCTTCTGGCAACGTTACAGACGCGATCCCGCTATAAGACTTCCTGAATTCGGCAATGCGCCAAGAGTATTTCCCCTTCCTGGCGAGGTTGCCACTGCACGACGAGAAGTTTCTCGTGTGAGCCGTTCTGATACGATATTGGACACAACAGCAACGACCCAAGGCACTCCTCCACCATATCGCGAAAGCCACGGATTCTTAACTGGAACCTCCATGCGTTTCGCAGAGCCATATTATTGGTTAGCTGCTACTTCAAGGCCTTTAGCTCGCCAGCGTGCACAGATGGAGAGACCAAGAAGTCGAACACATCGTATGGAGCAGCTGTTTGGAGACATGTACCCTCAAACCGTCTCCGACATGATCACTAGGGAAGTTGTCGTTGCAAACTCTCTCAAGATGGAAGATGCCTTTGCGGACGTCGAACCTGCTCCAGAAGCTAGCACAAGACGTGAGTGGCCTGAGGTGTGGAGCAAGTAGCATTTGCCTCAGAGAGATACCCAAGTGATCAAAGAGCGAAGTCTATTTCGGAGGGTCCTCAAGTCCAAGATATAGGCAAACCGTAGCATGATTTGCGTCACTTGCATGGAGTCGGAGGGAATGAATCGTGTTGCCTACATCTGGTGACTAAAACTAGCCATAGCTTTCTTGGCAGGAATAAAGTAGCGAGCGTTTGTACAGTTTCTTCTGGAAAATTTTACTGTATGATAGGTAGCATTCGAAACAGAGCATAAATGATGGCAAGCGTTTCTGTTGCGTGTGATCAGTCTGTTGACTGCTGACGTATTGTGCAAACTTGAGAATGAAAATTGTAGCAAATACGTATGATTTATAAATTATAAACAAGGACTGCTTCCATTCCGATTCCTCCTCCACTCTAATCTCAGCACACAGTGGCTTTGGGAGGTGAGAATCTTTCATTAGTGCTCCTTCCCGGACTTGTACTTAGGGTATGCTTTGGCAGGGAATATTTTTCAGATTGAGCGATCTAGATATGGTAACTACATGCTGATACTGGAGTCTCAGATTATTTTGAGGAGCTACAAACTGGCGTTTCTCGTCTTCAAAATTCTGTTGTCTAAAGTAGGTAGGCAGGTACCTACCTAGATGCCTCAACATGCCCCACCATGGAATCTCGCTTATTTTCTCGCTACCGCTATCGCCCTGTAAACTTATCTGCCGAACAAGTCGCAACGCGACATACGAGCTAACTTGCCACAAACTTTTGAGATGTCTTCGTATTATTGTTCGTATTGCTTCATTTTCCATCCAATGTCGGAACTGCGCCCGCAAAACTTTATTGCTAAAATAAATATGTCACAAAGAAGGAATATTTTGGCCAAGTCCTCCTTGCAGATATTGTGCCTTGTCAGTTGTCGGCCCCAGAGAAAGCTATCTGCCTCTTCAATAACATTCAGAACACCTCAGAACCTACAGCTTTCTCGACAACATTTTGAGAGCTTCGAGCCTATAGTGTGCCGAACCCAAAAAATCATCTTTGGTAGTTGCGTTACATTCGGATATCGTTCTGGGTTCTTTCAAGCATCCTGAGAGAGGTGGCTCTCAGAATCCCTTGACCGACGAGGTCGTTTAGAGAGAGCAGAGTTGATATATATAGGTAACATTTTATGGGATTATGCTTGGAGTAGCTGCTTTCATTCATGTGTTGACGATCCAGCGCTCGTGGCGTGCCAATCACTAAGATTACCAACGGCGATCCGAATGACTATACAAAAACAGTCGTCTTGGCGATCAACCAGTCAGAACTACACGCTGAGGAGAATATGGACAACTAGACGCGACCGCCTGCCGTACGCGGAACAACTTCACTAGCTTCGATTCGGGTATTTCGAAGAAAACGTCTACCATCGCTCGCGCCTGCTGACCCTCAGCCGACAAATTATCGCGAAAATTCGAAAACGTCGAATTTTCTTGAGGACTGTTGCTCTGAATACTATCTTCTGGTTCAGAGCTCTCAAAGAATCGGGTGAAGTCTCGGCTTAATCTGGGCACTTCTATTGTGCTGCAAAGTTCTCACTCAAAAGGAGAATAACGGCCGGCCAGGAAAGATTCAGAAGCTGAATGACATGACAAACGGCACCAAGATTTCCTTCAGCGACATAAAAATGGAAGTTCAGACAACACAATGAATTTAGTGGGAGAAACACAGTCGAAAGCCCCAATAAGACCATACGATCCAATGCAGGTCTACCGCACACCTCGCGTCAAATACACCTCTCCCTCTCCTCTCCGAAAACAAACAAAAGACATACAACTGCAAGTCTGCCAGACTACTACCCAGTGGGAGACTTCCAATCAAAGCTACGTTTCCGAGGAGTGGCCCAATAAATAGGACTCTTGCGATTGCGAATTTGCGAGAAATTCAGAAATTCTAGTCTTATATCAACAACCTGGTGAAATGACACCAGAAAATATGTAATTTAGCTTGGATCTTTATAGAACGAGTCGGCAATTTAACCAAGCTTCAGATCTTTCACGGGCTCCTCAATCGATAAATCCGGCGTTGATGTTCTCCAACCAGCTCCTTCACATATCCGACCTCCATCGATCCACCTGACTTGTGGCAACAATTGACTCGCCACCCATCTCGCAGTCGTGGTGTGCAGGCTCCCCTCACCAAACGGCTCGTCGGTACGATCAACCCCTGTCCCATCCGAGGAAAGAGACTTCGAAGTGTGAGGGATACTAGATCTGCCTCCTGCAAGTGCTTGGAAGACAATCAATTGATCCTGCAGGTACTCATCTACCACGCCTCCTTTCCTCAGCTCAGCATCAAGTTCATCCACAACTCTCTGAGATATTTCCGTGGTGATCTTCTCGTAATCTGGATTCTTGGTGCTTCCGCTGTACAACCAGTCTCGCCCGAACCGTAGACCCGTGGAGGTGTGAGCTACTAATAGAGTGTATATCCTTGCCTTATGTCTGCTGTCTCTCACAAGTAGGAAGTTGACGTCGATACCGGGGAAAACGATACTAAGCTCCACAGTCAATGCATTCTTCAGAGGTTCTTGCATGTGTGCTGGGACGAGAAGTGATACATCAATCCGGGTGAGATTTCCTTGCTCAGTTGGCCAGTTCGGTTCTTGTATTGTTTTTCCGAGCGATGCTGGTTTGATCACGAACTTCGCCGAGCCGATTTCAGGGGTTCCATGGGACCACCCGCGATGCTCTAGCCTCCTCTCGACTTTGATACCAAACCTCTCCAAGGCGGGCAAGAGGACTTGGTCCAGATATTCAAACGAGAGAGAGAAGCTGACATTACTCCCGCCTTGGATAGTAAGAGTTATTGGGGAGCCAGGTTCATCTCCTGCGAAAAGGAAGAAAGGTAGCGTAGCTTGGAATACCAGGAGGATGCTCGCTGCTGAGTCTGCTTTGACCCTGATATTCCGGCCTTTGATATCTCCTGGAGATAAGTTTGCCTTGAACTCAACCGTCTTGCTTCCCACGGAGCAGCCTGTTACTTCTGCATTCGTTGCATCTGCAAGACATTGGATGCAGGAAACGTGCTGAGCTTTCAGACCTGGTAAACCAATCAACGTCGAACTCCGCCAAGGGAATTTCAAACCGAGAGCCATCTACTCACCACCACCTCGGACTTTGCCCGCTCTATTCCCTCTTACATTGTCTATCATAATTGGTGTTCCAGTTAATGCAGCAAGGGCGACAGCAACTCTGACCACCTGGCCTCCACCTTCTCCTGTGCGTCCATCAAGCCTTACGATGTGTTGTTTCGCCATGATTGATTGCCACTTCGACTTCTCTAAGGCGTAAACAGGTACAGATATTGTTGCCTATGTACTTTTTGCGTCTGCCTTGCTGCGGCGAATTGAGCGATTGTCGGTCAGCCCTGTCAGGCTGCAGATGATCTGCGAGCCAATGACCAAAGAACCGGAATCCGCTGCTGCTTTCAATGTGGAGATCTGAATATGGATTACCACTTTTGATGTTTGTGTTGCAAGTGATGGAAATGAACAAAAGCAATTGGAGGCAGCTGGAAAATCATGATATTTATATTGTGATGAGTGCAGCGGCGTGAGTCACTTGAGCTTGTGCTGCTGCGAAGTGAAGGCTGAGCAGTCAAATGGAAATGATCCAGCCCCATATGTTTGCAGTAAAATGACTGACTGTAATTCTGGCGAGACTTAGAGCCAGCTATGTCTCGCACCACTAAGTGAGAGATATCTTGAAGGTACTAGAATGTATTACACATTGTATTCTGGGATGGTTTGAGTTTGCCTGAGTAGGAATCCGGATCACAAGAGAAACTCAGCCCCCGGACTGCCAAGAACTGGAGGCGGGGTGAAGCGGGTGAGGCAGGATCACATCCCGGTGAGATGCATTGCTTCTTCGCCGCTCCTACAGCCTCACTTACTTCACATACGACTCAAATTCAATATTCAGTCTTGCCATAATGTGGATGTTTGACTGTTGTACTCATCCGAAGATCTTGATCGACGACGACGAGATCATTCCATAGGGCAGTCAACAACAAGATGTTGCGCCAGCCGTCCCATTCGAGCTCGATATCAACTTCCGCCAGTCCCAAAGGACGCTTGAGCTTCTTCAAGAAGAGACCTTCGACCAGCAGTACGATATCTCGGGAAGATCATGGCTCCTCTGATAAGATATTCGATGTATGTTATGTATCTTGCTGCAGAAAATATAGGACGATGCTAATGAAAACCAAAGGCGCAACACTCGGACAAGATACCAAACTCCCCCGTCTTCTCAGACCTTGAATTTGCTCGAGCGAACAATGGCGTACCCTCCCCCGACAGCTTCGTTGCTGCGACTCATGATTCCGAATACCTGCATCTCCGCGAGAACATCCGGCGCATGAAGAAAGCTCCGTCTGGTCCGGATCCGAAGAAGGTCGATGCAGCATGGGAAGTCTATAAGAAAGTGAGGGATGATTCTCTGCAGCTCTGCAGAAGTCTTCTGCAAAAGTCCCGTAAGACATGCCCGCAGATATACGTAGGGGAGGTTCTGCCAGAATGAGCCAAATGCTGATGGCAGAATAGAATTCCATGGACAACATGTCTCACTTGAATCTAATATCAGCCCTCTGGAGACTAGATCATCAAACAGCGGCTCTCTCATTGAGACTACTGTTCCTTTCCAGGTCAACGATCAATGGCTATCCGCCATCAACGAATACAAAACTGCCCAGGAAGCAATGCTTGAGAACCTTCGCACATCATTGGTAACTACTTACAAGGCATACGAAGCAGGCGCATCAGACAGGCAATTGCAGGCATTCTTGAGTGATAAAGTGCTACGGAAGAATCTGATCGACAAGTGGAGGGACGAGAGCATACATCGGATGAAGTCGGAGAAACATCTTTTCTGGGAGCATTACCGAATACGGTCATTGAACTTCGACAGGTTAAAGCTTGACCTGAAAGCTATTGAAAAGATATTCGGTGAGGTAGAGGATGGACAAGCACCGAATCTGGCCATAAGAGAATATGTGATTGCGAGGGATGGAGACACGATCCTGGAATTTGCGAACGCAGCTTCAGAAATTCATCCGATTTTAAGATTCCGGGTATCGTCTCATCTTTTGGCAGCAGCATCACCACTATTCTTCCAATTCCTTTCGTCCCAGAAACCTGGAGGCAGCCAGCCACTCGACATGATCAGTCAACTCCCTCCACCTCCGTCAAGGCACATTTGCAAGGACGGGATGGAAGTTAAAGTTTACCAGATGCCTCAAATAGAATTGAACAACAACGAAGGTCTCACCATCCTTTTTCATGCCGCACATATGCACAATCCCAAGATCCCCAGGCAGATTGAGTTTCCGGTCTTTGTGAGCATTTCAGAAGTGTGTCTACGATATCGATGCACTTCACCACTGGAATTACAGGTTGAATATCAGTGGTTGCCTCAATGGATACATCTAATAGGGGACGATAATGCTGACGGGTTCCTGGTTATTGCTTATGCCTTCGGGCTGAGGAGGATTTTTACCAGAATGTCAAAGTCAGCCATCTTGAATGCCACTAGCGACGAGGATATCCAGAGCAAAACGTTGTGGCCACAAGCAGTTAGGGACAAGATCAAAGCAACTAGAGCAGCTAAGCTGGCTCAAATCCAAGATTGCTGTCAGACTGCAATTGGAGAATATTTCCGCACTCCCTCTAGCTCTGCTGATCAAGGCCCAAATATTGGAACTTTGCAATTGACTTCGCAACCGCGGTGTCCGAGGAACTCCCACATGTGTGACGCAACAAATCTTGGCTGGCTCATGCTCGTCTACAACGAACTTCAAATCTTACCCAGCATCATGAAAGATGTAGGTTTCCAGGATCTACCAGACTCGCCCAAACATAGCGTACAAAACCTCGTTGATTGCTTGAGATTGATGCCAAGTGCTCCTCAAGTTCACAGCGGTGTTTGCGATTATGCAGCCGCCTTCAGAAGCGACATTAATGATATCTACAATAGTGTCAAAGGTCTAACCCTACACGACGTGAGTGGAAAGAACGGCTGGGCTTTGTCGAAGAACGCTGGTCCATCAGAGGACAGGTTGGACGATCTTCCCAAAGATGCAGCCGAGCTCGAAGCCCCGCTCGAATACAGACGGCAAACAAGAAGGCAGATAGCCATATCAAACGAGGATATTAGCATGCGAATCCTTTCTCACCTCGAGAACATGGAAGATCTCAACTCCGCCGCAATGATAGACAAGACATTCTACCATGCCTACAAGCGCAACGAAGCCACCCTTCTCAAGAATGTTTTCAAAGCTGAGCGACGAAGGACCATGTCAACAGCAAACCAAGATGTTTCCGGCCTACGGAAAGGTCTTCGGCCAAACTCCCAGAGATCAAGCCCACTCAACCTATCCATTCCTGGCTCTAACCAAGAGCCCAAATCCCTTGCTGCTGATAGGCTACGCTTTCCACCCGCCGTAGGAGCAACAGGCAGCGACGCAGAATCCAACGATCTGTACGATGCATCCCCTCCTTTCTCGCCTATCGAAGATGACGATGAAGACGAGGTTGTTGAGGAAGTTGATGAAATCCCCATGTCTGAAGAGGAAGCTCATCGTATCCTCTGGCCGGACGCTGTGTCGACGCGAGTCTCTTCACCTATAGTGAGGGCTAGGGTGAATAATCGGGAGCGAGCGCCGGAGAATAACGAGAAATGCTTGGTGGGTGACGTGGTGCATATTGAAGATAAAGTGCGCATTGTAGATGGCGATAAGCATTTGAGAGACGAGAAGGATATGGCGCTGGGTTTGGGGAGTTACAAAAAGTGATTTGATTTTGGTATGACAGAGGATCTGTTGGATCATGTGCTATGAATTTGCATTATGAGGTGTTCTGGGTTTGGGTATACCTTAAGTTGGGCATTGGATCTCGGCGTTTGAGTGAGGAATAGGAGATTAGGATATCCTCCGATTAAGGCTGGATTCAGATGGCGCTCTATACCCATGCGCATGATTTAGGAAGTCAAAGAATGTATGAAAATATCATCTATACTTAGTCAGCAATCTCGTCTACCAGATGAACTGTGGAGAGTCGTGGTCAATTTCTTTTGGGCAACATACCAGCTGCTATCACTTTACTCGCTCCATTACAATTAACAGAGTCATACAAAGAAAGAAGGGCTTAAAACGACGATTTCGATGCACAATTTTGCCTGAAAGACATATGCCGTAACATGTAGTTCGAAGTTATAGGGGAAAGCAAGTGAAGCGATATCAGAACAGCCCTTCTGTTCATTGAATTCTCTCCAGGCTCTAAAACATAAAATAGGATTGAATTTCTTCTAGTATCTGGTTGATTACTATTCACTTTATAAAGATTTTACTAAAAGCTACTAGCCTAATGGATCTCCACTCGGCCTGTCCTTCTGCTTCGACTATAACAACCTATTCAAAAGATCTCAAAGTGTGCATCCACCGGCTTCCCACAGTTGATACTTAAGATATCCTAAACAGTGACCACTATCAGCATAACTCATCATCTCGGCTCATCTCACCATACTCCTAGCTCAAGTCCACCTCTGGCAGCTTGATTTGATAGAGCAGCAAGAAAATGAAAGTCAACTTACCTGTGGACAAGCACTAAACGCAACAACCATATCCATCTCCGCCTTTAGGCAGATATACTGCCCTTCCTTGCTAGTTGGTGGCTCGAACGAAATGGTCAGGAGATCATCGTGGACGGGGATGTTCATGAAGAGGTTAAAGGGGGAGGGTGTGAATTGTGGTGCTTTGAGACCTGTGGGAATTGATGAGCTTGGTCTTTCGTGGTACCATTCCCTAGATTCTTGACAACATTCAAACAGATTATTTCCAAACGCAGCCTCAAATTTTGTGAATGATTGTCAAGATATTAAAGGAATGAAAGCATGATAACTAGTCATCTTGAACATAATAAACGCAGGAGGACCTACCAAGCGCACCCAACCCCTCCACCAAATTATCCGCACAATTCCTATGCTCACTCCCACCACCCAACTCCTCATACCTCTGCCTATCACACGCCGCAATAAGCGTATCGTGAGTCCCAGGCGTCGTATCCTCCACCACCGTCAACATCTTGACCCTCTCATTACTGTACAGACCATCCCCCACTTTCGGGATGATCTTGTTGAGAGACGCACGGGTGTGCTGCATAGACATTTGGGAGATGATGTGAGAGCTTGAAGAGGGAGGGAAAGAGGAAAGGAGGAATGCCCAGGTGTCAACAACTTGGGTGCCGGAGGTGTTGATTACTTTGATGGTTTGGCCTGCGAGGAGGGGAGTGGCGATGCCGTGGCGAGCGGGGATGGTTGTTGGTGCCATTTTTGAGAGGTGGAGGGCTCCCAGGTAGGTGGAAATTACGTTGGTTATTCGAGTCTATAAGGGAAATGAATGCTGTAAATATTCAGCTTCAATTATTGTGTTGTGAGTTACAGTTGGAGGAGAGACGCACATGATGTTATGTTTTGGCTGGCATGATAAGATGATAAGCGAAGCGCCGCCGGGAATGACCAAGGGTGGAGGAGGAGACTTGCCGCCCGGGATCATACACGAATTGGCAGTTGAAGAGCCTGCTAGGTCAAAGCAATGTAAGGTTTATTTTATTGTGAACGATTCCCATGAGCTACTCTTTCTACAACCACTACGATGAAAGCCCCTAGACTGTCCATCAAGTCCACGAACTGAACGACGCAAAACATAAACATTGTGGGTCTTCTGTCGACGAATTGAACCCCAGCCTAAAGGGTAAAGCCCAGCCTTCACAGTTGAACTTCCCCCAATGTCCTCGGCCGGTCTCTGCGCTGCTGTGGATACTAGATCACCGGCCGTCTCCACCACGAGGCTGAAGACGTGTTCTATTTGTGGTCGTGGGAGCGTTTAAAGGACGTTGACCCCAAAGGTAAAAGACGCGATGTAGGGGACATATCTAGGGGTCCAACCATCGACTCTACCGTCGTAGCCGTACAGCGAAGATACTACTACGTATGACAGGAAAAGGAACTGTGTTGCCCACCATCGATAATAAGAGCCAACCAAGGCCAAACAAACGGGCATGACTATAAGGCACAAAAGCATCTTCCAAACCACCCAGTCATCCAGGGCGGCAAACTGATGACATGCAAGGACAACGCTTGAGGTGTATTGCGCTTTTGGGTCCCAGGAGGTAGAATGCTCCAATTGTCCCTGCACGACAAAGTTGCCCTTGCAGTCTCTTCGAACAAAAGTATGGAGAACCGGCGTACGCGAGTTGCTACACTTTCCGGGCACAATATTGACGGTGGAGTTTAAGCGGTGACAGACGTCTGGCTTGAAGGTCCTCTGGGTCTGTCTGACATTGTAGTCCGCTTTGTTGAAAACTGCGTGGAAGTCTGTGGTCGCCTCAGGAGACAGGCTGGCAAGGTTGGCTTCGTCGGTGTGCCCATGCTTATTGTGCATTACTTGAGGGGTCTTGATAGCTTTACCACATCTGAAAATTATCGAAGATTGCAAAGACTGTCCAGACTCTCTGTGGAAACATTGACCAACTGTAGGAGAAGAGGACATTTCGGTTCCACCATCAAGCTCTTCAGTGCAAGCGGCTTGGGCGTAGGTGAAGAAGGTAGGTACACTGCCGTCTGCGCAGAGTCCTTCTGACTTGATTTGGACATCATAGTTTCGGAAGCCGGTATTCGTGAGGCAGACACCAGGAGAAAGTGATATTGTCGTTGCAGGGGTGCTTGGGAAGCAGCTGGCTTTCGAGTATGGCTCATTCCAGAATTTCAAGATAGCATCTTGCTCGAGCCCTGGACCATGCAATGCAGGCGAATGATCTAAGGCGACCATAACTGTGCTCGAGGTATCGCGTACAAGGGTTGAATTGCTTGACGATAATTCCCTGTAGATGTTGGTGCCAATTCCGGTGATGATACCTACAGGGCCCACGATGAAGGCCACGAAGCCCAGAATTTTGGCCCGGCTCATTTTGCAATCGCTCAAATATCGTGGCAGGGAACAAGTCAGTAAAGAAGAATAGTCTATAGCGATGTCTGCAAGTCCAAAAGTGATGGCGATTGATGATTGTTCTAGTTGATGATAGAGACGAATATTTTGATGTGTTGTTGAGCAGAAGAAAAGCAATGAACGATGGAAACAAAGGGAAGAAACTTTCCCAAGAAGAGCACCTTCCTCGTCAGTGAGCCTCTGGCACTCCAGTCGACAGAACGCAGCTACTACGACGTGTAGCCATAGTTCAAGTGGAAGGTACGACCTGGCTAAAGATCAGCACTCAATGATCATGGTAGCGCCAGCCAAGAAATTCCGGAGAGAAAGCAGTCATGCAATTAATAAGGGATCCCGGTCAAGATTGAAATGGTTGTCTTCCATATCTAAGTCATCATTACTCGTGAAGACATGCGCCTTTACGTGATGCTAGTTGGCAATCAGTGAACAAGAAACGTCTCAACATCTATTCCTACAGTCTATGAGATCTATGAAGTCTGCCACCTGGCGTTGATCTGCTTCTTCCTGACCTAGTGGATTATTAGCAATAGTCAGCCAAGAGTAATTGGACCAGCTTACCATAGGCGCCAGAATAAATACCCCCACCCAAAGGGCAAGAACTGTACCCACGAGACTCAACTTATTGAACCCCTTCCCAAGAATATCAAACGCCATGCTGGGTGCAACTCTAGTGCCGAAAATATCAATTCCGTAGGCAAAAACCAGGCTGGTACTCTCCAGAATAGCTGGAGTGGCAATCACATCTTGTACGCCAATAACTTCCCTCTTATGACTGAGGACAAGCTTTGGGTCGATATCGATGACCGGCTGGTACCTGAAGAGGCCCTCCTCTGCTTCCAGAGGTGTGGGGTCGCGACCAACAAGTCTTCGTGGGTCGAGAAGAGTTCTTGGAATTCCAACAATCGAGTTGGAATTTGCAAGAGTGCAGAGAATCTGGCGGGTGGTGATACCTTGGCCTGTTTGAGTAACAGCCATGTGGCTGATAGGCTCGGAAATAAGATATGATTGAGTGATGACATGCGGCAAAGCAGGCTCAGCATTTGGAATGTCGGAGGGTTCGACACTTGAAGCATTTGCCATCACGCCCAATGGACCACGATCATTTGCAACATCTGATTCATACATTTCGGACGCAACAATCTGGTAGCCTTTGGAGGACGGGAGTTCCGTTGTGGAGGTGACGACATCACTCCATAGTGAGTATGCAAAGAAGTTCTCCGTGAGGGCGGAAGTGATGGGTTGTTTGGTGTCAACGCCTTCGTGGCTCGTGGAGTACAGGAGATCGCCAGAGACGGTATCGAGGAGATAGAAAGAAGCAGTGGAGGCTTCGTCCGATACGGCAGTGACAAGAACGATATTCGGGTTCAGGTACTTGTATAAAACAGTCCGATCGCCGAGGACTCGTCCAATAGATGCAACCGGGTCATGAACAGGTCGGGAGATGATATTCACGATTCTTTGTCCGGAAACTGGCTGGAAAGTCCATACAACTGTGGGGACTGCGTTCGCACCGCTGGTCTGGAAGTTCAAGCCCTTAACTTCGCCATCTTTCCCTTGAACCACGAGATTAGCTGATGGTGCCCAGTCAGCTGGGATGTCTCCTGGATTGCCATCTAAGCCAATTGGAAGTAACCAAGGTCCCGACGGACTATCAACCACAGCAGTACTTTGTACTGTAGGCCATGATCCTGGCATGGTTCTCTCCACTGTCTTGCCTGTTGTTATCTCAGCCAACACGTACTCCCCATCACCGCCTCTGATTGTAACAATGCCCTTGGACTGTTCTACCCAGATTCCCCTGACTTGCCACTTCTGGCCAGCGGGAATATCAAATGCTTTAAGAGACCAAGCTACGGCTCCTTGGTTACCAGAATCAAGCCCGTATATGCGGCCACGCTGAGTAGCAATAATAACGATCTTGCTGAATCCAAAGCTATCCCGGATGAACACACCAGGCTTTTGAGTAGTCGCCTCCCCTGGCAGAATACTTGTGATAAATCGACTAGGCAGCTGCTGTAGATAAGCAGTGAGGTATTGAAGATCGTTCGCGTGACGCTTGACACGGTGAATGTATGCTGAGAGTGGGTTGCTATGTGCTTCTGCCTCTAGTGTCTTTGCCAAACTTTCTGACTCGGGAATCTCGGCCCACTCAGCAGCCACGGCACCAGAAAGACCTTCAATACGGGTCCAGTCAAGGGCACCATTCCGGATGAGAACCCAATCTTCATTGCTTGTAAGGATTGCAGAACGAACAGAGTAGGCGTCTGGACTCTTTTGAACAACCTCCGAGGCTCCATGTAAATATGTAGCAGAATCCTTTGCAGTCTTCATTGGCCACCGTCCAAGGATTCCATGTGACACGGAAGAGACAACAATAGCTTCGTCCTCGGTGATGCGAGTGAAGTAAACATTCGCATCTTGAGAGCTGACAGACACTGCACCCTTCCCGGGTAGTTTTGGAAGCGAGTATGCCTTGTTGATCCCTCCAGTCTTCAGATCAATGTGGTAGACGTCGGCTCGATTGGATAACGCTGAATGGCTGTGCACCAAGAAGTGGGGGAAGGACTGAATTAGCTCTGGTGCATGAATAGAGACCTTTACAATCTCCCCATCGGCGTCCTTCAAAGGCAGGGTTTGTAGACTCGAAGACTTCCCCAAAATATTGACCTTGAGATTGCTCTTTGCCTTGTCGGTCCAAGAAATGATTGGAGAGGCAGAGTTTGCGCCAACAAGGAGAACGTCCTCCGCGGCATGGACATCGCCCTTAGTCGAGAGAGTGTAATCGGTAATCTTCTTGCCCGTAACTGGATCCAAGGTGGTAACCTTCAGATTGTATGCGCCCGCAGATCCGTGAAGAGATACCACAAAGACATCCTTGACATTCGTGCTGACTTGCAAAGGGATATCGTCGCTGTGATCTTTATATTCCCAGGACACATCTCCATTCTTTCCCTTCAACTTCCGCAGAACTCCCTTCCCATCCTCTTCAAACAAAGCCAGGATATCTTTTGGCGCATTGTCGTTAGCTGCGCTTTCCATAATTTCCAAATCTTTCACTGTCCCAACGAATACATTTCCCCATATTTCCTTCCCACTCATGGCATCCCAGGCGTCGACTCTCTGCCCCGCGCCAGAAGCCACCACATTCTCGCCCTCTATAGGCCTTAGAAACCCATTGTCTGTGCCTAGAACGTGTCTCCAAAGGACCTTTCCAGTCCCAGGATGTACCGCGCCAAGAACTCCCAAATCGCTCAAAGTGTATAGCAACGACGCCTTATCTTCTCTCCGTGGGCGATGGAAGAACGTCGTGTGTGGTTGCGGCAGGCCAAGCAATTCGTGATGGTAGTCGACGGCGTAAGCATCGTCTGCGAACACGGCAAGCGTGCTAGGCAGGATGGATAGCGTTAAGCTGAGGAGATTGAGTGGCAGACGCATTGTTGCGTTGTGGGATAGGGTGGAGGGGATGCCTCGTTGAATGTCCTGGAGCTTGTCTTCAGCAATTGGAGCTTGTGACGGCTGGCTTGCCAAGGCTGAAGCTCAGCCCCACGTGATATCAGACTTGGACACCACTTCAAGCCCTTTCAAAGCGATCTCAAAGTTTAGTAGTCTGGCATTCTACTCAAATATGGTGCTATTGCCTCGCTTTCCGGTGTTTGATTTATTACATTCATGCAACATGCAACGCTAAAACAACAGGCTATTTTTTGTGCCAGTCATTTCTGGCGCCTGTGTCTGGCAAGCGAGTAAACACAACGCAGCCTTGTCCAAAGGGGCTCAGGTATTGCTTTCCATGAGAAAACACAATCAAGAGGCAACAGTGCTATATATACTACAAGCTCTGCCACTCAAACTTGGCAAAGCTTGCAGATTTATAGAATTACCATGACAGACAATGTTTCAAATGACCTCTGGTCCATCGACTACGTGACGGGTTGGGAAACTCCGCTTCGAGCAGCATCTCAGATGACAGAATCAAAGAGGAAGGTTAGATAGCTCAGCTCCATGTCTTGAAAGTGCTTCATGTGTGTTATCCCTTCAAGAATATAAATTTATGTTCGATTTGACTACCGTCAACGCCTGTTGACTGCACCATGGCAGCGTCAGACCAGCTCAAATTCATGCAGCACTTTACGAGCAACTTATTTAAAGCAGATCATAAGTGTCTTTCTCTTTTTCTTGAACACAGTGGAATGATTTTACTAGGCCAAAACCAAATTAAGTCTTTTTGAGCACTCACCGAAGTACGTTGCGGCAAATCAAAAGGTAATAGAATGATGGCGTAATGTCGACGTGAACATGTAAGGCTGGAAGAGTCGCCCAACTTATGTCATGGTATACATCTCGTCTTATATTGAGTAATCAAGCACTCGCAGCAGAAGCCGTCTCCCATGTTACATGAACGGGTCTTGCCTCAAAACAACTATTAAGCGAGCCCCTTTATGTTCTAAACACGGCATTCGGTCCGCACCATTCTTATTTCTATCCACAGGCCTCTAAATTCTCTTCTCTTTCCAATCGTTAATGAGCTTTCCTGAAGCACAAAGCGAAATACCAGCTAGTGCAACAAAGACCATCTCCGTCCCCGTGAATCCAGCCAGTAGCTCCATGCCAGCAAGAATTATTGGTACGACACCCATACTCAGATTCAAAAGAGAAGTGGTGATGCCATAACCTATGACTACTAAATCTTCATTACCATTGTTCGTTACCATACCTGGCAAATGTTCCTCTCTCAAACTTGGGATTTCGACGTCACTGTCATGGCCAATCTCAGGATAAGTGCCATCCAGGTTCTGTTGTTCTTGTTCGTATGAGTGATCGGTAACGAGCGATGAGAGAGGTTCGGACTCTGGGATATGGGCTTGCCCGTCAAGTATGCAGCTCGCAACAGCTGGCCAGAATGCAGTCCCGAAGGAGGCATATCCCACCCCGAGTGCAACAAGTGAGAGACCTGGATCTCTGATCTGAAAGAGGAAGCATAAATGGGCTATCAATAGCAGACCACTCGAGAAAGCGATTGCAACTGGGTAGTTCTTGAGACGCGGATGATCCAAAAATAAACCGAACGGAATGACTAAAACGCCCGAGAGTGTGTTTGGAATGCTGCCCGGATCCCGTTAGGAAACGACGTGACTAGAAAAAATAAGGTGCCAAAATAAAGTAGACGAACCTGACTGCAAGCCCCGCAGCACGCTCATCACCTTGATAAAAGATAGAAGATAGAAAACGTTGCGCAGAGTTATTAAAGGATCCCAGGCACCCATAGCTTGTTGTGCATATAATAGCTAGGATCCAAAAAACACGCGGGAACCGTCGCAGAGAATTCGTGTAATTTGAGAGCGCCAAGGGTTTCGACTTCTCGGCTGCTATGTCAACATCGACAAGCACCAAATATGTAGCGCAAGGTAATGTCACTGCCCATGCAAGACAGGTTGACATCCAAGTCGCGGCAATGACACCATACTCCTCTGTCAGCCGTGGCGTCAGGATCGAGGTTGCGACGGAACCAAGTCTAGAAATGCAGAGTAAAATTGCCAAAGCTAGGGCAAGAGTTCGACCACTATGGTTGTAAAAAGTTAGTATCTGTGGCTTGACATGATGGTGCAGAGATTCAATACGGTATGCTAGAGAGTGGGTGTTACATTTGCCTAAAGCCAGACCTTGTACCACGATGTGGCAACAACGTGCGGAGAATATCTGAGGAATCACCGAAAACTCACTGAAGCCATCTTGTAATAGCACCACTAGCAATCACTCCAGGGGTCTCACTTCCTATCCCGACGAAAACTCTCCCTACCACGAGTCCCCAGCTGCCCTTCTTCCCTCCTTGCAGCGAAGCGGCGAAGATAGCCTGGCCTAACACGACAATGGCGAGACTCGAAATCAAGATACGTTTCTGGCCATATTGATTTGCCACAAAGCCGCATATACAAGGTAAAATGAAATTTGGTGCTGCGTAAGCTGTGTAGAGTGCCGCAACGAGATATCCATACTGGCCATCAGAGAGAGAAAGGTGATGTTGAAGCGGCGTTGAGAGCGACGCGGGAATATCATATACTGAGCGAGATTAGAGTATGTTTCGAAAAAGAGCCAAGGGTGAGTGAAAAGCATGGTCAAACAAATGTGAGAGTGTGCATACTGAGAAAGATCCCCCACATCATCCCGCTGGCAGCGAACAAGATAGACCATGACATTACCAGGCTGGGAAGTGCCATGTTCTCTGCTTCGATGGCGACATGAAGTAGCGGTGGCGGGTGTACAAGTAACGGCTGATCATCTGTCATCTTGCTACGATAAGGAGAGATGAGGGTGAGACAAGTCTAGGGCTGTATCAGCACCCTAAACAGCCTGGTAGGACAGGACACGCCCCGCAACAAAAGGGAAATAAAACCTGATGGTAAAAACGACCTTCAGGAAAGGCATGAGTATACTGAGTGGGAAAGATAGTTTTTCGTGGTGACTGAGGTCTGCAGCCCGGGTGTTTGTCATTTGTGTAACTTCACCCCCACGTCAGCTACGGGAAGGAGGGAAGGTCATGCAAGCCTGGCATGTGCCTGTAATATCAACGTGGGAAAGGCCAATCCACAGCATATCTTTGCCAGTCAAAGACTACATGATCTCATCAACAGCAGTGGTGATTGGAAGAGATCGATATAACTGATGTATCGCTGAGTTGATTCTACATGTGCCCGTTCGGTGTACGCATTTACCTGCCCAAACACGGGAGAAACGTAGATATCTTGGTGAAGACATCTTTTTAGTCGTCTGATTCAAGAATCAAATACAGACTGAAACTGGAAAGAGTGGTGCCATTCTATTTAAAAGATGTAGTGCTATTATCTTTAAAAAAAATTCCTTGAGGATTTATTAATATTTCCGTAAGATATTGGGCGTTCTGTACAGCGAATCATTTTGGTGTGCAGATAATTATGTACTCCGTCAGGTGTCTTATCTTTTGAAGAGGGGAAGTTACACAGCAGCGGTGACAGCTACTACCGCACCTTCAATAACGTGATGCAGATTTCCCTCAGTTCGGTCAGTTCTCATTCTCATCGCTCACTCGCTTTATTCGTTGTACGATGTCTCAGACGAATACTACCAAAGCCAAAATGACAAGTCAAGTGCAACTAGGACATGTTAACTCACTCTTTTCCCACGTCAAAGAAGACTGGTGGAAAGATGCCTTCAACGAGATATATCTCAGAACAGACGGCGATGTAGTCGAAGATCCTTCGATCACAAAAGCAGAATGCGAAGAGCTACTGTCCATCGAAGGAGTTGCCAAACTGTTCAATCTCGCAACCGAGACCAGTCAAGCCATTCGCGTACTTGACTTGTGCTGCGGACAAGGACGACACAGCATTCATCTTTCCGAAAAATACCCATTGATCGATTTCAAAGGGCTGGACTCGAGCATCTACCTGATTGAGCTTGCGAAGCGACGCGCACAAGATGCGGGATGCCAAAACACATCTTTCCAAGTCGGAGATGCCCGTCATATTCCATATGACGACAATACTTTCGATCTGACCATCCTCATGGGAAATTCTTTTGGTGTATATTCGAGTGAAGATGATAATGCTCGACTCCTGGAGGAAGTTGGTCGAACGTTGAAGCCCGGTGGAATCTTCCTGGTGGATCTGGTCAGCGCCGACTACACAAAATCGAGTTTCCGTCCAGGAGGATGGGAATTTATTAACGGTGGAAAAGTAGATATGCCGTATAGTAAAGGATCCACTGGCGATCCCGGAAGTGACAGCCTGATTGCTTGCCGCGAGCGAGAACTAAGCGAGGATGGAAAATGGCTTGCAAGTCGAGAGCTGGTGATAAACTTGTCTGGTGGACTTCGTCAGGACTTGTTCTACAAGCTTCGATTGTATGAAGTCGAAGAGATGGAGCTGCTTCTTCGTAACGCTGGGATGGAGCTGAACAAACAAGCATGTCAAGAGCTTCTAGGTCCGGCCAGTCAAGGGAATCGGAATGATGACTTGGGGATGATGGCGGCTCGACATCTCCTAGTTGCTGTTGCAACTGTGCCTAGCAATGGCGAGGATCGTAGCATATTCAAGCCAGATCCAAGCAAGAACTTCTTTGTTCATCCATATCTCAAGATCGACATCGATCCTGTGAAAGGACGAGTGGTCCGATCTACCAGCAATGTGAAAGCTGGGACGCTGCTGATGGTTGACAATCCTTTTGCGCTAGTTCCTGACATCACACAAGGAAGTGGCGATTTTCTCCCATGCAGTCGGCTAGAGTAAGTCAATTCGCTTTCTTTCGTTCTGTGATAGTTATCATCTTGCTAACAATAATATAGATGCAGTAAGCGTGTCACTGACCCATCATCAAGTGTCTCCTGTCCCAACGTGTGCAATCCCGAGGTTATCTGGTGCAACAGCTCCTGTCGTGAACTTGATAAAGCTCGGCATGAGATTGAGTGCAGCTGGTTGAAGCAGAACACTGCCACCATCCTCCAAGAACAAGGCCAGTACGACTTCACCATGCTGTGGATTATCGTCAGAATTCTTGCTTCGCGGTCTCTTGAAAAGGAGCAAGAAGATCTGCTGCCCCAATCTTTGTCAACAGTAGAGCAAGCAGACCGCAACGATGAGTACGTATTTACCCACAGCTACCACGAAGTTGACAAGTTGCGGTCAAATCGCAATGTCATCTCGCCTTCAAAGATTGAACATTACTACGTTCTCGTCAATGCTTTCCTCACCACCGAATCAGGCTTTCAAGGCAGCTTGGGAGTGGAAGAACTTGTCGACTTGATTTGTAAAGAAGAGATGAATGCCTTTTGCCTCTATCCAAAAGGGACGGGAATGCCGGGAGTGACAAACGGCAGAGGAAGAGCGTACGGTCTGGGACTTTATACCAGAGCCACTTGGATGAATCATGACTGTGATGGGAATGTAAGTTATTTGGCCCCCTCTCCCTTCTCTCTTTTCTCCTCCCCCCCTCTTCCCCAATCCCCCAAGACTCGGAATTACCACTGATTACTTCTTCGCCAGATGTCCCACAAGCCGAACCGCAACAGCCAATACATGTTTCGGACAACTCGAGATCTCGCTGCGGGAGAGGAGTGCACAATCGCCTATTTTGATCTGACGGAGCCTCAGCATGCTGATGTGCACTCTCGAAGGGCCTTCTTAAAGGAGTGGTTCACGTTCGATTGTATGTGTCGCAGGTGTCTGAAGGAGCTTGAGGTTTCCGAGTGATTTCATATTCTGTCTTTGCTTGCCATCAAAAGTGTGGAAATCTTGGGAGATGAGAATACGTCCTGGACATACATGATTCACCAGAAACTTGCGAAGTTGAATTCCAAAATATCCGCAGCCAATTAATGGCATTGTCCACTATAAGTATGAGACACTTCATTCTAGGCAGCTTCCCACCTTTGAAGATGCTCTTCAGTTCTACTAATCCAAGATCACTCAGCCGCAAGCTTTATAGCTTTAAGGCAAAGACATATAAAGCTTCAACATCTTCTCGAAATTTGGGCTTCCAAGTCCTGTCACAGGATCCCAACCGATCGTAGCATTGAAACCTCCAGTACCACATCCAGGATTACTCCCTTCTGTGATGTCGTTCATGACTTCTGGATGCGCATAAAGCACCGGATTTACGAACCCAATTGACTTCTTCCCAGCATTAAGGCGCGCTTCATTGATCAAAGTGAGTACGGAACCGAACACTGGTGCCTAATAGAGGTCAGTGAATATGAACCACGACCGTAGACCAGAATGGAGATAACGCACCGAAGCAGAAGTTCCCCCAACAAGTTGATAAGTGTCCTCCGGCACATAAGGCAAGTTCTTCCCCACGCCAATGATGAAATTCCTTCCCAGCGCAGCAACATCCGGTCCACCTCTCGCCTTCATCGAGTCATTGAAAACACCCATTCCGTACCCAGTTGGATGTTTCTTGAACCAATTCAAAACAGCCTTCTCCTGATACTTCGGCATCGCGAAATGATTGCTGAAACCTCCTGATGAGTAAATAGGGAAGTCAACAGCTACTTCGACGTTCCGATCGAATACTGATGAGTTGACTGGAATCTGAGTGGCTCCTACGCTGGTCACATACGGGCAGGAAGCTGGGAACGCGGGGCTGAATAACGTTCCTGTTGTTGCTGGGTCCAAACAGCCTTGCCATCCTGCAACACCGTAGTCTGCAGATGCAAAGAGAATGGACATGCCCTGGAGACCAAGCTTCATGTACTCATTGCACATCCTGCTCGTGTAGAACTCAGTGAAGAAGAACTCATCACCACTGTAAGAGATGGACACTACAGTTGGTGGTTTGGCACCGCCGCACATTTTAGTTTGGTTGTAGCCACTAAGAATCGGGTCAGGGTACTGAGGGTTCAGAGTGGGGTCATCGCCGCCGAGATACGTGCAATAAGATCCGTCTACTGCATCGAGAAAAAGCTCAAAGGATCCACCAATGAAGTTGTCACCGATTTGGTAGAGTGTGACATTCTGTGGGTACACCAAGGACATCGAGTAAGATAAATCGAGGTTACCTTCCACCCACTGCCACATGTCAGTGGATGAATATAGAACATTGGAAAGAGGAGACTCACGCTCGAGGAGATTGCCGGAGGGCCAGGAGGAGGACGACTCCCGCCATCGATGCTTTCCAAAGCCGGCGGTCTTCCCACCAACTCCTTCGTGAAATTCTTGAAGAAAACATTCAGGCCGTCCTGGCTATATGTCTCTGGGCTCAACTCCAAAATTCCATACGTGTTCTTAGGATTGGCGGTCTTCCCCGCTGGAATTTTGTACAAAGCACGGAGACAGTCTGGCGTGGTGAGTGTATCACAAACCGTAAGATCTTTTCCTTTGAGGCGGCGATCAGTTGTAGCTAGATTGGAGGTCTTGACAGGATTGAGTCTAAAGTCATGGCTTTTGGGCAGTGATCGAACTTGCTTCGACTTGCGAGTGGTGAGATGGACAGTTGGCGTGATGAAATCAATATGAGACCGAATTGACTTCGGAACACTGTAAGAGTCGCAAGCCAGCTGACTGTCGCCCGTCTGAGAGTCTGTGTAAACATGATATTTTGCTCGCAGCAAATCCTCGGCGTCACTCAGTCCGATGGGAAATGTCAGCCAACCTCCATCTTTTGAAGGCGTGATCTGGTTGACGTCGATGCCAAACGTTACGAGCCAGTTCTTGACTGCTTCAGTGCTTTCTCTGGAGGGCGAGAAGACATCTGCAATTTTTTCTTTGCTCCAATGTTGTGCGAAGAAAGGGGATGCAGGGTCAGACACTTCCATCAGGAATTCCTCACCACGATGGAGGTTTTGCTGCGTGATCGCGATGCGCATCTGGATTCGAGGGTTCAGATCCCTCGGAAGCATGCTATTGACCTGCCATCTCGAATGTGGAACTCCGAGCTGCTCGTGTACCACATGTTCATCCTCTGAGATGGGCAGACTGAACGCACGACTAAAAGCCAATGCCGATAGGATTATCGAGGACAGTATCGTCATGATGAATGAAATTTTAGACACTGATTACCGTCGGTAATGTCCCATATCGACTGTTGACAATGACCAAGCTTTTATAGAAATGCTTGCGTGTGGCAAGCACTGTGGTTGCACTGCTGAATGATGGCAGTCACCAGGCCATATTCAGAGCGCCTATCCTGTTCCAGTATCAACACGCCGCAAACACGAAGATTACCACATCAGTTGTGGCGAAGATCAGACTTACATCGGCAGCAAATGTGCTCGATCTCGTATTTGTATTCTCCGGTTTGTACCTTCAATTGCCTTTCTCGGACCGGACCTCCCCTGCCGCAGAGTTACTAAGCTTTTCAATGCATGTCACACAGGACTTTTAGACTTAAATTGTCCGTAGTCAATGGCGACGATAGGTTATCTGCATGTAAGATAACATCTCGCTAAAGCTGAACCTGTATCCAAGTACATTCAGGAGTGTACTGTGCAAAAATATGGTACCTTTCCAAGTGTCGGTACTCACCAAGAAAGGTGCTTGACTTAGTAAGTCGATTTGTAAGACTGTATTGGGTTGTAAACATCCGCCAGACGGAACCATAGATCTGCCACATCTTATTCCGTGTTGTCGCACCTGACCATCGCCATTCTGGCGGCTGGTAACAAAGCAGGTTGAATTCTATTTTGTGTATCCGTACCATACATAAGGAAGAATCATATTTGGATGCAGCATTCAAGCCTTAACCACCCAAACATTCCCAGTCTTACTAAATCTCGCAAGCACTACACATATGCCCGCCAACAGATTTGTAGCGCCACAAAACATTGCCGGTCCAATCCAACCGTAACTGTCCAGCAGCACCCCAGCGACTGGATTTCCTACTAATAGACCAAGCGAGGCAGCAGCAAAACTCATGCCCATATGCGTCCCCATCACTGACATGTCAGTCAAAATGGACGCAAGGGATGGGCCAGTAATCGAGACGAAGGTTCCAGAGAAAAATCCGTAGAATAGACAAAAGACGATGATCTGCCCGATCGATGAGACCGACGTCCAGCAGAATGCAATGATGCCACAAAATAGAACAAAGGGTCCACAGATATTGAGGGGCCCAGAGATGTCGGCGACGAAGTTGGGGACAATTCGTCCGAAGATTGAGCCTGCGTTTATGATGGCGAGGAGGTAGAAGCTGAGATTGGCGTTCGCGATATCTTTGGCTAAGCTGTAGCTTGTAATGTAACTACACGGATGGAGATAAGTAAATATTCTGTCGACAAATGGTGGGGCATAGTGGGCTCCAAAGAGAATACACATACTAGAACGGGATGTACATTCCCATAAAGCCAAAGAATTCCCCCAATGAAAAGAGAACGAAGGGCACATTTCGCAGGACTTTGAAGTCAAAGAGCGGTCTCCGAGTGGCTGGAAATACTTTGGCTCTCATGACCGTCATAGGGATCGTCAATGTACCTAGCATCATGAAAGCAATCACTCTTGTGGTCCAACCAAATCCGATTTTCGGCTGGAGTTCGTGGAAGACAGTTGGGTACACGACACCACCTAAGAAAAATTAGCAAGGTAATTCAAACAAGTCTGAATAAAGTCCTACCTAGACTGCTTCCAGCTGCAGCGAGGCCGGTGGCAAGAGCTCTGCGTTTCGTAAAGTACTGCGGGAATACGGCGACACTTGGCAGAAGCATACAGCCAGAACCGAATCCCACAATCAGGCCTTGTGCCAGAACTACCTGCCAGTACTCTTTACAGATGCTAGTCATCATCATCCCAAACATAGATGCTGCGGTCCCGATAGTGACGAGTCCGCGCAGATGACCAGCATCGAAGACAGGGCCAGTGAGAAGGCCACCGAGGAGAAGGAGTAGAAAGGCTTGGATAGACCCGATCCAGGATATTCGTGAAGGTGTCTCATTTTTCAGTAATGCGTTCTCGTAGTAGTTTTGGTACGCGCCAAAAGTATTTGCCACGCCCCTGAATTTCTATTAGCTTGTAGTCCTTCGTAAGTGGTGAGTTGAAATAGTGTACTTGCCAAGAATTAAACATCAAGAAAAAGGCTCCCACAACCTGTAGGCCAGCTGTAACATTTCCACTCCTTTCCGCGCCAACATTATCACCGGTTTGTGGTTGCTCGGCCTCCGCCTTCTCTTGATAATCTGTGTAACTGCTCGAGTCTGAATGATGATTTCTCGTATTGGCGACCGTCGGATTCGGAGTCTCTCCAGACGATTCGGTGTTGGTAATCATTGAGGGAAGTCCTGGAAGTGTTTCAGAGCATAGATAAACGTAATGAAAAATGAAGAATACCGCCTGGTGTGTTGCTACTTTTTGGTTATATACTGTCCAGTTCAAGAATGGAAAGGCCGCGGTATGGCGATCATGAGGCTCAAAAGCGTAGCTTAACAATTCTCGATTACCAAGCTTCGGAAAGCTAAACTGAACGAGATACAAGGGACGATGAGGTATCCATCATGCTGCATGTCTCAAGAACTCTGGAAGAATGTTACTAACAATGAAAGTGACGCAAGATTCCGACTGTAACAATGGGCTTTGAGCTCGGAAGAGGGGTCCCGGTAACGCTATGTGTCTCGGAACGCTAGTCATTTTTGGAGGCGGCAAATTGAAGATGCGGAATTATCCGTTGATCATCAAAGTGGGATGGGCTTGCTATTGGTTGATCGTCCGATATTTGGCGGGATTTGTTGTTGCCGCCACTGCTCTGAATGGTGGGAATATCGGGTCGTGATTACGACAATGACTCCTTTCCTTCACGAAAACCCACGAAAACCGTGAGCCTGGCAACTTCAGCACAACCCGAGAAACAGAATTATCGAGGTGCATACGAGAATGGTCAACTCTTCTTTTACTGTCATTCTGTAGCCTGCAAATGAATGCAAACCTTAATGCTGATGGAAGTCCGGGAATAACGTGGGGGCCTCAGACAACTGGCAACGTTGACGTTTAATAACGTAAGAGCCGACGGGTTGACAGGCAATTATGCTGTACCCTTCTTGTAGAGGTCATATTGCTGTGAGCTCTTGGCTATCATGGTCGCACATTTGATGCCGCATTGGCGTCCAACTTTCTCCAAAACCGCTCGAGCTTCGTGACGTTGCTCGTGAGATACAAATGAGCATCGAAGGATGGTTTGAAGAGACCAAACGAGAAAGTAGCCCCCAATGCTTTTGGGCGGGACACTCATCTCACCAAGAGCAAACGGAGCGCTGGATAGAATATCTTCTGTCATCTCTTGAATTGTGGCCCGTGAGGCAAGCTCTTGCTCTTCAAAATCACGCATGTCGATATCTCCAAGTTTCTGGATCTTTCCCACAGCCTGAAAAAGCTCGAGCAATAGTTGATGCAAAAGAATCCGAGTTGCACGGTGCTTATTCCAGATACTGAGGGTCCAGAAACCAGGATAATTGTCGTGTTTGAAAGAAGCCGAATCATCTTCGGACTGCACCCGTTGATAACCCATAGAAACAAATGCCGCCTCGTTCCAGTCACAGAGCTCTTTCTCAAGGACTGAGAATTCGCAAAGTAAATCGCGATATGAAGCCTGCTCATGGCCTGCGAGAATTACTGAGTTGACTTCGGCGACCCAAATGCTTACATGCTGCATGTTGAGACACATCTGATTTGCTGGCTGGGTCATGTCGGGAAAGCTGACCAGCCTGGTATGAGAATGACGAGGGAGAATTCTCAGATCGAGATTCCGCCGTTGCTAGATTACAAATCAGCTTTTTATGAGAAGATCGTCGAGAGGAAATACCGTTTGGCAACAGACTATTTGCAGAAGGGATGGCCCTTCCGCGAGAACTGCGAGACGGATGTCTAGCAGGACGACAAGTCCTTGAGTATGTTGCATGGCCTCGGTTTCCGATATTGTAGTGTTAATGCACTTCAGCGAGCTTCATTAGCAGCTTATTCTCAATGTAGTTTTCAAGACTTTATTTACCTCATACAGTCCAAGGAGCATAATCGAAGTCATCGTCGTATCGCTCGCCGGCTCTTTGTTTTCTGCAAGTATAGTACTTACATCCCTCAGAGCTTTGCGATAGTGTGACATAGCCTTGATAGTTATGTCATGCCGGTTCATTTTCTGAGCCATATTCGCATAGGAAGCCGCGAGGACAGCGACAGTGAGTAGTGAGCTGTCTGTAGACTGGCTATACAACCGAGGAAGATAGTTGAGATAGCCTGGGCATAGGCCGCACGACTCGATGATGTAGTCCTGGAAGAATAGACGAATCGCCTGCTCGTGAAGATCGTCCGGAAGCATACTGGAGGATTCAATTCCGACCTTGGAGAGAGATGAACTGGTTCCCCATCGCGATACATCCTTTGTGCTCCTGTTTGAGGACCACTGACGACTAGGTGTTGACTGCTGATATAATACTTTTGCTTTTACCACCTCATTCTCACTGCGGAACGCAAGATCCCACTCATCAAGATATCCAGGACATTTCTTCCCGATCTTCAGACAGCGCAGGCATGCTGGGCGTGTCTCGTCGCACTGGTTCGCCCCTCATCAGCTCGAGTTCATGAATTGTAGCAAGAATGAAATCCACCTTGACCTTCCTCCTCTTGCAGTTCTGGCATGCAGCACTTGCACCGTGATTGACCATGTTTGCTAAATATATGTTCTTCAAAATACTGTTAAGTGTTTGATAGGAGTGTCCAAGACCTCTCGGTCACATCACAACGTGGTTGTAGCTCGGTAGGCTTGAGTCGGCCGGAGTAAACTTTGGTGAGTAAGTAAGGTAGGTAATTGTGCTGAGATAAGCCACCCGAGAATTACATCACAGTCACGCTTTGATCACATGATTAACAGGGGGACGAAAGATGCGAATCGGAGCATTTGCCTCTCGTCAAGCAGTTGATTTGTGAGTGTTGTCTCACAAAATGTAGCGGAGCTTGAATTTCTTTCGTGGAGAAAATAGAATCTCACGTGAGCGCATGTCCAATTTAAGATTGCAATCACGAGGACCCGCGTCAATGCGTCGCGTCCCTCTCGCCACGCGTTTGGCGTTAAGTGGCTTTTCAAACCCGATGTTTGACCATCTCCCCTAGAGTTCCTTTCCAGATCGAGTGTACGAAGTCAACATGTCCGTCTACAGCTTTGAGGAACCAGATGGTGACAGCTCCAATCGTAAAGTCACAGAAGTAGTCTCACCCAACCGTACCCTACAAGTTTTGCGTGTCCGATTGCCTGCACCCATCAGCAGCTGACTAGATAAGCAGACAGAGCGCGATCATATCGGATATGGGAATTCGGAACTCCACTGCGCCTGCAAGAAAGGCTGCTCCTCCAGATGTAAATGCGCCGTGAACGGATCCGGTTGCTCTGACAGCTGCACTTGCTCGGCTTGCGTCAACCCCCTGAATATGCTCACGGCTTTCTTTGGAAAGGCCCGGGTGCGGGCTTCTCCTTGCTTCCTGACCTGGATCAAAAAGCAACAGAAGAAGCATCAGAAAAAGCACTTTCCTCCTTTCGATGTCACGGACGAGGAAATGGTTGCTTCGCTTCGGTGCAAACTCATGGGCATCCCTGAAGGGTCGCCGTTGACGAAAGCGCCTGTCGGTGATTATTTCACTGAATTCTGGGACCCGGACCTATCGGAATGGAAAGAGAAATGGATTGCGCCTGAGGTCACACCTGAAGAGCGGGATCTGCTAACGAAAGAGTTGTTTGTGAAGGGACTGTCAGATGAGGGGATGTACATGTATTCTTTCTGTAGAGAATATTGGCAGGATTTAGCAAACACCACCCATTGTCGCGTCTGTGGAGAGTGTAATGATTGGCGCGAGTGGCATTGTGGGGTTTGCAAGAAATGTACTTATGGAATATCGATCCCTTGCGAGGGATGTGGTGGAGTTTCGGATATGTACCATGACACATTGAAGCATAGATAATGGGTGGGTGCATTGTCTTTGCTATTTGGTTTCAAGTCGTAAAATGGACTGAAAAACTGACATTCCTCAGTATTTGGGTCCCACTTCTGCGCAATTACACCATTTCCTCTATACTCGTGTCCTGTAAGTCTTTTAACTTGCCACCATTGCGGAGATCAAATCCCAATTGACTTGCCGTTCTCTGACGAGCACCCTCTGAAACCCCAGTACGTATGCCCCATTGAGCCTCCGTCTTACCCTTCTCCTCCTCATCGTTCATTTTGCTCTCCTTGCGTTTCTGCCTCCCATATATCCGATCTAATTTCATCTGGCCCCTTTTCTCCAGCGCCGAGTGGCCAACAATGTACTCATTCCACGCAGCACGGAGACCAGTATATTCAGCTATGAAAGCGAGAGGTACTTTGACGAAGATAGTGAGCGTTGCGCGGGTCCAGGGACTGAATGCTGTTGAAACGGCGAACACTATCACAGCTGTGGAAAGTCCAACTAGAAGCGTGTGAATGAGGGGCTTCTGGAAGTGTTGCAGGGAGGGGTAGCTTACACATGTACTTGAGCTGTTGATTTAATGTCATCCAAGGAGCATCATTTATGTCCTTGTTGTTCATCCCGAAGAAAGTAGCAAGGAAACCGAGTGGTAACTGTCGTCGCTAAGTGTTCATCTTATTTGATAGTGCGAAGGTTCACTTACGAAGAATATCGTCACCAACGTGAATGCCATGATAGCTCTACCTTGTTTGACGCTTTCATCTGCCCTTCTCAGTGCAGCTTTGGCTTCGATAATACTCGCTTGTTGCTGTTTCAGTGATAAGAGACCTTGAAGCTATGAAATATCAGCAGAAATCTCATGAAAAGAACTCCGTCTGACTAGCTCACGAACCTGTTGACTAGTCCGAACAGCAGCATCTTCTAATTCCTGGATCTCTGAAAGCCGGTTCCGAAGGAGTTCCAACGTGTCATTTGCTTCCTGGATTGTGTGTTCTGGAACAATGTCCGGCTCACCATAGCTGTTCGTTTCTCCTTCCTTGGCCCCTGGATTCTCCTTGTACTTCAGAAACTTCATGATACTCCTCATCTCGTCAGTTTCGTTTTTAGATTCTCCATTGATATGACCCAAGATCTTCCGAAGATCTCGAACAACATGTAATTGTTGATTGTAAATGCGAATCATGATCTGAAGTTCTTCTGCAATGTCGTGTGATTCACGTAGTATGGTACCTTCTGGGTTGATGTCGAGATATTTGTGGCTGACATGCTCGTTTGAGCCGTAGGGAATAGGGTTTTTGGAGCGTATTTCCAAGTTTCGCCAGAAGCTCTCGTAAGCAATTGTTGTTTGCTCTGCCTGCGGTAAATGAGTATTTGTCTTCAGGCTAGGGGAAATAGTATGAGCATACAACGTTACCTATGGCTGAGGCGAACAAATCCATCACTTCGGGTCTCTGATCCAAGGGCTTCGTACGATCGAAAAACACCCGCGAGCACTGGTCAATGATTATGAGTGCTGGAATCGGTGAGCTTTGTCAGTTTCAGAAAAGAGAAACACGTACCAAGATCGTATACGGATTGTATTTGCCCCTCGGGAAGATGCTTGAGCCTGTCTCTCAAACTTTTGTGTACTCCAGAAGGATCGGGCTTGTTTCTACCCCAGCGTCGAGGAAAAGAAGTCAAGATAGTATCTGTGAATGGTGAGCCAGAATAGCAGTTTTCATGATACCTAACATACTGTCGTCCAAAATCCATAGCCATAATTGATCGACCATCACAACCCTCGTGCTGTGGGAGTGGAAACTGTTGCCAAGTCTAGTCCCACGGTAGACTACTTGGTCCTTGTCTCGAATTCCTGTATCATCTAAGGTCAAGAAGTACGATTGGTCCAAAGTTCGTCTTATGTGCAATGGTGGATTTTGATGTAAGTTGTCACGAAGAAGTCGTTCGTCTGCTTCGTAGTCCATAGCATCCGCAACCATGGCCAAAGCAAACAAGTATTCACCCAGCTTCGACTTTCTGGCTCCAGTTAGCCAAGTTAGATTGAAGAATGTACAAGCGATAGTTACTGGGGCATCTTTTCTCGCTTCTTTTCTTTAGCTGTTGCTTGCCAGATGTCAAAGAACGACTCCTTGGCTTTCTCGTCCGCTTTCTTAGCTTTCGGGTACCGCTTCCTCAGACCCGGATTCATGTTCTCCAGCTCAATTGTAACTTCTTTAACTACTTCAGCCATCCGCGCCCTTCTGCTGTCTGTCTCCCAGTGTAGATAAGGCATCCATAGAGAAGTTAGTTTCAGTTCTGACCAAGCAGAAGCGAACAACATACGAAAAGAGCAAAATTCTTCTTTTTATTTTTTTGCGAAACGGATATGGACGAGCTTCGTGGATCAACAACTGGTTGTTCATATGCGCCGGAGCCTACATCTATTTCAAATTTATCAGAAGGGGCCATTGATATCATTGCGTTAGACACACCTTCAGGAACGATAGAACATCGAGATCGCATATACCTGGCATGCACCGGGCCATTTCCTCCGCTCCCACCATGAAGTTGGCCCCTCCAGAATTCACGAGACAGAAGTTTCTCTGCCTTGGACATCTCCTTTGTTGGTTTTGAATCGTTATGATGGTCGCCATCTTTCTCCCCATAATATCTCGCCATTGCTTTCTTGTCATTGGTCAGCAGATATTCGTCATAATATTGTTACTGCTTGGCATCAATGCATCATACCTCAATCCAGCGCATATTGTTCGATGGAAAATGGAAATATCTCAATCTGTTGGATGGACATGTTTCTCCCAAAGGGTTTCCTGGTTCGTCTTCGAGTATGTTGTGTACAGACATTTTCTGGTTCGGAAAAACGCTCGGCAGAAACTTCGGGTTGTCATGCGTATACTCCTCAAATCCAGAACCGTTCTTCTGGAAATATATCGCACATGCTTTGAATCCGTACTCAAGATCTGTTTTTGGTTGCAAACCGGATTCTTCCTCATTATCGGCGATTTTCCATAACTTCACGCGCTCGAGAAGCTCCAAGTCCAGCTTCTGGTTCCGGAACTTCGATGAATCCTTTCGTATTTTCGCGACATACTCTTCTTGCTTGTTCATCACTTCATTCCTCCAGCCCTGTTTCGCTGCCTTCAATTTTTCCATCATCGCTTTCTTTCTCTCATATGAGGTGAAGTTGACTCTTGTCTGATCTATGCGCTTCTCCTCATGCTTAACCCGCCTCAACTTTTCTTCTGAGAGTTTGGTTATAAAGTCACTTCTTTTATCGAATCGCATACTAAGGTACGTGCTTGTATGATCCTTGCAGTGAGTCCAAGGCTCCGCTGCGAATTCATCGCGAGTGCATCCATGCTGTGCGTATTGCATGTCAATGTGGATATCCTGGTGCGCCTCATGGCGAGGATTCTCAAAATGAATGCCATTGATCATTGAGGCCTCCCTATTGACCATCTCGATGGTGCTGGGCTAAGTACTCACGAGAGAATAGGACAAAGACTGCATGAGGCTCAGAATTGGGGATTGCGCCCCTCTTGTAGTAACGCAAGAACACGCTATGCTGTAATGTCCACACCATGCCCATCAATTAGATTAAGAAAAATGATTCCTGTGCTTGGGATTGGCTCCACCCCATGAAGAACCGCTGAGAGCGGGGGAGGTGGGCATGGCTGAACATGGAGGATATGCAAGAAATCGAAAGAAGAGAACTGCACCGCAGAATCTTGGATTTAAGCCAATGGCGAATGCTTCAAATCGATAATCAATGATTGTTTCTCCCGATCAAAAGCCCAATTCAGACGGCAAGGCCGAGATCATGTCAGCTATTGGCAGAGTGGCCGATCAGCCAATCAGTCAGCCATCAGCTGAGCAACTTGCTGAGCTGACTGGCTTACATAGAAATCACAGCTTAATGGCTTTAACTGAAGAGCTTAAAAGCTGCTTAAAAGCTGATTCTAAAGATAGACATATATAAAAAATCCCTGTAAAAATCAACTGTACTAGATATCACTATATGTAGAAAAAGGTTAGTAATTAAAGCACTTATAGTACTTATAGATAGATTTCTATAGCTTTTAAAGTTATATTATTAACTTTAAAGAGTGTAGTAAAGTGAAATATATTTCTAGTGTTAATTTAGATATATTTGAGAGTTTATATAGCTTTAAGATAAGATTTGATTATTCTGCCGTGTTAGACCGCCTAATTTAAGCTAGTTAAAGGTAGTTTTTCCGCTCCGAGACCCCTATTTCTATAAGCGAGTGTCAAATCGATATACTAAGTACTAAAAACCTCACTCTAAAATCGTCAAAAATATAAGGGCTAGCTTATAAGCTAGCTTATAAGCTGGCTATATTCGAGCTGACTGGCTTACGAATATCTTTGAGCTGACTGGCTGACGTTTTTTTCCTAGCTGACTGATTGGCTTAAAAGCCGGCTGACTGATCGGCCACTCTGGCTATTGGGGGCTAAACATCCCGCCCCACGTCATGAGCTGAAGGTCAAGTTCTTCTGAAAGCCCAGAGGATGTCGTGTGTTGGAAGCACTGAACGATCGAAACCATATCACTCGTACTTCCCTTCCTCGTTTCCACGCACATCCGCCATATGGTTGAGCCTTGAACGACAGTATGGGGCATTTCATGAAATTCTGGCACTCGAAACACATTTATTGGTGCTGGGTTGTGACGAGCCCGAACCAAATCCCCCATATTCTGATTGCATGATAGTGTTTAGAGTGTGTAAGCCCATGTTCGAATTATTTGGTGCTGTTATTCGATCAAAGTAGTCGGAAGAAGACAAGAGGCAGAAGAGTACGAAGGGCTAAGAAAGTTTAAATCACGTGATATAACCCTTGCCTAATAAGGTAAGGTACCTACCTACCTTAGGTACATCGGTACTTGAATAGGTGAGCACCAACTACTAATACCATTCTTTCAATCGTTATCGGACTAGTAATATTTATCTTAGATAGCTACTTCTTGCTTGAAAACCGCCTGCCTAGGTATATATAGACTTATTATCACTATTAGTCTATTTACCTCTACTTACTACGTATAGACTATTTATTAGTTTATTTACTTTAACTTACTCTTTAGCGCTATACTACTGCTTAATTAGGTAACACGTAAGTCTAAGTAAGTTTTCTCGCTATAAAGCGTCTAAGGGAAAATAGTACTAATTTATATAGAGATTAATTTCAAGCTAACCTTAATTCTTTAGTCACTTTACTATAACTTAACATATAACTATTTAAATAACTTCGGGTATACTATAGATAGTAAGTAATCTATTTATCTATTTAATGAAATATTTATTTTTACTTATATTAATTTCCTTAAGGATGAAGTATATATACTAAGACTAAGGTGTTAATTTCTTACTCGCACTTAGTAGAATAGTCTAACTAGAAACCTCCCTAGTATTTTCTAATAACACCTCTATATATAGACCTGAATATCTTCTAAGGATTAGAAAGATATACTTGATTACCTCTTATTATTCTTTTTATAATATCTTATTAATTAATAAAGTTACGTCTAAGTAGGTATTACTTAATATAGACCCTTACTTTTTTTTAGCTGGAAATACTTCTACGATTTCTTAACTATATATTCTTATATAATACGAATTAATATCTAAGGATAAGAAAGGTATATAGAGTCGCCCTACGTTATCCTTTTAATTATAGCTTATTAATTAATAAAGTTATAGCTAGGTAGGTGTTCCTATACTTTTACGCTTATTTTTTTTCAGCTAGAAACACCTCTGCGATTTCTTAACTATATATTCTTATATAATACGAATTAATATCTGAGGATAAGAAAGGTATATAGAGTCGCCTTACGTTATCCTTTTAATTATAGCTTATTAATTAATAAAGTTATAGCTAAGTAGGTGTTCCTGCGCTTATATATTCACGCCTTTTCAGCTAGAAACACCTCTATTATTTCTTAACTACACGCTTAGATATCACCGCTAACCCCTTAATAAGATAAGATAATTATAGCGAGTAATATTATATTACTCTTTATTTAATAAGTCATTACTTATAAGAGTCGTATAAGTTCAGGTATTAAGGTAGATACTAGCTACTACCTTATATCTATTTCACTTACTTTAACTTACTTCAGTTTCTTATTTATACTTTAGTTTTCCAGTATTAATTAAATTATATTATATATTATCTTATCTCCTATTAGCTTACTTACTTTAATTTACTTCGGATTATTATCTGGGTATTTAGTACTTATATTAAGTATTAGTATTGCAGTCGGCTTACTTTACTTCTTTTCCTTATGTCTAAGTCTTTAATTAGCTCACTTACTTTAACTTACTCCTTAGGCACTATATCTACTCACTAACTAGTACTTCTTCCTTAGTATCTCTTATTATATCGGTATAATAGACTAAGCTGTTCGCTAGTCTTTTTAAGTCCCCTCCTAGTATTAGCTAGATATTTATTTTTCAGTATTTCTTGTATATACTTTTTACTCGGGGATACTTATATTTACTATTTAACAGCTTATCTTATTATTAGGCTATCTATAAGCGACACCGAAGGGCGCTCTAGTAAAGGAGTCGAATAGCGCGATTAATATACTCTTAGTAACTAATTAATTCTACTCGGACTTAGGATTAGCGTTATGTTTATATCCTTTACTAATAGAGACAGTTATAAAGGGATTAGTAATATTAATTAGTAATAGGATAGAGTTCGTGAAGTATAAGGAGAGGGCAGTAGTACTTTATTATTTAACGTAGTAAGTGCTAGACCTTATGAAGACTATGTTATATTAGGAGTAGGTGTAAGAGAATCGCTAGTTCAATTACTTTCGGTAGTATGTAATAGCACGGTTTAGCGTTAGCTAGCACGTGAGCGAAATAACCACGGATCAGGTGATAACCTCTCTATTAGCGCGAATATCAAGCTGAGGAGCCCTCGATTCCGTGGAGGGCGCTCGAGCCTATATAGACAAATTCCCCGGGCTATTCCCGATTAGGCCTAATTACACTTAACGTAAAACTTGACGTAAACTCCCATAGTAGCGTAGAGCTATTTCCCTTTGCGTATAACTAAGTGGGTAACTATCGGTAAACCCCTTTAGAGTTAACCGAGCTCTACCGAGTCTTACCGAGCTTTACCGAGCTCTAGACTCTTCCTAATCGGGTATAGTAAAGAAGTAGTTACTACTACCTTTATATCACCCCCCCCTTTGAAAAAATCGAGTTATAAGCCTAAAAGCGTAATAAAACGATTAAAAAAACAAAGTAGAAGTGATTATTATATATTAGAGATTAAAAGCAAGTAAAAAGAGGTATAAAACCAAACTAATAAGCAGATAAAACAAAGCACTTTTTTAACGCTAGCAGTGTTATAACTACAAATAGTATATATTCACCAGATATTCCTGGACTACTTGTTCCTTATTAGGGTTAGCCTTTCGCCAAGCCTTTTCTATTCGTATTATAATATAGGCGATTTCGACGAGTTTTCAGTTCCAGGCTCGTACGTAAGTTATAATATACTCTTTATTAGGTTTTAAGCCTTATAGCTTATAATTCGACTTATAAGCGTCTAGTGTTAAGAGCTTTTCGTTAAATACCTGATAAAAGGGGTTTACTACACTATCTGGTTTAGCGAAGAATCGAGCTATAGGCTTAGTAAAGTGAAGTAAATACGCTAGTAATAAGGAAGCTAATTCGCTAGCTTCTAAAGCTTATTACGGCGTAAGCTGTAGAGCAGGGAATCTAGGCTCTAGTTCGTCGATATTAGTTGAATTATTAACTAGGGTTGTAGCTGTAATAGGCTGTTCTAGCCAATCTTTAGCCTCTGATTCGCTTATAAGATTATTACTTATAAAAGTAAAATCGTCGTTTTGTAATAGAGCGTTAAAGGCGAGCTTTGATTGGCTAAGAGGTCTTCCGCTATTGATTTTATAATAGTCGTATATAGCTTTAGCTGAATTACTAAAGCCGTTTATATCGTACCACGTGTTATCAGGGGGGTAGTCTCTCTACTCTACTTGATATTATATCGTATCGTTGTAATAATAATAAGCTAGTATACGAACTAGCTCGTATTTATCTTCGTCGTATTCTACGTCATCTATAGCGTCGGTAATATTTAATTCGTTATCAGCTCGCTTATACGCTTTCCGTAATCGAGAGGGGTTAATAATAAAGTAGATTTTCATCGAAGGAGGTAATTCTAACTTGTAAGCGTAGCCTACTTATTATATAACCTTATAAGGACCTCACTTAACAAAGTCTAGCTTTTTTAAGGGCCGTATCGACTTGAGGTTTTCCGTATATAACTACACGTGATCTCCTATAATAAAATCGATATCTTATCTTAAACGATTCGCATACTCTTTTTAAAAGGCCTACACTTTACCTATATACACCTTCGTATACTCTATTACGTTATATATACGCCGTAAGGTATTTATTACG